TAATTCTGGGTGCTCAGTGTGCTCAGTCCGGGTTCGACAACTGAGCTCACTGATCACTTCTGAGTTACAATCGTCCTGATTGGTGACCTTGCCTGGTGCTCAGTGTGCTCAGTCCTGGCTTGGCAACTGAGCTCACTGATCACCATCGATCCTGTTCCTGCCTTCCGATTGGCTTATTCCATGACTGGCCCGGGGCGTCCCGCGCCCCGCGGTTCCGCCTGTTGGCATATTCGTGACAGTGGGTCACGTGCTACACGCGCGTTGTAATATCAATGTTGTATAAGGGAGGAATTAGCTTAGAGAACAATCTTTAATACTACGGATCCTACAACTATAGAATTAATGTACCTGCGTATATGGCCTTCTGGTTAGAAGGCCGCGGTTACAACTACCGTAAAAAGAGGTTACTTCAATAAGTGCGGAAAAAGAAATAGAATTGTATATCCCGTAAACTCTGAGAGGGCTTGAGCCTCTGACTAAATACAAGGATGCCCTAGGCGGACGAACGCGACGAAGAAACGGAAAAACGAAAATTCCAGACCCCATGTCCCTCTGGTCAGAGGGAGCTCGTTGCCCCAGTTCAATACTATATTATTATTAGCGGTTAAAATAATAATATAATATATCTAGAGATCCGTTTCCCCTAACGAATAGTCGCTTTAATATAGTTATACTAGTACTATAGGTATTGGAGGTATACCTCTAAACCCGCCCTAGTAAGTGCCCCCTTAAAACTAATATATCTACGTTTATAGAAGTTAATAGAATACCTTAAAGTAAAGTCCGATTTATATATCGACGAAATGTAAATCTTCTTAATTAAAGAATACTATATATTTATTAGCGATATAACGATCTGAAAGAGATTAAAACAAATAGACTAAACTAATAAGAAGCTTATATACTACCTATCTTAATATAGTGAACCTCTCCGCTTCAACTAGATATATAGGGTTGTATAGTTTACTACTAAGATATTTATATTTTGCAATAAATCTGGAACGGATAGGTATAATAGGATATATTATACCGGATAGGTGTAAAAGGGGGTTATACTATATATAAATATATTAATAGATTGTAGTAAGTATTTCTATATCCTCCCGGCGATCTTTATAGATAGGATACTCGATATCTTAATATTTAAGGGGTATACTGATTAGGATAGCTTTATCGAATAGCTTCGTTAGGGTATATTACCGAAGATGAATACCTTCTCCAGTATAAATAGTATTCTAGTAATAAATAATATATCGTAGTATTACAACGTATATATCTATAAATTGGCGAAGGAGTATAGTATATTAATCTGGTATCTACCGCTATATTTGCCCAACTTTAATCCTATTAAGGCGTTTTTCTACAATATTAAGGTATATATCCAACGTAAATATCAGTCCTACAGTAACAACAGTTCAATAGAGGTATAGTTTAAAGAGTTCCTCTATTAAATAGTTAATACCGTTGGAAGTAGGGAGAGTAGGCTATACGGTTACTACCGAATGGCTTTACTAGTATTTAGAGAGAGTAATTAGAGTAGAAATAGTCTTGTTAATTACACTAAACTATATACTGAACAGCTACAGGAGTTCCTCGAAATAGATATAGTAGTTTAAGTATTTTAAATTAAGAAATCCGTCCTTTTAACTATATATTAAATTATAGACCCTCTTATTAAACTTATTACCCTTCTAACTATATATTAAATTACAGACCCTCTTATTAAACTTATTACCCTCCTTCTAAACCGCTAATCTATAACTTAGAAGCTTCGGATACCATTAAGATATTATCTTCGAAGCATTCATCGTTAACACTATCTTCGTTAATACTATTATCGTTATTAGGAAAGAAGAAATCGTTTAGGAGTATATTAGTTAGATCGGGTAGAGGGGTATTTAGATAGCCGAACGGTTAGCTATATAGGATTTAATAGAGGAAGTAATATATATTAAGCAGTATATCTATATTAAATAGATAACTTAGAGATAATAAAGTTAAGGAGGGCTAAACTAGTTAATCTTATTAATACTCATCCTCGTTAAGAGAAGCTAGTTTAACTTCTTCCTTTAAAAAGGTTTTAACTAACCCTCTTAATAGTACTACTAAGAAGCCCGGTAGACTATAGTTATTAAAGAACACCTCTAGTAGCGCCTTTAACGCTACCAAACTATAGCCTTTGTTAATCAAATAATATTTAACAGTATTCAATACTATATATATTTATTCGTTATAGGCGCCTATTAAATGTTAATATATAAATTAGTAAGTAAATTCGTTAATTAGTTTGGCCGTTGTTTTGCTTATAGGGGAGGCTAGTAGCAATAAAGATCGAATAGGGATATTAAACGTTATACCCCGGCAGCCTAGGTAAGAAGAAATTAAGGTATTAGATTACTACTATAGTAGCAATAGTTCGGTAATAATAGCTGTTAGCAGAAGTAGGTAAGTTAGGTTATAGGTACCCCAAACCAGCCTAGTAAAGAGGGTACCTAGACTAGAATTATTACTATTATTATTAATATTAACGTAGAATATTAGTATTAACTAATAGTATATACTATATAGGATCCTCCTAGAGATAGGTAACGGCTAGCTACTACTTTGTTTAACGGCTTATTATTATTGTTGTTTATCCGCCTTATTATACTATTTCTTATAGAGGAAGATAGGCAGGTTATCCTTTATAGTCTTCCTATTCTAGATCGCTGCTACCTATATAACGAGGTCTTAATTCGTAAATAGGATATACTTATTATTACTTTAATTACACCAGTACCAAGTAGCTACTATACCGTTTCGAAAGTTCTTACACTTCGGACCGAGATTATATTTCTATCGGTAATAAAGTATATCAAATATAATAGGTAGGTATAGAACCCTATTAATATAGCTCTAGGTAATATCGCTTTAGTAATATATAAATAACTTAGCTAATATTATATTACTGGTAGATTTACGTACCGAAGGTACCTTTAGGGTATTTCGATTAGGTGTTAGCGCTATAGATACAGTTCTAGATAGCTGTATACCCGTATATCCGGATCGGAACCTAGGGGTTTAAAAGATAGGTTGAACTAACGTTGAGAAGCCCCGGATCGGTATAGGTATAGAGGTAACAACTAGATCGTTATCGTTGGATAGTACCTTAAACTCGAATTCAAACTCTAAAGTTAGCTTAAACTTAATATCTCTAGCCTCTATTATCTAGCTTATAAGCAAGTTAAAATCAATACAGCTAATAGATAAAGGTAACCAAAGCGCTATATTAAATATCGCGATATCCCTATACTTATACAGACTAGCTATTTTACTAAAGCGAACTTTGTAAATAGTATAGGTAACTAAGCCTTCCAATCCAGCCTTTTATACTAGGAGCTATATATCTTCTATTAAATTAATATAACTAGACTAAATAGTATATTCGAGATTAAATCCGTTAAATAGCTTGGTAAACTCGAAGTCTATTACTTCAACCTTAATTACTTATCGATATAAATATTGTAAAGGTATTAGTAGAAGGGTTTTAAAGGTTAAAAGATATTAGTTATAGAACTATTTAATATTATGTTAAATCTTAACGAAAATCGATATTAGGAGAGGCGGAGAGGGAGGGGGTTTATTCGTTTAGTTTAACGGCTATTTAGATATCGCTCTAACTGTTAGCTAAAGTAGGTTAACCGGTTTTAACTATATACTAGTAAAGATAACTTTATTATTATTATTATTATTATTAAAAGGATTATTAAATATATTTCTAAGCCTAGACTATAACTCTAGGATTATAGTTAAACCCTAGATAATAATCTAGGGTTAACTTTATTATACCTATACTGGTAAATACAGCTCTTTAATATTATATTCCAACTCTGGTATTTCGGATAGTATCTCAGTCAACTTTCAAACAATAATTTAAAGGGCTTTCTTCATAGGTATAGCCTTCTTTATAGGGGGGGGTCTCTTTATAGCCTTCTTTATAGGTATAGCCTTCCTTACAGCGGAGGGCCTCTTTACAGCTAGCTTTATAGGTAATACTTTCTCTATCAATACCCGTATCCGTTTCGGCTATACGTTTGTAGGTTGTAAATCGGTTAAATCGATAGATTCGGATATAATTAAAGGGGGGGTATTGGCAGTCTTCTTCAATATAATTCGAGTTATCTTATATACCGGGACAGCGGTTAACTCGCTACCTACCTCAACGCCAAAAGATATTAGATCTACAGTATCGCCAACTATATCAATCCAGATACATTTTAAATACCTTATAGCGGGTATCTCGAACCGAATAGTACAATAAAGTAGGCGATAAAGTTATAGGATAGCTCTAGGGGGCTAGCCGGACCGTTTAAGGATAGATTTTAGAGGCGCGCGCGTAGGCCCGCTAATTTCCATCCAAAAAAACAGATATAACAACAAAACGATTAAGATCAATCGCTACAGCAATGTAAATTGCTTCAATTGCGGCCGTTGTAGGCGTTTGATAGCGCCGTCTACAGATTCTTACCGCCTGGGTGCGCGCCCGCAAAAATTAGCGGCGGTGTGCCACGCGCGCGCGCACGCCAAGACGAACTGGCGTTTGCCGGACACAGCGGTACAAGGGCACCAAGAGTTGTACATGGCCCGTGCGCTTATCGATTGCCTTCGTCAGGCGGCGTCTCATCCCACCTCTCCCACCTCCTGGCGTGCCTGGCTTCGGTTTGCGGTTCTTAGCGTTTGCTCAACACTCTCTTCACTCCAACCATCTGCGATCAACAACCCGCCACATGCTGAGTTGGCTCTGCGCCCTACACCGAGGCCTCGAACCCGCTATCAAGTTGCTTTTGCGCACGATCTCCCGCTAAATCTTGCAGCGCATGCAACTTGGGATTACGGCATTGCAAAGTTAACCCCTCCCTCCTTAGGCCTTACTGCTTGCTCGTGGCCTGCTGCCTGGCCGACGATATCAGGACTACCCACAACTTCACCTCGTTGTTCTTCGGCAAACTGCATCCTTGACCATGGCTCTACCGAAGAGAATCATCAAGGAGACCGAGAGGCTCATGGCTGAACCGTACGGGAACCCCAAACACCTCCTCCAGGGACCAACCATCTGACCCGATCAACAACAGTGTCCCCGGCATCAGCGCCATTCCCCACGAAGACAATCTCCGGTACTTTGACGTTGAGATCCACGGCCCCTCGTCATCTCCGTACGAAGGTGCGCGTCCTGCCCCTAGCTCATTTGGCGATTGGTTGACTTACATGGAGTTCTAGGCGGTGTCTTCAAACTCGAGTTATTCCTCCCCGATGACTACCCGATGGCGCCTCCCAAGATCCGCTTCTTGACCAAGATCTTCCATCCCAACGTTGATAAACTCGGCCGAATCTGCCTGGACGTCCTGAAGAGTGGGTGATGGGATTCAGCATGCGCGTAATGGCAAAAAGCTTACGGGATGTCAGACAACTGGTCCCCTGCGTTACAGATCCGGACCATTCTGCTGTCCATTCAAGCCCTGCTCGGCGCTCCGAACCCTGATGACCCACTGGCTGCCGATGTCGCCAAGAGTTGGAAGGAGGATGAAGCAGCCGCCATCGCCACCGCGAAGGCCTGGACACAGCAATACGCGGTCCCGAAATAGGTTCCTCGCTAGATAACTGTGAGATAGAAGAGCCAACGCCTCAGGAAGGGTGCTCGGCATACCATTCGTCGTTTGAGGAGTTGAGGGGAGGACGGGGTTCAACATATTTGGGTGGAGTTGATGGATGGGGTTTAGAGATGGGGGCAACTTTGGAACACGCTACTTCCGTAGCAGGATGAAGGATCTACGATACTGCATGTCGTAGTGAGCTTGGGCCCGAGAGCCCGGCACGAGCGCAAGGAGCAGAGCAAGTACAGAATACCCAGTGATGCTCACCGGCTGGCAGCTCCACTCTCCGTATTGTCTCCAGATAGTCAGCTCTGGAAAACCCATTGTCGACGAAGCAAGTCGTTGCATCCAGCTAGGAGCCAAAGGAACAAACCTGGGACAGAATCGATACATTCATCGAGTGAAGCTTGAAGCCCACGTTTTATCGCTTCGGGTACAATATCGAGGTTCTCCAGCACCAATCTGTTTCCGATGTCAGATCCCGGTCTCGAGCCAAGCTTTTTGAGCCTTGTGTGTTGCAGGCTAACAGCTTGCCTGCAGAAATCCGGTAGTTGCATGCATCAAGATACATACCTGGTGCCTTGGGGGATGCTGGCACGGCTGGCTGGGGCAGGCATGCACAGTCGTCCCACATTGAACGAAGGAGCGAGAGTCAGACCTGGAATGTCGACAGCTAAACCGGTTTCGGGCTCGGGTGATAAGCGAAAGGTAGCAGTGGCAATGAGGACGAGAAGGGAAAAGCAAAGCAGTCGTCGCGAAGAAGAAAACGGTTTGGGTTCGATGCAGTTGGGAGGCCCATCCCACACCAAGTTCCACTGTTGGTGGGGGATACAGGAATAGAAAAGCAAGGGTCTTACCCTTTTCGGATTGCAGCCGACCCGCCTTCCCTTTCCTGCTCAAAAGGACCCGCCGCCCTGCGCCTTCTTGGACCGACTGGACTCCAAGGATTCCAGCGCCGGAGATTTGGGTCAGTCTCTCTTTTCCAACGCCATCGCAATGCCATTGTGAGACGGTCGCTATACCTACCTAGGTAGTTAATCAACGTGCCTACCGGAACGCATTGGCAGGTCTCTTTGCCTACTTCACCAGGGAAGGAACCAAACGACGTCGTCAGCTCTTCCGACTGCAACGTTCTTGACAAGGTTCACTCAGGTGATCGCCGTTTCGTTTCCACACAAACGCCCTCGGCACCAGCCACTCGGCGCTGAACGACGTCGGTGATTTCGCGCAGCTCCGGACCAGCCCTTTTGCCCTGGTCTTCTCTCTCTCTTCCATCCCGCTTCCATCGTGTGGCCGTCAAGCCATCAGAGAGTCCCTATCCTGGTTCACTGGTGTCAGCTTGGCTGCTTGGTTCCCCAAACGCTCGGACGATCCTCGATTTCAACTCGCTCGGTAGTCAGCCAGTCACCGGTTCCCTCTTTCCGTCTTCCTACCGTCACTCGTTCTCGGCCTATTCTCGACGCCAATTACATACGCCTATCTCGTCACCCTCCCTTCGTTCAAGAGTTCAAGCTCGAGTCTTCTCTCAGCACAACGATGCCGTCGCAAACCGACACCGCCGCGCCCACGGGCACTACTTCAGCGAAGCGATTTGAGCTTCCCGCTCTGGATCTCAAGTTCGGCTCTCTGACGGACGGTACCAACATCCCCCCGCCACTCCCATCGCCGATACAGGAGGAAGCCGCTCCGACACCACCAGACACGCCAAACGGTGCGCAGGCGACGCAGGGAGCGAAGGACGCCGCCAATGGGAAGTCGAACACCGTATCACCCAATTCCCAGCCATCGAGCATCATAACCGCGGGCATCAAACGACGCGCCGAAGATGGCCCTGCTTCCCCCACCTTGTCGAACCGTCCCGGGAGTATCCGCCGTCTTTTCAGCCGGAATCTCTTGAATACGGCCTACAGCAACGTGAACGAAAATGGCCAGGACGGACGGCCCCAGAGCCGCAGCGGCTCCAGCGTGGCGGACTCGCGGAAAGCAAAGCGATCTAGCGGCTGGTTCGGCCGGTTACGGAACACTGAACCCGCTCCCAGCAGCGCCGTAACGCCTCTTTCGCCGCCCGTCACGGACGAAAAGAAACCGACGGGCCCACCGCCGCCCATGATCCCCGAGCTGAACGAGCTGAACACGAAGCTGGGCATCCAAGCCGACAATACCTTCGGGGGCGACTTCTTCAAGAATATAAAATAAAGAAGGCGGGGCACAGCATCACCTGATCGTGTGGCTCGGCAGACGAATGCGCGATGCTGAGCCAGACCGCATCAGGGTGGTGCAAAGAGAGGCTGCCTCCAATACAGGTGGCAGTTCAAGGAGTGTTATTGAGTTGCTGACGCAAGATACCCACCTCGTTTTCTTTCCGTTTTCACCTACTTTCACGAGGGACGTTTGTTCTATGACGATATTTTCCATCGCTGCTTATTACCCCATATGTTCTGCAGCTGTTGTGGTACTCGAGATGTTTCATGTCCTTTGGCCGTTTACCGCGTGTCCAGACGCCTGATCTACGCTTATTTGTCTTTTTGTGTTGTTCGACGACGCCTGTGGTACTTTATGGCCACAGCGATCGTCACCCCCCTTCATGCGATACGGTGCACTTCCCCAGAAATGGATCGACGGTGGTTACTTTGGCTTTCTTACATACACTAATCTTGCGTCAAGAGGGGAGGCTAGTTCTGATGGGATGAAGGGAACTAAAAAGGGGAGGCTGTTGTTGACGTCTTGTTACGCAGCATTTACGACCAACTACATACCTTGAGCTCACGGCTTTTTTTCTTTGGCACTTGTCGTCCAGCCACATTTGTGGCTAGAAAAAAAGGGGAGGAGAATACTTCAAATTAATAACCTTTTCGCTCACCTACCAGTGCAGAGTTTGCAAGACATTGGATTCCGGTGAATGACGAGTGTCGGAGGGTTTTTGGAGAGCGCACCACGCTTTGGCCTCCCGGTGTAACCTATAATGCAGCAACAATGATCCAACCTGGCTGCTGATGACAAACCGAATGGGCACCGAAGTTGGCTATCAATACGATGGAAACATTAGCCTTGACTCAGGACTGCAAAGGATACAGACACGAATATGATTCAGTTGAAGCATCTTCTCGCGCGGGAAGGGAGCTCCCAATGCCTATCTCCAATTGGTCGAAGCTTGGGTGGGGCATCCATGAGGTCCGACGTCATTCATCGCTTCGCTATCGGCCGACCGGAGCGAGCTGTCAAATCGACCGCGGATAAGGAACTGGCGTTGAATTATCATTCTTTGCCTTGAGCCGAGTTGTTTTGGTACAATCAACGGGCAATTAAAAGTCAACAACACCTTTGAACGCCCTTAATTAGAGTTCAACAGCAAAAGGACCACTCTTTTCCTTACCCGCAGCTCCAGCTTCGAACTCAACGCCATCCATCCACCAGTTTCATAACAAGCCGACCACGCCATATCCAACCTTCGACCTTCAAAAACAAAGCAAAACAAAAAAAAGCCCAAGATGGCATCCGCCCTCAAACCACACGCCCTCCGCCTCGGCCGAAGCACCCTCCTCACCCCCACCGCCCGCACCGGCCTCCTCTCCCTGCGCACCACAAAACCCCCCCTCACAACCCCCGCCACCCCCTCCACACGCCGGCACAAATCCGGGCCCTACGGCTACACGCAAGCCAAAACCCTCGTCTTCTCGTCCTTCGGCGAGCCCGCCGACGTGCTCCACCTGCACACCTCCTCCATCTCCCCGCAGCTGCGCGACGGCGCCGCGCTGCTGCGCGCCCTGGCCGCGCCCGTCAACCCGGCCGACGTCAACACCATCCAGGGCACCTACGGCTCCCGCCCGGCTTTTTCGTCCCTGCTGGGCACGGCGGAGCCGGCGGCGGTGCCCGGGAATGAGGGGTGTTTTGAGGTTGTTGCGGTTGGGGGTGGGGTGACTGGGTTGGGGAGGGGGGATTGGGTCATCCCCGCGGTGGGGGGGTTTGGGACGTTCCGCACGCATGTGGTGGTGGAGGAGGCGGAGAGGGTGCTGTTTCGGGTTGGGGGGGAGAGGGGCGTGGAAGGGCTGACGGCGAAGCAGGTGGCGACGGTGAGTGTGAATCCGTGTAGTGGGTACAGGATGCTGAAGGATTATGTGGATTTGGTGGATTTGAGTGTGAAGAGCTTTGCGAGGGGGGAGGGGGCGACGGGGGGTGCGTGGTTCTTGCAGAATGGCGCGAATAGCGGGGTTGGGCGGTCGGTGATTCAGCTGGGGAAGTTGTGGGGGCTGAGGAGCATCAACGTGGTCCGGGAGCGGGCGACCCCCGAGGAGACGGAGGCGTTGAAGAGCGAGCTGAAGGAGCTGGGCGCGACGGTGGTGGTCACGGAGAGCGAGTTCCTCGATCGGTCGTTCACGGCGCGACTGAAGGAGGAGTGGACGCGGGGCGACAAAGAGCCGTTGATGCTGGGGCTGAACTGCGTCGGCGGCAAGTCGGCGTCGGCCATGGTCAAGGCGCTGAGCCCCAAGGGCTGCATGGTCACATACGGCGGCATGTCGAGGCAGAGCTTCCCATTCCCGACGGGGCCGCAGATCTTCAAGCGGCTGCGGTTTGAAGGTTTCTGGCTGAGCGAGTGGGCCAAGGAGAACCCGGCCGAGAAGCGGAATACCGTGAACGAGATTCTGGACCTGATGCGGGACGGCAAATTCAAAGAGGCACCGTTCAAGGAGGTGGAGTGGAACTGGGATACTGAAGAGAAGGTACTCAAAGACGCCATTCAAGGCACATTGGAGGGTTTCCGGGGTGGGAAGGGCCTCTTTGTATTCGGGGAGACCTAAACGTCGCCGTGCTCCGGCTTCGTTGCGTGTAACAGAGTAGATAGACTTGCGCATGTCAAATTTGAGCACAGTCGCAAATGCATAGATATTCTACCTCCGAACCCATGAAATAAGCTGGCCAAATCCCACCATGAAAGCAAAGGATGCAAAGCGCCCTAACTAAACTCCTTATCCTAAAAAGCCCCTTTAGTCGACCCAACATAGAACGGCCGCAAACAGGTCAAGCCCGGAATGCCTGTACCAGCTCGTGCAGCTTGTCAATAACGACCGGCACCAGCGCGTTGAGGTTGTCATCCATAATCCTCTCTAGGTGCCGAATGGCATCCTCCTCATCCATCTCCAAGTGGAAGCGCTCCTTAACCTTGAGGGCCGCCTTGTCCGGCTCGAACTTGATGTCCGGGATGTTGGCATTCGCCATCAGAGTGAACAAATTAAGCAACAGGTTGCAGTTCTTGCGCAGGGCGCTGTACGCCAGGAAGCAGTACTGTCTGAACTGGCGGTAATGCTCCGAGTTGGAGCCGCCCATGCAGTCCACCATCTCCTTGGACAGCTTCATGGCCGGTGCGAACGGTTTCGGGTCGCGGCCCAGGATGTAGCCAAAGTCGGCGTGGAAGAAATGGCCGTCAGGAGCCAGGAGAAGGTTGTCAAGATGTCTGTCACCGACGCCGAGGATGTAGGTGATGACGCAGTATCCCGCGCAGGATTTGACAAACGTGTCCAGGGTTTCCTTCCGCAGGCCCATGGGGCCGTGGCTGTCGGGGTTGTTTTGCTTGAGAAAGGCGAGCGCGGGATTGTTGCGGTACTTGGAGGTGATTCCCTGGAATGACATTGAGTGGACAAACTGTGACAAGCCTGCGCTTGTGCTGGTGGCAAGAATCTTGTACGGCGACAGCTTGAGGTCGAGGTTTTCCTTTTGGAGGAGATCATCCATCAGGGTAATGATCTGAATTACCAGCTGATCCTGGCGGAGGTCGTCACCCGTTTTGAAGAGAATGGGGTACTTGCGACCAGAGGTGGTCTTGAAAGAAACTTTGATCGGGTGCAGAGAAGACTTGAAGACCACAGTGTCCTCCGGGACGACGCCGATGATTTCCACCGATGGGTCGAGAGGCAGCGGGAGCGGCGGGGCGATATGGACAAGCTCGTTCTTGGGGTCGGCTAGGAAGTGCTTCACCCGCTCCGTCCTCTTGGCGATGGATTCATTAGACTCCTTTATTTCACCGGATATCTTGGAGAGGATGGCAATCCACTCCGCTTGCCTCTTCAGTGTCGCCCGCGTTTCCTCCCCGTCTGGTTGTTTGACAAGCTCGGCCATGAAGTCGTAGGCAACCTTGCCGTAGATGGCTTGGTTGTCCGCCCCTTGGTCCTGCGATTTGTCGTCGCACTCGACCATGACATACCACCAAAAGTAGTTGCCAAGGGTAAAGCTGTTGGTGGCCCTCGAGATGAGGAAGAGGGCCAACGACGAGTCCTGGGCTACTTCGTGACCGGGCTGTGGAGAGATGTGCTCATACTTTAGTGCTTGTACTAGCTGTAATAGATACAACTGAAGCTCTTGGTCATCGGCCTTGCGCAGGCGGTCAACGGCAAAGGCTCTCACGGCCGAATTGTCAAAGGTGGGTCCAAGTAGCTCGAGGGCGTCATCGACATCAATATCCGTCCACTTTCCTAGAATCTGAGCGGCCTGTCTCGACTCCGACTGGTCGTGCCAGTTGACCGACTTGGCGAACTTGGTGATCGCTTTCTTATTGCGGGTCAGGTGGTGGCGGAACTTCCAGATGAGATCCTTCTCCTCGGGCGACAGCGTGTGAGTCGGTGAATATGCCATTATCAAGTTCAGCTCGTCCCGGACCTTGGCGTTTGGCTTTAGATCCTTGTCCAGAATGCCGTTGCGGTGCTGGCCTCGAACAAGCCTCCTGTGCTTGCTTTCTGCCGGGTTATCTTTGGCTGCGACCTCCGGATCATACACCCGGATCAAGCGGCCGCCATAGCCCTCGTCATCGTCGACGGCGTCGATGCCCGGGCCTAGTTGTACCTCGGGTGGCGGTTTGAGGACGATGTTCGACTGGGAGGATGAAGGATGCAGATAGGACGAGACAGGTGGGGCCGGGTACTCGTGGTCGGCAAAGACGACGGGGAAATCGAACCTTGGAAGTTCGACACTCAGAACAAAGCTGGACGGTTCAGGTTGGGAATCGGCGTCTCCCTCCAAGGCCTCTATTTGTGCCGTCTTTGGTTGTTGATTTGCCCCTGCGGATGATCTCGCCGCTTGCAGGCCGCGCTTCTCAAAGCCTCTGAAGACGAGTTGGTCCAGCCAGTCGACGCGGGGAATCTCTCCCATCTCATGCTTCTTAAACAACTTTTCCATTCGATTCAACTCGTCGACCTCTTTGTCATCAGACACGCCTTTCCTGGCCTTCTTCTTAGGAAGAACGGCAGGTGTTTTGGAGTCATCGTTGCCGTCGGCTTGTCTGTGCCTGTAGACGAGACACTTTTGGCGACCCTTGTGAAGCTGGTTGTCCTTATCGAACAGCGGGAGGGTCGTCCCGCCAAACGGGATGGCGTGTCCCTGCGCACCCTGACCTCCTGTGGGAGATAAATCCCAGATGGTTACGGCGAGGCGTGAGTTCTGGGGCAGGGTCGAGTACGAAACGGGGAGTGTGAGCCACTCGTTCCATCGCCTCTCAGTCCGGAAAGACTTGTACGATGTCTGAACGGGGACAGTCAGGGGTTTGGAACCGGCCCACACCTGGACCGTAACGTAGAGGTCTGAGTGGGGGCTAACGGGTGCGTCGCATGGAGGTAAGTTTGGGGATCATTAGATGGGAAGAAGAATAAGGAGATACCTTTGGTTTGATCCGATATGTCGGAGTTCTGGGTGTTCAAGGAGACTAGAGAATTGGAGCGGCGTCTCGGCTCCCTCGAGATTGATGCTGGGGATTGTTTAGCGCTCTGTTCCGGGTTACCGTCAGGAAGGGACCAGGCAAGGAACCCACATGCGGATGCTCACGGGATAATCCAACGAGTCGGAGCTAGCGAAAGAAAATGGCTCCATGCCGGAGAGCATTCTCTGGCGGTTCCTGTGGCGCGTATCGCGCTCAGACGATACGGAGTGGGAAAAAAGAAGGTTTAAGTTGATGAGTGAGTTCTGGGGTTGACTGGGGTTGAGAGCTTGGGGAAGGTGAGGGACGTATTTGGTACGGTACCAAGGACTGTCAGCTGTACTGTGTAATATACCACCGTAATTTGTATTCTTTTTACAGCGCCTGGTTGTCTTCGCACCCCTGTCGCTCAAGCACCGAGGCCCTCTTGGCTGCCTGGACCCGGGACCCACGGGACTGCGGGGCATGGGGTCGGGTGCTTAATTGCAAGAACGCGTCTCCAAATTCTGTGACGCGACACCAGGTGAACCATATCGTTCAAAGAAGGCAGCACAAACCTAAAAAAAAAAAAATACAAGTGAGAGGGGGCGTTGAATTCCCTTTATTCCCCGCCTGTCCGCCACCAGCAACGAACGCAACCCATGACCAAAAACGCACCTACGCACCGTTCAGTCAACGCGGCGCGGAATCCGCTGTCGCCCCTCACAGCAGAAATGGAGAACCGTCGAAGCCTCGCGGTTCGGGTGTCCGGTGATACTCCCGGCCTCAGCGGCTCTTCGGCGAGGAAAAGGACCTCAGATTTCGGAACTGAGCCGTCGAATAGCCGGCGTAGGACGCAAGATCCGTCCTCTGAGGTAGATGATGAGAGCGACATCGACGAGTACGATCCCGCGCAGTCGATGCAGCAGCGCCGGGAGATTCAGCGGAGCATGCGGGAACTGCAAAAGCAAATGCGCGAGAATCCAGACGAGTTCATGCAATCAGACCCCAAGGCCCTCCTCGACTACCTCAACCAGTCGGATCGGATCATCAAGAATGTCAAGCAAACCGCCGAGGCTGCCATCGATTCACGGGGGCTTGTGATTGCAGCCGATCTCTCAGCTCGTCGGGTGCAGCGGCTGACATCCGGGAACGTCGGAAACGGGATCGATATTGACGAGTTCGTTTCTAAATGCATCACTTATATGCTGCAAGGCCGTGGGATCGAGGATGACGAAGCGGTGGAGCTCTCGAGCACCCAAAGGAGGAGGAGGCAACCAAATCGCGGCGCCATAGGCAGCGACGACGAAGGCGAGGTGGGCGATGACGGCGATATGATGAACTGGGCTCACCTTGGTCGGTTTGCGTGCCTACCTGCCGTCCGCCGGCCAGCCCTCCCCGGTTTTCTCCTGGGCCCGCTGTCGATTGAGAAGAAGGCGCGCAAGATCACCAAGAGGTCGGCACCGTTCAAGGTTAATAGCCTCCTGGAGGTCAGACCGGAGGAACTCAGGGCGGAGGACTTGAAAAAGTCGGACAAGAACGACCTTCCCTCCATCTGCAAGAAAATCCATGTGCAGCTGGAGACGGCGCAGCAGGAATCGCAGGACGCGGTGGAGGATGCGTTTGACAATCTCCACGAGGAACCCACGCCCAGTGTGCAGAGAGCGTTGATGGACCGCTACGCGCTACGATCTACCGGAGGCATCGACCTTTTACGATTTGTTGTCAACCCGCATTCGTTCGGGCAGACGGTTGAGAACATGTTTTACGTCAGCTTCTTGATCCGAGAAGGGAGTGTTAAGCTCGATTTTGACGACGATGGCCTCCCAGCTATAGGTACGTGGTGCTGTTGGACTTTAACTGCGCAAGGCTAATGCAAGTCATAGAACCCGTTCGAAAGAATTCATCAGCAGAACCGTCTCGTGCCAAAGCCGCCATGAGACACCAAGCCATCATGTCCATTGACATGGACACCTGGAGAGACATCATTGAAGCGTTCGACATAAAAGAACCCATGATTCCGACCCGACAAGAGGAAGCCCAACAAGGGCCCGGTGCAAGGGGTTGGTATAGCTGACCACTCCTCGTCCGTTTCGCCGCACCGCCCGCGGACTACCCGCGGTCAATCAAGCCAGAGTATTTGTCCTGTACGCCAACCAGCTGCAGAGCAACGGCCTTCTTATCTTTTACACAGAAGGATAAGTTTCCTCCTATCTCCAGCAATCTGTTTTACTCCCCCAAAAGTTATTGGGGCGCAATGTTGTGTTGATACCACGGATTAAAAGTCCTTTGTCCCCGAAATCTGCGCCACACCCAAGCCGGAAACGGTAGCTGAAGGCGGACGCTTTTCTTTGTCTAGCTATTGACAGAATTGACAGACATGATATTCTCGATGTTTCTGGGCAAATAGTCATTCCGCGTGCTTTCAGCCTCGCCTCCTTTAATACTTGTATCACGGCTAGAAACTGCCTCCGTTGATCCGGCGTTTTCAGCTTCCAAGTCGACTCTCCGAATTACCCACACTCCGGTCCTGGTTCCCACTCTCCCTAGTTTTGTAGCACGCGAATAACGAACTTTTGTGCGCTTCTGGGATCAGAATCAATGGCGGAAGAAGACGTCGATCGACGGGACTGGGTTCGCCGCTGGAAAGGCGATCCAGTAGAGACCGAGCCTTTCTCGGAGCCGTTCCCGGCCTTCAATCCCGAAACTTCTCTTGAACAAAATCCAACGGCTTCTGATGGAGAACATCTAGAAGCTACTGGTGAAGAACGTCGAGACTCTGTCGATACGGTGTCACCAGGGTCCATATCCCCCGGGCTTCAGGGTTGGGGCGCCGCCTCTCCTTCCCGAAAACCCGGCGCGCCATGGATCGCAGCCGGATCCTCACCAGCATCGTCCCCTGGGGGACACGACGACGTTGCTGCTTTGCAGAGATCCGGGTCGCCAATATCATCAGTTGGACTGCCACCCTCGAATTTCTTCTCTGGTCGCCGCTCCTCGATCGGGACCGTTGCCAGCACCACCAGCGCCGGTACTTTTCGTTCGAACCGAACTAACTTTTCTCGCCCCCGTCGAAGACCCGACGTGTTGAAGGACATATATATGACCAACCCCAAGATCCTGAGATCGCGTGATGGCGAGAATGGCCCGGAGTATGGCTTATGGACGTCGGAGACTGCGACATTGGTCAAGATCCTCCTGACTGGTGTTACGGAACCGCCCCGGAACGGGATGTTCCAAAGAATAGATGCCGAGGATGTGCTTCGAACTCACATGGCGAACTCGGATGCGAAAACCCACGCGCCATGGGAACAGCTATTAGCGTGCTACGACGTCGCCATGAGAGGGAGGAGTGCTGCTTTTCTCGTTCTCGCAGACATGTCGAAAAAGTTCCTTGAAGAAGAGGGACGTGGAAACCTTGAAACGGCGGTGCGGAAGGCTGAGGAGGAGAAGGAGACGCTCGGCAAAGTTGTGGAATTCCTCGAGGCAGAAAAAAGGCAACGGCTAGAGGAGATCGCGAGCTTGGAAACTACAAACCGGATACTGCTTAGAGATCGGTCGGCACTCGAGGCAGATCAAGACAAAATTATGGCCATGCAAAAGGAACGTCTTCAACGCTTGGAAAAGAAGATGGTCGATTGGGGAGAGCGCGTCAGCTTACCGATCATCCGTTTATCGGCGAGTGACAGGGGCGATGATGAGCCTAGGTTTGAGGCCATCCTCAACGCGCTTGAGGAAGCTCGCAGGATCACGGAGACGACCGACGACCGCCTCAAAGTGGCCGAGGACGAATGCGACGAGCTGCATAAAATGGTTTCGGACGTAACCGATCTCAGGGTATCGCAACTCGATCTGCAGAACCAGGAGCTCAAGAAGCAGCTGGAATCCGAACGAGCTCGGGCGGCCAAGCGGGAGAAACATCACGCCGAAGTTGCGGCGCGCTTGAGTCAAAGCGGTTTGCGGAACCAAGAACTTAAAAGCGTGCTAGAGGCCGAACGAGCTCGCGTGGTCCAGACGGAGAAAGATGACGCCGAAATCATAGCACGCCTAATCAGCCAGAACGAATCTCAGAAGCGGGAGAAGGATCTCGGAGACACCAGGATGAAGCAGGAGGCCGCTCTGTACCGGAACAAATGTGAAACGTTGCAGCGGACAGTTGACGAACTCAAGCAGAAGATCGCCGATCAGGCTGTGGAGGCTGTTCGGGAAAAGAAGGAATACGAGCGCAGGGTGGAAGAGATCAAGGATTCCATAGAAGGCCTACAGACCACGGTCACCGGTGGTATTGGCGGGCTCCAAGGTGGCCCTAACGCGGGTTCACCACCCAGCAGCCCCCGGGCACATCTCCTACCCAAGGAAGCTATCCATGAGATCAAGGCAACTCAGATCCAGACCATCCAGTCTAGCCAGGCGATCATGGAAGAGATTAGGGAAGCGATCAGGGGCGTCGTGGACCGAGTATCTGCAGGCATGGCAAAGTCCGTGGGAATCGACTTCAATGACGCCCAACAACAGATCATGAACGAACTTCAGAAACTCACCGTCTCGGCCGATTCTTGGATTTCACAGCATCAAACCTTCGAGCAAAACCAAGCATTGATGCATGGCGAACTCGATTCACTTCGACAAATGCTCCAGTCAAATCAACATACGTTTCAGGAGATTGAACAACAACTCCAGCGGCACTATGCCCAAGTTAAAACAGCCAAGATGACCTCCCAAGAGGGCAAAGACTGGGAAATGGCCCCAACAGCCTCTCTTGATGGCACAATTCCGTCCAAAGACTTGTCCTTTGGTGCCAGCATCGAGGAGATACAGTGTCTGAGGGCTGGCAGGGAGATCATCCGACAACTAAGGTCACCCCCAGAGACGAAAGAGGCAGGCATGGGGCTCGACGCGCTCGTGGGCTCGCGAACCGAGATGCTTCATCAGCTGTGGCAGAGGCTCGGTGAAGTGGACCCCAACACTCCGGCCGAAGATCTCATCATTGAGTTGGAGACGACCCTCAGGTCGTTCCAAGCCTACGGCATTGAGAAGGACTTGACGGCTTTCTATGGGATGCTCGGTCATTTCGACACGCTCTTCGAGGGCCTGCTGAAACTAAAACAATACACCACGCAACCGCGTAGAGCGGAGCGAGACCTGTTATGGGGGATCCAGTCGAAAATTGAGCATCTCGAGGGCGGCCAGGATACACTTGCGCGACTCACGACGGAGCATGAGGCATATCGGACAAAACAATCTCTTCGACCTCCCAGCTCTCGCCAATGGGAGGAGCTCTTGCTTCTTACCAGTAATTTCCTCCAAGCGAACGGCGACATATGGAGCTTGCCCACCTCCACCCGGGAGGAGGGTGCAGCGGCCCTGGAGAGGTTGGTATCCCAAGTTCAGGAGATGATGGCCGACTCGGACCTGGCCAAGCGCAGGCGTGAGATACAGAACGCTATGATGGAGCAAGATAGCCGGCTGGTGGCGTTGGGTACCGAGATTCCCAAGGTCAAGAGGCGAGCCAACGACTTGATGAAACGGGTTGCCGCGTTTGACAGGGTACAGCTCAGGGGGTTCAGAGCAAGCGCCCCGAATGTTAAACCGATGGACCTGACCCTCAGAGCCGCACTCAAGAGGCATGAAACAAGACTGCGGCGGGATTACGACTTTAGCAAAGCACGTCTTGACAAGCTGCACGCCGACCAAGCGCAATCACAAGGATACCTTGACGGAGCGGCCGCGGCTGAACGTCAAAGCGCCCGGGAATCCGTGATTAGAGCCCTCCTTCAACTCCAAGCATCAAGAGGCACAGGCCGACATGGCGAAGCCACCTGCTTCTGCGCCCTTTTCCGCTACTTCTTCCCGCGAGGGTACTACTCGGTCGTCACCGGGGGCTGCTGTGCGGGCGGGAAGACGAACGCATCCTCGCCATCCGCTCCCTCCTGTCACGGCCACCACGGCCACGGCGTCCTCATCTCCTCGGGTCCCCTCTGGACTTCACTCTGCCGCTTCCTAACCTCCATCATCTGGGTTCTCTTTCTGGTCTTCTACCAGCCGTCCGAACTCGGCAGAATGGCCTCCTTTTTGCTACGGTCCCTCCTTGCGCCGCCCATCTACGTCTTCCGCCTCGCTGAACACATCTACACTCGCATCCGCCACCGGGGTTCATCTCCGACTGTAGCTCAGACGCAGACCAAACCTGAGCCCAAACCCGAACCACAACCCCCATCCCCAACCGACAGTGACCCCTTAACCGAACCCCAAGTCGACATCCCAACCGAATTCCAACCTCCCCAACCCCAATCATCCACCCCTCCCCTCCCCAAAGCCACACCCACACCCACACCCACACCCCCCACCAAAGCCCAAGCCAAACCCCAACCCATCCCCCACCTCCACCTGCCCCCTTTCCCACCCCCCTCCACCATAGTCAGCACCACCATCCTGCTCGCCACCGCCTACCTCTGGCTGACCTACGTGGCCGTAACCGTGGAGCGGCGGATCTGGGTGGGGTCCAACGACTGGCGGTTCGCCTACGTGCGGGACCTGACGAGCGGGCGGCCGCCGCCCTACCCGGCCTGGTCGCCCGTCAGCGTCGACTACCGGCTGGCGACGGACCCCGTGTGGGTGTGGTTCGCCGAGGGGGTGCACGGGTTGTTTGGGTGGAGGAGGGGGATGGGTTTGGAGTTGGATGGGGGTGGTGGTGGTGGTGTTGCGGGGGAGGGGGTGTGAGGGGTGGTTAGGGGGTTGTTGAGTGGGAGGGGGGAGGGGGTGGGTGGTTAGTTGAAGGGAGGCGTCACGGTGTGATGGGGAAGGGATAGGGGGTGGTTGGCTGAGGGAGGGTGCTGAAATGGGGAATCGTGCTTAGCTATGGGAAGGCTTCTTTTGTGGGTTTGGGAACTGGACATCATGCTTGGTTTATTAGATTGTTCTCAGTATGGTAACCGTTGGAAACATATTCTTCTTACTCTACATCCCCCGCTCGCATCCGCTTTTTAAGTATGTCCTCCAGAAAGTCGTTCAACTCACCCGTCGACATCCTAAACAGACCTTCATCGCACTCCCCACCCAGATCCTCCATCGTCGCAGACCCATAGACGCTCCCCGTAATGACCGACCCCAGCCAGCGTCTCCAAAACCGTTACACCGGCGCTGTATTAGCCAGGAGCCGCAGCGAGGACGGAGTCTGTTGACAGCAGCCTAAAATTCTTAAATAATAACGACTGTCTGTTTGATGGCCGAGCGATACACCGGCTCGACAGGATCTATCAGAGAGGCACTAACCCGTGCCTTGATTTGGATGCACCCGATCCGCTCATACATGCCAGGAGCACCAGCAACCGGCCTCAAGACCAGCGACATAAAGACCTTGATCGCGCCGCACTGCATCCAGCTCATTTTTAGGCATTTCACCTCGGCCCCTGGGAGCACCTGGTCATTACCCGGCTCCTCTAGTGCGTAATCTGCGCTCACCGGCGTTTTTATACCACCCGGAAACAAGACGTGATAAACAGCACTTCCTTTCCCCTCCCGTATCTCGGTCGCCCGCTCAAGGACGCCTGTAGCGATGAGCCCAGAAATCTGGAGTCTCCCCTGCAATAGGGTACCAAACTCGTCCACTCCACTCGGGATGACCGTACAGTCCTCAATCCTGGCAAAGTGCTGATGAGGTTCTCTCTCCTCGTCTTGAAGTGCTGCCTCCCAGAAGAGGATCCCGTCCGTGTACGAGATGTCACAATCGATACTCGCCCAGGACCAGGTCGGAGCCGCCCGAGGGGCTGGCCTCGGTGGCTTGGAGATGCCACCCCCGTCGCAGCACCAGAGCAAATCGTCCATCAGCGTATCTTCCCAGAGCCCTGCAAGATAGACGGACTTTGTCCTCATGGCCATGTGCTTGGCCAGGCCTCCCATGGCGGGTAATCGGTCCCCGTGCTTGGTGATAGCTAGGCTCGTGAACGAGCTCACCATAGTCCGCCACAACCTGGCGATGTAGTATTGGGCATATTCAACCCACTCTACGCCTTCCATCTGGCTGTCGAGGGCATCAGAATGGATTACCTTGGGGAGGAGCGTGCCAGTAGCCGCGGAAGAGCCGACATATCCAATGCCATCGCATTCACAAGCGGCGGCGGACCGACACTCAAAGAAGACCTCGTATTGGCCAAAGTGAAGCACCCGCGTCGACAACATGCGCTCTTGATACACCCAAGCTCTAGTGAAGATAGGGTAATGAACCATGGTTGCATGGCCGATTTCTCCCAAAAGTCCATTGTCCGGGCTCTGCTCGAGATGGTGGTCGATCCTCTCACGAAAGAAAAAACGGTACTCGCCGCCGCCGGCGCCGGGGGCAACTCCGGAGACCTCAAAATCAGGGGTCTCGCGAAATAGCCCGCCCCGGCCATCTCTCGAGTGCGTAGCAGAAATAGTGAGATACGCCTTGCTGTAGATGTCGCACATTTTCGTAGACTCCGCTTCCCAGTCTCTCAAGTCGTCCTGGACGATACACAGCGAGTCGATCCAGATGTATTGGACTCCGAGGCGTCGTGTGAGGATGACAGCATCTTGGAACGTCTTGGATAGATGTTCCATCTTTATCCCCGCCATTCTATCCCTCATGGTCGACTTCGTGGTCGTGATGATTTGTTGCTTTCCCCAGCAGTGGCTGAGACAGATGTAGCGGGCGACCCTCCCGCACGGTTCAACAAGCCTTATGAGCGAATCGCCAATGCCAACGTCTATCACTCGGGTTGGGAGCTCCGCTTCGGTGGGTGCAGTGCAAAACTCGTCAGTTGGGCCGAGGCATTCTTCGATCCAGCCCTGGATCTTGGCCATAGCGGCATCAGAATCGGTTCTAGGTGATGTCCGGTCAGATACTGGAAAGGTCTCCCAGTCTAAAGGAATCGGAGCGTCGGGCTCTACGGACGGGTTAGCGCCGTGTTAGGTAGTGGGACTGGCATTGTTATCCTAACCATCTACTGCAAAGAGCTCAATGTCGAATTCGCTCCCGTTGGCGAGCTGGAAGTGGAATTCCTTGTTCGTCTCGGACGTGTATCCCACGGCATCCTCGTAGTAGAAGTAAATGCTGAAGCTCGTAATGTCGGATTCCTTGATGCCGTGCTGCTGCAAAGTGCCCCGGATACCGCGGGTCAGGACCTCGCAGATGAAGCATGACTCGGCTGAGGCTGTGATCTCGTCCCAATGAAGCCCAATCTTTACGTGATTTCTGGTTCCGAGGTCGATGCCTTTCCCCGGCTCCAGCTTTTCTCGGCTTCCTTTGAAGTCATTGCAAATCTGACATGGCATTTTGTGGCCTGAGTGTTGAGCCTTGGTCCGATTTGGGCTGCGAGAGTTGTGTGCCTCTTAGCTGTTGGATTGTGCTGAGGGTAAGTAAGGTACATGTCGGTAGGTACTTAATGTACCTCCTGCGCCTTGCAATTTGCCAAGACGTGCCACCATAAACATGAGCTGGTCTAAAGCGGGGCTTTCCTCGCCGTACTCCATCCTCCGTCGTGCCCACTCCCGTTCGGCGGGTGATAGGTTGTGAACACTAGTTAGTGTGGGAGGTTGCACATTCAGTGCAGGAAGGAGAGGCATGTCTGCACGATGCGAGACCGTGGTACCGAATGTCGTAGTTCGCTTCCGCGCTAGTCGATTCAGTCCATGATTCCTCGTCATCATCGTCATCGCCGCCGATGCCATTGTGAAGCAAGCGGTCCTTTTTTTCTCGCATGTTGTTTCGAAATTAGAATAGAATTTAACTCAGATGAGAAACTTAAAAGAGGGCCGAACGATTGTTAGAAAATCAGATAATGAGAATGTAGGATGCGCAAAACTGGAAGATCGGGTGCAACTCATTTCGAGTCGCTCGCCTTACTGAAATTTTATCTACCAGTGCTGGATTTCACCTTCCAGTCGCACCTTCCACATATCAATCAGAAAACAAACCAAGTTCATCACTCTAATAATAACCGAATCACCAACCCCCCCCCCCAACCCACCCCATTAACAACTAAGCACAAAAACACAGCTCCACAACACAATTAAACTGCAGCGCAACCGCCAGCGCCCCAAGATACGCGCCCCCCGCCCCCAGCAGCGCCAACACCAGAATCAACAACCCATACACGCCCGTCCCCAGCCAACTGCCCGCGCGGAACCACATCGACCACTGCTGAGACATCACGCCCAAGACCCTCCCAAACGTCACTCCCACCCAGACCCCCTCCTGCAGCTGCGCGCCCAGGATGGCCAGGTAGACGGCGACGGCGAGCGCCGTGTGCCATTTCGTTGTTAGGTGCGGCGCGAGCCAGCGCGTGCAGCGGCGTGGGAGGGCGGGGCGGGTGGGGGTTTGTTCGGCCGCTGGCTGTGGTGGGTCGGGGTTGGGGTGGGGGGCTTCTTCTTTGGTGGTGTCGTCGTCGTCGTCGTTGTCGGGTTGGTGGGCGGGTTGCGCAGGTTGTGGGGTGGTGGTGGTCTTCGGGTTGTGGCTGGGGAGAGTGCCTTGCGATTCCTCGTCGGCCTTGGCCTTGGCAGTGTGGGATATAAAGATTGTAGTGGCGATGAAGTTGGCGATGAGAGCGGCGCCGAGGAGCCAGAATTGGGGCTGGCGCGCGTACTCGAAGACATCATACGGGTCCAGTGCTCGGTGTCGATCGGAGTAGGCCATCCTGATATACGGGCGCGCTTGCGTCTGGGTTCGGTTGTGGATGGTGGGCTCGGCTCGTGGCTCTGGCGCCTCCCCACCCGAGTTTCCCTGGGATAACTCGTGGGTTTATATGTATGTGTGTGTCGGGGCAAGGCAGACAGCGCGACCTTGAGGCTGAATCGCAGGGGGGCGGTGCTTGTGCGAGCGGGGGAGCGGGGGAGCTGAGGTGACATCTCGCAGATATCCATGTGCGCAGGAAGCAGCTCACACGGTGCTTGCAGGTGGGATATGAGAAAGAAACAGTCGTTCATCAACGTCGATGAGCCATTGTTGGCTGGTTCGGTTGTGCTTGTGCTGTCCGGACGTAACCATTTATACAGCAAAGCCTCGACTACCCTACTTAGGTACCTACCTAGCAACGTAGCGAAGCCGTGTTAATTTGGCCGTCGTCCAATTTGAAGGGCGATGCCTCCCGACTCGACCTCCTCTTGGGTTACTATACATGATTTCCTTCAAAATGGTCATAGCCGGGCCACCAGCTATTTCCGACGAACTCAATGGGATCAGCTCTGCCTCATCGCCTCGAATACGAACCGTCATCTGGAATGTTTTGCCCTGGACAAGGTCACGGGCGGGCTCAATAACCTTGTTCGCCTGCTCGAGTTCTCTGATGGCAGTCGTTGGGCAGCCAGGATTCGCATCAAGAGCGTAGCACCTCTCCAAGCAGGCAACAACGAACTTGGGGCCGAGGTTGCGACAATGCAGTTTGTCAAGGAGCACTCTAACGTGCCGATTCCGAGAGTCTTTGCATATGCCACCAACGAGGATAACCCGGCGGGAGTTGCGTATATGCTGATTGAGGTCCTCCCTGGTGTCGTCGCTATGGACGCCCTTGGTGGTTATCATGTACACCGCGGCGTGATTAGTACCGGCGCAGTACCGTCGAGCTTTCTACCAGGCGGTGGCGACATGTCATGTTCGTCCTCAGGCCCACTCTCGTTTGATTTTATCTCTTAGGGCTCACATTCACTAGGTTCAGATAGCCTCGTTGCGGCTCCCAAAGATTGGAACCATCGTTCGGAATCGAGATGGGGAATACGAATGCGGCTCTTTACCGGGGATCGGCGGTCCGTTTAACACAGCCGCCGAGTTCTTCGAAGCCTGGGCCGACAACGTTAAGTTCAAGTGGGACAAGGAGACGATCAGGAGCATGATGCAAAGAGGGCCGATCCCGGCGGAGCGGATGATTGCCATCATTGATCAGTTCCCATCACAAGTCAAAGAGATGGCGAGCCGGATTTCCGCAACCAACAACGGGCCGTTCCCCCTATGCCATGACGACTTCCTCCACAGCAACATCATGGTTGACGAGGACAATTTCAACGTCACGGGCATTATCGACTGGGAAGGGGCGTGCACGGTACCATGGGAGCTGATTGCGTTCCCTGAGTTCCTCCAGACCGTGCCTGCCTCGTTCGATCTCCCTCAGAAATATGACCGACAAGGGCAACCCTTCGACGAAGAAGTGAGGCAGACATGGCGTGAGCGGCGAGAATACATTGAGATGGTGAAGTTAGTGGAACGCGAAGACAAGATGCTCTCGACATGTCTCGGTAGCGACAGGAGCCAGACTCTGGCTTATGCGTACGGGGCATACACTAGCACCGGGAAGTTGGGCTTCTACGATAGAGTTGTAGAACAGCTGACAAGGGAGGCTGAGAACTAAACCATGCCAATAGTTGCAAGACCGAGACAGTCCCTGGATTGATCTTGGAGCCTCTCATCATCTGACTACCAAGCAGCCCGATTTACCCGATGCTAATCATGCTGCCATGACCTCACCCAAGAATCCGCCCACTTGTAAATTAGTCAACACAAGCCCCAACTCAAACCCTCCGAAACTCAATCCCCGACCGCAGCTTATTCGTAATCGTATCCCGATCACTCTCCACCTCCGTCTCGGCGGGGCGCAGCTCGAACCGCTCCAGCACGGCGACGACCGTCATCTTGAGCAGCAGGTCGGCCATGTTCTTGCCCATGCACTTGGAGGACCCGACGCCCCACTTGATGAAGGAATACCGGTAGCTGGACGGGTTCACGCCGGCGAAGCGCTCGGGCCGGAACGTCTCGGCGTCCGCGCCCCACGCGCCCCGGTCCGTGTTGATCCGCCACACGTCGGTGGTACAGGTCGTCAGCGCGGGGATGCGGTAGCCGCCGATGGTCTTGTCTTCGGCTGTGCATGCGACGGGAGAGAAGTCTGGAGGTGGGGGGGGGGTGCTCAGCGTTTGGTTTAGGTTAGGTAGGTAGTGTCCCCGGGGCTTGCTTTGTGTGCTTGGGTTGTTGGTGTTTGGGGTGAGAGTAGGACGTGGATCGGACTTACGCAAGGCGGGATTGAGTCTGATGGACTCCAAGGTGACATAGTTCAACAGCGTCTCCTGCTTGGCGCTGTAGGCGGACGGCGTGTAGCCCGGCTTTTGCTTCTCTTCTAGGATCTCGGACCGTAGTCGGGCTTGGAATTCTGGGTGGGAAGCGATGTTGGTCAGGAGACAGGCGAGAACTAGGCCGGTGATGTCGATGTTGGTGTAGAGCATCTCGTCGAGGGATTGGAGATACTGCGCGGCGGTTAGTTGTTATTTGACACCTTGGGTGCGCGGATATCGGATACTTACCTCGACGAGGGTCATGTCACCTTGCTCGACGCCTGCGTATATTCGTTCGACTGGGCAGTCTAGACAGAGCTGTGTCACGATGCGAGTTAGTACCAGGAGCGTATGTCCAAGAAAAGGTGACGCAGTTGATCCTCATCGTGTACCTTCCTGGCCCGCTGCACTGCTTCCAAGTTGAACTGCTTCCATCCGCGGTTGAAGGTTTGTAACTGTCGTCTCTGCACGGTGGGGAGCAGGTTGTAGGCTTTTGACATGAGCTTCGTGTTGAACACAAGGGCACCCATGATCTGTCTGTGCAGACTGGTCATGTCGTCGAGTTTAGCGAATGTCTGTGGTGATGCATGAACCTGTTAGCGACCGTTTCACATGCTCAACCGTTGGCACTTCCGCTCAGATCAACGCTCACCTCCTCGTCCATAACCTCGCCGTATGACATTACCGCCAAGAGCCGAAGTGCGAGAGAACGGCATGTGGTTACGGCGTCCTGAACAAAGAAGGAGGCTGATGAAGTTGACGCAGAAAGATGCCCGAGCCAATTGTCGATTGACTCTTTAAAGACGGGCTCAACTCGGAGAGTGGCCTGGTGAGAGAACTCGGGATCGAAGTGCGAGCGCATCGTCTTCCACTTTTCAGTGCCGCTTTGCTGGCCGACGCACTGCCCTAGAAGGCGCCAGGCATAATCTCCCATGCCTCCGCCACGAGGCTTTGTATGGTCTATATTTGATAATCCGTCAGACTCGGATGCAGAGCTTATTTGGGGGCACCGGGGAGGGGGGAGGGGGAGTGGTGGGTTCGAGCATACCTTTGCCATCCCCGGCCATGAACTCCTTCAACTGCTCCGGTGTGACAAGGACAAGGTCTCGATACCGCCTGTTGGGCATCAAGTACGGCTCGTCCTTCGCCAGCTGTTTTCCCTGTTCCGATACCTCTTTGCCATTACTGTAGCGGAGGGTGCGCGTGTCCTTGGGGAACACCTTGATGTGCTGTCCCGCACCGTTACGGAAATGGTAGCTGTCTTCACTCCACGAAGCCTTTATAAACCAGGTTATGGCGGAGAGAACGAGGGCACCCAAAGCCACACTGGTATACTGGGATGGAATGCCGGTTGACGGCAGCTCCACCACCATGGATGAAAAGGCGTTTTCTAGCTTGCTCGTCATTTTCTACTCTTACAGAATGGTAAGGCAGGTGTGAAAATGGTAACAGCTCGGGGGCACGAATGTGATGGACAACCCAAGCTCGCGCTCAGACAGAGTAAGTGCACATGACTATAGATGGACGTTGGTTGATGCGGGCATCGGCCGGGGTGTAAACCGGGCTCGCATATTCGGCATGCCATTGCTTGACCCGAGCCCGTGGCGGCGGACAATTGCTTGAGCCAACCGAGACGGACCCGGGGCGGCGGACTTAGCGGCACGAGTCGCACGAAAGGACACGGCTCGGGATGCAACAAGGACTACTCACTACTACCCTGTGCTTATGCTGCAGCCGAGGGACGGTGAATGCATCGGCGAATCCGCACTGAGCCGTTCCCAGCTTATTTGGTACACCTCGATTGGTCATCCCTCTCTGAAGAGGCGAGGATGTCCATAGATATGGACCAGACTCAGAACCCGGAGCAGTCATCGGTCTTTATCCATGGACCGGTCTAGAGTCCGGCTATAGTGTGTAAGCCCAGAGGTACTCATACATCTGCGAGCGGTACTGAGGCACCTCCTTTTGTGTTCCCACTATTCTAGACAGCGTTCAGCTGGGGGTAAAGCCGCATAGGTAGGTAGTGGCAACGTGGCATGCTAGACAGCTAGAGCGCTAAGTTCTCCAAAACACGAGAGTTCCGAGATTGAGATGGCCAACATTTTCCATATTGGCCCGTAGAGCCACTTCTCCTGCGTCAAATTTAGCAGGACGCCTATCTTGGCCTGGTGTTTCACTATCGACTATTATTCAAGCATCCGTACGACATTCCTGAACCCGGTACACCAGCTTCTTCCCGGCTACCTGCCCCTTTCGCACGTCATCCAGTCCACCCACGAGTCCAGCCAACCCGCCTACACGGGTCTCATACTTGTGCGTCCTAATATCACCCTTGTCAAGCATGCTCTGTGCCACCAAGAACCACTTCTCGGTGAACGTTTTGTCACTCGGCTTGGCCTCGACGTTCATGGGGCGTTTCCACATGACGGGTTTTCCAAATATAGTCAGGCCAAAAACCCACGACGGCCTCACGCTCCGGCGGGTATGAGTGCGGATTGGGAACGGATCTAGACTGAGGTACTTGCCCCCGTTGCTGCTGATGGCTTCGTAACATGTCGACATGGTTGTCGTGGTGGTGATGCAATCGAGGGCCATGTTGAGCGTGTTGCGCGTGAAGGCCCGAATGTCGCTTCCTACACTCGGGGAGCGGTAGTCGAATGCAGCGGCAGCACCCAGTGACTTGACCCAGTCGAAGCGCTCGGGAGAACACGTTGTGATTGGTACCAGGCCGGAGCTAACCATGAGGCGAGAGTTAGCGGTTATGTCTCAGGGGCAGGGAATAGTGACAAGGTAGGAGTGAGTTTGAACGAACCGAGCTGCCATTTGAATTGCCATCGTGCCGGTAGCTGTCCCACCTCCGTAGATCAAGACATACCGCTGCTGCTGCTGCTGCTGCTGGCGTTGCACAGTCGAAAATGATGTCGGCATGGGAATTCCTAGGGATTGGTACAACGCCAGACCGACTGTTGCGAGACTGACTCCCAGCGTGCAAGCCTGGTCGAAGTCCATGGCCTCGGGGATTTTGAACAGCAGGTCCCCCGGCGCGGCGACGTATTCTGCGAAGGCACCATTCTCGGGCCGAAGAGGATTGTTGCCAAAGACAGGACCGCAGACACGATCTCCGACCGAGATCTGCTTCCTCACCGCTGGACCAACCTTGACAACCTCGCCGGCAAAGTCGACACCCACGGTGGCACCCCGCGTCGGCGACAAATCCAGGGATTTCGCGTCGGCAGGGTTGACCGCAACTGACACTACTCTGATGAGGACTTCATCGCCCTCAGCATGCGGAACCTGGGCGCCTTCAACCACCTCGACTTTCCCCGCCTCAACGATCTTGAGAGCTCTTTGTCGTTCTGGGATGCAGGCCATCTTGGCAAGTAAGCTGTGCTGAGCGTAAAGCAGCTGTGGGCAGGTGGTTAGAAATATGTGAGAAACACGGCGGCCAGGGGCATCAAAGGGACCAGCCTCGTTGCGCTCTTACTTCAGAACGACGTGGTATAAGAATGAAACATCGGTCAAGTTAGGTAGGTAAGGTAAGTAGTCTTCTTGGTATGCCACTTGGCATGCATATTCAGCTGTCGTGGGAAAAGACCGAGGGGGTAGCATCGAGGCGTGAGTGAGGCTCAGCCTGCCGTTGGCGACTGTGTGCTGTGTGTAGTGCCGCCCTCGGTCTGTTTAGGCGCTGTGCTTACCCATCCACTACGCCGCCCGTCTACATGTACCTGTCGTCCCCGAACGGTGTTTTTAATTATCGGCAGATATCGGTCTCGGGCTTTGCACTGCTCGGCCCTGAAATCCACGGCCGATGGCAAATCGAGTCCGGCATGGCCAAGTCTACACGGGCAGTTAGTCCTGTCTGGTACCGGGCGATGATGGATATGGAATGGCTGCCAAAAAAGGGTGCCGTCTTTCCAAGCACGCAACCATGTCCATGTAATATGCTCACCTAGGCTTCTTTGTACCCTCATTGATAGTACTTAAGTTACCTAACCTCCAATGGCGCTACAAGAAATAGGTTTATTTCAGTTTTCCCGCGTGAAGGTCTTCTTCATCTGATCCATGTCCTTTTATACGGCCTGACTGTTCAAGGCCTGGGTTTTATCGAACCCCCATCCAAGCTCCTCTGAGTCCTCTCAGGTGGCAAGCCATCTTTGAAAACTCACTGTCAGCAACATTTTGATTCAACATCTCCTAACATCTCTCAACATGGCTCAGACGCCGCTTGAACCCATTGCCATTGTTGGCTCCGCCTGCCGCTTTCCCGGCGGCGCCTCCTCGCCAAGCAAGCTCTGGAAGCTGCTCAGGGAACCCAAGGACGTGCTCGGGGACTTCCAGTCGACTTCCCTCAGACCTAACCTGTCGGCGTTTCATAGCGAGAATGGTGAACAGGCTGGTAGGACCGATGTTGTAAGCAAAGCATACATTCTTCAGGAGGACGCCAACGTATTCGACGCCGCCTTCTTCAACATCAGCCCTCTAGAGGCGGCCGGGATGGACCCGCAGCAAAGAATCCTCCTAGAAACCGTCTATGAGTCCTTCGAGGCAGCCGGCCACCCATTACACCGCGTAAATGGCTCCCCAACCGCTGTTTTTGTCGGTTCCATGACGGCCGACTACTACGACATGCAGGTCCGGGACACCGAGACGATGCCGCGGTACAACGCCACCGGCACGACCAAAAGCATCCTAGCGAACCGAATCTCATACTTCTTCGACCTCAAGGGGCCATCTATCACAGTCGACACGGCGTGCTCATCTTCACTTGTCTGTCTTCACCTGGCCGTGCAGAGCCTGCGGAACGGAGAGTGCGAGGCGGCCGTTGTGGCGGGATGCAACCTCATCCTCGATCCCGTCATGTTCCTGGCCGAAAGCAGCCTGCACATGCTGTCCCAGGACTCTCGCTCCCGCATGTGGGATAGCGCGGCAAACGGTTACGCCCGCGGCGAGGGTGTCGCGTCGCTCGTCATCAAGCCGCTGTCAAAGGCTCTCCGTGACGGTGATCACATCGAGTGCCTCATCAAAAACACGGTTGTCAACTCAGACGGCCGTACCAAGGGTATCACCATGCCGAGCCCGACGGCCCAGACAGCCATGATCCGCAAGGCATATCTTGACTCGGGGCTCGACCCTGTCGCCGATCGGCCGCAGTTCTTTGAATGTCACGGCACCGGCACGCTCGCTGGTGATCCCGTCGAGGCCCAGGCGGTGCATGATGCCTTCTTCCCCCTTCCCGGTGAAATCAGAGGAAGTAAGGACGGCGGTGGTAAACTTTTCGTCGGCTCCATCAAGACCATCATTGGCCATCTCGAGGGTTGTGCCGGTATCGCGGGCATTCTAAAGGCCTCGCTGTCGATCCAGAACCGGACCATCTCACCTAATATGCACTTCAACGACCTGAATCCGGCCATAGCTCCCTTCTACGGCCACCTTGAAATACCCACGACGGCTGTTCCCTGGCCTGCGACAGTCGGAGGTGGTCCGCTACGAGCAAGCGTCAATAGCTTTGGCTTTGGAGGCACAAATGCCCATGCGATTCTGGAGAGCTACGAGCCCGAGCCTGAGCCTAAGCCTGAGCCGACGAGTCTCTCCATGGCTTTAGACGACAGTTGTTTCGTCGGACCTTTTCCTCTCTCAGCCCAGACAGAAAAGTCTCTCGCCTCGGCCATCAAGGAACTCTTGCAAAGCATCAAAGACAACCCTACGTTGAACCTATCCGAGCTGAGCTGGCTCCTGCAGACTCGGCGGACCGTGTTTCCAGTCAAGACATTCTTTTCCGGCACAAGCCGAGAGGGCCTCGTCGAGTCAATGCAGCGCCACCTTGACGAGGTCGCCGACGGACGCAAGCCCGCCGGTCTCAACCCACGTCTGGTCTCGCAGCCTCCCGAGATCCCCGGCAGCCTCGGCATCTTCACCGGCCAGGGCGCCCAGTGGCCCTCGATGGGTGCCGCTCTTGTGCAGTCCTGCCGCGTCTTCCGGGAGGCCATCGAGAACTGCGAACGAGCACTCGCCTCCGTCCCCGACCCCCCGTCTTGGTCCCTCAAGGCTGAGCTTATCGCTGCCGCCGGCGAGTCCCGTCTCTCCGAGGCAGCTCTCTCCCAGCCCCTGTGTACCGCCGTCCAGATCGGTCTCGTCGACCTCTTGTATGCCTCTGGCGTCAGGCTGGACGCCGTCGTGGGACACTCATCGGGCGAGATTGCCGCCACGTACGCCGCTGGCATCATCTCGGCCTCCGACGCAATCCGCATCGCATACTACCGCGGCCTGTATGCTCGGCTCGCTCACGGCACTGATGGGCAAAAAGGGGCTATGATAGCTGTTGCCATTCCGTACGATGCCGCCATCGAGTTCTGCGCCGAAGAGCCTCGTGCCGGCCGCATCGCCGCCGCGGCCAGCAACTCGCCCTCTAGCGTCACCATGTCGGGAGACGCGGACGCCATCGAGGAAGCTAGGCAGCATTTCGAGAAACACAAGATTTTTGCTCGGCCACTGCGCGTCGATACCGCGTACCACTCGCACCACATGGTTCCCTGTGCCGCCCCTTACCTGGAGGCCCTGAAGAGATGCGACATCACCGTCAGACCTCCCCGTGAGGGCTGCATCTGGATCTCGAGCGTCCGCGGAGACATCGACCTCCTCGACGGCGACCTGCAGTCGCTCCGGGGAGAGTACTGGGTGCAGAACATGGTCCAACCCGTGCTGTTCTCGCAAGCCCTGCAGACCTCGCTCTGGTGTGGCGGACCCTTCGACGCGGTGCTGGAGGTCGGATGCCACCCGGCGCTCCAGGGACCCGCCAGCCAGACCTTCCACACGTCCCTCGGAACTGTGCTGCCGTACACCGGCTTGATGAACCGCAACCAAGACGACCGAGAGGCCTTCTCGGAAGGCATCGGTTTCGTCTGGCAGACCCTTGGTCCAGCACACGTCGACTTTGAGCGGTACAGAGCGGCGTTCCAGGAGGCGGGGACCTCAACCCGGGCTCCGGCGCCGATCAAGGGTCTTCCGTCGTACCCTTGGGACCACGAGAAACCCCACTGGCGCGAGTCTCGCATCTCTCGGCGGTACAGGTTGGGCCCTGCAAAGCCCTACAGGTTGTTGGGCCGTCGGATGCCCGACGACTCGGACGTCGAGATGCGCTGGCGGAACGTGTTTCGCCTCGGCGAGCACCCCTGGCTTAAGGGCCACCAGTTCCAAGGCCAGGCCGTCTTCCCGGCTGCTGGGTACCTGTCTATGGCCTTGGAGGCCACCATGGCCTTTGTTGCCGGCAAGAGTGTCCGCCTGATCGAGATCCGCAACTTGGCGCTGGACCGCGCGCTCGTCGTCGAGGATAACCAGTCCGGCGTCGAGGTGGTGTTTTCCATGTCCAAGACCCCCGGGCCCCGCCAGGCGCCGGAGAAGGAGGTGGATGTGATCCATACCGACATCAGCTGCCAGATCTGCACCGACGAGGTTGCCGGGGACCTGGTGCGCACCTGCTGGGGTGAGGTTCTGATTCACCTCGGCCCGTCATCTGGCGATGAGTTGCCGCCTATGGCGGAGCAGAGTCGTCGAAAGAAGCTGCGGCCGGTTGATATTGACGCTTATTACGACTCGGTCACGGCTCTTGGTCTGAACTACCAAGACCACTTCCGCGGCCTACACAGTGCAGAGAGGACCCTGGGCCACTCAAGGGTTCGTGCGCTCTGGCCGAAGGAAGTCGATCTCGACTTTGGGAACGCGCCGCATCCGGGATTCCTGGATACCGGTTTCCAGTCGCTGTTCATTGCCTATGGGTCGCCAACGAGTAATCAGCTCTGGGCGCCATACCTCCCCGTGGGGATCAAGCGTGTCTGCTTTGATCCCAATGTGGACTATCGGTGTTCGGAGGGAGCAAAGACGGATCTGGAGGCCTTTGTCACCCAAGGCACGGCTAAGACTCTTCAGGGGGATATCCATTTCTTCACCCCTCTCGAGCTCGGGGGTCGTTGCGGGATCCAGGTGGAAGGGATCGTCTTGAACTCGTTCGCCGAGACGAGACCGTCCAACGACCGGCTCCTATTCACCAAGACGGTCTGGAAATCCGACATATTGGGCGGGTCCACGGACGAGGAACTGCTACGTCTATCGCAAGACGCCGGTGGTGGCGACGCGCCGCTGATCGAAGCCATGGAGCGGATGGCACTTCACTACTTCCAACGTGTCCTCGCTGAGATCAAGCCCGCAGAGGTGAGTGACATGAAGTGGCACCACCGACAGCTGCACAAGGTCATGGAGATGCACATCGCCAACACCCGCGACGGGACACATCCCAGCACCAGGCCGGAATGGCTTACGGATACCAAAGAAGACATTGCCTCACTGGTCCGAGGCTTTCCGTCTGATCAGATAGATATCTGTCTGGGCCGAGCCGTCGGGGAGAACCTGGTCGACGTGATGCGCGGCAAGACCGAGATGCTGCAGGTCATGATCGAAGACGACATGCTCAACCGGCTGTACATGGAGGGCTGCGGCTTCCCCTTTTTGAACGAGTACATCTCGGCCGTAGTCTCGCGCATCGCCCACAAGCATCCGCGGATGAGCATCCTCGAGATCGGAGCCGGGACGGGCGGCACCACGCGGAAGCTGCTCGACGTTATCGGGCAGACCTATTCGTCGTACACCTACACTGACATCTCGGCGGGCTTCTTTGAAACGGCGGCCGACAAGTTCTCGGACCACCGTGACAAAATCACCTTCAAGATCTTGGATGTGGAGAAGAGCCCGGCCGAACAGGGGTACACGGAGCAGGCCTACGATCTGATGGTGGCCTCCAACGTGCTGCACGCAACCAGGAGTCTCAAGAAGACACTCGAGCATGCACGGTCTATGCTCAAGCCGGGCGGCTACCTGGTGCTGGGCGAGGTCACCGGCCAGCAGCTGCTCCGCATCCTGCTCTTCATGGGCGGTCTGCCGGGCTGGTGGCTCGGGGTGGACGAGGGCCGTGACACCGGGCCGGGGGCTACTCTGGTGCAGTGGGACCAGCTATTCCACGACACCGGCTTCTCCGGCGTTGATATCAGTGCCCTTGACAACGGCGATGCCACCATCCATTCCTTCTCCGTCATTGTGACGCAGGCTCTCGACGACGACTTCCGACTGCTTCGGGATCCGCTTACATGGGACGATGCGGTAGAGAGTGCACTCGGTGCAGTCAGTGCAGGGAAGCTGCTGATACTAGGCGGCAAGACACTCGTAACCTCGAAGCTGATTGCGCAGACACAGCGGCTCTTGCCCTTTCCTCGCAAGAGTGTGGTTATTCTGGACAGCATCGACCGCATTGAGGGTCGCCATGTCCCACCGGGAACGTCTGTCATATGCCTTGCCGAGCTGGACAGGCCCATCTTCGCCGACGATGTGTCCCCCAGCCGGATGCACGCTTTGCAAACCGTCTTTGGCACTGCCGCCAACATTCTCTGGGTCACCCAAGGCGGCCGATTCGGCGGCGAACCCCTGTCGAGCATGACCGTCGGCCTCGGACGGGCTCTGTCGGAAGAGCTCCCTCACTTGAACCTCCAGTTCCTGGATGTCGAGGATCAGCGCCAGCTGAAGGCTGGAGTGCTGGCAGAGACCTTCCTGAGACTCTTGCTGTCGACGAACTCTGAGATGGCCTCGAAGCGGGAGAGAATGCTGTGGACGGTCGAGCCAGAGCTCTACTTTGACGGGGAGACGATTCAGGTTCCTCGCGTTGTTCTGGATGCACCGGCGAACGACAGGATCAACGCTTCGCGGCGCAGGATCACACACAGCCTGAATACCGACACGTCTTCCGTGGAGATACAGGTCCGCGATACATCTCTGCGGCTATATGAGAAGCAGAAGCAGGCGCGGGTGCATGATGATGATATCGGTGCGGGACTCCGAGTCAGCATCAGGGTCCAGTACTCAGCAGCGCTGCACCAAGATGCGTCGCACAAAGAGGTTCTTTGCTTCGGTGTCTTGTCCGGCACCGATCAAAAAGTCATGGCAATTTCGGACAGTCACGTCTCGTCCCTGCACCATGTCCCGTCGGACAACATCTTTTACTTGCCACCGCCCACCGACGCTGACCATCTGAACCCTTCGGACGACGCTCTTGTGGTAGCAGTTGCGAGACAAGTCATTGCCCATGCAGTCCTGGCAGGCCTTAAAGAGGAAGGCATTTCTTCTTCTCCTTCCGTCGTCGTTTACGGTGCCGACCCAGGGCTAGCACAGGTTCTCACTCGTCAGTCGAGATCAAAGCTGGGCGCCTCCTCCTACAACCTTAGTTTCGCATCTTCCTCGAGTCGGAACGACGTACCGGACAGCTGGATTCGTCTTCGCCCAAGCATGACCGAGGACTCGATCAAGCGTACTCTTCCGGCCATTTCCGGGCGGCTTATCGATCTCTCGGGCGATGCAAATAACATGCTTTCGCGACTGCCTAGCACTTGGAAGGTACACAGATACGCTGTGTATCGAGGGGTCAGCCCGAGAGAGCAGCTACGAAAAGCCTTTGAAGGTCTCGCAGCACATCATACCGACCCTAACGTATCAGTTCAGGACCACTTCGTTACGTCCGTTGAACAGCTCTCGGCGCCTTCGTCGGCATCTCTCACTACCTACCCCGGCGTGGTGGACTGGACCCAGGCCCACGAGTTGCCTGTGGAGATGAAGCCGTTGGATGTGACGCAGCTCGTACACCCAAACAAAACATACTTCATGGTCGGCATGACCAGCGAGCTTGGCCTATCCATCTGCCGGTACCTGGTCGTCAACGGAGCCCGTTACATGGTGCTCGCGAGCCGAAACCCCAGCATCAGCGAGGACTGGCTCCAGGAGATGGCGCAGTATGGTGCTACAATTCGTGTCATCCGCCTGGACGTCTCAGACCTCCCAGCCCTGCGTGCTGTTGTTGACGAGGTTCGCCAGACGATGCCCCCTATCGGCGGAGTTTGCAATGCCGCATTGCTGCTCTCCGACAAGCTCTTTGTGGATATGAGCGCCGAAGAGATGAAGGTTCCGTTCGGGGCAAAGGTCACGGGCACCAAGAACTTGGACAAGGTTTTCTCGGATGCGGGCGGAAAGGATAAACTTGACTTCTTCGTCCTGTTCTCCTCTCTCGGCAGCATCTCAGGGAATGCGGGCCAGTCCAACTACCACGCGGCAAATATGTTCATGACCGGCCTCGCGGGGCAGCGCAGAACGAGGGGACTCCCCGCTAGCGTGATCCACGTCGGCCTGGTCGTGGACGTCGGATACGTTGCTCGAGCTGGTCGGCAGACCGAGGACTACCTGCGCAAGAGGTTCTATCTGCCACTGTCGGAGCCCGACGTCCACAACATGTTTGCCGAAGCCATGCTCGCGAGCAACCCTGCTTCGGAGCGGGCCGAGATCATTTGCGGCATGGAGCCCTCGGGAAACGGGGCCGGCGCGAAGAGGACAGCCCCCTGGATTGCTAACCCTCGCTTCTCCCACATGGTACTCCAGGAGAGCAAGGCCGAGACGCAAGACAATAAGGGATCCCAGGACGTGAACGTCCGGAAGCTGATGGAAGCTAGCGAGTCGTTTGAGGAAATCCAGGAGCTGCTCAAGGCCACGTTTATGGCCAGGCTCGAGAGCATCCTGCAGTTGGCCCCTGGCACAGCAAAGGGGGACATGGCCCTCGTCGACCTGGGCTGCGATTCTCTGCTGGCGGTCAAGATCAGGGCCTGGTTTCTCGAGGAGATTGCGGTCGAAGTTCCCGTACTCAAGCTCCTGGGCGGCGACACTATTGCTCAGCTGTGCACCATGGTCGCGTCCAACTTCATCGCCGCCCGCTCGGCCGATACGAATAAGCCGGACGCTTCTTCCGAGACCAAGGCGGCCACCGACACTTCGCAGGAGAAGTCCACTGATTCGGCAACAAGTTCAAGCTCCGTCAGCGGGGATTTGGTTAACAGCAGCACTTCGATCTCATCGGAGCCCGATATGTCGTTGTCATCATCCGAGACAGCATGGACACCCACGTCCCCGGGCAATGGAGTTTCTTCAACTTCATCCGGCGCCGGTGACTCGAAAGTGATGACAACCGTTGGTCATTCATCTCGTTTCGGCGGAGACCAGGAAGTACCAAGCCCAGCTGATTTCACCAAGTGTGAAAAGATGTCGCGGGCTCAAGCAAGACTCTGGTTCTTGCGGACGTACCTTAAGGATCCCACCACGTTTAACATTGTCCACTCCTTCAACGTGCAGGGCCGTCTGCGTCCGCTCAGACTCAGAGACGCCTTCCAGCAGGTATTGGCCCGCCATGAGTCTCTCCGAACCTGTTTCTTCTTCGACCCGGACACCGGTGAGCCGCGGCAGGGTGTTCTGGCACAAGCCAGGGGTTCGATGGAAATAGTTTCAAATTCTGATGACGCCACTGCCGCCGAGCGCGCATTTGAAGACTACAGGACTCGGCAGTGGGATCTCGAGAATGGCGAGGCGATTGGGGCGACTCTGGTCTCGCACTCCCCAGATAGCCACACGCTCGTCTTCGGTTATCATCACATTCTCATGGATGGCACCGGCTACTACCTGTTCCTTCGAGACCTTGACCTCGCATACAGAATGGCACCTCTCAGTCCCGTCGGACTTCAGCCGTCCGAGTTCGCCTGCAAGGAAGCCGAGGGCATCTCCGCCGGCAGGCTCGAGGAGCAGGTCAACTTCTGGAAAAAGGAGCATTCTGAGCTCCCAGCCCTACTTCCCTTGCTCCCCTTCGCCCGCGTCAAGTCACGGAAGGCATTTGATGACTGGAACGGAAACACTTCCAGCCATGAGACCTCGCCGGAACTGGTGGCCAACATCAAAAGAGCATGCCAGTCTCTGCGCATCACCCCATTCCACTTTTATCTCGCCGCCGCCCACGCGCTGCTCTGCAGACTTCTCGAGATCGACGACGTCTGCATCGGCGTTGCCGACGCCAACAGAGCCGACGAGGGCCTGGCCAACACGGTCGGGTTCTTCCTGAACCTTCTCCCCCTGCGCCTCCGCCTCAACCAAGCTGGCGGACAGCCTGAGATCTTTGCGGATCTGGCCAAGGCAGTCTCCGCCAAGGTCCTCGCTGCCAACGAAAACGCGAGCGTTCCATTCGATGTCGTCCTGGACGCCGTGGGCGCCCCGAGGTCGCCGACCCACAGCCCTCTTTTCCAGGTTGCCGTCAACTACAGGAGTGTCGGTCTCGTCGAGTTGCCCGTCGGCGACTGCAGACTGTCGTCCAAGACGCACCACGACGCTCGCAACCCATATGACTTGGCGTTCAACATGGCGCAGACCGGGTCAGGGACCTGCTTGATCGAGTTGACTGCCCGAGAGAGCCTGTACGACTCCCAGGCCTGTGGTCTGGTTCTGGATATGTACATCGGCCTGCTGGAACAGGTCTCTGCCAACCCGACCCTCCCCGTCAGCGAGATCAACCTCTTTCCCTCCGGCAGCGGTAATAGTCAGCAGTCTATAGACATCGGTCGTGGCCCCATTGTCGACTTTGGCTGGCCGTCTACCTTGGTCGAGAAGTTCGACGACACTGCTGCCGACGATCCCAGTGCGGTTGCAGTAGTAGACTCCAAAGAGCGGGTGATGTATGCCGAACTCAGTCTCCGAAGCAATCAGATAGCGGCGGCATTGCTAGATCTCGGTCCCGCGCCAGGAACAGCCATCGCCGTGCTGTCGGAGCCTTCAGCCAACACGATCGCCTCTATGCTGGCCATACTCCGCATCGGCTGTGTTTACACGCCCCTGGATCTGAGTCTCCCGGCGTCCAGACATGCAGCCATGCTCCAGGACGCGAAGGCGCCCCTCATAATATGTCATAACGAAACAGCAGACCTTGCTCGCCAGCTGCAAGGCCGCACCGCGGAGCAATACACCCTGCTCAACACCAGCAGCACGCACCCGCCGCCACCACCACAAGGCGGGAGCCACATCACCACCACCATCGCCAACGCATCCACCGCGGAGTCGCCCGCCTTCCTGCTCTACTCGAGCGGCTCGACCGGCACACCAAAAGGGATCGTGCTGCACCAGGCCGGCATCCTCAACTACCTCGCCTCCAAGAGCCGGCGGCTGGCGCTGCGGAAGGAGGTGGCCCTCCAGCAGAGCTCGGCGGGGTTCGACATGTCGGTCGCGCAGATCTTCAACGGGCTGGCGACGGGGGGGACCGTGGTCATGGTCCCGCAGGCGTCGAGGGGCGATCCGGTGGCGATCGCCAGGCTGATAAGGGAGGAGGGGGTGTCGTTTACGATTGCCACGCCGTCGGAGTGTTTGTTGTGGTTGAGGTATGGGAATGAGTATTTGAGGGACTCTGCCGCCTGGGTGCATGCGTGTCTGGGCGGGGAGGTGGTGTCGGAGCAGTTGAAGAGGGAGTTTCGGCTGCTTGGGCGGGGGGGACTGGTCGTGACCGAGTGAGTCGTTTTGTTGTTCCAAACTTACCTATCCTCTCCTGGCAATGGCTGCTGATTCTTTGTGGCACAAAACTAGCTGTTATGGCCCGACTGAACTATCTTGCGCAACAACGTTTGAGACGATTGCGTTGGGTTCTTCTCCCAACGAGGCGCCCCCTGACGACTTCTTTTCCGTCGGCAAGCCCATCCCCAACACGTCCATCTTCATCGTCGATCCCCATGGAGAGCCAGTCCCCATAGGCTTTCCCGGTGAGATTTGGGTCGGGGGAGTGGGTGTCGCACTTGGCTACCACAACTCCGAAGAACTGAACACGGCAAAGTTCCTGCAAAACTCATTCCTCGGACACGAACAGCACTATGGCCCAACCAGGGTGTACAAGACCGGTGACCAAGGCCGCCTGCTCCAGGACGGATCCCTCATCTTCATGGGTCGTCTCGACGGGGACAGCACCATCAAGCTCCGCGGTCTCCGCATCGACTTGGATGACGTGGCTAGCACGCTCGTCCGGGCTTCTAGAGGGTTGGTAGCTGACGCCTGTGTCACTGTGCAAGGAGATCCGGGATTCCTTGTTGCCTACATCGTGACTGCGCACGATTCCACCGAGACGACTTCGGTGCAACTCGAGGGCGTCCTCAGAAACATGGATATGCCCAGATATATGGTCCCCACTCGCATAGCCGTCCTGGACCGTCTACCCACGAGTTCAAACGGGAAAGTCGACCGCAAGGCTCTAGCATCCTCGCCAATACGTGCAAGCCTCTTGGACCTTGACTCCGGGTCCGGCACGTCTTCTCGACCAACACAACCTCTCTCTCTTCTCGAGGGCCAACTGAGGCTTATATGGGAGGAGGTTCTGGGACATAATCTGACCTCGTCCTTGACTCCCGAATCCGACTTCTTCATGGCGGGTGGAAACTCTCACCTACTGGTCAGACTCAGGTCGGCTATCGAAGAAGCCCAGGGGGTCTCCGTCCCGCTTAGGGATCTGTACGGCGCCAGCACTCTCGGCACCATGGCGGAGACATTGGCGTCGAACCTGGGCTCACATACGAGCCGAACGGAGATCGACTGGGACAGCGAGATACAGTCTCTACTCCAACTGATCGACAAGCCCGCCGTCACCCCCGTAGAACAACGCATACCCAAAACTCAGGACAGACACATCCTCCTCACCGGCTCCACCAGCTTCCTCGGCCTCGCCATCCTCGACCACCTCCTCCAAGACCCAACCGTCTCCCAAATCCACTGCATCGCCGTCGCCCCCGACGCCCGCCACCTCCTCCCCTCATCCTCCAAAATCACCATCTACACAGGCTCCCTCACCAGCCCCCACCTCGGCCTAACCCAGCCCGAAACCGCCCACCTCCAAAACCAAACCGACCTCATCATCCACGCCGGCTCCACCGGCCACTGCCTCAACACCTACTTTTCCCTCCTCACCCCCAACGTGCACGCCACCGTCCGCCTCGCCAACCTCGCCCTGCCGCGCCGCATCCCCTTCCACTTCATCTCCTCCAACCGCGTCGCCCTCCTCCTCTCCAGCAGCAGCAGCAGCACCACCACCACCACCACCACTACCACCACCAGCAGCACCACCATCACTGCTGCAGCAGCAGCAGCAGCAGAAGCAGCACCACCCCCCATCTCCGCCGCATCCCACCCCCCGGTAGCAATGCGCGACGGCTCCGAGGGCTTCACCACGACCAAGTGGGCGAGCGAGGTGGTGCTGGAGCGGGGCGTGGCGTGCCAGGCCGGGCAGGAAGTGTGCATCCATAGACCATGCGCGCTGGTGGGCGCGCAGGCGCCGGCGTATGACGCGCTGAATTCGTTGTTAAGGTTTTCGAGGTTGATGGGCGCGGTGCCGAGGTTGGGGGACGGTGTGGAGGGGTTTTTGGATTTTAAGGGGGTGGGGGAGGTGGCGGGGGATGTGGTGCGGGAGGCCCTTTCTTTTTCTTCTTCGAGGGGTGATGGGGGGGTTGGCCCGGTTGGGGTTGGAGTTGGAGGGGGGGTGAGGTTTAGGCACCATTCGAGTGGGAGGAGGGTGCCGGTGGGGAGGTTTAGGGAGCATATGGAGGAGTTGTACGGGATGGGGTTTGAGGAGGTGGAGATGGGGGTCTGGATTGAGCGGGCGAGGGGGTTGGGGATTGAGGAGTTGATTGTGAGTTATTTGGAGGCGTTGGTGTCCAAGGGGGAGACGATGGTGTTTCCGTATATGGGTGCGAGTGCTGATGAGTGATGATGTTTCTCCTTCGTTTTCTTTCCCCTTTTCACTGTAGGTACTTTTGTCCTGTCTGGGTGTCTTCAGCTTGCCTGGGGATACCATCTGGTAGTTGGGGACTGGGGAAAGGGGTTCACTTAGTTTCGTATCATGACCCATTCACTAGGCATTAGTTATCAATTACAAGATTTAGGGAGTCAGGTGGGCACTCTCAATGCTTTCCCATATGATGTATATTAGAATGACTTGGGCTCTCTATTTCTCAGCTCAACATTTTCAAAAACAGCCATGGTGTGATCCCACACCTTGTCCGCATACCCTTGTCCGATCCACCGCTGTAACAATCTCCAGTTTGCCTTTAGCTCCCCCTTCGGACCGAGCAAGTACACCCCGTTAGCCGACTCCAACTCTGGATGCCGCTGTTCCAACCCCCCCGTGTTGCGCGCTACTGCCGAGACATATCGTCGACTGGTGGCATGGAACGCCTGTCGCTCGCCAGACTCTTCCACACTCATGGCCAGGAAAGTCTTGACAAACGGAACGATGAACAGCCATCCAAAAAAGCGGGCGATGAGACCGAACACTCCGCTCCAACGTGTGGCGAATGCGTCTGACAGGATATCGGTTGCAACAAACCCTGGGTGAGCATGTACAAAACAGATCCTTGGGTACCGCGGAGCCATATGAATAAAAGCCAGGGTTTGCAACGATGTCATATGGTCGATTGCATTTAGCATACTGTAGCTTTTGCCGAGTTCCATGTCGTTGACCTCCAGGTGCCGTTCGGCCCCTCCGGCGAGTACACTCAGGACCCGAGGGTTCCTGGACCTGGTGAGAAGAGGAACGAGCTTGGAGACGAAGCGGATTCGGCCGTAATAAGACAGGGACATGCACTTGTCGATGCCCTCATCAGTGTCTTGGGGCGATTGTTAGCGACGTCCCATCAGTGGTAACTTGCTAAGGCACATGTGCAGTCAGGGGGGGGAGTAACGCAACGCACAATCAGGCCCGTTCACCGGTATGAATCCCGGGCTCATGAATAGGAGGTCCAATCTCTCCTCGGCTTCTGCGACGAGCTGGCAGACTCGATCAACCTCCCGCAACAAAGCAATGTTGGCCGCGATGAACTTGATCTGCGCCCTTGGATTCAGCGACTGGAGCTCAGCTCGCTGGTCGGCGAACTGTGTTGCACTTCTGCCTACTGCGTAGATGGTTGGTGTGTTGAGACCGCGGACCAGTTGATGCAGTGTAGCTGCACCAATGCCCCTGGTCGCACCGGTAAACAAAGCTACAAGGCCTGGGGTTTCGGCTCCGAGAGCGGCATTGTGTTCACGGACTTGATGGATGGCTACCATTGTTCATTCACTCAATGGTGGTACGAAGTACCGCATGGTGATCCGAGTAGGTAGGACGGGTAGTAACCGGGGCTTGGCCTAAGCTTTGGAATGAGTGCCGTAGGCCGGTTCTTATGGCCGACTACGGGCGGAAAAGACCGGCCGGAGCAAGATGGGGGCGGAAAAGAAGGTGCGGTGGCCGGTCTGTCTGGGTCCGGGTAATCATGGACCGAACCGGACAACCCGGGCTATCGGAGAAGCGGCCATTGTCGTCCGTCACTGCATGTCAGCGGCAGCTGTCCACCAAGACGGGAATATCGAGGCCCGTGTTACCAGCGGCCGAAGTAGGTGGGTTACATCGACGAGCTCACCAGCGTCCATCATTATTGCGGGAACAGAGGCTGGAAGACACCGAGACCCTTCCCGTCCTGCCCTGGCTATTCCCACAGCATTACATGCTCACCGGGGTGGTACTACCTTATGACCATGTCCCTTTCTATAGTGAACACAACGTCACCAGTCAAGACACAAGCTGGACGGGAACTGCAAAACAACCACCATGACTGACTCTACCAAACTCGCTGGCCTTTGTTGCCTCGTGGCTCTCGTCTTAGTCGTTGTGCGTGAGGACACAAATGGACTGAACACTGAATCAAAATGCTGACCGAGAATGAGCACAGTACCAAGCGATAGGAATCATCTACAACCTTCTTTTCCACCCCCTCCGAAAGTACCCCGGACCCTGGCACTGGGGCGCAAGTCGAGCGTTCCTCACCGTCAGCACCATCCGGGGTCGCTATGTGCATCAGATCAAGGACCTTCATCGCCAATACGGCCATGTGGTCCGCATTGCCCCCAACGAGCTCAGCTTCACCGACGAGCGGGCCTGGAATGATATCTGCGGCGCCACCAAAGCAGCGCCGTATGGCATGAAGAAGGACGAACGTCTCAACGACCTCGTCGGTGGCGATGCGACGAATCCCGATCTCTCCAAGGAGAAGGCCGACATGATACACACACGCATCAGGAGATCTCTGGCCCCAGCCTTCTCGAGGTCTTCGGTGAGGCAACAGAGTCCGCTGATCAACAGCCACGTGGACGAGATGGTGGCCGTGCTCAGCGAGAGCGCAAAACAGGGGCAGACGGTCGACATGTGCCGAATCTACGCCTTTACCATGTACGACTCCTTTTCCGACATCTTTCTGGGCGAGTCCATGAATCTGCTGGGCGACCCGGCTACTCGTCCGTGGGTAGATTCCATGGTTGGCTTTGCCAAAGCGACCACCACCCTTGCAGCTCTCGTAAGAATTCTTTGTCATGCGTTTATGCCCCGGGATCCCAGGCCGTTGCTAATGGATGGTATTCCCATCGCTCACCTACCAGTCTCACTATTGGGTCTTGCGCCTCCTGATCGGTTTACTACTCAAGACCATGGGCAACGGGTCCCGCGACGCCTTCATGAACCCGTGCCTGGACCGCTTCGACCGCCGGCTACAAAGGAAGGACGGCGGCGGTAGCGGCCGCCACGATCTCGTCCACCTCGCCCTCGAGAGCAGCAAACAGCAGGTCTCGGCCAAGGAGCTCCGGGACTTCTCCCCCTTCCTGATGGTCGGCGGCGGCGAGACCATGGGCAGCCTGCTGCCCTGCCTAACGTACCTATTACTCAAGCACCCCAGGGCCATGCAGCGAGTCACTCGGGAAGTCCGCGAGGCGTTTGACGGCGGCGGCGGCGGCCAAGACGACATCACCATGGACAGGGTCCTCCGGCTCCCCTACCTCGGCGCCTGCATCGACGAGGCCCTGCGCATGTACCCGCCCGTGGCGCAGGGCAACGAGCGCGTCGTTCCGGAGGGCGGCGCCGCCGTGTGCGGAGACCATCTTCCGGGGGGGACGATCGTGGTTGTGTCGCAGCTCTCGGCCTACCGCCAGAAGCGCAACTTCTTCCGTCCCGACCACTTCGTCCCGGAGAGGTGGCTGCCGGAAGCCGGTCCCGAGTTCGCCAACGATCGGAAGGCCGTCTTTAAGCCTTTCTCGGTTGGACCGCAGAATTGCTTTGGGCAAGAGTGAGTCTCCGACTGCCCAGGTCCTACTCTGTAGTTCTAGAAAGTGCGTGAACGCAACGCTGACGAAGCTTATCACAGGGTCGCCCACTACACTCTCCGTTTGGTTATGGTCAGGCTGCTGCTGAGCTTTAAAATGAAGCTGTGCCAGGAGAGTGACGCAAAGAACACTTGGGGAGGGCAACTGGCTGTCTACAATGTTTGGATGAAGCCGCCGCTAAATGTAGAGCTCGAGTTGGCTGGTGTAAAGGGTTAGGCCGGTGCATTACTGCTACTCTTGAAACGAGCCTCCGTTTAGGAGTTTTACCGTTGATGCCACCGTGCTGCACTATCACGTCCGCTGTTTAGAGGTAGAAACGGAACTACTTCAGAGCATTTGTAGCATAAAAGAATCCACACTTCGGTATTAGTGCAGTCCGCGTAGAAGATACGCATATACTTCTTTACGTTGTGTGGACATGACCCGTGTCTCTGTCTGGCAAGTGTCAAGCATGTCTAGATGTCACGGTCTGCAAGGACCGCTTAGATATTAACCGACCATAGTAACCTGCTCCCCAGCTGAGTGGTTTGAGTAAAAAGATCAAATGCGGTCCGTCACAGGTTGAACTGCTCGTTGGATTGCGGAATGCTCAAACTCGTCCTAGTATAAGGTACCTAATAGTCGATCGTAACCCCCTTAAAACTTAACACATCGACTCATGTCTCCTCCACCACACCAGCTTTGACCACCTACGCCGGCACGAGACTGATATTAACACCATACTTGCTCGACGGCCCGATCCGCATAACCGGCGTATACGGCCTGTCATCGCGCGGGATAACCTCCCGGAACTGCTGCAAGACGCGCAGCAGCACGTAGCTCGCCTCCGTGTCGACGAGCACGTGGGCCGGGCAGATGCGCGGGCCGCCGCCGAAGGGCACGAACCGCCACAGCGGCCGCTCCACCGCCCAGCGCTCGGGCCGGAAGACCTCGGCGTCGGCGCCCCAGATGTCCGGGTCGCGGTGCATCAGGTAGCGGTTGGCGTGGACGATGTCGCCCTTCTGGACGAAGATGGGCCGGTCGCCGGCCGGGCCGCCGCCCACGGGCAGCGTGGTGTCCTCGAGGGCGACGCGCACCATCTGGATGCCGTTTGGGTAGAGACGGTGGGCTGCAGGAGAGGGGTGGTTAGGTAAGGTAGTTAGGGAGGTACAGGATGGGTAGGTGGTTTTCGAAGTCGTGAGATGAATGGAGAGGTTGGTAACATGAAGGCAACGTAGGTGGGTAGGTAGGTACTCACTCTCGTTTATCACATAACGCAAATAACAGAGTGACCTCAACAACTCCCAGGTAATGGGTTTTCCCGGCGGTGCATGTTCCAGCATCTCCTCGCGCAGCTTCGTGACAACATGAGGGTGGCGAGCCAACACATAGAATGCATTGCTGATGAGAATAGAGGTCGTATCATTGGACGGGACCCAGACGCCGATGATCTGGGAGCGTAGGGCCAGCTTGTCCCGCAGCTGGTTGGCCATGGTCCAGAGCAGGTCGGTCCGGTCGGAGGGGATGCCGGATTCCTCGCACTTCTTGATCTCGGCCAAGGTCCGGTCGATATGCGCGTCGATGAAGCGGTGGACGACGGCGATCTGGTCCAACCATTTCCGATCGTGGTGGAACGCGACGAGCTTTCCCAGCTGCAGACGTAGACGTATGCCCTGCTGCACTATCATCATGGCCCACGCCATCTCTGCCTCGTCGGGTTCGCCGAGGGAGCGGACGGACTTGCCAAAGAGGAACTCGGTGGATGTGTCCAGGAACTGTGAAGTATCAGACAGGAAGGCGTAGTTGCCTACAGGTAGCTAGGTATCGAAGGTAAATAAACATACCCATCGTTTAACCATGGGCTGGATGTCGAACGAGGATCCGTCCTTGGGAAAGAGATCGATCAAACCATCAACATGCGCCTCCAACCGTGCGAGATCCGAATACCCGGAACGGTCAAAGTATGGCTTGATCAAGTTCCTGCTGTATTGCCACAACTGGCCATCCGTCGTAGTGACGCCGTGCTGAGTAAAGGGGGTGGCCGCCTTGTTGCCGAGGCGGATGGGCTGGACCCCGAATTGTTGCCACCGCGGCGCGACCGACATGGCCTTCATGTTCTCGCTCTCGCTCGTGTAGACCATGCGCTGGCCCATGAAGGTGGCCGTGAAGGCCTTGCACCCCTGCGAGGCGAACAGGTCTTTCTGGAACTGCAGGAACCGGTCCTCCTTGAGCGCCTTGATCATGGAACGGACAAAGTCGAGACCGAAGATGGGCTCGAGGTGCTTGTAGTGGGGGATCTTGGGGCAGCCATGTCTCTTGCGGGCGAGAGAGTACCGGATCGTGTTGTAGATTCGCTTCACGGAGTGGTAGACAACCACGGCGACGACCACCCCAATGAGGATTCTGGAGAGCATGGTTGTCAAGGGCCCGGGTATGGACTGGAGCGTGGCGGGTTCTATGCCTGAGGTGGGTAAAGTAGGGTAAAGAAGCCCTACGAATCGAAAAGCCTTGTAATCAGAAGCCAGGGGATGGGACGGGGGGCCAAGGTCAGAAGTAACTACTTCCAGTATAAGAAGAACGCTGTCATAACTGACTGACATGGGTAAAATGTTAAGACCGGGCTGGGCGGGCTTATGCCGGACCCAGAGCACCGGGCTACGGCCGGGAAAGCAACCCTCCGATTCAATACGTCAAGGTTACCCGGTAGCTTTTCCGCTTCCAGCCAAATACAACCTCCCAGATCGGGTGGTTACCCTCTGCTTGCGCAGTCCATTGAGCTTAAGTGCTAGCCGAATCTAGAATGATATGAGTTGTCTTGAGATACTAAGAAGGTATTAGATTAGAGCTCGTATTCCCCATGCTACAACCTGTTTTACAAAGCCTGCTCAGTCCCAAAGCGGAGATTGGTTGCCTTTTTTTATTGTACATACAATCCGAAGCGCCTCGCCATGCCGTCTGGAATACCCTCACCATGGTGACTTTTACTTTGATACCTGTCTGCGCCACAGTAACTACCTACCTAAGGTAGGTAGTCCATTAAATCTTCCCAAACACTCCACCGGGACTCAGAGCCTTTGCAACCACCACCAGAACCCCTCCCACAAAGAGCAGGACGCCGCTGAGAATGGACACCCCAAGAAACCCGCCGTTGTGCGTCAAAAGGGAGCCATTGATCGGCGGGCTGATCAGCGCCGCAAACGACGACACAAACAAGCCCATGCCCATGTACGTGCCGATGTTCTTGGGGTCCTTGGGGCACGAGGCGAGCGAGACGCTGGCGCCGGAGACGATGGCGCCCGAGCAGAAGCCGAAGAAGGCGGCAAACACGATGATGCCGGCGTTGGTCTCGCATCTTGTCCAGCAGAGCGTGATGATGGCCGAGGCGATGGCGGAGCCGAGCAGCATGTTGAAGCGGCCGAACCTGTCGGACAAGACGCCGGGGAGGACGCGGCCCGGGAAGGAGGCGCCGTTTAGGATGGCCAGGAGGTACCCCGCCAACACCTCGTCCATGCCCTTGGTGATGGCGTAGGAGGGGAGGAAGAAGAAGGGCGTGAACATGCCCATGAAGAGGAAGAAGATGGAGGCGATGCAGAGGCAGTAGACGGGCTCCTTGAAGGCGCCGGGCAGGAGGAACCCCGACTTGCGCGGTGGGAGCCGGGCCTTGATGCCCACGACCGAGTAAGCCAGCAGGCCGAGGATGATGAAGCCGACGATGCGGATGGACCATCCGAACCCGAGGCTCTCGTTGTTGAGCATTTTGGAGAGGGCGATGGGCCAGACGACGCCGCCGATGGAGGATCCCGCGATGACCATCCCCATGGCACCGCCGCGCTTCTTGTTGAAGTACTGGGGCGTAGCGGCCATGGACGGACACATGGTCAGGCCGAGCGACACGCCGCCGAGTACACCCTGTGCCAGCATGAAGTGCCAGTACTCGGTGCAGAGGCTCGTCATCATCAGGGACAAGACGTAAAGGGCCGCCGCCGGCCAGATGACCTAAAGACCATCGTTAGCTGCTACACTGTCCAAGTAAACCACAACCAAAGGGGATCAGAGCCACGAACCTTCTCACCCCACCGATCAAACATCGGCCCTCCCACCAGCCCAACGCCAAAGATAAAAAACCCCTGCAGCGAGCCGATCCACGCGATCTCGTCCGCCGTGCGATGGCTCAGCTGATGCGTCTCGTAGTACGCCTGGTACACGCCCCACGAGTTGACATAACCGAGGGTGCAGAACATGATCAGGGCGGTGCCCGAGGCGGTGGCCCAGGCGCGGGCGCCGCCCTCGGGGAATTCCTGCTCGGGCGGCTTGTCCGGGTCCGTAATATCGTTACCGGCCTTCTCGGCGTCGTGCTCGGCGTCGTGGTCGGTGGTGCTGGCCGGGCCACCCGCGGCCTCACCTGATGATGGCCGTGGCTGCGAGCCACCCCGGCCCGGACCGGTCGCGGCCTTTTCGGTGCTTGGCTGGGCTTGGTAGTATCCCGGAGCTGCGGCGTCTGGGCCGGCCAGCTCTTGGTGGTGGCTGGTATCTGTGGTTGTTGCCATGGTGGGAACAGAAAAGGGGTAAGCGTAGGTAGCTGCAGGTAGGACTCGGCAACGATGCGGTGGCCGGTTGGGTTCGGTTCTGGGAAGCAGAATGTGCGGTTTTTGTTATCAGATCAGGAGTAACGGACATTTTATCATAGTCCGGCAGGTGGAATGTTTTTTGGTTTTATTAGCATGTCCAGCCATGATACTTTGTGGCGAACGGGCTTAAGCTCGGTGATTTCCGGTCTTTTCAACAGCCATGGCCGGGCCTCTTCACATGTCGCTTCGAGAATATTCAAGCATCGTAACGGCCCGGGATGGGTGAAACCCTCGTCGCCCAATAGGAAATTCCCCTGGAGGAGGGACAAATCTCTTTTTTCATCGGCCTGTGACGCGGCCGAGTCCGCCACCAGTAACTTAACAACGGGCGATCTCGGTGTATCTCGGTCTATTCACGAAAAGACCGGACGCCACCAACAACATCCTATCAAATCTCTCCCCCAAGTCAACACCCATTCCGGGCCCCGGCGCCGGCTCCCGGGAGGCGTTACGCATGCGACTTGGCAGAATTGTGAATGCGGTTCATGTATTGTGTTAGATCGATCTCGATGCCGAAATAGGCTGTTTCTTTTGTGGCTTGTGAGGGCTATGGTTGCTCGTACGGGACGAATGTGCGTGGGGGTGCCACTAGGTTGGCCAACGTTCAGCTTCGTGGGCTCCTTTTCACATTCATCTGTGATAGAGCTATCGAGTCGCGCTCAACTTGGACCGTGGACGTTGCAATGATGTATGCCGTTGGCTTGCCGCGTCACCGGCCGCAGTGAGGATGGAACGCGTCCCGGATATTCACACTCTACACTACGACGAATGCCTGCGAGTGTGTCGTCATGTGCTACCTAATAGCACAGGGGACATTGTATGATTCCATGGGCCCCATACGTAGTCAATTTATCTCATGACGTACACACCTTCGGTCTCCTTTCCTCTTGTCATATTCAAAGGTCACCGGTAGCGCAGATCGGCGGTGTCGCTCAGCGGACTTGGACCGCAACCACGACACTAATCCTAGCCCTTCCCGGACTCTTCGTCTTTCCGTGAAATCCGTGCGTATGACCACTCCGGGCGCCGCGCATAATCTTCGTGGAAGATCACACCTGCCTCTACCTATATAGGCCACACTATAATGGAAGCGTGCTCTCATCGAAGTCGAACTGGAGTCCGGATTCCTAACACAGCCAACCGGTAAGACCACATCCGAAATGGCAAGGGTGGGTGGATATGAAGCTTACAAAGTCAAACCAGGCCGTGTTATCGAGCAGCCCGGACTCGGTGCTGGCCGTAGTAGAGCTCTCCGACGCTTGTTGCATCACGCTGTCCAACAACAGATTGTTGCCGCCGCTGCCGGCCGCCGAGGGATAATACTCCTGCGACATGGCCTTGAGCATGCTCTGGCAAAACTCGAGACTCTTCCGCATGGCCGCGAGGATGTCGTGCTTCGATGGTCGGCCCGCCTGCAATGCGTCGAAGTGCGCGAGCACAGAACTGAAAAACACGTGGCCGCGCACCGTCGTCTCGCCCGCCTCTATGCGTTTCGCGAGCAGCTTGACGTACTCGGTCACAACCTTGTACAGTTCCTGGCGGCCCAGTGAGGTGTACGTCGAGGGCGCAAAGTGGTGGCCCTGGTCGTCCTCCAGCTGCATCAGAAGCTCGATGCAGACGAAGATGATGGCGCGCAGCGGGCAGTCTCGGAAGAGGCCGCCCCCGAGAACGCGGAGCCGGGTGTAGTCGTCCTCGACGGCCAACGAGTTGGCCGCTAGCGGGTCTACTGTGGCGCCGGTAGTGTTGTAGTGCAGAAGGGATAGGGAAAGATCCAAGCAGACCTTGTGCGAGAAGTAGTACTTTGGATTCTTCCTGGCTCGGATGGCATACGGAAAATGCAGGGCGAGGAGAAAGCGGTAGGTCAGCAGCTCGAATAACTTGATCTGGAAGGGCGTCGGCTGTTGGTGCTGGCCACCAAACGACTTGAAGAGACGCATGTTCTCTTCTAGGACGGTCCTCATCCGCTGTCCCTGACGCAGCGTCTCATCGTATGACTGCTCCGAGGAAAAGTCGTTGAGGTACTTGGCCACCTCGAGGCGGATCGGAAGTGTCCGCATCAGCGCACATTGCATTGAGGTGTCGGTGAAGATGGTAATCGGCTTGGATGGTGGCGGTAATCGCCCGCCATCGGGACCGTCCACGAGTTGGGAGTCGTCAATGTTGGATGGCGGCTCGCAGTCGTAATCCCGTTGCGAAATCAAAGGCGATCCGCCGGACTCGATGCTCGCCTGGATTTGCAGGTCCAGGATGGTCGCCCAGAGCCGTCTCCGCATCTCGGCCTCGAAGCCACTCAAATCTGGCAGCTTGGCCGGATCGTGATGAAGACCGAGCTGCATGGCAGCACGCAACAGCGACCCTGCCGAAATCCACACCAATTCGGGCCCCCCTGGATACGCCTGCTTGGCCAACAGGAGGAGGCAATGGGTTTGTAGTCCCATGATGTTCAGGCGCGATTTCTCGCTGGGGGAGCTTAGCCAGGCCTGAGCGTTTGATATCCATCGCAATGCAGAGGCGCGCAAGGACCATCGCGAGGTCTCGAGCTCGTGATAAAAGCAGCTCCCCAGCGCCGCGATGAGGAGAAGCTGGGCAGTGAAGCCCGGACTGGCCGCCCGCGGATTGGCCCAGAACGACGCATACTGAACGCGGAAGGTGGGCACGTGGAGGATTCGGTGGACGGACTCAAAGGTTCTGAGGTGCAGCCGGACCAACTCATCACACGTTCGTTGCGGAGGCAGATCATCGGCCAAGGAGGTTGCCGTTGACGGATTGGCAGGTCCGCGCAAATAAGGGAGGGACTTGCAAACCCTGCAGAGGCGTTTGCACTCTTTCAGCAGCGACTGAATCTCCGAGTTTTTGTCCGTCTCGGCTGCTCTCTGTACATCGAGGATGTATTGGAACTAGAAGGGGACGAGGCGGGATGGCAGATTGGTTAGCCAAAGCACCGAGCTGTAACGTCGTGTTGTACCTATAAACGGGGTATGGATGGCCCGGGGGGTACAATACCTCTCCCGACGAGTTGATGAAATGACTCGGTCCGTAGAAGCGGGACTTGACAAAACACCCGCGGATTGGGGCCAGAGTCCGACGCTGTGGCTCAACCGTGCCCGTCGCCTCATCCAGCGTCATCCGTCGATTTGAATGCGTATGCGGTTGGAGGTCGACCGACTCGCTCACGTCGGACGCTGCTGACGAGCGCGGTCTCTCGATCGCCGGTGGTGGCACCTCAGCGGGGAGTTGCCGCTGCCAATCCGACACTGGGGAGGCAAGCGCTAACAGCAACGCTGCAGAATCCTGGGTCGCGGTGGAGCTCGTGGCAGTCACGACCCCAGGCCCCTTGAAACATTCGGGTCGATAAGTGCACGACTCGAGACTGGACCGCCGGCACGGCCCGCAAGGTGTCGTCCTGTCGCATTTAATCTTGCGTCGTCTGCATTGTTCGCAGGCCAACGCCGGTCGCCGCCGTTTCTTTGCCACCCCAACCCCGTCGGCGGCGGCCTGTCTTGACGCGTCGCTTGTCATGCCGAACTCCATTCTGGCGGAATGTCGAAAGTGGAATAGTTGCGCCTTCAACGGGTTGAGCCGTTAAAGTCAGGTCTGATACGAAGTACGAAGTATATGACTAGCCGAACTTGTACGAGGAGGCGCTGGGTGGGGGATTACAGAGCATCGGCCAAATCCCCGGCCGTTCTAGAATTCCAGAACCCAAATCACATCAGAATGGATTTTTTGGAACCAACAGTTACACAACAGACAGCCATTTAATGGATCTCACAGTTAATTGGTCTAAATGAGAGTATTGAACGGGCTGAATGAAGGGAGACAGCCTTTTGGGACCGGGGTACCACGTGACCCCACCCATCCATCTCACCTACATAAATGCCAAGTATAAGAAGTAATCTGTAGGCGGCGACCAAACGTCGACTACAGGAACGAAACGAAAGCTGTTCCCCAAAGAAGCTGTACTACCCCAATCCATCTTTTATTTTACTCGATATCTTTTATTCGAGTCATTCTCGCCGATTTCTTTACTTATTTGACTAAATCGCTCACAACGCGATAATATGTTCCTGTTCTTTTTCTTTTTCTACATTCAGTTATATAATCCTGGCCCTCCTCTGTGCCCCCTGTGCCCCGATCCCACGCCTGATGCCAGCGCGGGATCTGCATTCCAAGGTTCGGGATTAACGAGCCTGAAGGTAGACAGACGACTAGGATGAGAATGATGATACTCGGCGCGACTAGCACGTAAGAAAGAACCTTGCTAATATCAGCGTGAGGTAAAACTTACTTCTGTACGAATACATTGAAGGAATCCCTCACCACTTCATCCAGTTCAAATCTTTGGTCGGCGCCGACGAAATCCGCTCAATTCTCCAACAAATGGATCGATCAATCGGAGACAGATCGGATCATCATCTTTGGAAGTTAGTGATTCACCGCTATCAAAACATGGGAATCGGGGCACAAAAGCTAGCAGGGTGCGGTGGTCGAGGGTAAAAGGAAAATGCAACTACTACTAACGCCCGGCAACCTGCCCATAGGTAGTCAAACAATAAGTATTAACATTTAACTAGGTAGGAAGGCGATAATATGCGTGTGATATTAAACAAATAACCCATAATGAGGTAGACGTAGAGTATATAACATCCAAGCATCCCTCTCACACCTCGGAACCGACTCCTAACCATTCAAGTTGCGTACAAAATATTTCAATGATGCTTCTTCTGCCGCACAGGCTCCGGGCCCGGGTCGGCGGTTTTTATGTTGTCAGACACCTACCCTTCCATAGCGAACTTCGAGGCGGAATCGAAGCCAGCATGACGAGGGGGACAACCTTGTCACACCCATCTCGCGAGAGTTAGCAATGGAAACTATCCGACAGAGATGGTTTGTAGCAGTCTGGAAAAGGGTAGGGATATCACATAACTCCTTGTCGACCGATCTACCCCCAACGCTATCCACACACACATGTTTACAAACCCATAATACAACCTAGAATTACACATCAATCCACGCCTCTCACTTCCCCTTCCCCTTGCCCTCCAAATGCCACGCAAACACCTTCTCAAACACCGCCTTCCCGTCCCCCACAATCGTCTCCCCATGACAGGGCACAATGGTATCAAACTCCCACCGCGCCATCCTCGCCACGCTCTCATCAAACCCGGCCCGATCATTCCTGCTCGCCACGTACCACAGGAACCTCTTCATCCCCAGCGCATCCCCCGCCGTCGTCTGAAAGCTGCTAAACACCTTCCCCAACACGCCCAACCGCGGCCTCTCCGCCTCGGGCACGCGCGAGTACTGCTCCGTCGCCGGCAGGTTGAACACCAAATCCGCCTGCACCACCACCCCCTCCGGCTTCCACAAGAACACCACCTCCCGATTCGGATGCCCCGCAAAATACTCCATCTCGAAATCCCGCCCGAAATCCTCCCCCACCGCCCCCGCATCCCGCCCATTCCCCTTATTCACCACCACCCCAAACCCCTCCGTCCCAATCCGCGGATCATCGCCCTGCGCCGCGGCGGCGAGCCGCTTCTCGGGCAGGCCCTCCGGGCCGATCAGCTTGGCGTGCGGGTAGGCGGCCGCCCACTCGGACAGGAAGATGTGGTGCTCGATGTCGGTGGCCACGATGTAGCGCACGTCGCCGCCGAGGGAGGCCACCTTGGCGGCGGTGGCGGCGGTGTGCGCTACGGGGGAGAAGACGGCGAGAGAGCCGGAGGTGAGGCGGACTATCGGGGGTGGGGGTGTTAATAAACGTGGTTATGTGATATGTGGGCCGTGATGGAGGGGTGTGTGTGTGTGTGTGTGTGTGTGTTGCTATGACTTACTGAGGGTGCCGCGCCCGCCGATGGGGATGCGCCCGAAGCGGAGGAAGGGTACCGAGAAGGTCACGACGTTGGGGCTGAGGTCGCGGATCACCATCACCTCGTCGGGGTTGGGTGGAATGAGTTTGGACGACATGGTTTGTGTGGATGAGCCGAATGCAGCGGCTGAACCGGTGAAAAGGAGGATGCCCGCGATGATGTTTCTCTTGGTGAAGCGACTCTTGCGCGGTGGTGTTGATGATGATGATGATGTGGCGAGAGTTCTGGTTTTATGTGATGCGATAAGGATTGAACTTTGGGTTAAGCGAACTGAAGGCTGGTGGGGTGAAGATGTCGTAAATAACAATTAGCTACTGTGTGCCTGTCACTTGGTTCGATGGACCTGGGCTATCTTTATAGTTGTGGAGGATCCTCACGATGCCTGCGACACACGACAAATCAACATTGGCTTACAAAACTGTGATTGCAATTGAAGACTGCTCGGCTGCCTGTTGGCCTCGGCACAATCGCGCGGAGGGGAACCATGGCGTAACGCCTCGGCAAAACGCCCTGCGTACTGCGTACACGGAACTTTGGCTGTCCGATGCGTATTCAGCAAAGCCACCGAGCCAGTGTAAAAACGAACCGCTAGGATTTGGAATTTCGGGATCTGGAACTTTGCCAGGGGCCGAGACTCATGCACAAAGTCCCGCAGGGCATGACATCATCTTTTCGCAAACGGTTGCTCGCTCAGCCGCCTGGCTTGGCAACGGCTCCGGCATGTCACCTGTGAAACGGCATCCCCGCGAATACACCGTACGTACCGTGACGGATACAGATAGAATACGTTGTGTACACACATGCAAAAGCACGGACCCCATCTTTCACTTCTTGGCTTCTATGTCGGTCTCTGTTCACGATCGCGTTGAATACATCCGGGCTCAAAAGTATGCTGGACGCACCACGATATAACCCTGGTTGACCCTTCTCGGTAATAGGGCCAGAGAGAACGCATGTTGGCTCAGGGTAGGCCTCGCGGCCTCCGCCTGCGCTATGGGTGCTCCTCCACAGGCCAGCAGCGACGTCTGCTAAATCATTTCATCTCCAAAGGTACCACTCCCTCAACCCCTCCAAGCCCACCCATCCCACCTCACCATCCCACCTCACTCACAACCAACTAACCCTCCTCCCTCCAGCACCCGAACCAGAACCCACCCAACCACCACCACCACCCCCATCCCCAACCCCCACCCGCTTCACCCTCGCCGTAAAAGACAACATCGCAACCACCTCCCACCCGACAACATGCGCCTCCGCCTTCCTCACAACCCACCGCTCCCCCTTCGAAGCCACCATCGTGACCCAACTCCGCGCGCGCGGCGCCCGCCTCGTCGGCAAGACCAACCTCGACGAGTTCGGCATGGGCAGCCACAGCGTCCACTCCGCCGCGGGCGCCGTCTCCCAATCTCAGAATGAACCAATATCCTCCGGCGGCTCCTCCGGCGGCAGCGCCGTCGCCGTCGCCGCGGGCGAGGCGGACCTCGCGCTGGGGACCGACACGGGCGGGTCGGTGCGGCTGCCGGCGGCGTACTGTGGCGTGGTTGGGTTCAAGCCGTCGTATGGCATGCTCTCGCGCTTTGGGGTCGTGCCGTATGCGAACTCGCTGGATACCGTGGGGTTGTTGGCCAGGGGGGTGGGGATGATTAGGGGGTTGGTCGTTGGTGGGGGTGGTGATGGGATAGCGGGTGGTGGTGCTGGTGAGACAGCAACAAAAAAGGGGTTGTGGGGGGAGGGGGACCCGAGGGATCCGACCAGTTTGTCAGAGGGGGCGAGGGGGAGGTGTGTGGCTGGGAGGGAGGGGTATGGTGGAGTTATTGATGGGGGGGAGAGGGAGGGGAGGGAGGTGTTGAGGGGAGTCCGGTTCGGGATTCCGTTGGAGTACAACATCGAGGAGCTGGACCCCGGGATACGGAATGCGTGGGCCAAGGCGGCAAACACACTCCAGCACGAGTTCGGTGCGCGCGTGGTGCCCGTGTCGCTGCCCTCGACCAGACACGCGCTGGCGGCGTACTACGTCATCGCCCCCGCCGAGGCGTCGTCCAACTTGGCCAAGTACGACGGCGTGCGGTACGGAACGAGGGACTCCGACGCCGCGAGCGATGCCGCTGGCGGGGTGCTCTATGCTGCGAGCCGCGGTAAGGGGTTCGGCGACGAGGTGAAGCGGCGCATCCTGCTCGGCTCGTACACACTGAGCTCCGAGGCCATGGACAACTACTTCATCAAGGCGCAGCGGGTGCGCCGGCTGGTGCGCAAGGACTTCAACCGCGTTTTTGCCCTCGACAACCCGCTCCATGAGAGAGAGACGTTCGACCTTACCGACCTAGACGAGAGCATCGAGATGGAGGACAAATGGGGCCCTGAAGAGGTGGACTTCCTGCTCTGCCCGACAGCCCCGACGCTCGCCCCGAAACTAGCGGATGTCATGAAGCAGACGCCGCTGGATGCTTACATGAACGACGTGTTTACAGTGCCCGCGAGCTTGGCAGGGCTGCCGGCTATCAGCATACCGATGCCGGTTGCGTCGGAGGCAGCAGGGGATGTTGCAGGAAAGTCCGGCGCGGCGGGCCTGCAGCTCATCGGGCAGTACTGGGATGACGCCCGGCTGCTTGCGGTCGCGGATGCCGTAATGAACACCCTGCAGAGTGTGACCCCAAGGTGATCACGGCAGCACCGTCAACATCGGGTAACCCAGTGTGCCCAGCCATGCTTGCTAAGATGGATCGTAGCATGATATGTGTATGACCATCACATACGGGGATCATTGGCGGCGATGATGAGAGAAAGGCCATGCAAGGTCTTCCCTTGGGATTGATTGTATATAATGTATTATATTACACCTCTGCAGTCAAATACTTCTTTCTGCCAACTGCGTTTGATGTGCCCCCCAACCACCTGCACAAAGCATACTAATTGGTCTTTACGTCACAACCCGGTCGGAGTGATGGTGAGATCCATCCTTTGGTGTCTCAACCCTCGTCTTGTTGCCCAGGCAATTTTCTTGGCCTGTTTGCAGCGCCGGTGTTGGTTAGGCGCCTTCTCCATGCAAGGAAACGCGGCTGAATCGGTCCCTTGCGAGTCTCTCGCACCCAATTCAGCCCTGCACTATAAAGGCCGTGGGCCGACCGGGCAATTCGACCAGAGGCGGATCCTTCGCCCCAGGCGTGTTGCAGAACGCGGTCTCCATTCGCCTGTACCGTGTCCGCTAAGGGCGGATGCCGTACTCCAACCTTGGGGCGGCGATTTGCTCGTCATCGGGATAGATCCGTTGATTGATATCGAACCGTGCCGGCCGAGGTTTCAAGGGCTCGCTTCGCCTTCAGATCGTTGACCGTCCGGGATGTCAATATCCATCCTGTCATGGTTTGAGCGCCTCCTAGCTGAGCCGGACCTTGATCTTGACCTCCGCCGTGAGTCCGATCTGGATCTCGTTTGTGACCGTGACCGTGGCCGTGACCCTGACCGTGAGCGCGACCTCGACCTGACGGAGCCAGAATCATGCTCATGCCCATCGCCGTTCGCATCATCCCCATTCTCCATCGCTTCGTCGTCCTCCTCCAGCAAATCCTCGAGCGCACCCAGGGGGCTGACGCGCGGCTCGAGCAGCTCCAAGTCCTCCAGGATATCCCGCTTCCGCATCTTCCACAAACTCGTGGCGCATACACGGTCCTTCGTGAGCAAGTCGTCGACAAAAACATCCATGTAGGTCAGGGTAGTGCCGTCGCGGCCCTTGCGGCGTAGCTTGCGGCGGTCCTCGAGAAACGGCTCGAGGCGGGCGTAGACGTCTTTATCGGTTCGGGTGAGGCGGATGTAGAAGGCGGCGAGGGCGCGCAGGTACTTGAACTTTTCGCCGCCAAAGGCGAGGTACTCGTCGAGCACGTCGTCGCCGGGGGCCAGCTGCAGCAGCTTAAAGGCCAGACACAGGAAGGGCGTCGGCTTCTGCACCGTGCCCGCCACGCCGCCGATGTGGTCCACGTGCTCGACTACCCGGTCCACCACGTCCGCCTCGTTGACACCAAAGCACTGCTCCTTGTAGAAATAGCTGTCCACGATCCGCTCGCGCACCGCCTTCTCCATAATGGTCGCCGGGTTGAGTCCGTTGGGTGCGAGCGAGCCTGAGCTGCCGCGTTCGTCGAGGAAGCGCCGCTCATCGGCTCGGTGGAAGGTGGGTTTGCTCATGGCTGGGGAAAAGTTGTGGGGGGGCGACCTGGGTGTCGAAAGCGGTCTTGCTAGTCGGCGAGCTCAATTGAGAGTCTTGGGAATTGGTGATTTTGGGATCATCGCCCCACGCAGTTTTTGGGTGTTGAGCTGCTTCCCCGGATTCCTTGGCATGGTGGGGCGGTGCCGATAAGCGATAGTTGCCCGTCCAACGCAGGCTTTTGTTTGGATCACGAAGGGGGGCTCCTCCAACGACGCTGATGTCACTGTCAGCTACATTTGCAACTCTCACGTTTGCCTATCAATTCCTCTTTTTGCCATTATATATCTTTACGACCATCTCTTCGATTCAATTCAATTCTAACGACAGCGTCCTCCACAAAAAAATCACCTACAAGAATGCTCGTCACCTCAGGGCAGGTGTCCGTTGCAGTCTCTTCTGGTATCGGTACGCATGCAGTCCGCCGCTCCCCATTTCCCCCCCAGCACATGGACACGCACCCTCAACCCCTCCCACCCACCAGCAACCCAACCCAACCACCCCCCTACCCCCCCTCACCGTCACCACCACCAAACTCCATAAACCAACCAACTAACCAACCAACCCCCACGACACACAGTGTTCCTCTGCACCGCAGCTCTGTTTCTAAGCGGCTATGTCCTGCAGCAGCGCACCCTGCGCGACCTCCGCGAGGCCATCAAGCAGCCCCCGCGGCCCTCCCCCAAGATCTTCCTGCCCGACCGCTTCAAACAGTCCACCACCGAGCTCGCCGACGGCACCGTCGTAGCGCTTGACGACGACGGCAATCGTGTGCAAGGCCAAGACCAAGACCAAGGCCAAGACCGAGACCAAGACCGAGATCGAGACCAAAACCGAGACCGAGATGTGGTGGGGCAGAAGCCGGTGATTGTTGAGGTGAGGCCGACGCTGCCGGGGGATGCGGTGGGCAAGGGTGGTGGTGGTGGTGGGGGTGAGGGGGGCAAGCCGACGAAGACGACTGTGAAGGGGGGGAAGAAGAAGGGGAAGGGTGGTGGTGGGAAGGAGGGTGCGGAAGAGCCGCAGAAGCCGATGAGTAGGGCGGAGCGGCGGCGGAGGATTAAGGAGGAGATTCAGAAGTCGGCGCAGGGGGAGCGTGGCTACTACCGCCGGCGGTTGTGGTGAAGGGGGGGGTTGGGGGGCAAGCGTCAGTCTGTGCGTGGGATGTGTGCGGCACGTTGGATACGGGTTGGGTTGGGCGGGTTTACACGGCCGGGAGGCAGCTTTGGGTTATAGGTTCCATATTTGGCGTTTTTGGGTTTGGCGGGATTATATGAGGATTGGGAACATGGGTATGAGTTTGTCACTGGTCAATGATATGAATGAAACGTATGGTATAGCATGAGAATAAATTTAACGCTTGTCCGCCCTGTTACGCCCTTATACTGGGCCCGTACCTGTTCCCGTTGTCATGCCCGGCCGGCCGGCCCTCCTGCGGCCTCCCGATGGATACCGCAGATGCACCTCTCCGTTCAGGTGTGCTTCCAGCCTTGAACAGAATCACATTCTCATGGTGTTCCTCCCATTCCTCGATATCCCCGTTTCCACTGTTGACTTCTTCGACGAGGATGAGAGTGATAACCCCGCGAATGTCCACGATGGCCGCCGAGACGTGTCAGAGCTGCTCTCGGAGCGGTAATCTGGCTCATCTTGGCTTCGGGGCTGCGAAAGCAGCCAGAGGCAATCTTCAGGAAGACGGCCCGGAGTGAGAGAGGTTCCGCTTTTCAAGATCTAGGAGTTGGCTTGTTAGACGACTCATTGACATTGACAAGATGAGACATGTAAGGTACTCACGGTGCAGAGCTTGCAGCGTTGGCCGAACTTTCCCACCGTGTTGGTACATCGGATGGAGGACTGGTAACACAAAAGAAACATCGTCAGCGGAGCCAATTCACAGTTGTCAGTTCACATACATAGTAGTTGGAGCAATAGCAGACGTTCATATTGCAAATTGGTGTCGAGGATCAGGGATATCCGGATGACGGGCCTTGTACACTCAGACGTGGAGGTATGGAAGGAGAGGAGAAGCTATAAGCAAATGTGTAGCGTATCGAAAACAGGGCGGAATGGTTGCAACATCAACGCAAGATGGGGGTATAAGAGCCTGCTACATATATCCCAGGTGTTGTCAGAGACAATGGACTTCCCTGTAAAGGTACGTGAAGCGGCTGGTAACCATTGGGTCGAACTGACCTCATCCTCCCACGGAGACCTCCGCCCTGCATACTCCAAGTTCGAACCTGGCTTCAAAGCTGGGAATGACTTCGCCCCTCCGTCTGAACGCATGGGCTGGAAGACTGCAGGGAAGAACCTGGTACATGCACGCCATGCCTGTCGAGCTAATGTACTGCGGAAGTACAAAGAGCTTCTTGGTTGTCTCGGTCCACCAAGTCTAGACCAGACAGAAGCGGAAGAGGGACAAAAAGCATCAGACATCCTCCGACGAACCCTTGCATCTCCGGGACGCAGTCCAGACAGGGACGAAATCTTGATTCAAGGATAGTATCCTCTTTGTGACGGTTCCCCTTTATCTATATCTCCCCTCGATGGCGTCAGAAGACCACGTTCCCTAAATTGTTTCCATGGTCAAGCAAACATGGAAGTTGAACATCCTTTCAAGGACCCCGGCCCAGAACGCCATGTCCCCCTCCCCAGTGTCAACGTCCGTAAGGCGTCCCACAACTTTTCATACAAGCAAGCCAAGGATCAAGACGTTGGAAGGGCCAGTATTTCCCCGCCCAGCTAGCTGCATGCGTCCAGCGATGCATCGCCCGGGAATGCCGGGGGCCAATCGCTTCCCAGCGGCGTCTGCGGGGGACAGGATGTGGTGACAACATCGTGACAAGGATCTCGTCCGGGGAAGAAGGTTTGACAGGGGGGCTTGGCGATCGATCGGAGCGACCGTGGGATGGGGATTACCAGGGGGGCGGGGGGCGTTGGATGTTCAGCTTGGTTCAACGTCCGTCCAAAGCTGTAGGCGGGGACGCAATAGGACAATAAGTCCCAAGCTGGCTGGGGCAACCTTGGTTTTCTAGCGGCCAATTCTTTTGCCTCTCAGGTAGGGGCGGGATTGACGCCGGTCTGACGATGGAGTGGCCGATGGTTGTGGCATTGGAGGCAATTAATGGAGAAGTGTTGTCGTCCAGTGTTTTTTTCCGACTTGGAACCGGGTGGTTCCTGTCATGCGAGCAACCCTCCCCCGTATGCGTCTGTTAACTGCCTGCCGCTTCAGGGCAAGGCGCCGCAGGCCTCGATGAGCCAACACATTCTCGATAACGCAGGGAAAACGGCAGTATCACTCATAGGTGTTCACGTGCACTTGTTGCAGTATATGATGGAGGCGGTTGTCTCGCCCGGGCCTTGAACTGCCTTGTGAGACACCAGGACTCACGCAAACTAGCGGGGGAGGTGAATGTTTTGTGATTCCCCGCTCAGCAATGGGAGAGGCGAGCTGAGGACGACCGGTTGAGGCGGCGGCGATTGGTAGATATCACCAACGTGGCTGTAGTGGCGTTAGAGATCCTGCAAGGGAGGACGCAAAGACGTCAGCAGTCCTCCCACGAGCCAAGCTTCCAGATGCGGCAGTCAGATCTGAGCGATTCGTAAAAATAACCAAGGAGCGGAACGAACCTCGGATCGGAGCGGGTACTTCCAGTACCCCGACGCAAGCACGAGACGTGTTTTAAATGCTTTTTCTATTTCATTTACGCATTATACAGACACCACCTACCACCACCATCATCTATTGGTCCTTGAGGAACTTGCTGTCCTTGCAGACATACAAATCAACGTACTCATCCACGCTCATGGCTTCAAGCTTCTTGGGGTCCTGGCCGAGCTCGACAATCTCCTTGACCTTCTCAGCGCTAAGATGGGGCTCCAGATGGCGCTTGAACTTGGCCAGGATATGGGGCTTGGCCTCCTCGCGACGCAGGCGGTGGCCGAGCGGGGCCTCGATCACCACCTCGGGCAGCACAGTGCCGTCGTTCAGCTCGACGGTCAGGCCGTTGCTGATGGTGCGGAGGGCGGGGTCGTGGTAATCGGCCGTGAATTGCGGGTCCTCAACGCACTTGATCTTCTTACGGAGGGACTCGACCAGCTCCGAGGTGGCGGCCTCGGAGCCGTCGGGGTAGTCACCGGCGGTGAGGCGGCCAAAGACGAGCATGACAGAGCACATGTACTGGATGCAGTGGTCGCGGTCGGCAAAGTTGTCCATGGGCTTGAACTGCTTGTCGATGATGCGAACGCAGGCCTCGTGAGTCCGGCAGGTCACTGCCTTGATGTCGGCGGCAGACTTGCCCATGGCCTTCAGCTGGGCATAGAGCTTCTCGGACGCCTCGACGGCGGTCTGTGAGTGGAACTCAGCTGCAAAAAATGGTCAGCGCACTGATAGAAGTGGTTCAGGGAAGTCAGGGGGGGCAAACCAGGGTATGACACCTTGAAGAGCACGTTCTCCATGACGTAGCTACCATATCCACGCTGGAACTCGAACTTCTTGCCCTTGAACAGGACGTCGTAGAAACCCCACGTCGGAGCGGAAAGAACAGTGGGGATGCCAGACTCGCCCTTGAGGACCTTGAGGGCCAAGTTGACGGCACGTTGGCAGGCATCTCCGGCAGCCCACGACTTGCGGGACATGGTGTTGGGGGTGTGACGGTAGGTGCGCAAGCTCTGGCCGTCAACCCAGGCGTGGGTGATAGCGTCGGCCGTCTGCTTCTCGCTGAGGCCCAACATCTTGCTGACCACGGCGGCGCTGGCAACCTTGACCAGGACGACGTGGTCGAGGCCGACCTTGTTGTACGAGTTCAGCAGAGCGAGGCAACCCTGGATCTCGTGGGCCTTGATCATGGCCTCGAGCACATCGCGAACGGTGAAGATCTTGCCGCCGGCAACCTTATGCTGGCCGGCCTTGTTTGTCCGGGTTGCCCAGTCAGCAACGGCGAGGATGGCGCCCAGGTTGTCACTAGGGTGGCCCCACTCAGCGGCGAGCCAGCAGTCGTTGTAGTCGAGCCACCGGATCATGGCGCCGATGTTGAAGGCACCGTTTACGGGGTCGAGCTGGAAGTCGGTGCCAGGCACCTTGGTGCCCGACGGGACAGTGGTGCCCGGGACGATGGGTCCCAGAAGCTTAGTGCATTCCTTGAACCGCAGAGCCTCGAGACCACAGCCCAGCGTGTCGAGGAACACCCATCTCGCTGTGTCAAACTGTTGAGGAGGCCGTGTCAGCGTGCGGGCTGCGGGGAAAAGAGCAAGAGGCTGTCAGAGAAAAATATGAGGCATTCCCCACTTACGGCCAGCTCCGAGTCGATTTTCTGGTTGTGCACATAGCCCGCGATATCCAAGATCTCTTGGTCGTAGCCCTTGTGAGCCGAGGGTGAGGGCGCCGTAGCGCTGGCAGATTGCAGAGAGGTCATGGTGGAGAAGCTGCTGCGTGTGTGGGTGGCAGCAACTGAGAGGGGGGCAGCGGCGTTCTTGAAGGCGCGCAACGGCCGCAGAGCCGAGGGCGGGCAGGAGCGGTGGAGGTGCAGTGATCTCGACGCCTGGCGCAATCCGCGGTTGACAGCAGACATGATGCCTCGATGTCTGTGGCTCCTCTTTCGTCGTTTTTTGAATATCAATTGGTGCGGTGCCAATTGGAGATCCAAAGACGGCAGTCGTTGAGACTTTGGGTATTTATTATTGGGATGAAAAGAAAGTGTTTCTCTTCAGATGTCGGCGACTTTGTCCTCAGGTTGGTTATGCCGCTCGGGCGGAGGGCCTTTGCCGCGGCATGCCGAAGCTCCCCACTCTTGCCGCCTGACCCCAGCCGATTCCCCAGAAACAGCATTTGAATATGCCAAGCAATGAGGGGAGCTCCAGGGCTCAGGAGCAGAGCTCTTGCGAGACTTGAGATGCTTCATCATTGCCTCCTCGGGGGACCTATTATGGAAGGCCCTAGAGACACAGCGGAACGCCTGGGAGACTGCCGTTTCCCTGAGGCGCCTGTGTTAAAGTCGGGAGTGTCTAACAGAATGATTTGTCGAGGCCACCTATCGAGAACCTCCTGGTTGGCCATTAGTTAATATCTCGTAAATAAATGGACGCTGTAAATAGTTATGATTTTTAACGGGTTGTCAACTGGCCCATGTTAGGTAGGTTAGAAAGAACGGAGAGCAGCTTTTGAGGGCTAAAAGTCTCTCCAGCCGGCACGAGTTAACTCAAATCCATTACTTCTTTGGGGCGACGGAATAAAACACTTGTGCTGCGAATCGACGTCAGTGTTGTTTACATTGAGTGTACGAATATAGACTGCACCCAGGGGACGAGACCGAGACCGACACCCCATGAGCGACAAAAAGACGGACTCTTACTACCTACCTAGGTACACAGTAAGTGCTGATGGGCGTCGACCAAACGTCGACTGTAAGAACGGAACGAAAGCTATGCAAAAGCCTAAAAGAGCTGCATTGGCTCAATTTACTTTCTATTTTACTCGATGCCTTTTATTTGGTTTGATTTCCCCGATTTCTTTCACTTGACTCTTTTTGCTTAGTTTATTGTTTTCCTTGGAGTTCAACGGCTTTTTTTGGCCGGAGGGTGGCCGGCCGGCATGGCATGCAAAGTGTAGCTGGGGTTAGGGTTGAGTGCTGTTTGTCACCATATTAAATCCGGGCTAAACTCCGCCAAATGCGAACAGCTGGACCCCGCCGGCACCGGCACCGTGTGTAAGGTCCCAGAGCTTCCGATTAGCTCATGTCGTCCGTCCTATTAGCATCCGCGGGGATATGCTGGGCGACAGATGAAGTGCTGATGCGGAGTGTCTTGGTTTATCTCCCACCTGCTGAATGTCAATGTGCGAGTTCTTCCAGATCTCTACTCCTTAAATCCTACTCACTTACCAGTATACACCCCCCGCGATTGAAACGTCATTACACATACACAGTACGGAATACGAATACCGTGTACCGAGATCCCCGGTCAACATCCAGGTCCCTCACGACCTCCCACGACTCTTTATCCTTCATCACCCACTTCATCAGTAAGGTAGCGGGGCAAGTTCACCATGAGCAGCAGCACCCATAGTGCGTCGGAGCACGAGGAGGAGTACGAAGATGAAGCCTCTCACACACATTCGTCGGATGAGTGGCTGGACGCACTACAACAACAAGATGATGAAGATGAGGACGGAGAAGGTGGGTTCGGAACTAAAACAAATACTCATCCCATACACCATATCATGTTGCTGACATCCGATGGGTATGTAAGGCCCCGGCTTGGAATTCGAAGTTCTTATCGAGGAAATCCTAGCCGATTCCGCCGAGCAAGGCGAGGGTTCTCATGATAACGAAGGTGAGGAGGGACAAGGTGCTACGGGACCCCAAAGACGAGTCGTCGTGTTAGGTGGCGGTACGCATACCCGGCAGCCAAATCCGCAGGTAGAACCGCGTACTAACGACCTTTAGGCCGGGAATTCCGTCCTGCCCTCACCCAGCGCGAATTCTTGGCTCTGCTCCGCGGCCAGTACCTCAACCCGACGATTCTCGGCGCTGATGATGGCGAAGGCCAGCGCCTCTCCTGGGGTACCCGGAGAACCCCCAGAAACAAGCAATTTCCTAAGGTCCCCAGCGAGGAGGGTAGGAAGTTGATGGACTCGGGCGTCTTCGGGGCTTTCGATCGGAGGGTGCCCAACCGCAAGGCCCTGGCTCGCAGGCTGCTGGATCGGGAGCTGGGTGTACGTGGCTGGCCAGGTCAGAAGGTCAACCAGGGCCTCATGGCTCAGGTAAGGGCACACAATGCTGATGACCATGCCGCGGATTGAAACTAAATGTGTCCAGTCGATGATACCGTCAACAAAACCTGAGATGGTCGTCCACTACGATGACCCGGTATGTTGTGGGCAGTTCTCGGACGATGGCAACTTCTTTTACTCTTGTGTCAAGGTAAGTACACGCGGTGGTTGGGACCGGCATGGATGGAATCATCGGCCCCTCTAACGCACTTGGCTAGGACTTCAAAATTCGCTTGTACGACACGTCGAGTCCCTATAACTGGAAGCACTACAAGACGGTCACCTACCCCTTTGGACAGTGGACCATGACAGATGCGGACCTGAGCCCGGACAACAAGTGGTTAGCCTTCTCGTCTCTCCAACCCCACGTCGGCATCGCAGCCACGGATCCAAACGACACAGGTGATCCCTACTCGCTCGACCTGGCAGATGGCGGCCACCCAGGACGGGACGATTACATCTTCGGCGGTTTTGCTATCTTCTCGGTTCGCTTCTCGGGAGACGGCCGCCGTATCGTTGCGGGGACAGGGGCCAACTCCATCGTGGTGTACGACATCGAACGGCGCAAGGCACTCAACCACGTCATGGGCCACCAAGACGATGTCAACGCCGTGTGTTTCGCCGACAAACTATCGCCACATATCCTCTACTCCGGCTCGGACGACTGCACCATCAAGGTGTGGGACACGCGCAGCATGGGCGACGGCAGAGAGGCCGGTGCATTCGTCGGCCACACCGAGGGGCTGACGTACATCGACAGCAAGGGAGACGGGCGGTACATCCTCAGCAACGGCAAGGACCAGAGCATGAAGCTGTGGGACCTGAGGATGGCCATGTCGACGTCGCGGTTCGAGGAGCTCGACCCCACCGCCATCACCAACGACCGCGAGTACGACTACGACTACCGCTGGCAGAAGTACGAAGACTACCAGTGGTTCCAGCACCCGCACGACAACTCGCTCGTCACCTTCCGCGGGCACCAGGTGCAGCGCACGCTGATCCGCTGCCACTTCTCGCCGCCCAACAGCACCGACTCGCACTACGTCTACTCGGGCAGCCACGACGGCTTCGTCTACGTCTGGAACCTCGACGCCACCCTCGCCGCCAAGATCGACGTCAACGCCGCCACGAGAGCCGCCCCGACCCAGCCGAGAGCGAACCGCCGCCACCGTCTGCATCACCGCCATGGGCAGGGCTGGGGGACCATGGTCCGCGATGTCAGCTGGCACCCCAACGCGCCCATGCTGGTTGGTAAGTGGTCCTTAACTTTACTTTATGTTTAAAGGGAGAGAGATGCTAATCCTTAGCAGCATCGTCGTGGTGTGGTCAGGACTACGAAGTCGGCACGGCGTCGCTGCACTCGTTCAACGAGGGCGAGACTGATGAGGGAGATCCGGTCATGGGCCGTTCGGTGAATGAGAAGCTGCAGGACTACCCCGAGGGTGTTCTTCGAGGGGGTTGATTGAACCGATGTGGACCTGTTCCTATCTGGTTGGTTGGGATGGCGAGAAGTGGGAATTGGGAATTGGGAATTGCTGTGGGTTGCAAGGAGCAATGTTGCGATGGCGTCAATCTTTTCGAAGGAGTATTCTGGCTTGGAGTTTGAATTGGACTGGGACGGAACGGGACGGTTGGTTTATTGGCTGCTAAATACACACAACATTAACTCTGATGGGCTCTCTTTCATAATGCCTGAAAAAGGCTGATTACAACTAGGGAAGGCATGGAATCTCCCTCTTGCTGTGTGCTTGTTGAATGATTACTGTAACCCCAACCCTGATGTGTCAGCTGGTCGGACTCCAGCCGGGTCACGAAACAAAGATAAGATAAACTCAAGTCGCGGCTCCACTTCGATCCACTGCTTCAGCCTTGCCGCGGGCATTGAAAGGCAAACGCAACCTCAGAGCTTCGACCACTGACTGGCCTTGTGCAACCGTTCTTTTCCCAACCTTCCCGACCATCGAAACCGTCAAAACCCATCGGTGGGTCGCTTTACGAGTCCTTTCCTCTACTGTTGACACAACTTTATTGGCACCCGCGAATCCCAAAAGCATCACTGTGACTCTTGTAGCCACAAATTCGAGCGACCCGACGAAACAATCGCGACTCTCGACTAAACCATCTGCGCTTGGTGGCACCCGCCGTTTCCATTCCAGCGTCACCGTACACTAACCTCAAAGCTTTCCTCGCCTACCAACTACGCTTTAAAGTGGAGGAAGGATACACGTAGCTCAAGGAGCTCGTTACAAACCGCGAGATTTGCGTGTGGTGCAAGTCAAGAAGAACTGGGCATTCGTGTTTGGTTCAGAGCAGACAGGCCTTAGCGCCTACATACTTGTACTTGTCCAAGGGACAGCCCCTCAGAGAGTGAACGGGGGACAGACCATAAGAAACGAGACGAGAACGCCCGACTCCTGTCACGAGACTGCCAGCACAGAGCTGCGTCTTGGAATCTTTCTTCTCTTCAACGGAGCCCTCTCGTTGGTGATTGTCGTGTCGGTGGATTGGAATGTACGTATGACGAGCTCTCTACCTCCGTTTGTTGTTTCTTTTCGTTTGATCTGAGAATTCACTTCGTTTCATTGCCTTGGGTTTTCTCGCGATCTGATCTATTCGGCTGGTCACCTGGTCAGCGGAATTTTACATCGTCCCGATTCGGTCGAACGATGAAGCTTGGGAAGATATCTTCAGCTGCTGATGGGATGATGCATCACAGACGTTCCTGTATCTCTAATCCATAGCCAGGCGCTCAATTCAGACTTGAATTATCACGCAACAGCAGGTTCCAAACCGTCACAACCACAAGCTCTCGATCGACGGCGTTTCGAATAACGAAAACCATCGTCATGGCTGAAGAGGAATTCGAGATCGACGTTTATGGCGATTCTGCCCATGATCATGGCGACCAGGACCATGGCAACCAGAATCACAACAACGATGGCCAGAACCATGGCGATGACCACGGCTATGGGGACGAGGGCAATGCCCAGAACACAAATGGTGACAACCACGATCATGATGACTACCACGAAGACCACGGAGACAATAACATGGATGACGCCGGCGCCGAACGGACCGAGTCTCACAGCCCCGCCCCCCAGCGCCAGCAGGGCGTGAAGCGCAAGGAAGGTTCTGATGAGCGACCCGTTGACCCCGGCGCTACTACGGCGCTCATGGTTTCGGAGCTCAACTGGTGGAACACTGACGATGACATTCGCGGCTGGGTGCGCCAAGTTGGCTGTGAGAACGAACTCAAGGACATCACCTTCAGCGAACACAAGATTAACGGCAAGAGCAAGGGGTAAGTTGTTTCATCGGTAGGGACCCAGACCGACGTACTAACAAATCGCGACAGCCAAGCCTATGTCGAGTTCACCTCTCAGCAGGCCGCCACCGCTACCAAGCACCATGTCGACTCCCTGACCAACGAGTACAGCCAGCCCGGCCAAAAGAGGCACACAGTAATCTACTCGGCCCCCACTCATAACCCGTTCCGCACCCTGCCCAAGGACGCTCCGAACCGGGCCGCCAAGGACGGCCAAGGTCGCGCGGCCTCCGGGTCTGGTTACAACGACCGTGGCGGTAATTACGGCGGCAACAGCAACTTTAGTGGCGGTTTCCGCGGCGGTCGCGGTGGTTTCAACGGCCCTCGCGGCGGCGGCGGCGGCGGCATGAACCCGGGCGGCTTCAACCGCAACTTTTCGGGCGGAAACATGAATTCCTTCAACGCCAATAACATGGGCTTCAGCAACCCCATGGGCGGCGGCGGCGGTTTCGGTGGCGGCTTCAACCGCGGTGGCATGATGGGCGGCGGTGGTATGCGTGGCGGTGGTATGCGCGGCGGCCGCGGCGGTGGCATGAACATGATGGGTGGCATGCCCATGCCCGGCGGTATGCCCATGGGCGGCATGGGTGGCCCGATGGGTGGCATGGGGATGATGGGCGCCGGCATGGGCGCCGGCATGCCCGGTAAGTCTAGACCGACCGACTCCGGTCACCGACTCTTTATTATTCTAAATATCCCAAGCTGACCGAACCACCACAACAGGCTTCCAAGGCATGCCGCAGGGCTTTAACCCGGCCTTCTTCGGCGCTGGCGGCGCCAACCAGCAGTCTACCGAGTGGCAGAACCCGCACGGCGCCAAGCGAGCTCGAGGCGAGTAGAGCAACGCCTGGATCGCTCGGCGCTAAGTCCGGGGCACTTGCCACTCGACTTACGTAGAACTGCCCGACCTACCTAGTTTTTATCTGACTTACTTTACCTCCCGGGCCATGCGATATACGGCACGCCGTCTTGCAAGGTCCGGTTGAGACCATGAGGCAGTCTAGAGATTGGGTTTGGATGACGCCTCATCTGCCGGTTTGTATGATTTGGGTGGGGACGGAAAACCGGCTTTCCGTCTTTTTTTTTTTTTTTTCGTTTCTATTTTTCAAGGTGTTTCTCGGGCGTTGGGGGGTATGCAATATGGGGCCAGGTTCATTCGATCAATCATCAATCATCACGTTGACTTTTATTACTACTTTTTGCAATGTTCTGCTTTGGCTCTGCTGTTTGGGAGTCCACCGTCTGTGGCCTCATCATGTTCGGGGGTGTTGTGATGCGCTCTGTGTGGCATCCAGTGTTATGGGTCTCTTTTGTGTTGGGGTGTCGGTGTTACGGTGCATGCGAGTGTGGTTCGAAGCCTTGGGTGACCGCTTGATCTGGTTATGCTTCTCCCCATGTTGGGTTTTGTGATGTTTGATGGTGGAATGTCTGGTAGGCGATGGAGTTTGGGTTTGGGAGATTTGTCAAGCCCGCGTATACCAAATACTGCGACTTATGATGGTGATTGGGTTTAAGATTTGAGCTTGGGATTCTTGAATGGTGATGGGGTTTGGATCAGTATTGGTATGTTCGCCAACTAGTTACCTGCCATCACACGATCAACTCCAAGGACCGGGCGTCCACGTTTCAATAATATCTTATGCTGCCGGCGAACCCAACAACTTCATACCTCAAGGCGTTCAATTGTCTGGTCTACCAACCTCGCAATCTGCCGCCACCGCGTACACAATATCTCCCTCTGACAAGGCTGACCAAAATCCAGACCCTCCACCTCCTCAATCTTCCCCGCCACCGTCCCGCGATACCTCCTCAACAACCCCAGCAACAACCGATCCACCTCCTCCTGCAGCGCCTCCCCGCCGTCCTCCCCCTCGCTCACCAACCTCTCCCACTGCCCCGGCGACACGCACAGCACCCTCAGCGCCACCTGCGTGCGATAGCACACCGTGCCCGCATCCACCACGTAGTTCCCCAGAAACCCGCGCTCCTCCAGCAGCGCGCGGTGCGCCGCCCCCAGCGCCGGCAGCAGCGCGTCGTCCAGGCACGCCTCGTCCCACCGGTTCTGGTCGGCGGCTCCGTCGGCCCCGTGCCCGTGCTCGGGTAACACGAAGCCGTACTCGGTTAGTAGGAAGTCGTTGTGGTGCTGGCCGTAGCAGATGGAGACTTCGTCGCCGATGCCGTAGGCGCGGTCGGCCGTGATGGTGAAGCGGGCCGCGGTCGAGGTTACGGCGCAGCCTGTGCCGCTGTGGTTGAAGAGGTCGGCCACGGGCTGCAGCACCATGCGGTCCTCGCGCGGGGCGCGGCGGGCGGCGGGGGATGCTTCGTGGTAGAAGGTACGTGTGTTGACGAGGAGCCAGGCGTAGAGGTAGTCCTGGCGGGTGATGGGTGGGGTGGTGGTGTCGGCTGCTGTTGGTGAGGCGAAGGGGGTTTGCTGGATGGCGGCCCAGTCGCGGGTGAATTTGGCTTGTTGCTTGCGGAGAAGGGCTAGGGCGGGTTTGGGCAGGTAGGCGTGCAGGCGTGGGTCCCAGGCTAGGGGCAGGCTGGAGATGATGGAGTCGCGCGAGGGCATCACGGCGTTCCAGGGGCTGTACTCGGAGTTGGGCTTGTCGAGGGCCAGCTCGGCGGCTAGGAGGGCGTGCACCTTGGTGTCCTTGGGGAGGCTCTCCTTGATCTCGGGCCGGACGGTGTCGAGGGTTCGCAGGGTAGATGTTGGTATTTGGAGGATCAGGTCGCCGGCCTGGGAGGAAGTTAGTTGAGTGATGGTGTCAGTTGTAGAGGTTGTTGTCTCACCTTCAGTGGTTTTGTTGCTACGATGCCTACACCTCGTCCCGGCAAGGTGTGAGGGGTGACCCCATGAAGCTCGACCCCTCGATCTTCCGCCCAGCGGATAAGCTCCTCAAATGCCTCCATCTTCCTTTTCACTTAAACCACCGAAAAAACAGGGGTTAAGCTGGTGTCGTGTTGTACTTCTTGTAGGCTGAGGGAACCGAGGTTGAAAATGAACGATTTGCAAACCACTCTCATTCTTAAATATTTTCCTTTTTTGTGGTAGAAATTCGGGTCGGTCACTCGAATGAATCACGCCCTTGATTTGTACAAGAATTGCGTGATTGTACTCTCTCTATTTCAGAGCCCTTCTCCTTCATACTCTCACATGGGTGTGTGAAAGAGTCATTCACCTTCTCATACCTTTGAAGAATAGGGTTAGGGTCACCACAGGAAACTCTTATCTTATCTTTCCCGACTTCCACCGAGATTCCGAGCTCACATCGAACCATCCAGTCCACGTCGACCTTCTCTTTCCCAGCCAGACACCAGGATGCGATTCTGGTGCCTCGGACCCAATTCGACATGGAGGTGACCCTCAGACGCACAGCGGCAGCCATAGCCCGCAACAACAACGGCCTCCGACCCGCCGCAGCAGCACTCACTGCAGCTCCCAGCTCCCGTCACTTCTCCCTCTCGAGCCTCACCCGCCCGCCGCCCAACTACCCCGGCCATGTTCCGCTCACCAGGATCGAGAAGGCCGCGTTGGCCATTGGTTCCGGGCTCATGTCCCTTCGCGACCCGCGACGAGGAGGCAAGCTCCCTCTTCTTCCACACTTCCCTCTAATACCCGCCCTCAATCCACCGCCCCCACTAACACCACCACCACCCCCACCCTCCAGACCTAATCGCCGCCTTCGCCGAAGCCACCGCAACCCCCTACTTCATCTACCGCCTGCGCGACGCGATGCTCGCCTCACCCACGGGCCGGCGAATCCTGCGCGACCGACCGCGCATCACATCCACCTCCCTCAACCTCCCCCACCTCCGCTCCCTCCCACCAGGCAGCGTAGGACGCACATACGTAGCGTGGCTGGACCGCGAGGGCGTGTCGCCCGACACGCGGTCGGCGGTGCGGTACATCGACGACGCCGAGTGCGCCTACGTGATGCAGCGCTACCGCGAGTGCCACGACTTCTACCACGCGCTGACGGGCCTGCCCGTCGTGCGCGAGGGCGAGGTCGCGCTGAAGGCGTTCGAGTTTGCGAATACCCTGCTGCCGATGACGGGGCTGAGCGTGTTCGCGGCCGCGACGCTTAAAAGGAGTGAGCGGAAAAGGTTTGGGGATATTTATTTGCCGTGGGCGCTGCGGAATGGGCTGCGGGCGGCGGAGGTGATTAATGTGTACTGGGAGGAGCAGCTGGAGAGGGATGTCGGGGAGTTGAGGAGGGAGTTGGGGGTGGAGCCGCCGCCGGATTTGAGGGATATACGGAAGAGGGAGAGAGAGGAGAGGCGGAGGAGGAAGGAGGAGCAGGCCGCGAGGGATGGGGGGGTGTAGAGGTACCGAGTGGATAGAGGGGACGGGGTGTACGAAACATTTTTGGTGTTGATCATTTGTAGGATTATAAGAGCTGTACGATACTATGTTGTAGGAGTAACACTCATAAGCTCAGAAATTAATCCGTCCATCCACCCAGTACAATAAGGGAGCTAAATCCCGAGAACCATACGTGACCACAAACCAAGCCAGCTCCCTCCCCCCCCCCCCCCCCCCAACCAAAACGCACCCCACCCCTTACAAACCAAACAACTCATCATCATCCTCATCATCATCCCACCCCTTTCGGCGGTTGACCACAATCTTCTCCTGCTCCTGGCTGTCCACCATGGCGTTGAGCAGCTCCTTGAGCTGCGTCTCGGTCACCTTCTGCCGCAGCTGGCCCGACTGCGCCAGCATGATCAGCCGGTTCTCCACGTCGGTCGCCCGCTGCTCCTTGACCAGCCGGATCCGCCCCAGCCGGTCCGCCGCCTCGGGCTCGAGGATCTGGTTCAGCGCCGACTTGCGCGCCTCGGCTGTGAGGGTGGGGTGGGTGTTAGTGTGGGCGGTTTGGAGGGTTCGTTGGTGGGTTGGTTGGGAATGATGGTGTCAACGGGGTGGGACTCGTACCTTCTTGTTGTCTGTGGGGAGTGGCTGTTAGTATATCATCCGACTTGTATCACGCCCGGATGGTTGGGGAGCTGTAGGATGGAAGAGTGCTTACTGCTTTTGTGCTTGCTGCTCCTGGCTATTGCCGCCACCAGAGGCCCTCGCTCCCCCGCCGCCGCCCTGAGCTTTGAGCTGCTCTAGACGAGCCTTTCTGATCTGTAGATGGGGATTAGTCGGCGATAAACCCAAGAGTACTAAGTAGGAGGTGACGCGCCTGGTCCAAATCCGCGTCCTCCATTTTTGTAAACTTTCTGGGCTGTCAAGGTGTTGGGGGTGTGGGGATTTGGGAAGCCTGCAGTTCATCGTGGGGTGGTGGGGTGATTAAGGCGGGGCAACAGCGGTTGCTCCCTTCAGGTAGCTTCCATGTCACTGGATCACTTCCCTCCCTGACTTGCACGTCATTTCAGACGGACTTTGTGATTTACTAGTATGATATTTCTTTCCAAGTCTTATAAACGAACATGGCTCAACCCAATTTATGCCGCTAGCTTTACCTGTGGCCAACACAAACAGGGTTTGGTGGAGGAGTGGTTGCTGAGCTAGAAAGACATGGCACGGCAGGGAAAAGTGCCCGTCAGGGGTTGTAGCTACACTTCCGCCGAACCTTGCCTGGACATTACTGCAGTAGGCCATACGATTCATGATTCCAAGGTCTAAGTACATATCATACATGATTGAGTGTTGTACAGTCCCTACATGCCAACCACCGTGTCTATCCCAGGTATTTACAAATGTGGTGTACACAAATTCTCTCTTCCGAACGAGCAGAGTCGCCGCCTGTCCTGCCTAACCGTGGGCCATGCAATATCACACGGCCCTTTCTACCGACCCCGACGTCTCAAACGGTATGTCGCCCGCCAGTTCCTTCAAGACCATGACTTGCTTTGCCTTGGCCGCCGCCAGGACCGACTCGAGCGCCGCGACGTCAGCCTTCGTCTCCCGGCCTCGCCTCACGAAGTAGCCAGACAGGAAGTCGACGTCCGTGTCCCACCCCGCCGCGGTCTGCGCCCGCATCCTGCTGTCGGCCTCCCTCTGCAGCCTCAGCTTGTGGTACACCTCGTCCCTCAGCGAGCTGGTGGCGGCGAACTGCCGGAACCTCCGCGACTGGCGACACTCGGGCAGCTGGACCAGCACGCGCGACAGGTCCCCGATCAGCCGGTCCATCAGGTACCGGGCGTAGGGGTTAAGCGAGAGAGCGTCGTATCGGCAGTTGAACAGAGCAGCCAGCGGGTCCACGATGCTCCGGAACGCGACCGTCGGTAGTTTGTACCGGAGAAAGTCGGCCATCGGGTGACCCGTGGCGTTGAGCCCTGGCATGGCCGTCAGGAGCCGGATCAGGTGTGTTGCTCTCGCTGTCCGCTCCAAGGGCGGATGGCGCTTGATCCGGAACCGCTGAGTGCCCTCCACTTTCTGGGGCGACAAGAGCGACAAATAGAGCCTCCCGGCTCGGACTTCGGCCACGGAGAATCTGCTGGACGTATGGTCGAGCGCCGTCGTGAAATGTCCTAGCAGGAAAATGGGCCGCGTGGATTCATTGGGATAATAGGCTTCGATGAGTTCCTCTGCGACGCCCAACCCATCGTTAACCAGGCAGATTGTTGATCGATGATCGAGCCGATGCTTGATGCGCCTGAAAGCTTGCACGACCTGGGCCGCCGGCAGAGTCACGATCAGGTTGTGGATAAAGATTCCACTTTGAGTCTCGGCTTGCTCGTCCGATACGTACTCTCCTATGACCCGGTGCTGGGTGATGCGGAGGTCGCCCCGGTACAATGTCAGCTGCCTGTTCGCGTCGTACCATTTCTTGTAAAGCTTCTCCCTGTGTAGCATGTAGCGGACAGGCGGGATGGTCTGGCAGCCGGCCAAGGTGTGAGCGATGTATCGTCCAGCTAGATCTAACCCCATGACGTGGATGTGGTCTGAATATTCAAATGGCAACTTCGCTACAGTCTCGACGGGCTGAGCTTGTCGCTCCTCCGAGTCCCACAGTGCAACCTTTGACTGGATCCGGTCCAGCTCTCCTTGCTGCTCCTGCTCCTCCTCTGGCGGCGCGGAACGGCTGGCCTCGGGTGCGACATTTTCGTCGTCCCCTGGCATGCCCACCGGTGGCGCGCTCGGCTTTCTTTGCTTGCTAACGTTTGGAATGCCCAACGGACCCCGGCGGCAAGCGAGATGTAAAGGCAGGCGGACAGTTCTGATCGGCGGGGAGTAGTGCGTGGTTTCCTGCGCTACGGTGCTGCTCGACGTCATGTAATCCCGGCCCGACAACCGGCGGCTGGCCCCCCGGCCCGCCCTGTGGTTATTGAGTGACCATGATATGTGCCTGTAAGGTATTTGCGCGAACGCCCGCGGTGGCGGGCGGCTGCCCAGAAGAAGATACAGATTGCCGGTGTTCAAAAAAGAAACCGAGAGCACATGGCAAGGCGGGTAGGATGGGCGTCGCAGGCTGGTGAGAGGCCCGTCGCAGGTGGCTCTCGATGTCTAGGACATGCGATTCGGCATTGGGGAGAGTTGCCCGAGGGTAACGGATCGGGCACTCGGTCGTGATTCGGTTATTGTACTGCGTAGGTCCCAGGCTTTTGTTGCGGATCATCAGGTTCGGTTCGATTCGCTGGACGGGTGTAGTTGAGTCGTTTCCACCGTCTCTTCCGCCGAGGGGTCGCTGTCGAGAGCTGTGACAACACCAGATCAATTTTCCTCCCGTCGCGGTGTCTGCGAGGAAAAAATATCGCCGCTGATTGATTGGTCTGCTTCCCTCGGGGTTGAGAGTCAGACCCAGAAGCCGCTGCAGCGGGACCCACCGGTGCCACCGCTGCTAGCCAGTTCCGGAGGGTTGGATCTGAGAACAAGGGTTTTACATGGCAGAATGGAATGCTGCATCAATTTATCAATCACCACAACCAAGTACAGACACCAAACACCAATCTCACACGGTACCAGTATATCTAAGGGATAACCCAAACACTTGTTTTTCCTTGCAAAACAATCCCACACATATTTCCAATCATTCATCGGTCGCCCACGATGGATGTCAGCGACATCACACCTCAACTCGACCAACTCGAGGAGGAGCTCAGCAAGGCCCAGGAAACTCTTGCGCCGCTGATAGGCGACATTGGCGACATCTCTTCCAAACTCCCCCTTCTGGACAAGGCCAAACTTTACGTGCTGGTGTCGTACACAATTGAGGCGCTCCTCTTCTGTGAGACTCACTCTCTCCTTCCATTCTCATACCCCATCACTAACAACCGCTCCAGCTGCATTACGCCTTAACGGAGTGGATACCAAGGCCCATCCCGTATTCACGGAGTTGGCCCGTGTGAGGCAATACGTGGAAAAGATTGAGAAGCTTGAAAATCCGCCCGCGGAACGCGAAAATGCTGTCAACACTGAGGTGGCGGCGCGGTTCCTCAGGTCGGATCTTGTAAGTCACCAGCTGCCCTGCTGATCAACCGAACATCCACTCACACAACAACAGGGAGACAACAAAGACATCAAGGCAAAGCTAACCGAGCTGATCGCTAAGGAGCGGGAGAAGGCAGCAGCTAAAGCCTCGGAGAAAAAGCGGCCGGCGGAAGAGCAGGCCCCGGAGAACAGCGCTGCATCCGGAGAGAAACTCGCAAAGCGGCCGAAACGCAACGGTGGCAAGAAGAAGAAATGAACGCACGATCAAGCCACCACCGCATTAAACAACAACCTAGTGGCCATGACGGCCCACAAGGCGCTGCGGCGCCATACCCCATCCATCGCCGGATATGTCCCCATCCATCGCCGGATATGTTGAACGAGCGTAACCCGACAACAGTCTTTAGCGTGACCTGGAAGGCCTCACGGGGGGATCGCGGAGGCAGTCCACATACAAGACTCTATGCCCACATCAATACATGACGGATTTAAAGGCCCGTGCAAGGACCGTGTACAAATGGAGAGTAGAGAGGAGAGGGGATCATAGAAATGTATTGTAGGATTAATACAGCCTGGTATTTCTAGTTAAACCAAAAGCTCACCGGCTAGCCCCCTTCTAGTCCAAGGGATGTAACCAGCTGCGAAACCTCTCGTCGCTAGACATTGACTGCGACTTAGTTCACCAACATGAGCGTTGATCAACGTATGTACAAGTTATTGCCAACCTGAAGCGAGGGTCGAGAGCATTGTATTTCCAGAGTAACCATATCCTAGATTCTGGAACGGAAAGGTCCCAACTCTGGACTCATTGGACTTTGCATATAGTTAGGTAAATTATCATTTCCTCACACATTTGCTCTCATGAATACGATAATACAACAACGAGATAGTCTCGGTCCTCGCATCAAAGTCCCGGGCTACACTCAACCCCAACCCTGTGGAATCATTCACTCGGTAATCCACAGTCCCGACCGGGACAAATATGGGTCCGACAGCGGGCTTCGATTGGTTTCCAGGCGGACGTGCCGGAGGCCAGCAACGCAAGTGGCCAATCGCCAAATCGCGTCGGCCTTTCCGACTTCCGGCAAAATATCTCCAACTCCAACTCCCGCAACCCGCCTCCCGCCAATTTGTTCGACCGATCAATCTCCCGCTCCACGCAAACACTCCTCACCACACACCACACCCACACAATCAATCACAATCACAATGCCCCGCCAATCCAGGTCCTCCGGCCGCTCGGCCCCCTCCCGGCCCATGGTGCCCGCCCGCTCGGCGCCCGCCCCGACCCAGCAGCAGCAGACCCGGCCGGCCACCACCTACGCCGCGCCCCACGGCGCCGCCGGTTCCGCTGCCCCCCAGGCCCCGACCGCCGCCGCCGGCTCCCAGGGCCCCGGCCTCATGGGCCAGATGGCCAGCACCGCTGCGTACGTCGTCTCCCCCACCAATTCCCCCTCCCCCCAAGGTGGCTAGCTAGCCAGCCAGCCACACACACAGAGATAGAGAAACAGCATAAACTAACACCTCACACAGCGGCGTCGCAATCGGCTCAACAATCGGCAACATGGTCGGCAACAGCCTGGGCGGGCTGTTCGGCGGCGGCTCGTCGGCGGAGCCCTCGCAGGCGACCCAGGCGCAGGCCGCGCAGACCAGCAACAACAGCTCGTGGGGCAACAACTGCGCGGGGGCGACGGAGCAGTTCACCAAGTGCATGGACGAGCAGAGCGGCAACATGCAGATCTGCGGGTGGTATCTGGAGCAGCTGGTACGTTCCCTCTCCTTTTGTGTCTGTCTTGAGTGTTTGGATGGTGCTGACGGTGGTTGGTGGTGTAGAAAGCTTGCCAGGCTGCGGCTAGCCAGTACTAAGTTGGTTTGGTTTGGGGGAGGTGCTGGGAAGGGGGATAATGGACGGAGGGTGTGTAATTTATGCCCGGGTGGACAGCGTTCGGCAGGCTGGAGAGGAAGGAGAAGGCGGATTTGGTATCAACCACCCCGTGATATCATTGTACAGTAGAGCCGTGCAAAGACGTATTCCGCTCTTCATCCGCTGCTAGTAGTCTACGCTACGACTCGACACATATCTCCCACCACGACCAGAACCAATTGAAAGTTTACTCCCCATCATCTGACCTAGGCTCGAAATTGGTCTAGGCGTTGTTAGCACTTGGCGGACAGGTCGGTGTAGGGAGAGGGACACTCACAGAATTTCCGTTGTAGAATTGCTGGTCATTCCGCCGCCCGTCTGTATGGTCCACCCCCGCTATCCGCCCTGCACGACGTCTGGCCGCATCGGCGGCGGCCTGGCTCTGAGAGCCAGTAGCCCGTGAAGTACTAGCCTCCGGGGTTGCCGACGGCCCAGCAGTGCTCAGGAGGGTCGAGAAGAACGCGGTAACAGTGCTGAAGAAGCCGGTGATGATAGCCAAGAAGAAAGCAATAAGCCTCTGAAAGATGTTCCCCTGAGGTACCCCGGCCGCCGGCCTCGGCGAAGTCGAATAGGCCACCCTGAACTTGGGCACGCGGAGGAGAATCAGCGTGGACGAAGGGGTGAGCTCCAGCTCCTGAAGAGACTTGTCCTCCTCGGTGACGTCGATGGTCTTGCTCGGTAACGGGGTCAGGAGCACCTTGAAGCAGTAGGCCTCCTTGTTGTCCCCGCGATTCTCGTCAACCCACTTCCTCACGTGGCTCAACGTGTCGCTGCTTGAGAAGCGGTTGCGGATTGTTGAGCCGTCGAACAGGCGAGCTTGGATAGCGCAGTGCTCGCTTAGCCGACCGGCGGACGAGAGCACCTGGGTTATCGGCGCGAACGAGGCCAGGTCGGGTTTCTCGGAAGCCATGGACAACCTCCGGGCGGCCGCTACCTCTTCTTTTTGGACTTTCCGCGCGACCTTGTCGTCCTCGATGGCCTTGAGGATCCGCTCACGCTCTTCGCGCGCCTCACGCTGCTTCTTTTTGAGGGCTGCGGCGTGCTTGCTCTGTTCATCGGTTTTCTTCGGCACACTTGCTCCAGCCTCGGCTTTTGCCTTGCCCTTCTCGGCGCCTTGCCGCTTCGCCTCTGCTTCGTCCTTCTTCTTCTGCTCGAGAACCCTTGCGGCCCTTGCAGTCAACATGGATTGCACCCGAGAATTGGTGGTGGATGGCGGGGTGGCCTGGCCTGAGCTACTGGACGAAGATTCGTCGGCATGGCTGGGCTGGTTCGGGAGAGAAGCCGGTGCCGGAATTGCGGCCGGGGTTGCGGCCGGGGTTGCGGCCGGTTGGGGAGGTGCGGCTTGAGAAGGAAGTGGTTGGTCAGGGGTAAGTTCCGTTGTCGTAAGCGCCGCCTTCATCCTCCGAAGGAAGTCTTCCCTAGAAGCACCAGCAGCGATATACTCTTTGAGTTGGCCATCCCTGAGCTCGATTAGATTTTACTCACTTTCTTACGCGGGCTGGGGTCTTGGTACCTAATAATCACGACGGTGGGCTTTTGTGGCACAGGGTAGAGCTGCTTAAGAAACCCCTCTTCTTGTGAGCCTGCCTCCAGCCGAAGAGAGACCGCGTTGCTTTCAAGCATCGGACGGAGCTAATAACCGGTGTCAGAATATCGGAGCTATTCCGCTGAAACACAAGCTGTTGAAGAGAACTCACTGCTTCATCGAGCAAGTATTGAAGCTCCCATGTCTGGCTCTCATCCTTGCCATCTGGTTGGTAGCTGGTCAGTTTGTGTTCTGTTGAAGTTGCAATGTGTTCTATCTCACCAGTCACAAAGCACATGACGGACTTTGACTGTTGAAGAGCAGCGGCGATGCCCTCTTGAAGAGTGCCCTGAAAGAACGCCATGATCAACTATTGGAGACGAGGCTGGCGAGATCCGGCTAATCCGCTCCGTCGCTTCCGTTTGGTTTCTGTTCAATATCAATGAAGTCAAAAATGAGGTTGAACCATGACAGACGGCCGGGAATTGGTTTGTATTATGAGGTTAGGTTTGTGGAGAAAGCCCAGGCGTCACAATGATGTTAATGGTAAGATATGTTGTTGAAGTTGCTCACGCGAGTTGGCTTGATGAATGGGAGCTTTGGATGACAGCCTGGGGAGGCTGGAAGAGACACCTTAGCGGGCGCCAGGACCCATGTTAGTGGGCTTGCTGACCTTTGAGCTGCCTGGGCGGGGTGCAGACGGACAGGCTCTAACCCGACCTCCGGGCGGCCCAAGCTCCTAATTCCATGGCAAAGCGGCACAAACCCCGTCTCCCGACCTAGGTAAGTATGCCGAAATCAGTCGAAACCTTTCAACTGCAGCCCTCGAATACCTGACAATATGGCGGCTGGTAGGGCGTCTACCCGAATACTGCATTCACTGCAGACGCAGCCGAGGCCAATTGGCAAAGCAATCCCCAGATGGCCACAGCCAAGCTCCCCAGCAGTCCGCCTTTATCCCCGTCGACCCATCTCCAGTACCCCGCGACGCCCGAAGCAAGCAGCGGACGACCCAGGCTTCACCTCGATCCTCGATAACCCGCCCGAAATCGTTCGATCCGGCCGCAAGCATGGCCCCGGCCTAATCATCCTCGGTAAACACCTTCCCCCCTCTTCCCTCCCGCCAAACGCACAACACACACTCAAACACACCACCACTGACACCCCCGCGCGCGCAGCCATCATCCCGATAACAGCCTTCTTCCTCGGCACGTGGCAGGTAAAACGGCTCGGGTGGAAGACGGACCTGATCGCCAAGTGCGAGGACCGGATCGTGCGGGAGCCGCTCCCGCTGCCGCCGCGCGTGGACCCGGACGCGATCGCCGAGTTCGACTTCCGGCGCGTGTACGTGACGGGCCGGTTCCGGCACGACCAGGAGATGCTGGTGGGCCCGCGGATGCGCGACGGCGAGCAGGGGTACATCGTGGTGACGCCGCTGGAGCGCGACGGCGATGACGGTGCGAAGGTGTTGGTTAACCGCGGCTGGATCTCCAAGGCCAATGCCGAACAGAGTAAACGGCCGGCGGGCTTGCCGCGCGGGGAGGTTAGGGTGGAGGGGATGCTGAGGCAGCCGTGGAAGAAGAATATGTTTACGCCGGCGAATCGGCCGGATAAGCGGGAGTTTTATTTCCCGGATGTGAAGCAGATGGCCGAGTTGACGGGGAGTCAGGCTGTTTGGGTTGAGCAGACAATGGGTGGGTTGTCCGGTCTTGTTCATTTGCTATGGCTACTGTTTGATACGGATACTGACGTTGCGGTTAGAACCGGATTACTTTCAGTTCCTAGATTACCATGCCCAGGGCGTTCCCATCGGCAGGCCGGCCGAGGTGAACCTCCGCAACAACCACGCACAGTATATCTTCACGTGGTAAGTCTTGCGCACCCGCGGGACCTCTATTCCCATGGTGCCGCGGCTCCGCGCTCCTCTGCCTCACGACAACCGACTAACTGATGTAGGTATGGTCTCGCGGTGGCCACTTCAATCATGTTTTACATGGTGGTCAAGAAGCCGGCAACCGACATAACGCGGCGTGTCCGCCATCAGACGAAATGGTAATGACTATTCCACAGCTCGTCCGAGCTTCAGGTGACGTCGTCATCTGTTCCGCCCTGAGCCTTACGCCGCTTCTTAGGGATGACGGGCGGTGGCATACGCAACTCTTGCAGCAGCTCCCTAGGGAGGTGACGCTGTGCAAGTGCGAATGGTGTAGTATTTGGATTGATCTGACGCTGCCTGGAAGGTGTCAGCCATCATGTATAACCTTATTCGAGATACCCAGTGATAGATTGTACCATACCTCTTCATCAGGGTGAGGACATCGCTCTCATCAATAGTCTTGCGGCCGGCGTGTTTTGCGTATGCTTGTAGGTCCTCGCCCATCTGTTCGAAAAACCAATCCGAAGCTTGCATGATGGACTTCATGGCATCTGGCGTGATCTTCCCCTTGATTCCGCCGGCCTTTGCGAAGTTTTGGGCGAGCCGTTTTACAACTGTTGGTGGCAGAGAAGGATACTCGATGCCATATTTCGATACTTTGATAGTCCTCTTCATCGATCCACGCGCCTCCGCCCTCGTGATAGTTGCAGTTTCAAATCCTGTCTCATCCTGTAGCGCCGCGGTCCGGCCTTCCGTAGGCTCGTCTTCCAAGGCCGGGACTTCTCCCAACAGGTCTTCGTCGTCAAAATCGTCACTTCGTTGGTCAACGAGAGGCGCATAGTCGTCGTACATCGGTTGATCATCGTCAGCTACTGGTCGGTCAGGTGACTCTTCGACCTGGGGCGCAATCATGAAGGTGCTCTCGTTGATCTCTCCAACCGGTATCTCAATGCCGAAATCACTTTCGCGGCCAAAGTCACGCCGGTCGTCTGAATCCAGTCTGCAGATAAGTTAGCATTTGCACCGTGCTGTCGACGAAACAGGCCAGAAGTACCGTTCGGGGGATGGGAGCTCGTCCAACCCCATCGTGATACCACCCTCATCCAACACGGCCGTTGGCGGAAAGAACCCCGAGTCGACTCCAATATCCTCGCTATGCAGCATATCATTCATGTTGTTGAAGTAATCACTCATCCGTGTACTGCCCATCGAGAACCGTCCCCCAGGCTGCTCGCTAATGGCCCGCCGCGGCATCTCAATCGATTGGAGCGTGAAGTTGTTATCATCATCAAACACCACCGACCGATGGGGCTGGATATCGTCGCTGTCGTCGTCGTCCTCGTCGCCAATAGGGAGCGAGAGCCGCGGCCGCTTCGGAAGCTCCTCGTCATCGTCGTCGTAGTCTACACTGATCGACCCCAGCGTCGTGTCATTGCCCGCGCCGTCCGAGCCGGGCCCCTTGTCCTCGTCGGACGGCGACGAGGACGTCGTGATGACCTCTGTGCTCCGCGCCAGCACCCGCCCGAGCGACAGCAAGAAGTCCCGGGGCGAGTCGCGCACCTCGCGCACGCTCTTGCGCCGGGCGCGGTGCGGCGTGAAGATGGCGGCCCGCCGCGAGTCGATGGTCCGGAAGGCGGCGCGCGCGTGCGGTGTCGGGGGCGCTACCTTCCGCCCAGATGCTGAGAGGCCCTGGGGCCGTGGCGGGCCGCGAGCCTGGCTCCCCGGTGTTCGGAGCATCGAGCGCCGGCCGATCGAGGGCAATGGCTCCGCGCTCGATGCCCGCCGTGTCGGTGTCGCGTCGGGCGGCCGGCTTTCACGGGCCATTGTGGGTAATTGCTTGTCGTTAATCTTGGGTATGGCGTTTCAATGTTCGTGTCGGCAGGCTGCTATGATTTTGCGGCCGAGTTCGCTTCCCTCATTTGTCCATGGATGATGGGGCAATGGATTTCACTTCCATGTCAACCATGACGCGCCCGCCATTGCTTGCCGTCGAATGTCATTGTGTACTTCCAGATTGGGATCGGGTGGGGCTTCGCGATAACACCGATAAGCTGCGAGTGCCCCACCAGTCCACTCACCGCACCCGCCCGCTGCAGCGCTCTCGCGCCTCGCCGACTTCCAGCTGCAAGCTCCTTCTTGCTCCTCGGCATCTGACCTCAGATGTCGGCTCAAGCTTATTTTATTTTTAGCTCGAACTGCGTTCCGTTCGTACATCCCGTCCACCGCCAGAAGCATCTCGATATTTACCATACCCACCCGACGTGCTTCTTGTCTCAAATCTCCCTATCTTGGAGGATTTAGCTGCATGCTGCAAGGCATGGTTCCCACTGCCGCCGTTCGCTCCGGTCACGCCCCGCTCTCAGCAATACCTCACATCGAAACATGCGGAGCCTCCTGTGTAAGGGCGTGTTTTTGTGTGTCTTGTCATATCCCTGGATAACCTCGTTTTACCCCACAGCCCGTCTCGCCGGTCATGGCTTGGGGAAAGGGCTGATTCGCCCATCTATTCAATGGTGGGATCACACCCCTCAAGCACAGTCAGTCACAGGCTTGCTTAACGAGACAAATCAGAAGAGTGGTGTTTCCGCCTTGGCCAGCTCCTGGGCCGTCATACCCGCCACAGCTTCACCGGCCCCCTTATAGGCTGCATTGCCAGATCATCTTCGTTACAGACGTGCCGCAAATGTAACAGCGCTTGGATCCCGAGTCTTTCTGAGCTCAATACCAATCATCGGGTTGTTGGAATCCCCCATCGTCCAAGACACTCGTAGAAGCAAGGGATGTGTGGTTCAGACCAACTCGATGTGTGGTTCAGATCAATTCTGACATGCCAACTTTGAGGAGCCCAATTTGACGAAAACCTACGGTACGTACATGCTGCGCAGTACATGGGTATGTACCTCCATGCAGACTGATGTACCTCGAGGTCGCAGTTGTTCTATGGAGACCCTCTCACGGAACGGCTGCCATGGGCCGCACTCCCTCGATTCCGGCGGCGAAGCGAGTGCAGCTGTTGTGAGAGGATCGGGTATGTATTTTATACGAAGATGCATTTCCTTTGGTCGCGACCAGCGGGCCTGGCTTAGCTGAAGCAGACCACGAGACAGCACATCCTGAAATCTGGGCTGATGATACTTGGGAATCGCCAGTTCCCTCAACCGGCCGACTTCTGTTGTTTTCATCCTAATCCCTACCCATTTTTTCTTCCCAGTCCCCTTGAGGTTCTTCACATATCCCTGGTCGTTTAGCCTCGACTTTTAACCACTTCTATCCTGGATTCTCAAGCAAGACATCGGAAGCGTGCTGAGCCCGCCGTTAGCACTGACGTTTCGAAGCACGGATCCCCTGTTCCTTGTCACTCGCCCGCCTTCACTAATCTTGAACTTTGTCTGGGTCATACGATACTCCAACGCTGCGCGAGGACAAAGCCCGGCGGCAGTGCCAGTATTTTGTGAGTGTGAGTTCTCCAAAACCCAGGACATCGATCTCCCATCAAGTGTCTGCTTTTGAACATGAAGCCAGTGGGGCTCGGTACTTTTTGGTACTTCCCCAACGCAGATCGCATCGCGAGCTCTGCTTGGCCACTATCGCTGGATGGTTGTCACATTTGTGCCGGTTCCAACCCCGTGAGCTTCGGTTCTTCGCCTTCTTGCCGGTATCCGTGGCCCACCTGTTTCCCAGTCGTTTCAACTGGATTTCGGTGGTTGACGCCGAACGTGTTACAACCCCTTGCGATGCGCCCGCCCGTGGTTGCTTCCAGTGACCCCAATGGCAAAACCACCACCCGACAAAACAGGACATGGCGCTGCCAAGACGATGGTGCGCCGTGCGAGAAGGACAGCACTCCACTGCAACCCCCGCCCCACGCCTGGATGAGCCGCCATCGTCTGCAGGCGGCACGCCACTGGGTGCCCTGGAGCAGCCCGCGACTGGGCAGCCGCCTAGCAGGCCCCCCTTCCACACAGTGCTGGCTCTTTTTATCCCCGACGACTCACCGTCCCCATCTGGAGACTGTCCGTTCGCCTGATGCCCGCCCTGGTCCTCAAGCCTGCGCCGGACCGCTGTTTCCCACCTTTCACTTGCACCGCACCCGAATTTGCTTTCTCCCGCTTGCTCTGCTCTTAGCACTCAAAACTTTGCAGTCCGTGGCAAGAAAAAGACTTTTTCTGACCTTTTGCTTGCAGCTCGCATCCTGCTTCCTCCTCCTCCGTCCCAACCATCGAATCATAGCCCATCCCGATCTCCAGTCGACCGAAGTAGCAAGGCGGTGGGCCGACCTTCGCAGCGCAATTCTTCCGCGCTTTCTCCTCTTGCTTCCCGCAACCCTGCAACCCAGCTCCTGCCCCCTTCCCAACCTCCCGTGGTTGACCGATAATACCAAGCCCATCGCCATTCGATTGCTTGGTTGCTCGTTGGAGAACTGCGAAATAGTTCCTATTCTTACTCACGCACAACCTCATACACCATGTCTACAACCCAATCGATCAAGGTTCGTTAGCCACAGCAAACATGACTTCCCGACCGGGTTTCCATCCCCGCTGTCAGGCGACAACCCAAACCGGATACTAATTGCACTTTTGTCTTCATAGTGTGTCGTCACAGGTGACGGTGCTGTCGGAAAGGTACGATCTTGTGCATTCCCAACCTTTGACACGCCGCTCGCATGCTGACTTTGCGTTTCAGACGTGCCTGCTTATCTCCTACACAACGAACGCCTTCCCTGGAGAGTACATCCCGACAGTGTATGTGCAGCTTCCCAGCCATTATCCGACGCAGCGCTAACACACATGGTCCAGGTTCGACAACTACTCGGCGAGCGTACAGGTCGATGGCAAGCCGATCAGCTTGGGGCTGTGGGATACCGCTGGCCAAGAAGATTATGATAGACTGCGGCCGCTCTCATACCCCCAGACCGATGTCTTCCTGATCTGCTTCTCTCTGATCAGCCCGCCATCGTTTGATAACGTCGAGGCCAAGGTTCGTGAAGATATGTTGCACCGGAGCGAGTGACTTGATCTGACCGCCTACACACAGTGGTATCCCGAGATCAGCCATCACGCGCCTAACGTTCCGATCATCCTGGTGGGCACCAAGCTCGACAAGCGCGAAGACAGGGAGACGATCGATAGGCTAGCGGCCAACCGAATGGCTCCCATCACCTTCCAGATGGGGGCAAAGCGCGCCACTGACATCAAGGCCTACAAATACGTGGAATGCTCCGCCCTGACGCAGATGAACCTCAAGACTGTCTTTGACAGCGCCATCCGGTGAGTTGCCGCTTGGCCCCGTAGCCTGGTGTGCCAGTTGTGCGAGTAATCCGTACTGACGTCTCCTCCCTAGGGCCGTGCTTGACCCCAACCGGTCAACAGATGCCAAGCCCACCAAGAAGTCCTCCAAGTGCCTGGTCCTGTAATGCCTCGGCTCCAGTGGCCCGGGGACCTCCCCCACCCCTACGACGAGAGACGACCCCCATAATACACCACACCATCTATACCCAATGGAGGGATCTCTGGTTCTCTACCGACTGCGCCCCGCCCGATTTTGGATTGGCACTTGACACTATGCGTCCCTTCGATGGTTGACGATCTAGTGGAGGATTTTGTGCTGAAGGTTGCGAAACCGAGGGCGGCGTTTTGTTTTGGCGAGAGAAATACGCGTTCGGGATCTTAATGCCCTAATCACTCGCAATTCCACCGTCTTTGCACATTTGTTCACCTTGCGGACTCCGGGCGGGGTTCCACGGTGCCGATCTCCTCGCGGTTCGTGGCCTGCCATCATTGTCCCCACGCAAAAGCGCTCTATCCCACCACTGCAGGGTTGCAGGTTTGCGTTGTCCCTAGGCAGAGAGACCCTCCTTCATCTGCTTTCTCATTTTCTGCTTTCTTCCTTGTTTGTAACTGCGAGCGAACTTTTTGGTAGCAGGAACACGCAAGAGTCGTATCAGCGGCGTGATCACAACCACACGGTTGAATGTGACAGACGGTCTCCTTTTCCTGGACCATATGGTACACCAACGTTTTTGGTGATATGTGATGGTGAAACAAGAAAACTCTATTCATCCGTAGAAAGTGGGTATCTTTACGTATAGAGGTAAGTAAGGTACGCTTCCACCGTTCCGCCCTCCCTGCTCAGTCTCAGCCTTTCCCGTACGGAACCCGCGCCCGCCGGCTCGGGTGTATCGAGTCCTCGTCCCGCTGCTCCTGCGTCTTGCCTCCCGTCGCCGCCTTCTCCAGCTTGGCCTCCTCTTCCCTCTGCATCCGGTTCGCCCGCTCCTCGTTGAGCTTGGCATTCTTTTGCTTGATCTTGTCCTGCCGCGCCGCCGTCTTGCCACCGCCGCCAGCGCTGTCCACAAAAAAAAAGCATCGATTAGCGCCACATTCTCAACACCTGCTTGGAAAAGGGAATCAATCTGAGAGGGTAACGTACGTCAACTCGACATTAATCCGCCTCGGCGGACCCTTCGCCTTCGCCCCCGCCGCGCTGCGCTCCTCGAACTCGGTGTGGTGGAACTTCTTGAGGCACGTCTTCATGTGGTCGTACCCGGCGAACTCGACAAAGGCGATGCCGCGCGACTTGGACGGGTCGTCGCGCTGCGTCAGCAGCCGCACCGACGTCGGCTGCAGCGTCGCGAAGTGCGCCCGCACGTCCTCGGCGGTGGCCGAATAGGGCAGGTTGCCGACGAAGCAGATGAAGCGGTTGGGTTTGCCGCCCGTGGTGGTGGTGTCGTTGGTGTCGCCGTTGGCTTCCTCGGCGGGCTCTTCGGCGGTGGCTTCGGTGGTGGGAGTGTCGTTGTCTTTGCTGCTCTTCTTCTTCTTGTCCTTTTTGCTCTTCTTTTTGCTCTTCTTGTCGGCGCTGGCGGTCCCGTTGGTCCCGTTGGTCCCGTTGGTCCCGTTAGTGCCGTTGGTAGCAGCCTCGTCGGCCTCAGCCGGTTCCGGGTCTGAAGGCGCCGCTGCTGGCGCGGGCTCGTCCGACTCGGGAGTGGCTGCTACGTCCTTGCTCTTGGACTTCTTCTCTTTCTTCTCCTTCTTTTCCTTTTTGTCCTTCTTGTCTCTCTTGTCCTTCTTATCCTTCTTCTCCTTCTTAACCTTGGGTGCCTCCTCGGTCGCGACAGGCTCAAGCTTGACTTCCTTCACCTTGGAGCTCTTCTTGGTGACCTCAGCTTTGCCGGTGCTGTCGAGCTTGCTCTTCTTGACGGCGGGCTTGGCGTCGTGGTTGTCGGCGACATCCTCGTCGGTGCGCTCCCTCTTTTTTGATGATTTGCCCATGGTCGATATCTGAGTGGGGAATTCGATGGTAAGGATGACTGGAAAAGATAACGGATCGAAAATCGGCTGTTTGGAAGGAGCGATTCGCGGTAGCCGGGCGACAACTCTCGAGGTTCACAAAATCCCAACTTTTTTCTGCCGGTTTTGAAGGCGGGGAGCGCTTGGCGGGGAAGCGAGCGAGAAATTCTAGTGGGGCCTGCAGCATGCGGCCCGTCCGGCGGCCTTCGTTCTCGTCAGCGGAGCGAGCCGAACAAACGACTCCAGCAGCGGAGACCCGGTGCTCCGTCTTTCCCCACACAGTCCGTTTGTTCGGTCCATTCTCATATCCTCTCCTGCAGTCAGATCAAGTTTGCCCGCATTCGTTCGCAGCGGCACGCTGCAGGGCCGATCCACGGAAGCGGACGATCAGCCGCGGAATCCACTCAGTTCGTTCCCGAGGTTTCCCAACGTCAATAGCTCGCCTTGCAACTTGAATCGTTCCTTGTTTTGGGCATTGCAATCTGAGCAGCAAACCTCGGGTTCTATCCCTTGTAGTTATCGGCATGTGTCGGTAACACACATGGCAACGCACGGTATTGTAACAATGAAACATGTATTGTTATTTGCCCTCAAGGGGGGATGTCAATCATCAAACCAAGCCCAGCCTAGGAAAAAGCCCATATTTTGTGGGTGTCGATGCTCAAGGAATGTGGTTGTATCGTGGGTATAAAAAAGGAAAAATAGGAAATCCAACGTCAGACCAAACCAGACCCGGACCAGACCAGACCACATCCAACCCCCAACCCAAGATGCCCAGAAAAGGAGTGTCGGGGATCTCAACCCAGGTTCTGTATCCCCAATCCCGTCAAAATCCCCAACCCAATCTCCCAATCTCCCAACCTCCCAACCAACCGCTGAAACCCCTAAAACGCCTGCTGAAAACTCCGCATCCAAACCAACCGCTGCACTGCTTGTTCCCCCTATACTCATACAGCAACGACACCGCTATACTCAACGCCCCTTTTCCCGCCTCCTGTCCTATCCTCTCTAGACCTGCGTCTTCGGGGTCTCCTGCTCCTCATACGACGGGGGCGCGTCCTGGTTCTCCATCAGGCCGGCCTTCTCCTCCTCCACAACCACGACCTCCTTGCGCGGCGCCTTGTGGTGCGAGTGGCGACGGCGGTGGCCGCTGGTGCTGCTGCTGCTGCGGCGGCGGAAGAAGAGGCGCCAGAGGGAGACAAGGACGGTGCCGACGGCCATGCCGATGCTGGGGTTGTGTGTTAGTCGATGGGATTCAGGAGAGCAAACAGAGGTAGAGGTGAGGGGGTGGCTTACAGGCTGACGGTCACGCCGGCGACGATGCCGATGAGCACGGGCAGCAGGATGTGCGAGGCCATGTGCTTAAACAGCTTGCCCCAGCGGTGCTCCTGGTGGCCGTGGCCGGTCACGGGGCGATGGGCGTGGGGGTGAGAGTGAGAAGCCTCGTCGGAGATGGGCGACTTCTCGCCGCCCTTGTTGGCGCAGTGACCAATGCCCTTGAAGCTCTTGATCTTTTCCAGGGCAGCGGCTAGCCACCTGCATACCGAGGTAGTGCACTCTTTTGTGTCACCGCCGGGAAGCTTCTTGAGGAATACGTTGCTGGGCTCGCCCTTTTGGATTTGAGAGATGATCAAGCGGCCTTCGCCGTCCTGGATGATGTTGACCTTGACGCTGGGAATTCCGTCGATGAAGGTGGGGCCAACCGCCATGACCTGGAACTCGATATCCACCACAACCTTCCCTTCGGCGTCCTTCGGCGTGGTCGCAACCTGCACGGCAAAGCTCAACTGCTGCGGTTGAGGGTAGACCCTATAACGGCCCTTGCCCTTGTGCTTCTCGCCATCGGGGTGATGCCGCTTCCCCTTGGGCTTTCGGTCGACGATTTGTGGCGCTTTGACGGTCGTGGTCATCGTCTCGCCTGAGGGATAGAGCTCGACACCGTTCAGCAGCAGGCGGTCGTGGTCGGCCAGGTGGTCGACGGAGAAGGCCAGCTCGAGATGGCTTGGGAACTTGGTCTTGAACTGGACACTCTTGCCCCGTCTGTTCGTCAACAGGACCGGGCAGCCGGGGCAGTTGACATCGACGATCTGAACATCGGTGACGTGGGAGTTGATGCCCGCGATGGTATTGGCGACCTGGATGTCGGTATCGCTAACTTCGGGAGGGATAAGGAATGCGCGCGCGGCTGGGACGGCCAGAAGGCCCGCCACCAGTGTGAGGGGCTTCAGCAACATGGCGCCGTTAATATGAGGGGTATCTCGACTCGAAGGATGGGGTGCCTTGTTAATCGCTAAACAGTTGGTGTTTCTGCCGTGTCGATGTGATAATAGGGAAAAACAAACGAAAAAGTAATAAGTGATAAATCGGCCTTCGCCTTGGTAAAGTAGGTAGTTGGAAACGCGGAGAGAGGTTTGGAATGTGGCCGGCAACGTGATGGGCTTGCGTGGTAGTATCTCTTTGTTAGGTTCCGGAGCTCCCGGAGCCGGAGGGTGGCGTCAGCAACAGGGGTTGCCAAGCTGGACAGGGGGAGTTGGCAAGCGCCGAGCACGACGTAATTGTAGCCTGAGGCAGGCAGCCCATTCCCACCGGCTCCCTTCGCGCCCTGGCCACTGTTAAGCAGCCCTGAGCCAGCGCCAAAAATGACAAGGATTGGCTTTCACAGCATCACATTCCCAAACCTGAACCGCGCAACATGTTTCAATTCAACAGCCCAACTTAATGCCGTGTCCAACCATTCCTTGGCGCGATCGCCATGCCGATTGTTTACTTCCTCAAAAGAATGATCATTCCTGATGGGCACATGCGTCAACAATCCCCATTGTGAGCCGTCATCGCATCCACAAAGAGGGGTCACTCTGGCCGGGGGCCCAGCCTGCCCTTGTCTCGGACTGTAAACGGAGCCTGGGTCCGAGGCAAACAGACGGCCAGCAAGAGGACCGACCTTCCGCGTATTCCATTCATGCGTGAAGGAGCCAGGCAGCCCTAGGATCGCCAACTCTAGCCGCTGGGATCAGAACTGCGGTCCTGTTTTTGGGAGGTGGTTGGTAGGTCGGCAGGCAGTTATTCACACACATAGAACGGTCGAACCATTTGAGCATCGAATCTAGCTTCATTGAATTCCTCCGGCGCCAGCGGGAGATAGGCTCCCTGTCGTAAAATAAAAAATAAAAACTAAACGCCCGGCGCCTTGCGCTTGTGTAGTAGGTGGCTGGTAACCTAATGTACAACATGTCCAAAAGAAAAAGGTATATGACACGAAAAGAGTCGCATCTCCTGTGCGAGCGAGCGAGCAAATAAACCACCCCAACAGACGCGCTCCGCGGCCGCGATGGGCAACTCAAGCTCGGAGATAGGTAGGTAGTCCCACGCACGCCATCCCATAACCATCCCATAACCAAACCCTCACTTCACCTCACTTCACTCAACATTAACCCACCACCCCATCACCCCCCCAACCCCCACCCCCACCTCCTCCTCGCCGCCAACAACCCACGCACCTCCAGGTCCCTCTTCACCTCACCACCACCACCAACCCCCCTCCCAACCCTCCTCCCCCCGCCCGCCTCACCCAAATCCACCACAAACCGCACCAAATCCACACTCCTCCCGCCCCCCACCGTAACATTCCGCGCAGCCTCCACCCCGCCGCGCCCCCCGCCGCCGCCGCCGCCGCCCAGGAAGCGCTGCAGCGCGACCTGCGCCGCCTCGGCCCCGCCGAGGCCGTCCTCCTGCAGGACAAGCAGCACAGCGACGCGCGCAAAGTCGAGCGCCTCCTCGTCGGCGGCGAAGGCGGGTGCCGTGGGGGAGGGGCGGGCCGTGCCGGAGGACATGGTCATTGTGGTGGTGACCATGCTGGTGCGGGACGGGGAGGAGGTGGGTGACGGTGGTGGTGGCGGTGGTGGTTGGCGGGTGAGGGAGAAGGTGGTGGCGAAGTCGCCGTCGGAGTTCAGGCTGGTGGTGAAGGTGGTGCCGCCGCCGGTTGGGGATGGTGGGTCGGAGAGGGTGAAGGTGGTGAGGGGGGCGAGCACGATGGTGATGGTGGTGTAGAGCACGCCGTCGATGATGACGGCTGCGGCGTTGGCGTTGACGACGTCGGGGCCGGAATTGTCGCTGGCGTCGCTGGCGGCTTGGGCGTTGAGGGCGCTGAGCTCGGCGCGGGTCGCGCGGCCGTTGAAGGTGACGAGGGCGTTTTGGGCGGAGCAGCTGAGGGTTTGGGTGTTGAGTTTTGAGATGATTTCCGGGGCGGAAAGGGGGATGGAGAAGTTGGTTTGGGCTTCGTTGATGAGCCGGGGGATGGCGTCGCCGATCGAGATGTTGTCGTCAGAGCCGGTCAGGGTGATGGTCGCGCAGCTGACGTCGTTGGCAATAGTGCAGTCGGAACCGGAGAAGCCGTCGGCGCAGTTACAGGAGCAGACTCCTTCATTTACCACGTTAGTACCTCCATTGGCACATGCTAGTTGTTGTTGACATTGCCGGAGTTCTTCCTGTGCCTGGCTGTTTCCGTTCTGCTTTTGGATGACCAAGAACTCGACGGGGATCACCACCGCAGCGGCGACCACGAGCAGGAGGCCAATCACGAGCAAGATGAACCCCCAGCAGGGGAGGCCGCAGCATCTACGTTTCCGTTTCCCAGTTGACGATTGCGCGTCGCTCGTTGGGACAGCCTGTTGTGACGTGTTGAGGGTACGATTAAAATTAAGAGGGAGAGGCCATGATTGGACCTGTTCTCGGATGCTGTCCCGGAAGCTGCGCCGGGTATTGGTTGCTGCTAAATGTGCTGGTGGGGGGAACGCCGCCAGCATATCGGAGAGGCCAGACCGGTGTTTCTCCCCGTCGTATGGGTAGTCAGGGAAGTCGTCCAGTTCATCGGACCGACTGGCCGGTCTCCTCCCCTTTTCTAGGCTTGCGGCCAATCTCGTTGCACGACGGATGAGGTCCGGGAGACTTGTCAAACTCCCCCTCGCCTCGGCCTTGCGCACCGCATCCATATCCAGACGCGGTGGCCGCCGTATCGCCGAAAACCGGCTGTAGGTCTGGGCCCCCGTAGAGGCCTCGTCGGGGGATGGTGTGGTTCGCTGAGAAGTCGTTGACGGGTCGTCGGCACTCGCAGAGGAATAAGCGTTCAGCATGGTGTCGGGCGTCACGGCCATGCCAATGGGGAGCCTCGCCACTACCGGGATCGTGCCGGACGAGCTCGAGTTTTCCAAGTAACCTGTCCCATCCCTGAAAGGCCCTTGAACTGGTTGCGGCCCAGGCCGCTGATCACGGCCCGCCGTATCCGCTCCCCGGGGAGTGGCCGCGGTCACCAACGTGGGTTTCGCTCTTTTCCCTATACTGGCGCTCCTTACCAGCCGGCTCTCCTCCGCATCATCGTCTCCGTATCCCTCCTCCGCAATCCCTTCCCCATACACCGGGTCCGGAAAATCGGGGCTCGGTCCTGGCGAAGGCGAGCCCCAATTATCCGGCATCGCAGCACTCGAGGCGAACGAGGCGTGGGACCGAGTCCGCGGGCTCTCCTCGGGGATCGGGGAGACGAACGAGGCGTTGGAGTAAAACGAGGAAGCGCCCCGCCTCGCGGACGGTGGCGGTCCGAGATTAACACTCCTCCGCGGTGGCCCCGGTGGTATTTGCGCGGGCAGCGGAAAGTCGGGGATCGATCCAACGGACGATAGGGTGGAGGGCCGTGAGGCGCTCGACGGGGTCTCTGGGACTGCCAGCAACTCCTGGCCTGTAGATTCCCTCCCGGATTGGGGTCTATACTGAAAAACTGGGGTGTGGTCCTGCACCTTGGAGGCGTCCAATATCGAAGGCACCCTGCTCGGGCGCGGGGGTCGTTGAGGCGGCTGTGAGTTCCCCTGTGGCGGTCGAAACGGCTCGCCGTCGACCTGGGTAGGTGGTATGATGGATTCCGGTAACGGCCATTGCGGAGCTGGCGACGGTCTCGAGATGGGGACGCCGATCTGGCCGTCCCTCGTCTGCAGCGGGAAGGGTGCCTGTGGACGGACGTCTCGCGGTCGTCCGGTCGCCGATCCTACGGCCGGCTGACGAGAAGCGGATGGCCGGGCCATTTGAGGTTCTTCTGGTAGAATGGCCTCCCTCGGTAAGCCTGCGGCGGCGCGTTCTCTTGCCCTCCTGATGGATCCCAACCCTGGTCGATCCATATCGCTCCCATCTTGAGGATTCATTTAGCTAGGACTGCTTACACCGCGCCACATGCGGAGCCCCTCTAGTCCCTCTAGTCCCTCTCTCTTGTCAGATGCTCGGAAATCCTCCCAACTCTTGTCCGTAGTCCGAGTGGCATGGGAGGGGGTGGCGACAGTGCGAATCGTCTCCAGAGCGTAATCGCGGGGCGTGGGCCGCAGTTCGTAACGAGTTCTGGTCCGCTCGGAGAGTCGGCGGTGTAATATCAACCTTCTTTCCAAGCGTTCAAACGGCGCCAACTGGGTCGCGCAAACGGCGGGGCCCAACTTCAAACCCGAGGTCGTGGAACCCGGTTGGTGGTGTACGTAGCCGTAGGCAAACAACGAACGAACGAACGCAATCTATGCCAATGAAGAAGGAGAATGAAAGAAGCCAGCAGGCATGTAACACAGCGCCAGCTGGGTCGGACCAGAGCAAACACGAGAAAAGAATGACTTTGTTAGCAGGCCAATGACCTTCGACCGCGCGAAGGCAGGATGGCGAGACAGTCTGTCTGTCCTCGGAAGGAGAGATGGTCAGCCAACGGACGGGCCTTGCAAGCAAGCAAGCAGCAAGAAACAGTGACAACGGGAGAAAAGAGAGACGGATGCCGCAGCCAGCCAGGGTCGCCCGTGCAACATTGTTCCAGAAAAGCCTTTTGCCAGATTTGCCCGATCAAGATGACCCGACCAATGCGGGCTCGAGCGGGAGGGTGGCTTCACCCGTGGCCGCAGCAAGCGTGGAAACCCCCCTAAACAGCCGGATCGCAGAAGGGGTCCGGCTTGGAGGGTACCATCACCTACGTTCGGCGTTTCGACGACTCTGTTGGACATCCCTGTCGCCGCACACTGCCACTGGCCATCCATTCCCTGACAGCGGACACTAGCCTCCAGCGGCCGTTGAATCTCACATGAGATAACACGAGCATCTATGTATCTCTCTACATAAACAGTAGACGATGCTGGCTCAGCTTGCCCTATTACGCTCTTGTTCGACCAACAGTGACCCTGTGAATCGAAAGGCAGAGGAGGCGGCAGGACGGGTCGCAGGATGCAATCCAGGGGCGGCACACCGGGAGTCCGGGACTGGCCAGAGTTGGGAACGGGAAAGGGGAGCTGCCGGGGGGAGGGGGAGGGGGAGGGGGAGGGGGAGGGGGGTCCCAAGATGAGATTGTGCACGTACGAGAAAACGGGGTGTGCCCGGACAAGTCCCCGTTTCAGGATAGCGGGACAAGAAGGATTTTGGGGAGAGCCTCCCAGCAAAACCAACCGCAACACCGTCTGAAGTTTGGTGATCAAGAGAAAATCAAGCAGCGCCCGCAGGAGTCCGAGGTGTTTGGCTCTCGGCGTCCAGAGAGTTGGTGGCTCGGGAAGCGTCGTGGGCTTCTAATGAACGGTTTGCGAGTCGATGGCTTTTGAGGCGTCGTGCGGGCAACGCAATAGCGCCAAAATGAAAAGTTCCGGAAGCCTGCCACACCAAAAAGAGGTAAACGGCGAGGTCTTGGCGGGAGGAATGGAGTCAGGAAGATGGGGAAAGAAGCGAAGGTGATGCGGTGGTATCGTCAAGGCCACGCATTTGGAAATGAAGTTTGAGAAGAGAGCATAAACCCGAAGAGAGAGAGAAACGGAAAGTTGAGATGGTGGCAAAGTCTCCCCGTACAAACCGCCAAAACTGGATCACAGGATCGCAGACAGACGCAGAAAAAGATCGAGAATACGAATACAACAGAGGGCAGTGCTGGAGACACAAAAGGTGCAGAGCCCCGACCGCACCATTGATGTGTGATACAGGCCCTTGCAGCCGTCGGAGGAAGACCACCCACATCCCGCCCCGAGCCCCCCGGGCCAAGATGGAAATGAAGGATGGTCAACAAGGATGGACGCAGCATTCGGGAGGCTCGCGAGGGAGTGGACTCACAATCAGGTACAGTTCCAAAGGCGGTTAGGCAGCGTTGCAACGGAACTTGCTGGGATCCGGCCACAAAGTTGGTTTTAGAAAACTGGTGACGAAACGACGTTGTGGATTTTGGTGGATGAATTAATTCATTGTGACACCAGAACTTGCCTAGAATAAAAGCGCCGTGGAAGGCTAGGCTGACTGCGATGGCGCGACATTCCTGCGGCGCAGAAGGGGAAACCGCAAAGAGGATGAGAAAAGTGATTCCAGCGCGAATTGCTTGGCCGTTTCGGTCGGCCTTGAGCCGTGACGTTTGAAGTCTTTTGCGCGCTCTGTGGGGACGGATGCTGTCAACCGAAACCGACTCCAAATTGAAAGAGGAGTAACATCCGTGCGCCTTTCGGGTGATTCGCCCTCGATGTTTTGGTTCGAGATTCCCATCTCAAGCCGCGCACCAATGACACAAAAAAGAAACGGTCCTCGACAGAGAGAGAGGGCGCTGCAGTCTAAAAATGACTTCATCAAATTTGGGTGCGCGGCGTCACGTCACCACCAAGTCAGACAGCAGGAAGCAGTTGCCCATCGATCCCGGGTCTTGGTGCAAGCCAATGGCGGGGCGATAAGAGGCGGGGGCCTGCGCTCAATCGAAAACGCTAGCGCAGTCACTCGCAGGAACCCGCAACGCCCGTTAGGGTAGGTGGGGCTCTTGGGTTGCATCGAATGAGTCTCTCAACCCTGGAGTCTCAACCCGAGAGTCTCAACCCGAGAGAACATTCACAACCCTGAATCACCAATCGCGATCTGAGTGTTGATATTGAAGATAATTCAAGGCGCGCCTGGGAGTTGCGGGCAGTTGGCGGCCGACTCATCTCCTGCCCGTTCCCGTTGAACTTGACGACGAGTTCTCAAGGGGGAAACAGGATTATTCACGTCGTTCAAGCTATTATTAAATATCCATTTTTGACACTGAGCAGGATGGAGACTACATGGATGTGGTATGTGCATATGTGTGCGCCTCTTAGCCGAGTCGAGTGTCCGATGACAGTCATTTGAAATCTCTATTTCGAGCTTAAGACCCGCGTTGTGTAAGCGCGCACTTAGCGTTGTGTTGTGTAACCACCATTGCTGGCTCCGAAGGAGAATGCAAGGCCAATACATAAGTAGTATGCACCTAAGTTAGTACCGGTAGTGGTGCGGCGCGGGTGGCGGTCGAAGGATCTTTATTTGAGTATACAATCCATATCAATCCATATTTGTAAAGGGGGCCGCACTCTTGGTGGGGGGTAGAAAAGAGTTACGACTGCGGACTGTTGGTCAGCATCGCCATGTCAGCTCGTTCAAAACAGCCAAGGAAGTGCCACGGCCCAGGTTGGAAAATGAATCCATGTGAAGAAAGCGCAAAGCGCTAGAATCTATACAACAAACTCCTCAAGGTCCGAGTTCATATCCATCATGACGGGCGTCCATAGACCAATCCTCGTTCATAGCTCGCCTCATGTCCGGTTTACCCGGCCGACCAAGCTGGAGGAACCTGCGAGACGCTGAGGAGCGCAAAATGCGAGCTCATAAGATGGTACACTTCTCCTTCCGCCTCTTCCTGCGGCGTCTCTTGGCTGCTGGGTCGTCTCCCCGTAGAGTATAGGAATCGTCACGCATGTCGTCTGGGTTGTCATCCCGTCGCAGCATCTGTCGACAAAGGTCAATGAAGGCCTCGTCAACGTTGGCTAAAAGTGGCCATGTCAGTCAGTCTGCGGCTCCACTGTTTGTTGGGTGGGCACCTACTCCGTGTCCTGGCGCTGGCTTCGTAGTAGGGCGCGCTCCACCGCTGGGAGAGGGAAAAGGCCTTGGCACGATCCACTGCTCGTTGATCTTCCAGATCTGCTTTGTTTCCGACAATCACTATCGGGATGTCCTCGTCATCCTTGATGCGGATTATGTCGTCCCGGAGCGTCTCCAGTTCCTCGAATGAGGTCCTCGAGGCTATGCTGAATACCAAGAGGAAGCCTTGACCGGTTTTCATGTAGAGATCTCGCATAGCAACTGAAGGCGGTGTCAGTGAAGCACATGGAAACTTGCACGCTGAATGGCACTTACCGAATTGCTCCGTGCCCGCTGTATCGAGACTGATTTCACGTCAATTACAACGCTCCACACGATAGACGGGGTTGCTTGCTCAAAACTGACATCTCCAACATTACTTGACGGCCCTAAGTCGCAAAACATGTCAGTTACATGGCACCGAGAATGATGAGGCATTCGTCTGCAACTTACATCAACGGCCCTCTGCGTCCTGTACGAGTCCTCAATGGTCGGGTCATAGCTCTCGATCCATTCGTTGTGCACGAACTGGGCTGTTGACAAAACGCCGTCAGTACCGAAAGGGGTTCAGGGTGTTCAGGGTGTTCGCCAAGTGTGGGGGGACTGCAGCAGCACGTACCAGTCAAGCAGCTCTTCCCCACGCCACCTTTCGCAAGCAGGAACCAATGTCAGCAGATGTTGCATGTGATGGAAGGTCTTGGCAGAAGAAGGGTTTCTCCTGCTGTTCAGGGGGAGCCGGAGTGGACACACACCTGCACCCAGAACGACCACATTGAATTCCCGACTGAGTCACAATATGTTAGCATGATGCTGTTTGCCCCAAAATGCAAAAGTAGATTCGCGAGGTCATGAATGGAAAGAATGGAGACAAGGGAGGGGATGGGATCGGGGTGGCCCCAAGTTTGGTTCGTCGAGATCAGACGGAATGCCAGAAAAGTTGGAATTGAAAAAGGGGGTTCTGCTCACCAAGGTTGGTAACTGAATTTCGACGGCATTGTCCCCGAAATCGATCCACCCTGGGAAGATGGCAGGCCGGCGACGCGCTTGTGACGCTTCGCACCTGGATCCTCTTTCCCCGTCCTTCTTCACCGGGTCTTCGCGCCAAACTCCTGACGGGAGGCCGAAAGGGCGGATTCGGCGGTCACCAGGCCAGAGGCTTCTACATGCAGAGAAACCAACCGGCGACGACACAGGACATTCGGGAATCGGGTGGGGAGGGAAATCGGGTGGACTGGAAGGAAGGGGGAGGACGAGATGTGATTCTCTCCCCCTTGCCTAGATTTTTTGGGACCCTGGACCCCCAAGACCGCAGAGGGCGGCGGCGGCGCTGGGGCCGACCGACAAAAATTGGGGGCTGCGAGCGACGCCGGGGGGGCAGGGGTGCACAAGCGCGGAGGAACGGGATTCGCAGGCCAGCCGGAGCGGCAGTTTTAGCGGGCCGTGAGAATCGACAAGCGAGCGGTTGAGCGTCGCCGATTGCCGGCTGCACCGTGCGTGCGCAGGGACCGAGCGTACGTTCGTTGGGAATGTCCGAGTTCAAGTTCGGACCACCTGCAGGCTTGGGACGAACTTGGGATGAACCTGTTCTGTTTGGAGACGGATTCAAGCGAGATCGAAAGTATAGGCGATTGCAAGGCGACACTAGTTAAAACCTGACACCACCGACAACCTGGAACGAATGGAGCCGCAAAGCGAACCGACGACTCAACTTCGCTCGCGCGGTCAAGGTGGAAACGAGATCTCCCTGGCCTGGCCCGAGCGAATCCGGAGCCACGGCGCTGGCTGACGCGGGGCGGATGGAGAAACCGGTCGGTCTGTCGCCGGATTGGTCCGATTTGGGTCTGGAAGCTGCGAATAGAAAGGCAGCGAGGTTCCAGACCTTCTCGTGTTTGGGATCAATATCGGCGCCGAGGCGAGATCGCACAAGGTTCTAGCCAACAAAATAACGAGCAACTCTACACTGTCTCGAGACTGTAGATGGCGCTCGAGCGATGCAGTAGTGATATACTGACGCATACCGCTTCAGTCCAGTTAGTGTCTCGGAGGACAAGCCGGGAGGGCTCTCTTTTGTGCTTTTTCGTCTTCCTTGCCCCGTGCGCGCGCACCTTCCGGGACTGGCTGACGCGCAACACTTGCAGAGGCTTGCAGCACGGTAACCCGAGTGACTGGATGGATTGGGACACAAGCGAGGCTGATGGACGGACCAAAATGGGACCTGTCATTGTTACAAGAGCGAGCTTTTGCTTCCGGACCAGGACGTGACGCAGGGCGGTCGACAACGCATGTTCAGAAAGGCAGGTCCACCTAGCCGGGCAGTTTCTGCCATGTCCCCCCTGTTCTCAACCAACGACATCGGCTGTGGATGCAGGCCAACTCTGGTAGCCACACCGCATCGTTTTATGGACAGGAGACGGTACAAAGTAGGTACATACATTAAATGCAGGAACACGCCAGGGCCTCGAACCTGCAGTTGGACCGGCGGCAGCTGCAAACAGGAAGCCGCTCCCCCGCGCAACACACGGAAGAAGCCAATCGCTCTTTCCAGGCTTTCGGGTTGCACACCTCGCCTCAGGGCTGCCCCGCCAGTTTCTCGCCGTCCCTTCCCCGGTCCCCGCCACCAGCTTTGAAATCGCCCTGATCTACATGAGTTGCTTTCTGTGCATTCTAAGCCTGCGTCTGACATCATTGTCGTTCTTTAGATCGCCAACAGACACTGGCGAGAATGGCACTGGTGCAACACGACATGGCCAGGTTTGCCTCAGCTTCCTGTAGTTATATGTTCCTCAACTTTCTGCCGAAGGGACAGCACAACCTAGCACAACTTCCGTCCGGACACCCCCATCTCCCTCGAGAGCTATGAGCTGTCCAGTCGCCTCACATCCCACTCCTTAGGCGCTGAAAGCGCGGCATCTTGGATGGCTCGGGTGGTATCTTGGGCTTGGTGCATGGCCTCATCAGCTCGTCGACCAACCAGAACCATCCCCCGCGACACTTCCGGCAGTTACACAACATCGCGTGGGGGTTGCGGCCCTCTCTTGAATCCGCTTCTCCACTCCCGTCCTCGCCATCACCTAGTGCCATCGTCGAAATCGGCCAAAACCGAGATCATACCACGCTATGGTCGGGTATCAAGACCCGAACGCCCCGTTACGCCGCAGCTCGTATGTTGCCCAGTGATATGTTTGTTCTCGTTCGCCTCGATGGACGGGAACGAGAGATGGGTGGGCACACGCACTACTTTTTCCTGGCCGCATCCGATTTGAGTCTTGACATGTGTTCCGGCCTGATGAATGTGACGCCAATGGGGCTGGTCATGGGTTAGATGCTTTATTCCCTTTCACCGGTATATGCACCCCACGGCCAGCTCGAGTGAGCGAGGAATTCTCATGTTACGTGTTCTCGCACGTGTCCGGCCGTGCCGGGCGATTCGGAGGTCCTGTCCGACAATACCTAGCATAACAACTGCATAATCCACGGTCCAATGCCTGACAAAGACAACTAATGCCGAGCTATCGCGATTCAAATTCGGAAGACTCGAGTCGGCCTTGAGTCCGGTAGATATCTACTATTAATTCAAGCCCCGAACGTATCAGAGAGTCATGTGGCGCTTGGATGGGAGTACTGGGTTATGAACCTCGCTTCACATTTTGCATTTGCACTTCACCGCTGACTGTCGGCACCTCTTTACTCTTGCCGGCCATTTTCTTGACGTTGCCACTTCTCCAAAAACGAAGACCTTGTCCTTTCCTCTCGGCGAACTTGAACGGGGTTCCGTGCATCTCATGCTCTGCTGCAATATCGTCAAACGTCTTTCCTTCGGCAGCCGCTGATTTCCGGATCTTCCGTGTACGTGCCAGCCATATCAAGTGAGATAAAAATATGCCAATCTCGAGGACGCAGCTGCGTGACTTTAGTAAGAACTCCGAGCCATGACATAAGCCGTGGTGTGAGCTACTCACCATACGATGTAGAGAACGCCCCCGAGGACGTCAAATGTGTTTTGGGTAACTGCCTCTGTCAGCCCTACCAACCGACCAGAAGCGAGCCAAATTAGCCTACCCAAAGCCATGAGCGAGAAGAATGCGCCAGACCAGTCCATGGCGAGGAAGACCTAGTCCACTCAGCAATCGCACCTTTATTTGTGGAACACTTCTTCGAAACCCTTACCCAGTTAATTCCGATTACTCTCCCTCTCCGCTTCCACAGCTCACCGTACGGTGGGAGAAGCCCAGCAGCGAGGAGGATTGCGGCTATTATACCCACAACCATTATAGGGACCTCGTTGCCTTCGTCGTATATCGGCTGACGTCGTTTTCGGATTCGTGAGCCGGGCACATTGAGAACTAGACAAGGCTTACCTTCAACGTCAGTATCAGCGCGGCTTCAAGACCGGCAAAAACAGCGGCGACCACAAGACCCAACAGCGAAGCTTTCCATGCAGGCCAGTTGCTATTCCCTAGTATCAGCCATCTCACCCCCCTTGGGTGGGGACATTGGAAGATGCTGTACCGGTGGTAGACTAGGACCTGTGCCCAGGAGATGAGGCAGAGGGCCATAAAGACATGCGGTTGCACTTGTAGAGGGATGTTAAAGTTCTGAGTAACTGCATATACTCCGAACGGAAGGCCGCCTGCGGTGTGGTCAGACTCGAAAACCAGCAGACAGGGTCATAGAAAACTCACATAGAGCCCATAGAAACATCATCAAGCCCGGCAGTCCATCCGTCTTCTTTGTCCGCCAGTTGGTCCATATTTGGGGTATGAGCTGGGAGGAGGTCAGTTGCTGGTGGTGAAGAGGGAGTTTTGGTTGAGGGGCTGACCTGGATACACCATAACCTGGAGGGATGATGAGAATAATGACAGTGAAAGTGAGTATCTTTTAATCCAGGTGGTGGAAGCTTACACTTCGGCCTGTTAACTCTGACTTCTCTCAGACTGTTGTTGGACCAAGGGCCAGTTCGCTCACCTGTACCTATTGTCTGCCGGGCGAAAGACGTCAGCGTACTCCTTGGTGGTAAAATGCGGTGGGGAGCCACTTATCACTCACTCCTAACACGTTGGCTGCCTTTGTACATACGAGATTATTAGCACCCGTGGGCCATGGGGGGTTGGGGCCGCTAAGGAGAGATCCGATCATACAATGGGAATGTCTGTCTGAGGAGCCATGAAGGGAGAATGGATGGTTTTTGAGAGGGACTTAAAAGAACGAGTATGGAACCCTCAGATGTATTGCCTGCCGAAGGCCGGTAAGATACACTTCCGAGTTGGGGTGAGAAACAAAGCAGACTGGCTGAAGAGAGCAGTTCCAACGATCGGATCTCCTCAGCCGAACGTGATTGAACTTAGTGTCAGAACGCCGAGGTTCGGGGGGTGAGTAGTTTCGCACTGTATGGACGAGAGCTACCGACGTGGGTATTGCACCACTGAGCAGACGATTCTGGTCGCTGAGAATACAGTGTGTCAAAACCGCAACCTGGGTTCACACTGTCTATCTGAGAATTTTCTGTGCAAGTGAAGTCTTGAACCCAGTTCTCGCAGCCAGTCTCATCTCACTTTCCTCTCTTGAAGAACATTTGATAACGTCAATATCAGAACCAGCATCAAGGCCCAAAATATCGCACCAAACTATCACACACCAAAGATAGGAACCTGTTTGTCCCAAAAACCAAACTCAGAAAACCTTTACATCACCTCGTTGTTTGCACACCAAGCAGGCCACTGCTTACTCCAGCAACATGGCAACCGAGGAGCACACCAAAAAGAGAAAGCTGCAGGACGATGACAAGCCCCGCAAGAAGCAGAAGAAGCAGAAGAAGGTGCGGGAGGACGAAGGCGATCTGGACGTGGAAGCAGGCCTGAACCGGGCCTTTGAGCGGATGGACGGCCAGCTCGCCGCGGATTACATCGCCCAGAAGACACGCCGGTTCGGGACAGATCTGAGCCCGGTCGAGCTGTCCGATCTGTACATCTCAGGTGAGTTTCCACGGCTTGTCACTGGCGGTTTGGGCGATGATGGGCTGACGGTGATGGTCGAAGCCAATTATATCAAGGACAGCACGTCGTGGGAGAAGCCGCGGTCGCTGGAGAACTTGCCAGACTTTCTGGAGGCGTTTGCGAGGGAGTCGGAGAAGCTGGATAGGGCGCCTAAGAAGGCCGGGTCGCCGCATACCCTCATCGTGGCGGGCGCCGGGCTGAGGGCAGCCGATCTTGTGAGGTATGAACGAGCGTCGGGGTTTGCGAGACCCAGGTTGGGTATGTAGAGCTTACGGGTGGGCTGACCTCGAGATACAGGGCGGTGAGGAAGTTTCAGAAGAAGGACAACTCCGTGGCGAAGCTGGTAAGAAAACGCTTTCTCTTGTCTACGGAACAAGATGGCAGCTAATGGGGCTCAGTTTGCAAAACACTTCAAGCTCGAAGAGCAGGTCTCGTTCCTACAAAAGAGCCGGACCGGGATCGCGGTCGGAACACCACAACGTCTGATCGACCTGATTGAGAATGGTACGGCACAGAGCTATCCCAGAAATGAATCCTTGCTAACGGGTCCCAGATGCCTTGTCCCTCGAAAATCTGAAGAGGATCGTCGTGGATGCCTCGCACATCGATCAGAAGAAAAGAGGGATTGTGGACATGAGGGAAACGATGCTGCCTCTTGCCAAGTTATTGTGCAGGGAGGCATTGAAGGAGAGATATGAAGACGACACAGTCAAGCATATCGACTTGATCTTTTATTAGCACACCATCTTAGATACCATCAAATTTCACATGTCGAGCGTTCTGACTTACCCCCCTACAAACTCCGGCCCCCCGTCTTCGTTTATCTCACACTCTAGAAGATCCTGCAACCGGGTCTCAGCAGGCACACGAGAAGTGACAGCTCTGGCAAGGGGGTTGCATCCGAGACACCCGTAACAGTTGGGACAACCATCACTCCATTCGTTGAACCCGGGTCTCACAGCATCACTCTCCTCGTCCTCTCACCGGACGCACGCTAGCAGCATCCGCGGAGGCGGACCACAACGCCATCAAGCTGGCGCAATACACCAGAGAGTGAGCCAATCGGCGGATAATCACTCTAGCTAGGCTGCGATGGGTACGAAGAATAAAATCAAGGCGAGATTGACGAGACAAACATCATTTAAATTGACTGTATGCTACAAAAACCAGGTTGACCTCGGTAGAAGCGAGACTCCGACGTTCGTTCCTCCCGCGCATGCACTGCGGGCGAATACCGAACTACGAGAGCAGCGTGCCCCAAAACAGAATGTACCAATCTCTCGTCGAGTTTCCTGTGTCTGATAACCCCGTTAGTCGAGCGTCCATGACCGAGCAGTGCTGGAGGTACAATGAGAGCGAGGTTGTCGTGGTGTTCAGAATATGTAAGAAATGACTATCATGTGTCCGCCGGATTTAGCCGCCCCGGCGAAAGGGGGCCATCCGAGCGGTATCAATCGCAAATTACGCTCATCATGACGACAACGCGGTGATGAAGATGCTGGGGGGTATGACGAGAAGGGATGCTAACGTACCTTCTGCGAAGTGGTGTGTTGCTGAGGGGCAGCAGCAGAGAGCGTAACGAGGCAGCTCGATTCCTGATGGTTGCCATCCAACCCCGACCTACCTTGTGTCTCGGATCACCACATTGCGAGTGCTAGTGGTTGAAATACGATTGAAAAACTCGAGATCCTCTCCAGTGAGAATATTCTCGATATTGTTGAGCAGCCCCGAGGAGCATGCGGCGCACACAGCAGTGAGTTGCCGACGAAATTGTTTTGTGGTTGTTCGGTTGCGAAGGAAAATTTTAACGGGCAACATTTTTATGGTCGTTCAATCTCCACCGTTACATTACGTAAGCTATCTTATCGATGGGTCGGTGGGGTACTCCAAGCCCGTCAACGCCAAACGCAACTCACACGGGATCGTTCTTGACCCTTCTCTCGAATGCTGCGCCGAGTTCTGTACAACTAAAATCATTGGGGCCGCGACTGGAGTATCTGCCTCCGTGCTACGTTCGGTATGATTGTTGATGAATCGAGCACGAGAATATGGAATATGTTCCGGTCTGGGATCAGAATCACTAGCAGGGATGTCCCCCAAGCTGCATTTTGCGCTTCTCTCAACCATTAAGAAGAAACCACGAGGACGCAATTTCATGTTTCACTACAGAATCTCAGGATAGGATGAGGCATCAGGCCTTGCATTTAACTCCGATGGCCATTCACCCTACAAAAGAACCCTGCAGACGTCGATTGCAATCAATGTAACGATACCCTTTTTTGACCGTATGTAGTCTCTAGTCGAAGAGCCGTTGACGCTCGGTGCAGTGTATCGAGCGTCAACGGGTCGCCAAACGAGGACCCAACATGTTCGAACCGCTATCGCAGACGTTACCCGCACAACTTTCCGAGGCACGACAACCCGGCAGACAGACCCTCAGCTCCCGCCACACCAATACCCAGCGTTACTCCCATTCTGCCAGAAACTAAGTGATGTTCATGCCATCTCTCAGACCCAACTAACCCCCAGGATCCCTTAGCAGGGCGTGCCGCAGTACACGCACAGTCGGCCCTCGAACACCCACACCTCCAGCCCCACGCTGGCACAGGTCGGGCAGCGGACGCCGGGCATCGTCTGCGGTGGAGGCAAGTGTGTTAGTGATGGGGGGTGCTGCGTGGGGGAGGTCCTGGCTTACGCCCACCGTCTTGGCGAGCTCGGGCATGGTGGTTTTGGGGTGAGGTGCTGGAGAGGGAGGTTGACTGTATTGCGGGGGGTGGGGGTATGTGTGTCGATGTTGCGTCGGGGTTGAAGGTGCTGGATAGCTCGAGGTGAAAGCTTGGTCAGGTTATGTGCCGGGTGACTGTGCCGGGTGATAGGTGAGAGGCTGGTTATGACACCGTCAGCTCTGCTGCGGAGCGAAGTGTTTAGTGTTGAGTGTGGCTTCGAGAGAGACGCCAGTGAAATCGGACGGCCGAGGGAAGGGGTTCGATATTTTATAGCCCTCAGGGTGCTCTCAATGGCACAGCTCTTTACGTGCAATGCACCCCTGACGACGAACAGGAGATGCCTAAGAGACGAGCGGTACCCTCGGCTGCGGCGCTCGCTGTGTTTGTCGTCTATCGGAAGCGGGAAGACGCAGAGAAACCACCAACGACGCCCAGCCCCGGCAGTTCAGAGTTCCGGCTCGTGATGATGTGCTGACTCCTAAACTAGACTCGGGGGGTCAAACAGAGGGTAGCTAGACTCAAGCGGGAGTCAAACCGCCAGTGACCTTGAAACAACGAGGACAAAGGAAAAAGCAAGGACCGACCCAAGTCAAAATGACAAGTGACATAACAACACTTCATCCAGCCTTCGACAGCCAGTCGTTCCGTTTGCATTCCATCACTCACCCCGCTCTCCAGAGCAAAAGCGCCTCGTCACCACCTGCGAAAAAACCCCAAGCCCAATAATCACACGTTGCTCAGGGGTCAATAATGTCACTTATCACTATTGCCATCAGCCGTGGTAAACTTCTTTTCCTTGACGGCGTGACCAGCATCGGGAGGCTGCATGACAGCATGAGCCCGGGGCAGCCACAGACAGATATTTGTCTCCCTGCAAGGCAGAACGCTGTGCGACTCGGGGCGTTCCCGTGATGGGACACGTTCTCGGGATTGGTGGGTCGTTCCGGGTGCCGGCCTGTGTTTGTTATGTGCGGCTGCCAGCTGGGGATGGTTCCAGGTGGTTGAGTCGAGTTGCAAACGGAGGCATCCAATGGCGACAGCACGCAGTAGGGGGCTCTGAGTTGGCAACACCTGCCGGCAACAGGCAATCTCTCACTCCTTGCTCTCAAATATCATCCGAGGGAGTTTGTTGTTGAGAAAGCTCCATGGAGCCCTTGGACTCTGCTCACCCTGCGTCGCCTTTGCAAAAATACATGGGCACAAATCACCGGGGAAAAGGGAGCAAAAGCAAAGAGAAAGTCAGCTTTATTGGGTATCCTGCGCAATCCAGCCAAAAAAAACACTTCGCTCGCCGCCATATCTATGTAACTGAGAACCGTATCCAAAAAGAGCGAAAGCAGCCGACCCCTGAATGTAAGGCCCGCCGCCCAAGTTTGTTCTGTAAACCAAAAGCCCGCTTCCCGTGATACAGCGGCACCGAGACCAACCTGCCGGTCTATACATACCGAACCCCAATACTAGGCCAACCTGAAATGCCCATGCAGTAGCCAAAAAGTGATGTATGTACGAGAACCAAAAGCCGAGAAAAAATATCCCAAAAGAAAAAAGAAAAGAAAGATCGCTGGGGGGTGGCAAGCTCCCAAGAGCTCAAAGGAAAACACACCCACCCCTCAGTCCTTCAAGACCTTATTGATCTTGACAAACAACTTTCCCTCAACAGGGCTGCGTTTAAGCGGATGGTAAAGATCAACGCACCGATACCCCTGCTGGAGGCGATCTAGACGGATACAAGACCAGGCAACAACATCGCTGCCAAAGTTTCCCGAGCTATCAGCGACTTTAAACCTGTTGCACCACGTTAGCTTCCGTTTCAGTAACAATAACGGGGACACAATCCGGCCACTTACCTCACAAAGCTGAGCTCTTCGACCACGTTTTGCACACCAAAGAAATCGAGGCTCTTCGCCTCCCGCCCCCAGTCCGGGTGTTCGGTGCGGGCAGCGACCGTCTCCTGGGCGAGGTCGACCGCCCGCTGGGGCTTCTCGACCTTCTCGACGTGTAACTCAACTTTAACCTTGGGCCTGAAGCTCCGATCACTCTTGATGCCAAACCCGCTGCTTTTGCGGTCGCCGGGCAGGGGCAGGAACTGGCCCGCCAGGACGGTGATCTGCAGGTCGAGGGTCTTGCGGGGCATGTCGGCCATGGTGCACATTTCGGAAGGGGAGTTGTCGCTGAGCAGGGCGGGGGGCTTGAGGACCCAGCCGTTGGTGCCGGCGAACATGGCGTCGTTGATCAGCATGCCCTCATCGCTCTTCTGCCAGTTCATGGCCACCATCTGCACCCCTCTGCGCCAGTGGAAGCTCGGGTCCGGGTTGCTGCTGTCGACGCGGAGGCCCTTGGGGTAGATGCGCATGAAGAAGTCGCGGTTGTGTTTGAGCATCTTGTGGAGTTTGCAGGGGTCTTCGGTCAGGGCCTCGAAATTGTCCTCGCTCAGGCTAAAGATGTGACCTGGTGACTGGATTTTGTTGAGAGAGTTGTCGTCGTGGTAATGCTCGCTGTGTGTGTAAATTGCTAGGTCTGCGAGGGTCTTGGAGATTGGCGGTTTGCCGTTGATGGTGGGGATTGAGATGCTCCGTCCTCTCTCGAGATCACCCTCAAGCCGGGTAGGATCGAAACGCTTCGCTTTGATCAAAATCTTATTGTACAGCTCCTCTAACCGCGGTTGGCGGTGAGAGGGATCACAGGACTCGAAATGCTTGTCTAATAACAAGCCCTCCCACTCTTCTTTCATGATATCTACCATGACCTCTTGCTGTTCGTGGTCCGCACCGACCTCGAGGCTGATGATGATGGGAAGTGGGTTCCTCTCAAACGCGCTCTCTCGGATGGCCTGGCACACCTCCCGGAAGCCCACGGTCGAGGTCATGGTGCCGTGGTGGTGCACTACCGGCTCGACTCTCTGGTTCGACCGTGACGAGTCTCTGGACTTTTCGAGGCGGTCGCCCAAGTCCTTCGGGTCGAGGGTGGTGCCGCTCTCTCGAGGATCTATTGGTGGCAAAGGCCCCTGAACGGCACTCGGGCTGCGGCTGTGGTTTCGGCTTATTCTGGATCCAACGAGCGCATCAAGCCTCTCTCCGGCAAAACGTGGAAGGGAACCGGACGAGAAGTGTCGTTTGTGTCCTGGATCCGGTGACTTGGACGAGGTCCTGGGAGGTGATCCGTTCCAGACGTCGATTTCAATGCAGCGACAGCCGTTCCTCAAGACCTGCACGGGCTTGTCAGTAATGTGTCGCAATGTATTTCAAGCGTCCATGATACTTACAGCACGGTAAGCCTCGGCCGAGCTCTTGGAAGAGAGCTGGTTGCCTTCGAGGTAAGTATTGTGGCTGCTGCTGATGAAATAATTGCTCAGTGGCCGTGTGGGATCAACCTCCTTTTGCTGCTTCTCTCCAGCGGCCCGCCAGGCCGACTCGTTTTGGCTCCATAGCCAGAAGAATTCGTCGAACTTGTAATAGTCAAACTTTTGGGATTTATCCTCCTTAGGGCCTAGGAATATGGGTTCGACTCCTTGCGTCTCTCTCAGGAAAGCCTCGAGCTTCTCGCGTGATAGCAGCGTGTGGCCCTTGCCTTTCTTGACCTCGTCGTCGAAAACGTGCCTGACGTGCTTCTTGAAGCACTCGTGGAAGCTCGAAGTAATTTGGACGCCGGTGAGTGCCTTGACGTTGAATGCGAGTGCCGCGACAATAACCTCCCGCATAACATGCCTTCCATGAATAGGTGCGCCGAGTCCGAAGGTGGTGGTCATGCGGCGGACGAAGTTCGACTTCTCCTCCCTGCGAAACTGTGGGTGGAATGGCCCGGTCAGCAGTTGTCCTATCTCTCGAATATACCATGATTAGAGTACTGAGGGTATAGTTGCCAAAAGCTTACCCAGAGACAGCCCATTTTGGCAGAAGAGTGTCAATTGACAAGCTGGCTAGAAAGTCGAGTTTTAGTGTTCAAGTTTGGCACCGCAGCCTCGCGGTTGGCGTCGGGGGAAGTTGCAGGTCAGGACATCGGTCTTGGAGGGAAGGGGCAGCCGGTTGCCCTCGTAGGACGGGCGGCTGCAAGTGGTGAACCTGACACAGAACCGGCACGAATGGTTTTTGATGTCAGACCAAAAGTAGTCGGCTGAGGGAGGAGGAACTCGTCCAGTTCAAGAAAACAGGACGCAGGGTGTCTAAAACCGATGCAGCACCCGACAAGGATGTCAGCAATACCGAGAAATGGTTCAGCAGCTATGTGGGTCCCGAGAGTGATCTCCGCAGCGTGAGGTCGGTCGTCGGCCAATTGCTTCGCCAAATGGTCGCCAGAGAGCGGCCCGGGGCTGTGGTTCGACGGCAGCACTCCAAGACGACAAAACGGGCACGACCGAAGCGGGACACTTGGAAGCTGTCCATCGATCGAACGCGACGGGATTTGGGCAGAAATTGAGGCTCTACAACCCGGCCAGACTGACCAAAACACGTCCCGAGACCATTCAGACCAAAATATTCGTACCTGTTGGATTTTGTCTAAGCGAATGTGGGGATCAGGACCCTCGTTCATCTCATGGATCTCACCATCTCATCTGCTTGAAGCGTTCCAGGCCGCGATAAGAGCAGGGCTCCAGGACTCTCAGAGCCCCAGTAAACGACTGCCTGCACCCATCCAGTGCCATCCAAGCAGGGCTGTGCATGCAACGAGGTGGGCCCTTCTCCAACTTCCCACTTCCAGCCCGTTTGGAATGTGGGACGCAGTTGCATGCGCCATCAGCCCTACCACCTCCCGTCTGGTCCGCCATGTCGTCGACTTGCCCGAGTCGGGGCTGCCGAGGGGCATCGTGGCTGTGCAGCCGATGAAGCAAGAGAGAAGCAGTTTAGAGTTGAGCCTCGTCGAGACAGCGACCGCAGCCAGCCACGGGTGTCACGGCCCAACAGTGGACTTGGTCCATCCCCGCCAATAGCACCATCTCGAAAACAAGCAACCTTGATTCTGCCCTGCGGCTCAATATGCCAACAATCCGAATCACCTGAGGAGCGCAGTCACCGCGTTTCCCAAGTTGGAGTTTGTTCCATGGTCGTGCCGGCCGCCAAAACCACCTAACCGGGCAGCCCACTCACCAACCAACTCTCCCGTCACCCCAAAAAACCATTTGTCACCCCAATCGCGCCCGCAGCAGCGCGGTGGTATCCGTGACAGATGGCCATCTGCGCGGCCCCCAAAGAAAAACGACAACAAAACTCCCGAGTCACAGCCACAACCGGCGCTGCCCGCTCTGCAGCTTGAGGTGGCTCCCCCAGACGTCGCCGACGAGACGCCACCCGCCAGCGTTTCAGCAGCCTTCGTCCACGAACGTTGTCGATCATGGTCCGCGGACTACCCATCAACGAACGCCCTCGGTAAATGCGCTGAATGATAAATAAGATGCTTGTTTACTGTCGAGTGGAGTAATGAAGGCGCTGAGCCGTAATAGTAGAGCAATGAGCGAGCGTGCTGCACGGGAGGCGGGGATGCTATGCATGGCTTCTGAATTCAAATTCTGGGTGCGCATTGCCCCGCCTCACCAACGACACGACTGCAGCTTCCCCAACGCATCACATCACCCTCCGAGGCCGCCGTGTATCACTTTCCAAGTCACGTATCATTTTCTCTGCCGGTATAATATTCTCATATCACTCGTCCTATTTATTTGTACATTTTCCTTTTACTAGAATACACATCCCAACCACCCAGATGTCCAAGTCGCGATTCCAGAAGCCCAAATCTCCAGGGTATATATATATACGTAATGAGATTGCTCGCCGTTTCGGCGAGCGCCTGCCCAATCCAAGAAAACATAAACAAAACAAAAAAGACCCGCCATCAAAATCCCGTATGACAGTCCTGTAGTCCTGTTCCCAGCCGCTGACCGGCTGCACGAGCTTGTTCGAAAAGAAAGTCAAGAAGGATGGATAGGTGGTTGTGCCGAAGGACGACCACCGAGGTATAGCTGAAAAGACAGTAACGCCGCCAATGCAGGATATCATGTTTTGAATGGATGTTGACAAAAGAAACGTTTTGCGGTAAAAAGAATTGAGACCGGTCAGCCCCAGATCGGGGCGTGCCGGTAGGCGGGAGAGTTGTAGCTGTGGAGCACGCGGTATGGCGCATTCGGTCCGTTCCGATCCCCCATGCTGCGGTTCCGGTAGTGACCCCGGGACACGTACGGCGGGGTCTGCCCGCTCTGGTACCACTGCCCGGCAGCGGCGTCGACCTGGCTCCTGCTCCACGTGGCAGCGGCACCCAGCTGCCCTTGGCTGCGCGGGTCATATGCCGGCTTGGTAGGGGCGGTGTAGCCGTTGGACATGGACGGAGGGTGTCCGGCTTGTGGAAACCGCTGCTGGTAGCCGTAACCGTCGAAGCTCGCGCGGTGTCTGAGTGTCTGCTGTGCCGCTTGGACCTGCCACACATGGGCGTTCACAGAACGGTAAACGCCCTCGCTGTGAATCGACGAGATTGAGTTGTGCCGGCTGCCGCGGTTGGTAAAAGTCCGAGAGCCGGTCATGCCAGAGTCGGCCTGCGCCTCTCGAACCGGAGAACTGTACGGCGAAGTCTGAGAACTGTGCTGCCGGAATGACTGGAGCCGCCGGGGGTCCATAGAAGTTACGCTCTGCGATCTCGAGTGTGCAGAACCGCTTCCTACTCCCGGTTGGCTCGAGGAGCAACTGTAAATACTCTCCATGCTGTTCTTTCGGCTGAGACTAGGCGGCACGCGAAGCGATGGGGGCCGTCTCGCTGTGCTGGTCGACTGGGGCGTTCCATTATTCCTCTCGGCCAACAATGCCTTAGCGACTGGGCTAGGAAGCGGGGGAGAAGGAAGGTCTGCCGTGGAGTGAAGCAAGTTGACGTCGGAGCCGCGACGGCCCAGCGTCATCCCTCGCTCCCCTAGGTATGTAAGGCTCAAGGTCCTTCTACCTGATTTCGCGGGTAGGGTAGGAGCCTCGGCATCCACCGGGGATGTAATATCACGGGCGCGATCCTCGCGGCTGTTGTTGGCAACCCGAGCGCTGTCTGTCGTTGACTCCTGGCGGACTGGGACCGGCTTTCGGGTTATCGTCTTTCTCGGAGTGCTATGTGTCACAGGGCTGGTGCTGGAAGTGGGTATGGGGCGTAAAGTTGGTTTCCAGATGCTTTCTCTACTCTCAAGACCATCCACAGTGTTGACAGCCTCGAAGCTGGCCTCGATGCTTCCGACACTGAAAATCGTTTTCAACGTATCGAGACTGGAACGCGATTTCAATGCCAGCCTCTTGGCTGCTGAAGGAAACCGGACAGCTTGGGGCAAAGGTCGAACGCTATCTTGTTCAAGACCCTGCGTGGCGTGGGTTGTCGGCGAGCCAGCGGTGGGGCGACGAGCTCCGCTCAATAGCCGCTGCAAGCGGCCGGGCTGCCGGGCGCCGCGCGGAGATGCTGATTTGTCCGAGATGGAGGACTTCGCGCTCTCTGGACTGCGGAGTTCCGATCCCGGTGACATCGGCCCCCCGGCTCGAGATAGACGGGTAGCAATCGGACTTAGCGCATGCCTCGCCGTCCTGGTTGAGTTCGCCCTGCTCTCCTCCGCCGGGTCTGAAACGGAGACGTTGTTCCTCGGTGTGGTGTTTAGTCTTGGCTGGGGAACCGAGGAATAACGAGCGGCATCTTTGGGAGGGACGGGCGGCGGTGAGTCTCTTTCAGGCGTTGTTGGAGAGTGCGCATTGGTTCGGTGTAATGGGCTTTGGCTTCCCGAGCCCATCGGCTCGCCCCTTGAATTCGATGATGGCGATAGCGGTTTCCCCGGGGTGGCGGGATTCGGTCGATTCTCAGAACCTCGAGGTTTGGTTTGGAGCGAGCGTAGCGATACGTTTGAGCTGTATCCGGAATCTGCCTTTGCTAAGAGCTTGTGGGAAGCCTCAGACGCCGGGCTTGCCGTGGAAACAAAACCACTGTCATTCCTTGTCATGCTAGCGCATGTAACCCGTTCGGACTGGGCGTGCGGTGGTTTCGCGCTGGGGTCCAGGCGAACGTCCAAAACCTCAACCGAAGAATACTCTGGAGATGACTCGTGATCAAAAAGGTGAGCCTCCTGGGCGGTCATTTTGGAGGTCGTCTGGAGTGCTGGGCTTGTCAGCTGTAGTTGGATTGGCGATGAGGACGGGCTCTGGCTGATTTCGGCGAGAAACTTAGGAGACTGTGCAGATTTCTGTGTCTCAACAGCGGTGGTGAAGCTGGCCTCGCTGTCCTGTGCCCTCGCAATGCAGTCATCCCGTGCTATGACATGGCCTGCACCCCATCCGCCGTTATCACGAGCCTTGTCGATGTCCGGGGTTACTGGACTTGGGGAGCCATTCGTGATGCGGAGCGAACCGAGCTTAAAAGCCCCAATGGACAGGTATTTGTCTTCACATGGCGTTGCCGCTCGCGTGGCGGAATCCGAATCGAGAATGGGCGGCGGCATCGACATGATCCCGCTCCTGTACGACTCCACTGACTGCTTCCGGGACAAATTAGGCGTTGGGGGGAGGCTATGGCGGGCCGGTCGCGGCGGGGGCGGAATGTCACGGACTGAATTCGACCGAGTGGCTACGCCGGGGGTCCGAATGGTTGACCGTCTCCGAACCGGCATGTACAACGAGACGTCCGAGTTTGTGCGGGTGATTGGCGCGCTGGGAGGGTGGGCCGGGTTTGAGCTCTTCCATGTGGTTTCCGTGACCGGTGGCACCCTATTCTCCGACATAGTCGCGGCGTGCTCAAGCTGCGGTTCCTCCGCTAGATTGAGCAGGCGTTTCGCTTCGTACGAGGTCAAATCGTAATTCCAGGACTTGTGAGATTCAGATCGCGGTAGCTGGCTGTATATGCACCAAGTGGTCAGTCATGGTTATATTCCGAAGACGGGCCCTCGAGACGTACCCCTCAGCAGGATCTGTCTGTCCATAGTACGCCACCGCAGACTCGTATGTCATTGAACTAGCCCTGGTCATTGAGCTAGCCCTGGACATCCTGTCCGCCATTCGCGAACCCAACCCGCCGGTCAGGCTCGGCTGAGCGGAACCAGCAGCCCGCGTCGACCTGGAGCGAAACAAGCTCCTGCGCTTCGATTCTTTCGGCGGAGTTGGCGCTGAATGGAGCGGCGTGCCACTGTCCATATGCCGGACAAAACCACCCGGCACCTCGCCGGCAGACGACGTTGTCGGTGTCGAGGCAATTGTCGAGGACGGTGCGGGAGGATTGGGCAGGCGGGCATTGGAAACTTGGCGGGAGTTACTCGAGAAAGCACCGGGGCTTAGGAGGCCGGATGTCGCATGATTGCCCGTCTTCGGCTTCGACAGCCTCTGGGAAGTCCTCCTGGGCGCCTCGGCGGACTGAGCATTGCCCATGGTGTCAGGGCGGCGGCAGGGTGATGGGCTATGCGGTTATTGCTTGTCCATGCCGCAAGCCAGGGGATCCCACGCGTGCTTAGCGACGGCAATACGGCGCTTCATGTATGGGGGAGGGGCGGCGGAAGAGAGCAATAAAGTAAAGACACGGGATTTGGAAACGTGGTGGGAGAAAGCATCAGCGGGGGTGGTCGGTAATGACGATGGACAAGAACAGCAACAAATATCAAAGTGAAGATCCAAAAAAGAAAAACTAGCAGAAACCGGTCTGGCTGGCCCAATTGCTGTTTCCCGCTGTTTCAATGGGTCCAGACTCCCAGGCTATCCATGAGCTCATGAACTCGCCCAAGATCTGAGACGCCGACCTGCGCAGTCCTCGAGAGGAAGTCGCAAGGAGGAGGTCGGCGCAAGAACCTGATGTGCAGGTATCCGCCCGGAAACAGTCGCCCGTCATTCCAAGTCTTGGATGTTACATCCACTGCATGCGCCTGCCTCAAGCAGGGGGTTTCCAGGCAGGCAAGGAGCTTGCCGGAAGAGGCTTGCAGGGAATCTGCGCCTGCTGCAAAGCCCGATCCGAAAGTGGGTCTTCGCACCCTCAAGCACGTTAGCGTCATGGTATTTGGTTGTATTTGAGTGGAGTCGACGATCGTTTGCGATGACGCCAATTCAGCTCTGCAGTTTCTGCCAACAAGCCGGGACCTTTTTGAGTCTGCTCATTCAAAATAATCCCTAGTTATCAAACTCTAACCGTGCTGTGGACGTGCTGCGGCCACTGGGCGGGTGGGCGAGTTGTTGATCAGGGCCATCCAGACACGTGCCCGACTCGGAGCATCCCATCTCAGGGGCCGCCATAGAAACGCAGGCACACACCTGCATTGGAGAAATTGGGCAGGCGTCTGATCTCTGCTTCCCGGCCTCCTGATTTCGCTTCTACCCAGAAGTGCTGAAGAAGGCTGGCTGCCAAAAAGACCCAAGACAAATAAAACAAAATGGTGTTTCCAGCACTTCAACCTGCATGCCGAGACTCGGTGAGGTGTGGTAGGTGGGCTGGGAATATTCGGCTTCCTTCAGACGAACACGATTACTTACACAGTACACAACACCACCCAGTCGAGGACGCGATTCCGTCTTTTGGGATGAGGTGTTTCAGATGCTGACCTAATCTGGCCGATGTTCGCTTCGAGCCGCTTGTCTTCACTCGGCAGTCCCCGGCCCCAGACTGTTTTCGGTCGCCCCCCCCCCCCCCCTGCGTTCATACCGATGCCGCCATGAATGGCCAATATGAGTGCCACTATTCGTACCCTCCACGGTCACCACATCCGGGATGCTCCAACCCCGGAAGGACGGTAGAGATGCAACCGGGCAGACTGGGAGCTCAATTCCAAACACAACGAGTGCGTCTGCTTCTCACTAAGAATCAATCAACCTCCTTCCGACTCTGGCTCTACGGTTCGGGAAATAGTGTACGTCGTCAGGGATATTTTGGCCCCTCGTTCTTGCTCGCCAGCCGAGCCAGCGCACCATCGCCCGACCCCGCAAAATAAGGCCCCCAACCAGAGGCCCAGGCTGATGGCTGGGGTGGAACGCTGCAAGGGGTCTTGAAAGAAGAGAACGTCATCTTTGCAGCGGTGTTAATCCTGCAATGAGACAGGAACACGAAAACAGCCAACAACAAACCCCCGGGTTCAAGCCAGACAACTCTCATCCATTCCGGCAGCCCTTTGATGACTTTGTTCCCCTTGTCCGTTCGTTTTCAGCTGCCAACCTTGCGAAGAGTGTCTCGCCGACTATCTCACCCCAAACGACCTGCGCACCTGCTTTCCGGGAGCGTGGAGACAACGAAATGGCACAGCCTCCCCGAGCCCTTCGACATGACTATTGTTGTCTCTTGAATCCGGAACCAGGGCCTTTGTCACGAGTCCCGGGCTGACAAAGTTTGACACCACATCAAGGATAACCGCAGGAGGCGCTTGCGTTTCTCCAATGTGAATTATGCGCGGGGGTGGCTGCGAACACACTGGCGGTCAAGCAACAAACGCAGACAAGACTTCAAGCACATACTTGTACTCTGTACATTCTTACAGGCCGTCCGGATTGGATACCGTACTGAAGGGCCGCGCGGATGTCTCGACCTGGTCAAATGGAAAGGCGAACAACCGACGGGCCGGACGGTCGAGATGGCGGGTTGCTGAGCGCAACACGTGAAACACATGGCGAAAACACCATCTTTCACCAAATCCCGGTCCGATAGGTCAATGATCGCTGATCGGGGCCCAGTCCGCGGATGGCCGCATCCACTGGCAGCCATTCCGCCACGCGTCTGGAGAAGATGGTGAATCATGGACTGAGGATGATCAACAACGAAGTCCCGCACTCCATCATCACAAAACAAACCCCACGATTTCGTTAGTGTAGTGCTTCACAACCCTGTCCGTCGTCGGCACTTGTTTCCGCCGAGGCAGGGGTTTTGATGAAGCGCCGAAGTACCGACCCACCGACCCCAGATTCCCAGCACACCGAGTTTGCTTTGTCTGGCATCATCCCCACAGAGGAAGATCGAGACCCTTGCCAGTCTTGTCCCTTCTCATCTCATTCTTCAACTCCCAATATCAAAACCTGATAATGCTCTGTGCGCTTCAAAGTCGGTCTTCTAGTGCCTGATTGGCGCCTCGAGACGCGGCTGCATAAATTGCAAAACCATAACAACATGGCGGCAAAATGCCATGAGACGGCCGTGACCAGGCGGCCAACCGCCATAGCTACATACATAGCTTGCGCAGGACGGGAATGTCCTAGGTCCGGTATAACACAGTATCCATGGCTTTATCAACCAAGCTTTTTTGTGCGACACAGACACGGGAGTTAATACGCGGCCCCATATTGTCGCCCAGCCCGTCGCCGGAGAGCGCATGACCAAGCAACGTCCCGTGCGCCTGAAGAGGAAGGCAGCAGCGAGTTATGGTTACCTTCCCAGTGGCAGGAACAATCGCATGCCTGCCGACCAAACTCGACTCGACTCTTTTCTCTGTTTTCTATTTAACTGAGACTAAAAATGACAAACGCGAACGCACCACCGCTCCACCGCCGACCCGGCCTCCAGGCTGTAATCGGTCGAAACAAGGAGTCAACCCTTGAAACTTTCCATCCCAACTCCCGTCAGACACAATTGGCGAGCTCGAAAAAGGCAGGTTGTTGCTGCCTGTGGGTTTAGCCGCGACGAAGGACCCCTTTGGTTTTGTTCGGACACGGTACTGAGTTGTCCGGATTGTACGAGTGCGTGCCTTGTTTACAGACCGGACCAACCCCGCAAGTCGAGAACTTGGGAAGTGGTACAGATTACATACGCCGAAGGGCCGCAACCGTGTGACACGACACAACAGGTTGGGGGTGCATGCTCTCTTTGCTCCTAGTCTGGGTTGTTGATGACGACGTCCAGTCCCATGTGAGACAATCGTCTAGGGCGGCGAGCTTAGACACACACACCGCTGCGTCATTGAAGGGATACTTGGGTCCATCACTAGGTAGTTATTGCGGTGGCTGTTACTCTCCTATCACGTACGTACAACCCTCGGCGCCCATCCACACCTCATGGACGCGGCCGGCAGCCACATCGATGCGGCCCCCTACACCGTAAGTCACTTGCTTCTTCCTCTCTTCAGCATCCCCGTCTTCGGGATATGCAATCGTGAGCTGTCCCTTGAGAATGAGGTGGGTTGTGAGGCCGGCGTGGGAGTGAGGTGGATAATCTGGAGTGGCGTGGATGTTAGTGTTGAAGAGGCTGGTATGCATATGCGGCTAGAGGGTGATTGAGTTAGGCGGACAACACATACGTGCATTAGAGCCGTCGGTCCAGGTGAAGACGTGTGGAAAGCCCCAGGAGCGGACTTCGGTCTCGGCTTCTTTTTGGGTCTTCATTATAGTCGTGTATCGCACTCGATAAATGAACAATGCGGTGGCAAAGTTGATTGGAGTGTGAGAATCCGGAGCGGTGGACGAGAGAGCTTTCGGCGGGGCTGCAAGCCGGTGCGGGGCATCCGGCCCCGAAGTCTGCCGATCCATACACCGGTCGGTGGAGCTAGCGGCCGGACTTCGAATCCGCGGGACTCAAGCACAACCACCATTCATCAGGGTGGGTACGCCGCATTCTGACTTCCCGTGCACAACAGGAGAGCGTATCAATGATCAGGAACGGTTCCCTTCGGCGTTCGGTTCTCCGTAGAACGTTATGATATCGGAGGTCAGTTCGTGGCCAAGTTTGCCGGGTATCTTGATTTTCCTTGAGAGAAGATGCAAATCGCCATATATCGTACACCGACAGCTTAAAACCTGCACTGCACCGATCCGTTAATATCCCACAGTTCCGAATACATTCTCGATGCATACACCATCATCACCCCCGCCCGCAGCAGGCTCATAATCAACACAAAACCACCTCACCCCCACCTCCCATCCATCACCCTTTCTTCTCCCCCGCTGACCTCTTCTCCCCCCCCCTCCAACCCCTTCTTCTCCGCCTCCAACCCCTCCAACGCCTTCTCCCCCCCCAGCCCAAACGTCGACACCATCCACTCCGCGACCTCCCTCTCGGCGGCCTCATCCCGCTCCCCACCAGCCTCCACAATCGACCGGCGCGCGTAGCGGCGCAGGTCCTCCATATCCGCGATATCCAGCGCCCACGACGCGCCCCCCGCGGCCGTGATGGCGAAGGCCATGGTGTTGAGGGTAGCCAAATTCAGGGCCTCGAAGGCGACCATGGGGTCCTTCTTGTTGGGCAGGTCCTTCTCGGACCGCCACACGAACTGGTTCGGCTGGTAGAACTTGAGCCGCGCCGCCAGCTGGTGGCGGATCGCCGCGCGCCGGGAGACCATGACGGAGAGGTAGAAGCAGCCCGCGCCGCCGAGGAAGAGGGTCAGCTGCTTGAGGGAGCGGGCGGAGAAGTAGTGGGCGTAGTAGTCGATTTGTTGGGGGTTTTGGCCGGGTGGTGGGAGTGGTGATGATGGCTGGCCTTGGTGGGGTGGGGCGGTTGGTTGGGCTGGGGTTGATGCCGGTGGCGAGTATGGTGTTGATATTGTTGATGCTGAGGTTGGTGCGGTAGGCGGTGTTTTATTGTCCCCTTGGCTCGCCGGAGTGACCCCCGTGAGCGAGCCGATCAGGTATGAGAGGACACCCATGGCTGGTGGCGGGCGGAGGAAAGAAAAGTCACCAGTTTATGATGGCTAAAGCGGGCTCTAATCCAAGTGGGTTTGCACGACAAACGCACCGTTGACAGCACACTTTATGCCAGGTGCTGTTGTTTGCAGTGTTGAAGTCGATTTCAGAGAAAATGCTGAGAAGGGCTCGGCCGAAGCTTCGCCAAGCAACCACCAATGCACATCCCTGTGGGTCCATCTCCTTGGCAGGGCAGAGGTAAGTGGTTTCCCTAACCCCCGCGATCTGCCATCACAGCCTGGAAGTCAGTCAACACCAACATCTGACTGTGGAAACTGGTCGATGGTCCGCGACGTAGGTTAGAGGATATTTGACTGCTACAAGGCCCTAATCGTTAATTTCTTCTCTGTACCTTACCTCCTTACAACACCATTCCCCACAACCCATCTCCTGTTAGGAGGGACACGTTCTCTCCCCTAACCCGAGAATAGTAGTCACTCAGCAAGCAAAGAGTGTTGATCCATTTCAAGGCCACGGTTAATAAAAGAGACAGGCAGTGGCTTAAAAATTACGTATCAAATAATCACTAAATATACCTCGAGGAAGAGGCCGTGTTCTGTTAACGTGGATGCCCAGATGGCCGCGTGATTTGCATCGATTTGGGCTGTTTTTGGCCCCGCAGCGTCTCTCGACTCTTCAATCGCCAGCAACTTCGCATTAACTCAGCCCAATCACTTTGATCCATCTAACCTCGATCGAGTACGAGGACAACCGCAGCGGTTAACCACCACCTCCTTTATTCTTTTACGGGTTCAATCTCTAGCAATGGGTAAAGACAAGCGCTCCAAGGTGCCTGCCCCGCCTCCGACTACAACTCCGGTCGCTACAGCAGCAACACCCTCCTGGCCGCCATTCAAACCCTCGCTTCCCATTGTCGATCTTACGCTTGAGTCCCTCGTCAAAGATAAAGTCGTGGTGCTTAGATCCTTCTTCCCGCGCTCCCTCTGCAGAGACTACGTCTCCTTTCTTCGGGAGCTGCCGCTCATCACCACCCCCGGCAAACCCAAGCGTGGCGACGCCGTGAGGGTCAATGACCGCTATCAGATTGACGATGCCAAGTTCGCTCATCGGTTATGGACCGAGACGGGGTTAAAGGACGCGCTTGCAGGCAAGGATGTGGCTCACTTGTGGTGGGTTAACCTTCTCCCCTCGACTAGAAATATCCCGAGTAGACTAACGGAACGATGAATAAAAAGGGGCGGGGATGTCGTCGGGCTCAACCCCAACATCAGAGTCTACCGCTACACCGCAGGACAGTTCTTTGACGCTCACTGCAAGTAGCCCAACCCCTGACCACCACCTGAATCTTAACACGCCTGCTCCCACATTTACACATCTACTCACTGATCGATTCCTCACCAATATCCATAACCCCAAGGCCCCGTACTGACCCCAAACCCTTATAGACGATGACTCCAACACCGTCGCCCTCAAAACCGAAACTGGTGGGTCTCTCCCAGCTCGAACAACCTGGACGCTCCTGCTCTACCTAACCTCCTCCGCCGATGGCTGGTAAGTAGCCCCTCTCTCACTCCATCCCCGAGAGGAAACCATCCCACACCTGACCCGACCTACCCAACCAACCAATACTAACCTACCCACCCGGCGCCAGCACCGGCGGCGAGACAGTCTTCTACCCACACGACCGACGCTCCGCCAAGGAAGAGATCGCTGTAACCCTCGAGACAGGCATGTTACTGCTACACAAGCACGGGCACGACTGCATGCTGGTGAGTGTGGCCCCCGGAATGGTTGTCTCTCCTGATTTACCACCCCCATCCCTCCTTCCTTCCTTTTCCCTTCCCACCCCTCCATTCCCCACACACTGCACCAACCAGCCAGTCAATCAGTCAAGCAAACACAACTGGCATACCCATGCCTTGATCTTGATCCTGCAGAGAGTATATCTAGACAGAGAGCTGACCAACGTCCTTTTCCGCATCCAATAGCACGAAGGGAGGGAGGTAACCGCCGGGGAGAAGTGGGTTATCCGAACAGATTTGTGTATCAAGAGGTGAAATGGAAGAGGTTAAGCATAGGTGAGCGTGGTATGAGTCTCAGAGCAGGTGGTCACCGGAAAGGGACGAGTGCAATCAGCAGACAGGCACGACGCCGTCAGCATGGTCAAAAGAAACGTATCAATTCCGCAGCTAGCTCGGTAAACTATGGCCCAAGTTCCAAGATGCAACCCGCCCAAACCATATCGCGAACCCATGATAGGCGCCCGGTTCGTAGATAGAAGGAAGATAATGGACCAAGCCAGCCACTCCACCCCCCCGAAACGCCGTTTTGCCCTCGCACGATACCACCTGCGCCGAAGCCACACCAACTTTTCGTTCCCTTTGTTTACAACACATAGGTACTCAACAACATCGTGTCTCCCCTTTATTCCTACCAAACCCCCAACCTTCTCCCAGCGCTGGAACGATCAAGCAACTCGATCAAGCAAGCCGTCCAAGCAACTCAATCAGCCAAGCCGATCAAGCAAGCCGATCAACCAAACCGCGCAGCCCGCTCTAGCGCCGTCTCCCCCTCCACCTCAATGACATCATCCTCATACTCCACCTCCCCGTCCGAGGCGTCACCACCACCACCACCACCACCACCGCCACCATCACCAAGCTCCTTATCCTCCACCACACTATCCCTCGCCGGAGCAAACGGATCAACATACGCCGGAAGAGCAGCAGCAGCAGCCGCAGCAGCAGCAGCCTGACTCTGGCTCTGGCTCATACCCGGGCCCAACGCATAGCCACCCACTCCACCTCCACCTCTACCCACGCCCGCGCCCGAGCCTACGCCCGCAGTCGAGCCGGAGCCAGAGCCAGACCCAGACCCAGACCCAGACCCAGACCCAGAGCCGGCGTCCCCATCCCCCCACAGCTCAGCCTCGCTCAATCTCTGACCGCCCGCGCGCAGCCCGCAGAAGGACGGCATGGTGATATACTCGACGGGCAGCCACTCGAATTCCGCTTCTGCCGGCGGCCCGACGACCGGACCCAGAACCGGTGCGGTGGTGAGGCGGTCCCAGCTTCTCGCGTTCGAGTCCGAGATGGCGGTCGACGCCGCGTCCGGACTGCTAGGAGTGGCTTCGCCCCTCTCCGCGTGGACGGTGGCAGCGGTTGCTGCTGGGGCTGCTACTTCGTTGCGGTTGGTTGGCTGAGCGAGTTCGGCGGTCTTCACGGGATCCGGTTGGGCGGAAACTTTGACCGGTGTGAGACAGGCGGTAAAGTCAGGGGTCGCGTCCGTGTCTGATGAGAGGAGGTCTAGGAGGGCTAAATCTGCAGCATAGCCGTTCAATTTCGACGTTGGGGGTTCCTGGATGATACCAGGGATCTCCGGGGTAGACGACCCGGCATCTAAAGCGGTGTCCAGATCCAGAAGAGACGGAAAGTCGCCTGCCGCCTTTCGCGCCTCTTGCTCCGGCTTCGATGTGCTCTCGGACGCAGCATCCTCCGAAGGGTCAGGGCTAACGGTGTCTTCGTCGTAGTAGATCCCATCGTCGCCATCGTCGCTATGGCGGAACAAATGAAGTATCTCCCCGCGGTGGATAAATTGGCCGTCGCTTGTCTTGGTATAGCCCATCTCCGCGAGATCGAAGCCCGTTTCCGGTTTCGTTACCTTGGGTCCATTGGGCATCGGGTTCACAGATGGCGGAACGATACCGAGGTCCGCCAGGTTGGGAAGCCTCTCGGTGCCGAGAGCAATCTTGCCCAAGTCGTCCGGGAACAGCCATGGGAAGCTGATCAGCGGCATCGAGCGCGCGGTGACCCGCCGCAAGCCCACCGTCCCATCCGGGAGCACATGGGGCTGGCGGGCCTCGTGTAGCGCGATGCGCGTTTCCTCCCACGTAACCTTGTACATGGCAGCAATGAATTCCAGTTTGATGAAGCCATGCTCCTCCACGACTTTGAGGCACAGGTCGCGAAACTGTTTCTTGTGACCGGCTGCCTCGCGACCGACCTTCTCCTGGATCTTGTAGTCGGACCCAACCCGCGGTTTGGTCATGACGAACGTCGCCCAGACCTCGAATTCAGTCCTAATCTCAAGCTGACCCATGATTCTGCGCATGGCGATGTCATACTGGGTTTTGATCTTTCTGGCCTCCTTGAGCAGAGCATGGTTCACCTCAAACCGCTTGAGGATGCGGTCGTCAAACGGCAGAGTGTAGTTCTCTCTGTTGTCAAAGACGTCCTTGTCGACCATGTCGTAGAGCTTCCCCAGAACGCTGGTCGATTTATAGGACTTTGCTCTGGGCTTCTCCATAAAATGGGGATACCTGCGAGGGTCAAGCTTCTTGTTCCATCGGGCAGGAGTTCCCGTCTTGACGTAGTCGACCGCCGTCGAGTGTAGTTCAGCAAGCTGAAGACCTGTAGTAGAGGTTTCATTAGAGGGCTTCTCCACGCAAACAAGCCCATGGCAACTCACATTTCCAGTGCTTTGCGCCCATAGCTTCGTAGTCAGCCGTGGCGAGGTGGGCATGCGCGATCAGGGGCAACCTGTCATTCTTCATGAACAGAACGAAAAAGAAAGCTAGGCTCTTAGCAATTGACGTCCGCGATTCGGTCAGCGGCTCTGGCGCGCTATAGTTCATGGGAGGATGGCTCCACTCCGTCGGGATGAGTTTGGGGTCCCAAATCACGAAGAAGTCGTCCCCGTCTAGGTCGCCGCCGGAACACATGCTTGGCACATCCCTATCCCCTTTCAGCGGAAAGACCACGACGTCCCGAAGGTGCCGTAATTTGGGTACGTCCACGGCCTCTACCACGCGGATATCGCCGGGGTGGAGGGATGGGTTGCGCCCGACGATGCAAATGCCCGTGACGACCTTGTACGCATTTCGCTCATCTGGATCAGGCACTTGGAGGAAGATCTGGGGCAGCTGATCCTGAGTGAGATTATTCCGGCCCTCGGTTGCCTGCGAATGACCCCTCAGAGTCCCCGTCTCGTCGGCGCAGCCGAGCAGAAAGGCGCCTTGGTCCACGATAAGCCTCGCTTTCTCTTTGAGGCCTTTGATCGACCAGGAGCGCCAGAGCTGGAGAAGGGTCCGGACAAAGGGCTCGCGCGTGTGCATGAATCCGCTCAAGACCATTGTGGCGATGGTTGTCGTCGTCATATTCTCGTCCACATACTTGCTGAGTAACTCAATGGCCTTGTTTTCGTTCGTCATAGCAGCGTCGTAACTTGCAATCTGCGTAGCCATCATGTCGATAAAGACGTAGTCGGGAACCCCCAAGCACGAAAGGACCAGGATTGTTTGTCGATTCAGGGTCGGGCAGGAGAAATGAGAACACCGAATGATCTCCAAGCCGTTGTATTCGGCAGAGAACTTCTCTTGCGACGGTCGGACGTGAACCTCGGTTCCTTTGGCGTCCGGCCAAGTCACTAAGACGCCCTTGCAGCCACCCATCCGGAACTGAAATGCTGAGGGAGGAGTGTCGATCTTCCAATCCTCAGACACGAGACTGGCCAGAGGGAAAGAGATTTTTCCGACCCCATCGGTGAAGCAGAAGCCATCATCTGTCTCGATATCGGGAATCTTGACTATTCGCGGAGCTGAGATGCAGTGTAAGAGACGAGTGGTCGAGAAGCACTGCCCCAGGCGAGCAGCGAGTTTGGCGACGGAAGAAATGTGGTCGAAGTTTCCCATCCATTGCCGTATCGAGCTGCAGGTGATGCTACCATCTTCCGGCTCGCAAAAGAAAAAGGCGCCGCTCTCCCTGATTTGCGAGTTCCCAAAGGCAAGAAACTTCCAGTGCCACTTGCCCATACGTATGCCTTGTGTCATGACCCGGCAGACGCGAGCATAGAGTTCATCATCTCGGTCAACCTCACAGGCCCTGATCCTCCCGTCCAATAACTCGTCCGTGAATTGAACGCGGATAAAGTGGCCCCGGATACCTTTATAACGGCGGACGACCCGGTTAGTCGTCTCCACTGTTGGCGTGCTGAAAAAGATTCGGGTCGGTGTGACGGTCACCTTGCGGACGAGGGCGCAGTAATCCGGGATATGGAGAGTAGTCGGATAATACGACATGGCGACACGGTCCTCAAACAAGTCCATGGGATTGTAAACCGGCTTGCCTTCATCTGCAGCGTACTCGAGGACCAAGCGCGCGCGGTCCGGTTTCGAACCACTCGACGCCGATATCTCGACGAGCCTCTCAAGGAATTCGCGCCCTATATTGTACTCGCTAAGGATTCCGCGCGAGATACACACCTCCAGTTGGTATCGGACCTCATATGGCAGATGGACGTGTGCCATGGCCGTGAGAAGAGCGAGGCCGTTGTTCCAGGCGGGACCGGCATTTGTTGATACATCGGAATCCGGATCAGCTAGCATGTCCCAGAGCTCTGGCTTTGCAGCTAGGGCCTGTGTGAAGATGGTGTCTGTTTTTATGGCGATGTTCCAGTCGCGGAGATGACCCTCGATGGCCAACCATTGCTCCTGGGCGGAATCGTTGTCTAGGTCCATCCAGTAGGTTGTCCAACGGCCGAAGTCAATGATCTCGGGCTCCTCGTCAAGAGACACTGGCCCGGCCGGGGGATTCTGTGAGTCGGCCCTGATGTCGACAGCCCGATACCAGAGCTCATCCTCTCCCCAAACCAAGCGATCCGCCCAGACCGCCCCATCCACGCCGACTTGCTTCTTTCGGGCTGAGGGGGGGTCTTCGAGACAAATGACAAGGGCTGAGGCCACCCGATGAATGCTTCTGATGATGCCAAACTTCATTTCGATGCGGTAGTACTGCCGCTCGCCGTGAGCGAAAATAGGGAAGTGAACCGTTAGCTTCTTCCTTCGGAAATCGGCGGTGAACTTCAGTTCGAGATCACGATTCAATTTTAGGATTTCCTTCTTCGGCATAAAGGTCGTCGGTTGGGTGAGAAGACCGAAAGTAAGTTTATCGGGATTGAAAGCCATTGAAGCAGGGCAGGAGTTCCCAACCGGCGTCGTCAGAGTAGGCTCCCCACGGGACTGCTTGGGGAACTCAACAAGAACCCATGATACGGATCTGTTGGTGTTGAGTCTGCATTTACCTTCCTCGAAGAAGGTCACATCAGTCGGCGGAGGCGCAAAGCGAATCTTGGCAGACCGGTGGGTGTTTCTTGATGCGTCGTCGAGTTCAACCCACACCACGTTCCCGAATCTCTGGAAGAACTCTCGGATATCCCACGGGCTCGCGGTTGTGGGTATGGGTTTGATGATCATGGTGGTGCTCTCTCTAGAGGCCCATGCTGGAGGGAGCGTCGCTGTCGCTGTTGGCTGGGGCGGCCGCGGGCGCCGTCCCCGAATGGTGGTTGAGAGCATGGGGCTGCTGGGGAAGGGCCTGGATCGTCCGGCTGCTGGTCCGGGTCCTCGACTGGAGAGAGGTCGCTCGATTTGCCTCGGATTGGGAGTTCGGGTTACAGGAGCAGGGCCGGCGGCTGCTCTCTGCTGCTGAACCTGGAGGCGCCCATTGTCTGCACCCTTCAGCAGAAGGTGCTGGTAGTTCCCACTCATTGCGCCCGCCATGATTTCTTAGGCTCAATGAAAAGGATGGAGAAGTAGAGGGCTCGGCCAGAGCATGTGCTGTGGTGCATTCACTGGCAGCTCCCAGCCTAATGAGTGAACGAGAACAGAAAAGTGCAGAGAAAGATTGGCAAGAAGAATTCTCAAGTGGGCGGGATTGAGCCCAATCTCTGGGCGAAGAAAATTCGCACATCCATGCGCTGAGCCTGGAGGATAAGGTGATGAGAGACGGAAGACGAAAAGCGGAGAAACAAGGGAAGCCCAGCAGGTAGAGTAGCTACCTACCCACCTAGGTTTCACCTCGTCTTCACCGGAGAGCACGCAGTTGGGGTATCAAGTGAAAGGTGGCGAAAGGCAGAGAGACGAACTGATGTGGAAGTCTTCGGCTTGGTGGTGAGAAGGGAACGAGAAGGTGCTGGTTTGCCAGAGGGGAACAAATTCGGAAGGTAAGAGTGAGTGAGGGGTTGTCTGCACGGCCTTGCAACTTGTAACCAGTCTGAGAAAATGTCCTGCGTGATAGAGGAGCCTTTCGTCTTTGGTAGCACCAAGGACCAACCGACCTTTGAAGTGATCGGTATAAAGGTGAGTCAGTCTATGTTGAGCACGAGGCAGTGGAAGCGGGCCTGCTATCCGAGTAAGGTATTTGGAAAATAATGGTGATGGTGGCTGGAATGGCGAGAGAATGTAAGAATTAGCAGCTGTTAGCCGCGAAGAAGAGGAAGGAAGGTACGGATTACAAGGGATAGTATTACCTTGTGGTTCCTCGAATGCTCGGGCCGCTGCGATAGAGCCAACTGTTGTGGTGTTTCGAACAAACAGCTCCTGTCTGGAGTGTTTGTTTCTATCGCGGCCTTGATATTTTGCATCAATAAACGGGGAGTTTGGTCCGGGAGACTGCAGGTTTGTTGTTATTTGCTACGTAAGCAGACACTTACCTTGGACCCTTGAGGATGCTCGGGTCAATTTCATTACTAGTAGTTCACTGCAAGTGTCAAGTGAACTTCGATGATATGGCAGCCTGGAAATGGCAAGGCACTCTTTCCTTTTCTTGTCCTAATGATAACGAGCACAGACTCCCCTCTCAAAGTTAGGCACCCCTGAAAGTCGTGTCCAGAGGATGAGTGAAAACACTTACCCCAGGTGCCATGTACCTACCCGGGAGAAGTTAGCGGGGAGTTGGTTGGTTCAGATTGTTGTCTGAGGATAAGGGGGGCCTGATTTGTGTAACCAGACTTTGAGAGACACACGAGAACGAAGCACACCAAGGTACACAGATTAGTCCCTCTCAAAATGGCTAACCTGGTTTCCCTATCACTGTCCGGGGGGCAAGATGTAGCAAAGGGGTCGGGGTCGTGTTGGAAACTGCACACCTAGGTATTTTCGCCGAATTATCCACTGCTGCTCACAGCCCAAGCCAACCCTGGTAAGATCCAACTGGTATAACACAAAAAGCCTGCCCTCCCAAACAATGAACACAGATACCCAATGAAGAATGCACCATGCTGAATTAGCATAACACAACTTTTGGCTCCCCATCTTCTAATGATCCTTTGCTGCTTGGCCAAGTCTGCTCCGCCAATGCAATGCTACTCATCCACAACCATGCTGCTTCCGCCATGCTGCTCCATATGTGGTTGCCCGATATTGGTGCAGGTGCCCATTCAGGGGTATCGCTGTAACCCATGCAAGGGCCCGTCGACCCCTTTATTCAGCCTTGTCTATCAAAAATCTTGCCCGGGTTCCTGCAACCATTATTAGTAAACCTCAAGGGAATGGCCTGATGGTGGAAAGGGGAGACCAACATGATCCAGTTAGGGTCCAGCGCGGCCTTGATGGATTTCTGTGATGTGTTAGCCTGGCAGTCCATTCAAGACGTTTTTTGAGACTGACCATGACCCCCAGCGTGTCCTGTCCGACCTCCCAGACAAGTGACTCCTTCTTGCCCCAACCAATAGAATGCTCGCCGGTGCAGGTCCCCTCCATCTCCAGCGCTCGTTTTACCATGTTTTTCACACAAACCTCGACCTTCTCCCTTTCTTTGGGGTCCTGTCGATTGTAGATGATGCTCTCGTGGAAGTTTCCATCCCCAATGTGGCCCAGAATGCTGGCGAACAGGCCCAGGTCATCCATCTCCTTCTTGCTGACTTCGATGATGTCCGCAAGCCTGCTGAATGGCACCGCTACATCGGTACTCCCTAGAAAAGAGTCAGTGACTGGGGTGATAAGCCCATAATGATCCGCACTTACAAACTTCCTCGCCCTCCTTGCGCAACGCAAGCATAGACCACAGCGACTCCTTCCGAGCAGACCAAAGGAGCTTCTGCTCCCTGGCGTCCTTGGCAAACTCAAAGTTGCTTCCTTTGTTGGCTTTGGTAATCCTCTGCACCAGTCCAATATTCTCCTTTACACCAGCTTTGGTCCCCGAGAACTTGAAGAAGAGGGTCGGCATCTCCTTCCAGACTCTCGGCGCGGTCGCCCCTCCCATGTTGACGACCTTCATCTGGACTTCATCCATGATCTCCATGGCGGCCACGGGGACACCGGTCTGCATCACCCCGGCAGCAGCGGAGGCGGCGTCCCGAATTGAAGGGAAGGTCACGACCGCGACAGAAAACTCCTCGGGGATGACAGCGAGCTTGACCGTTGCCTCGGTGACCAGGCCGAGGGTACCCTCGGAGCCGACAAACAGGCCGTTAAGGTTGTAGCCCGCTGACGACTTGCGAGGCCGCCGCCTTGTCTTGATGATGGTGCCATCGGCAAGCACAACCGTCAAATTGATGACCCAGTCTTTCATCGTTCCATACTTGACAGCGTTAGTGCCAGAGCAGTTGGTACCAATCATGCCGCCAATCTTCGCGCTCGGGCCTTAAAGTTGTTAGCCCACCATCCTGTTCACACGCGCCGCAAAGTGTCAGACAGATACTCACCAGGATCGATGGGGAAGAAGAGCCCAGCGCCCATCTTGGAGAGCTGCTCGTTCAGGTCCTGCCAGCCGATGCTCGGTTGCACCACGACGTCCATGTCGTCCTTGTTGAACTGGACGATCTTGTCCATGTAAGCAAAGTCGACGCTGATGCCGCCAAATGGGGCCGAAAAGTTCCCTTCGAGGCTCGACCCCCCCGAATAGGGGATGATGGGCACGCAGTACTTGTGGCAAATGCGTGCGATGGTCGATACCTGCTCTGTCGACCGCGGATAGGCCACCGCGACTGGTAGCCCTTCCGGGTTGACTGTGGACCACTCCGAGTATCCATGGGCGTGCAGGTCCTCGGGATCAATGGAGATGATGTCCTCCTCGCCTCCGATTTCTTGGCGAATCTCATCCAAAGCCTGTGACACCGGTCAGTGATGAGGTTCGGTGCCGGCACGTTCATTAAGTGTCTAAAAATATGTACATACCTGCTCCATCCCCCGCATGCTTGCATAACGGGGCGCGGCGAACGTGCCGTCAAGGAGCACGGCGCCGGGGAAGCCTTGGTGCCGAATTTCGGACGCACCCCAGCCAAGCAGTCCGGCGGCCGTGGCAACGCCAAAAACAGCTGGTAACGGCCATGTTGAGGCAGCCCGAGGGCCCCGACCGCTGCCGGGAGCGGCACGCCGAGCAGGCGTTGTGGTGAAGCGTTGCCGGGCTGCGGGGCAGGGGCTGTTAAAGGTGCCCAGGGATCGGCCGAGTGGCCTCGCCGCCCTGGAAAATCGGGTTGCAGACATGCGGGTCGAAGAGCCGTATGTAGATGCACAGTGTCTGGATTGGTCCCCTCCGATGGCGTGACTTGACTGTGCAGGATTCGGGACCTCAGATCGGGATTCTCGGCGAGTCCCAAGCGGTCGGGTGGTGTCAGTCCTCCCGGGGCTGGATCCGGCAATATCTATCACACACACGCAACACGCTCAACAACAACAAGAAGAGAGGTTTCCTCAAGCGGTCGACCGTCTCGTGGGGAGCGGGAGGAAAGGGGATAAACGTCTTCAAAGTGACGGAAAGTGGAGCGAGGGTTACGGGTATGGTAGAACCATAGTGGGCGAGAGCTGTAGTTTCTATCAAACTAGCAGGTGTCCTCGTGAGAGAAGAGTGGGTTGTCCAGACGGTCGGTGTCGTCTCTCTTTAAGAACGCCTCTGACTTTCCTGATTCGGACCGGTGTGCAGGATATGTGGAGCAGCGGCCGATCCAATCAACCGTCGGGCAAACTAAGCCATGTCGAGCGGAGACGGCGGTTGAGGCGTTGAAGTTGAGGGACCCAAGGGGGCGCTGACAGGTGTGATGAATCGTGGGCAGAAAGGGGCCAGTGGCGGAAAAGAAGCAGCTTGGCTCACTTGACCAACCCATTTCCAGGTTGGTTCATGTTGTGCACAGGACAGGGCTAGATAGACAGGGAACAACAGTCGAGATCAGGAGTCGAGAACATGCAAGTCCTGAGGCGTCGCATGGGTGGATTACGTCGCAAGCAAGGCAAGTAATTAGCGCACCACAAGTGTTGCCGTGTGAAGAAGCGGAGGGCCCGAAGGCGGGAGGGCGGTGGAGGGAGCCTGAGAGAGGGAAAAAAAAAACGAAGTTAAGGATGGAAGGCCAAGGAGTGGCTGACGGAGATGGCAGGAGCGTTAGTGAACCACACACACCCATTCAATACCGACGTAAGGGCGTGGGGGGCCTCGGCGGAAAGATGAAGACTGAAGACGGATGGAACTCTAAATTTCACACCCTTCCGCTGGCAAACAAGTCAACCTATCCCCGTTTCGAAAGCAGAAACTCGGGTGTTATGTCAGCAAAAACCCCTTTGCCGTTCGAGTGGAAACATGCGGTGTACAGAGCAGTAAGATCATGACGTGGACCTCAACTCTTGCAGTTTCGGCTTACCGCGAATGGATTGAAACCACGCGACCATCGTGCAGCCAGCATGCGGGGAAGGTCATGGGATGGGTAGCATTAGTTTAGTGATGAAGTTGAAGGCTTCTCGCCCAGAGTTCTAAATTGAGTTCAGCAACGCCCTTGTCACACCTCGTCGGGTCTTGAATACCCACACCGCTTCAGCCTTAAACAAGTCAAAGTTGACTCTTTTTGGAACCCTCAAAGACGTTCTCGGGTTGAAGGGACTCTACAGGTTCGTTGGGCGCCGAAATGATATACTGTGTGGCTCGGTAACTTTGGACGAGGTCCCGAGGTTTTCAGAGCAAGTCGGGTCTCTGCCGAAAATGGGTAACGTCAAATCCAGATCGGCGCCAAGCACCTCGTCCCCGCTCGCATCGCATATTGACCCACAAATCGACAGGTCCACCGACCTGTTTCCATGACTTTGGAGCACTTGCTGAACCCTTCGTCCCACTAACACGGGTCTGCAAGCTCAGGAACATCCGGCGACACGCATCGGGACTGGACGCTTGGAGAATGAAAATATGGCACGTGAATACCTTCCGGAACGGTTATTTTCCTCCAAATTTTCAAAAACGCCACCCTCGGCTGCCAGAGCTCAGCTTTGAATGATGACCCGTCAGGCATTGGCGGCCACGGGTGCGAGGAGTCGGGAATGGAAGCCCTCGAATCGAATACAAAACTCGTCGCTTTCTCATCCCCCACGCCCCCGGGCTGCACGGCGGAGACTTTTCTCGATTTCAAAGCCCCATCTCGTCCCCACCCCCGCGATGAATGCAAGGAACAATGAGCCGTGCATGGGGGGCTTTGAAAATGGTCGACGGGAGGCATCGGCGGTTTCTTGTATCCTTGCTCACTTTCCGCTGTTGGGCTCATAGCCCCCGCGTCCTGGTGTCTCAATTCCTGCCCAAAGGGAATAAGAAACAAGCGAGTCTGAGAGACGCCTCGACCGGAAAGGGACGGAGAAAACGGCTGTGATCTACCCAACAGAATTGGAATGATTGACCGGGAGGCTCTCATGCATCCCTCACTCCGCTCTCCCTCGAGCATCGCCAAGCGCGGTAAACAAGAAGAGGCTTGAAGCTGAAGACCAGGATGATAAAAGCAAGCCTCGTTAACCGCCGCATCCAGACTCTCGGATTCGCTCGTCCAACCTGCCACTCCGGGGCCGAATATCAAAAGCCACTCGCTCACGGCGGCAGTACGAATACCTCGACCCCAACCCTCAAGAACTGCACAACAGAGGTAACTTTTTGGATGCACTTCGTACACCAACGCATAAACTCGCGGAGCTGGCCCGAGGAGAACTCCGTGCCCGGAACTGACCGCCGCATCTAGAATATGCAATGTCACAGCACGGGGACGTCAGCGCTTCCGATCGGGATCGTCACCTTTTGTGTAACTAATCTGTAAGAGTACTCTGTCTCTCCTCCCACCCCGCACTGCGGGGGCCCCGAGTCCAACCCCAGGAAACGACTCAGCCTCTCTCCTCTCTCCCAGCGGCAGCTCTCAATGCTTGCCTGACTCGCTGTGAGAGAGAACAGAGAACAAACCCGGAGCTAAGCGACCTCGTATCCATTTCCGTTTCCGCCGCGGGATGTCAATTTGACTCTTAAAACTACCTACCTAGACTATAACCTACAACAGGCCCCATTGTTTTACTTCGAAAGGTACCTCCCTTCTTGATAAATCCAACGCCACGCCCAAACCCCAAATCCCCTCCATCCCGTCTCTCTCCAAGAAAGGCCCACGTACCTGCCTTAGCCCAGCCGAGCCCAGCCCAGCCCAGCAGCACCTCCACCGCCTCTTCCACCCTCCATCTCATCATCAGAACCAGAAACCACCTATGTAGAAAGGACCCCGCCCCCGCTGCGTCGCTGCGTGGCTCAGCCCACCCATCCCAAGATCCCCCATGTCCCCATCGTCCCCGTGCCCCATCCCAATGCAATGCATGCCACATGCCAGATCTTTTAATTTAAAAAATAGCGTGGGGGTTCAGGGACTGAGTTTCTTCCTGCCCTTTACATAGAAAGAGTGCGTGCAAGAGAGAGAAAAGAGACAGACAAGACCCAGTCTGGATGCAACCCCCTCTAGGACTGCGACCGAGACACCGCCTACCTTACAATCAAAACGCGGGTTGTAGGCCCGATGTCTCATGCGAGAAAGCACCCCACGAAAATAACATGTGCGGGCTTTTGTTTCGGGCCGTTGGACAGTGAGAAAACCGACGGTCATAGATGGGGCTCTGTCGTTGCTTCGAAAGAGCGGTCTTTGATGCCTGTCTGCCTTGCGCATAACTGCCCGAAAAGCCTCTCAATGCATGTCGCGGGATGTGATAGACCTTCACCGCTCCGAGCGGCGGTTGAAGCGGTGACAAGAAAAAAAATATCGGGCAGGGCTAGAACGTTGGAAGCACATCTGAATGCAAGGCACAGAGGCAGAGGAAAGCGAAGTCATATCTCGTGCGGAAGGGCAGTTCAGTTTACGGGTCGATTTTTGACCCGGGTATACCGAGTTAAACTAAAATGACATCCGGTACTCCGTTCGGCATGCTTTTTTGCACATTCAGCGACCTGCTGACCAGCCCAATTCCGTAGTTAAACCCTTTAGTGACCAGCCAGAGTAGCCGCGCGCCGGCGGTCACGCTCCTCGGCGATGGTGAGCTTGACGCCCTTGCCCTTGGGGAGGGAAACCCAGGGCTTCTCGCTGCCGATGACGAAGACGTTGCTCTCACGGGTGGTGAAAGTGTTGTCAATGGCATCCTTCAAGTGGACGATGCCGAAGCCACCATCGTGACGCTCACGGTGGGTGATGACACCAACACGGCCCATGTTACGACCACCGGTAACCATGGCGATGGCACCAGTGTCGAACTTGATGAAGTCGGTGGCCTTGCCCGTCTCGAGGTCAATCTTGACGGTGTCGTTGACCTTGATGAGGGGATCCGGGTAGCGGATGCTGCCAAGTTATCGTTAGCATACCAGAGGAATTTTTGACATACCAACCGTAGAGATCCCCGCTTTGATCGTGGGTTTCCGCAAAGCGGAAAGATCCAACGATCCACCAAAGCTTGGTCCAACGGCTGACAGATGTCGGAAGAACTCACGTTCTCGCATCATGCGTAACCAAGAATGGTACACCACCACGGCCGAGCTGCACGCGCTTGACCTTGCCCAGCTTGTACTTGGCCTCCTCGTCCTGGATGCGGTGGACGGTGAAGCGGCCCTTGGTGTCGTAGATGAGGCGGAAGTTCTCGCCCGTCTTCTCGATGGTGATGACGTCCATGAAGCCGGCGGGGTAGGTGACGTCGGTGCGGACCTTGCCGTCGACCTTGACGAGGCGCTGCATCATGATGGCCTTGGTCTCGCGGTAGTTGAGGGCGTACTTCAACCGGTTGCGGACGAAGACAACCAGGGGCATGCAGTCCCTAAGCTTGTGCGGGCCGGCCGACGGGCGAGGGGCGTAGACGCCCGACAGCTTGTCGAGGAGCCAGTGCGACGGCGCGCTAAGGCGCTTCTGGTGCTTCTTACTGTTATCGACGGGTTAGCATCGCGAGATCTCGAGATGTCGAATTTGGCAGGTCGAGAACTGGAGATTGGAGGATTTCGCGGAAGCGGCATCTTGAATCTCTCAATCGAGAATAACGACCTGCCGACATCTGCGAACGACTTCAATCGGGCACTTACGGTCCTCTACCCATTTTGGCTGCTGTTGGTCGATGTGCTGGTCGATGGGAAAGTGAAAGGAATGCCGCGAAGTGCAAGTGCGGGTAAATCAACTAGAAAATTGATTTTGTGCCCAAGCCCTAGTGAAATTGGTGGGGAACGGAAAGCGGTGAGAATTGTCAGAATTACTCCCAAGAACGGGTGCTCGTAGTTGAGGGTTAGGGTAGATCACCCGAGAAGTGTTTCTTCAACCACTTATCTTCCACAGCAGGTGGTGTAATTCATGAAAAGCTAAGTACCTTAGTCAAACCATAATATGATAGACTATTATAATTCACTCGAAATCATCAAAAAGGGTGTGATTTGACTGATATGGGGTGGGGAGATGGCATTAGGAGCCACGGACATGTTGAATTTCCCCTCTTAAGAGGCATGTCTTGATCTGGTTTCTGAAAGTTAGGCTTAGCCAACATGCCAGTGAAGGTTAGAAATATCACTTGGAACCTATCTCCGCCAAATCTGTTGCTAGCGACCTGATGATAGATACTGAGGAATGAAATAGTTATTATTAAATCAGCCAACACCACTATCAACCCTGGTGAGAAGTGATTCTCGTCCGTCGTAGAGATTGCTCCCTAAGTTATCTAACATGTAATCCCGCAGATCCCGAAACCAAACGCCGGTTATCGTTCTCGCAAACAGTCTGCGGCGAGATGGCGTGTCCGATATTTGCACGCGCCGCAAGAAACAAGGCACAAAAAAGCATCCACTGCCATAGTGGCAGGCAACCGTAAAACACACACAAATCCTCCCAGGAACGCTTTTGGTAAATATATAGGAGACACACACCGGAGCCCTGGGTGTCCCAAGAGAGTTGCCGAGGATCATTCCAAGGGCTCGGCACAACGAATGGCTTGAGGAAACCGAGTTCGCCAGGAATATCACCTTGACGCCTTACCTCCCGTTGCCAAGGCGGCGCTCGTTCCCCGAGTTAGAATCGTCGAGCAGATGGCTCAGGTCCATCTCGGGCGCACCCCCGAGGAAGGACGACGCGTGAGGCTCGGCCATGTCGAAGATGTCGGCGAGGGCAGGTAGGGACTCGGTCGACTCGTAGGCGGAGGGCGTCGCGGTCCGGCGCAACATATCTTCCTTTGAACCCGATCGGTTCAGCGAGGGCTCGAATGACGGGAGGGCAGAAGTGCTCCGCGGGTTGTCTGTGGCCAGCGTGACGGACGGCTCCAGAGTGTTGGTCTTGCCGCGTGACGCTTCCTTGGGAGGGTTGGTCTTTTCGATGTTTGCGTAAATATCAGGGTATTTGTTCCGGACCCGGTCACGCAAGTCCGTCGGCTGCCGGCTCGAGAGGTTGTATTTAGGATCGCGCTGGATTCTGGTCCAGGAGGGGCCGTACTGGTTGAGTCCGTCCAGGATCTCATCGTCATCCTGCTTCGTGAAAGGCCGGCGCTTCCGGCGGTGCGACTTCTCAAACGGGCCATGAATACCCAGCTCAGCCAGGTCCTCCAGCTTCTTGCGGTGTGCCCGGGGCTTCCTCTTCTTGGGTGCCGCATCAGAGTCCGGTGCAGCGGATGGCGAGGCACCATCCTTCTCCGCTCCCTCGTCCCCGGCTGGCTGGAGGATGTCTTCTAGCTGTATCCCGATCTTGGGTTTTGCGCTCTCTTCAGCAGCAGCCATTGGTTCAGGCTCCCCGCTCGCGGCTTGCTCCTCGCCTGCGGTCAGCCGCAGCTCCTCGGGGCAGCATGTCCTAAAGCGATCCTTCAGATCGCCGGCGGTCCGGCCGTTGAACTGGAAACCCGGGTCCTCTAAGATTGTAGTCCATCTCCCCACCCCGTGACGGCTCACCCCCAGCAAAAGGTTATTGGTTTCCTCCTCGGTCCACTTTCTTCTCGGCTTCATAGGGCGCCTCTTAGGTTTGGGGTTATTGCTCGACTCGGCATCAGCAGCGGAGAATAGGACTGGGCGGTCATCGTGGGCGCTGCCAGCATCCTTCCATGGTCCAAGACTGAAATTCTCGTTTTCGTCGAAAGAAGCCGATGTGATGGGCGGGAAGACAGCGGCGTCGGGCGGGGGCTCGTGGAGACCAGCGATAATCGGAGGAACAACCTGCTGGGCGGACTTTTGCTTCTTTGGTAACTTGGGCAGTTGAACTAGATCCTCTTTTGTGGTGAGCGCCCTGTGCCGCTTTTTCGTGGATACGTCTTCTGGGCTACCCGGCCCATCATCGGCAGGCTTCCTTAACGTCGTGGTCGGGGCAGTGAGTTCGGACTCGCGGAGCAGGAGCTGAAGGGGCCGTATCGATGCAGTGTGCAAATTGAGCGGCTTGACATGGTGGGCGTCATCGACGGTGGAGAGCGGGGTTATTTGTGTCGGCGTAGACCTCTCTACTCTGTGGCTGCTAGCGAATTCGGGGCCGAGTGGGGGGAGAGAGATCGGCTGGCTTGAGGCGGCGCTAAGGGACACGGGTTGTATCGGCGGAAGATCAGGACTCTTGGGCGTGTTGAGGAGGTTCGTGAGCCATGGCTCGATGGTGGCCATCGTGAAGCAATTGGTTTGGAGAGGGGGGCATTGAGATGGTCTGGGCGCTGCCCGGAGGAGTCGGAGGGCAAGGCGGGTTGTGCGTGGGCGGACAGGCGGGGAAGAGGCGGAACACGCGTGGAGAAATGACCTAGGTAGTCGACTGCGGTTGGGATTCCTTTCTGTGCAGTGATACGCGACCGGCGGCGTCTACCACACAGTAGGCTATTGTTTGGTTTTGGGGCAAAGGACGGGGAGACAGCTGACAGTCAAGGTGGCTCAGAGCCCCTTCTCCGGCTTCTCCAAGGTCACTGTGTGTGATGGATGTGGAACGGAATTTGAGGGTCCAAGGATTGGAAGTCCAAGACGATCTGGAACCTCGCGGGTCAGCAGGGTGTTGAACCGAAGGCCCCGGTCGGAGCAATGGGTTTATGTCAGCATATGATTGGCCATTCGGAATGCCGTGTCAACCAATCGGCCGCAGCGGGGGGCGATCTCGGTTCTGGGTCGGTGCGCTCAGAGGCGACACGGCGACCGTAATTACACAGAACAGCGTGTCGTAATTACCGAACTCATCACGATACTCAGAATATTCAACCTTCTCGCAATGTGGCTGAAGTAGCGATAGTTCCCAATATTGCGAATGCACAGTACAAAGTAGAACCGAAATCGCTAATGGCTGTAAGGGACGCCACATGTTGGCAACTCAAATCACATCATCTCCCGTCACAGACACCCAAATCAAGACATCAACTTCATTGAAACACATCAAACATGATTAGCACAATCCAACAACAAGTGCATTATCCAAATCCACGCTCATCATCAATCCTCCAAATACACGAAAATGACACCCCAGCTACTATCCACATGAGCTAGATACTACCTATGTAGGAGCAGGTGGTATCCACAAGAAGAAACGCAAAAGCCCATCCAGCAAACAAACGAAAGCCGTCTAATCATTCCAGCCGCCCTTTTTATACACTCTAAAGAGCAAAGAACAGCGCCGCCACCACGGCCGCAGGCACGCCGAGCGCGGCGGCATTGCGGCCGGCACCGGCGGTCACGGGCTGGGTAGACGTCGAGGGGAAGCCCGACGACGTGGTGGGGAAGCCGGCCGACGGGGCAGACGACAGCGCCGACGAAGGGGTCGTCTGCTCGACGGCGGTGGTGGGCTCTTCGATTGCCGTGGTGGGCTCGGGCTTGGGCACCGTCAGGGTGGTGAAGCGCGTGGTGGTGACCTGAGTAGTGGAGGTCGAGTCCGTCTCCTCGTCGTCATCGTTGCCCTCGCTGGTGGTCGGCTTGGGCGAGTCAATCGAGAGGGTGGAGGAGGGGCCATCGACGACGTCGGTGATGGGGCAGACAGTTGTGCTGACGGCGATGGTCTCGGTCACGACGCGGCCGGGGCAGGACGTTACGCTCGGCGCGCAAGAGGTGATGGTGTAGGTGGTCGTGGTGTAGATGGTCGACGTCGTCATGCTCTCGGAAGCGGTGGTGCTGGGGCCGGCGCCGCCGTCCGAGGTCGAGGTGCCGGTAATAGGGGCATCGGAAGACGTGGCAGTCTCAGTGGCAGAGCCAGTGGCGGACTCGACAGCTGAAGTGCTGGTCTCGTCATCCTCACACGTATCATCATCCTCAGTCGAAGTGCTAGTGGCCGGCTCGCCGCTACCGGTCGAGGTAGACTCAGGGGCAGAGGTAATGGTGGCGGACTCGACAGCAGAGGTGCTGGTCTCGTCATCCTCACAGGTATCATCATCCTCAGTCGAGGTGCTAGTGGCCGGCTCGCCGCTATCTGTCGAGGTGGATTCGGGGGCAGATGTGATGGTGGCGGACTCGACGGTAGAGGTGCTGGTCTCATCATCCTCGCAAGTGTCGTCCTCCTCAGTCGAGGTGGTGGTGGCTGCATCACTGCTGGTGGAAGTGGGCTCTGGGGCCGAGGTAATAGTCACAGACTCAGTGGCAGACTCAACGGTAGAGGTGCTCGTCTCCTCGTCCTCGCACGTGTCATCATCCTCGGTAGAAGTAACAGTAGCTGTTTCACTGCTAGTGGTCGAAGTGACACCAGGGGCTGAGGTGATGGTGGATGTTTCTGTCTCGGTCTCGGTAGCGGACTCAGAGACAGACTCGGAAGCAGTCTCTGTGGCAGTCTCGGTAGCAGTCTCCGTCTCGCTAGCAGTCTCGGTCTCGGTGGCAGTCTCGGTAGCAGTCTCGGTCTCGCTAGCAGTCTCCGTCTCGGTAGCAGTCTCGGTCTCGCTAGCAGTCTCCGTCTCGGTAGCAGTCTCGGTCTCGCTAGCAGTCTCCGTCTCGGTGGCAGTCTCGGTGGCAGTCTCGGTGGCAGTCTCGGTGGAAGTCTCAGTTTCGGTTGAGCTACTCTCAATCGAAGTGGAGCTGGTCGAGGTGCTGGTAGTGCTGGTCGAAGAGCTAGTCGAGGTGCTAGAGGTCGAAGTGCTAGAGCTGGTCGAAGTGCTCGAGCTGGTCGAAGTGCTGGTGGTCGAAGTGCTGGTAGTTGAAGTGCTAGTGGTCGAGGTGGTGGTGACGGGCGGCGGGATGCCAAACCTCACGCAAAGCCTTTGGCCGGCCATGAGCGCGCAGGAAACCCCGGGGTTGAGGCTCTTCAATTCTTCCAGGGTCATGCCGTAGTAGTTGGCAAGATTGTAGCAATTGTCGCCGCTGACAACGTCGTGCCACCTAACGCAAGTAGTAGGCGTCGGTGTCGGGCCGGTGGAAGTCGCGGTTGGGGACGATGGCCCACAGGCATACTCATGCATGAGGTCGTAGTAGCGGGAGCCACTGAACACCTCACTGCCGAGGACGACATCCCAAACCATAACACCGCCGAAAGCCGGCTTGTTTTTGTGCTTGTTAATCAGACTGTGTGCTTGCGAGGGCGGCAGGTAACCCGAGCCAGCAGCCTCCTTAGAACCGGGCAGCCCGATGAAGATTTTAGCATCCTTGCTGGCGGTGTTCTTGAGGTAGGAGGCCCAAGCATCGAAGTTGTTGTTGACTCCAGCGCACATGGGGTTGTTGTAGAACTGGATGAAGAGGGCATCGAATTGGCACTCGTTGATGATGGTCTTCATGTTGAAGTACTGATCGACCAAGGGGCATTCGGGAGCCGCCGTGATGAGGTACTTCCTGCTCGTGTCCAAGTTGGTCAGACCACGCAGGCGACGGACCATGGCGACATAGCCGGTTTGGTCCTCTAGCGAAGCGTTAGCATGATTAACTTAGCACTAGCCAAGGAAAATGACTGGTGTGTAAAGAAAGGGGTAGTCTTACCGAACTTGTGCTCGATATCGAAGTCGAAACCGTCAAACACGAAGTGTTCCTCGCCTTCATCGGCGCCATAAAAGTCATCGAAAGGTCTCGGCTTCCCCTCCCAGTTCTTGTTGTAAGGACCGAAAGCGCCCCAGATGAAGTCGGCAAAGTACTCGCCGGCAGGCCCGCTTGAGATGGTGTAATCGGACTTGGGCGGATCCCACCGACCACCGATGGAGAGGAGCACCTTTTTCCCCTTGTTCTGGCAGTACCGGACGTCGGCGGCGATCTGACCGCACTGGCTGAGGAGGTTCGAGTCGACCTCGCTGGGGTCCTGGTACTTGGCGCTTATACAGTGGATGGCGAAGTCACTGCCCGGGTACTTCAAGCTTGACGGGTCCTGCTCGGGGGACTTGTTGATGAAACCGACAGTGACATACTCAAAACTAGAGTCATCACAAAAGGTCTTGAGTCTGTCTGTGGACACGCCCTTCTGTCCCCAGTAGACGTTGACGGCAGGTGTTGCCAGGGCCGGGACAACGGCCAAAGCCGCGATGGCGAGAGTCTTGGTGAACATTATGGAGTTGGGGTATTAGCAATACAGAGTGTATGTATACACGCAAAATGAGTGACTGGCCGAGGAGGGCCGGGCCGTAAAAGAGTGACTAGTGGGTGTGAAGCACACAATGAGAGGACGCAAACAAAACGTTTGCAACGGCTGGGGAGAGCACGCCGTCTGGTGTTGACTTGACAGGAACCAAGAGGACGGGATGGGGAGAAGGGGATGACAGCGGGCACCACAGCTTTTCATAGGAGATAGATCCCACGACCCCCAACCAGCAAAAACAGCAACAGGCAGGGGGGGGACCTGGAGGAGGGAGGGGGTTACCGCAGCCCGTTCCCCACGATGCGTGTGTCTGCTGCTGTCGTTGACATCTGGCCTAGGCCCGGAGGGCAGGGGGGAGGGGACTTCAGGAAATTATCACGCATGTGCAGCAACCCTCCCACGCGCCCGTTGGACGCTAGCCACCCGCCGGCGAGCTTGACAGGTTGATGGTATATTTTTGTGGGTGTGCGCGTGTTTGATGTGCGCTTGGAATGGCCTCGTCTCTTCAACGCATCAAAACTCCATCACTCAAATTTTGGGATTCGGAATGGCACAGGTATGGAAATCTGGGGTAGTGACTTCCATCCATTGAGGCCACACACAGCTCATGCCGATGCAGTCGCAGCATGCGATGGAAGGCACATCGCTGCTGTGCTCCTTCCATCCATCCCGTCTCTCCGTCCTTCCATCGCGCTTCCCGGGAGATTCGCCTGCAGGTTGGCCGCCACGGGCGGCATCTTTTGGCCGCAGAGCCGAGTCTGCGATGCCACTTCTCATCCCAAAGAAGAAGGCGCCCCTGCCAAGCCGATATTTTGCTCTTGCACAAGTCCCCCGCGTCCCAGGAACCAACAGTCATGGATCGCGCCATGCCCAAAGCAGGTGCAGTTTGCGTTCCCATTGCGGTTTTTGCCTGCTTCTGCCTTGTTGGTGGGCGTGATGGAGACGGAGATATTCTCAATGGCCTTGACCGAGCTGACTCAGGTGCGGGATTCTCTGCTTCCCATTCGATCGTCTCCGAAGTTGGAGAACCACTAATGAATCCTGCCGCGTGCACGCTGGGCCCGGGTCTGCCGCCCAGATCGGGGTAAACCTGGTTGCCGTTTTTGCATGTTTATTTTCGGATTTTGGTGAATACCAATGGTGTGCACACATTGATCTGGACTACCTATTTCTTGACATCCTCTCGCCGATCCGGGCTGCCTTACCGTGGCTTCGATCCCTTCCTCTCTCGGCGATGAGGCTCTGCGCTGATCAACGACCGGCTCAGTCGGCAGGGCCTCTCCGTTGGTGCCCGATGGCAGGGAAGCCCTGTGCTTCTCCACTTAGCAAGCATTTCGCAGGCCCCGGTCGAGCACGAAAGCGCAAGGTTTTGGGGTTTCTCTCAACGTGCTCCCCCTCAAAATAACTTTGAGAACGCCAAACCCATGACACCAGCGCGGTCTTGGCCATGGCCTCAACTGTGGGCACTCATGAATCGATGCGGCTTCTGCAATTTTGTTGGTTGTTTCGTTTTCTGGTTATATCAATCATCCGGTTCGCTTAGGTACCCAACCCAGGAGCGTCTCCTCCGGCGTCGAACAGAACTTGTCAAAGGGCCTACGGCAGTCTAGACTCGAAGAAAGCACTCTCAGTTATTTTTTCACGAAGCCTGCTGCTCAAGATTGAACATCAAATAAGTACCGTCTATACTGGTTGATGGTTGAGTGGCGATCAAGAGACATGTGTCAATGCCGTCCCAACCTCATCCCAGGGAAGAGGAATGGGTCTTCATTCAGACGTCGTGTCTAGGGGACTCTAGTTGCTACGTTTAGCTCTTTTACAAGGCAATTCCAACCATCTGTTCGGATACATTCGAGTCAGTCAACTGTCGACTCCTTCCGATTGACTGGTTGGGGATTGTGCCCGAGGCCTCCATCTCCCGCCGACGGGGCCTGGGGATTTTGGGTCGGCGGTGGCCCTGCGACGGACACAAGTGCGCTGCATAGGGCCGAAATGACAAAGGGTGTTGCCCCTGAGCCTCAACGGGGGCCAATTGGTTCCGGGCAGTCGGTCAACTAGCATTATCCGCTCCTCATCACCGTTCGACCACTCTTGATGGCTGCTCAAATGTGCGAGTAAATTCCCAAGGCGTGGACACGGCTTGACATACAAGCTGCTTGAGACAGTCGTCGGCTAGGGGATGAGCTTGGTGTCGCCCAAACGCATGGAGCACGCTCCGCGGAGTGGGTAAGTTCAAGAACCTCGAATGTTGGGAGAGTCGAGGAGTGAGAAACTTGGTTCAGTCCCGAATTAATGCTTTATCGGCCATGGCACCAGCCGACCCGCTTCGCTTCCTCTGGTATTTGTTGTCTGCCCGGGCCTATTATCCTCGCGGGGCCGCTGACGCGGACACTGGATGCGTGCAGGGGGATTGGTCGTCCCGGAGGAGGTCGAGAAACTGTTTGCATGGCCAGGCCCCCAATGAAGGCACTTGTATCTTGTGGATGGCACGAAGGGGCCCGGCGACCCAGGGATTCGATCACATTCAGATGCAGTGGGCAGGAAGGTCGGGTTTCAGCTCATCAAGCTAGGCCTGTGAGGTGTCCGGCGGCAGGTGAGTGCCTCACGGAAACAAGCCCTGTTTCCAACCGGCTTCGGCGGTTTTAGAACGGTTCCTCAAGCAGTGGAATTTTCCAGTGTCGCTCCTAGATGATAGTTCGATCCAGGGCTCCGTGAGCCTGTCCCCCGGTGTCTTCGTAGTGCTAGCAGAGGACTCTTACCGGACGGTCGTAAGATCAAGATCGCTATCCAAGGGGGTAAACAGTAGCCAATACGCGAAACATAGCAATTGCAGACCAACTAGCATAGTTGCAACCCGATGAACCCACAATGAAGCTGTCCCAAAAGTCTATCGTGGGCATCCCAAGTCCTTGTCATTCACTGGTATGACGGGGATGGGCGGTGTATTTGTCAATGATATAATGCTGTTGACAACAGGGCGTTTATAATCGAGGCAGTTTCCATTCACGTCCGAGAAGATGAAGGAGCCAGGGAAGCACGCTGTTGATATGCGGAACTTCGGGAGCATTCCGGTCACAGTTGCTCACTCGCTTCTCGTACATATACCACAGACGGTACCCTTTGAGTCCATCATAGTTGTCATCATATTTATCTTTGCTCAAGAGCAAAACATGGTGGTGCTTCGGATGCTGCCTGCCTGGACCCAGCCGTGTTTCCACTTTTACTACCGAGCCAGGGGGTAACCGTCAGCCTTGGGGGCAACGGGCTGTTGGCGTTGATGACAAGCTTTTATAATATGTATCTCGTGTATTTCAGCGGTACCCATACCAAAAATCTGAAACAGAGGTGAAGATTCACTGGGTGTACTGGTGTGGCCTGGTAGGATATGGGAGTGTGTTGCACGAGGACACAACATCACAAACACCTCACGATCCATTTTTAGGGACGACCATCTTTGCTTCCTGGCGAAGTTCGGCTTTAAGCTCAAGGTTAGTAAACTTTCACTCTGCTCTAACCTGGATGAGGTCATCGGGCCTTTTCAAACAGCGGTGATAGTTAGTGGTGAATACTGGGTCGATATGTCCGACTTTTACGAACGATGGTCCGGCAATGGCGGATGTGGTAGGTAGTATGGGCGGGAGTCTCTGGGAGAAAGATCTCAAGTTACAGCTGTACCGTTATTGACGGTCGAAACTTTCACCTCGGCCAAAGCGGTGATATGGTTCACTGGTGTTGGCTCTTCCAGGATTTTTAAAGCGTTCCCTCTTGGCCAACATATGCCACAAACCATGTAACTAAGAATCAGAAGGCGTTGAGCGTTGTCATCAGGGAGTCAAAATACAGCGGAGGCCATCCAGATAGGCTGCGTTATAGCGGAGTTCAGTTGCGAGAAACGTCCTGTTTTTGGTGTTTTCGTTGATTCCCTCGAGGAACCGTGCATCAATTTTTAACAGCAACCGGCCGAGCCGGTGTTGTTACATTGACCGGGGTTAAAACTCTGCTGCTTAACAAGACGTGGCGAAGACACAAATGGATGTAACAATAGTTAGCCCACTTCCGGAAGGCTTCGGATTGCCCGTCACATCCGTCCCTTTTACACCCGTCGGTGGAGCGGAAATCAGGGTCTGAAAGGGGACAATATCGTGACCGTCCACGTGCGTTCGGGCCATCGTTCCCAAGCCGATTGTCGTCTGGAGTTTTGTTACTCTTTCCGTCTCCCGCTCGCAGGGACAATCCAAGGAGTCGCCAGGTCGCTTCCAGCCCGCGTCTAAGCCACAACAGGCATTTTTGCCGATCATCAACCATGCCGCCGCGACGATCTTTAAACACAATCATGCAAAGCGTCCCAAAGCGTGCTGACTGTGCGACTGTGGGCGTCCCGGCGGTTATTTTTGGCCCATAGCGCCGGCATTTGGGACAGCCCTGCGAGAAGTTGAAGAATCGTGATTTCGTCACTCGGTGCCGACCAAGCGGGTTGGTGATCAGCCACTTATCAAAATGGAATGCAAGCAATGGATGTTCCACCATGGCATGCATTTAACTACTGTACGGAATACAGCCCGCACTGCATCGAAACATCGCATGTGGCGTCAGACGAACCGGTTCGACCCGTCTCGCGCAACGTTGGCTCGGGTTGGTCCATTCAGTGCCATTCAAACATCCTTGGCCAGCGATTGGGCGGCGGGATCGACAGGACTGCTGACCTTGAACGGCGTGACTGGCACGACTTGTTGTTGGGCCACTGTGATGAGCCACTGTGGGCGTGCTGGGGGAGCACTGCGAAACGGGGAGCATGGAAACCTGGAAGGTTCCCAAAGCATCGATTGGATGGATTATGTGGTCAGGAGAGGGAAAAGCGGAGGGAAGAGGGACTGGTGGAGCAGAGAGAGCGGCAGAGCCGATGTCCCGTCGGCCACGCGACCGTTGCGAGTGTGTTCTCCGTTGCCGACAATGGGCAAATGGCTGGTGCCCTCACGCGCGCGGCGGGATACGAGCATCGTTCACACCAAAAGTGGCCCCAAGCTGCCCAGATGGGAGACCCCCCTGTCTCTCATCCCCCTCCTACCCCTGCCAGCCCCTTCCCGTCCGCCGCGCAATCTGGGAAAACCAACTTTTGTTGCTCAGCCATCCTTTCTCTCAACATACTCCAAAAAGCCATCTCACAAATAAATCCACTCGTTTCCATTTCCCCGCTCTCGTTTACCAGTTGATTTGATTTTACGTTCGATATCATACACAGCACTACCAAGCATCCAAGGTAGCTAGCCCAGCCAGCTTCCTCAATTTCAGCACGGGTAATACATTTCGACCCACCCAGGTCACACGGCAAACCCTTCATTTCGCTGTGTTTGGAACGAGCCTGTCTTGCGCCTTGGTCGCCTTGCATCCGAAACCGTCGGCTCGGCCTGGGCGATCCTCGAAAACTCGACACGCTCCACGAATAATAGAGGAGGAGTGAAGCAGCGACTGGAACCACATTTCTTCATCGAGAACGCCTTTCGTACCACGCGAAAGGGGTCATCGCCGCATTTGTCTTTGAACCGCGACAAGATCAGTCACGATGCAGCTCAACAGGGCGCTCAGGTTCCTCGTCTTGGGGCTTTCGGCGGTGTCTGTCGCCGAGGCTACCTTCGCCGGCGTCAACATTGCCGGGCGCAGGGTGAAGGCAATTCAGCGGAGACAGGACGATGACACGAACAACGATCCCGAAACCACGGAGCCGCCTCCTCCCGAGCCGACGTCAACATCGGCACCGCCGGATCCCACTTCAGAAGAAGAACCCGAGACCACACCCCCCATGACGTCTTCTACCCCGACGAAGCCTCCCGTCACGTCCAGCCCGGAAACGTCCGCTCCAGAACCCACGTCGTCCAACAAGCCGCCTACTTCTAGCTCGGGGGACGATGAGGAGGAGGACTCACCGACATCGAGCAGCGGGCCCAAGCCGACCTCGTCGGCCGAAGACGATACCCCAGAAGAGACGACCATCACCTCTACCCAGATCATTACGACCACTCGCGACGATGGTTCACCGATGACCCTTACTAGCAAGACTACCTCAACTCAGACCGCTGGGCTCGCGGACAACGACGGCGGCGAGCAGGAGTCCGGCATGCCGCCGCAGACACGCGACACGGTCATCGGTGTGGTGGTCGGCGTGGGCGGCGCCATCATCCTTGGCGGTCTGGCGCTGGTCGCCTGGCGGATCTGGGGCCGCAAGAAGCACCAGGACGAGAACGACGGCTTGATGGACTACGGCAGCGCCATTGAGAGCAAGCCCGAGACCGGCGGCTCCCTGACCAGCCGCACGCCCTTCCAGAGCACGCTCGAGAGCTACCACGCGCCAACGCAGGTTAACACAGCGGCCAACTTTTAAGCTCCCCGGGGCCCTCCCGTCCTTCGGCACCGCGAAATTCGCGTTTTTATAGCCACCTTTGGCTTGCTTCGTTTGTCGATACTTTCGGTTTCCTCGTCTCAATTTTGGGAGCGGCAAGGAGTTTTTACGGGCCATTTACAGCATCCGCCCAGGCGTCATCGTTGTCGGTCGAGGAAGCAGTTGGCGGATGTTCACCATCGCGTCATCAACCTTCGGGTAGGCATGGATTGCGTGGGAAAAAAAGGAGAGCCTGTTTTGGGCATCCATTTAATGACCAGAGGTGCTGGGGACGGCGAAATCGCGGAGTTTTACCTTGTGGCGGCCGAGGAGTTCGCTAAGTGGAGCATTCTGGGACACACCAAACGAAGATTTTCTCTCTGTCTTTCTCTTTCATGTTTCGATGGGTTTCGACTGGATTTGCTGTGGTCCGAGGCCGCAAAAAATACCTACATAGCCATGTGTAGGAACTTTAATATACCTCCCATACACTGAAGTTGGTTGGGCGTTGTTGATGTTGTAGAAGTTTCTGCGGGGTTCGCTTTTTTAGTGTAGTACGCAACATGCATATAATCCGAAAGCACTCACCTGTTCATCTTATTTTCACCGTCATCTCATGATGCAAAATAGGAACGGTTCCTGAACCCTTGACGCTCGGACAGGTGCATCGCCATGTCACGTGCTGGGATGCAACCCCTTTTTGGTGACGATTGAGCACATCTGTCTCAAGACGGTTTCATCACCAACATTAGTACACTGGGCAGCGAGGACTGCTGTACGAATATTTCTTCGGATCTTCATTGTCCGGAATGCAGTGCTAGTGTAGCAGATCGAGCTTGGAAATATCATGGCTTCTTTTTCCTCCACCCATTCTTACTTTCCACAATATTGCTGTGTTGATACTCTGTCTCTCGAATCTAATCCAGTCGTGATAACCTCCTTTCCGCTCCTCCCTTATCCCAGTTTGCTAGGTTCAAGAGCTTGGGCCGAAACCATTGCGCCTCCCTACGACAGCAGAGCCTCCCACGATGCAACTTACATCCTTGTACCTCCTCGCGGCCTGGTCCGCCCTCGCACTCGCCTCCCTCAACTTGGGTAGCAATGACGGAGTCAACCAGAGCGAATTCCGCATGGGCTTCATACTCCCGCGGCAGCAGAGCCGCACCAACCTACAAGTATTTTCTGGCGCCCTGGGCGGCGCCGGGGCGTCGGCCATCACCAACTCGGGCGACCCGGAGCGGCCATTCGCGGTCGACGGCGACACTTTTGTATGCCATCCCCCGTCTTCCACCCGCCCCAACTTACCTACCTACCTACTACTCAAGTCACACATGAAGAATTGAGATTCCCCCAACCCCCCGACCCCGTCAAAAAGATCTCATAGGTATATCCGCTAACCAGAGCCATGCTTGGCATACGCTTTGTCTCAGAACGACTTCGACACCGCCGCGAACCGCGCCTGTGACAACCAGAAGAACCTCTGCGCCGACCTAGCCAACAACGGGGGCGGCGCCTTCGAGGTCGGCGACTGTGACCAGCAAACCGGTGAGTCCTTACCCGCCGACCTACCTGCCCTGCCCTGCCCTGCCCGCTTGCTCGCCTGCCCGCCTGCCCGCCTGCCCAGCCACCCCCGCTGGACACGAATGCTGGGGTAACTACCTATGGGTTGGGCTGGGGTTGGGTTGGATACCTACCTACCTAAGGGGGACCTCTGACTGACTGCTGACGGGTCTTGTGTTGTGCGTTACAGAAGAGTGCAAGAGCTCGGCATCGTCAGCGACCGTCAGGGAGTTTGAGGGGCCCGCGGCTGCGGCGCCGCCGGTGCTGGTGAGCTCGGATGAGCAGTTCGATTATTTCTGTGAGGTATAGGTATAGGTAGCCCCGGCTGCGGGCGGCGGTCAGGCTTAGGTGTGGATATGGGGGTGGGTTGTGGGTTGTGGGTTGTGGGTTCTGGGGGACAATAGGAGTTTGGGAGTTTGTTGTTTGGCTTTGTTGGTTCGGCGGTGTCGTTCGTGCATGGAGAATGAGCTGGTGCGCATTGGAGCACACTTGGAATCGCCAATCAGAAGGCTTTTGAGTTTTGCCAGCGAGACCGCTTGACTCGGGCACCAGTCAGGCACTGTGGCGGCGTGCATCAAGTGTCTCGAAGGGATTGCGCTGGCTGGCTTGTCGTTGTTGTTGACCGAGTCGGGCGGCTTCTGATTCGGCTCCGCATCTGCATCATCCAACGGCGTCGGATCGTGTTTTGTTCTCGAGTCCAACGGTATCAAAGGCGGAAATAAAGACCCAAAACATTGCCATTGACACGCGAATAAATACCTGGAAGAGTTGAGCGACCTCGTACCTACATTTGTACCTACTTCGTACACCCTTTGCGTCTTCCAAGCATCTTCCACAGCGACAAACATGGATCTTGCCTGTGAATCCCGGGTTCCGTTCCTGCTCTGTTGTCCATGCAGCCGCCACTCGGCCCCGCGGCTTCTCAGTGGGTCTCCTCTTTTCAAGGGGTGCTTACAGGGATCCCTGCATGTCTGTCGTGGCTCGTCCACGTTGTCCAACGTATCCATCCGGGACCATCGATGTCGAACTCCGCGAGGTTCAAGATGAGAATTGCTCGCGACAGTGCGGTCGGCGCCCACTAAGTTTGACGGATGACTGCGATTCCAGGCTCCTTCATGCTCAGGCTGGCACGATTGTTAGAAGTGACTTAAGTTACAGGGGCAGTCATTAGCGGTTCGTCCCGTTTGCCTGCGCGTCTGCCAGGTACCGACCATCTGCCAAAGAGGGCCGAAATTACCAGCTAAAGCGTGTGGATCGGACAGGGAAGCCGGTTGATTAAACAGAGCTCTTCCCAGCCAGGAAATTTATTGCCCAGTTGGCCCACGACTCCTCCGCATTTCCGTCCCCTTCAAGCCAGACCACGGCCGTCCTCGCGTTTCCTTGCTGCATGGTGCAGGCTCCGAGTCTCTTCAACCTGGAAATCGCCATCTCGTCAATTTCACCTTCGGCAGCAACTGCGCGCAGCCTCGATGTGTTTCAAAGTCGCACACTTTCCTCGGTTTTCCGTCTTCTTGTCGCTCGTTTAATTCAGTCAGGCATAAATTAAAACGTTGTAATTTGTCCCCCCTTTTTTTCGATTCGACCAGCACACCGACTTCTGCCGCAGTTTGCCAGAAACGCGTCGCGTAACTATCGGTTCGCTTGACAGTTTGACAGCACCACCAACTCCGCCAAGTGACCCGACAACGTTGTGATACGAGGGTTACGGAAGATTGCTTGTGACGCGTGGATTTCGATATTATTGTATAGAATCAGTGCAGGCGATCACCGAATCGTCTGCCCTGATCTCGTTATACGTGAGCCTCCATTTGATTCCGCCGATCGCTGCTACGCCGCCCACAGGTTTTCCCAGCGCCCAACTGTGGCCAAGCTAACTTGCACTTTCTCTCCCCCAAGATCCGTCAAAACGTCATCCGCAAAGCTGTCACCACAACCCCCCCCTCGTGCGTCGGCACAGGAACGACGAAATAATTCCTGGGATCCATACAAATCGTCGCCCACTGTGTCGCCTGCGCTCTCCAGCGCCTCAACCGCCGACGGCGAGGGCTCTCCCGAGCTCCCGCCTCTGTCAGCGCCCAGACTGCCCGAGCGAGTCCTCGGGCTGTTGAGGACCCCGCCGGACAGTCGCGCAGAGTCGGAGGACGACGGCACCACGGAGTACAGCACCAACCAGTGGGGCTCACCCTACCCTCCTCACCTTAGGAACAGCCGGAGTATCAGCAGCGACGCCTCTGGAGACTCGCCGCTCCATCGCCTGGAGCTCCAGACCCCCTTCCTCCGGCCTGCGCCAACCATACCGGAGGTTCCACAAGAGGTCCGCTTACCAGAGATCAGCGCGGCCGCAACCGTCCTCGCGAATCGGGCAAGGCGCGTCGCGAACGGCATTACCGAGGGTTGGATCCGCCAGCACACCACCAAGGGCACCGTCGAGCAGGAAAGGCGGCACTGGTTTAGCGACGGAGACAGTGAGAACTCTTCATTGAGCGACTCCTTTTCCGCCGGCGAGGAAGCTGCCTGGTTGGACGACGACACCGCACGAACCCCCAAGGCCAGCCGCAGCAAGGCGGGCGATCGGAGTAGGCAGACTTCTCGGGGCGGACTAGGAAAGCAGTCCAGCAACGAGACACTCCGGCAATCGCACCTGGGCCGCAAAAAGGACACGGCGGCTAAAAAAATGGCATCATCGGACGACATGGCGACGCCCGACAGCGTGGGGGATTTTGGGCCGTTTCGCAAACCAATAGAGAGATCTCGCACACCGACCAGCGACCGCAGTTCAAGACCAAATGGTTTCGGTGCGCCCCCCAATGCTGGGCCTCTCACCCCACCAAGACCCGTGGTCAAGCGGACCGCAGCAACGCCGCGCTTAAAGAAGAAAATACCCTGGAAGGGCAAGAATATCCTAGTTCTTCTTCCTAGGGATGATGAGCGTGGTCTGCCGGGCAAAAGCCCTGCTCCTCTGACAGAGGCCAACGTCTCCGGCATGCTTCGGAGCTGGCAGCAACTCGGCTACGATATTGACGGATTCGATTTGTACGAGCCGGCCGCGGCGGTAGAGCCCAAGGAACAGTCACAGAGTAGGGGTGCTTGGCCAGATCCCGACGACTTGGTGAGGGAGCGGAAGAGCCGTGACTGGACAGTACTTCTTCCAGATTTGAACGGTAAGCACTTTACAGTCAGGGGATTTTGGTCTGGATACTAACCGCGTCCGCAGCATGGAAGCGGTATGTGGAGGAACTAAACGAGGCGAAGCTCCGCGCACTCGGAGTCTCGTTTGGAGATGAGGACCCCCCCTCCGCCGTCGATTTCCCCGGGGTCTACAGCAAGCAGACAGCCATCGGGCGCGCAATATCCCCCACTGCCATTCTCCCCGCCTATTCCGACTTCTTCGGCTTCCAGCAATCAGGCGATGCCCGGCTTCCCCTTCCCCGGCCAGTTCGTCACCTCCGCCTCCCAGAGCCCCGGCATCCCAGCTGGTGCCTCGCCTGTACCGTTTGGCGTCAAGTTCAACCCCCGCGCGTCCATGTCGGTTCAGTCACCGCATGGGTGGTCTCCACAGATGATGCTGCAACATGGCCATCGTGGTGGCTCGCCTTCGTTGGCTAACCTCGGTGCGATGATGTCGCCCACTTCACCTTTCTCGCCGGATGGAATGCCAGGCCCAGGGCATCATCAACGTCACCAGTCACTCCAGTTCCCTACCTTGCCTCACCAATTCCAGGCCCCGGCCAGGGCTTCCCCCCGCCTCCAAGATCTACGCGAGATTGAGGAAGAGGCAGTCGTACCCGAGGCGCCGGTACCAAAGAGCCCTAAACAGCGCTTTGTGCATCACAATGCCAGCGACAGCCTGCAGAAGGAGATTGACGAAGCAGAATATCATCTGGAGGAACAAATGCGATCACAGCTGGACAATGATGTGGATTACAGCCCTCACAATGACGGCGACAAACCAGAGGCGGGCCCGGTCACCTCCACGATTAGCCATGCGGGAGAGCAGTTGGGCCAGTTCGCGCCTCAGCCTCATCGATTTGCCGGGGAGGCGGATGGCCCTGTCCTCCATCATCCTCGACCCCATAGTCGCGGCCATTCGCTCTCCCAGAAATATTTCACCGAAGACGACGCCTCTACCCAGGGAACTTTCAGGCCCACCCTACAGCAGATCAGCGCGCAACCGGCCGAGGAAGACGAAATCGAGACAAACCCAAGCAATTTGGGTACACCTGTGCAGACCTTGGAGTTCTCCAAGCTTACCCAGCATCAGCGTGGCTTCTCTACTGCCAGCAACCCCTGGACCGACGAACCTGGCAAGTCAGCCAAAAGTGGTCACCAATCGCGCCCCAGCCATGGCAGTGTTTCCTCCTTCTCGAAGCTCAACGTGGAGGCTCCCGAGTTCAAATTTAACCCCGCGAGCACATTCAAGCCTGGTGCATTCAGTTTCTCGAGTAATTCGTTCCAGCCCACGGCGTTCAATACAAGCGTAACCCAGACAAACTTGAGCCAGCCCAGTCCACCGAGGCCTGGCTCCTCCAAGATCAACGCTAATGCGCCCGTCTTCTCCCCGCGTCAGAGCGAGTTCAGCTTTTCAGCCTCCGGGCCCAAGTTTCGCCCGGATGCTCCTTCGTTCACGCCGCGATCGATGCCTGCGTCCGTCGCGAGCCCAGTCATGTCGGGGGCTGAGAGTGGTAGCAACCGGAACAGTTCCATCTTTGGTGCCATTGATCTAAGCGGTGCGAATCACGGCAAGCCACTGAAGAACATTAAGGCGGCATCGACCACGCAACCAGAGCGCCAGGAATCACCTGCAATTAATGGTGTGCGGTATGATTCTGACGGCCGCCCTCTGTTTGACGAGTCTCGCGTCAAGAGGACTTGGGAAAAGGCAGACGATGGTGATGATGTACCGCTGTTCGCCGAACCCACAAAGGACGACACGCCTGTACCTGAATCCCACTTGGATACAGCTACTCAGGATGACGGTGTGCCGGCAGAGGAGAAGTCATTTGATGAGTCCAACCTAGGGCTCAATGACATGACAATGTCGTCAACCATGGTCTCCGAGACGACAGATACCAAGGCCACCGTTAGCCCGTCTGAACCTTCCCCGGATCATGCCACGCTGAACTGGGCACCGTTCGAGTTCAAGAACAACAACGAAGTACAAGCCTTCAACGACGCGAGGCCGTTCGATCCCGACACGTTCAAGCCCGCCCACAAGAAGTCACTCTCGGCTACTTTCAAGCCTGGCCACAAGAAGTCGCTCTCTGCTACGGCTACGGCTTTCGTACCTGGCGCAGCAATCTGGACTGCCCCCAAGGAACAAACCGCCGATACTGCTTCTGAGGAGATTACCGATCAAGCTGCCGATCAGTCTGCGTCTGTGGAGATAGACGCGACGGTTGAAATCGAACCTGCGGTGGCCGCTGAGGAATCACAGGTGCCAGAGGAACAAGTGACGGAGTCCGTTGAGAAGCCGATGGAAGAGCAAGCACTGCCCGACTCTGTTTCTCCGCCCATTGCTGCTCCCGAGCCGCCAGCCATCGCCGAGGACGTCACCGCTTCTGGTCCCGAACAGGCTTCGCCGCCCCAACCGTTGAAGCGTACTGGTCTCGCCGCTTCCCGTTTCGCTGCTCCTCCGTCTCCTATGGGAGAAGACGAGCCGGTCGTTGTGGAACGCGCCATCTCGCCTGTCTCTTCTGAGAAGCTGCCCGTCGCATCGAGTGACGAACGTGGCGAGCCTGCAGCAAACGATTTGGTCGCCGAGCAGACCATGGCTGATATCGACGAGGTAATGCGTCTCATGAATGACGACCCGGATATGGGGGTCAACAGGACATATGACGACCAGTCACAGTGGCAAGAAGCGAGTCCGATTCGCCAGTCTGCTCTTGTCACGGACTCCTCGCCCACCCGCCTACCTCCTCCGAGTTACGCCCGCAGTGACGCTCCCAGCCCGAGCCAAGCTGACTATGCTGATCCAACGGCAATGGACATGGAAGACCCCTTTATCAACCCCTCTCGCAGCAGCCAGTCTATTGAGGGCGCCGTTCACCGTCTTAATGGCGGCGAGAGCCTACCAGCTAGTGACTGGGAAGGCGTCTTCAGCGAATCGGAGCAAACCAAGCTCGAGTCGCGTGTTGCCTTCTTCGACGGCCGTGTTAATGAGCTTTTCGGTGGCCTGCTCGCTGCCCGTCTTGGGCCGCTTGAGCGGACGCTGGACAGCATGAGCCACGCCTTGTTGAGACGCACGCGATCCAACCGCCGGGAACGAGGCAGCTTCTCCGTCGAGGTTCGCGAGAGTGACGCTGACGATGAGGATGACGAGGTGCCCGGCCCGCCTCGCTCCATGAGCCCGCGCCGGGACCGCAAGATGGACCAGATCCGCGCTGTTATTCTGGATGTCCTTGGCTCGCAACGCCGGAATCAGCCCGCCGAGACTTCGTCGCCCCTTGACAACTCCTCTGTCCTGAAGGCACTCGAGGACATGAAGGAGCAGCTGGGCCAGTCGCTCCAACCTTCGCTCCGCAGCGAAGACTTCAAGACTATTGTTGAGGATGTCGTGGAGCGCCGCGTCCCTGCTCCCGCTCCGGCCACGGACAAGGACGAGCAGGTGAACGAGCTCCAAGCCCGCGTCGCCGAGCTCGAGCAGCGGCTCCGCGCCGAGGAGACCAAAGCCGAGGCCGAGGTTTCTGCCAGGCGCGCTGCCGAAGATCGGGCTGCAGAGGCTGATCGTGAACTGCAATCCGTGGCTACCAGGATCGAGGTTGAGATGATAAACAAGAGTGCCTTGAGCCGGCGCATTACCGACCTCGAAGATCGGGCGCAGCACGCGGAGACGAAGGCAGAGGAGCAGGTTAGTGTCAGAAGAGCCGCCGAAGACCGGCTTTCGGAGATTCAACGCCTGCTCCGGATATCGTCCGAGGAGGAGACACGGCTTAGAGAGCTTGTCGAAGAGAAGGACGAGAAAATCAAGGCGGCCGAGGCTATCCATAGCAAGAGTGCCATGCGTCTCAGCGTTTTGGAGGCCAGCCAGGCCAATGCTCATCAGTCCCAGGGTGAGGCGCAGAACCGCGTCAACACCCTCGAGGCCGATGCCCGAGAGGCTCGCAAGGAGACCCAGCATTGGCGGTCTGAGACTGACCGGATCGTCACCATCATCCAGCGCCGTGACAAGGAACTTGCGCAGGCCCTCGATGAGAACAAGGCTATGCACAAGCTCATCGACACCCTGGGCACCCAGCTGCAGGAGAATGAGCGTGTGCGCGACACTTGGCGCACCAAGTTCATCTCTATGCAAGATGAGATGGCCCAGGCGGCGAAGGAGATCACCGAGGAGAACGCTCGCCGTGCCAAGAAGGAACAAACGCTCCTTGCACGGCAAGAGGTTCTCGACGCCAGGCTGCAAGCTGAGGCAAGGACGCGTGAGCGTATCGAAACGGAGCTCGAGAGGTTGGAGATGGGTGAGCGCCAAGGCATGAGGGCCGTCTCCGAGTGTAAGAGACTCGAGGGTCTCCTCGCCGAATTGCGCACCGAGAACCACAAACTCCACCAGAGCTCGCTCCGCTACCAAGCCGAGTTCCAGGAGGCTAGAGAGTCCGGCGCCCGTGAGGTCCAGCGTACCCGCGACGCGATGCAGGCTGAAGTGGAGAATGCCAACCACCAGGTCAACGTCGCCCGCGAGGAGCTCGAAGACCAGGTGTCGAGACTCAGGTCCCAGCTCGATCAAGTCAAGTTGGATGCGGACACGGCCAAGGCTCGCCACGATATGTTGCTGGAGGAGGCGCAGAACTCGAAGCAGGCAGGCCACGACGAGCAGGTGCGCAGGCATCAAAATGAGGTCGAGGACCTGCAGGCGCGCTACGAACGCCAGCTCAACAACACGACGGAGGACGCGCAGAGAGCGGAGCAGAACCTTCTGGAACGCCTCAGCATCTCGACGTCCAAGTCGGAGCATCTACAAGACAAGGTCGCGCATCTGCAGGAGAAGCTGGAGATTGCCCAAGAGGCCGCCCGAGCCGCCGCCCTCGCTGCGAAGTCGGCCTCCGGGGCCGAGGCTACAATCCCTCAGCATAAGCCTGCTTCCGCCGTTACGTCTACCGCTGCTACTAGCGCTGCATGCCAGCTCGAGCTTCCTGAAAGGATTTCGCCGCAGGCCCTGCGCGAGTCCATCATGGTGCTGCAAGAGCAACTGCAGGAACGCGAGCAGACGATTGAGGCGCTGGAGTCCAAACTGTCCCAGATCGATCCCGAGGCGGAGACCAAGATCTCGAAGCGCGATGACGAAATCATCTGGCTGCGCGAGCTTCTTGCCGTCCGACACTCGGATCTCCAGGACATTATCGGCGCCCTCAGCCGAGACGACTACGACAAGAACGCGGTCAAGGACGCGGCCATCCGCCTCAAGGCGAACCTCCAGATGGAGGAACAGGAGCGCGAGCGGGCGATGAACGGCGGCTCATCCATCAAGCTGCCCAACATCGCCGCCACGATCCAGGCGGCAACGCCTCGCGTAGCCCAGGCGGTCGGACCCCTGGCCGCAGCATGGGGCAACTGGCGGAAGGCGCGCGATCTCAGCAGCGCCCTGTCATCCCCTGCTCCGGCCAACGGACGGAACGTGAACGTGAACGCGACGCCCTCGCGCGCCAGCCCCGCCTCGAGCAGCAGCCTGCTCGGCGGGCTGCTGACGCCGCCGGCGTCCCACGTCAACCAGACCCCGACGGCCCGAGCCAGGCAGCAGCAGCAGCAACAGCAGCAACAGCAGCAGCCGACCGCCTTCTCCAACACGGGCCGCCGCTTCACGGCGCAGGACCTCGCCAACCGGCCCCGCCCGCCCCCGTCGTCGTCGTCGGCCTCGCCCGCGCTCTCCGACGATTCGTCCTCCAAGGGCAAGGCCCCGGCCGCGGCCGCCGCCGCGCAGGAGACGCCCCGCCGCCGCCCGCTCGCTGACCCCGTCACGCCTCCCATGATGCGCTCGAGCGCGTACGACGATGATGCCCAGGCGGAGGACTTTGATGATACTGGGTTTTTTGAGGAGGAGGACTGAGTGTGGGGCTGGGTGTGGAAAGAGGAGGTGGAGGTGGAGGTGGAGGTGGCTGAGCGGATCAGCCAGCTTACCGAACAACAACTATACCGATCTTTTGTTTTTTTTTTCCTTTGTGGTATCTTTTCCTTGTGTCAAGCTGAAGAGGGGAAAATTATGGTGCGGGTTGTTGCATGGTAGATATGATGTGCCAGCACACGGCGGCAGTAGGTGGATGGATGGATGGTGGTGGCGGCGGGCGGCGGTAATGTTTCCGGAGTGGTTTATCTCCCTTGTTTTTTTCATGTTTCCTTGGTTCTGTTTCTTCTTCGAACCATTCTTGATGTTGTTGCTGTTGCGCTTCGTTCAACTACCACTTCGCTTTGCGTTCGCTTTCGCTTTCGCTTTTGTTGCTCGAGCAGCAAGCATTCTTGAGATTGGAGACTGTACTAGAATGATACCCCCCCGACCTTCTGATATCCCATTTTTATTGTTGTTGTTGTTTTTGGGCCAGTTTGTATCCAATGTCTCCCGTTTTGGGGGGCTTGGATGAGCCTGAGTGGTGGTGTTCATAGTTAATGCTTCTTCTGTTGTGGTACATAGTACAATTACACCTTTCTTCGAGCAACCTTGATGTATTATTGGCTTGTTCTGTTAATGTTGACGAGGTATTGGAGAACACGAGCACAGTTGAGGTTGGGGACAGCAAATACTTCGCTGATAATGAGAGCTTAGGTGACTACGCTAGATGTGTAGGAGAAGGCAATCCGGTATTTCATTTGGTTTCCATACGTTCGTGTCAACGGGTACCTGCGTCGTAGCGATCATAGCCGAGTTGCCCGGGGTGTTCTTCTTCGCATGTGATACCCATGGGAAGGCGGCGGTAGCAAGCGGCAGATATGCGGTGGATCGAGTGAGCCTATATCCTATGTGAATGAGTGTAGAGTGATGAAACAACCGGCGAGGAGCGTCAGCATGGGTTGAAATAGTCTTATTGTTGCCTTCGCTGTTGGCTTTAGTATGCCATGGACTACGGGCGAGAACGCAGTTCGGAGCCAATTGTATTCGTACAGGTTACAGTGGTTGGGTTCAGATTTTGGTGTACATACCCCTGAGGGTTTGTTTACATTAGTTAAGGGTTGATGTCACACAAGATTAGGGATGTTGACTTGGACAGCCTTTTGTACCCACTGGGTTGGTCCGCGCGATTTTCAGCGATGACTACAGCATGACTTGGTTCTGAGACTGCCAATGCTGTCTCTCTTTCTCCGAGACTTCATCTGCTCGGCCGATCACAATGTTTCCCCGCAGAGAGCACCGGCGACGCTCATCATCCCATTCTCAGACGGAGAAAGCAAAAGTTACCGGACTCATCTACGGAATCGATTCCGAGAAGCTGGAGACAATGGGTCCAGACGCGAGCATCACACCGGGTGCAGAGGAGACGAAGCGTATGTCTCAAGGATGGAGCGAGTAGCCGGGGCCGGGCCCGTTCGGGTCGCGTCGATACCACGTCTTGCATCAATCAGGACATGCCGTCATGTTGTGTGACCAGGGGGTGATTGCACATGCCGCCGCCCGTCGAGGCTACTCGACCGCTCTTTCAGCTTCCAGATGTGCTTCTTTCGGCATTTTCGAGGACCTTGCTTGACCTTGCCGCGTCAGCAGCGGTACGTAACGAGTAACTTCACAGTTCCTGCCCACAAGGGAGTGAACTTATATTGATGAGAGCCCAATCAGAGCACATCCAAGGGGGCCATCAGCCTCGAACGGACTTGCTACCGGTTCCGTCTTGTCTCCGGCGTGCCCCCCGGGCTCCCGTCGGTGGCAGATCTGAGATCGGACTCTGGGTGCAGGTCCCGAGGATTTAAGGTGAGTTTTGGCTGCAGCCTAAAGTGTCAAATCTGTGGAGAGCTGTCCTATTTTGGCAGGTGCCAACAAGAAGGTGGGAGGTGGCTTTCTTGGTTGCCGCCCGCCGGGAATGGCTTCAAACCCGCCCGTCCGGTAGCGACGCCATATCCGTCGAGGTAGCGTTGGGGGGGGCTGTCCGACACGTGTGTGGGCGGTGTGTGTGTGGCCGCCTTCGTGCCGGTCGTGGTCCCCAGCGGCGCTCATTCAGGTTGCTTTTGCTGCATCGCTGGCTGGATTGATTGCCCTCCCAGCGGTGAGGATGGATGAAGATGCGAGAAATGCATTGGCACACTGGCCATTGGTTGCCGGGGCTCATCGATTGCACAAACCTTTTGAATTCCTGGTTCAGTTCCGTCCTGGTCCCTGTCGCGGTAACCGAATCAATCGAGCAATTCCCGACGATATGCAGGATAATATTGGGAACTTTTTGGCCTCCTTCTGACCGCGGAATTTCGGAGGTTTCCGGTTTGTTGCGCGGTGCGCAGCGCGCAAGATAACTAGTTACCATCTCGAACTTTTGGATTTGTTGCTCTCGTTGATGCGGTGATTCACTTGGGGAAGATCCCTTCCGGTTCTCTCTGCAACACGGTCCTGTAGGTTATTTCCAATACTGTGTGGGTCAGGGCTCGCCAAATCCCCGCCCGCCTTTAATGGTATGGAGAAGCAGTCGCGTTATGGCTTCCTGCGACGAGCCCTTTCCAGCATCCTCCCACACTCTCAGTCAGCAGTCCTGGAAGGCCGGTGAGCGTTTCGACAAATTTTTCGGGACAGGTTCAAAATGACGGGGATTTGGGTGTGATGATAGTTTGCGGGAATTTACGCAATCACAACCGACCCCCTTGCCGTGGAGGGAGTGGCCGGAGCTCGTCCGACCTGGCTCGGTTCCCCCCAATGTGACGATCGATCAACCTTGGGTTGGAGGACCGGGACCAATCCGGCTAGTGTGTCACTATTTTTGACATCCGAGTCCCCTGATCGTCAGCGGCGAGATTGTTCCTCCTCAAGCGCATGTCGAACAGCAACCTGCTCCCAGCTCCAAGGACGCCACTCTCCAAGATCTCGCAACGGATCTTAGCGTCAGTGGTGACCGTTAAAAGTCAACCTTGTTTGACGCCACGCAGCTTGGACTCTAGGGGTCTAACACGACCCGCGACGACGAGCCATCGACTCACCAACGAGTGAAGAACTCACCGTTCGTTACACGAGGAGCTCCGACCTCTCGGGGAACTACCATGTAGAATGCATCGACTGGGAAATTGGTGGCGGCGCAAAAGCCGATTCCCCCAAACATTATCCGCAAACCAGCAGAACGAAACAACCACCGAGCAGTCAGGCTGGCTGGGTCGGGGAGCACAAGCAGATTCAAGCGCACCCATGTGGTACGAATGTGACAGGTTCATCCCTTCCCAGCCGCGCTCGAGAGGCACGGGTCGATCACACGAACAAGTTGAGAAGCGCGAACTTGGTATGTCGAACCCTCCCTCGAGTTACAGGGTTCATCATGGTCACCGTGTGCACAGTAACTGGTTAATAAAAGACGACCCTTTGAAAGAGACAGCATGATGTGGTTGGTCGCTTGTTTGAACCCCTCGTCAAAAATTCCCGAATGGAGGAAGGGCTCGCTTTGCTGCTCGAACGACACATCGCAGCAAATGCCATCGCCGATTCCCCTCTCGGCGAGCCTCCGCGAACTCAGTATTTTCGTGTGCGAACCCAATCCCTTCGTCCACAGCTCCAGCTCGGTCTCTTCGATTAGGCTCGATCAATAACTACCATGGCCGGCGCTCTTCGACGTACAAGTAGTGAGGGGCTCTTTCTCTCTCTCGTTGGCGCGGTTTGCTGCTGCGCGTCGTCCGACGCCGCAAATGCTTCTTTGAAGCATCGTCCTTGCTTGGCATTGGTCTGTCGAAGACAGCAACCCCCCAGACACAGTGCAATGCAGACGGCAGCAGAGAAACTAGTGGTGCCCAGCCGCCAACCGGGGAGAGGAACCCAATGGACCCTTGTCCATCACCTCCCTGCAATCAGATCCCGGGCCTCAGCTGAATGCACGCCTGCGGGGGCTTCCCGAAGGACAACGGCAGAGTGTGAAGGACATTCCCGGCGATGCGACACAGTCCCGATGTGCGGTTCTCGAGAGACGGTACACAACAGTCAGACGGATCTCGTCGACCATCAGACCCGGGCAGCCCTTCACACACGCCTCGAGGTTCTGGGGGCGGCGGGCGCCATCGAAGATCGCCCAAGCCCTATCCAGGAAGGGCAAGGTAAGCAGATTAAGCGGGCGGGAGGCGCAAATGGCCCATGCGCCGCGCGCGGAGGTGCGCAAATGCCAGCGCCATGGGATAGGCAGGCTGTCATTGTCAATGCAATGCACGCGAACGGGTCGGGAACAAGCCTACATATCCCGTGCTTAGTGCTGTGGTATTTGGCCACTCGCCGCTTCAACAAATATAACACAAGTGGTATTATTAACGACGGGAAGACACCGTGTTGATCTCTGCCACGATATCTTACGGGGAACAAAAATGTCAAACCTCAAAGTTGCGGAGGAGGACTGATAGGCGAACCCCCTAGTCCCGATGGGGAACAACCGCATTTCGTCAAAGGGGGGGTGCCAAGCGAGAAGAAGGGGGGGGGTGGTCGGTAAGGCAACACCGGTGACTGGGGCTCCAGCTGAGGCGGCTTGAGGTCCCAAGGATACTTGATCCCTGGATTTCCCGACTTCACAAGCGACGGGACCCTTTCGCTCAACCAGCCCGGAGCACAGTTCTGTTTCCCACCTCTTCTCGCTCCGCGGCGGTTGCCGTGAAAGACATCCGTTCACGTACTGCGTAAACTACCTACCTCCCCTGGTGGTGGGAGGAACCGCCGGCGCCCGGACTGCCGGCATCGAGATGGGTTCAGCGGGGCTTGAATTGGGTTTAAACCGGTGTGGAGCTTCATCCCTGCTGCAAATCATGCTTTTTCAACATGCCCGCGGAGAGAGAAACACACAAGCCGCTATCCCCAGATGAATACCGGAACGCGGCACTCGAGTGGGCGTCTCCTTCGTGTGGGATGCCATCGTGGGCCCCATCCCACGCCCGGGTTGCTGCCCGCCTCCATGCCCGCGGCAGAGCGCGCGAATGACCAACTTTCTGGAATCTGGCCACGTTTTTTTTTTCCTTTGAGAGAAGCGAATCTGTTGAGGCAACCGGAAACATCCCATGCCCAGAGCACGCGGACTGCACCCCGGACAGCGGACAACCTTGGTAAGATTTGGGCAAGCAGGCGAGAGGCGCAGGCAGCTTTTCGCTCCATCGACACCTCCCAATATCCTTCCGGAAGGTTTGCTCAGCACCAGGAGCATGTTATGCAGGCTTGGATTCGTCCATGTGTACCGGGACGGCAAACCTGCACTAGTCCAGTTTCTTTTGATAGCCAGAACGCTTCCCTCCGTCCCATCGGGCTCCCTGAGAGCCCCAGCCTCCGTCCACTCACGAGTGACATGCTCCAGGGGCGGTGGAGGTCTTTCCCAGAAACGCGGGCTATGCCAAATCTGGACGTCTCTCCTGGGGCTGGACCTTCTGAGCTGTTTCCCTTCATGCCCCCCTAGGCACACCCCCCTCCTCACTTTGGGTTCACGCTCCCACGCACAGAGCAAGGGACACCCCTCCCGGTCTGCCACATCCCCCTTGTCCGGGGAACTGGGTACTTTCCCCCAACTGTGAGAACCTTGCGCTCGTCACTTTGACGGACGTTGGGGGTGTGGGATCAGGAGAGAGAAAAAAATGGCGAACGAGACGTCTTCAAATCGTCGTCGTTGAGTTTGAGAACCGTGCCCGGGCTGGACATGCCGTGTTCCTTCCCTGGAGGTGCCTAACTAATCCTCAAGCAGCAACACGCCTCACCCACACGAGGTATCACTGCAAATTCGAAAACACATCGGTAACGGGCCCCAGGCTTCGTTCTTTCCCGGCATCCATTCCTAACCTTCTAGTTTGAACCAAACTCCCAGGGAAGGAACTCAAGGCTGTGTGCGGGTCTGCCTGACCAAAGCTGTCCGTTCCTGCCCCCTCTATTCGTAGGTAGTTAGTGGGCAACCTGATGGATCTCGGCTTCCATTCAGTTCTTCAAACACCCACTCCTTACACCGGACACCGTGTTAAGTGATTCGTCAATACCTGCGCCGCCCGCGATTTGCTGCACTCTTGTGTTGCTGTGGTTCATCATTCCTGGACCCCTGCGCGCCTATCCAGTCACTGCATCGAGCAACCATCAGACGTCTTCTTGAGACCCCAATTTCCAAGCCGAGAGCAAAAAGAAACGCGTGACTCGCTCATCTCGCAGCCTCCCACCTTGTCTTTCAGCCCTCCCGCACTAGGGTCCCTCAGGCTCACTCTGGGATTGCCCCCAAACCAAGCCTTTCGCCCCCGGTCCCGAACCACCCCCCTCCCCTTGTTTAGTACAGACACGACAAGGCACGAGCACGAGGAGGCGCAACCCCAAGCTTCCCAAGTACCGACGCCCCGTTTCTCTCCCACGTCCCGGTCAGATCACAGAAGGTTTTATCTCTCAAGAGGACAAAAAGACGAACCACTCCGGCTTGTTCCTCGCACGCCCCCCGGCACCCCCAAGCTCTGTGCGGACAGGGTCCCGAACCCGACAGCTCCAATATCCAATAATCGGGAACACCATATTTTGGACAGTGATCGACGCTCCACACCTTGTTCGCGACCGAACCCAAACATCTGGATTGTCCAGACCGTGAATCCCGAAAACATTAAAGCCCTGCGCCCCCCCCCCCTGGATGGCGGCCTATCCGGCGTTGTGGCTTCAGCCTTCTTGACGAGCTTTGACTACACGCTTCTAGCAACGCCCTCGGCTGTTGACCCCATTCTTCAACAAGTCCAACACCGGGACATCGAAATAGGAACTGACGCTTCACGGGCTCCCGGCGAATCTCCCCATCTAAACTACCGTCCTACGTGTTCCAGCACCAACACAGTCCCCAGCTCGGTCACTACGAAGCCCCAGGAAAGGCACACGGTAGCAGTCAACCGAGGTAGACGATCAAGACGTTCCGGTATTGCTCCCGCCGCACCGTCCAGCGTCCACTCCCCGCCGCTCAAAGGCACGCTATCTTCCGGCACAGAGGTATGGGAGCCTCGAGCGTGGCCTCTCATAGACCACTCCCACTCCCGGAGACTCAAAGTACGCGATACCCCAACCATGCTGCGGCGGCCATGGCCACAATCTCAAGTGACAATCGTTCTGCGGCCCAGCCAGCCTCGCTTTTCACAAGCGCCCCCCCTCGGCCGCCATCCCTGACTCCCTCCTCCATCCCTACCCCATTGTCCTCCAACACCGACACCACAAACACCTCAACCGCCCCAAACTCCAGTGTTCTGACTCCTTCAGGAGTAGTGTCCGACGGTTTCGCCCCGTCAGGCGCTCACGCCAGCAGCCCGCACACTTCCCAGGCTGGCGGCCCGCTATACTACCCAGGCCACATGACGGGCTCCTGGCCAACGCCGGGTCTTTCCCAGCCTCCGGCGTACACGTACGGGAATTCTGGCTCCGGACCCGCTGGCTCAGGCCCGCTCGCTCAACCGCCGTACAATCGAACCCCAGCATCCTACGGTTCAGCCCCCTCACCGTCCCACCAGCACTTCCCCGGTCGCGCTTCAACATCGGCCCCGAACGGTGAATCCCTACCAGCACCGCACTCGTATCAGGATCAGCCAAGCTTTCCAAGCCCAGTGAGCGTTGGGGGGGCCGGGACCAGCGGAGGAGGCAGCCTCGGGTCGCCGCTCAACGCCCCAGGGGGGCACCAGTCCGGACTCGCCCAGCCCATGATCGGCAACCCGACCCAAAACACGGCACGTCAAGCACCACCCGGACAAAACAATCACGGAGGAGGTCCGGTCACGACACAAGACGGAGGCTCCTACCGCTCGGCGGCTACCTACTACCCACAGACGACAGCGCCACAGCAGCCTTCCTTTTCTGCCTACGCATCGCCAGTGACGCAGCCATCGCCGACAACCGCCCCTCCGGCTACGTCTTCCGGGTCCATCCCACGAGGCGCTGGCTCAATCCCAGCAATGGCTCCGCCGCTACAATATCCAGGCGGACGCGGCCACCCGGTACAGTCCATGGTATCGTACACGTCATATAGCCCAACATCGGGCCCAGTCATGAGCAATATGCACCACCCAGGGTCTCCTTTAGCCATGGTAGGCGGCATGTCAAACATCTCAAGCTACAGCCATCATTCGGGCTTGTCTCCTCACCATCCGCATCCCCTTTACGTCCACCACCCAGGCGGTCCAGCGCCGCAGTCGGAACGCCCTTTCAAGTGCAACGAATGCCCGCAAGCCTTCAACAGGAATCACGACTTGAAGCGGCATCAGAGAATACACCTAGCCGTCAAGCCGTTCGGGTGCGAAGACTGCGAGAAGAGGTTTTCTAGGAAAGACGCACTCAAGGTAAGTTGAGCACACCGCGACCCAGTTCGAACTCCCTCTCGATGCTAACTTTATCTAGCGTCATAAGCTCGTCAAGGGATGCGGCAGCACATCACCTCCAGGAGCGGCCGGCGCTGCTACCGGCGGTAACGAAGGTCCCCCGGACGATCGCAGTGCGGCGGCAGGCGGAGACAGGGACCAAAGCCCAAAATCGATAAAGAAGGAGCTCTGAGCAACGACAACTCGACTAACCGAACATGTGCACAACTCGGAGCGATTTGGACGAGCATGGGGTCGAGCGTGTGTGGTTTTGCATGATTCGACCTCGAACTTCAACCGATTCATCATCCGGTCATTTTACGGCGTCAGGGAAAACGGAACGAACTTGCAACCTCAGCGCTGGGCGAAATGGGATCGGGATATGGCGTCATTTTTGTGGAATGGAAGTGCAAGTTAGGGTCCGGGGACACGAAACTGGGAAAGGGGACAACACAATTCATCCCGTGGGGGGAATATGGGCGACAAACAGGCCGGACATTTGGACTTTAAATTTCCTTCTCCCTCAAAGTCTGTTGGTATTTTGTTGGTCGATTTATCTTGATACCACTCGGCCCTTGGCTTTAGTTTTGGATTTGGTCTGGGCCCCTTTTGGGACTTGGGGGGTATGCTGCATTGTTTACATCTGGGATCCGGTGACACTATATAGTGTACATATATATATATATACGCGATAGGCGGGAAAATGATGTACAAGGTCATGGCATTTCATTTGCTACTTGTTAAGGTCGAGTAGTGACGTCCGACCTCATCGAGAAGGAGGGTTCGATATCCCCATGTTGTTGTTTTGGCCCAACTAGAGAAGTTGCTCATAGTCACGTAGACAGACAAAGTCATGTTTACCCAGATTGGGTCTGCCGTTCACGGTCCATGCCACAAGAAGATGGCGTTCCGGGCAGCAATTTTCAGGGGCACCAAGTAACCACGCTGTATATGAAGCCAAGGCACATTGTCCAATCTCGACACACCCCCAAAAGGGCTCTCACGGATTGCTTCATACCCCGGGGGCCAGATAAGGGGATACTGAAGATGGGACTGGGAGGGAAAAGGGGCGGGGGGGGCCGAAGGCGAGGGGTTGGGTAAGCAGTCAATGTATGCGCCGCCAATAATTTACACGGGCCCACGCTTCCTTCGGGGTCGCCGTTCGCTGCATAAGAGCATACATGGTACAGAAAGTAACTAGATCATGTCCCGCGCCGCACCGGGGACGGGGAGAAATGCCTCAGCTTGGGGGCGGCACCGCCGTATGTATGTACCACATGGAGGCCGGCATCCAAGGAGGGCACTCGGTTAAGGGGGACATCCAGTCAAGGAGAACACCTAGTCAAGAGGACACCCAGTCAAGGAGGACACCCAGTAAAGGAGGGTAATCCGTCAAGGAGGATAACCAGGCAAGGACACCAAGTCAAGGAGAACACCAAGTCAAGGAGGACCTTTTCTGGGGGGGGGCGGTATCACCGGCTTGGAGAGGCGGCAGGCGCATTTCTCGTCGAGTTATGCACGTCAGGCAAACGGGAGATCTTGCGTCGGGAAGGTGGTGTGGTGGTAGTGGCCGCGCGTGTGTCTTGCGGTTTGGGTTTTGCTTTTTTCTTCTTTTCTTTTGGTCTCCCTATCTCTCTCTCTGTATGTGTCTCTCTATTGTCCCGATGTCCTTTTCTGCGCTTCACTCCCGACCGACCGCCAACATGATTCACTAGGCCGTCCGCTTAGCGTGCCGGGCCACCTACCCGACTTGTGTCGTGTGTGTGCTGTGCTGCGCTGTGCTAGGGGGTAGACAGACCGCCGAAACACTCGGGAGCTTTCCGGCAGGTCTAAGCGAGAAGGTTCCGGACTAACTTGGGAGTCTTCCCGGAGTTCTTGTTGTTTATGATGGTTCCGGTTCGGCTACCGGGCGTTCTTGCTGCAGCGCCCACGCTGGGGAATAACTAACGTGAAGCTGGATGGCCTTTGCCTTCTTTCGTTCGGACAGATAACAGAAACGGCTGGCAGCCGGGGGGGGCGAGCGCGCCCGGTGAGGGACCGGAAAGAGAGAGCGAGACAGAGACAGAGAGCGAACGAGCGAGTGAGACAGAGGCATGCGAGGAACCGGCGCGGAGACACTAGGCCCGGAAGCCTCCGACGTTTTTCGCTCGCTCACTCGCCCGGACAGAGAAGGGGGGGGGGGCTGGACTGGATGCATGGCGCCGAACTGGGGAGCCAGCCAGACTAGGCAACGCCAGGGTTTCTCTTCCCCGGGAACGCAGAGCGCGTGGCATGGCGTCCTGGGCGCTGCGGCTTGCAGTTCAGCCCGTCCGGATCAGGAAAGGGGGCTGCTGTTTGTCATGCCACCACCTATCTACACAGTATGTCCATACCTGGCAGAGGAACACAGCCGGGAGTGATCGAATCCCGGTGATGGGTGGGTGTGTTGCAGATGGGTTCCAGCTGCGCGCACTATCGTCCTGTGCCGGTTGGTGATGGGATGAATCGCCCGGAAGCCTGGGACTCCAGCCTCCTCGCGTTTGCGCCCGGCTCAGGCTGTTCTCAGCTGTGCCTTGCCAAGGGTAGACTCTGTCTGCGCATGTGTGTGTGCATCTTGGATTCCTAGAACAGCCCTCGAGGGCGAGCGGGCTCCTTATTATTCCTATCTTCTGAGGAGATGAGCGCGTGAGACCAGCCGCCCCTAGCAACACCCAGGTTGTAATACACCAAGAAGATAGGAAGGCCCCGGACGAGGACGACTGGTGGCGGTATTGATTTACTTGCCGGTGGCGGCCTCTCGAACTCGATCAACCCCGGGCACAATGTCGTCGGAGCGATAATGAGCGGCTTCTATGGCTCCCCGTACAGAGCGATCCCTTCCACAAGAGTGTGCATGCAAGCAAATGTTATTGGTAGTCCCGACACGCTGGCCGTGGCTGCAGGGTTCCGACCGCGACGGCTCGGTTGAAGCGAGGCTCAAGTTGTGGTGGCGGCGGGGAATGATGACCCGAATCCAAAGTGAACTGTGGGCATGTCATGACAGCTCAACGCCCGATATGGGTGCGTTTCGGGTTCCTGGAAAGATATGTAGAAATGTCTTAAATTAACAATCACACAGTGATGCCACCCCATGCTAGATGGAGGGTGTTGTTGACGGACTCCGGGGTTATGATATTTAGGAGGACGCCTTGGAGACAACATCCCGGCAAGGGTGACATGTCCTCACTGCAATTACCACTCACATCACTACCTAGCAAAAGGCTCGGGTCTACTCAATCACCAGACGGAATGACGGCTGCCCGATGGATCGGGTTTCGACGTCGAAATAGAGTCCCCGGTCTCCGGCCCGGCGGGTTGCAGTCACGGTCAATCCCGATGCACCTCAGTTACATGCGGGTCCGGCCGTCGCAATACATATATGAAGGTCCCCCGCATGGTAACATGTCTTTTGCAGGTGCCTTCGATGGATGACCTGGTTAGGGCACAATCCTGCAGTCAGCCTGGAAGTCATCAGCATAACATCCCAAAGAACGAGGCAGGTAGCAGATCGCCATGTTAGCAACAACGGGCGAATGGCCTGACAGTTTTCAGCCCATCTCCTGCTCAGCCTTCATCACACTAGCTACAACAGAGAGCTACCGGGGCCTGCCAGCCGGGAGCATATTCCGTGGTCTTTCGCGGTGCCAGTCATTTCCAGCTGGATGAAGCCATACAAGTGAGCCAGACAAGACAGTCGAAATGGGGGTTCGACTGCCGAAGACACGGGAGTTGATGTACATTGTTGCCGAGTTTGGAATCCCGACTATTCGGATGATAGGAAAGCTCCCATAGTAATCAAGATCATCTGCAATACGCGGTAGAGCCAAGGTTGAGAGGCGAGAACAACAACTGACACTCTAACATTACAGAGGAGGTACGTTGATTGAAGGGAGACAAGAAGCAAGAGCGTTGTGGGGGTGTTAGCGTCAAAGCTTCGGGCGGGTACTGGTACCTTCTGGTCCGTGCACTCTTTCAATCAGTGGTGAGCACCACTTGACGAGGGGACATTGTGGCATTGAGGTCGGGAAACAACCTGCAAAAGACTCCAAGTCTGGACTCATAGCTTAGTTGCGGCTTTATAGGGGATCCCTCCGGCAGTTAGTCGTCCCGGGCAGTTCATGCATTGAAGGTTAAATCTTGCTCGCATGCGGCAGCGCTTGCCTGTTCATCCCGCGCTGCATTGAGCAAGTTTCGTCGCATTCTTACAAGTAGCCAAGCAGAGCGACACCCCGAGAACCTTGCGGGCGCCGGCCGATCACATTGCCATGGATACAAGGAGGTGATTCCGTATTTCATCGTAGCACCTCGCTCGCCTCCACGTTTGATCTTTTATGCCGAAGCCCGTTTTCAGAATCGTTTCGTCTCATCCCACCCATCTTGCCCTCTCGCCCCGATCCGATCCGACGAAAACACGCGAAAACATTGTGACCAGACTGCCCTCTTGCCTCGTGAAGAAAAAGGCCTCATCAACCCCACGCAGCGGCTAAACGGTTTCCAACTGAAGGATTGGGACCTCGCCCAAACAACACAAATTGGTATCACAAGGGCAACTCGAGAAATAGTGCGAGGTGTTGTCGCCAGGATACACATCAAGTCACACGACATCCCACCAACGCCAAATACCTACTCGGACAACAAGAACCCCCCAACCCAAAATGGAACCCCGCCTCCTCTTCCGGCGCCAACACGAAGGCCACGAAGGCCACGACTCCATGGACACGGGCAACGGCGACAGCAGCAGCAGCACGGGCTCCAGCAGCAGTTCCAGCAGCCACTCCTCCTCCACCGGCGGGCATTCAACCGTGTTCCAAACCAGCATGGCCACCTCCCTCTTCTCCACCGCCTGGACGCCGGGAAACACGGGCACGTACGCGGCGACGTGCATCTTCCTGATCGTGCTGGCGGCGGCCTTCCGCGGCCTGCTGGCGCTCAAGTCGTGGCAGGAGCGGCGCTGGCTCGACGCCGAGCTGGCGCGCCGCTACGTCGTCGTCCACGGCAAGCCGCCCCTCGCCGACGCCCTCGCCCGCGACCCGGCCGCCAAGAGCGCGTCCGTGGTGCTGAGCGAGAACGGCGTCGAGGAGAATGTCGTCGTGGTGGCCAATCGTGGGGCTGCCGCGGCGGCCGCGCATGCCAGGCCGTGGAGGTTGAGTGTGGACCCCCTGCGCGCGGTGGTTGATACGGTGATTGCGGGGGTTGGGTATCTGCTGTGAGTCTTCTTTTTTTCTCTTTGTTGATGGGGGGGTTGTGGCTAATCAGCCGGTGCTCGCAGCATGCTGGCGGTCATGACCATGAATGTTGGCTTTTTCCTCTCTGTTCTCGGTGGGACGTTCCTCGGGAGCCTACTCGTAGGGAGGTTTATCTCAGTCGGGGAACATTAACCTCTATGCTGGGAACAGTATCGCGCATTGTTTTAAGGAGTTATAATGGTCGAATGAGCAAGGAGTTATGGTGACGGATGGGAGGCTTTATTTTTAACCCCAGTTGCGAGCCGATATTTTGCTCGATGCATTTCTATCTCATCCCTATTGCTCACATCATGGCCGTCTCGGCGTGTGTGTTGCGGGATTCTCTTTCAACAGCATAGACATATCGTCCTTCTGTTAGTGTTGAGATGGCGAAAAGTATCGCTACTTTCGGTATCTGAGCACGAACCAGCGCAGAAACTTGCTCAAACCCACGCACCCCAAACCGTGGTGGAGTTCCCCCACACTCGGTCATTGCCAAGCCGGTGAACCGCCTCCATGTCCGGATCCGGCCCCGGGTCCCCGTCCCCGTCCCCTCAGTTTGACCGGTCCGGTTCCGACGACCAAATCCCTCCCGGGTTAGCGGACACCCGTCACGGCTCTCACGTGGGTCGGCCGATGTGTATGTCCTATACCCGGCAGCTACGCACCTGGGTGACCCTATCGCGGTCAGTCGACCTCGTTAGAGTTAAGCTAAGGCGGCTTGGAGGGCTTCTTTTATTGTCAACCAACGCAATAATGGGGATTCACGAAGGTGACTAAACACTCGACGTATCCTCGCAGAGATTGCGGTCAACTGTCCTCCCAATGCGAAGAGAGAATAAGTTCAGGAACACATGGACTCTCTAGACGCATGCTACTCAAAGTGCCTCTGTCGGCTAGCACAATGAAGCTGAATTGATAGACGTAGAGAACCACTTTTGCTAAAATATTTCATGAGTTGAGTTTTCCAGGTTGGGACACGAATTACTGTACTCGTCAGCGTATCCTTGGTTCCTGCGTTTCTTGCATGTGGTGCTATGTTTGCGTCGCCCCAGGACTTAGCAAACACCCAAAACAGCATTTGTTGACGCTGCTTGCCGAAACCTGTTCATAGCAACCTGGTAAAGCCTCGAGGCCCACGACTGGTTTGCGTCGCTGCTGGACATACATGACTCGGAGCCACTCTTTTACCAACAAACCAGCAAACCACATTCAAGACAAACGATAAAAAAAGACGGCTACATGCCGGGTACACAACATTCAGCTCTCAGCAATCGGGTAGCCAACCGACGTGATGTCTCAGCCCCTCGAAAACATACCGAACCGTCCGACCTGGTACTGCATGTTCGAGTCAGCATCTACGGCCACCGCCCGTTCCCCAATTCTCTAGGTAGGCGGCGATAATTGCGCGTGTATACTGTGTAGAACCTTGCCACGTTCAATAGCGCCCCTATCTCAAAATCTAATGAGCACTCCGCACACATTGATGCCCCTACTAACATCGACGAAGAATGCCTCCTCCTAAAATCACCGCCTCGTGGTGCTCTCAAACCCATACATGCACAGATCGACGAATAACGACTGCTATATCACACGTCATTAAGACAACTTCTTCCGACAGCCCGGAAGCGAACCCACTCGCCGTTGTAAATCTTTTTAAAAAAAAACCAACAATTTGCTACCTCCACCTCCAGGCTAAAACAACACCCACCCCGTTGTGCTGTGTACCTGGCTGCCCGAATCTGCTCATAACACAATTCCAACACAACGCCCCGGTGTACCCACAGGCATACATACATGACAAAAAGCCACCCGACCCTTCCCATCACAGACAATACAATACACACATGCAGCACACCGCTGCAGGATGGTCTTCTTCCAGCGCTGCTTGCCGTCCATCTCTAACGCTCAACCCCCCCAACCGTAGAAACCAACCTCCACAGAATAAACACCGAAGCGTACGTCATGTATATTTCCCCAGCAGTAGAACATACCAAATAAGAATCCACCCCCGTTGTCCCCGTCCTACAGCCGGGAAACGCAAACGCCCCCCTCCCGCAAAAAGAGGCGATGTCCAACATCTTCCCAAACCGGAAGGACGACTCCCAATCAGGAAATACCTCCATGTGTGTAAGTGAGCGCGACCTGTCCGCCCGAGGTGGGAAATGGCACGGAAAACACAGGGGCGTTTTTTCCACACGCGACTTTCCTAGACCGATCGACCGATCTGTGGCGTGCCCGACACATGGCTGGCCTGCCAGCACATGGCGAAGGTGGGATTAATTCGATGCCGCAGTGCACAAAGTCGGGTCCGGCTAGGGCGCCACCGCTGGCCGACCCGGTTGCTTATTTGGCCGCTTGGGATAACGTTGATCATTTGGTTTGCACGTCAGGACCACTGCATGCTACGGTTAGCCGGTTTCGAGACTACAGATTACGAGCCATCACGCTGGTGGTAACAAGCAGTGCGTCACTTGGCGGCGCCGACATGGCTCAGCATGTGGTGCGAGATATCATTTGAAACTTCAATATTATTCATTCCACCAGCTTCTTGAACCCCGTCAAAATCGTGGTAGGAATTCATCGTTGTCATGGACCTCGTCTCACTACCACAAGCCGGAAACATAACAGCCCACCGGACAGGCAACCCAGACATAGGCACACCCTGAAAAGTGCAGAGAAAGCCGAAGCCGACGCCGGCGTGTGCAATCTAGCTCCCCTAAGCGAGTGCCAGCGAGTGCCAGCGAGTTACTTTCCTTGGTCTCTGGCCTCGAGAACCAAGCGCCCATTCCATCCTTCCCCGCGAGGAGCATGTATGACCACTCGCCGTGGTGCGTTGCAGTGACACGTGCGCGACTATCAACTCGCGGTCGGGAAGATGGTGAATATGCCGTGCCACTAGTCGAAGTGAAAGCCGAGGAAAACCGTCCGAAGAAATCGTAGAAGATGGAATGAACAGATACATCCCCAAAGAAACGCCGGACCAGACGGGCCTCGATAGTGTGAGGCCGTTCCAAAGATGTCGACCGAAAAATGACGATTCACGAATGCATTAAGGTAGTGGGTATTTTGGCGCACGAGCTGAAAGTCATAGATAGAAGTCGACGTGGGGGATGCTTAGGATTGGTGACCAGCATGCTGCTGGAGGCTGGATGGCGGCATGTACTGGCTTCCCCGTTGCTGTTGCACATAGCCATATGCGAGCGCTTGCTGGGGGTCCATTCCGACGTTGGGCATGTAGTTGGGGGGCATGTGGCCCTGAGGCATCCCTGGCCGGCTCTGCTGGGGGGGCAGGTGGGCGCTCGTGGGCTCTTCGGGGGAGTCGACAGCATTGGCGTCATCCACGCCGTTATCCCCAGCGGGGGGCTCGGGAGCGTTTAGGCAAGCCTAGCGATCATGTCAGTCAAGGGACATGGATGCGGGCGGTACGCGAAGTTCATGTGCACGGGGGTCAAGGCCTACCTGAATCAAGTTCTTGCCCTCTGCCTTTGTGACAAGAGGCTGTAGTTTGGGGGTGGTGAAGGTGTAGACGAGACCGGTTTCGGACACGACGAGAAGGAGCACTTGGGTCCCTGTCAAGACTGACAGTTCGTAGGCCTGGCACACGAGGCTTTGGTTAGCGAGTGTTTTTCAAACGATGCGCTGATGCGTTGGTGTGGAAGTGGGTTGCTGCTCCCGATACGGAGGCCGACGCGGGAGCCTCGGAGGATGTTAGAGACGAACCTTCTTCATAATACCAGCCTTGCGTTTGGAGAAGGTGATGTGGCGGCGCGACTTGTCGCCGATGAACTTAATCTCGATCTTGCGGCGCTCGCGACCGCCCTTTTCGTCGTCGTCATCATCGTCGTCAGCCGTGCTAGGGCGGGCGCGCTTGATGCCGCGGGTCTCGCCAACATTGTTGTTGCCGTTGCCGACGGAATGCGCGTCCTCGAGCTCGGTGGGCGAGGTTTGGTCGTGTTGATCAGTGATGTCGGCCATTTTGCGGTTGGGGTATCACGAAAGACGAAAAAGGTAAAATGGTGGAGATGCTGTTTTGAGCGTTGTGCCGATGGCCTAGACTTGATCTGGCGTTGAGCGGAGAGGTCGCCTTTTGTCGCAGAAACCTGGTTGGGCGTTGCCTGGATTGAGTTTGGTGTGTCCGCCGAGGCAGGGCGAGGAATTCACGTTCAATTTTTATTTGCTGGACGGCCCGGGCTCTCGCGTGTGTGGCATGCAACGCCGGTTTTACTGTGCGCTGCTGACAAAAGTGCCAGTTGCCGACGGTGCAACGCGAATTTTCCTCTGGCGGGAAGGTTGTGGTGGTGCAGTCCAGAAATCGAGACTGTGATCGTCTGATACGTTTTCGGATGGCAGATTCCCTGTCAGGAACGAGCAGAGACGTCAAAAATCAGACCTTGGCCGACACCTTGACCGAATGGGTTTGGCGACTGCAGAATGATTGAAAAGAGGATAGCGAGGTGGTGGCACGCAGGCTGCGGGCCGCGACCAGGCAGTTAAAGAAACGAGGGCGGGGAGTGGCGCCCCCAGTGACTGCACGGTGCGAGAAAGGGAAGGGGGGTTGGTGGCATGTGGGGCTAAAGTGGGGAAAGAAACGCGCTAGACACTGGCGTCCTGCACGATGCTGCAAAGCTGATTTTGAGACGAGACTGCTGTTCTGAGGAGAGAACTTGGGAGATGTTATGATTCCCCGAAAGTGAATGTTGTGATACGTGACAGGCACGAGAGCTTGTGGAGCTGTTATTTATCATTTATCGATTTTTTCGTGAATGTCTAGGTACCTTCGAAGAGCGGTCTTGAAGCCAGAGGGCACCGAAGAGGTAGGAAGGTGAGCTCGGTCTGAAGCCAGCAATCCCGTCGTTGTCCTCCTCCTTCCCTTGTTTGCAAGGCTTTGGCTCCCAGTGCGAACGGCATCTCGCTAGCTGGCACAGTTCAGGTTAGCAAATGGGATACTGTGCTCAGAGGCCCAGAGCGGCACCGGAGATTGGCGGGAAGGATCGAGGTGTGGCCAGTGCAAACAACCTTGCGTTCAAGGGAGAGAAGGTGTGGGGGAACGGCAAACTGGCACTTGGGAAACCGCGTTGGCTTCCCCGGGTTTGCATTTCCACTTGCGTTCCATTTTTGGACGAAATGGCGGGCACGGACAGAGGGGAAAGTTCGGCCCAAACGTGAGGTGGACACGAAGGGGGGGGGGGACGAAGAGGCCGAGGTATCGCCAAACGTTTCTTGCGCGTAATGCTTCCGGCATGGGCACTTGCGTCTGACAGAGACAGTGACCCCTAATGGCTGCGCCAGTGTGCATCGGAGCCTCCAGTTCGCCGAAGTCGTGGGTGTGGGGACCCAGCCCGCTGTCTCGCGGGTTGCTGGGCCTCGAGGCTGCAGGGCGACATCTCGCCAGCACGTCTTCACAGGGTCTTCTCATGCCCATCCGCACCGCGAGCCTTCCGGTGGCAGGCAACGACACAAGGGTGCCGGACGGGCTGGGGCCACTTTGGGCACAGCGCCCAATGAAGCTCTGCGGATTCTCACAACCTCATCAGACAATGCAGGTGTGGAAGGCACGCACGGGAGAACTATCGAATTCGAAGCCTTCTTTCCCCACCACCTTTTTTGGCCGGCTCGCAGGATGGCAGTCTGAGTCTGGTTCAGCCAGCTGGCGAATGCCGACACGAAACCTCCCAACGGCAGTGGGCCTCCTCGTTTTTGAGTTGCAACGCCCCCTGCTGCGACCTGCTTACCGCTCAGTGGTCGATCAAATTTGTGTCCAGCTCCTCGGATCGATAATAAGAATAAGATGAGATTAGTTAGTTATGCCCCACGATGAGTAACACAGTAGCAACCTACCTGGACTGATGGAACCGGCTAGGAGAGACACAGATATCAACCTGCGGAGGTCTTCTCTCGGTGTCCCTCCACCTGAGGACGACAAGAGAGCGTGCAACTGGCGAACCCGGCCGAGGAATACCCCCACAATGCAGCCACGACAGTCGCGAACAAAGTCCAGAACGCCCAGAACGCGACTGATCCGGGACCCCCGGGACTGGCGTTGTTGTGCCGCTGTCGACCCTGGGCTGACTGGCGTCGTGGAGCGCTGGCTTGCATCGCGAGCAAGGGTCAAAAAGCGGGGGTGGCCGATAGCGTGTGATTGCGCACAGTCAGGATTTGCCAGCACCAACATGTGTCCTGCGCGGGAAAGGGGCACTGATTGAAAGCCTGACGGGGCGCCATGGACTCGCTGGAGCGCAGATTGTTGAACAGTGGCTGAAGTCTGCCGTTCTTTGACGTCTCTGCATGCCTTTTGTCTCGCAGGTATGGAGGTATGGGAGAAGTTTAAGGCTGGGCAACGCTGTCACTTCCATTGGACACACACTTGGCCGGGAAGGTTAACGCTAGCCAGAATAGGTGGGGTTTGATGGCCATATCACCGACACATCGATGTTCTGTTTGTGACGGAACATGAGACAAGACTGGAAGGCTTGTCGTTGGTTTCTCTTTCGACACTTTGCGCCCTGAGGATGCCCCAATCCATGGGCATGGCCCGGTGCTTGGTCGAAAATGAACAAGCGGGCTCCGGCACAGGAAAACTTCTCCTTACGGAAGCAAGCCGCGCGCTGATTCGCCGGCCGGCTCAGCTGCCAGAACACGAAATCTGACCTGACGTGATTGGGCGAGGGCAATCCTGCGAAGCTTCCGCGAGATCTGCATGTCAAGCGTGGCAGGGAATTGCCGGTTTCTGTCCAAGGTGACGAAAATGGACTTTTTACATTGTACGCCGGTCGAAGGTTAACAAACTCGCCAGAGACGCGCAAGTCGCGTGAAGCCTCTCCGGCAGTACACCGAGCGGCCAGCAACAGAGCACGACCAACCTCACTCCCACCTGGCAAGGATGCTTCGGAACATGCCAAGCACTCGCTCCGCACTTGGTGATGCGAGGAGATTGATGGCATACGAGGGAAGGGAACGCGCCATCTTTGTCGTAAAGTGGGATCTTACACAGTAAACTACTGTTATTCGAACTTTTGCTTTTGGGGTTTGATATCCAGGTCGCTTATATGTAGCCGCTGGGATTGATATGCCAGGATGAGAGGGTATTTGGATGGGAATGGAACCGAGTATTTTCCGGGTTCGAGTCCCCCACGGCGAGGTCCACAGACAAAGTCCCAGGCCGCTCCAGTTCAGATTGAACACCTCAACATGCCGACGAGCAGCTGTCTGAAGATATTTAAAGGTCCAGATGATAGCTCACAATGAGTTGTGTCGCCAAGTCGACTTATTAACTCTTCCCCTGTGCACGACATGCGTCCTCGATGATTGCTGGTTCCCTAACCGCCGAAGGGAAGAAGCGGCGATTTTTATCGAACCAGTTCCCGTCCCGACAGGCCACTCGGCAGGCCGGCGCTGGCGCCAGTGTAACGGCGGGCTTTGGGGCGGGCGCCTACAGGCCCGTGCGGGGCCGCCCCTCGCCCCATTCAGACCAACCCATTGTCGCCAAACCCCGGTCTCCCGACGCCATCTGAAACGGTTCCCGTCAGGGAGCGTCCATGAATCAACCCAAGGACAGCTTCTGCCACAGCCTGAAGCAGGCGGTTTGACTGTTTGACTCGCCCAGTGGAGCGGAATTGACTGCGACTTTTCGTCTTGGTCTAATCTCTGACTGGTCCCTTTGGTCTTGGTATCAAAGCAGAATCTGGCGATTTGTGGCTCCTCGTTTTGAGGCCAAGCCCTGGCTCGTCCCATCCTGGCGGTGCAACGGCGCTTCGTTCGTGTCTCTTGCTTTGCTCTCCCGTTCCTCTCCTCTTCTGCTCGTTTTGAGATGGGGTATCCTATCTATCTAATATTGGAAATTTTGGTTTGAGGCTAGAACCTCGCTTCTTTCTTTTCGTTGGTTTGAGTTTTGTCCTTCTCTTCTCTTCGGCTTCTGTCCACTCTTCTTCGCTTCTGCCCTGTCAGGTCAGACCCGCGATTCGTCGAGTTCGGTGCTCGATGTCTTGGTAACAGCCAGCGAGGTCTTTCACTCTTCTCTTCTCCAAGACACCTTCTTTTAATCAATCCTTCTTTCTTTTCACGGTGCCGGGATTGCCGGTCGATCTCGCCCGTTCCACTCCTTGCGAGCAGGAAGAATCCATCGACGCTGGCCGTCAGTTATTTCGAGTTGTAAAAGGGATATTCGACGGGGATAGGCACGGCTGCGTCTCCGAGAGTCGTTAAACACCTAGTTGGACAGGATGGCGAACAAGATCCAGATCGCCTACTTGGTCGCCGATGGCCTCTTCTTGCTCATGGGCGTCTTCATCCTCGGCTTTTCCGTCATTGTCAACAACATCAAGGATGAGGTACCAGAAAACGGGAGACAGGCGGCAAGGAACCTCTTGTACCAGGATTTCCCGTTGACAGGTTGGTGGTGGCACGGTCGTTTTTACAGATGGGGACTCTAGCTAACGAGCACACAGCCGGTATTGTCAACGCCGTCTTCATCTTCATCACCTTCGCTGTCACCCTCCCCGGCCTCGCTACCTCGTCTCGCAAATGGCTCAAGCTCGCGAGCTACATGGCGGTGGTCTGCCTGATATTCAGCATGATTCTCGGCCTCTACCTATGGATCCAGACCCTCAAGCTGAGGGATGACTTCGCCCCCCGTTTCACCGCCCAAACTAACGAGATCAAGAGCCTCATGCAAGTCGAGGTTAGTCTCCCACCCACCACAACTCCCCATCCCACCCCTCCCCCACCCCCAAGCAAACCAACCCCCCCCACTAACACACCCACCCACCCACAAACAGTTCAACTGCTGCGGCTACTTCAACAGCAGCCGGCCGGCCTTCATCACGGACGCGACGTGCCCGAGCAAGGCGGCGGCGGCCATGGTGCGCGGGTGCGCGACCCCGATCTCGGGCTTCGCCAACGTCTTCATCGACAACATCTTCACGGCGCTCTTCGGCATCGTCGGCTTCGACGTCATCTTCATCATGGCCACCGCCTGCCTGCTCAAGGACCGCAAGGAGCGCGAGCGGTTCCAGCATATCGATGAGAAGAATGGGTTTGGGCGGATTTGAGGGGGGGGGGGTGTGCTGTGGGTTCGGGGGGTGTTGGTGGGAGTTGGGGGAGGGGGGACAAAGGAGGAAGGGTGGTTTTCTCTTGGACAGGCGCAGTGATGTCTGTGCGTGGTGGGTTGAGCTATACGGAACGGCAGGACGGAGTAATGAGCGTGGCATGGTTCCTCTTGCGTCACCGTCATTCGGTCTTGGTGGTGCATTCTCTCTGATATAGAGCGTACATTTTCTCTCCAGCGTGTATAAAGTGCGGCACAGCCAGCCGGTTTAGAGAGACCTCCAGCCATCGATTATCAAATTCATTTACATGCGTAGACAGGGAACAGAGCTGTTGCCGTCTCTAAAACCTCGTCTTTGGGTCTCGGTGTCTAAATCTCGCGGTCCCTACCAGGGCCACCCATCTGATTATGCGCCGTGGGGATATCTGATTTGAACGGTATATTGTGTATAACTCTGCTTCAACGCATACAACGCCACGCCAATGCAGATCCAACTTGGACACCAGTTGAACAAAAGAGAAAAAAGCAACTTAATTTAAACTGGGGAATCATCCTGCCTCGTCCTACTTGGCCCTGGCCCCTGACTTGGCCTCGGGTCAGATACCGGCGGCGGCCTCTCCTCTGAAGAAGACCCTGCCAGTCCGGCCTCTAAATCCTCCCTGCGGGTGGGAGCTACTGCCCAACTCGCAGAACCCGCGCTCGGAGAGTCCGCCACTCCTGTTGGCCTTGACTTATTGCCCCACCATTTCAACCCAAATACATTCCTTGCCAGGCTCTGAAATCCGCCTGACGACTGCCTGGCCGTGGATTTCCTGGCCGTAAAACCGGGGAAACCAGTGGATTTCCGCCGTTTCTTGAAGTTTACCCGTTGTGATGGCATAAGTGGCTCGGCCTCCTCGGCTGCTTCGCCGGGGACAAGGTGGCGAGACTCCGTTGTCCCTCGTCTTGTTGCGAACGAGAGCGAATGTCGATGGCCGGGTAGAGTGGTTGACCGACGTCTACTGAGCGCAGGGGAAGCCGGTTCTGGTGTGCTGCGGTCCTCGAGCTCATCCCAGATCTCGGCGCGCTCTGCCCAACGGGATGAGGCCGCCCTTGTAGAGCGGGTCATTGGGCTTTGTCTTTGGGACTCGGAACCAGCAGGTGCCATGGAAACATCCGGAGACTCAGGTAGCGCGAACGTTTGATAGTTGGACTCGGTTGATGATGCACCCTCGTTTTCACCAAGGAGAGCAGAGCGCAGTGAGACCTCCTCGCCATCTTCCTCGCCGTCTGTATCCTCGATGAGCCCGAGACCGGGTGCCAATGTTGATTGCCCAACGCCTGGTGTGTGTTGCTCGTCGCTGAGACGCCATGATAGCGCAAGTACACCTGTGAGGAGAATGACGGTCCCGAGAGTGATGAGGCATGCGCGTAGAGGGTTAATGAGGTCGGTCTGGCGGAAGTAGATGAGCCCATCGAGGATGGCGATTATGTTGTAAATGCAGAATATCAGCGGGTACAGAACGGATGTCGAGACCAGCTTGAGGCCGCGGTGAAGATAATAGAGTTGGGTCAGCGCGAGAGTGACGAGGCTGAGAACTAGCATCCACGACTGCCAGTGGACGAATTGATTGTCGCCGTCGGCGATCGTCCTGACGATCAGCTCAACGGCTGACTTGGCCACGAGAAGGGAGTGCGCGGACAAGGTGCCGCTTATGCACCCGTACGAGAAGCCTCGCGCGAGACGGAATCGGGGGTCTTGCATCAGCGTCGTGAAGTGGCTCACGAGTTCGGTGGCGATGGCGAGGCCGATGACGAAGACGGCTTGGAAGGACATCCAGAGCACGAACGGTCGTCTCCCCAATAGGTCCAGCAGCTCGCTCAGCTTGTGCGCCGGCGAGGGGATCGCGCCGAAGATGGCGATTAAGACGGCGCCGCCGCAAACAAGCAATGTCCCCCACAGTGACCACCTTGTAAACGGTTCTCCGAGTATGAGGGTGGCGCAAATTGAGTTGAAGACCAGGCCCGAGGCCTGAAGTGTCGACAGAACCGGCAACGGGAGCGTGGATATTTGAACCGAACTTCCGACTATGTTGGATATGATGAACATGCCCATCCCCAGCTGCCACCTCCTCCTTCGATATGGCGGCCGCCTCACATCGTAGGGTGCCTTTTCGTCTTCGAGTATATGCGACTTTCGTTGGAGTGTGAGGCCTAGGCTCTGAACGCTCGTGGACAAAAGGCCGACTATGATTCCAAGCTACGTGTTCGCGCTCATATTAGCAACTGGAATGGCTTGATTTACCAAGGGAGAGGCGGATCAGCTTACAGCTATGCTCCCGCCAGGAGAGATGCCGCCTATGAGCCCCATTGCGGTGGCGGCAAGAGGCTGCAGGCGGTGTACTATCGGAATCGCATGAGGTGGTAAATGATCTGAAGATGCGCCGGTTCGGTTGGAGGGGTGGAGGAGGATGTAAGCTTTGTTCGGGGGATTCCTCTGGTTTGGTGGTCGTGGTTGGCCGCTGGGTGGATCGCAGGCCGAATAGCGGACCGCCGGTTTTTGATCAGATTATCGCCTCGGTGCTGCGGTACAGGAAATCTTCAAACAATGACGCCACCCTTCGGCAAATCGACGTGGGCTGCGTGAGTGTAGGCGGGTGGTGTTCGTCACGACCACGGGGGTTACGGCTAGCGATCATGCGGCGCGGCCACCCGTCGTGGGGAAGCGGCCCTGAAGCAGCCCAGCAACACACCGGGTGCGGCACAAGTGTGAGACAGTGGGCCGTAGGGCCTCTTCAATCGTCGTCGCAAATGGTCAGAGGGTAGTCGCCAAAGAAAATGGGTGCACTTGCGCTCTGAAGGCGGAATGGTTGGAAAAAGGACAAACAGGCGAAACGTTGGGCCCTCTCCGAAGTCCTGGCCCCTGGCACGTCGACAAACCTCTGACGCCAACTCAGATGGTCAGTGGTGCTGTAGGCCAATGCACTGTGCGTCTGGGCTTTGTTGGGGCGATGAATGCAGTGAGGTGAAGCAACCACATCCAGCCGGTCAGCCACGGGTGCTGAAATTGTGGCTGGTATTCATTGTTCCCACAGGGAGACAGGCCAACCCGACGTTATCTTATCGGGCGGGACTTGGCAAGGTGGGGTGGTGCTGTGGCTGGCGTTTTCCAGGTTGGAGGTTGGCAGGCACGCAGGTTGGCCGTCAGCCCGCGCCTTTGCCAAGCCGCTGTAGCAGGTCACCCATGTCTCGAGCAGCTGCGTCAACGGCGCTGTTGGTTGACACCCTCAGACACACCCCAATACAACACCAAGACCACGAGGTTTCCGCAGTCCACCGAGTCCGGCAACCCTCTTGTGTAAACCCGCACCCCGTCCCTCAACGAAACCGACCTTTCGCTTGATCACCACCTTCAAGCTCGCTTGCTTGCTCCCCCTCTTCCGCCTCGAGCTTGTCGGACCCGCACCCTTCCAAGTCCGCCCAACAACCACCCCGTCAAGATGTCGCAAATTCACTCCTTGTCCGACGACCAGGTACGGCAATATCACCAATCTCAAGCTTTGCGCAAGACGCTGCTGGGCTATCCCCAATCCAACATTAGCCACGCTCAGCGCCCACCTTCCCCCCTTATGACGTCCCCCACCCACATCACCACCACCTGAGAACCAATTCTAACGAGGACATGCTCTCACTAGGTCGGACAAGAGCTGCGCAAGATGACGGCGTTTATCAAGCAGGAGGCGACGGAGAAGGCGCGCGAGATCGAGATCAAGGCGGACGAGGAGTTCGCGATCGAGAAGTCGAAGCTGGTGCGGCAGGAGACGGACGCCATCGACACGGCGTACCAGAAGAAGTTCAAGCAGGCGACCATGTCGCAGCAGACGACGCGGTCGACCGTGGCCAACAAGACGCGCCTGCGCGTGCTGGGCGCCCGCCAGGCCCTGCTCGACGACATCTTCGCCGCCGCCGCCGACAAGCTGGGCGACGCCGCCAAGGACCCCGCCCGCTACGAGGACGTCCTCAAGGGCCTGCTCCTCGAGGGCTTCTACGCCATGAGCGAGCCGGAGCTGCAGGTCCGCGCGCGCAAGGCCGACTACGAGATCGTGCGCAAGGCCATCGACGCCGCCGCTGCCGAGTACAAGGAGAAGGTTGGCAGCGACGTCAAGGCGACGATTGACGAGGAGAACAACGTGCCGGATGGGAGGTAAGAATTGGCTAACCAGCTGGCCCCCCCTGATATATTGCGGACGAGTACTGATGTAACTTGTTTAATCCAGCACTGGCGGTGTGGTAATCGTTGGGGGCAACGGCAAGATCGATCTCAACAACACCTTTGAGGCGAGGTTGGACCTGCTCCGGGAAAGCGCCCTTCCGGCTATGCGCGAGGCTCTGTTTGGCAAGAACCCGAACCGCAAGTTCTACGACTAAGGCTCGCCACTCAACTATTGGCGTTGTTTGCATTCCACAGCATGGGTCGTCACGGGATATTTGGGATTCACGCATGACAATCTGTCTGGGAATGAGCTTTATACATCATTAATCCGAAGCGGAGCCGAGCCGAGCCAAGCGCTAACGGGGGTATCTCTAGGGTTTGTATGATAGGAGACAGGGAGTGATTTGGAGCGAGATGGAGAATTCAGAATAACGTGCACCGATGCTGCTGCTCCTCAAGTGTTGCTCTAAGGAGTCTTGGGGGGTGGCCCCTTTTTCAAGAACCTCTTCATAAACTGCTGCTGCTTGGGGCGCTCGAGATCGTCCTCAGTTGGATTGAGCCCAAAGATGTCCTCCTTGGGACGGGGCCGTGTCCGGACGACATGTTGTAGCTTGCGCTCAAAGTCTCTTAGTTGGACGCGGACTTCTAGCCTCGACATGTAGGCAGCGCCCTGCTCGTGGATGTTGGACCACAGTAATTTGATCCTACGTGACAGCTCGTCGACATCGGTATTATACTGTTTCACCGCCTCCGGGCTGGTGTTTTCGGCTGGCGGCGATCCATCGCCAACCGCGACGCTCAGCATCTCGGAGAGTGCTAGGAGCTCAACATAATCGGTGTTAGTGCGATCTACGATGAACTCGTCGGCCTGCTCAAGACGATCGATGATAGATCGGATGCTGAATGTGTCTTCTGGCGAAGAGAAGGCTCGGCGAGGGTCATCGAAGACAAAGACGAGGGCCAGCCGCCGGCGCAGCTCGATCAACTTTGTATGAAGCGGTGGGACGGAAGAGATCGCATTCCAACGGAAGGTAGCCTCTTGGGTATGCCAGTAGAGCGAGTCGCCTACGCTTCCGCACTAGGAAGGGTGAAGTATGTCAGGGGTCTGGAAGCGAAAGATCCGCGGACAGGAGAGGGTTCCTCACGAAGTTATTCCAGATTCTCCACGGAACGGCCAACACAACTTGTAGCAACGCATCTTGGTACTCTGCTGCGACTGCTTCATCCTCACGTACGAGGTCGTCGATACCGAGGCGGAGGAGAATGGACATCGTCCGTGTTAGTGCTTGGGTCGTTAAAGCGTGAGCTGTCCCTGCCAAAATGCGAAGCACGCTCTGGAGGCGGATTCGGCAATCTTCTGGATAAGGGGCGCCGTTCTCCGAGTTTCCGCTTGGTTGAGATCTCGTCGCAAGGGCTCGCTCTGAAGCTCCAAGGTCTTGAAATAGCCCGACGACCTTATCGTCCAGCAGAAGTCGCCTGATCTGGTCTGAGCAGACGCCAAGGAGCCGCATATATTCGCCTTGCAGCTTCCTGGACTTCGCATATGGTGCCTCATCCAGCACCCACAGGAAGATTCCGTCCGGCAAATTCTGCATCCGACATTGGACATTGTAGGGCAGCCCGTCTTCAAAGATCTCGGACCTATGCTTCTCTTGGCCAAGGAAGGCCCAAACACCAGTGGCTTCGGCCTTGGGGAAGGGGCGCCGTACTTGGATCGCCGTGCTGTTAGGTTGATTCTGGCGATCGAAAAAATACCACTCCTTCCGGCCGACCGTTGCCTCGGTCCGTTTTACCGCCTGCATCAGTCTCCCACGATTCCCCTCGTCCTGGCTATCCTCGGGATCGGATAACACATCCAACATTGTGTCGCGAAGGCCAACAGGCTCCTCGTTCGACATCGCACGGTCGCGTGCTCTTGGGGATCCCTGGGCTATGAGGGCCGCGGTGCGGTGCTCACCCTCCTCGACAGCGTCGTCCGCCTCGGCATGCTGAAGTAGCGCCCTTATATCAAACTTGTGGTGTTTGGTATTGATGGTCAAGGGTGAGGAGTGGAAATCCAGCACCCTCCGTTTTGCCTTGGGCGTTGCGTAGACATTGGGGCCACTGTCCGATGCTACGGGGAGGGGGTTGCGTGGAAGATTCGAGAACAGCTCGGGAAAGTCATCATCGGAGCCGAAGTCATCGTCATCCTCATCGTCTGAACCCCGGATTATCGCGTCGCGGTCCCGGAGCGTTGACGCAGGGATTGGTGGGGAGGAAGGAAAGTGAGCGGGTGATGGTGAAGGCGATGGCGGGGGAGGGGTTGGTGATGCTTCCGTTCTCGGCTCCGCTTTAGGTGGTGAGCTCTGCGGCGATTTCGAGACTGGCTTAAAAAAGCTAGTAATGTTGCCGTGCCTTGCCATTTCGGAGAGAAATCGACATCACCGATATTCATCTCTTTCGTGGTTGGTACATTTGTAGATTGTTTCGTGTCTCTCGCGTTCTTGGCACTCCGACGCGTCGCCGCTCGCGGGCTCGCATGGAAAGCACTGCATGATTTAGGAGTTACCTCGTTACAAAGTTACCGTAATTTACACTGTGGGTCGAGGCTGTGACAGTTCGTCCAAGAAGGAGCGGAGCAGCCATGGAACTTCGCAAAATAAAGGAGAGATTTGAAACCGCCTGGGTGCACGGAGCACATTGTCAGTTGTCATAAAAGGCTCGGACACAACACGTGAGAGAAGGTCGTTCTTCTGATTCGGTTTCCAGATTTGTTCAGGGGAGAGGCTGTCTTTGATGAACGTTGGCTGAATCTCGACCTCGGGACTGAACGGTGGCAGCACTTTCCTCTCCATGCTCGAAGGGATAACTACCTACCTAGGTAGGGAGGTAGGTATTGTGGATGGACGTTTGTCCATAGTAGGTAATCCTTCAATGAAGGCCGGGGCGGGCGGAACCGCCTGCCACTGAATCACTATGATCCATTCCTTTCCGGGAATTCGGTTGGAAGTTTTCTTGCTCATGACTATTACCAGCAATGACCCGGCTTCTCTGCTCGTAAGCGGGACCGAGGACGCTTCGCATAACTGGACCTGATCGATTCTTCCCGGGTTGAGCTGAAACCCATCCACGGGTTTGGAGAGGCACCGACCCAGCCGTTGTAAGGCCTTGATTGGATGAACAACGGCGGCGCAGTCGTTCCCTCGAGAGCGTTTACGATGAGGGAACAGAGCAGAATGTTTCACTCGCCCGCGGCGTTCTGACAACGAAGGCCGAAGGCACTGCCGCGAATCTGCGGCAACGTCCACAGCGCTGATTCCAATCCGCCTTGCCACGAGTTGAGGCGGTGTTCGTCACGCAAGAGGTTGGTTATCTCGCTTTCGTCGGGTAACTTGTGAGTCGATGAGAGTAGGCAAGTCAGCGCGCAGCGGGTGTCCCGCGTGCCATTCTCGGCACAACGCACCTCCCTCGAAATAGTTCATCAGACGTTCAAGGGTGGGGGTCGCGGATGCGAATACCCTCATGTCATGAGCTTTCCATCGTCGTGAACGAGTCGGTGAAGGCATTTTTCAAGACAACGGAGGAAAGCAGGGCCGCAATCCCACGATGGGCCGGGTCGGTCACCGGGGTTCAGCCAAACCCCGAAAATGGGGTAGATCGCTGGAAACCCCGGGAGGGGGAAGGATTACTCAGTCCGTGACGAGATCGCCAACATCCCAAATTGGATATTCCCGTCTCGTCTCCGCCTTCACCCCCGCTGGTCGGTTAACACATGCGTGCGCTACCGGCCACTCCGGGGCAACAAGAATTGACTCAAAATCGGGTTCTTTGGAAAAGATATCGCGGCCGCCGAGCGAGGTCATGCCCGGTGACAGTATCGCTGCGAGTTCAAGCATGTTCAAGTTTCGTACTAATGATGGCTGACTTGGGTCATATTCGAGCACGTTGTATTGTCAAGACTGGATTTCACGGCGAAAAGGGCACTTCGGATGCTCTGGAAGCTGTCAGAAACGAATACAGCGTTGCATGTTACCCAAGGTTACGGCCCGGGATATTACTGCGTCGCAGACGCAAGCAGCTTGGTCGAAAACTCAAGCTTCCAAGATCAAGCCGAGACCGACCAGGCGCAAGCCCCACTCTTTGGCACCGCGACGCCGTGAAATGAGAACCCGCGCTGACCAATTCAGGGACCTGGGCACCGGGCTGGGATCCTAGCGGGCCCCCCGGTTCTGCTGTTCTGGCCTTTTTTGTCCAAACGAAGAAAGGCACCCCAGAGCCTTTGCTTCTCGCAAAAAGTACGGATTCGCACCATCCAAAATCCCCCCTTTTCCTTGACATTCATGCAATCGCGACCAGGGAGCTACCAAATTTGTCTCTCAGGTTGTTGACTGCCTGGGCCTGCCCGTGCCATAGCGTCGTCCTCTCGTTCTCTCTGCTTGCGGAACCCCGACTCTTCCGGCCCACCTATTCCCCAGCAGCGCCCAGCGCCGCCCGCGCATCGAAATCTCTCCCTCGACCGTCCCCGGGTCTCGCAACGGTCACGAAACACGTCGCCCGCCACGTTTTCGCCCAGTCTGCCCCGTACTCCTTTATTGCCGTTCAATTCTTGGCCGCTTCTGCACTGAATTTCTCGAGCGGCGATTACAACTTTCCAAGCACGACACATCTTGGACGATAGATTCGTGCGGTACCTATCGCCTGAGACCCCACCGCCACAGACCCGACCCATCGACGCGCCAAGCTCGAATTGTAGCGGCCTCGAAGAGCGACTCGGCCAAGTTTGGCCAGCCTGGCGACCATTTCGGGGTGATCGGGCCCTGCCCGCGATCCCACCATCATGGCGTCTCCGCAGGGGGGGGCAGGAGATGGTGTTGAGCCAGACTTTTCCATGCAGCGGTCCCGATGGGCTACTCGGAAGTTGACGGTGAAGAGCAGCTCCATAAAGCGTCTCTCGCTAATGGGGAGGAAACACACCAACAAGGGCATGGCGAACGAGAAGAAGAGGGCATCTGGAGGGACCGACGCCTTGCCGCCCGCCGATGAGGAGCAAAAAGATGACACCAGTGTCGAGGAGGAGGTCTTCGATGGCCCGGGGCCGAGGCAGCTATTCTTCAACAACCCTCTGCCGCCCGAGCTTCAGGACGAGGACGGGTACCCGTTGCAGCAGTACACGCGAAACAAGATTCGAACCGCCAAATACACGCCGCTCTCTTTCGTTCCCAAGAACCTGTTCTTCCAGTTCCAAAACATCGCCAACATTTTCTTCCTCTTCCTCGTTATTTTAGTTGTAAGTCGGCCCGCGCTCCGCTCCTTGGCAGCGGGAGAGTTGACAAGAAGCCAATTGTTAGATCTTCCCTATTTTCGGCGGTGTCAATCCCGGGCTCAATGCCGTCCCCCTAATATTTATTATCTGCGTCACGATGATCAAGGACGCCATTGAAGACTACCGACGGACGAATCTCGATAACGAGCTCAACAATGCGCCCGTTCACCGGCTGTTGGGCAAGAAGAACGTCAACGTGCGGGAGGATAATGTCTCGGGGTGGCGGAAGTTCAAGAAGGCCAACTCCCGCTTCTTCGGCTCAATATGGCGCGCGATGGAGGGGCTGTGGAAGAAGGACGAGCCAGGCCACCAGACCTTCAAGACGGCCGACCCACGCATGTCTATCGAGACAAGGACCACCCCTTGGGAACCCGTTGCTTCGCCGCATTCTCGCCAATCGGTCGCCTCGGCACATGAAGATATCCAAATGACGCCAGTGCCGTCGCCCTTGCCCCGCGACGCCGATATGCCCACGATCTCGTCCTCGATGGGAAATGAGGCGCTGCTCTTGCAAAATCTCAAGGGCGACCTGATCAACAAAGAGGTGCCCATCTCGGGAGATGCGAGGTTTCACAGAGATGCTTGGAAGAGCTTGGTGGTCGGGGACTTCGTGCGCATTTACAACGACGACGAACTCCCCGCGGACATCATCATTCTGTCGACGTCGGATCCAGATGGCTCTTGCTACGTGGAGACGAAGAACTTGGACGGCGAAACTAACCTCAAGGTTCGATCGGCTCTGCGATGCGGGCGGACGCTAAGGCATGCTCGCGACTGTGAACGGGCCCAGTTCGTCATCGATAGCGAGCCGCCGCAGTCGAATCTCTACAAATATAACGGCGCGATCAAGTGGCAACAGCAAGTTCCCTGGGACCCCAAGGCCGAGCCGAGGGAGATGTCGGAGCCCGTCGGTATCGACAACATGCTTTTGCGGGGTTGCAACCTCCGGAACACGGAATGGGCGCTCGGTGTCGTTGTCTTCACCGGTCATGATACAAAGATCATGATGAACGCCGGTATCACGCCCAACAAGCGGCCCCGTATTGCGAGAGAGCTAAACTTCAACGTCATCTGCAACTTCGGCATCCTTCTCGTCATGTGTCTGATCTCGGCGCTCGCGAACGGCATCGCCTGGGCTAAAACGGACGCCTCCTTGACCTGGTTTGAGTACGGGTCTATCGGAGGGACCCCGGGTTTGACTGGTTTCATCACCTTCTGGGCCGCCCTCATTGTTTTCCAGAACTTGATTCCGATCTCGCTCTACATTTCGCTAGAAATTGTGAGGACCGCGCAAGCATTCTTCATCTACAGTGACATTGGGATGTATTACGACAAGATCGACCAGCCTTGCATCCCCAAGTCGTGGAACGTCTCCGACGACGTCGGTCAAATCGAATACATCTTCTCGGACAAGACGGGCACTCTAACACAGAACGTCATGGAGTTCAAGAAGGCGACCATCAACGGGCAACCGTACGGCGAAGCGTATACCGAAGCCCAAGCTGGTATGAACAAGAGATTGGGCGTCGACGTCGAGGAGGAAGCGAAGACGATCCGTGCCGAGATCGCCGAGGCCAAGGTCAGAGCACTTCGTGGACTTCGGCAACTTCACGGCAACCCGTATCTTCACGATGAAGACCTAACCTTTATCGCTCCCGATTTCGTCGATGACCTCGCCGGTAAGCACGGCCCTGAACAACAACAAGCGAACGAACAATTCATGCTGGCCCTTGCCGTCTGCCACACCGTTATTGCCGAGAAGCAGCCAGGGGACCCCCCAAAGATGCTTTTCAAGGCTCAGTCTCCGGACGAGGCGGCCCTGGTGGCCACAGCGCGTGACATGGGGTTCACTTTTCTCGGCTCGTCAAACGAAGGGATTAACGTAAACGTCATGGGCACTGACAGACACTACACCGTCCTTAATACCATCGAGTTTAACTCGAGCAGGAAAAGGATGAGTGCGATTGTGAAGATGCCGGATGGCCGGATTTTGCTCTTCTGCAAAGGCGCCGATAGCATCATCTATGCTCGTCTGAAGAAGGGTGAGCAGGCCGAACTCCGGCTAGAAACGGCGAAGCATCTCGAGTTGTTTGCCGTTGAGGGTCTCCGGACGCTTTGCATCGCTCAAAAAGAGCTTACGGAGGAGCAGTACCGCGAGTTTAGGAAAGAACACGACGTAGCCGCCACGGCGCTAGAAAACCGCGAGGAGAAGCTCGAGGAAGTGGCCGATAAGATCGAGCGGGACCTCACCTTGTTGGGCGGAACTGCTATCGAAGATCGTCTCCAGGACGGCGTTCCGGACACGATCGCGCTGTTGGGTGACGCCGGGATCAAGCTCTGGGTGCTCACGGGCGACAAGGTCGAGACAGCCATCAACATCGGCTTCTCCTGCAATCTGCTGAACAACGACATGGATCTCATCCGTCTCCAGGTCAATGAAGACGAAGCTAGCATGGCGACCGAGGAGGAGTACCTGGCGATTTGCGAAGAGCAACTCAACAACGGCCTGGCAAAGTTCCATATGACGGGCAGCGACGAAGAGCTGAAGAAGGCCATGAAAGACCACGAGGCCCCCGCCGCCACACACGCGCTCGTCATCGACGGCTTCACGCTTCGCTGGGCGCTGAGCGATTCCCTGAAGCAAAAGTTCTTGCTGCTGTGCAAACAATGCAAGTCGGTGCTCTGCTGCCGTGTCAGCCCCGCACAGAAAGCTGCCGTCGTCGCCATGGTAAAGAAGGGGCTCGATGTCATGACTCTCTCGGTAGGAGACGGCGCCAACGACGTGGCCATGATCCAGGAGGCGGACGTCGGCGTGGGTATTGCCGGTCTTGAAGGGCGCCAAGCCGTCATGTCGGCCGACTACGCCGTCGGCCAGTTCCGTTTCTTGCAGAGATTGGTGCTGGTCCACGGCAGGTGGTCGTATCGGCGCTTGGCAGAGTCGATCAGCAACTTCTTCTACAAGAATATGGTGTGGACGTGGTCCATCTTCTGGTACCAGGCCTTTACCGATTTCGACATCTCGTACATTTTCGAGTACACGTACATCCTCCTGTTCAACCTCTTCTTCACATCGGTCCCAGTTATCCTTATGGGCGTCTTGGATCAAGATGTGAGCGATACGGTGTCGCTGGCGGTGCCCCAGCTCTACCGCCGCGGAATTGAGCGGAAGGAGTGGACTCAAACTAAGTTCTGGTTAGTGTTCCTGCCCCGGCTTCCTTTCTCGTTTGGCCACCTTTTGCTAACATGACATCTCCAGGGCGTATATGGTTGACGGCATCTACCAGTCCGTCCTGAGCTTTTTTATCCCGTACATCTTCGTCATCCTCACAACTACGGGGTCCGCAAGCGGGCTTGATGTCTCGGAGCGCACACGGCTAGGGTGTTATATTGCCCACCCGGCTGTCCTCACCATCAACGCCTACATCCTTATCAACACATACCGGTGGGATTGGCTTATGCTTCTCGTCGTTCTCATCAGTGACGTCTTCATCTTTTTCTGGACCGGCGTGTACACGTCGTTCACCTACGCCGCCGGGTTCTATCAGGCCGCCCCGCAAATCTACGCGGAGTTGACCTTCTGGATGTGCCTGATCGTCACTCCAGTCATCTGCCTCCTGCCGCGCGTTGTGATCAAGGCCATGCAGAAGCAGCTGTTCCCTTACGACGTGGATATCATCCGCGAGCAAGCCAAGCGCGGCGACTATGCCGATGCCGACGCGGCAGCTGCCGCCGCCGTGAGCGCGACCGAAGGTATCGAAGACTCATCAGCCAAATCGTCGTCCTCGTCAGGCAAGCTGTCCGGGCGGAGCAGGAAGGCGAAGCACGCCCAATACGCGAGCGTCGACGAGGACAGACGGCCAATCTACCCGCCCTCGATCGCAACGCACAACACACGCACGCAGAACGGGAGCGACGGGACGACGTACATCATGAGCCGGGCCTCGGCCGAGCTCCAGCTCCAGCAACAGCGGGACCAGCAGCAGCTGCAGCTGCAGCAGCAGCAGGATGAGATCGGGGCGGAGCCGGAACGCGCTGCCACGCGGCCGTCGATAGACCGCTGCAGGCCGTCGTACGACAGGGTACGGCGGTCGATGGACCGGGTGCGCCCCAGCTTCGAGGCCAGTAACGACTTCACCTCGGCGGCGCGCCTGAGCAGGATCGAATCGACGCATTCGGCGCAGGGGCTCCCGGGCCAGCGGCGGTTCAACCTGACGACGGTGAGGAAGCGGGGGTTGTCTGCTTTCTCCAAGAAGAGTATTGATCCATGATATGACGGAAGAGCAGGAGTTTGGACTGTATATGTGATTTCTCGTGTGGTATCGGTGATGGGTCTTTGTTGTCCCCCGTTTCTTGTTTCGCGTGTTTCTTTTTTTTTTTTTGATCACCCGTCTTGTTAGATATCCCAGCAGGCGGCCATGCATGCGTGCATGGAAGGGAAGTTGCATGATATCCCCCCACCCCCACCGACATATGCGGAGCTAGGAGGAGAGAGTTGAGGAGGTGCAATATTGTCGGTGTTAGACTTGTTCGATGCGAAAGATGAAGGGAGGAAAAAGTTGGTTGGGGTCTGGGAAGGAAGCGGGACTGCCCTCTGGTGGCTGTTCCTTGTTGCGGTTATTGCTGCTCAGTGGTTGCTGCTCCCCCTCTTCCTTTTTCTCTCCATCGCGGTTCTTCCTGTTTTCTTTTTTTTTCCATGGCATACGGCGTTTTGGATGGGATACATTTGCGACGCTGAGAGGAAGTTATGTTCCAAAGCGGCTTGAACTTGCGTTGTTGCTGTACAATACAAGAGCCATTTTGCATATATACCTCGTTGAGATGATACGAGTATGTTGCCTGCAGTTATTCGTGGTTCGGGACCAGTATGTATACCCTAGCTCAAGCCTTTCCGGCGGAGTCGAAAGCGGTCCGCCGGGGACTCGATCGAGTTCCCGTTTCCATTCCAACGACAGCGCCAAGGATTCGGCTCTGGCCGCTGGGGATGTGGGTCGTGAACCCTTGCGGCCGCTGTGAGTTTCCCCTGCCAAGCCCCTGAGCCAAGCACCAGAAGCCCCATCAAAAAGTGGTGTGACGCGACAAGATCGATTCAACGCCTTGCGCCCTGGACGACTTCACGTCTTTCCTCCACGAACACCCGCCCTTCTTTACTGGTGTCGGGTTCACAACTAGGCCAATCACATTAACACCTACCAGCTGAATGTACTGAGACCGTGCTGCTGAGACCGTGCTGGACACAAAAGCCGACGACGATGGCGACAGAGGCGGTGGGGAGTCTGCTCGAGCAGCTCCGTGTCGCGGCTCAGGACCTAGGGTGAGGAGAGACCGTCACAGCATTTGCTTCGTAAGACTTACAAGCATTTTAGACTAGTCGATATCCCGGAGTTTGCATGGCCGCTCCTCTGGACGGGCCTGGGCGCCCTAGCTCTCCTATATCTTGCGCTTCACGAAAACGACCAGCCGATCCGCTACAACGTCCCTTCGCCCAAGAGGCCCGACAAGGTCGAAATTCTTGACGAGCCTGCCATCAAGGTGCGCCATCGTCGAGTGTAGGATTTCTGGTTACCATAACATAGCTGACGATGTTGGATCCAGGCCTCCGGCTCCACCGCCGTTCAGTGCTATGCCCCCGCGACCGGGCAGTTCCTCGGCCTCGTGAACCCCTCGACACCAAACGACATCAACCGAGCCATCGAGCAGGCACAGGCTGCCCAGACAAAATGGGCTACTACCTCATTCCGTGAACGCCGCGCCGTTCTGCGTTCCCTACTCCAGTATGTCCTGGATAATCAGGAGGAGATCTGTCGCGTGGCCTGCCTCGACAGCGGCAAGACCATGGTGGATGCGCAGCTGGGGGAGGTCCTCGTGACGGCCGAAAAGCTCCAGTGGACCATCAAGCACGGCGAAAAAGCCTTGCTCCCTTCGCGGCGGCCGACGAACCTGCTCATGGCATACAAGCGCAACACCGTTTACTACGAGCCCTTGGGCGTTGTGGCCGCCCTCGTCAGCTGGAACTACCCCTTCCACAACTTCATCGGGCCCGTTATCAGTGCCCTATTTTCGGGCAACGCAATCATGGTCAAGGTCTCGGAACAAACAGCATGGAGTTCCTCTTTTTTCACCAACATTGCCCGCGGCGCGCTCATCGCTCACGGCCACGACCCAGCCCTCGTCCAGACCGTTGTCTGCTGGCCGCAAACAGCAAACCACATCACCTCCCACCCCGGCATCTCCCACATCACCTTCATCGGTTCCCGCCCCATCTGCCACAAAGTCGCCGCCTCCGCCGCCAACTCCCTAATCCCCGTCGTCGCCGAACTCGGCGGCAAAGACGCCTGCATGATCCTCGACTCGGTCAGCAAGCGCGACCTCCCGCGCGTCATCGAGATCCTCATGCGCGGCTCCTTCCAGGCCTCGGGCCAGAACTGCATCGGCATCGAGCGCATCGTCGCGACCCCGGCCATCTACGACCGCCTCGTCTCCATCCTCGAACCCCGCGTGCGCGCCCTCCGCCTGGGGCCCACCGCCGACATGGGCGCCATGATCTCCGACGCCTCCTTCGCGCGCCTCGAGGGCCTGATCGCCGACGCCGTCCGGCACGGCGCCCGCCTGCTCGCCGGCGGCAAGCGCTTCATCCACCCGGACCACCCCAAGGGCCACTACTTCTCCCCGACCCTGCTCGCCGACGTGACCCCGGACATGGCCATCGCCAACGAGGAGTGCTTCGCGCCCGTGATGGTGCTCATGCGCGCGCCCGCAGCAACCGCCGAGGCGGTGCTGTCGGTGGCCAACGCGCCGCACTTCGGGCTCGGCAGCTCGGTGTTCGGCAGCGAGTCGGACCCGCGCCTCGCGCGCATCGTGCGCGGCGTGAAAGCCGGCATGGTCGCCGTCAACGACTTCGGCGCCACCTACGCCGTGCAGCTGCCCTTCGGCGGCGTGGCCGGCTCCGGCTACGGCCGCTTCGCCGGCGACGAAGGCCTGCGCGGCCTGTGCAACCTCAAGGCCGTGTGCGAGGACCGCGCGGCGTGGCTGGGGATCCGGACGGCGCTGCCGCCCGCCATGCAGTACCCGGTCATGGACCAGGAGCGGAGCTGGCGGTTTGCGAGGGGGGTGGTGGAGGTGGGGTATGGGATGGGGCTTGTAAGGAAGGTCGGGGGGGTGTTGGGGATTATGAAGAATAGTTAGGGGGTGTTTGATGATGGAAGGAGAAGGGGAGGGGAATGTGACCGCCAGGAGCATGTATAAATGGGGGGTATCCGCAAGGGCAACACCCGCGTTCGCGGTCTGATAACATGACATCTAATACCTTAATTTATTGAAACCAACTTGTTGAAACCAATTCCTGTTTCTTGGTGTATATACCAACAGGGCAACTTCCCCGTCTCCCACTCCTGTGATACCGAGACCTATTCTTACCAATTGTCAAGATTCGACGCCCCCCCTTCCCAAACCCCAACACAAAGTTTGCCCCCTATCACCTAAGCAGTCGGGATAGCAGCGCAATAATCGGAACAGTACTCCATTTACACATGTACATACCAAGCGCTAACCCTAATCCCTATACTGCAACCCCCATCACATACCCCCACCCATGAACCCCCTAACCCAAAACCCTCTCTCTCAACCCGTACGTACTTAAAGAAGGGTATCCCAATCGTCTACTCAGCCACCCATCGCCCTCCCATCTAGGTATCCTCCAGCACCCCCTTATCCCAGAGAAGAAAAGAATGAAAGAAACCCCCCCCGAAGTGTGTGTATGTACTTGAGGAAACCCCGTCCCGCCTTACGTTGTCCGTTCGGTTCAGGCTCCTTCCAGCCTGCATCCGCACGAGTCCCCCGGAACGTAAATGAGCGTCAATGGCTGGCCGAGCTGTAGAAAGATAAACGCCCCCGAAATCCGAATGCCAGCTGTCGTGTGTATAACCCCCTGTGGTTCGTTTCCGTCATCAAGCGTTCTCTGCCCTCATATATTGAAAGCACCGTCTGGTCACGCCGAGCCTGTGCGGTGCGAGACAAGAGCAGTCCAAGCCAAGCCAAGATCACGCGCCCACCGTGTTACAAGCTCATGGTCAACCACTCCCATTCCTGCGGCCCGGCCCGCTGGCTTCCCGGCCCAGCCAGCGGCCGCTGCTGCATGGTCGCGGCGCCAAAACCGCTGGCAGACAAGCTCAGACTGCTAGAGCTAGGCTGCATGGCGGTCAGCGTGCTGCTCGAGCCCATGGGCCTGGACAATGCGGCGGCCTCGTTGGAGCTCGTGGAGCTCTCTGGGCTGTCGATGTCCATGCCGGTGAGCGACGAGTGCTCCATCGCCACAACACTCTTGCTGTAGCGACGCTGACGTTTTGAGGAAGAAACGGAAGGAGCTGTGGTGCGCGGGAGCGAAGCGGCGCCCGGCCCAGGGATAGGTTTCGCCGGAGCCGCAGCGATGGGGACGACGCCTTTCCCGCCGACTGCGCCGTTAGACGAGCCGGGGCCATTGTGATAGCTGGTGGGTGTGTTTCCCGATGAGTTTGCGGCCGAGGCGGCACCGCTCGCGGGGCTCTCGCTGTCATTGACACTGTTGGCTCTGTGCTGAGCCGCGGGAGGTGTGCTTGCCTGTACCGGCGGGGGGTTGGCGGCCGACGAGACAGAGAGTGTAGAACCGCGTTTGGTTATGCCTCCTGAGGAGCCGGCATTCTTTCTGGACCGGGTACTTGAACCACCAACAGGGAGACTCGAACCGGAGCCGCGGTTTCGCTTCTTGATAACATCCGTTTTCAAGCTCAGAGGCCGAACCACACCGTGAAGTTTGAGGAACAAACCGCAAGCGTTACACAAGGGTTGACCCTCGGGGTTTCGGCGCCAGAGTGGCGTTGTCTGGGTAAAGCAGTTTGTACATGTCGTAGGTGCATTGGCGTTGGCGTTGGAACTGCTCTCGGCCTGACTGCTCCCGGCCGCTTGGAGGTTGGTTGTCGATCCATGTCTCGACGTCGGAGGAGGGGACGAAGGACGGCTAGTGCTAGTAGAGGAGAAAGCCGACGCCTGGTTGGCCTCGGCAGGTGGCGAGTTTGGCGTCGACCGCGCCAACCTATCGAACGGATTCGCTCGATTGGCCAGTCTCGGCGTCGAAGACGTTCGCGGTACTTTACCGGTGCGCGCATCCGTGGTACCGAACGACTGCGACTGCGACCGGTTCAACCCCGCTCCTTCCCAGTCGCCACTCGAGTCGACGTAGTCGGTAGTCGTACCACCTATTGTCACCTGTTTCCGAGTAGGCCCGGCCGGGTACCTGGCTGCCTGCATACTGAAGTTACCGGGGAGGGATGGGTCCCATTGGAGCGACGAGCTGTTAAACCCGCTGTCCTCCATGCCCTGGGGGGAGAGGTCTTGTGGTATCGGAATGTTGCGGTCAGCAAAAGCACCGCCCTCCTCATCGTCCGAATCGGCGCCAAACGAAAACATGCTCTCTTGGCCCAAGCCAACGGCAGGGGACCGAGCAGGGAGCTCCTGCTGGAACACCCGCGTTGGGTCGACGTGGCCGAAAGAGGTCGGTGCGTTGAATGTGGAAGTCGATTCGGAACCGGTAGAGGCAGTAGGGAACATCAAGTTGCCATTAGCGCCGTACGGAAATTGCTGCCCCAATGCGTTGGCCATCCCCGTATGGACAGTCCTGTACGGGTGCTGGCGCAGATGGCGCATATCCATCTGGCCAAAATAAAAGCCATCGCCATCACGCAGGGGGTGGGGGGTGGAAACAGCGGACTGGTACGCAGATCCTGGAGGGGAATAGAAATCGGCGCCCAAGGGGCCAGAAGGCACGGAGGAGCCATTATAGAGGCTAGCGAACGGGTCATTGGCCACCATTGGCGATGTGGCCGGGGAGAAGGAGAAGTTCTGCTGGAACGGACCGGCAGAGGTAAGGCTGAGGTCGTTCAAGCGAAAGGTGTCAAGCGGGAAGGGAACTCCCGTGTGATTGGGCGGCTGGGTCATGGCGGCGGCCTGGTGTAAGTGGTCGAGCGAGTACTCGTTCAATTCCGCGTCGGCGTCGAGTCCATTTGTCGCAACGCCGCTGTTGACGGCGGGGACGTGCGGGGAGAAGTTGGCCGGACGCTTCCGGGTCTGTTGAGAGGCACGCAAGATCAGATCGCCATCACAAACAGAAAGACGTCATCGCAATACGAGGCGGGGAAAGGCGACGATCTCGTGGCAGAGCCGTCGTTTACACAACAAGGGGCGTGAACTTACACGCTGGCCGGTCTCGTCGATGCTAGTCTTGCGCGGGTGTCGAGGGAGATAGCCAAACTCGTCCTGCACCCTTTGGTGGGCGGCGACGGGCACCGACTGGGGAGCCAAGTGCTGAGAGGAGTCCTTGCGAGACTTGATGGGAATGGCGGCCGCCGTGGGGTGGGCTGGCCTATCCTCGGCCTGGCGCATGGTTTCCGGGGTCGGGGTCAAGGCGAGGCCGGCTGGTGTTCCGACGTTGTCGTTGTGGATGAAGTCGTCCAGGTTCATTGGATCCGACGGCAGCGGGGCATGCTCGGTCGACTTGCGCAATTGCGCAATCCCGCTGGGGGCATTCGCTGATGCGCCTGGAGCACGGTTGTTTCTTCGTCGGCCCACAAAGTTAGCACTCTCTCTCTTCCGCAACTGTCGAACGTCCAAGACAGCATACTAGAAACCGCGGCAAGACGAAAAACGTACTTTATCGCGTTGGCCGCTCTTGTCCTCTGCAGTTTGAGATGCATCATTCGCCACGTCAGGTTCTCCATACGCTCCTGGGCGGGAAGAAGCTGCTTCGTCCTGGCGTAAAACTTCCAGATCTGGGTGGCCAGCGGGTCCTGCCTCTGCATCTCGTCTAGGCTCTGGCCCTCACGCATCATGTTCTGCTGAAACGGCTGGAAGGCGGCGGAGCGCAGCATGTCCGGGTGGGCAGCGCCATGAGTCAGGGGAAGGTCTAGACGGGACTCACGGAGCCCGGAACGCTGGCCGGTCGGTCCTGTCGTCATGATCCTTGGTGTCCCGGTTGTCGTTGATGACATTGTGGCCATCCTAGCGCCAGAAGTAGATGCGCGATCTTGGTCGAATCGGTCGGGTCTCCGATTCCCGGGAGCGGCATCACCTGGCCTTCGTGGAAAGCGGAAGTCGTGTTCAGTCATTGTAGGATGCATCGAAGACAACGGGCTCGACGCCGCAAAAGGGTCCGTCGCGGTCGCTGCCATTGCGATGCAACGGATGAGACCCGATCGAGATTTGGGGGGATTTGGGTGAAAAGGAAGGGCGCTGGTGCCGCCGAGGCAAAGGAGAGTTGGCTCCGTTGCTCTCTCGGCCTGCTGGGCCTTCCCCACGCCCGAGTGCAGCACAGGCCGCGCTTGTGGTGCAGTGCAGTGCAGGCAAGTCCCAGGTGAGCCGGGTTCTGTGAAAGGAAACAGGCTTATGCTGGGCGGGCCAGTTCTGCAATTGCGCCGCCAAACACACAGTGTGTGTTCACCACCGGGCAGTGTGGGGACTGCGGCGAACTTGGACCTTGGCAGCAGAGTTGAAGCCTAAAAAGAGAGGAAACGATGCAAAGTGGAAAAGGCTTATTTTTCCTTTTACGTTTCTCTCAAACGGCTTGGGGGAGGGAAGGAAAGGGCCGGCCGGCAAAGTGGTGACCTTCTAGGAAAGAGTTCAAGTGGGCTCCGCTCACTCACAGCGGCTCGCTGAGAAACAGAGATGTGGCCCCTGCCCGCTGCCCGCTGCCACCGCTGGGCATGGGGCTTCAATGCAACACGACCCCGCCAAGCCTCGTGGGAAGCCCCGAGAGTTGATGGATGGAAGTGGGGAGGAAAGACCGAAGAAGGAAGAAAAGCAGGGAGTTGCTTTAATGGAAGACAAAGGATGGGCCAGCCACACCCGAAGGAGGCAGTGATCATACTGCGTAGATGTCCCGCCCACGTTGAGAAGTTACCTCGACACGCTCGAGTTCCCTCACTTGCGTCAGGACATATTTGTTCCATGCTCGGTTTTGTCACAGGCCCACGTCGCACCGCAACCCACTCGGGAACAGAACCGACAAGGGCCTCGTTCTGATGAGCTTCTCGCCCCACTGCGATTCCTCCCCACCATCACAATCATCCAGACAGTCCGCCACGCTCCTGACGCCGCTGCTGACGGAGAGAAAGCGCAATCTCGCCCGTTCTAATATCCGCCAGCTCTACGAACAGGCCATTATTATGATCCCAAAACGTTGACCACCGAAGAACGAAATGGGCCGTCCCGTGTTTCGAAAACTTGGGTCGATCGGGGGTCCCAACCTCTACTGCAAGTACGTTGTAAAATGGGCAAGCCGGCCGAAGTCACCAGTACTTGCCCCACCCGGTGAGCCGTGAAGCAGGCAGGGCGGGATGTGGGAGCTCTTGGCGTGGAATGTCCCCGCGTCGCACAGCGACATGTTCGCGATGCGGCGTCAGCCGTTGTCATGATCCTCGGGGCCACCCCAATGGCGTCGTTCCAGGCCGTTGGCTGCTTGTGAGCATGGGCAAGCAGACGGGGGCGGGGCATTGATGGGCCTGGGTAGTTGATAACTTGACATAAATTGTCATTGCTAACCTCTCCTCTTGAATGCAGTGTGCGCTCGCAATAAGGAGAGGAGACACAGTCAGGCGCCCGCGCGGGGGCACCGGGTAGTGTACCAGCTTCGACGAAGGCCCGGCACAGGTCATCCGCTCGAGTGCGCTGCATCGACAGATCAAGCCACGGATGTTTGGGTGGCCCCCAGCCTTCACGGATGGGGGTTGAAGGCCACCCAGTCTAGTCGAGTCGCCATCCCACGTGTATATTCAACGACGGCGAGCAACGACTCAACATGCCTGTTTTTCAACAAGCTTGGAGCCGTTAGTCGACATTCTCTTCCCATTCGGCAATATCAGTTCGGGTCAGATCCGAGCTCCTATCAGCGGCGTTATTGTCCCTCGCTCTTAAGAAGTCACACAGTAACTAGCTGACATGTGCGCCTGTCCCACCGCAGCGACCTGTTCTGTCACCCTGCCAGAGCTGCCCGTCACCCCACCTCCTCGGGGCGGGACGATGTGCGCGAGAGTCTGGCCTCTGCGGGGTGCAGGTCGCTGCTCTGGCGGGGGGCCCAGCGGTTCCAAAAAAGGGGAACAGTACTTCGCATGGACGTCAATTGGTGAGCGGGATACAATTCGAAGTTGGGAGTCTTTCAGCACATGGGGTGGGGAGGCACGAGGGGGGTACTCGGTACATCGAGACCAGGGCCTAAAGCGCTTGCATGGGACCCCCACTTCGACAATCAATTCGATGGAACGGCCCTCAGTCCTTTCCGAGGCACCAAGACGCTCACCCGCTTGTAACCTCTGGATTCCGAATTGGACGGCCCACGGTTTTGCCTCCCTCTCTCTTTTCACCGCTTAAACGGACAAAAACACACGTTGGTGACGACGCAAGACTACCTACGGATACTTTGAGCTAGTGAATCGCGGGCAGGGAAGTTCCATGACCTGCCCCACTTAGACCCTCTACCCATGAGATGACGATGGGTCCGAGAAGTCGCATCCAACAACGGCCGCTTTCCCATCTCGAAAGCCCCAAAACACTGGCATAGAAAGGTGGACGAAGTACGACAGAGTATGGATCCCCCCAAAAGGGCTTGGCGATATTACTGTTGCGGCCAGCTTTGCTTGCCAACCCAACCCATCCATCAAAGGGCGCCTTCAGCGATGCGGCTGTGGTGACCATCTTCCGACGCCGTCTCTGGTTCAAGGCCCAGGACAACGGGAGAGAACCGCCCGAACCCCCAGCCTCTCCACTCGCGAATCTCGAATTTAGCCTTTGCAAGAACCCGCATCGGTAGGAACCGGAACGAAAGCTTCGCTTGCAGCCTCTCAAACGCTCACTTCCGACATGGTGCAGTTGCCGTCTCTCCACAAAAGGATCCCTTCAATCTTTGCCCGTCCCGGAATCGGCCCGTGAAATGGCTCTCGAGTCGTTGACGCCGGCCTCACGCTCACGCTGTTGCCGCTGAGTCGTCCATCCGACTTCGCTGCGCTTTCCGCTCTTCTTCGCGCCCGGGGACGCTCTTATCAAAGCTTCGGGTGGGGTCTCTGTTGCAGGGACTGGTCCCCTGCCGCTCCGATGCTTGGCTCCTCGATAAGACCAACAGCTCGGCGCCATGACCATTCCCACAACACTTTGTACGAAGTGCCGCTATTCCATCGCCGGGAACGCTTCCCGACGGGAGTAACATGCCTGCGGCTTTTGAACGGGCCGGTCTTCTTCGTTCCAAGCTCCCCCCACCCCAACGAATCGCAGTCACCGGCGTCGATCCCGTCTGGACGAAATCAAGAAACGCATCTCAGCCCCTTCGGCTGCGCTCCGTCGTTGCCGCGGAGGATCCGTGCTGTTCAACCCTTCTGTGGTTTCGTCGAGCATCCAGACCGGGAGGCTGATCTCCGAATAGATACCCAATAAGGGTCCCTGCCGCGCGTGGGGGCTGAACCACGGCGACGGTGCGTGGGGGTGATTGGGTGATTGCCCGACTCACCGATATCAATCGATTGTTTTGGCTGATGACTGTCATTAACGAGCCGCCCCGCGCTGTGAGAACCCTAACCCTAATTGTCCCATCAGGTCAGACGGACCGACTTGAGGGTGGAAAAGGGGGAAGCGAATGGCGGGATGATAAGGGAAGGGGAAGGTGAAGTCACCTTGTTCGAGGGCCTTTGGGGCTCGCAAGAGCCGCGAGTTCCAGTGCGAAAAAAGGGCAATATGCCGGGACAAGGCAATCCTATATACCTCATCGAAGGCAAACCAACCCCCGTCCCTCCCTTATCATCCAAGTCGTCATGGCTATCACATTGTCCATTCAGGGCTCGGGGCTCGATGAGATCAGATTCGCAATCTCTGTCACCGACGAACCCATACATCTCCGTGGACAGCACACACATAGTATTAGTATGTATCTAACGATTCGATACAGCCCGGGTTCTTGCTGACCTGTTCCGGGCTTTCCCTTCCGCTATATCGCGTTGAATCCCTGACTCGGTATCTTCCCGATGCCACAAGATGGCTTCCCGAAACATGGTCCCGCTTCTCCCAGGCTCGTCAGACAGAGGAGGCTGGTATCCAGAAGTCCAATTGGACCTAATATGCGAGCCTCTACTTTGAGCAACCTACCACACTTTGCGCCGAGTTTTTCTTCCGCCTAGCTGTGGCATTAGGTCCATCTCCCAACACATCTCCCTTGCCGATTTTGAGTATAAGTTGCCCAACTCCGTAACCAATAGCGTCATTTCCACATCTTGCAGGTACTAATCCAAAGTCTTATGATGTTCTATGTTTCTTTTTCCAGTTCACAAACCTTTAGGTTGACCTAGACTCGTGTTAAGACACACCAAGACTCATACAGGAACCGTGGGCAGGTAGGCTACATCGTTCCCGGCAAAGTCGTAGCCTATCATCATTAATGTTACACTGAAGATGAACTTCCACGCAATTCCTCCGACATAAGCGATCCTTGAAGTCCGGCTTGAGCACAGTGCCGCATAATATGGTTCCCCAATTAGACACTCGTGTAGTCCTTGCCCTTGGCGGACTGTAGAATGGTTGCGTAGGTGGTGGGAAGCCATGTCCCTCCTGTGTAAAACTCCATGGCGACTGTCTCAACCACAAAGCCAAGTCTGAACCTGAAAGGTATGCCTCTCTTAGAACTAAAAGCCACCAAGCAAACATGACAGACCTCGTTATGCTGTGATCGCGGGTCCGGGCTTGTCTCTGGTTATAGTGTTTGTTTTCAAGCCGTTAGGGACGTAGCCTTGTAAATCCTTCATGTTTGATTCAACACTTTAGGTTAATTTGGTCAAGAAATGGGCCTGAGTTGACTAGACGCGTTCTTCGTTATGATATCCATCCCAGGTATGCTTCAACGGTCCAACCGCCCCCTCTCCATCTTCCATGCTATCGTCTCCAACACCTCCTCGAAGCGAACTTGCAAACGCTAGTATCAAACACTCCCTCAGAAGGTCGTCATGAAATCGTTAAAGTCTACGGGCTATCAACGAGTGTCCAATTTCAAACTCCCATATAAGCCAGACTCAGACGTGGCCATTAACGAAACGCAGTCCTCCTCACCAACTCAAAACCCCTGAATCGCACCAAACAAAACTCACCATCACCACCACAACAACACCCTACCCCTAACTCAAAGCCACGCAGCAACACCAACCACACCAGCCAGTACGGCCCCCATAACCTTCACACCCACCACCTCATTCCTCCCCGCCGCCCCCTCCGCCCCACCAGTCGGGTTCGCACTCCCCCCATCACCATCACCACCCTCCCCATCCCCATCACCACCACCCCCCGTCTCCGCCGCGCCAATAACGCTCGTACTCGTGACATCGCCACTCGCAGCCAGCGCGACCGCCGCCAAACCCACACTCGTAGAAAGCGCAGTCGCGCCCGCAGAGTCGGTGACGGTGGCGACGCGCGTGACCGTCTGGGTGACGGTGCTCCACGTCCAGCCGCGGCCCCAGGGGCCCCAGGGCGAACCGCCGGCGCCGCCCGGTCCGCACCCGCCCGGCCCGCCCGCCCATACGTTGCCGTTCCACTCGCAGCCGGTTACCGTGTAGCTGCCGCCGGGCCAGGTGCGCGTCCATTGATCCCTGTGGAGGGGGAGGGGGAGGGTTAGTTGCGTTTCTTGGGGGGGGGTAAGGGGGATAAGGGGGATAAGTGGGATAGGGTGGGTAGGGAGATGGTGGGGGGCGGTTGGGAGATAGGGGATATGGTAGGCTTGGAGAGTGAAAGGGGGAAAGGGAAGGGGGAAAGGGAGTGGGGATACAAGACTTGACTTACCATTGGTCACGGTCATCGGTGCCGTCGTTGTCCCAGTCATGGTCCCAGTCCCGGTTGTCGTCGTTGTCGTCATTTTTGTCATCGCCATCATCGTTGTCGCCACGGTGACGGCCACCCCAGTTTCCGGGGCCGTTCCAGTTACCGGTAAAAGCTGCGGATGGTGTTAGTTTACTACATCCTTGTACAGGAAAAGGTCGATGTACCTGGCGCAGAGATGGTATACACGCCTGTGGAGCCGGCCGAGCTGCATGAGGACCACTGGGAGCAGAGGGAGGAGGACAGCGAGCTGTAGGAGGTCACGGCAGTGGGCGTGGCCGAGCAGGCTTCCTTGAGGCAGCTTGAGACGGAGGCGCCCTGGCTGGCCGAGCAGTAGCTGGTGGGCGCCGGCCAGGCGGTAGAAGAAGACCACCAGGAGGAGAAGCAGTCATGCTATTCCGAAAAGGTTAGACAACTGACAAGTGATAAGAGTGATGGGACGGGGGAGGACAAACGGCACAGTCAGGGGCACCATCCCACCATTGGGCATGAGCGAGTGCCGCGTGGCCGAGGAATGCGGATATGACTATGTTCTTCATGTTGAAACGTGGGCTGACAATGTGCAGAAAAGACCTCTTAAGAGAGAGTCTAGGAGGCAGCAACGGGGGATATAATAGATCTTTGCGAACCGGTATCTGGCACACAATGATACCGAAGGACCGGAGTGTTATGCTGCTCTTGTGCGCTGATCGGTCAACACATGATTGTCGGGGGATATGCCGGTTGTTCGAGGACTATAAATACTAGACGGCAAAAGACAGCCGCCTTGAATACATAGCGCATGACAGTCATGTCCAACACCGTATCGAAGCCGCCGGTCCGAAGCAGCCCCGGTTGGGTATGGGAATTCGAGGATTCCGAGCGAGGCAACGAGCGCCACCGTGCCTCGCCGCGCGGCCTTTTGTCACGTAGACCATCTTTTATTAGTAACTGAGCGTGTGGAAGCCACTAAGATGTAAACACGGCGGTAGTACCGCCGGAGGGTGGTTAACGCTAAGCAGCGGTCGTGGAGCGATGGCAAGCAGTTCTGCTGTCCCTAAGCCGAAACATCGATCCCATTGGGTAGGGGACTGGCTACCCCAGGGTAGCTAGTGCCGTCCATAACCTCCGAGCCGTGGCCGTCCCGCTACACCCATCGGTATTCGGGACCGAAGGCGAGGGGCGGCGTGGTTGGGAGAGGGGGGGAAGGCGAGAGAACAAGTCACTGCGCAGTTTCAGCCGGGAAGGGCTGAACATCTTCTCGTGTGCAGATGACCAGAGTCTTGCCCTCTTGTTGCTAGCCTTCTGCCATACACCAGGTGTATGCCTGTGTCTTTCCCTTCCCCAGACCCGGCGCTTGGGGGTGGCGGTTTGGGGAATGTCCGACGCACCAACCGCAGTCGGCCCTCGGACACTCTTCTATGGTTTATCCGGCTCGAGCGTCGGCCATGACCTGACCCTTCGGTTATTCCCTTCATGCAATACCGTTGTTGCTCGTGATCACAACCATGGTGTAAAATGCTATGGGCGTTGCACGGCGTCCATGTCCTTAATTCGGCGCTGCGTGAGAATGCAAGTTGGGATTAAGCAAGGCCTCTTCAGGGGCTGGCGGGAGATAAGACCTTACTTAGCAACCGAGGTAACCAAGCCTGATCACAGCCCGTATGATTCAGGTTGTAGTTTCTATTTCTAGCCACGACGATGGAAGATCCATCTTCGGCGCATCACTTCACGACCTACCGAGTCTTGATGACGACGCTCGACCTCCTTACGCACCTAGGTATTCGATGAACTCCGGTGTCACTGCATCTTGTCTCACACTACGGCCAACGAATGGTCAACTCCTAGATCGGCCTGTCTCTAGTGACGCGTCAAAGACGAGTATCATTTTTGCCAAAGTAAAACTGATGATAACCTGGTACAATTGTTCTACACTCACTAAAACCAACGCGCGCCGACGATCAGAATGGCCCAGCCGACCATCGCCCGCAGCGACCATCTATCCCTTTCCCGCCCCAGCAGAAACTCCGTGACACGCAAGCACAATGCCGAACAAGCCGCCGTTCTGAGGGCGACGTAACAACTCGGAGAGCCGAGAAAGGAAACCCAACATAACCCTCCAGCCATCGCCGTGACCAACCTATACCGCCTTCCCGCTATGCCATCAAATGTCCCGTCATCATACCAACCCAAACTCCCGCGTCCATACCCCGGCATGCGGCTCCTCTACCCCTTGGTGTTCCCAAGGCCCCCCAAGTTGCGGGTATTCGGTCTTGGACCGCCGCTGCTGACACTACAGCATAGTGCCAAAGGTATTATCCTCGAAGGGGATCGGCTTGCGCGGAGTGCCCTCGTCGGTCGCCGGCTTGCGGTGGCGGAAGGTGAAGCCGACGAAGAGGCCCTTGCTCATCTCGTCATCGCGCTCCGCCATACCCTCGAGCGCCTGCTGCTTGTCGTGCACCTCCTTGTACTTGGCCATGTCGGCCTCGTTGCTGAAGTCGTCAAAGTAGCCCGCGTCCGTCTCCGAGTCGAGCTCCGGGACGAACGGCGGCTTCGTCTCACGCAACACGGCCCAGTCGACCTCGGCAAAGTACTGATGGTTGAGAATGTCCTTGATGTTGGAGAACCTCCTGGACCGAGAGTTGATGCAACTGCATTCGTCAGCTTCCCGTCCCGCTTTCGAACGCTCAGCTTGGGAAGAACTTACGTCGTGATAAAACCCCATGTCCGGTTGCTCAGGAAGTAGCTCGGGTCTTCCCACACCGGTCGCTTCAAAACCTCCCGCCAATGATTCAAGTTCCGCCATGTCTCGTCGGCAGTCGCTCCCGCGAACGGAGGGAAACCCGTAAGGGCCTCGAAGAGCATGCAGCCCAGGCTCCAGTAGTCGACGGTAAAGTCGTACTGCTCGCCCCTCAGCACCTCCGGGGCCATGTAGTCTGGCGAGCCCACGATTGACTTGGCGTAATTCACGTCTTTCTCTCTCATGGTGCGGTATCCTTCCCGGCGCTCGGCAACCGTGCGCTGGTCCATTGGTTTGCCGAACGGAACCGACGTCTCAGACGCTTTTTCCAGGCGGATCCTCATCGACTCAATCTTAGCAGGAGCCAAGAATCCAGCCGCCAGGCCAAAGTCGGTGAGCTTGACGTGACCGGTAGAGTCGACCAGGAAGTTCTCCGGCTTCAGATCGCGGTGAATGTAGCCTAACTGATGCAGAGCATCGACGGCACAAAACATCTCGGCGATGTAAAAGCGCGCGTGCCGGTTCGACAGCACGCCCGTGTTGTTGAGAAGGGTGCGGAAGTCTCCACCTGGTACGTATTCCATGGCAAGATAGATATTCTTGTCATCCTGGAAGGAGTACAGTAGGCGGACTAGCCAGTCGCTCTTGGCCGTTGTGAGAATGTCCCGTTCAGTTAGGACGTGTCGGACCTCGTCCAACTTGAAAAGCAGTTTCTTGCTCATGACCTTGAGGGCACACACCTCCTTCGTGTCCTTTTTTTGCGCGAGGAAGACCTGGCCGTAGCCGCCTTGACCGACCTGGGTCAAGATCTGGAAGTCAGCGTGCCGCAGCCGCACCCGCCTCTTGCGGAGATTGGCCCGTTCTCGGCCCGTGTACTTGGACCACATCTGGTTATACGTCTCCTCATCGGTTCCCGGTGGTGGCGGATATTCTTCCTTGAACGCGTTCAGACGGCTCTGCCTCGAACCAACATAAGTCAGGAGATCGAAGTAGTAATCCAGGAAATCTGCCATGGAAGTTAGTACGGGCCGAGCGCACTTTCAGTCTTCCCTGACCAAAAACTTACAGAGTTGAGTGACATTGACCAGGCGTTTGACGCCCGGCTTCTGCAGAAGTTCGCGTTCTTCAGCAGTGAGACCCCTAGTTGTGTTGAATCGCCGGGTGGTCTGTGGTGGCCGGTCCCTCGGTTGGTACAGCTCTTGGCGCGATACGGCGGCATGGCTGGGTTGGTATGTCGGCTCGGTGAAGGGGTCTCGGGGGAGTGCGGGATGTGTATTTTCCTGTCCCTGGTTTCTCAAAGGGCTACCCGTGCGGGGGATGCCTCCTTTGCGGATGATGCTGTCGTCGACGGTTGGCGAGCTTTCCTCGACACTCTGCAGGTTACTCTTCCCGGGGGATAGCGGCGCAACAACACTTTGCGGTCGGCTGAGCTTCACCGGAGTGTCGAAAGCGCTGGGCGGGTTGATTTTCATGCCCTGAAGAGCGACGGGGAGCTCATTGGCACCGGGAGGGACCGTCTTCTTGCTAGGGCTGCCTTGTGGAGTGCTGACAGGGGTGATGAAGCTGTTTCGCGTCGGTGTGGAGGGGCGCGCGTCGGTGGTCTTGTCCGGCTTCCCTCCGGGGAATAGATTGGCCATGAAGCTCGCCATGGCGTTCGGGCGATCTGCAAGGTACGAAGTCGAGAAAACCTGGGACCTGCGGACGGGGGAAATGTGATGCAGATGTTTGCTGCTTGCAGTCCGCCTTTACTTGCAGCAAAGCATCAAACTGATGGGCAGTGAGGAAGGAATGGGACGAGGGGGAATGCTGCAGCCAGCGACGTGATAAAATGTAGAGGATGATGTCAAGAGTCTCGAATCACCTGCAGGACAACAAGTCGCGCCAAACAATGGAGATGAGCTTAAATTATGGCGCCCAAAGCCGCGCCGTGCCAGTGGTCTTGCCCGATTCAGGAACAATGGAAGGCGGGTTGATTGGGTAGGGAGCGGGGGCGGGGTAAAAAGACGTCAACATGCAAGGTTGGAAGAGCAACCCAGCTGAACTGTGGGGTGACCTGAAACGCGGAAGCCAGCCTGGTGGAGCGCCGATCCCCAGGCATTTTGGAGAGACTTGGCGTCAGCTGACAGCGGGTCTGGGACGGGATTTTGCAGCTTGGGGTCCCAGCTCCAGTTCCTTATCGACGCGACGAAATTAAAATCAACGGGTGTAACTCGCGTTTCCAAGCCGACGACAATCAATATACCCACTCTTCTGTGCGAAATTACTTGACAACCCGCCTCGCATACAATGGCGAAAGAACGCGGCTATAACCCTGTGCAAGCTCAGCGCAAGGCGGACAAGGCCAAAGCTATCAAAAAAGGTATCGTCTTACCACTATCATCCCCTTGGATTCTCCCATGCGTTCGCTCGTCGAGGGATGCTGACTTTTGGGGTGTACAGGCAAGTCCGAACAGCAAACACGGAGGAACGAAAAGCTCGCCCAGCGCAACCCCGCCAGAATACAACAGCAGATCGACGATCTCAAGGCTTTGAAGGAGGGAGGAGGGAAGATCACTGCGCACGAAGAGCAAGCACTCGAGGCTCTCGAGAAGGACCTAAAGGCAGTCAAGAAAGCAAGAGAGGCCCTAGGAGATAAAGCACCACAGTTTGGACGTGGCCCGCCGAGGCAAGGGCAGAGGGGTGATGGTGTATTAGGGAAAAGGAGACGCGACGCTGAAGACGCGTCCAGCAGTGACAGCGATGTGCCCGACGACGTCAGGAGAATACCTATGCCACGAGATACACCGCCACCGATCCCCAAAGAGATCTTGGACGAATGGTATGCGAAGCGCCGAGCAAAGAGAAATGCGGAACGAGCCTCAGAGGCAGAACAACGACAGGAATCCGAGAAGCCCGCTGCGCCCGCCGTCGAGGTCAAGACAGTATACGAGGCCCAGCCCGTGGTCAGAGACTTGCGGAAGGAAGCCGTGAGCGCATTCATGCCGGCGGCTGTTCGGATGAAGATCGAAAAGGGCAAGGGGCAAGGCGGTCTCTTGGAACCGGAAGAAGCCGATCAGCTGGAGAGAGAAGGCTATATGCGCAGCCTGGAACCAGCGCGGCCTCAAACCGAGCAGATGGAGACCGAACAGGGCGCCGGTCCCCTCCGGGTGACTATGGAAGAGGTCGCGGATGAGGAAGCTTGAGCCAGCTACATCGTGCGCCTTGTGGCGCGTTGGGGACTGGCAAGGCCAAACACACTAGATTGGATCTTGTGACTCGTTGTGCTCGGCGTTGTTTATCCTACTCCCTGGCAACGCCAGGGTCCTGGCGTGGCTGCCAACCAAAAACGACCCGGCTAGAGAGGCAGGCTGCAGTACGAGCTAAACGGTCCCAGACGCTGCGTGTTATGAGCGGTGCCGTCCCACAACTCGACCTGCCCTACAGCGAAGGCCCCGGGTTACTATTCATGGGGCATCCCTGTAGTACGCGACCCGACCAGGGCAGACCGCTTGAATCCAAAGCATCCAAAGGTCAGCGGGCGTGGCTCGACACAAGGCCGTTGGAGAATCAGGCATCTAAGGGTAGCCTTGGGAGTCGGTTACAACGACCGAAAGCTAGCATCGTGCTTGGGGCAATTATTGTACTCAGTCACGGGAATGGTGCTGTTGAGGGTGGCTGCAGGGTGCTCTCAACACGTTTTGATCCTCTCCTTTACACAGTGACGTGTTGGAAGCAAGGGTTGAACCTGTGCCAGCGCTTCAAATCTCACTGATCTCTGAAGCACTGTCAATCAGCAAGCGTTATGATAGTCTTGACAGCGCGAGAACGTGTATTCTACAATCTAACCTGGAACCTTACAATGATCATAATCATAACCACCACCGCCTTCGTTCCTTCTTCCTCCTTTTAGCATTGATCTTGTCCCCGCCTTGGGACTTCCGCTCGGTCACCATATCCAACGTGTCTTTTCGCCTTGTCCTTCAACACAAGTGGGAATAATTCTAGAAGGGGGTCCGAAACGAAACCCGTCAGATCACGAGCAACCACAGCCAGCGTCGACACTCTCTTAAGAGAAGTTACCTCTGAACGACCCTCAACGAACACTGCCCCAATCGTGGCATCCGCGCTTGACTGGGCATATTTGCCTGCTCCGTGGCGCTCTTCGCGTCTCTCGACTTCATTAGCATCTCGTGTATGTCTAAAACCGGTATCACAGGCTGGACAGCCAACCACCACACCGGTGCTGCTCTCCGTTAGCACGACCGGAGACCAACGAAGGGAACAATCTTCGCCTGGCAACATCGGACCAGGGACAGAAAGTGCTAGAGAAAAGCACGCCATGCCAGCAACAGCAGCGCAACGCAGCATGCCCGCGTTAAAGGGGCCGATCTTACCCCCCCGACCCCGAGCCCCCTCCAGAACCCGGCTCCCGAGCTACTATCCCATGAAAGTGAACACCTCGGATGGGTCCGCGAGACTGTACTCCTCGTCAGGCTGTGCAGGGAACGCAGAGGAAGATATAAACAGAAGGGGCCCCGGCGCTGAGGCCGGCTAGGGGCAGGATTACGATCGGAGTATAGGATGTCGCGGAGGGGGTATGAGCATTGGTACGGTCCTCGCTACACCCCGCCATTGTGATGTTCATGGAGTGGCTGGGTCGCGGTTGCTGGAGGGTGATAAGGAGCAAGCAAGAGAAATTATCTGTTTATGGGTGTTTCCTGCCGTGCCCCCGCTGTTGTGTTTGCTGCTGTGGGGTCGTGGGAGGGCGAAAACGATAGATTACCAAGTACGACTCAAAAGGCGTAGTGGCATATGCGTTTGGGCTTCGAAGCCATACTTGACAACCATGACTTCAAGACAGTACTGGTTGGCATTGTGTGATCTATGCCGCGCTGGGTGCCCGTAATATATCAACATGATACTTGCTCATAGTCAAGTCGGAGACTCTGATACGGCACCTGTTTGGGCCCTGTGGCGTTTGGCGAGCTTGCTTCTTTCCTTCCAACCGTGCCACAGCCGCTGCTCTCCTTGGCTTATGTGAGGCCTAGGCCATATGTATGTACATATTTACAGAATACATACCTAGGAACATCAGTTTTCCAAATTTTGGTCAGTCGCAAGGCCAATCTCTAGCCTGTACATAATCAGGCATCTGCGAACAGCAGCTGGCTGACTGAGAAGCAGGAAGAGGGGATGGCTGAGAGAAAACCAGTCTTATTTCTTCGAACTGAACTAACTCGAGCAACCGGAGCAGTCCCCCTTTTGCCGTTGTTAAGTTGTGGTGTTGCGAGGGGCTACTACTCGGGCCCGAAGCTGGGGGATTGAGAGAGAACTACAAAGAGTTGACATCTTGAGGTCATAGTCAACGTTAAAACACACGCTTAAGTTCTAGTCTTTTATGTTTAGGCGCTAACATGTCTTCCAGTGACTACTGAAGGTAGAACTCTCGTGTATCGAAACCTCGGTTTTAGGCATAGCATGCTGGAATCACTTAACGACGCTGTGCAACTTCGCCTTTCATTACTTGTGTCTTAGGCATGGGATCTCGGTATGCATTTCGTCGGTGCTTCCGAATCCCGAGGTGGTGGATTCTCAACGGGCAGTCCGAGGAAACGGACTGGAACAGGTGAGACACGAGGAGGTCAAAGTGGAAAGCCCTTTCTGTCAAACTTCGTGCCTCTTGGGATCGGAATCTTCAGCGCGCGGAAAAAAAGCACATCACACCGGGACAAGCCCGTGTAAGCGTGGGGGCACAAGGGCACTTGGCGGGACAAGGGTCGGGATCATCGCCGTCAGGGGGTTCGAGACATCTCTAACCAGAACCATCCTTTAATCGGGAGACATCATGCTGTTTTCGATGATGGAAGTCGGATTTGCAGTCTCACCGGACTCACACGTGGCTTTCCCTGCAGATGATCTCCGCTCATTTGTGCCAGCGCGAGGAGTCTTCTGTTCAATGGAGGACTTGTGCGGAAACAGGAGTTATCAAATTAACTAGCGGGCAACGACAACAGACATGTCTTAGAGACACGGCAGCTATCACGACGGACTAGTTCACCGGTCCCAACAAAACTTCACGGGCCGCTGGGGAAGACGGCAAAGGGAAAATGCAACAACGAGACTGCGATACACCTCACTGGCTTCCCAAACGACGAGATGGGAACAAGACAAGAGCTTGGTCAAATATATGAACTTGGCAACCAACAAGACGGGATATCGAACCAACTGCTCGCCGCTTGATTTGCCCGCCAGTTCCATTTCTGCCTGTGGAATCAACCGGACAGCGTCGAGCGGGCCGAGCGGGTGCACATCTCGCCTGATAGTGTCGTTAGTTCCCGCTCCCCAGGACGAGGGTCTGTCCCACGGAAGAAGTGTTATTCTGGACATTGTGCCAACCATCTTGGTGATACCTCCGTACAGAGAGAACCGAGATCCGGTTCATGACAGGACCCCGATAACTCTGATGACACAGCACATACGAAGTAGTCATGGAGAAACCATCCAGCGCCATGGGAAGACCGTATCCGTCTTGACGTTGTGCCGTGTCCAGCCTTGTGTGAGGACACGCGCGGGATCTTGCATGCTGCTTCCTGAAAGTTTGCGCCTCAAGAAAGCTGGGAGTCAAATCTTAGTTGCCCGGGCCATCCGTACCACCTTCTAGTTCCAATTCGTTCCAATTCATCCGCCTCTTCAGCAAACTGCGTATTCGGACTTGCTGCATATGTACCTCCTGTGCAGTTATTGCACTTATCCACAGTCCGACGCAGTCTAGACTCTGTACCGAGCGGGCCTTGACTTGCTGAACCCGTACCTTGCAGAACACTGGCTCGACAGGGTTGGCACTTCTCGGCACCACACTCGAAAAGCCGAGATGTCCGGACAAGAAAAGAAAAAAAAGCTTGTTCGGGTGGTGTGTGGTGTTGAGGATACAGGTGATGTCGACAGTCCAGAGTCCTGGCTGCTAATTCGCCCGGTCCTCGCTCTGGGGAAGGTCAAACGCGACAGAACCAAAGTCGAGACTTGGAGATCCCGACCGTTGGCATTGACTGACCGCCCTGTGCACATCACAACACTAGTGTAACTAGTTAACTCTCGGGTGTTCCGGTCGAAGATTCTGCATTTAATACCACATCACATCCCTCCTCCCGACGCCAAAAGAGCCCGGAGAGGGAGCATCACACAGGTGGTGGTGATTACGCTCCAAAAGCTCCGCGCCAATCGAGAGGGGTCTAGTCCTTTCCACGAAGGTTACATTATTACATCGCCACAGACCGGTCAATCGGATTCCCATCCGGTTACCGACCTTGCTTCTCGTTGCTGTCTCGCCGCGGTTTTCACGCGTCGACCGTAGCTGCAGAAGAAGATAATTGAGCGTTGCTGGGACGTTGATTATTCAGTTGGAAACCTGTAGCCTTTGGAGGATTGACGTTCGTTGTGGGCTGCCATGGAAAGCAGTTGCAACTAGGTAAGCACCTGGGCGGCCTCGGTGGCTGCTCGTGGTTCGTCTTGTCTCTCCAAGCTTTTGCATCTTTTCTTTTTTTTCCTTTTTTTTTCTCGGCTTGCCAGGCACAAGTGGGGCTTCTCCACATCCTGCGTCATCCCAATTGAAAAGGCGCGCCCCCTGCAAGGTGCTCTCTGCCAAGCCGCCTTCGTCATCAAATATGCGCGAGCCTCCAGCTCGACAAGGGGCATTGGGTTTTCGTGGGTCGTGTTGAGCTGCCCGTTTTATCCCAATTGGATGCCTCCGCTGCTCCGGTGCTGGACATCCAGAATTCTCCCATACATATTTCCAGTGTATGCACAATTATATTCCGCCCAGCCGATTGAGGCAAAGCGACCGCGAAGAAGCGGATGGTGACAGCGTGTCGAAGGCATGCAACCCCACCTTTTGTCGTGTCGCCCCGCGGTTCGATGAAAGGTCAATTCCAAGCGCGTCCCGGCCAGGCTCCCAGGAAGACAGCCTTGAGGTTCTGATGGAAGTCTGGAATGGTAGGGCTGGTTCCCCTGGAGCCCCCACTTCACAACAACCTTACACATGCGCTGCGACCCTATTCCAAGGCGTTCCCTGCCGTCACGTAAATAGGTTATGGAGATGGAATATCGGGGATCGAATATATCCTGGGGCAGGCCAGAAGGCGACTTCTCATGCTGCTTGGTAAGAACGTCAATTACCGGGTGCTTCCGTCCTGCTGCACGCCGCCGTAACGGCGCCTAGGAGCAGGGTCTTGATTCAAACCTGCAGGCTGACAGGACCTCCTGCCAGGCAAAAGGTCAAAGAGGGCCTTCTCACTGATAACAGGGAGTTAAGTACCTACCAAGTCTGCGTGACGGCGCACAGTCGGCGTCAAAGATGCGGAATGTTTTTTTTGTGTGGCGCCGCCTCTGCTACGGTGGCTTGCCAACTTGGGCTCGCCGACTCCCTCAATGTCCTCGAACTTCCAGGGTACCAATTTAAGTGGAAAGATTATGCACTTTTCCCAGTTACGATACAATTAGTTAACATGACAGCGTGAGTGGAAGTGTTTTGTCTTCTGTCATCGATGAACCGCAGCTTTAAATTTCCGCTCTTCCCTTCTGCACTCGGCCCCCCCTGGATCTTGCTTTCACAAACCTCAACCCCACATCATTGGACGATGGGTGAAACTGTGGGCTTCAACGTCCAAGCCACACCGAGAACCGCGTCACTGACGGGGGACCCTTGCCTCCCAAAATGCCCAGAACCAAATGGCCAAGTCCCGTTGGATCGGACAACGAGCAAGCGATCGAGAAGCCCGCGAGTGGATTTCCGAGTGCCTCACCACCCAGTGAACCGGGCAAGATTTTTAGCGCGGGACATGCATCGTACGAGCCAGGCATTTGCTGCGGATTTCTGAATACGGACCCAGAGATTTGAAATCCGGTGCTTGCCCCTGCGAATTCCACCATCCCATCCCTTCGAAATACGGAAAACGTCAAGAACCTTACCAACGGTTCCAGTTTCGCGGCGGCGTGCTTGCCCAAGACAGTGCTAGATATTCAATTCGACTCCAGACGGTGTGCAAACTCGCTGCATAATACTACCCAATTCCAGGTTTCTCCTGTCCCTTCCAGGTTGTTTGAGCTGAGCGGCAGAGCGGTTCCAAGTTGCTGCTCCTGGCTTCTCTGAACGGCCCGGCAGGTCCAGGGCTGTGCGTGCGTGCGTGCCTTCCATCCATTTTGTTAGTTACGCCGTATCCGGGCCACTTTACCAACCAAACTGCCCGCACTTCCAATCCGTCTGCCTGCCTGGCCGTTCCACCTGCCAGTGCCACCACAAACATCCAATCCATTGCCCGACATTCGCCAGTGACCGCAACAGGCGCACCCCAGGAACAAAGTAGGCCGTTGCAGACACAGCACAAGGTCTCGGGCCAAAACAAGCTGCCCAGCCAGCGTTTCCCAGCCTGCCAACCTCCACTCGCATTCGACGCGGTCCTTTCATTTTCCCACGTCTGCGGTCTTCCCGCATTTCCCTATCCTCAATTTTGATTTTTCCTGAACAACGGGGTCGCCTGTTCAGCTGTCGTTGCGGATACACCGACGGTTCTGGCCCCCATTTGTTCCCGGCACCAACGGCAACGCCGCTTGGCAGCGTCTCGAAAGGTCCGGCCGAAGCCCGTTCCCTCGTCTCGTCGTTCGCTCGTTTGCTCGTCGTTCCATGCTCATCCCCATCTTGCACCGGCGCCCAGCAACTCACCAGCTTGGACCTCCACGGAACGGCACCGTCGGCTGTGGAATTGTGAGACCGAAGCACGCGGCAGAGGGGGTACAAGACGTTCTATCGCAACGCTCGTGGCCTATCACCGCCGCCTCCCGTCGCAGCGACTAGCGCCCCATCCGCCAGCCACTCTGAAACCAACTTGCCGAATCCCAGGAACCCCGGACCTGTGGCGGCCACACCTCGAAACTTCACGCTCGTTTTCTTACCTGCACTGCTGGCCGATAGTTAGCCGCGGATTTGCGTTCCCGTCTGAGCCTGACCACTGACTGCCTTCCTGTTGTGTCGTGTTGGTTCAGGAGCTGGACAGTCCTCGGCGCCACTACGAAGCACGCACGACATCAGCTCTTCCTGCGGCTAGCTCGACCGCTCTCGTTTAGCAAAGCTGAAGGTTGGCTTGTGTGATAGTTTGCCAATCGTTCTTTCAACCCTCCGATCAGCAACCCTAGCGGGCGACTTTCGGGCGCGACCACCGCCTCGACAAACCCCCCACACCCAGAGATCAACACTTTTCCGTGAGACCGCTACCCGCGGCTTGTGGGGCGGGAAAGGATACACTAAGAAAGACGGGGAGGAGAAAAAAAGGAAAAAATAAGCTCATCGAGGGAAAGCTGAAGCCACAAGCGACTCGGTTGCACGGGTGGAACACCGAACTATTACCCATTTCGGTCGAGCGCTTCACAGGAAATCGCTGCGAGACTTGCAGCTTCGAAACTTGATCGACCCACTATCCCGGATCGGGCCTCAACCTGGCGGTCATGGCACCCATGACACCTCGACTCAAGATCCTATCAGGTAAGTCGTGCCAACTGGTCCTGTACTAGTTATTTCTCCGCTCCTCTCTCTTGTGTCCCTTGCCGCCCACAGTTAGCGTGCACCGGGGATGGAGTGCCCGAAAAGAGTGGGCATCGCATTGCATCTTTAACGCTCGACCCGCCGCCATTCCAACTTTCCCCAGGTGCACCTCGTCACCACCACGCTCTTTTTTTTTTCTTACCGAGACGGCCGGGGGAATTGCTGCATATGCACCCTCACATACACATAATTAGACATGTCGGACTATGAGCTGATGAACGTTGCCACAGTGGGCGGCAACCCCATTTCCGCTTTCCTGTCATGGAGACTTCAAGCGACCAACGCCTGCGACGTCACCCTCGTCTGGAAGACGGGCTTTGAGCATGTGTCGCAATACGGGATATCCTTCAAGTATGCCTTCTCCTCTCCCGAGCACTGGCCGCCCTCCCAAAGCTTCCTATGCTAACTGCTTCGCTCTTCAGATCCCCCAACTTTGGCAATGAGCGGTTCAAGCCCCGGCATGGTATGTAGCCGCCTCCTGACGCAGCCGTCACGTTGGGCCTTGGCCCCTCATACACCTGTGCGCCATGTACTAAACATGAGGTTCATACAGTCGTACGAACACCCGAGGAGGCAGCCTCTCGCCGAGAAGGCGCATTTGACTATGTTATCCTTTGTATAAAAGCACTCCCCGACGTCTACGATCTAGCATCCGTCATCGATTCCGTCGTTACGCCTCAACACACATGCATCCTCGTGAACACAACGCACGCGCTCGGCCTCGAGTCCGCAATCGAAGAGCGGTTTCCGACCAATGTGGTTCTCTCTCTCGTTTGTGGCGCCGAACTCGCCCAGCTCAGCGGCAGCGAATTTGAGCACAAGGGCTCGACGGAAATGTGGGTTGGAGCCGCCAACAAGAACCCCAACATTCCGCCGACAATACAGGAGGACATGGCGCAGGCTCTGGCGATGACACTAAGCACTGGCCAAGTGGACTGCAAGGTGTCGCCCAACATTCGCCAGCAGCAATACGAGCGGGTTATCGGGTATGTTTGCTCCCTCTTTGACCGTACGACAGGAGCCTAACTTGTTTCAGCCCGATCGCATTTCACCCACTGACGGTAATTTTCGAGACGCCCGACTACGCCGCGCTACTTGAGAAGGTCGGCGTGTCGAAACTGGTCTCTGACATTGTCGACGAGCTGGTTGCATTGGCGGAAGCTCAGGGCTGCAAATTTCCGGCCGAGTTCAAGCAGAACACGATCAACGAATTTGCGTCGTCGACCATCGAGAACATCATGTGGCAGGACTACTCAGCAAGGCGACCCATGGAAGTTGAAACCTATCTTGGGTCTCCCATCAGGTTATCCCAGGACGCCAAGGTCGGCGTGCCGCGTGTTGAAGCCCTCTATCCCGTCCTCCATAACCTTAACTTGGTTAACCGGAGCCGGCCAAAGGTCGACACCGCGGTCGCAGCGCCAGTCCAGCCAGGATCTCCCTCCACCACTCCTTCCCCGCTCCCCCGTATGTCGGCTCAGGGACCCCCTCGGCCGATGCCCAACGGGAATGGCATGCACCCCCGCCCACGTCCAAGGGGAGCATCATCGATGGGGCCACCGGGCCCGGGAATGCGCCGCCCCCCGCCGCCGTCAATGAATGGAGGGCCGCCAAACGGGTATCCACGTCCACCGCCGAACGGCCGCCTGCCGTCAAGGAGGGGGTCCATGGAGGGTGCGGATCTGGAAGAATTCGGTCATTTGATGCTCTACGATGACGTCCCTGAAGGGGGCGAGGCCGCTTATGGCCCACATGATATTGCCTTGAGGGAAAGAGAATTGCAGCTACGACAACGGGAGCTTGCGCTTAGGGAGCAAGAAATGAGGCTGAGACGGCCCGGCCCGGGAATGGGCCCGGTTCCGGGCCCCGGTCCTAGACGAGGACCGCCTCCTCCGTCGTCACGAGCCGGTGGCGGAGGTTTCGACGACGACGATGAGGACGATGACTTTTTCGATCCCCTCCCTTCGGCCGGAGCGTCGATGATTGACCCCGATAATTTCGACATGATGAGCGTTACCTCGAGGAAGAACCGGAAAGCAATGGGCACAGCACCGAGCTCTGCCGCACAGTTCCGCAGAAATCCCGAACAGGACACGGGCCCGCCGCCGCGTAGCAGGTTTCGACCAAGTTTCGGAAGGAATCGGTCGAGTCAAGTCATGACTGGGGTTCCAGCCACGCACGGGGATATCATGGATGATCCCCTGCTAGGCTTCACCTCTAATCGATATGGGGCCGTGGATCGGGGCATGATGCACGCTGGTTCCAGAGCAAATTCTCTAACGGCTGCCCGTCTTGACGAGCTACAGTACAACCAAGGACCGCCGCCCATGGGCATGAATGGCAACGGGCCGCGGCGCGTCAGCCAGTCACCTGGCAACCCATATAGCCCGTCAATGCGCGGCGGCGTCCCGGGCGGGCGCCCCTCGCCGCCAAATGGGTATCACTCTCAGCCGCAAGCAAACGGTGGGGGCCGCCCATCACCTCCGGATGGCATGCGGCAGCCAATGCCACACTATCCGCCGGGCCACGGCAATGTTGTGGCCCCGCAGCAGGTCGAGCAGCACGCTGGGGTGAGCGCCCTCCATCCACCCAAGACGAAGAGTCCACGAAGTCTGACCGGCAGTGCGAGCGCCAGCGCGGGCAGTGGTGATTCCACCAACCTCGACTCGGAGCCGTCGGCGCACAGCAGCCAACAGTCCCTCGGTCCTCGCCCACCGATCGGCGTCCGCTAAATGCTCACGCGCCGCGAACCATGCCGATGTTGGGTTCTAGGGATTATCGAGCCAGACTGGGAGAACGCCCAAGCGATCCCACCAAAACAGCGAGATGAGACCAAGGGCTTCGGCGTAGCGATGGGGTTGCCAAATTCCCATAAAACCCTCAAACTGCCCAACCCATTCATCATGGCTACCTAGCAGCCGAACGGCATCCACTTGCTCTTGGAAGAAGGAGCGAGCATATTCACGCGCACATATGAGAATTGGTCTATAAGGAGACAGCCGGGCGGACGACACGAAAAAGGAGAAGAAACGTTGCATCTTGGGTTTTTTTTAGACGGTGGCGTGGGTTGGCTTGACTTGGCTTCAGTTGGCTTGAGGGACGGAGGAATTCTTGGCTTAATCAAATCCATGACATCCGGGTCGGCGGCGCGCGCGCGCGCACTCGTAAACTAACTACTCTATAATTCTTAGTGTGTGTGGCTCAAATCTGACGGCCGGGTTTGGGGTTGGGAAGTGGTGAGGTTAGCGGAGGGAACGGATCGCAAAGGGCGCGCTAGCAAAGCGATGGCTTGACTCTCTTTGAGTCACTTCTGTATCAAGTACATAGGTATTCCTTCCTTTTTTCTGATCCATCTCTCTCTCTCTTTTTCTCCTCTACCAGCCGTTTGCTTCCTGTCATTTCTTTTGTTGTGGACCGGCCCATGGCTCTGGCTGGGAATATCCGTTTGTACGGACGGACGCCTATTGTTTTTGTGGTAATATCATCCATCCATGACGACATATACATACATACATACGTGGTTTATTGCAGCTCCTGGGTGGCGGAGAACGTGAAGGGCTTGGGGATATGTCTATTGTGCTACTTGCCCTGGCCTAATTTCGGTGACGGTTGCTTGTGGTGATGTCGTGTTGGTCTCCCCGGGGGGGTATCAAGAGACGTCTCCGTTGGCCAGTTCAAAGGGTGAGGCAGATTCATGATCTAGTATACGCAACGATGGAACACGAGTGAAGTTGTGGTATACATGGTGGTCAGGGAGTCCTCGGGGGCGAAGGAGAGGTGTTGATTCACATGGACGGGCAGCACGAGGTGGCTAGCCGTTGAATCTCGACACCGCGCTTGGTCAACGCCTGTTTCCTTCTATTACACCCGACAGTTGCATACTCTTTATTTTTCTCTCTATGACTTATTAGGGCATCTAGCGCAATTTTGCCATCGTCATGCCCTCCTTTAGACTTGCGGTCGCCGGGCATGGGCACGGGGTTCCTACCTATGCGACCCGAAAGTCAACAAAGACCATCATTCCAGGATGTCCTGTCGGCGTGGTACAGGAGTTCTTTTAACGAAAACCCCCCTGTACAAACTAGGACTCATACCTGCCAACGACTTCGACGAGCTTTCGACCCAGCCACGTCCCTGGAACCAAAACAGGGAGTCATCCCACCAACGACATAACACAGCAACTCAGCCCTTGGCTGTTGGTCGACACAGTGCATTGAGTTCACATTGCATGTCACAACCCGCGTTACTCGCATTACTCTCATCATCCATTACAAGCCCGAGTGAGTCATTCCTGCACTCAATCTGCCAAACACAGCAGCTGAAGCATAATCGGCCAAGTAGGTAGGTAACTTCAACTCCTCCCCGTCTTTAAGCCGAGTTAGCTCTTTTCACCCTCTAACACTGACAATCTCAAACAGTCAAGCGCACGTAGCATGGCTTCTGACGGTCGCAAACAGCCGCCATGGGTTCCCCCCCGGGCCCAACCCAACGCCCAGATACCCCAGCTCAAGATCTATAACAGTTTAACGAGGACCAAAGATGACTTTGTCCCAGTCGACCCGACAGGAAAGGTGGTGACGTGGTACGCCTGTGGTCCGACGGTGTACGAAGATGCGCATTTGGGCCATGCAAAGAATTACGTCTCGACCGACATCATCCGCCGCATCATGAAGGATTACTTCGGTTTTAGTGTCAAGTTCGTTATGAATACGACCGATATCGACGACAAGATCATCCTCAAAGGTCGCCAGCAGTACCTGCTCGCGCGTTTCAAGCAACAGCATGCCGCCGAAGACAACTCAGTGAGCGATTCAGTTCTGGCTGAGACCAAAGCCGCATTCCAGCACTACATTGGCAAGAACCTTCCGTCCCTGCCCTCGGATACGAGCCCAGAGAACTTTTCCGAGGAAGCAGACAAGGCATACGAGGAAAATGTAAAACCTCGCCCTCTAGCCGACGCCACGACAGCACAACAAGGCCAGGCTCTTACTGTTGCCGATTTGCTGCTGAGAGCACACATTGGAACAGCAAAGTCTGCTGCCGAGGCCCTGCAAGCTCCGGGAACGCTGCCTGAATTCTTCGCCAAGGCAACCGATGTTTTGCTCCCATATCTCGATGTGTTGCATGGCGCCGAGATGGACTCCAACAACTACGAGATATACCTGGAGCTAACCCAGAAATTCGAACGCCGCTTCTTCGAGGACATGGATGCGCTCAACGTTCTGGCTCCCGACAAGCTGACTCGTGTGACCGAGCATCTCCCTCAGATCGTTCACTTTGTTGAGAAGATTGTAACGAACGGTTTCGGCTATGCTACCCCTGACGGCTCCGTTTATTTTGATATCGACTCGTTCGAGAAAGCCGGCCACAGCTACTCCCGGTTAGAACCGTGGAACAAGAACGACCGTTCCCTCCAAGCCGATGGTGAGGGTTCACTGTCCAAGGGAAAGTCAATGAAGCGGAGCGAGAGCCATTTTGCGCTGTGGAAAGCTAGCAAGCCGGGCGAGCCAGCATGGCCAAGCCCATGGGGTCACGGGCGGCCAGGCTGGCATATCGAATGCTCTGCAATGGCCTCCGAAGTGATTGGGAAGTCGATCGATATCCATTCCGGAGGCGTCGATCTTCGTTTCCCTCATCACGATAACGAACTCGCACAATCGGAAGCTTACTGGTCGACTCCAGGCTGCCAGGTTCAGTGGACAAATTACTTTATTCACATGGGGCAACTGAGGTAAAAGCTTTCCAACACCGGCTTCGTCGTACAAGGCCGCTAATTGACCACAGGATTCGAGGCTTGAAAATGAGCAAGAGCCTCAAGAACTATACCACTATCCGGTCTGTTCTTTCCCAGAGCGAGTGGACTGCACGCTCTCTCCGGATATGCTTCCTCCTCATGCCTCGGCAGGATGGTATTGAAGTAACAGACGAGCTCATGAAGGCCGTCGTCGGCTGGGAGGGCAAGCTCAACAACTTCTTCTTGAAAAGCTTGGACATCTGGAAACATAGTTCACATCCCATGACTACGAGGCAAGAGCCTAGCGCGGCAGACCAACAATTACTGAACGCACTGGAGAAGGCAAAAGTCGATGTCGACGCAGCTCTTCGCGATTCTTCCAACACCTCCGCTGTCATGAGAATCCTATCTGATCTTGTTACCGAGTCCAACTCGGCAGAGGCACTCTCCGATCAGACAATCATCTTGCTCGCCCGGTGGGTAACACGCATCACCACCATCTTTGGTCTGGATCCCGAAGGGGATCTTAACAACCCAGACCGCATAGGGTGGTCGGGTCTCGACATTCCCGCGCCAGCAAAACCCTATGTCTACCCTGCATCGCACTTACGCGACAAGGTTCGGACCCTGGCCTGTGCCGGCTCGGTCGATCACGCAGCCATAGCGAAGCTCGCCGTCGAGATTTCGACTGCGGCGCCAACGCCAGTCATCGAGTCCTCCAAGGAACCATACCATCAGGTGCTGCATCGGTTCTGCAGCGACATCACAGCCCTCACGGCCCAGCAAGCGCCCGCCAAAGACCTCCTCGCCCTGTGCGACCAGCTCCGCGATGTACATCTCTGGAACCTCGGCATCTATCTCGAGGACCGCAACAGCCCCCAACCTGCTCTAGTACGACCCTTGGATAAGTTGCTCGTAGAGGCGCGCGCGGAGCAAGAATCTGCTGGCGCTGCTAAAGCCAAGGCCAAGCTGGAGCAGGAGGCTAGGGAGGCTGAGGCGGAGAAGGAGATGTGCGAGCGCGCCAGGGTCGATCCCCTACTGATGTTCAAGGCCTCGGCCGAATATTCGGAATGGGATGAAGACGGCATCCCGACTGTGGATGCAGCGGGGAATGTTGTGTCTAAGAATAGGCGGAAGAAGCTGGTCAAGGAGTGGGAGAAACAGAAGAAGAGGCACGAGGAATGGTTGGCGATGCAGCAGGCGGCGTAGAAAAGGGGCATTGGGCATTGTCTCTATTCTCGGGTCAAGGTGACCCGCAACGACGTGTTATTGATGAGATAGCTACAGGTAGGAAAGGAAGAAGCGTTATGTGAATACCTAGGTCCAGTATGCTTTAGAAGTGTGAAACTCGGGGGCCCATTAACGCTGGACCCTCTGGTTGAGCGAGGGGTATGCGATGCCTAACGCCGGTGGCGGTACTGTTGAACTATATATGCTTGATCATGTGTTTGTTTACTCCCGAGTCACGGCCACTTACACGGTTGCCATTGCGTCGTCGGTTGACCCTCCACCAATCAAGAATCAAGGCGGCCCACCCCGCTCTCCAAATTCGACGACCTTGGAACAAACAATTTGAACAGTTCGTGACGAACTACTGCGTTAACTCCATCATACGCCGAAACAAATGCCCCCGAGACAGCTTCGAATTCGGCCGGTTGTTTCTTGACGCCCATTTGAGGACGTATTTCAGAACCCAACGCCATTCATTGCTTGACCATGGCGACGCGCAACTTTAACACAAACACAACATCGCGCCAGTCTATGGCACCATCAGGAGGCGCCGTGAAAGCCCGACAGCTGGTATGTTTGACTGCACTGATTTCTTGCCTCTTTTACTCTTGCATGACCTGCATTTTGTGATGGTTGTTCGAAACAAGCAGCCGAAAATTGCTAGGGACTAACGATCACCCTTCGGTTTCCAGGCCCAGCTTCAGGCGCAACTGGCTCGGCTCTCCACGAACCTGGCCGATACGGAAAACTTATTGCGCATGACGAGCGTCCAGGCCGAGTCTATGCGCGGTTTGGGGAGTTGGCATGCCGGGATGTAAGTCACCGTTCGTTTTGGCTTTGAACCATGGTTAACCTCGGCAGGCTCATGGCTGCCAGCAAGGTCCTCGGAGAAGAATCTGTCCAACAGCAGCAGGGCAACTAGACAATGTTCCCTGGGGATGAGATCCTTTGTGAGAGAATATGCAGCGCAGCCGCACTGTTCGAGTATAGGGGTGGCTTTGTGGCGGTCGCTCATGACGCGAGCGAGGCCATATGACCATGCTGGGCCGCAACCCCAATAGTCCTCGATACCAAGACGATAGGTCAGCCATCCTCCGAGAGCGAGACTCTTGGGGTTGTCGGCAGGAGTTTTCGGGGCGGGTTGGGAGCGACCCCAGATCGTGGTATGGGTTAGAGTTCAGCGGCCACAGCAGTGCAGTTCCTTCGATAGCGGCGTCGTTCTGGCCATACCCTGCTCCTCGCGAGTGCCAACACCGCCCAGCCGAATAATGAGATTAAGACTGCGGGAAATTGATGTTTGATGTTTGAGACGGCATTAACCTTCTTGGTTTTTTATTTGCGGATGACTGCTGCTTTTGTCAAGCTCCCGTTCTGTCTTCCGCTTCGGTCTAGTTGCGCTAAGCGGGTATCTCCTTGCCCTTCCACACGTGTGACATTTGCGAACCAGAACATCAGCCCATGGCTTCTTCGCCCCCTTGCTTATGTTTTCAATTTCCGAAGTGCAAGACTGCCCGTCAATGAGCGTTGAGTCGCAGAACTTGCAAATGCTCTGCTTGACTGCCGGCTTAAGGCGGATCCTGGTCTTGAGGGAGACGGCTCGTAAATCGGTCGCCAACCTCCTGCTCATGCCATTGAGAGCCTTTACAGAGCCAGTGTCACGGGTTATGACTTCGGTGGAAGAAAGATGATTGGTGGTGGAGGGTGTGTCCGAGTCCGCGGGTGAGTGCGGGATCGCAGAAAGAGCGATGGCTGCTTGTTGAAGGAACGAAATGCGCGAGTAGATGGCCCTGTTCTGCACCCCGCCGCCGGCTTTTCCCTTTGCCATGATCGCACGAAACTGCAAGTCAAATACAATTGTTGGGTGGCGAGTCTAGGCGAGTCTAGGCGAATGTACGTATTCTTTTATACGTAATTAGGTTGCTCACAAGCACGAGCTTTCTTTGTTGGCCAGAAACTCTCGAGTCACAAAGTCACAAAGCACAAGCACAAGCACAAGCACGGCTGCACACATAAAAATACAAAACCAGGTGGTCTGTGCAACATTTGCCCCACATCTCAGTCGCCGGCCGCCAAGCTAAGCCACAACAGGTTAGAGAGCTGATCGCAGTCAGGTTTTGAGGCTGTGCCTTTGCCGACTTGGAGGTCGATTTCGCTTTCTCCTCTCCCTTGCCTTTCACTTCCCATCACCACATTCCACCGACATCAGAAAGGCCGAACTCATACTCGGCGCACAACCACGATAACATCTCCTCGTACTCTCACCTGGTAATTGATTTTACTAGGACGCATCGCCAAGTCAATTTCCTCGACCCATTTCTTTGTTTTTCCCGACCAGTCGCGTCAGCTTCCAGCACCAAAGTCGCCCAACATGTCTGGCGAAGAGGATCTCATCGATTACTCCGACGACGAGCTGAACAATGAGACCGCCGCTCCGGCCTCAAACGGCAAGAAGGGCGATGGCACCGCTGCTGCACAGAATGTCGACAAGAAGGGTTCCTATGTCGGCATCCACTCGACCGGTTTCCGCGACTTCCTCTTGAAGCCCGAGCTTCTTCGCGCCATCGCCGACTGCGGCTTCGAGCATCCGTCGGAGGGTTAGTCCTGACAAGTTTCATCCCCAGCTTATCGTTTATCCCTCCTGCCCTTCCCACGGGTCCGTCCATCACGCAAGCAAGAAAACAAGCAAAAGCTACGCGAAGCAAGAGTTGTCGGGGAGCGGAATCTGTTGTCGGCGCAGCGCGCAACAAGGGAATAATGGTGTTTGGTCATCGCCGCCGGCCATCCGGCCGTCCCGCCTTCCTGTCCCCGAGGATAGGCAATCCTCCTGGGGCGCCGCTGAGCACTGGCGCACGCAAAACCCTTGCAGATGATGGCTATCATCGTGCTCGGATTGATTGAGTCGGCATTATGGGAAACGGTGAGGTCGCTTGATGGTTGCTTCCGGGCTCCATGCGCCGAACTCATCGCGGGACTCTTATTATGGGACACTGTTCCTTGACTCAATGCCGCTGACTACCCGAGGTAGTCGGCGAGGATCTGTGATGGCGCCATGAGTGGCGGTCACACATCACACTGCGCGCACTGCTCGGCTGGTGGTTGAAAGAGCTAGGAGATTGGGAAGCGAGGGGACTGCGGAGGACAGCTGCCATTCTTTTTTTCTGCTGCGATGATGGACGGGCCCATGCTTCCTGAAACACCCCGTCCGCCGTCCCTACCACGTTTGCAAACCCCGATTCTAATGCGGTCCCCGACTACAGTTCAACAGACATGCATTCCGCAGGCCATGCTTGGCGGCGACATTATCTGCCAAGCCAAGTCTGGTCTCGGTAAAACGGCCGTCTTCGTGCTCACCACCCTTCAGCAAGTTGAGCCGGTCGCCGGAGAGTGCTCGGTCTTGGTTATGTGCCATACCCGTGAACTGGCCTTCCAGATCCGAAACGAGTACAACCGTTTCAGCAAGTACATGCCTGACATCAAGACTGGCGTGTTCTACGGTGGCACACCCATCCAGAAGGACGCCGAGGTCCTGAAGAACAAGGAAACGCACCCCCACATCATTGTCGGCACGCCTGGTCGTCTCAACGCCCTTGTTCGTGACAAGCACCTGCGGCTCGGAAACGTCCGCATGTTCGTCCTGGACGAGTGCGATAAGATGCTTGACCAGATCGGTAAGTAGCTAGATCCAACAGTGGGCGACAAACAGCCGCGCTAACGCTGTCAAGATATGCGCCGCGATGTCCAGGAGATCTTCCGGGCCACTCCCCAGCAAAAGCAGGTCATGATGTTCTCTGCTACGCTCGCCGAGGAGATCAAGCCGATTTGCCGGAAGTTCATGCAGAACCCCACTGAGCATTATGTCGACGAAGATACCAAGTTGACGCTCCACGGCCTTCAGCAGTACTACATCCCTCTCGAGGAGAGAGAGAAGAACCGGAAGCTGAACGAGCTGCTTGATGAGCTTCAGTTCAACCAGGTCATCATCTTTGTCAAGAGCACTATTCGCGCCACAGAGCTCGACAAGCTTCTGCGCGAGTGCAACTTCCCCTCCATCGCTGTCCACTCTGGTGTCAGCCAGGAGGAGCGGTATGTTTCGGCCCGTCCACATGTCTAGCCTAGCAGTGATGCTAACTCTCCGTGTAGTATCCGCCGGTACAAGGAGTTCAAGGAGTTCAACAAGCGCATTTGCGTGGCCACCGATGTGTTCGGCCGTGGTATCGATATCGAGCGGATCAACCTCGCTATCAACTATGATCTGCCCGCCGACGCCGACTCGTACCTGCACCGTGTCGGTCGTGCCGGCCGTTTCGGTACCAAGGGTCTCGCCATCTCCTTCGTGAACACCGACCAGGACAAGGAGGTTCTGCAGCAAATCGAGAAGCGCTTCGAGGTCGCTCTTCCGTATGTACCCGTCCTATGTATCTCGACCATTCACATGCTAACGCTCCCTCCAGTGAGTTCCCTAAGGAGGGCATCGACGCCTCTACCTATATGGCCGCTTAAGCCGAAGTTCGATTTCTTTTCAGGGTTGGCTTCTCGACTCGATTGTCGTGCCTTTGTTTTGCGGTCGGTTATCTGGCAACCGCCTTTTTGCTCGGGTGGTCGGACATGGATTGCGTGGGCAGGCTCAGAATTAAAACCGAAACGTGATGCCCTGTGGTCCTAAACTAGGTCATGTAAAACTAGATGGTCTCATACTGGGAAAATGCAGTCTCTCTCGTTGCTAAACTGTGTTTGTTGTTGTCACATTACCAACGCATGCCTGTGTTTGGTGAGCCGGAAGCCTAAAAGTCCACTTGTATGTTCGCGTCCACCGCACCGGATGCGGTCATATCTTTCTCAACAGCATCCTCGGTCCCTCGAGTCCGGATGACTACGGGGCCTGGCCTTCAACAGTCACAACACAACAACTGATGACCACGACACAAGAGCCGATGGCTACGACACAACGGCCGATGACTCCATCCATCAACCACGGACCGATAAGTCGGTGGATATTATCGGCTTAGACAGACCGGCGGGGAGTGTAATACACGACTTTTTCCACCTCCCTCGCCACGCCGTCCCGTGACTCCCGGGCTATCTCACCTACGTTACTGGCAATGTTGGGGCCGGAGCGGCCGGTTCGGACGATGATGTGCCTCAACTCGTCCATCCCCCCCCTGCAACCGCCGCCGGAGCTCGGACTGCGCCAGAGTTACCTTACGGAGCAGAGCATTGGCAGCTTTGCTCCGAGTCCGACCTCGAAGTTCACTGCCTGCCCCCCCCCCCTGCCCACTGTGTTGGGCGCCTACCTGCCTAGCCGCCCACTTGTTCTGTGCCCCGTTGGGGATGGATGTCTCCTCTTGGCGGGCTGTGCCGCGATGGGGTGAGCGGCGAGGTTTTATGTAACTAACCTTCTGCGTTGGCTGGCTGTGGGTGAGCGGTGAGCGGTGAGTGAGTGAAGTGGGCGCGTGAGTCAGGGTCTTTTTGTTTTCTTCGCCGGGTCGCTCGTCTTGGTGAGGAGAGAGCGTGGCGGCTTTTTGGCCTGGACACAGAAGGGGTGCTTGGTCACCGCATGCTCATTCCGGTGAGGAGCTTGAGGATGGCTCAGAGTGAATCATGATGAGTACCTCATCATGTGTTTGGTTGAGTGATGAAGAGGGGGCAAAAGCACGGACGGAATCTCGAACTCGCCGCATTCAAGAGTGGTATTAACGAGCGCCACTATGAAAATGACTGTCATTAACTAGGTAGGGGTGTTCGGTGTGAGTTCCGTCATGCGAGTGAGCGAGCTTGCGTCCTCGAGAAGCCGTTCTTCTTTGCGGCGTGGTTCTTCGGCATGCTTAGGGGGGTACGAGTGCTGCCAGGAAGATGACATCCGTGTCGCGAGGTAACACGGAATGAATATCCTCTTTGAGTCGCGAGGAGGCTGGACAGCGGCCGTGATGATATTCTCAAACACGGGTGGGGAGGATTGTGCTGCTGCCTGGGCAAAGGACCTCCGCAATCCTTCCCACTCTCCGTTCTGGAAAACGCGATGCTGCAGTTATGCTGCAGTTAGTTGCTCGGCGACACAACCCCACGCAGACAAGAAAGAATATTGTTTATGAATTTAATTTTTTGGTGGGCTTCATTCTAGTTTCTGATGTGATGTGGGCACCCTGCGGGAGTTGAAACCAGCCATGACAAAAAAGACCACGCTATTTCCTTCCCTCTCTCACCAAGTGCCTTCATAAAACAACACGACCATCACTGTCAGCAAACCAAAGCTTCATCTCTCGGTGAGCTTTTGGCAAGAGGCCCCCTTCACGCCGAAGAACGCCGGCGCTGGATGAGTGGAGTTGTGATCATGACCGTCTCGGGCCACGTCGCCTTCAAGCCGGCTGAGACTTGTCAGCCTTCACACAGCATTTTCCGGGTTAGGAAAGCTGAGCGGTTTTCACAGCCTGGTTGCTGCTGGCCGAGTTGACAGCCGTGTATCTCAAGCGCCCCCTAAGCGCCATCACTGAATCGCGGGGTGTGCACTTTCCGAAGCAAGGTAAATGCTCCTGGAGATCGAGGGATCCCATCCCTCGGCCGATATCAGATTGTCAACGTGACCAGTCTTTGAGCCTTCTTAGTGAGCCGCGTCCTGGAGGATTGTTCTATCAGCTGACTTCGTTCTGGCATGATTGGCACAAGCTGTCTCATGAGCCCACTGAGAACCCGCAAGTCAGCCGTCAACAACGTGGTCCGATATCGCGGTTGTCCTTGGCGGTTCCAAAGCAGGCAAATTTCCGTTTGAGTCATCGCTGGAACGGATTTGAGTTGGGCTGAGTGTCCCCTGGTCAAGGCCAGATCGTGTAGAAATGATTGGCTGCGCCCAGCCAGTCACTCAAAAGGTAAGGACCAAGGCCTTGCAAAAGATCAGGCGGAGGCTGCTCGTCTGCCTTGCTGGATGGATACAGAAACGACGCCATGGCTTGTTGTTCTGGATGTTGGGTTGCTCTGCATTTGCACAAGGCGTCACCGACCCGACGTGCCTGGCTGAACCCATGAAAGAAGTGAGACCAGTTTGCAGCCCATGCAGCTGGTGACGGACCGAAAGCGGGGTTGAGCCTGAGGGAGTGTTTATTGGATGAACATGCGTTTCCCAGGCCGTTTTCGATCTTTGAGCTTTGATGTGGCCCATTCTCGACACTCGTCTCCAAAAGCTCAGCACGGGAGGTCGAGATCGCGCGGAAGCAGAGCCGATTCGAAGGATTCTGATCTCAGCCGAAGGACGGTTGGAGACTGCACAGCAAAAACACAATCTCTGGCTGAGAGACCCGAGACCTCGGCTCTCTCGCGTCTGCCGGGCTTCAAAATGCATCATGACTGGCAGATTGACTCCGAGAGAGCGTCGCGGCTGCCGGTCACCCCGGTTGCGCCTCTGTGGGCTCGAGCTGGCAGGCTGGTGATGCACCGGGCTGTGTGAGGCAATGAGGGGGCTGCTTCTGGCGCGTCCCATGAGCACAGCCTGCCCGCATTGCGGGGAAAATCACACAACTCGGGGCTTGAGTATGCGATCGGCGTTTACCATGTATCATGAGGGAAGACAGCGCCCGGACTGGCCGGAATCTGTGTTCGAAATACGGATAAGCACTCCTCCGTCTCTGGCACAAGATTCCATTCTCAGCGGCCATGCTGAGCTGAAACGGCTGCGAGACCACTCAGTCAATGGATGAGACCGCGCTCACTCACCTCCCCCCCGGGAGGCTCAGGGCACTTTGAATGGCCCAATTACTTGGGGTGCAAGCAGTCGCGCGGCTATGGAACGATGGGTGCTGAAAGCTACAGAGAGGCTAGCTGTACAGATCTGTATGTACCAAAGTATGTGCAGTGAACTGACCACCTCGCCTGGGCTGTTGCCATCCGTTAGAGTCATACTACAAAAACTTGTCTAATCCGCTTCATTCAGGGCTACCTTAGGTAATGATGGCTAGGTAATCACATTTGTCATGCGCAACTTTTAGTTATTCATCTCAAAACTTGCGTCCGAAGCTCATCAGTGGAGGCGTTCGTACCGGGACGCAAGGGACACACCGGGCAATGCAGGGAGGAGGGATGTGCGCGATGGGGGATGAGTTCTCCTGAGTGGCGCAAATTACACCCAATTCCGGCTGTGGCGATTCGCGCTCGAGAGATTTCCGAGACCAGCAGTCTCGCCTCGTAACACTCCTCACTCCATGACTCCCAGGGGGGTTGACTAAGCTCATCAGCTGGGTGGCTGAGAGTGACTCAACATCATGAAATGGAGTTCAATAGGAGCCCGGGCCCTGAGACTCTGCTGAGGCCTCACGAACATCGGGGACGACGTCTCAACTCCGACCTTGATGATGCAATCAGGTCCCGGAAGCCACTGTCCCCGGGCTCACTTCAATGCTGGCTGAAATCGAAAACGTTCAGTCACTGCCGGAGCCAAGAAACGGACACGGCGAGGGCGACGGAGAATGACGACGAAAAGGGCATCTGCGCCTTCTTCCCAGGCTAGACCGCCTTGGGGAGACCAACCAACGCTAGACAGGGGTATTTGACTTTGCGTGCAGGCTGGCGAGCGAGCTGGCCACACCACAACACAACCCACCCCGCCGCTTTGCAGCAGCCTAGCCAATCAAGGCGTCGCTGATTTTACCATTCTTCCCATCCTCCGGCGAGTTGAAACTGTGAGTGTGTCTCGATGTGAGTGTGGTGCCGACCCGGCAGATTGATGGAGGAAGAGGGGCTTCGAGAAGGACGGTGTGCCCGTTGGCAGACATGAAGCCTGCATGCACTGGCTCCTTCCTTCCACGTTGTCTATCGGAGCCATCGCGAATCGCTTGGACTCTCGGAACGGAAAGGGAGAGAGGGAAGAAGCCGGAAGCATCAATAAAAAACGAGACATCGTATTCTGTAAAACGCGGGCGAAAAGTGACCTGATGCAGTCACCATTTCGCCCGTAGGGATGGACGGAGAGTCTCAGTGTGGGCTTCGAGTTTGGCAGCTGCTGGGATTCTGCCAAGCGGCGTTCATGTCGCACCGCTGACTGTCATGAACGGCTGGGCCAGGTGTGGACGGCCTGCAGGAGTGTGGAGGTTGGGGGGGGGAGGTGCAGACCTGGCTGTGGGCTGCTTGCAGCGTTTTGGCGTTTTGGCCCGAGTTTGGCAACCCCCCGTGGCATCAAGGACCCGTCGCACCCCATTCAAAACTAAGCCAGTGCCGTGCCGAGATGCTCCCTCTCCTTCCCTCCCCCCCATCGAGCCGTCACGATGCTCAACTTTAAGATCTAGGAAGAAGCGGCTCTACTGTAGTCAGCTTGTGAGATCTGTGTATCTTCTCTCTCCTCTCAATTTTTTCAAATCGTCCTTCGTCTCACACTTCATTTCCGGTCCCCGTCCCTTTTTTGCAGTCCCGGTTTCTTGTCCCTCATCCCGTTCCACTTTCCAATGATTGCCAGTCTGTTTGTCTAGAACGTTTCCCTTTCTCGCGACGCATTCACTTGCTCGCTGCGACAAAGGAAAACAGACCAACGGGCACACTCCTTTCCCCGGCAGCGTGTGCAAAACCTAGACGACGAGCTTCTCGGCCTCGCACCCCCAGTGCCGCTCGAACCCACCCCCGGTCCAACCAACCCGACCCCGAACAAGGAATCCGCCGCCCATTCAAAGAAAGGCGAGAAAGAAGCGAGCAGCGCGCAAAACAAGTCATCATCACTCATTTTCTCTCGCCTTGTCTATAACAACACACCGGTGACCCCGACCAAGCCGCCACCAAAGGAAAACGGGACCCATTTTCAGGCTCCCGCCGGACTGGTCACACCACCGCATCGCTCCACGCCTGCCAGTTGGGGCCACCTGGTTTTAGCCAGCCGCAAGTGTCGGTTACCTGACCCTCGCCACACAGCGGGAAGAGTCATAGAGACAAGGGGTCACCCGAAGCCGGCGACCTTATCTGAGTCGCCCGAACAGCCACGCGCTTTCACACCAAGGAGTCACATCGCCGCCTACCACGGCCGATACCAAGTCAACGTTCCCGTTATTAAATGCGGCTGATGATCTTGCTGCAACGACATCGTTAAGTCTCAACACAAACAACAACAACAACAACAACAACAACAACACACACACACACACACACACAACACAAACACACATATGGTACCTGCATAGCCCGCAAACCATCCCGAGCCAGCCGCACACTGCCTGCCGCGATATCGTCATTTCGACTCTCGACTTGGTCTTGCCTGCCCCGGCGCAACGCTTTTTTAAGGAACCTACCTCTACACCACGCCCCGTATGGTAGGGTATTAACCACCATATAACCACTCTTCCGCTAGTCCCAGCGAAAGCCACACACGATGCCTTTTGAGAGCATTGTACTTACACCAGTCGCCGTCTCCGCTCTGTCTACCGGTCTGATCTTTCGTGCAAAGTCGGCTTCTTGCGCCCAGCTCTAGAAGCCCGCTCCCCCTCTCGACATTTCCGGTTCTGCGACGATCTTTGCGATTCGTTGCAGAGCCAGCATATCGATAGGTTCACGATCCGTTCAGCACCCCCTCGGTTTTCCCGGTAGACACTGCGTGACGGCGACTGGAAGTCATTGGACGCGCCTCTATCCTCCCTAACACAAGATGGTGTCCTCCGCCATCGACGAACCGACCCCCTTCGCCCGCAATGCGCCCTACAACCTCTCGTTAGCCACCTCCTCCTCCTCCTCCTCCGCCTCATTCTGGTCCGACGTGTCTTCGCAGCACTCGGACGACTCGGTCTCGACCGCCCCGACATCCTATTCTGACTCCTGCGATTCCTTTTACTTTTCGCAGCCTCCGACCTCTTCGCAAACCTCGACCAGCTCCCTCGGCAGTTCCTGTGAACCCGCCATCAAGCTGCATGATCCCTGGGCAAAGTCCCAGCTCCAAGCCGACCCTAACAAGCTCCGACAGAACCCCCGGCGCACCGGCACCTCGGCGACTTCGCGTACCGGACGCCCGCCCTCGCTTGTGCGGCAGTCCGATCGTAAGCTCAGCTTCGTCGAGAACCTCGTCGGTAAGGAACGTTCTCGCCTCCCGTTAAGGACATGTACTCAATGTCGCTTTTTTCAGATACGTCGACCCATGTTGTGGAAGCTATTTGGCCCACCTCATCCGTGCCTCCGCGCCATGACAGCGGAAACAAGGCGGTGCTGCCGCTTCGGACCTTCATCCAGGAGACGCTGCGCCGCTCGCGGACCAGCTATTCCACCCTGCAGGTCGCTCTTTATTACCTGGTCTTGATAAAGTCCCATGTTCCGTCTTACGACTTCACCACGGAGCAGCCTGACGACTCGCGCTCGAGCCAGGCGATCCAGTGCGGGCGTCGCATGTTCCTCGCAGCCCTCATCCTTGCCTCTAAGTATCTCCAAGATCGCAATTATTCGGCTCGCGCGTGGAGCAAGATTTCCGGTCTTGACACTCTGGAGATCAACCAAAACGAGATGGCTTTTCTCTTGGCTGTCAACTGGAAGCTTCACGTCACCGAGGAGATTTACAAGCGCTGGGCCGACTGCGTATCCAAGTTTACGCCGACCCAGCCTCCTTCTCCTGGCGGAGCCGCCCAGCTGGTATACGAGAGACAGTGCCACGACTTCCGGCGCATCATATTGAACGTGTCCCCGGAGCTCGATAACCTGGCTGAGCTGACCACTTGGTCGCCCGTTTTGACGCCCACTCAAGACCTCCCCCCCCGGTCCCTCTATACCCCTCCCGCAGAGCCCACCGTCGCCTTTACGTTCGACGGGGAGCTTGGCTCAACCTCGAAGCTTCGCGGTGTTCCTACCATCATGGAGCCCGTTCCGTCGATGGCGTATGCGCCTGGCCGTTTGGTTCCGGCTCTCGGACTCCTGCCCACGCCGCGGCTAACTCCCCAGACGGGCGGATTCAGCACTCCTGCAGCGAGTGCCGCGTCCTCTCTTCTCGGGAGGAGCTCGTCGATGGGCTTTGCCATGGCTCAAGTGACGTCGGCCACTTCGGCGCAGTCTACCGACCGGTGGCCGCCCTCGGCAACGTCGTCACCGATGAGCTACCTTGCCCGTCGTTCCTCGCTCGCCAACTCGGTCTCAACGGCGTCCTCGCCCGAGTCAATGGTCTCGGATTCGTCCAGGCTCTCGCGCTCCTCCTCGATCTCTTCGGCTTCCTCGGTCACCGCGCCGTCGTCCAAGTTGGACGTTCAGGCGCGATACCGGTCTGCGAAGCTGTGCAGTGAGAGGGCGAGCTTGAGGCCGACCATTGCATCGGTCCCTGAAGACCACGAGGTTTTCATGACATCCTCGCCTGAGTCCTATGCCATCCCTGCTGGGAAGGAGCTCGGCGAAATGTCTTGGGAGACGCCTTTGGGACGTCGGGAGCGCGAGATGGACGATGCGGCACGGGCTCTTCAGGAACTGCACCGCTCTGGCGCCAACCGACCCGCGATGCCGGCAAGAGTTGGATCCAAGCGGGGCAGGGCCGATTCGGTCCACGACGACGTTCGCGAAATGCTCGCTGGTCAGCAAGACAGCCTCTCCTGGCCCGAGACTATGGTTCGCGCCCAGGTGCCCGCCCGGCGAGGCAGCCACAAGCGCGTCTGTTGCTCGACCGAGGCGGCCCGGGCACCCATGTTCTCTGCACTTCACCCAGCCGTTGGAGGGTTTGGCGGCCCGGGGATGTGGGAAGGGATTCTCAATTAATAACGCTCTCTGGGCACACCCTATCGACTTTTCAACATGTCTAATATTGCTTTTACCGCGCCATCTCGCACATATCAACAATCTTTTAAACACACAACACGGACCACCCTTGTGATACTATTGTTTTCTTGTATCGTTCCTTTTCCAGGAGGGTGATGGCAGGCGATCTCAAATGGAGTTTTCTGCTTCCAAATACCAGCCTTGGAGACCTCTAGCTCATAGACGGCTTAGATGGTGACCAAGGGAAACGGGCGAAAAAGCACGCTACGTTCTATTTTTGCATGGGCCCCGGGCTCGGGGAGGGAAATGGCATCGGGGTTGGGGGTTAGGGGGCAAGGCGGCGGAATCCTGGTTGAAATCGTTTGGCGAAGGTGGTTGTTGTTGTCCTGTGTACGATGAGTGGGGTGGATGTCTTGCTTTTACCGTCTTTCGTTTGCGTTTTCTTTACCGTTACTGACCCAGCTCTCGGCATCCTCCACTGGTGGATGCTGAGAAGGGAAATGGGATATTTATTAGGAGCATAATGGACGGAGCCAAGGCACCGGAGAGAACTGAACGGCTGCCGACGCCTGTTTCCTGCGTGTTGCACCGGCAACAGGAGGGAGGGGTTGGCAAACATTCGGTTTCCATCCTCTCCCCATGCCTGAGGCTTCTTTGCATCACAAACGGAGTTTGAACTGGGCTTTCCTCCCCAGAAACGAGACCCTTCGGGCCCCTCGAGAGGAACCCTCTGGACGGACGGACGGACGGACGGACAGAGGCGGAACTGGATCCATCAAGGTATCCCTTCCAAACTTGGCAGCTAGCGCACATAACGCAAGTTACCGTGCTACTCTTAGCCAGAGCACAGCTAGACGCTACAGTATTTGACGCAGTTGGAGCAAACAGTTTTCGTTCAAGGATGACGCGGTCTCGCGGTTGTGCAACGCTGCGAATTTCGGCCTGAGCAAGAAAGACATCGAGTGCCCTCGAGCGGGTGGACGCCGTGGCTTTATTTGAGCCCTTTCTGAAACTTGATTCTCAGGACACTCCCGCTTTGAACGGAGCATGTTTGTTTGTCCTCGCTGTCCTCGACAAATTCGTGGTTTGGCTTCACCTGGTGGGAATCTGCTGCTCACTCACCACCACTTGCTTTCTAACGGATTACTCAAAAGATCTGTAGTCCCCTGAAACCTGAGGCCCCCAGCGGAAGACAAAAAAACAACGTTGCCGAGCGACGGAGCCAACCCGGCGTGTGGTGCCTGCTTGGTCAGTCCTAGGGTGGTCTTGAATCGGGCCAGTCTCCTTCCGGTTTCGCCTCGCCTCCCGAGTGAGTCATCGGGGCGTTCACTCACGGACGGACGGACGGACTCCAACCCACCACCCACCACCAACCAACTCACACCCAACCATCGTGCCATCACACACCCCCCGGTCAGTTTAGTTCAGTTTCTTCCCGTTTTCTTCCTTTTATTTGCCTCCCGTTTTGAGATGTCAGTTGTTTGCAGAGTTTTTTGTTGGTTGGCTCACTGCCGGCCTGGCTGCGCTAATAGACCAGGGTAAGGTGGCCCAGTCAGTGATGAACTGGACACAAGAGGTGAGTGGTGAGTATGTGCTTCATCATGCCGACTTCGTCCCCGATCATGCCTACGGGTTCGTGCGTGGGTGGGTTCATCCTAACTCAGGCGGTGGGTATGACACGCCACGCGGTCTCACGTGCTTCGTGCTTGAATCAGCCGAAGGCGTCTGTTCCTCCCTCGCCCCCTGGCCGAATATGTCGTGGCGGATGTCGTTCGACATCATGGGGCGCGCGTGGTGTGGAGTTTGATGCCTACCCGACAGTGCGGTGACTGCTCTCCCTCCTGTGCTCTGCGCGTTCTGTTCTCTCTGCCTATCCTTCCTGACTTTCTCTTTCTCGCCCCTCCTCCTCCTCCTCCTGACTGCTAAGCCGCCGGGTGGGTCTCGGATCACCCGGGGAGGCGGGTAAGTGCAGGCTGAGTATCGTGCGCATGAGAAGAGGGGGGACGGCGAGATGGATGCGGAAGGAGTCAGCGTTTCCCTCCTTGGCTGGCCGTGGACGAGTTCGTGGGCGGCGTTTCGGTGGCGAGTGGGGACTCTTCACGCCCTTCCTGGGGCAAGACTCGATGGCCACTTCACGGTGGTACTTTTAGATCGGGGCTCTTCTGCCTGCTGTGTATGTGATAATGTTCGTAAGAGAGGTCACTCTTGTTTACTGCGTTGTCCGTGTCGATGCTCCTGACTCACGCCGGGCAATGGATCATGGCCTGGGTGACTCGATCGTGAGAACGTCACGGCGGATGGAGGAGTTTCTTCCCCGTGCCGACTCCCCACTCAGGTTCATCATGAACGCTGTTGTCACAGTTATGCGTCAACGTATATGCTCCGTTAATTCAATGAGAGCCGACCCTTCCGAGACGGTTACGTATGCACTCTGGACCTCAACCTGAGGGGCCTCCTTTGAGATCCCGGTCAACCTCCCTCGTCCATGAGCCTTGAAAACCGGCGCTTATTCAAAGGAGACATGGAAGTGATCTGGGCGAGCTGTGGCGCTCCTAGCTGGGCTGAGTCCCCAGAAGACCCGAATATCACGGAAGCTGATTGATATCGACAAGGAAGCGCCGATGACCGTCAGCTAGGAGGAAATGACCGTGGCCCCAAAGGCAGCTGCTGACAAATTGTAAGTCGATGCCGACGGGATGCGGTTACCTTTCTCCGGCAATGGCGACAGTTTGGAGTAATCCAGGCTGATACGGGTGGATTCGACGAAGCAGAGCGCAGATGCAACAGGGGGTGAGTAATTCTTTGATATGTACACATGTGAACCGCGGTTTGTTTTTCAACATAGTCTATCATTCAGTGTTGTGCCCAAGGGTAATAAGTAGTGTCCTGTGGTGAGCTGAGATGGTAGAGAAGAGAAATGGCCCAAGTATAGGCACTGTTGTACAGTAACAAGATGCATCAAAGTCAAAAGACCAAACAGAGATCAGCATCTACACCCATACCCCAAGATAACCCCCGCCACGAACGCCAGTCTATCCGATACATGCTCTCTTGCGCCGTAGGGAGCCCGAAAAAACAAGCATATCCACGCCCTAGAACTCCAAAAATCACCGCCGAGGTCGAACCAGGGACGGTTACCTGAACGGCCACTTCTTGGCTCGCGCCTGCTTGGCGTTCTTCATCATGTTGATGCGCCTCAACCGCTCGCGGTTGCTGGGATCCAGCAAGGCGTCCGTACCGTCCTCGCAGAACCAGTGGTCCTGGCTACGAAGACCGCCCAAGCCACCCCCGTTCATCTTGACGCGTCCAACCTTACGGAGCTTCACCAGCCCGTACCAGCAGACGATGAGCGAGAAGATGGACGAGAGGCCAGTGACGGCGCCAAAACCCCAGTTAGTCTCCTCGATAAAATTCTCGAGGTTCATGCCGTACAGGCCGGCTAGGAAGGTGCCCATGGCTAGGCCGAGCGTGCCGACACTGAACTTGAGGTCAAGCAACATGAGCGAGTTGCGGTTGGCGTCTAGAATCGCGCGGATGCTAGAGAGGGACGGTCAGTATCAACATATATTTGTGGACTTGGAGGAAGTGGGAAACTCACATTTCCTCCGTGTTCCTGATGCTCGACACGAGGTTGCCCGCCTCCTGTACCACCTCATCACAAATTTTATTGTATGATTCTAGGAGGAGTTCGACCTCGGTGTGGTCATCCTCGCCCCTGATCAAGTCGTGCATTTTTTCAGTCAAGTACATGTCGGCAAGGTCGTCGTCGGCCTCCAGCAGCTCTTCGATGGCGTCGCGGACCAACCTGGCCTTCTGCTCAAATGTGCTGACCCTCTTCGACAGGACGAGGAGAATCCTCAGCTTCTCACGATCGATATCGTCTTCTAGGTCGCTGAGGATACGAATGACCGGGTCTCGCACCGACTCGAAGTCGGCCTCCAGCTCAGATGTGACCGACATCAAGACCGCTTCGAGGGCTCGGAATTCGTAGGGCAAGCTGTTCGCGCCAGCTACCTGCTTTTGCTGGAGCTTCCCCTGCAGGTCGTACATGAACGCCGACTGGGGGTATGACGAGGTGGAGCCATAGACGTCGAACAGGAGGACTCGGTCGTGCTTAATGAGGACCTTCAGGTGGAGAAGGTTGAGGAGAATGGCGGACGGACGGACGAGAATGTGTGGGAGGTTGGACGAGTCGATCTTGCGGAGATCGCGCGGAAGGAGGCCATACTATCGAGTGACACTGTCAACAATCGGAGTCCATTGGGACTTGTGCTCGCATTGCGTACCCTAGCGATCAGCTCGCTTTTCTTAAGCTCACCGTCTACCATTATGACCTTCCCAGTCCCGTCCACCTCGGTGCACCGCAGCCTCGGGTCCATCGCCGCCTTCGCGGTCAATGACCTTCGCTGGAAGATTGACCCAGACTCCTCCTCCAGCCGCACTCGAATGTCACCCTCCTTCAATGGCTCGCCGCCTTTCTTCGAATCGGGCCCGAAAAGCCATTCGTGCCACGCCGGCTTGCTGCCATTCCCCCCAGGCGTCTGTCGTGAGGAAGCATACCGCGGCGCGCCCCCAGCAGGCGTAGGTTCCTGGCTCTTGGTGGTGCTCGCTGCGGCGGCGCGTTGCTTGGTGAGCGCCTTTGGGAGAATAGCATCGAGACCAAGAAATGCGGCTTGTAGTGTGGCTTCGCGGCGGGCTACCGGGGCGTTCAGAAGCCCTTCGGATAGACCTGTCCTCGCGCAAACGCAGACATGACGGCGAGTTGACAGGCGCGAGGGGCACCCGGCAAAGGCAAGGCCTTCGGATTGGGCGCGCAAGAACCTGAGAAGTCTCCGCGACGGTACTGCTGGCTTTAATGCCGGAGGCATTGCAGGCGGGAGGGGGCTGGGCTCCAGATGTCGAATCGTTGCCGCAACCCGAGCTTTCTCGATCTGAATCAAATTGTTCAAAAGCCGAGAATTGAACCTGCAGAATTATTGCCAGGGCGGTCGGATGTGGACACCCCCTGGCTGGCCCGTGCCCATGCAGCCCATTCACGGTGTGCGATTAGCACAAGAGGGTCAGCATCCTTGCATCAATCACATTGGACGAAAAGGGTCAGTCACTTCTCTTTTGAACGCCGCTTCTCCAAACGCGCAGGCGGTAAGAATGGAGTTTGTCAAACACTGGGGTGATAATCACATGGTAAGAACATCAGCAGCTGGCATACAAACCATATGTAGATATATATCGACCATGTAACTGATAATAGCATTCACTCAAGGGTGGAGGCGTCCCATTTCTTCTAGACTGAAAACCACAACGCCTTCGATCCCGTAATCTGTACACGATACCGGCCCGAAAACCACAAATATTTTTATCTTTGTTTTCGACACGCCAATGAAACTGACCCCGATAAAAGTTAAGGGCAAAGGGGGTCAGCTAAAGAAATGGAAGCCGCCGCCGCCGCCGCAAGCCCGGGCATCGAAGCGACGGCGAGATGATGACGATGAAGGCAACGGCAGCAACGACGGCTCACGTCGCAGGCGGTTCAAGTCAAAGAAGCCGGCCGCACCCTTAGAGGAACTGCCGACTGAGATCCTCGAGCGCATTATCTTGGTGTCCCGGAACCTCAACATCTTGCGCAGTAGTCTCAGGATCGGTTATCGCTTTTCATCCCGGGCATTTCTGACCGAACTGCTGGAGGCTGCGTTTGCGCCCACTTGGGACGTATGGTTCGGGTACGACAAGGACACCGTTTGTCACTCAGACGAGCGCCTTTTGCAGGAATTGGGCAACAGCCGCGTGCTGGATCCGGACTGGGTTCCAGGCGACCCTGATTTTCAGGTTTGCAATGCTCCTCGTTCACAACGAAGCCCAGACACTGGGTTGAAAAATCAAGACTGGCTGGTTAACTCGTTTTGGAACACTGCAGAGCGCCGTCTTTGCTTGCAAATGGGTCAATACCGCCCTAATACTTGAGGCCCAGCAGAAGTGGTATCGGAGGCACGGCGGCCCCGGCAACCTCCATGAGCACCTAAACCCCCTGGGCCGGTCACGCGCCGAGTATGCCCTTGCATTGCGGGCATCGAGGGGTGGGCTAGATGATATGGCAGTCCATTTCGAAAAGGACTGGGAACGGTTCAAGGGCTCTTGCGCCGAACTGTTCGCGATGGACAAACCTAAGTCAGCCGACGTCAACACCGTTTGGGAGCAGCCAGTGTACATGGAACTACATCCCTTAACCAGGGTTCCCGAACGGCTTCTGACCACCCCCTTTAACTGGGAGACAGCGAAGGCGACATATTGGCTGGTTCGTGGCGGCGGTCAATTACTCGCCGGGCAGATGTCTTCGTGGGAGGTACGTGTGATAAAGCCGAAACAAACATATCCAACACTCAAGTTACTGACCGGCCTCGTTTTACAGCTGACAAAGAGAGGCTATGATCGCATCATGAGTCTCGCCGATCAGCAGCTTATACTGGTCCTACTCGTGCTCTGGGTCAAACTACGCGTTTTCGACTACTGGCCAGAATTCCTTTTGGAGCAGGAGCTGGACACCAGCCAACAGATGCAACAATCGGGAACCTCGGCTGACCGAAAGCTCTGGTGGTGGACCTTTGAGTTGATAAGGTGCCGGGGTGGTCTTCGGGAAGCGCAACCAAAATAGCCTCCAACACATTCGTACCATATCCTCCTTTGTTGACTCGTCTAGCTCTCAGGGATGTCGCGCGACGTGCAGAAAAAGTGGCGAGCGGTGCAAACACACAAATCTTGAGAGACCCCCTTGTTGAGGCCTACATAACTCAAAGCCGTATTTTCAGTGTCAAGAGAGACCAGGGTTTGCAGAGAATGTCGAGATATTCCCTATCAAGCGTCGTTGGGATGTACAAGAGACGCATCGCAAAAATGCCCGTAAACCGTTTCCCGTTCCCAGAGTGCGAAATGACGTTCCATGCCATAAAGCCAGAGTCATAATAATGACCACTACCTGGTGATCTCGCAATACCAGGGCTCGCCCCTTTGCTGACCGAACCATCGGTATCACCAGGCCCTGCCCCCACCATCCCCGAACGAGGCTTCCCGCAGCATCATCATCGTTGCCTGAAGATGCCGCCGGGCGTTGTCGGAATTGACTTGATCGCGGCGGGTGACTTAAGAGCCGGGGTTGGGGTTCATCTGTACGACACAGATCAGCCTCGCTTGTCCTGACCTCCCATAGTTTGAGAATCAAACTGACCTTGCGCTTGCCGCCGGTCAATGTAATGTTGACGAAACGGCGGGTGTAAGTGAGTCTCTTCTTCGCACGGCCCTTACTATTCGCCTGTCAGATTTCTGTCGCACTGCCGTCGCTCGTGTCGGGTCTCGTTGGGTGCACATACGGAGTCTTCTTCTTCTCCTGCTTCTCGACCTTGGGGGTCTGAGACTTGACCTTGCCTATATGTACCGGTCAGAATCCCTCCCACGACTTCCAAATTCCCAATCCTCGATTCGACGGTCGCTGAAACAGTCGTTGGCGGGGAGTCGACGTACCGGCACGAGCCAAACTGTGGGTGATAGAGTTAGCGCTCGCCGAACACCAAGAAATATGAAATCAGGCTTGGGCAACCATACCTTCCGTGAACCTTGCCCATTTTGGATGATTGTCGTCGAAAACTCTCTCGAAGGCTTGTTGGAGAGGACAGTGACAGGGAAAAGAGTCTGCAGGTGGTCTCTTTCCGGGGCGGCGATTTCTGCGGATTATCCTGGTTACCTAAGACTTGTGGGAGCCCTGCGGGGCTCGGCTTGGGGCTTCAGACCGACAAGGGGTGCTCTCTGTGACAGTCACCTGATAACACACGTGACCTTACTTACCACTTCTCGGGAGGACAGGACCTCTCACTCACCCTGCATCAGCAGCGCCTCTCAAAACTGTTAACGATATATGTGTACTACAGTGAACGCGTGCAATGGTCCGATAACCTGCATTCATGTGGTGCCTACGTGCAACAATACCTCGCCAACGCTATCTACACGTGGCAGCCCCCGGCATTTCAAGTATTCCCGGGGTTGCTGTAGATTCCTAGTGAGGGACTACCTAGCCTACAGAACAGGGCAAATTTCTTGTTGTCGAGACACTGCAATTCGGAAGTTGAAGCGGGCAGCGCTGGGCTGGAAGACGTTCAACTGGGAGAGCGGGGGGAAGATGATCTGATAAGATGGCTTGGCGCGCAGGGACCCCCATGCGCGACCCCACAACCGCATCGCCTGACCCGACCCAGAACCATGCGTTTGTTGCCGGGGAGCGCCGGAAGTGATGGCCAACCTTCCGCGAGTATTGGCACACGCAGCATGAGCATCCCATGGCCTGGCACACCCGAAAGGCCCCCTCATTCTGCCCCAATTTGCAATCTCCATCCACTTCCTAAGCTATCCTGATACTCAACCCGTCAACCCCGTCCGCCACCATGAGACCCATCGCCATCTCAAGCACGCTCCTCTTCTGCACAACAGCGACAGCTGCTGCCGTGGTCCCTCCCCCGGCCGAGGAACTCCGCATCCCGACCTCGTACGAATCCGCCGTTCTCGGCCGGCGCATCCTTGCCCTCACCCCGCTCGGCACACTCTCCACCGTCTTCCCACAGGACAAACACAGCAGCAACAGCGATGGCCCCTCGACACAGGAGAGACGACCCGCAGGTCTCGGCGGCATGCCGTACGGCCTGATGGAATACATCGCCGACTGCGAAGCCGACGACGCCGGCAATCCGACCATCCTCGCCATCACCATCGGGACGACCTTCAAGAACGCCGCCGCGGGGAGCAACGTGAGCCTGGCGGTGCAGTGGACGCCGCCCCACCCGCCCGCGAAGCGGATCAAGAGCGGGCGGTGGAGCTGGCTCTCCTCCTACCTGGGCCTGTCCGGCGCTACCGCCGCCGCCGACGACGACGACGACGACGACAACCAAGACGACCAGCAGCACCACCATGACGCCGCGCTCCCCTACTCGGCGGCCAACCTCCCGCGCTTCTCGCTGCTGGGCCACCTCGAGCGGATCGAGGGCGGCGACGACCGCGAGGGGGAGGTTGGCGCCGCGCTGGCGAGCTGCTACGTCAAGTCGCACCCCGACGCGCGGTACTGGCTCCCGGGGAACCGGATCCACGAGGCGCACTTTGTGCGGCTTGTTGTCGAGCAGGTTTACTGGGTTGGCGGGTTTGGCGACCGCGCGTTTATCGGGTGGATCCCTGTTGAAGAGTGGTATGTTTCCGTCTCTCCTGTCCTCTCCCTTGACACGGCGTTTACCTCTGCCCCCCTGTTCTCAACAACAGCGAGAGTGGTGAGCAAGTTTGCTGACAGCTGGTCTAGGCAAAATGTTACGCGGGAAGAGTGGCAAAACGCTCGCCTGCCCGGCGAGAAGAAGGGGTGGAAGGAGTGGTCCGTCCAGGCGGATTTGTAGGTGGCTTTTTCTGAAACTGGGTTTGGTTTGTCAGGTGGGCTCGCGGATGCGGTTGTAGAAGTTGGTCAAGGACTCTATAGTTTGTACTAATGTTCATTCATGATCTCTTACGCAGCAAACATAATTCGTTTAGCATTCCCTGGGTTCCGTAACCAAACCAGCGGCTGAATTTATGCGCATTGCGAGCAAAATATATTATATTCGAAGCTGAGATTAACGGGGTATTGAAAAATCTACGTGTTTTTCGTCCCACTGCATGCAACATGTACCTACCTACCTTACATTTGGCATTTTCCGTCCCCGGTATCATAGACCCTACCTCATAACCGGACCAAAAGCACGCACCTTAGTCTACACGAATAATCACCTTCCATCCCAACGCCCCCGCCTCCCGGATCGCACACGCTAGACATCCCCTCCTACGTCGGCTGATCAGGGCATTCCAGCCCTTCTCGGCGCAGAATGCTCTAGCGAGTATTTCCATGTCAGACCCAAACTGCCGCCGCCGCGTCTCCGAGTGCATCTTTTTCGACGCACTCTCGAGCGCCCCCGCCATACCACCCTCTGCTACCCCACCGCCCGGTGTGGGGTTAGAAGAAGTAGGCGAGAGCATGCTAGACGTGTTGCTATCTGTCCGACTAAGGACCGGAGATAGAGGGATCTCATGCTCCTGCGGCTGTGGCTGGAAGCCCGTGATGCAATCGATGACGAGCACCTTGGCGACGTTGTTGGGTGGGGTGGGTGTGACGCTGGGTCGGTGATGGGATGCCGACGAGTAGCTGCCGAGTAAGGATTCGAGCGAAAAGTCCTGCTTGGTGAGAAGCTCGGATAAGTGGAGCGCTGTGTACGTGTAATACTTGTGTAAGGGATGACCTGGGGTCATTAGTCTAACTCGAGCCGACGAAGGTCAAACGAGGGCCTGGTTTGCTTACCGACAACGCTGGCCATCTTTCCGATACCGCCAATACCAGAAAGGTCGACTTGTTGGATGGTTGGGCTGGAGGGGGACTTCATAATTTTTACGTGCTGCGAAGGGACACAAGGGTGCGCAGTTACAAAGTTGATGTCTTTCGCCAAGGCGTATGTGTACTCCCTTGTTTCCTCCAGGTCGAGGTCTGTTACCGCGAAGGTTATAGCCGCGGCGTATCTACGGATTTGCGGAGGTCGGCTAAGTCCGCTGACATCTGACGCGGGGGTGGGTTCGTCTCCCTCCGTTGTCGTAGTCTGGACAGAATCAACCGGTGCCACGAGGTTGAGGGCCTTTAGATCGATATCGAGAACGGGAGGCGTCTTATCGCGGTAAACATTCTCAAACGGGATGATAAAGTCGGCTGGGAGGACAGAGGAGGGGTCTGTATCCCCAAGAATATTGGACTCCCTCTCAACCGCCTTCTTGCCCCAGAGGCGAGCCTTCCTGTCGACCTGTTGCGCGTCTTCTGCACATCCAAGTCAGCTTAACACGATCTTGGTCAACTGTCCGGATGTTGCTCTTACCCGGAATTTCCTCCCCTTCAATACTCAACCAGCCGTCGCCAAGCCCTTCTGGGATGACGTCGCTGGAAATCCAGCCCATGCATTCCGCGGCGCCCTTGCCAGCGCCCAAAACACGGCCGACAATGCAAGATGTGCTCCAGAAACTCTTCCCGGAATAAACAAACCCCCCACACAGATTAGCCATCGGGCCCAGCCTTGACATAGCCTCTGTATCGTTCTCTAATAGAGTTGCCATCAGAAAGTGGCAAACTCCTTCTCCCGGGAGTATTAGCCCCGAAACATAGCTCTTGGAGAGCCATCCCGACGGGTGCAGGGCCGCTGAGATCCTATTCCGCCGAGACGGTTTCCGTCGCGATTGGGGATCTTTCGGGTTGTCAAAGTAGGATGAATGACGGCTGTCCGCTCGAGCACTCGGACTAGCGAACGGCGTGCTGAGTGGAGTGCCATCCACCACGGAACGGCAGTTCTCGGTTATCTTGGATAGGTAGGAGCCGGCTTCGGGCCAACGCAGCCGTAGCGCAAAGTGAGCCAGACCGTCAACCTGACGGCGGACATGCTTCCCCTTGATAGCATATACCGGGCCCCGGCTGTGGTGGCTATGCGAGTCATGATCGCGAGTGAGCGACATGCGTTTTGTCAGTGTTGCCAGCCAGCCCGATGGTTTCTCCTCGGCGCCAGCTGGCTCACTCACTTCCGTCTTGACGATTCCGATGTTTTCGAGCCACACCCGTGCCAGGATCAGCGACCATTTGACCGACTTGTTTGCTTCTTTTTCGAACTTGTGGATCTCGGCTGGCCGGATGCTCTCCACCCCAAGCTCCTCACCCTCGGTGATTGCATCCAGTCTAACGAGAAGCTCGCATGCCAGCAAGATCTGCAACAGTAGCCAGTATCGCTCTTCGTGGACGCCGCTCGCCGAATCGCCGGTCTTGACAGACGAGCCATCCGTGGCATCCTCCTCTACCGGGTTATCCCACAGAAGCTGTCCCAATCGGATCCTCCACTCGACATGCGAGAAGTCGATCCACATGTTTGGCGCGGCGAGGATTTTAACCAGAGCTAGGATCTGGACTGACAGACTGTAGGGGTCTCGGTGATCCAGCACCTTTGTTGGCGGATGTAGGATCTGGAGGAACAACTCGTTGTAAAGTTCGCTCGAGACCCGTCGTCCGCGCGGATGCGGCTCGCCGTACCTCTGCCCGTTCTTGATCAGTTGCTCCATGATCAAGACTTCGTCGACGTGACGGAGACCGTCCTTTGAGGTAAGCATTTTCTGACGCTGTTCGACGACGGCGGGTTGTCTAGCCTCGAGACGCTCGAACCCCCATTGCTCCTCTTGTAGGGCATCCGCCACGGCTAGCTCGAGGGCTGCCTGATAGCCCACACTCCCTTTCTCGAGCCCGCACATGCTCAGCATGTTGGGCCGTTCGCGGCATCGCGGGTAAAAGTGTGCACGGTGCTTGGCTTCGGAAGCCCGCTGTGCGGCAGACCGGTCACTTGTAACATCGCGAGTGATGTGCGGCCAAGCCGTGACAGAGCCCCAAGCCTTGTCCTCGATCTGCGTGTGATCCGCGAGGTCCCGGATCTGCAGCTCCTCGTCCCACGGAAACGCTACTGACGGATGCGGAGCCCCGGTGTAATGGCCCTCGGCCCGAGCGAAGTATTGCGGCGCTCCCGAGAAGAGCTTCTCGACCTCGGACTCGGTCAAGCTTGCCATGATGCGGGTCAGCTTAAGGACGGGTCTTGCGGGGGGGTCCCGTGTCTGCTCGCTGCCCGGCGGCGGAGGTGATGGTAGCGGCTTGTTCGGGTTGACCGGTGCTCGTGGGGAGAGTGGTGTTGGAGTATCCGAGATCTGAAGCGTGTTGAAGATGACCAGTCAGCGGCAATCATTGCATTGTTAACTTTCGAAGTGAGACAATGGGCGGAGTGAAGCCATTGAATGTCTCAATAGGGGTCTGGGTGGTTGTCTGCAAATTCCCCGGAACTGGTCGTACGATTGGTGCAGGAACCGTTGGGGAAGATGCCGTGGTCACGCGGGCTTGTCCTGGGGGGTCCGGGGGTGACGACACTGGAAGGGGAGGGAGCGGTACTTGAAGCCGAACCCCGACCTCAACAGCCTGAGTTTAGCTTGGCTTGCACCTTCCCCAGCTCAAACTGCAAAGGCCAGCCATTGGCAGTGAGTTTCACCACATGATGCAGTTGCATCAAATTTGAGAGCACCGACATATTGGGGTGCATGAGGGCAAGCACAAAGGTTGGATGGTCGTTCTTACCTGAGAGGCTGTTCCCCGCTGAGGGGTTGACGAAAGTGTCTTCCCTGTAAGTCGACTCCGGATATTGTGCAACAATTCTTTGTTGAAAACTCGTCGTCCTTTGCTCTCACCGTCGACCGTGTTTTTCGACCCAACCATGACTGGATTGCTGCTGCGTTGGTCGTCTTCTTGCGCTGGAGTACCGTTCTCTATCTTGACGTCATCTTCGTCCTTCTGTTGCTCGCTCCCCTTCCGACTGCGGGGCGATCTCCTCATCATTGAGAACGGGGCCATTGTTGATGCGTGCGTCCGAGACGAGGCCCAGCGGAACCTCGAGCACGCGAGCAGCTCAGCGAAAGCCCGCTTCCAAGTTGCGCTCGACTATAGCGGATGGAGAGACGGCAGCTCGCAGGTTCGAGAACTTGGGAAGCGAGGCCGAGCAGCATTCGGAAGCTTACAAGGTTATGTATGATATGAAACAAAACAAAACAAAAGCGAATTGCTCGATGAGCGTCAACGATGGAAATGAGATGGAGCCTCGATCCATGGGTAGGCCCTTGCAGCAGGGACCGAACCAAGGACTTGCGTGTCAAGTACGGAATGTTTCCAAAGTTTGTCGCGGGCGCGTCAGTTATATCGCAGAACCGCCGTGCCGGGGGAGGAGCGGGCCAGACAGCCAACGATACAGATTAATCTGCATCTAATCATTCGCAAACCTTATAAGGCTGGACTTATGGGAAGGACGCGGTCGAGACCCAAGTCGTCCTGCATGACGGGTACCAACACCAACGCGGCTGTTGGGTGGATAGCTGTCCCACCAAAACGTCCCGGTCGCCTTGCCAGGGCCAGTCGCAATGGTAAAATGCACTGCTGAGTAGGTTGTTTCGAGTCCGGGACCCAATGCGAACCTGGAACGGCATCATGGCGCAGATTGGCCTGCTCTTTCGCTCGTTGATGCGTGCTGTCCTTGGCCATGTCGTTAACGGTGGGGAACTTTATTTGATAACTAACACCGGAGGAGCGAGCACTTGACAACCGGCGAAACCGATCTCTGCTAGCCATTCACTCTCGGGAACAGAATAAAAAAAAAAATAGAAAAGGTCGGGCCTCCAAAGCTGTGCCTGGGCTGCGTCAGCCCGTTGGTAATTTCCCTCGAGACGGATCACCGCCAGAAGCGGCTCCGGTGGGCCCCATCTCCGCGCACCCCGGTAGCTGAAAGTTGAAACCCGGCCCATCTCTTCCTTTTCGCTACCAGGCGAACTCCCCGATCCAAGAACACTGCTTTCCGAGTCGCAAAACCGAGGTCCGATATCTGGGCCCGTCCAGGTGCCGCTCGCTGCTTCGCTCGGGGTTTGTTTTGGCTCGAACCGAAAGACGAATCATCGGGTCGTGGTTCAACTTATGTAGACTGCCCGGCATCAGAACCGACAAGGGGCCGCCAACGTGCGGCGGCAGTTCAACAAGCCCGCACCTCAGAAACCACCAAAGGATGGCTCGTAACCCGGAGAGCTCAGACTGTGGTGTCGTGGATTACAATCAACAGATATTTTGCATCGGGAACGATGACAAACTCCTGCTTCTTGGTTCGCAACCGCAACAACTTCACTTCATCCTGCAAGGTGTCAGCCTGTAAGCCTTGGACGTCGACGCACATTAACCCAGGGCGGGACAATTCGACGTACCTCGGTGTCGAGTTCCTGCACAAGGCTTCCAGCGGTGTTGACAAAATTCCACACCATTGATGCCAGTTCCTCGGTGCCCTGGTCATGGTTGGGGCCGCTTCCATCGCCCTCGTTAGTGAACGACCCAGCAGCGGGCACCGATGATCCTGATGGCTTTGTCGTCCGAATTGAGCCGACCTGGCCGCTGGTCTTGAGAATGGCCCCAGAGGCGCGGTCTAGAGCAATGGTTGCCCTCACGCCTGCCTTTTTGGAAAGACGCCCCAACGTCTCGTCGAGCGCATCCGGGCCAGTGCCCTGAGTGATCCAGTCAGATTTACAGCACTACCTAATTGCATGACAGAGGCCAACTTACCAAAACTGCATCTGACATAATAGCGTTATTGAATCCTGGTTTTATTTTGCCTTGAGCGCATGAACATGGAAGCTGATAATTTGGTAATGCCTAAGGTGGGTGAAGGCCGCTGTTGGTTAGTGATGCAGCAGCGTTGGAGTGGATGGATGCAGTCGCAACCCGAGCCAAGCCAGGTCAGTTCGAAGCCACTGTGTTGCAATAACCATCCGCCCTGTCGTTATACGAATAGGTGGTTTACCTCGCCGCCCTATAGGCGATGAAAACCACTCACTCCTATGATTTCCCTATGCTTCTTCTTCCACATCATTTTAGTCGTCCCATCACATTAGCTTATTCTAATTGAGAATGAGGAATGCCTCGGTACCTAGCCAACGCATTGGAGATCAAACACCGTGTCATACGCGTCAAGAGACACTGTATATCCACAATGTGCCCAGTGGACCAAACTCGTTTCTGCCGCGCTACACCGCTAAAATTTCCCATCTTTCATCCACGACCACCCCGCGAACAAGCTAGATAACATCGTGAATGACATTGCCAGACCTTTCATGAGGAGCTAAATATGGGCTCAAGTAACAAAAAGAAGAAGGAGAAGAAGAAGGACTTTCAGGTGTGAGCCCCCTAAACCCACACAACGCAAAGCCACTCACTAACTCGCAGACAAGAAAGCAAAGCTGAAAGTGGGAAAGGCCAAGGCAAAGGCAGCAAATTTCACCGATACTAGCTTTAAGTCTAAATGTATGTATCGGTTGCGATTAATGTAACAGAGGGTACTTTGTTAACATACGACAGCGATTGTTGTCAATCAACAGACTCTTGCAAACGATGGCTCAGACCCAAGAGAGCAGTTCAAACTGAATCTGTCACTGGCCGTCAATGCAAAGTCGGACAATCAGAGGCGCGATGCATTAGCTTACATCACCAACCAACTCTCAGCCAACCCGCCTAACAACCCTGTCGGGACCTCGGGTGTTCTGACCAAGCTACTCCCCGTACTGTCAGATGGATCCGTCTCGGTACGCACACAGCTCCTCAAGTTACTCCGAGCCTTGCCGCCATCGGAGGTCGGGGCACATGTCGAGAAAATCCTCATGTATATCCGAGGTGGCATGACACATCTGTCTATCGACATCCGCACCGACACGTTGAACGTTCTGGAATGGCTCCTCGAGGTTGCCGGGGACCAAACTGTCTCTTGCCCCGGTGGTTGGCTGAAGACACTGAACAGCTTCAGCTCTATGCTGGGCTGGAACCCCAGTGTTGGGTCTGCCATGGGAAATAAAGGATGGACGTCCGCCTCCAAGGCGACACTTGGTACCAAGAGGGGCCCTGAAGCGCAGGCAAGGCAGATTCAAGTCCTGGGTATGTTTCTCCAGACTGGGTTCCGGCCAGAGGCGCCAATATCCTACAACCCGATGGCATACTGGGACAATATCTACCGTCTCCCTGGCACTCCTAACCCTTTTGCCTACCTCAATCTATTTGGAGCGCCCAGAGACGAGGATAGCGAGATGTACCCAGACCGCATCTCGAGACAACGCATCTTTGACGCCAAATGGCGGGCCGCCATCTCGGCCGGGGCGGAGAGCGCGAAAAAGGAGGGTGGTATAATTGGCAGGGCTGCTGCGACATTAGACAGGGCATTGGGTGTCGGTCTTGGGTGATGAGCGCAGGGTGGACCGGTTTGGCATTTTCGGCGTTTGGGCTGAGTGGGAAATGATGTTTGGGAGGATTGACGGGTGCCTCATTGTATGCTTTGATCCTCTGATAGGAAACCACAGATATGACTTGCACACAGAGGGAAACTTGGAGAATATCGGCTAATCGTCCTTTTATCGTGTTAGTGCTCAATTCACTTCCAACCTGGCGTTGCCCGCCGCAGCCACCCCTGGGTGCCGAGGAGGTAGACGAGCTACCACTATTGAACAGCAGGACGTCCTTGATTCGATACATTCTTAAAGCTCAAGCCCAGAAGACAAGTGAGTCATGGAGTTTCATTTGGTTTGTTGATATTGTGAGCAACCTCTTACCAACCCCCTTTAACCCCCTGATAAGAAAACCACTAAGCACATTTTCAGTTTCTAGAGAACTCAGTTGAACAGCAAGAGTGGTATTATTTTGTGCCTTGTTGGCTAATTGATTGCCAACCCAAGGAAGAAAACATCAAACCTTTCGAGTTCGGCATGCTGATCATCGGTTGGCCTGTCCGCCCTGGTCTGCTCCTTAACCTCCGTCATCCTCCGGAGGACCCTCAGGATCCGTTCACCCCGGCACACCGTCTTGCCTTCTTCTTTACAAACCCGAAGCACCGTGATAGGCTGTCTAGGCAGGGTTCTGTTCACGTCTGCTCCTGGAAGACCTGGGGAAAAAGAAATCAGATTCTGCAGGCTAATCCGGAGGGCTCCTACCTTTGAAGTTTCCCACCCTCTGTCACCTACCTTCCGAATCTCTCCACTGCTTTTTCCTCAGGCTGCTACTGCCCACACACAACCCACAACCCGCATTTATTTGGTTGGTTGCGATTCCCGTCTTCTGCTTCTTGCAACTACCACATATCCACCACCCACCTTCATCTGGTCGGTTCCGATTCCCAAACTTCCTCTGCTGGGTGCCGTTCGGTATCAAGTACCTACTCGAGATTCAAGGTGAGTACTAAAGTATTTCCTTTTCCTTCTTACTTTATCCAGCCTGCTACTTCGCTCAATATCCTCGCGGTCGCCGTTATTTCGGTCGATCGATCGAGTGAGATCGACTACCTGGCTTGGGTTGCTTCCTTCCCCCACATATCAAACTACGCGTTACCACATCATTCCATGGATGGCAGGCGCGTCTCTTCGACTGCGTGTCTTCCAAGTTTCTATCCCCGTTTTCCACCCACCCCGCGAGCCCAGCGAAGTCGGGTTTGCTTTCCAGAAAATCTGGTTCAAGCCCACTAGCCGCCGGGCAGTCACATATCCACTCTCGTGGCTCAAGTTTATCAGGTAGCTCCTGCCTTACCTGCTCCTCGCCGGCTTCCAGGCCTCCAGGTTCTGCAACTACCGTTGCGAGATCAGTCGCCCGCTCCTTCCTGTAGAAGCGTGAGCTGCGCCCACAAACCTGCCTCCCCGTTTCTGTACTCTTTTACCCTCCCCGTTTCCTCTTTCACTTTCCTTCTTCCTCCCACATCAACCATTTCCACTCTACGCCCGCCAACCACATCGAGGGCTTTCGTTCTTGGTGGTCTTGACGTCGCATATCGAAAGCTTCCCGTCAATCAATTTCGACGCCTGATCGTCGTAAATACTCGGTTAACTTTTATTCCGCAAAAAATACAGACCTCAATTTGACAATGACAGACCACGGCTGGGGTCCGGCTCCCCCTCGCACCGACCTGGGCGGGGCCACTACTGCACACAATCCTGGTGCCTTCGGTACCACCGAGCTCAAAGAGGCTCTTCCGCTCAATGGTAACAAGCAAGCCGAGGGGAAGCCAGAGACACCCGCCGGTTGGGTTCCGCCCACCGCTTACGATTACACTGCCTACGGCAAAGGCGACGCCAATGAGTGGGACAGCAACGCCCATGTTTACGAGTGGGACGGTGAGAATGGCGACATCGGCCCGGAGCACCCAGCTCTGGAGGTACAGCTGTTTGGCGACCCCGACAAGCGCGGAAAGCAGGGCATTGATTTCAGCAAGTAAGTTGTCGGCCCAGTTTTGTTGTGAGGAGAAAGTTGCCTGCTAACGGCACCTCAGGATTTCCGAAATTGAACTGAAGCAGGAAGGGCCGGCCCGGGTTCAGCCCATTGCCAAGTTCGAGGACGCTGGTCTTCATCCGGCGATGCTCAAGAACGTTCAGCTGGCGGGCTATGGAGCCCCGACTCCGATCCAGCGCTATTGTCTTCCAGCCATCCACCTTGGCTACGACGTGATTGGCATTGCGCAGACGGGTAAGTGGCTGATGTTCCTGAATCACAAGCTCCCGTTCTCACCAATCTCTCTAGGTTCGGGCAAGACCGCTGCATACCTCATCCCGATCTTGAACAAGTTGATGGGCAAGGCCAAGAAGTTGGCTGCTCCCCGTCCGAACCCGGCCACCTTTCAGGAGGGGGTTGATCACCGCGTTCGGGCGGAGCCTCTGGTGGTCATCGTTTGTCCCACTCGTGAGCTTGCTGTTCAGATCTTCAACGAAGCTCGGAAGTTCTGCTACCGCACCATGCTACGCCCTTGCGTTGTCTACGGCGGCGGTGCCCTCAGGGACCAAGCCGAGCAGCTCCAGAAAGGCTGTGATATTCTAGTCGCTTCCCCCGGCCGCCTTATTCACTTCATCAACAAGCCTGACGCTCTGACCCTTCGTCGCGTCCGGTACATGGTTATTGATGAGGCTGATGAGATGCTTATGGACGATTGGAAGGAGGACTTGACGACAATCTTGTCTGGTGGCGGTAAGCCTTATAAGGTGTATGCATATGGGAGCATGGTCTAACCTTGCGAATAGAACAAGAGGAAGGCAATATCAACTACATGTTGTTCTCTGCCACTTTCCCCAAGGCAGCCCGGGATCTGGCTCAAACCCACCTTGCGGAGACTCATGTCCGCCTCCGCGTCGGCCGTGCCGGTAGCTCGCACGCGAACATCAAGCAGAATGTGATCTATGTCGACCCTTCTTTGAAGAAGCAGGCGTTGATTGATCTCATCAAGTCCCTGCCGCCCACTCGGACCATCATCTTCGTCAACTCCAAGCGCGCAGCCGAGGAGGTCGACGACTTTTTGTTCAACTTGGGCATGCCCTGCACCTCGATGCACGGTGATCGTAATCAGTTGGAGCGCGAGGCTGCCATGCGTGGCTTCCGGGGCGGTAAGTGGCCCATTCTGATCGGCACTGGCGTCACGGCTCGTGGTATCGACGTGCGTAATGTGATGCACGTCATCAACTACGATCTTCCGTCGATGGACCACGGCGGCATTGAGGAATATACTCATCGCATTGGTAAGCCCCCCCCTGTCTGTGCCATCCTGATTTGGCGTCTAACATTGATAGGTCGGACCGGCCGCATCGGCCACCGCGGTCTGGCGACGTCCTTCTATTCCGATCGGGATGAGCCCATTGCCTCGGTTCTCACCCGCACTCTCATGGAGACCCACCAGGAGATTCCTGACTTCCTACAGCCCTATGTCCCCGAGGGTGCTACCGCAGATAATCTCAAATTTGAAGCGGATTCGGACTTTGAGGAGGAGACATTTGGCGGCGGCGCTGGTGGCGGTGGCGGCTGGGGTGCTGTCGACGACAACACTGGTGACGCTGCTGGTAACGACGCTGGCGATGGCGCCGGTACTGGCGGCGGCGGTTGGGGCACTGATGGCGATAACAACAACGCGAATACCAATGGCACCAACGGTACCAACGGTACCAACGGTTGGGGTAATGGCCGCAACGGCGGTAGCGGCGGCGGTGGTGGCTGGGGTGCCAACACCTCGACTGAGCCCGTGACTAGCTCCGGCTGGTGATTGAGGACTCGAGCACCTTTCTCTGGCGTTATGAACGGCAATGGTCTGGTAACTGGGATTTGGGCGTGGATTTATCTTGCAGGTTGACTTGGAAGGAGATTCAGGCGTCTTTGAGGATTTGGGCTCCGATGACACGGGCAAGCTCTAATGGCTGGAGATAATTCTTGCAGATCAACCAGAAATACAGGCCGTTCATCTGCTTTCATGAATCTGTGACGAATGAATTGATGCCTCTGCCGTGAGAAATGTCTTCTAGCGAAGATAACCACGGGAGCGTCAGCTGGGATCATATATCAGATTACAGACGCACACGCTATGACTTGACCACAGGACCATCGCGGGCACTGTGGGGTTTCAAGATGAATTGTATTCCTCTATTTACGCCAAGGTTGGATCGGATAGGTTTTCTACCTATTACATTCAGGCCCTTTTCAAAAACCCCAGGGCATTAGAAACGAGGATATCTCAATGTTTGGGCGACGAAGGGGATGAAGATAAGCGCCAAGCCCGCAGAGGCAGGGCTTGGAGCTGCAGCACCTTGGGGCGGATGAACAGCACGAAGGTGACGACACCGATCAGCACACAGAGAATGTTAACAGTGTAGTAGCCGTCGTGCTGCATCTCGCACACGCCGCCGCCCGCCAGGCAGCGCTCCTTGTCGGCCTGGACGGCGCAGCTGAAGGGGGTCGTCACGGTGAGCTTCGAGTCGGGCCCGGCGCTGGCGTCGGGCAGGCAGGTGGCGGTGGTGAAGGCGTCGACCATGCGCAGGACGAAGAAGCGCGGGAAGGTGCCGCCCAGGTTGCACACCGTCGCGAGGAGCGTCATGTAGGTGCCGCCGATGACCGGGTCGGCGATGCGCGCGTGGAAGGCCGCCACCGCGACGAACATGATGGTGTTGGTGAAGGTCGAGAACACGTGCTGCCCGATCACGGCCAGCAGGTACCACGACGTCACGCCGCCCGCCGGGAAGATGGACACGGTGAACTGCGCGATGATGGCGGCCGCGAGCCGGCCCGCGAACCCCCAGCACCAGAGCCGCATGGGCGTGTACTCTTGCGACCACTTGCCCGCGTAGTAGCCCAGGCCGATCTCGAAGGGGAAGTCGATCAGCACGGTGAGGGCCATGTTCTCGGTGCCGAAGCCCTTGTCGAGGAGCTTGAGGCTGGTGACGCCGTCGTTGGCCTGGAAGCCGATCTTGGCGATGAGGTGGACGATGATGATGGTTTGGATGTTCTTGAGCTTGAGGACGCCCCACATGATCTTATAGACGTCCCAGATGCCGTCCTCGTTCTTGGTTTTCTCCTCCCGCTTGAGGAAGGTCAGGCCAATGGTCACGATGATGTACGACCACCCCGCGAAGTGGAGGTAGCCACCCAGGCTGACCAGGCCGTGCTCGAGCGGCTCGGCACGGAACCAGCGGTTGGCGAAGTCCTTGGAGTGGAAGGCCAGGAAGACGGTGTAGGAGAGGAACTGGCCGGCAGTCAGGCCGACCGTCTGCGCGGTCGAGGCGTACGAGACGTTGCCCGGGGTCAGCAGGGTCAGCGCCCAGCCGTCGACGGCAATGTCCTGGGTAGCGCACATGAGCACCAGGAAGAACCACCAGCCGGTGAAGCCCCATACGGTGGGACCGCCGGGCTTGCCCGTCGTCGCCATCATGTCCTCGACCGTCGACCCCAGCCACAGCATGCCCATCCCAGAGAGCATCTGGATGGGAAGAATCCAACTCTTTCTCCGCCCGACCTTGGGGCTCCATACCGCATCGACGATTGGGCTCCAGAAGAGCTTTAGAGAATAGGGGTAGGATGCTAAGCTAAATATGCCGATCTCGCCGTACGACATGTGGTTCTTCAAGAGAAACGGGACAGACCCTTGCGCGAGGCCGAGGGGGATGCCCTGGAGGAAGTAGAGCAGGACCAGCAGGCCAAAGTTCCTTTGGTCCCGCTTTGGCAGGTCGAAGAAGCCATGGTTATTGTAAGTGGGCGTCTTGGGGACGGGGTCGTCGAGAGAGAAGGACTCGCGCGACATGAGGTTCGCGGTGGCGCCTTGTGGGGTGGAGGTCTCATGGGAGATGTTGCGCCGTTGGACTTCGACGTTGGTGTTCATCCTGGAGAGTTGGCCGTTGGTCTTTCTCCCGGAGGCACGCCCAAAGGAGCCTGTCGAAGTCGTGGGCGATTTCGAACGGCGAGATTTGGTACCCATAGGAAGTTATATGCAAAAGATCAGAGCCAAGAGGGATATGCGATGTGCGATGCGCGATGTGCGATGTTTCACGCCGCGATTGGAACACGGGGGACGGCAAGGGATCGATTGGGATCTTCTCGAAACACTGGGTCGATGGGAGACGCAAGTGGGACGTAACGGAAGGGTCGGGCGTGAATAGAACTGTTTAACGAGAGACAGGAAGGTTGGCGTCTTGAAAATGAAGGTGGCCTTTTTTTCCCGGAGGCTGCCGGACGTCGACAACGAAAGCGGCAATGAAAACCCAACAGTCAGCGCCGGAGCGTCTGGGCCACGTCGCTTGGACCCGGCGATTTGGAGGCAGTTCCTGTCGCGGGGGGCAGTGTCAGGGGCCTCGGATTGGCAGTGGGGCGTGGGGAAGGCTTAGCGCGGTTCAAGCTGCAACGGTGGCCTCTGCGCGTGGCGAGATGCTCCAGAAGTACGGAAACCGCAAAACACGACAAGGAGAGTGCTATCACAAGGTGACGATATTCTTTCTTTGATCCACAGTGAAATTCAAACCTTGCTTTCACTTTTTCTACGTTTTTTTTGCTTGGCTACCCAGGTCACCCTTGAGGATTTGGCGATTTTGAGATTCTCGAATTGTGTCTAGGGTTTGCCAGATCGGGCATGATGCGCTCTGCCCCACCTACCCAGACAAGCCAAGTCGGCCCCGAAAGAGATTTGGAGATTTGGGGTTCTCGCCAAGCTTCATGAAGCACACATGGCTAACAAGGGTCGCATTGTCGAGTAAACAAAACATCCCAACAGCCCTAGTGACTTGCAGATGCGAACCTTTAAGTGACATTACATACATTCGGGATTTTTTACCTGCCGGAAGCACCGTTCAGTGTAACCATCATTTTGATACTCAAGTGTTCATTTTTGAGATTGACGCGTAGAGCCGTGGCTTAAGATGGCGTCGAACCTGGATGATGAGATTGACGACTTGCAAGCGAAGGGTACACCTCACATCTTTCCTCCCTCATATCTGAGCCCAAGTATCTAACTCACAACAATTGTAGTCTCCTCTCTCAAAAAGGAACTTCGCATTCACACGTCAACTCTCATCACCGCCCCATCGACCCGCCAGCTCCTAGCCCAAGACACACCCACTTCGTCCTCCGCCTCCAAAACGCAGCATCAACAACAACAAAAAGCCCTCCTCGCCGATTCCGCCGACCAGCACGAAGCCCACGCCCAACAGTGCCTCTACCGCGCCTGCGCCACACTCACCACCTTCCGCGCGCGGGACCCCGACCCGCGCGCCGTCGATAGCGGCGCCATCTTGGGCCTGCGCATCGAGGTCCTCAGTCGCGCCCGCTTTCTGCGCCCGTACTACGTCCTCCTAAACCGACCCTTTACCGGAGCCGAGGGGAGCCGCCACCTCCGCGTGCACCGGCATACCCTCCCGGCTTGTATCCCCCTTGCGGGGCTGGCAGCGAGGTACTTGCCACCTCCCCCGGCGGCGGCAAAGGAGGGGAGTCGCGGTGCGAAAGGGCAGGACCTAGCGAGATTTGCACGCGCGGTGAGGAGGGAGGTGGTGAGGTATCATCATCGTCTTGGGGTGGTCGCGGATTTAAGGAAGGCAGCGGGGGTGGGGAGGGAAACAGATGCCGAGTTTGGGGAGGAGGAGCGGCCGGATAGGCTCACGGATATCACGCCAGCCGATGCCGAGGTGAAGCAGCTTACCATTGAGTGGGCTGACGGTCGGACCGGCCGGCTGGTTATGGGCGATGATGGGGAGATTCTGAAGTTGGTGGTGCTAGGCGAGAACGGCCGGGACCGGGAGGCTGCGAGGGGCTTGCTGGGCGGAGCTGCCACGGCCGAGGATGTGGTGAAACGGTTGGCGGCATCCGTTTGATTCGGCCCGGCATTTACAACGCGCACATCTTTACATCTCCTCCTTTCTCTATTCTTACAGGGTCTGGGGAAGTATCGCACCCCAAAAGTGACAGTACCCATCAACGAGGCACTCTGGAACCGACCCCGCCCAGGTCGCTCGCCGCCACTCCACCGTCGCGTGCCCCGAAGTAACGCGCGCAACAATCGAGCGTCGATGAAATCGGCAGAAGAAACGCTCAAGGTCGGACAGTGGGCCCTATGTTGTAACCGAACGACAGCTCGGCGCAATCTAATCGGTTACATCCGATGGCCGGTCATCGAATGACGGCCCAGCAGCAAGGCACAACCGGTTTTGCAGCCGTGTGTATGTTTATTTATTCAGCTGCAGGCTTTGCTATCATGTCATCATCATATGGTTGGTTTGATGACAGCAGACGGACGGCTGGCTGTGTGGCTGGTCGAGCGTAGGGTGTTATTGCATGACACTATCGGGTTTTATGCCTTCCTCTTTTGGAGTACCCATAGGTGTAAGTGACGTTCTACACAACCCGAGGGCACCTATCACACACCGTACCTCAAAAGAGAGCGGCTCGAGCGCGGGAGGGGCGAATAGTCGCACAGAGCGAGCGGCGCGGATAATTGAGACCTACGGCTATTGTCCACCAAGGACGTGGGCGCCACTTTCTGCCCAACGTTTCCTTGAGGAGCAGTGGACTATCGAGAAGGGTTGTGGTGAGCGGAAAGTTTCACAACTTAGTGGTGGGTTGAGACCTTTCAGCACAAAAATGACCAAAAGACATTATGAGAGCAAATACATCTGCTTAGGACCAGGTCCCATCCAGGTTTAACACCCTTCGGCCCTGCTCTGGCAAACTACTAGAATATGACTACGTACTAACTAGATATAACCTCAAAAGATCTCTGTCCTCCCCTCCCCTGCAACAGCAGAAAAAGAGTAACACACAAACCACCACAAACATTCCACATCAGAACCATCTCCAATCCCTAACACATCCTCGCAAGAGCCCTCTATTACACTCTCACTCCCCGGAAGAAATCTTCACCACCCCCCCCAAAAAAACAAGCCCATCCATTCACAGCAGCGCCGCAGCGACCGCAATAACCGCCAGCGCCCCACCGGCCCGCTGCACGCCGCGCTCGGCCGCGCCCCCGGTGGCGATGGGCTGGCCCGTGCTCGTCTTGCTCGGCAGCGCCGTGGTCCCGACCGAGCGGGTCAGGGTGGGCGCGCTGGTGACGACGGGGGGAGGCGGCGGCGGCGGCGGCGGAGGGGGCGGCGGAGGAACCTCGGCCGACTTGGTGCTGCTCGCCGGCGGGGGCGGCGGAGGCGGAGGCGGCGGGGGAGGGGGGTGCGGGTGGACGGTGGATGTTGGGGGAGGGGGAGGGGGCGGCGGCACGACCGTGGTGTGCGGCGGGGGTGGGGGCGGCGCCTCGGTTGTTTCGGTCACCGGGCAGATGGTGGTGCTCACGGGGATGGTGACGGTGGTGACGACGATGCCGTGGCCCGGGCACTTGGTCTCCTCCGGGGCGCAGCTGGTGATGGTTTGGATGCTGGTCGTGTAGATGGTGCTGGTCGTCCACTTAGGGGGCTGTGGGTGAGGCTTGTCCGGTCCCCAGGTGGGAGTGGGGAACACGACGGTGGGTTGGCCGAGCGAGAAAGGGGGGGGCTCTTGCTCGCCGAAGTTGGCAGCTGCGTGTGCGGCGAAGACGCCGAGGGCGAGGATGGTGGCCTTCATGGTGCGTACGGTTGGGTGTGCAACGAGTGACTGGAACGAGTGGACGACACCTTGGGTACTGGAGGGGGAAGAGAGTGACTGGAACTCGGTTCGGGGGACTGGGCCTTTATATGCTAGCCATGTCCGGGTCCCCAGCCTTGCTCTGGTTGTCTGGGGATCAGACGTGAGGAGAGTGTAACACTCGGGACCGTGGGCACTACTTGCCCACCACCCTAGATCGGGGGCGGAGGGCGACAGAGGGGGGTGGGCGTCCACTCCGTTGCATGGAAGACATAGAATACGTCACAGGAGACAAATATCGTGGTAACGCGTATGGCCGGCTAAAGGAGAGACACTGGTTGATTGCTGGCAATCAGGGCTGATATTGGGCGGCAACTTCTGGGCCATTGAAACCTCTGACGGCTCGGACGGTGGGTGTGAAGAGACCTGCATGACGGCAAGGCGCACGGAACAGCTATGAGCTACAGGACCCCAAGGTGCTTCTCCGGTGAGATTCGAGCGCGAATAAGGTTTCTAACCGACCATACCCTGCTCCCTGCGGGAGCGTGGCAACAGCCATAGGGCCAGGCGATGTTACCTCCCTCCCGCAACCTCCTCCCTGCGTGGGCGGGGGCGGGTGGATGTGCCCCTTGCGTTAGGTGGTCGAGTGGCTTCGAGGGGACGGCAGCTAGCCGATCCGAATGGTTTCCCCTGCATTCGCCCACAGAATCCAAGACATTAACGACCTAGTCAGAGCGTGTTGTTGCGTTTGAGCACAAGTGAAGTGCCACCAGTCGAACCAGCTGCCTGAAATTGGTCAGGCTGTGGTGATTCGGATCGAGACAGCACATTCAGCCCGTCCGAGCGGGACGATCATAATGACCATCATGCGGAGGAACAGGGCTGAACCAGGCTCTTTTCTCCCAAAGACCCGGTAGGCGTCGTGTAATCATCCCGGGCCGTTGAGGCGCACCGATTATTGGTCTCGGGCAACACGAATTTGTGATGGATTCAACACTTTTTTTTTGTTATGAGGAAGCCAGCCTCCGATGCGGTTACCCTGACCTTTCGGTTCATTGCATAGTATACCTTGAATTTGTATGCAATAAAGGGTAGAATCGAATCACGAGTTTCTTAAACGACGCGGCACGGAACGGGTGGTGGGGTGACCGACCTTGCAAGTTAGATGATGGGAAGCAGAGGATTGTTTGCGGCAACATCGTTCAGCAACTGTGACAAGGGTTAGGGTATGGATGTGTTCTTGGACAGACATACTGTGGCTCGTGGCTTACCAAATGTTCAGCTAGGTGTGGCTGGAGCTTGTCGGCAGCACTGGCCGTGTGGCCGCGTGGCCGCGTATCCGCAGCGTCAAAAGCGACCTGTGGTGGGGCAATACGCCGAGTCCAGCTCCGGCGGAAGCCATCGCGCTCCGTTCTTGACAGCTTGACGCTGCAACGCTGGCTGATCCGGCCGCAATCCCATCGACTTCCAGCTTGTCCACTCCCTCGCTTCCACTTGTTGTTTTCATAAGTTTCCAGATTTTGTATTGTGCTGGTCGTGATACATTTTTGGAACCTCTCGTTATTTGCATTTAAGATTTTATTGAGGCTTCCATTGCCTGGACTCAACGCTGTAGATTTCGTCTCGGTTGAGATCGTGAATGCGACATGGCGCAACCCGTTGATTCCAGCACCCGCAAGAGGGTCTTGCGCGTTATCTTTATTTCTCTGCTGCTAGATCTTGTACGTATGAGTATTTGCCAGTTGTGTACATTGCCTATGTCTAACACTACCTGCTCTAGATATCCTTCACCTTTATCCTCCCCCTATTCCCGAAGCTGCTAGAGTTCTACCGCAACGCCGAAGCCCCCCTCGACGCTGGAGCCCCGCCGTCCAAGACACTTCTCTCAAACCTGCTCGGCTACCTAAATGCGTACAAGGCTGCCTTTGCGCGCCCCATTGACTCGAGATATGACATCGTTCTGCTGGGCGGCGCCCTGGGGAGTCTGTTCTCGTGAGTAATGGCCATGCGCCTGACATTGTCTGCGCTCACGTACTAAGCCATGTCCCTTTGCAGTCTCCTCCAGGCCATTGCCTCCCCCATTATCGGGCGACTCTCCGACAAGTACGGCCGGCGCAACGCATTGCTCGCGAGCATGGCCGGAAACATCATCTCGGTCCTGCTCTGGGTAATGGCGGTGGACTTCCGAACCTTCCTGGCCTCGCGCATCGTCGGCGGTCTCTCTGAGGGCAACGTGCAGCTTGCGACTGCCATTGCGACCGATATTTCGGACGCCAATAGCCGTGGGTCGACCATGGCGCTCATCGGCGCATGCTTCTCCATCGCCTTCACCTTTGGGCCAGCCCTGGGCGCCTGGCTTAGCTCCATCGCCACCGTGGCCGCCAACCCGTTCGCGACCGCCGCCGGGGTATCGCTGTTCTTGATCGTCACTGAGACCGTCTATCTGTACTTTAGCCTGCCGGAAACCCTTCCCTCGATGACCAACACAGCCAGCGAAAAGAAGGAGAAGGAACGAACGGCGGCCACCCCGGTCCAGAGGACGAACTCGCACTTCCTCCTTAACCTGGTGCACATGACCTTCCTCCTCTTCTTCTCCGGCATGGAATTCTCGCTGCCTTTCATGACCTACGACCTGTTCGAGTATACCTCTGCGCGGAACGGCGGCCTCCTGGGCTACATCGGCCTGGTGGCTTCCATTCTGCAGGGCGGCGTCACCCGCCGACTTCCGCCGCTGCTCTCCGTCCGGATCGGCGTGGTCTCCTGCCTCGTCTCCTTCGCCCTCCTCGCCCGCATCTCCTCCGTGTCCGGGCTCTACCTCGCCGCCACCGGCCTCGCGACCACGTCGGCCACCGTCGTGACCGGCCTCAACGCGCTCAGCAGTTTCGAAGCGAGCGAGGACGAGAGGGGCGGGAAGCTGGGGATCCTCCGGAGCTGGGGCCAGCTCGGCCGCGGGTTGGGCCCCGTGCTGTTTACCAGCGTGTATTGGTGGGCGGGCAGGGAGACGGCTTACACGATGGGCGCGGTGGGAATTGCGGGTGTGTGCACCTTGGCGCTCTTTGGGCTCAAGACGCCACCTGCGTCTGTCAAGCAGAAGAAGGATTCTTCGAAGGCAGCGAAGAACGAGAAGAAGGAGCTGTAAGCAAGGGGGTGTTGGAGGATTGTGTACGCGTAGAGTCAATGTCGAATATTGTACAGTACGTCGTTGGAGATAAACAAAGAGTTTAGAGGGAGGTTCGCCGTGTGTACACAACGATATATCGTTACTTCGGACGAAATAGCGGAGGGTACAGTGTCCCTTGGTAAGGGCACTTTGATATAGCCTTAGTTCAAATCAAAAACTATTGTTCATCGGGTATAGCAGGTGATGATGGAGTAGTAGGACATCCACCCCTGGATCAGCTCACACGGATAGCGCTCTCATGCGTGATCCCCAGGAGAATGCGCAATTTACAGCATCGTCATTGCAGGTTTCCTTCCCTTGAATAATATCCCCAAAGATTGTATTGTGACCCACAACGCCCGGCTTCCCTTTTTGTGCGACAGCTCCGTAGGCTACATGTAAAACAGATATGTAGCCTCAGACACACAACGAACAGGTCAGAGTTGGGGAAACAACAATTACACGCGTCCGTGACCGGGTATCCATAACTCTACACGCCCCCACCGTTCATACCTACAGCGCAACATCCTGGAAGGAAGCCCCATCAGCAGGCGATTTCCCACCCTTCTCATCTTGGCCAGCCGCCTTCGTCTCTTCTGAATCGTTACCCTCCTCGTCCTCGACCGTCGGTTTCGGCCTCTCCGCAAGCCGCTTCTCGTCCCGCTCGTCCGCTAGCATTTTTTGTTCGTCCTGGCCCGCCGTCCTTGCCTTTTGCTCCTCCTTGTCCTCCTCCTCGTCGTCACTCGACGCATCCGACTCGGCGCCTCCCTCCTCCTTCTGCCTTGCTTCGTTTTCCGAGCCGGCTTCCTGTGCCTGGCTGCCGCTCGGACCGGCCCCGTTGCGCGGCGCTTCCTCGTCCTTTTGGGGAGGCGACGGCGCGGTGGCTGCGGGCGCAGTCGTCGTCGTCGTCGCCGTCGTTGCCGTTGTGCCGACCGTCCCCGCGGTGCCAGGCCTGTCTTCAAACGGCGGGCCGGCGCGGACCGCGTCCAGGTAGAACTTCGTGACACCGAGGATGCGGCCGTTGCGCTCGCACGCGTCGACCCACTCGGGCCGGACGATGGGGATGTTGAGCTCGCCGGCCTTCTCCCACTGCAGGCCGCGGCCCTCGGTGGTGACGAAGTGGGTTGTGTCGATGCGCACGCCGTCGACGATCTTGGCGCCGATGCGCTCGACAGCCGCGGCCAGCCCCTCGCGCACGGCGGCCGGGAGGATGCCCGTCGTGATGGTGATGCCGCTCAGGTCCGTCATCTTGTGGGTGCGCACCGTCACGCGCTGGCTCGCCGTCGTGCCCGCCGTCGTGCGCAGCACCAGATGGAACGTGTACTCGGTGTCGACGGCCAGGCCGCTGATCTTGGTGGTGTGCATGGCGAGCGGCTTGGGGATGTTGCCCGCCTTCTGCCCGTTGCGGTACAGCGCCAGGCTGATCAGGTCGGCCGTCGCCAGCTGGATCGGGTCCCACTCGAGCACGACGCTCGTCTGGGTCGCGTTGCGGCACCGCAGCACGGGCGCCAACGGCTCGGCCGCGCCGAAGCACGAGAGGATCGAGTCCTGGAGCTCCCTAAACGAGCGCTCCGCTGCCGTTTCGGAGTTCTTGTTGCGCGTGACATTGATGTCGACCATAGACCCGGATGTGATGTCGGGAGGGAGCAGGATCGAGGGGAATTCGATCTACAGAGCCGGCGACGATGGTATTAGCAGTGCATCTCTCGTCCGAATAGCTCCGTGGTGTACACATGCCAAGCGTTTGTCAGGGGTGAGTAGCACTGTGACGCCGGCGTCGACCTTGCCGACAGTGAGCGAGACGAGCATTGTTGCGTTTGTAGAGTTGGCGTGCTGAGTGGTGTGCAGTTGGAGGATGCTTTGGCAGGTCTGCTCGAGGTCTGCGCTCGATACCGAGTGAGCCGGGGTGTCCTTGATCTGGGAGCTTGTCGCAAGTTTCGATGTTTGGTCGAGACGAGAAGAGAGATACAAGGCCGTTTTGCCCTGGATCTCCTGCATGCCTGGTGTCTTGGCGGGCTCAGCTGGGGTCCACTTGGCGACGGCCAAAATGCGCTGCGCAACCTCAAAGTGACGCAGGCTCAGGTACCCGCTGCGGGGGACCTTCAGCGGGATGGCTTCGGACTCGTGGCCGATGGTGGGGTTCCATACCTTACGCCGTCTCCATCAACGCTGAAGTCCCAGAAGAGGATCCGGTCATCCCGTCAGCTCTTTCACCCACGCATGTCCATAATCACCCATAACCACCCAACCTTTCACCATGCTGTCCGATATCCAGACCGAGACCCCGCCGGAGAACCTCGCCGCCCTGGCCGAGACACACTACTTTGCTGCCAACCCTCCCCCGAAGGACCTTGAGAAACATGTTGCGCTGGCTCGCGATTTCATCGACTACCACTCCGCCGCTGGAAAGCGGCTGGTGTTGATTACTTCGGGGGGGACAACAGTGCCTTTGGGTATGTCTCCCTCCCAATTGAACCGGCGAAGCCCAATTTCTGACAATTAGACGTGTAGAAAAGCAGACAGTCCGGTTCATCGACAACTTCTCTGCTGGGACTCGCGGAGCTGTGAGTGCCCTTCCACTTACACCGGTGTTGCTGCTCAGGGGCAGGGGCAGCCCCCACTCCCGTGAACCTTTTACTTCAATTTTTAAATGAGTTGATATCAAATTGTCAACGGCTATGAAGAGCACTGATCTGAACAACCTTTCAGACGAGCGCTGAATACTTCCTGGAAGCCGGATACGCAGTTTTGTTCCTGTAAGCAGTCTCACCTAGCAGTCGCTTTCCCCGCTCGTGTCAGCCCCCTTTGTCGACGAATGCCGAGGAAGCTGACATCTCACTCAGACACCGCCAATTCTCTCTCCTCCCGTTCTCGCGCCATTACAGCCATGCGACCGACTGTTTTCTTGACTTCCTCCGGGAAGGTCCCGACGGCAGTGTCGTCGCTCGGGATGAGGATGCTTCCAAGATGTTACACGTCTTGAGGAAGTACCGCGACGCACGCGACCGCAATATGCTGCTCCTCCTGCCGTTCGTCAGTATCTCGGACTACCTGCATGAACTCCGCAGCGTTGCACAACTAATGCGGCCGCTTGGTCCCCGAGGGTTGCTGTACCTGGCCGCTGCCGTTAGCGATTTCTTCGTCCCTGTAAGGACCTTGGTTTATCCTCGCAGCTTACCCCTGATCCATAGCTAACCGATTTGCTAGCCGGAACGCATGTCCGAACACAAAATCCAGAGCACCGACGCCGTTGATGCTTTGAAAAAGAGCCAAGGGGTCAAGGCCCGGCCACCGTCCGACGAGGAAGAAACATTCGACAACTTCGACTCGTCTCCTACCGTGCCCAGAAGCAAGAGCCTGGTCATTGATCTTGACCCGGTACCCAAGTTCTTGAAGAACCTGGTCGAAGGCTGGTCACCGCAGGGCATGATTGTGTCCTTCAAACTCGAGACGAACCCCGCCATCCTAGTCCACAAGGCCAAGTACTCGCTTGATCGCTACCAACATCATCTTGTGATTGGCAACCTTTTGTAAGTCCATACACCAGCTAAAAGTCTAGAGAACCTAAATTAACTCGTTGTCGCAAGATCTACACGGAAGTGGGAAGTTGTATGTTCTTTTTTTTTAGAGCCAACTCCCCCCCCCCCCCCCCCCGCCCGTCATATTTGCAAGTGGCTGACATGACTAGGTGTTCGTCTCGCCTGGGAACCCAGATCGCTGGATCCGCGTGCCAAGTGGGGACGGGGTTGAAGACGGCGCGCCGGTGGTCGATACGGAGAAGGACGAGCCTGCCGACCCCAAGAGCTTGCCCGAAGGCGAGCCTGAGGTGGAGATCGAGAGCCTCATCATCCCGGCGGTCCAGGACTTGCATTCCAAGTATATCCGGACGGTCGAGGAGAGGGCTAATGCGTGAAGCGAAAGTGGGAAGTTCGGCATAGATTTCGAGCAGCGAGCTTTTTGATACACAGACTCTAGCGAAGTCACCGGATTGGCGGGTTGCATGTACTGTTTCTTCCATCTTCGAAATTTCTCGCCTCATTTTTTGATACCGATGCAGTCCGGATCAGTGGCTTTGTGGTTTCGGGTTGCGCAGGTGGGCTTGTTGGCTATCGTTCCCAGCATCGCACAGTGAAAATATGGTGAGACTGCCACCCAAAGCAGCTACAAGCCGCTTTTCGGCGGCTCTTAGGGTCCGCGGTGCTGGTAAAATATTGGTCCAGCGTTTGTATCTCCATCATCACTGGGCCGCGTTGGGATAGGCAAAGGACGTGGGTTCGAAACCCCTCCAACGAAAAGCGGTTTGGCGGCTCATGTTGAAGTGCCACCACCTTAAGACCCGTTTCCGTTCAGGTCGATGACGGCGTGAAAGCCGACGACACGGTGATGAGCAACTCCGCTGCAACCCGGGGGTTTAGGTGGGTAAAATGACCAGCTCAGGGCCGAGGCATGCAAGCTAGCCCCCGAAATTTCGAGGTTTACCGGGGCGCTGAGATGGCCCCGGAGAAGAACCATTGAGACGGGGAATAGCGTTGGCCACGAGTCCGGTTAAGTAGCGGAGTAGCTGGTCAAACTCAATCTTCATGACAGCTTTGGGCTTCGCCACGGCAACGCGGATGCTTCCCCGAAGCTCTTTCTTGGACCCGTCCAGACTCTTGCCGGACGAGTCGTAGCCAGCCGCGTTGAGAGCGCGGAAGAGCGCCGCCCTGACTACCCGCTCGCTCGTCTGGCGTACCACGGCGTTGCTACTGTCCGCCGTCGAGAAACCTTGGACATAACACCACAGCGGTTTCGTCTTCTTATCTTGCGCGTAGGTGTGCAGCACTTTGGTGATGAGAGGGTGCTCGAACTGGCCGAGGTACTTGAGGTGGTACATGGAAAAGACATTGCGCGGAGCAATGGATACGCGTATGGGAAAGTCCTGGAATTTCTGACCGGGCATTAGACGCAGCGCGAACGGGAACGATATTTCCAAGTCGGCTGCAAACTTCGCGACCCTTTTGCTTGGCTTGAAGGCCTGCAGTGCCTGCGGTGAGAGCTCGGCGCCAGGAGTTGGTGCTGATATCGGATAATTCTCAAAATTGGGAAGGGGTTTGTTGGCTAGTGGCGGAGCAAGCCGCCGAAGGGTACGCCGGAACATGATCGGGGCTGCGGGGAGGATGTTTGCTGTCCGTAATTCCGTTGTGTGTACCTAGGTTGGCGATGTGAAGATACAGTGGGTCGTGGTGTTGACCTCAAAAACGGCAAATTGTCTATGCCATGCACAGACCACATCTCCACCGAGAACATCCAGGGCTTGTTCGACGCTGACCCACTCGCCACTCGCCCCCACCAATTCAGGCGAAACAAACCCAACTCCCTGCCCTGCGCCCCAAAAGAGTCATATAAACCCCACTGCGCCTGCCCCTCCCTCGCGCCTCGTTTCTCACTTCCCATCGGCATCGCTCGGTAGTAACACCGACCACAAAAATCGTGCAGGCAGGTCCTCATCCTCGACTTTTGCGCAAACCGATTTTACTCGCGGATACTCGCCTGAGCGCGCCTTGTCAATATGCCGAAGAATAAGGGAAAGGGTGGCAAGAACCGCCGCAGAGGAAAGAACGAGAACGAGTGCGTTGCGGCCCTTTCCCTCTTCACTCTCGTCTCACCATCGCTAACACTCAAGCCAGCAATGAGAAGCGCGAGCTCACCTTCAAGGAGGAAGGGCAAGAGTACGCCCAGGTTCTCAAGATGTTGGGGAACGGAAGACTCGAGGCCATGGTACGCTCGTTGCCACCACAAACGCACACAACTCGGAAGGAAAATGGGCTAACGTAGTCGACAGTGCTTCGACGGTGTCAAGCGTCTCGGCCTTATCCGAGGCAAGCTCCGGAAAAAGATCTGGATCAACAACGGCGACATCATCCTCGTTTCGCTGCGCGAGTACCAAGACGAGAAGGGTGACGTGATCCTCAAGTACTCCGCCGACGAGGCTCGTTCTTTGTACGCGCCCCCGTCTTACCCCTTTCAGCATCACCTCAACCCCCACATTGCTAACCCCCCATGCAGGAAAGCCTACGGCGAACTCCCCGACACAGCCAAGATCAACGAGACGGACACGTTCGGTCCCAACGAAGACGGCGACTGCGGCTTCGAGTTCGACGAGGACCGCGACAGCGAGGAAGAGGGCGAGGGCGCCACCGCCGGCAAGGACATTGCCATCGACGATATCTAAACTGCCGCTGCCCCGCGAGCCAATATCATCCTCCACTCCTGGGGCGGGAACCACCCCTTCTGACCTCGACCCGACTCTTTCTTGGCTCTTGCCAAGAAGGGGGCGTCAGTCGGGGAACGGAAAGTAAAAAAACTGTCTTCTCTCTCAAACCTTGGTCATGCGGCTTGCCGTGTAGCCGAGAGTTCCCCGACAGTTGGTGGGCATCTCGTCTTGGTGGTGGGGGTAGGGTCTAGTCTGAAAGGGGACGGGTTTGGTCGTGATGGGAGAGACGTCATCACCGGGCCTGTCCCATGTTGTTGTTTTAGAGGTTGAAGTAGTTCGTTAGGGTAATGCTAGCAGTTTGCTTGGCCTGGCTTTTTGTCTCGCGGGATATGAGTCTTATGCATCGCGAGATCTCATGCAGCGAAAAATCAAGTAGTCAATTATATACATCACATGCGCTCGGTTTTCAGTGAATTTAGTAATCCCTACACCAATCACTCCTCGAGTCACGGGGGTCTCAAAAAACCTGGTAACACTTTTGTTCCGGTTTTAACTATCTACACACGAATGATAAGCCCGTCTTTCTCGGCTGGAGGTGACCTCCATAACAAGCGGTACGCCATATTTGGCAATGCCAATATTTCCAAACCCCGTATCCCCATCCTCTTAACTCCTGTAAGCATGTCCGGCGTTCCCATTCTCCGTACCATGTCTCTCCGAGCTGCCATGATCATGGTTTCGATCTTGCTCGAGGCTCTCGACCGAGCTGTCAGCTCTATCTCCGATCTCCTGTCGCCCACTGCCTTGACTACCCCATATTCCAGTCTTGATAAGGGCCCTTGAGCTTTCCTCGCCACGCCTAGCCCTTGAGCAACCGGGTGTTCTCCCAGTGCGCCACATCACCAATCATCATCGTCATCCTCATCATCTACGAGCAATTAGCATTTTCATCATTTTCCTCCAACCGAACGGACACGACTTACCACTCCGGCTAACTTTCTCCTTCCTCTTCTGCAACGCCGCGGCCAGCGCATCCGCCATACCACCACCGCCGGCCCCAGCCCCAGCCGCAACGCCAGCGGGCGGCAACCCACTACCGTGCGGCCCTATATCGCCGCCGCTGCCACCGCCGACATTGACTCCGCTGCGGTCGCGGATCTGGGAGCGGTCGACCTTCTTCAGCGAGGCAATACCGCCGGCGCCGCGGATGCCGTCGAGCATGGCCGAGCGGGACTGGTCGCCGCCTGCCGGTAAGGGGGCGGCTGGGACGCTTGACGAGTAGCCGGAGTCGCGGTTTGGCGGGGGTGGGGGTGGAGGTGGCGGCATGCCGCCCATGCCGGGACCGGGAGGGGGAGGAGGCGGCGGCGGCGGCGGGCCTCCAGACATGGGAGGAGGCGGAGGCGGCGGGGGTGGCGGACCTCCGGACGTGGGAGGGAGAGGTGGAGGGGGAGGGGCGCTTGATGAAGGGAGGGGCGGGGGTGGAGGGGCGCTTGATGAAGGGAGCGGCGGAGCTGGAGGTGGTGCGGGTGGTGCACTGGATGCAGGGAGAGGTGGTGCAGGAGGTGCGTGGGATGAAGGCAGCGGCGGCGGAGCAGGTGCAGGAGGGACCGGGCTTCTAGCCGGGAGTGTGGGAGGCGGGCGTGAGCTCGGTGGTGGGAGCGGCGGTGCGCTCGCAGCGGGAGCCTTGGGAGGCAATGGCGGGGGGGCGGCATGGACAGGCTCCCGAGATGGAGGAGGAGGGGGAACGGAACCGCGACTTGGGGGTGGCGGAGGTACGTTTCGCTGACCGGTAAAGGGCGGCGGAACAGCATGCCGTTGTGATGGCTCGGCGTTCTCGATTGGCGTCTTAGGCGGCCGAGGTGGAGGCGGAGGCCCGGGGGCGGGAGGCGACGGTACCGCACGAGGGGGATCCGAGCGTGCGAATTTTCCAGCCTCAGCAAGAGGCGGGGGAACGGCAAACCTCGACCGAGTAGGGGGTGGGGGCGAGTCCCGCGCCGGTGTCGGTGCCGGTGCCGGTTCCGGCTCGAATTTGCCGGACCGCCTCGGCGCTGGGGGTGGCGGAGGGGCCGGTCCTCTCTTTGGGGCCGGAGGCGGCGGAGGTGCAGCTGCTGCTTCAGAGACTGGCCTGGGGGGTGCCGCGGGTGGAGGAGGGGGCGGGGGCGGCGCTCTCAAACTACCTCCGGACACATTGGAAGGCGGCGGAGGAGGTGGAGGAGGTGAGGAAACCGGCTGGTTGGCTTGAGCTGCCTGCTCCTCCTTGAGGAAGTCGACAATAAAATCCTGGTTGTCACGGATGAAGTCGTCGTTCAACCCTTTGGATTTCAAGTCCTCTCCAAAATGCTCCCTCCACAGGGGGTCGAAGGCATCCAACTTTGCGAATCTGGGCGGTGCTGCTGGGAGTTCGTGGTACCCATTCACGCTCCCGGACCGGTGGTCTCTTACAGGGGCGGATGCCCTCGGGGATTCGGGCGCTGTGGGGGCTGACGAGTGTCGGTGTCCTCCAAAAAGGCCCCCGAACAGCCCGTGGTGATGCTTGTGGTGGTTCGAGGGCGCCGCTCCTCCAAACTGTGTCTTCAGCGTTGCCTTGCTTGCATTCTTTTCCCGGTCGTTCATCTTCTTCAAGAACTGTTTCGCCTCCTTCTCGTCGACGAAGGATAATCCGGCCAGGCATTCCTCCAGCTCGAAGGTGTGGAAGAAGACGCGGTCTTGGTTGTAGTTCCAATTTTCGTAGATCTCCTGGTCCCATATCACGCCCCGGTTTCCGGGCTGTCTACGAGTTAACAAATCATGTATGATGGCGTATGGAACCAAGCGGGCAGGGACGTACCGAGATGTCCACCATCTTGACCCAGTAGGTGTTGCCAACAAGGTCATTCGCCAACACGACGGCACCTTGCAAGCCTGTGTATGTCCATTTCGATCGGTTGGGGTGAGCTACGTAGAGCCTAGCCACGCCAACGGCGTGGATCTTATTAGTCTGCTTGGGAACGAAGCGCTTGACGATCTCGCGGTCGTCGTCGCTGAGTATGGACGGCATGGCGGGGGAGGGAAGCCGTCCGGGTGTCGGGTCTGCGGCTACCTGTTGCCAAAAGCTTTAGAGGCAGGCGAATATCAATGGTGACGTCTAAAACGAATGGCGGGTGCGGCGGCGAGACTGTCGGTATTGTTGCGACTCGTAAATCGACGGTTTCCTCAGCAGCGTGCGTCAGCGGCCGGCCGAAGACCTGGGGAGGCAGCGCTAATTGTGGCCAAGTCGGGTCGCATCCAATATTCGGCGTTATCTTGCCGAGGAGGGGGAAACTGTCGTTGCTCGTCCGATCGATGCGGGAGACTCGCTCGGTGCGTAGTGGCGAGTTGACAAGGTAATTGGCAATGGGGCGGGAGTCGGAACGAGGGTATTGACGAAGTCGAGTTCGGAGACGGATTCGCAAACTTGGAGCTGGTGGAAGCTTCCTTGACTCAGGCTTGCATCACCAAAGCCACAGATTCAGGGGACACCGACTGGCGGGGCGCGCGATTGCTGACAGGCAGGGGTTCATTCTGATGGGGGCTCAGCCACAGATGCCCAAGTGGGGACCGTTTAGTACCTCCTGGTACCGTATTTGGGACGTATTGTCCGGCCCATGCCGAGCACTTACAACGAGGTCCCTCACCTACAAACTGCACGGTACGGCGGACCTCCGGAAAAAGATACTTGTCGACTCAGGCCTTGAGCCATATAGAAACAAAGCAATGATATTTCGCACTTCATGAGGTGTTTAATCGATATTTATTCGGTCACCCAACCATTCCTAGGCTATTCGTACCGTCCAACACTTGCGTCGTCATCAGGCTCGTAACCACAGGCAACGTCATAGCATATACAACAAGTACGGAAACTGCGCTTCGTGCACCCATTTATTTGTTCATATCCTCTGCCTTGGTTCGGCGTTCCTCTTTGGTTCCCTCCTCTTTGACGTTGAACTCCTTGGGGATGGCCGGACCGGGGTGCGCAGTGTGTGCCTGGAACGCGTTCTTCACAGTATCAGTCGCCTTCTGCAGCGGGTTGTCGCCGGTCTAGTTCAGTATCAGAATTAGATCTGGGAGCAAATTTGACAGCGTTTTGCAGGCCAATGGCTTACCGGCTGGTTGGTGTCTTTTTGTTGGGTTGTCTTGGAAGAGTCCATGACGCTTGATGAGAGGCTGCGTGGTCGGTGGCAGGGGGTTGAATCGGTAAAGTGGGTCGGGAATTCGAGATTGAAATCGTTCTTTAGTAACAGTTGCGATGCGCTTTATGGTTATGGCGGAGAGATATGAAGAGAGAATAGTGTAAAAGGAGAAACCGTAGCCAAATCCTAGTTTCTCTCCCTTTTGAACCGGGCCTTGTTGGCCTTTTGTACGCGCACTTCAGCTGGCGCGTCCGGGCAACAATGACGTCGGTCTTGAAGCCACACGCGGCCTCCGGGCAGGTGTTCGCTCATTAAATCTTGGCAACGTCTTCACGCGGCTGCCCGCCACTCTCCGACAACTGCCAGCAATTGAGCGAAACACGCCCTCGCAACACTCCCTACCCTGCCCGATGCCTCCTTCAAGACCAAACGTCGAGTAACGCGCCCCATATGTCGGCTGCCGAGAACTCGCAACCTGTACAGGCCGTGAAGCTCTCGCTGCCTCTGGTACGTCGAATGAAAAGCCCGCCCACTTATTAGGGTCATCTCTTGTTCATTTTCTCGACGTCAAACTTGTACTTATCCCTCCTTCCCTCCAGGTTTATCAACAGAAGCTCTTTGAGGAGCTCCGAAAGGAGGATGAACTCGTCGTTCTGGCTCGGGGCCTAGGCCTCATCCGCCTCATCACCAACCTCCTCCACTCGTACGATGCCGCCGGGAACAACCTGATCGTGATTGTAGCAGCCGACGACAGGGAAAACGCCTGGATTGGCGAGGCCCTTGCTGAGCATGCCGCTATCAGCATGTCGCCCCGTGCCCGGGGTTTGACGGTGGTAAACACCGACTTCACCAGCGTAGCAGTCCGCGAGAAGATGTACGCGGCTGGGGGCATCTTCAGTATCACCTCTCGCATCCTGGTCGTCGATATGCTCACTGGCCTTCTGAACCCTGAGACTATTACGGGCATGGTCGTTCTCCATGCCGACCGGGTTACCGCCACGTCCTTGGAGGCCTTCATTCTCAGGATATACCGCCAAAAGAACAAGGTCGGTTTTCTCAAAGCTTTCTCGGACAACCCGGATCCCTTCACCACGGGCTTCTCACCGCTGGCTACTATGATGAGAAATATGTTCCTTCGAAAAGCTTCGCTGTGGCCGCGCTTTCACGTACACGTAGCCGAGGCCCTTGAGGGGAAGAAGAAGGCAGAAGTGATCGAGCTGGAGGTCCCCATGACAGATGCTATGCGTGATATCCAAAATGCCATCATGGAATGCGTCGAAGTCTGCATCCAGGAGCTCAAAAAGGGCAACACCGGGCTAGAGATGGACGATTGGAATCTCGACAGCGCCCTGCTAAAGAATTTCGACGTCATTGTCCGCCGCCAGCTGGATCCTAACTGGCATCGCGTCAGCTGGAAGACGAAACAGATCGTGGGCGACCTGACCGTTCTTAGGAATATGCTCCACTCAATCCTAGCACTTGATGCGGTTTCCTTTCTCCAGCAACTCGACACCATTCACGCCGCCAATTCGCCGGCCCCCGGGACGACGAGGCAAACGCAGTCCCCGTGGCTGTTCCTAGACGCTGCTCAAACCATCTTTGAAACCGCAAAGAGGCGGGTCTACTCTAGCAGCCAGAGGCCGGGTCCAAACATCAATAACATTGATTCACTGCGCCCTGTCTTGGAAGAACTGCCAAAGTGGGCCGTCCTAGCCGACGTGTTGGAAGAGATCGACCGGGACCTTTACTTTGAGCCTGCTGCTCGCGATGATTCCAATGGCACCATCTTGATCATGTGCTCTGATACCGACACATGTCGCCAGCTCCGCGACTACCTCCAGACCATGCACGTCAAGCCAAGGACGGAGAAAAAGATCGAGGAATTCCACGACCCGGAGGAGGATAAGCCGTCGGCTGCTTTCATGATGAGGAGAAGGCTGCGTAACTACCTCAAGTGGAAGCGAGAATTCGCCCAGGTCAACGCCAATTTGTTCTCGGAGAATCAGAAGGCCCTCAGCGGCGCGGTCGATCCACGCCTAGGTCAGTCAAAAAACAGGGCTTCCGCAAACAAGAGACGCCGCATCCGTGGTGGCGGAGTGGCAGGCGCTGCGCCTGGCCGCCTTGAAAATGGGAGCGTCGCGCAGTATTTTGAAAAGCCAGGCGAGGTGGCCGAGTTGATGGCCGAGGTCCAAATCACCGAAGAAGAAACGACACAAAAAGAAGACATCGTCGCGGACCCCCTAGAGGACATGGACGACTACTATCAATTGTACGAAATGCAAGACTTAGTCGTCATCCACGCGTACGACGGAGATCTAGACGAACATATTTTAGAGGAGATCAAGCCGAAATACATTGTCATGTACGAGCCCGACGCCGCCTTCATTCGGCGGGTCGAAGTCTACCGCTCGTCCCACAACGACCGGAACGTCAGGGTCTACTTCCTTTACTACGGCGGGTCCGTCGAGGAACAGCGCTACCTCTCTAGCGTCCGCCGTGAGAAGGACGCCTTCACCAAGCTCATCAAAGAGCGCGCCGGCATGTCGCTTGTCATGACAGTCGACGCACACGGCGCCGAAGACCCGCAGGAAGCCTTCCTCCGCACCATCAACACGCGCATCGCGGGCGGCGGCAAACTCGCCGCGACCGCCCAGCCGCCGCGGGTCGTGGTCGACGTGCGCGAGTTCCGCTCCTCCCTCCCGTCCCTCCTGCACGGCCGCTCCATGGTCATCGTACCCTGCATGCTGACGGTCGGCGACTACATCCTCAGCCCCGCCGTGTGCGTGGAGCGCAAGAGCATCAGCGACCTGATCAGCTCCTTCAAGGACGGCCGGCTGTTCGCGCAGTGCGAGGCCATGTTCCAGCACTACCGCAGCCCCATGCTGCTGATCGAGTTCGACCAGAACAAGAGCTTCACGCTCGAGCCCTTCGCCGACCTGTCCGGCAGCCTGGCCAGCGTGAGCGCCGCCAGCGCGGGCGCCCACGACCTGCAGAGCAAGATCGTCCTGCTGACCCTCGCCTTCCCCCGGCTGCGCGTCATCTGGTCGTCGTCGCCGTACGAGACGGCCGAGATCTTTGAGCGGCTCAAGGCGCAGGAGGCCGAGCCGGACCCGATTGCGGCGGTTCGGGCGGGGTTGGACGGCGACGGCGACGCGCAGGCTGAGGGGCAGGTGTTCAACGCCGTGCCGCAGGAGATGCTGGGGGCGGTGCCCGGGGTGACGCAGAAGAATATCATGAACTTGGTGCTGCATACGGAGAACATCAGGGAGGTGGCTAATATGACAGCGGAGGAGCTGAACCCGCTGGTTGGGAAGGAAGCCGCGGGGAAGATTTGTGGTTTCTTCGCGAAGGATTTGTTGGATGGGTGACGAAAGTGCGAAAGACAAAGACAAAACATGATCTTGAGACATATCTCATAAAACCGCCAGGGCTGGTCACGCATTAAATGAGTCGTATTTCGTTCTCTAAACAAGAAACGGGACAAATAAAAGTCAACGGAGATAACCGGCCTACCCGCTAAAATGCAACTCTTTCCCTCCTACCCTCCCGCCTTCCTCTCGTATCATCAAAAGCCTCTCGCTCGTGGTATTGGGGTATCTCATAAGATGCATCATACATCGTCGTGAAGAAAGCGCAAGAGGGTTTAACTCCCCCCCACCCGCGCGCACGCCCTCTAGAAGTGCAATCCATCCATCTCTCCCTCACGCCGCTACTTCAGATGGCCCTGGTCGTCCCGACGTGCCTGCGCCGGCCGAAGCCGCGGTGCCTGCCGGTGGTGGTGCCGTGGGTGCGCCCGGCGCTGTGGCGGCGGCGGCCGCCGCAGGTGTTGCAGGTCAGGCAGCCGACGACGATGTTGAGGAAGCTGACGATGCCGTTGACGATCGCCATGATGATGCCGCCGATGCCGTTGATGATGGCCATGATGGTCCGCCCGATGGTGCGGAAACAGGACTGGATCTGGAAAGGGGGAGATATGTTAGTATGGGGGGTTGTGGGAGATGTTGTTGGTGCTGTGGTATGTATGTGGACTTACGCAAGAGACGACAGCGCCCATTGTGATGGTGTTTATTGGGTTGGGTTGGTGATAGTTTGTTATGTAGCTCGATTCGAGGTATGTAGTACTCGACGTTGTGTTTTGTTGTGGTCTTTGGTGTTTGTTCAGGTTGCTCTGTTGGATAACGAACTTGTGAAGCAGAAACTACGAGGCATTGGCATGATATATGTATCCTAAATTGCAGCTAGCCATCTACTGTGGTATGTCACATCATGAACGAGGGCAAACTGCGTGTAAGTGGCTAGTGACGTCACGAGGTGTGAACCATCGGCTTCTGTCCCGCTTGTTCGCTACTGGCTACAAGTCATTTTAGGTTGGTGTTTTCTTCCGAATGTAACCACTGACATCTTTGGCTCCCCTTGCAGCCCTCATACACGGGATGAACGGGGCAAGTCATCTTGGTGCGTTGGTTTTCGCCCTGTTCTCATGGGCCGATGATGACAACAGGCCGAAGAAACAGGACAGAATATGTGGGGAGACGCAGAAGGGTGCATTGTCTCAGAGCCAACCATGCAACTTTTAACGGTCTCAACGGTCACGCTCTGGGCAAAAAAATGGGAACACACAAACGACTTACAGCTATCTTGAGTCGATGTTTCTCGGCCAAATCAAGCCCAAATTCGACAAAATAAAAGGCAATAAAGTCTTTGAGTGTTGCTCTCTTCACTTATCTATTATTGCTCATTTATCTTGTTTGGTGGTCCGTAGACGGCTTGTCGAAGTGTAGTGCCTCGGTGAACGCGACTTGCAGGCGGATCCACCAAAAGTCGGTTTGTGTGTACCGGTTTTTTTGGCCAGAGCGTGACGGTGCATGGAGAGAGGGCCAGTTGCAGCCAAGTCATTCAGCCGCTGCGCTTCGTCCCCCCAGGGTCGCATCGAACACGCCATGACGTCATTAACCGTCGGGTCTGGCCGCCGGTGGGCTTCGCTTGGCTCCCACCACGTGCGGGCCCACCCCTAACCGTCGTCACCCTTAGCGCGGGTCTGGACATGACGCACGCGTGGAGGCATGCGATGTGGAAACTTGAAGTAAGCAACAGAATACCGGACGAAGAGGACCTTGAGCCATAATCATAATCGTATACCTGGGTATCATTACCACTCATGTCGCCGTGATCATGAAAACGCCAACTTCCCCCCTTCTCTCCCCTTTTCTAACCCAACCCGTCCCGTCTAGCTCGTTTCGTCGATTCCGCTTAGCGGACTGCTAACCTCCGTTGGATGTTGACAAAGTTCGCAAAATTCATCTTCTCGGTGCCCCGACTGTCGACATGCTCGCCGCTAACGATGGTGTGCACGCGCATCCGCTCGTCGTACCGTAGGCCCGATAGTAGCTTGGGCGTGATGAGGAAATACTGGCTCGTGTGCTCGCGACAGGCAACCTCGACCATGCGCTCGTGTACCATGCGCTCGTTGCGCGGGTCCATGCCCTGGTTGATTTCGTCCACAACGCGGAACGGCGCCTGGGCCATCGATTGCAATGCCATGAGGTAGAAGATTGTCGAAACAGCCCGCTCGCCGCCCGACTGGCGGTGCTGATCCAGGCGTTGGAGAGTTTCGTTCTCACTGTGCCCGACTCTGTTAGTTTCCTTGCAAGTCAGTTTTGTGAGCATCAAACCACATACCGGAACTTGACCCTGATCTCGATGGCCCACTTCTCAAAGTCCTCATCCTTGTGTACGCCCACCTCACCGGCGCAGCTGATCTGCTCAAAGTTGTAACTGAAGGCATCGTTGATCTGGCTGACGAGCTGATCCAGCCTGGGCTCCCACTGGCTCTTGACGTGGCGGATGCGTTCGTCGAGCTCTGCCATCTTGATCTCGTGGTTCGCCTGGTTGACCCGTTCTCTCTCAATCCTGGCCGCGTATCGTTCATACTCCTCCAGCGCCGCGGGATTGCTGGCCTGAATTACCTCGAGCTTCGTCTGTTCCACTTGAATGGCCTGGTCAATGTCTTCGACCGTTTTGCCCATCGCCTTGTCCCGCAACTCGTCTTTATTCTCCTCCGTCAGAATGCTAACAGCTTCCTCTTTGGCCTCGGCAGCAATGTTGCGTTGCTGGTTCAGTTCGTCGATGATCTGCTTGAGTGACCTCTTGCTTTCCTCTAGTTGCTGGGTGATTTCCGAGTTCTTAGCCTTGAGAACACCCAGTTCTGACTCTGCTTCCATGAGAACGATCTGTGCTTCTAACAGTGCCTCACGCGCCTTCCGAATGCCCATTATTTGCCTGTGGTGCTGAAGAACGGCCTTGGCTTTGTCGAGAGCGATTTGGTCCTGGAGCTTTTCGAGCTCGAGCCTGCGGCCTTTGCATTCTGTGAGCTCTTCTTCGGTGCGTCTGAGCGCCGTTCTTTCAGACTCTGTATCGATGTTAACGAGAGGTACATACACAACTAAATCAGGACGGGCAACCATACCTATCTTGTCCGGCAGCGTCTGCCACCTTGTGTACTCGCGCTGTAGCTCGCTTTTCGCGGACCGTAATTCCGTCTACATCTTACGTCAGTGGAATTCAACCCAAGTGGATGAACCACATGCGAGTAACGTACAATCTTGTCCGAGATCTGCCGCGTCTCCACCTCCGCTTTTTTATACTTCTCATTCATGGCATCGTAATGCTCCTTCATAACGGCACGTTGTGATGTGAGTTCGTCGATTTTCTGCCGGAGCTCGGTTTTCTCGGTCGCATCCACCGGCTGATCAGCCCAGAAGCGGCCCTTGGCGAATTGGGTGACTCGCGTGGAGACGGCACCTGGACCATACTCTCTCCTGCGTGTGATACGATACAGCTGCCTCCCCGCAGCAAACTGTATGAGTTTCTCGGCCCGCTGGATTTGGTCGAACTGCTCGTCGGTAATGTCTCGAATGGACACGGCTGATGCGTGCATCTTCCTTTCGGAGCAAAGCATAGCGAGCACCGGCTCCGGCCCATCGAGATAGTCGCTGACATAGCCGTCGAAGCCCAGACTAGACAACTCCTCCTTGACCAAAGGCGGCTTGAACGTGCTGTATTGTGTGAAACAAGAGCGGATCGTTACAGAAAGCCCCATCTCGCCGTAGAATTGGTTGCTGAGCTTTTTGTGGTCCTCTTTCGTCTGCGCCGTGAAGCACAGGAAGTCGTCTGCTTGGAGGATGGACTGAACAAGGTCGGTGTACCGCTTGTCCCTGACAGAACACGTGAGCATGGGAGGGCCGAAGACCTCCTTCTCAAAGCTCTGTTGGTTGTCCTTCAACCACTCCCAACCCTTGGCAACATCGTTATTAATCCTCCTCAATTGAGTGAGTAGCTGGCCTTGCTGCGAATCCAGTTCCTGCTCACTGGTTTGCAGCCTTGACAACTGTTCTCGAATTTCGCCTGCCTTGTGCCGTATTCGTTGGATTTCTTCTCCTGTCTCGATCCTTGCTGCCTCCTTTTCACGCCCTTGATGCTCTTGTTCTCTCTGTGCTCGCAGGGTTAGTATGATATCCGGTGGGCATGGACGGGAAAAGAAGAACTTACGATTTTTCTGTTCCAGTCGGCAGCATCGAACTCTGGGGGTGCCTGGCGATGGCTGGCTTCTAAATCGGTGATTTTTTTCCGGAGACGGCCGAGCTCCTGTTTTTTGGCCACAAAATTCGAATGCTCGGCCTCCTTCCGCCCAGCCAGCTCTTGACACCTGGCCTGGACGGCTTCGACTTGGCCAATCGCCGTATTGGCGGCAGCATCGGCTGTCTGGAGTCGGCGTTGCCTGTCGGCCACGACCAGCTTAACCTTGGCCTGGTATTCCTGCTTGCTGTTGACGGCTTCAAGCGCAGGGGCGACGCTGTCGTAGAGTCGCTTGAGGGAACGCTCGGCGTCGACTTTTCGCACCTTTGCCTCCTTGAACCTGTTTCGGGCGTCATAATACTTGACCACCACCCGCAGCTTGTTGTAATCTTCAATCGCCTCCTGGATTGCCTTTCTTTCCCGCAGCTTTTCGACATCGGCCTGGAGGACCTGCTGGCGGGCCTCCATCTTGCGGAGCTCCTCACGGATCTTTTCGCCGTTGTGCTCGGTATCCTTCTGCAACTTGAAATGATCCTTGAGCTGGGCTCGCCAACTTAGCATCTCCTCTGGCGCGGCCGCATGGAGGGTCTTCTCGAGTAACTCAATCGGTGTGAGGGCAGCGAATTCGGCAACCTTGTCTTGAGGCAAAAACTGGCACAGATTGTCGATCTGTATCTTGAGTGACCGCATGAGCTTCTGGATCTCCTTGTGCGACGCCCTCTGCCCATTAATTGTAAATTTCCTGCTGTTGTCTTCTCGTCGAATGGAGAGCCCAACGATGGGATTTTCCGAGTGTTCTGGTAGCTTCTGCAACTCGACCTCAATCCCGGCTTCGTCCTTGCCGTGCTTGACGAACTCCCCAAAAGCGCTCGCTCGACCCAGGACGCTCGAGGAGTAACCCAATCCCAAACAGATAGCGCAAACGAGCGAGCTTTTCCCCGTGCCGTTAGGCCCGATGACCATATTTAGGTTAGGGCCGAGGAAGAACTCGGCCTCCTCGTATGTTACAAAGTTCTCAACCTTGACACGGACGATAGCGCCTGGTTGAAACCCAGAAATTGCCGGACCATTTCGTGGCCGTGATACCGCCGTGCGCCGGGGGGGAGGTGCGACATCGTCCTCCGCTGAGGATGCCTCGTCCTCGTCTTGGTCATATCCAAGCGAACTATCACCGCCTCTTAGTCGAAGGGAGCTGAAAGGGTCAGCCCCATGAATGATGCTGGCAGGCCGGTTGGCGGGGTGTCGCGAAGAGGGGGGGACAGGGAGGGGCTCGTCCTCGAGCGACCCGCTGTCGGGGGTGCGGTCGGGCATCGCGCTCGTCGCTGGAGATCGGATCTCGGATTTGAGCGTCGGTTCCAGACCCCAATTTAGTCATCGGAGAATCTTGGTGGTGGCAGGTGGTGGACAAACCGGCCGGAATTGGCGGGGGTTGGCGGACGATTGGCGCGAGGAAGGACCGTTGATTAGAAAACGCGACGCGTCTTTCACCAAGTCTCAGTAACGTACTTTACCATTCCGAGTAAAATGCAGCCGGTAATAACGTATTCGTACCTTACTGTATTGGGTCTTGACAGGCCCACGCGAAGGTGACAACCCTTTCTACATGAAAGAGTTAAGATTCACATTCTGAACGAGAAGAGCTTTTTTCCCATCATTTTTGTTTTCTAGGTAGCCCGTAAGCTCAGACCATTACGTGACCGTTGATGGCCGGTTTTTCCGGCTCTGCACTTGTCGGGACTCACAGTATCACTCGCGAGTAGGTACTTGAGGTAATTGGTACCGTGCCATTACGCGAGATGCTGCTTTGGGATGCGCCCCACCAACCCCATCAACGTTCTCCCTTTCCAACCATGTTCAGTCATGCTCTCTTTACTATGGAATATTTTGGGCATGCGTGCCATGGTGTTCTCCCTGGTATGTAGCACCATGCCAGACAACTTGATCTTTCCGCCATTCCATACCAGAATATGGAACGTGCTGCCCAACCGTGCGCCTCCAGGTGGTCTGGCACATCGGCACCTGGGTGGTCCGGCACGAGGAGTAACCTAGTTCATGACGCGCGAACGAAGGATGCCTACGTAGATCTATGTGGTTGTCTTTTTCCCTAGCGAGGTACTGAATAGTTATACTCGATGATGTTTCTGCGATCTCTCCGCTCCCGGTTTAGCCACGAAGTGACGTGATAGTTCTGCGCAAATTACTCGGGGCCGGTGATCGGGGAAATGCTAGCACCTACCGATAGGATAAAGTCGCAGATGCTCGTCCATTCTGGGGGGATTCGGTATTTGCGCCATGCATGCGATCAAAACGAGACGAGATGCTCTACAGTGGACCGTCTGCTCAGCGAGTCCTGCCATCCTCCCCGAGCGGCCGAGACACGACATTCCTGTGTTGGCACTGTTGGCCCCTCCTTCCCAAATATTTACTTCTACTCCCCGAGTGCCTTGCGCCGAGGGACCCCGCCACCCGAACTTGAAGAAAAACATTTCTGCCCTCTTAGGTTCCAGTTACTGTCGCCAGCCTTCGTCGGTCCTGCACACACCAACAAGCGTGTTGTTGTTGGTCACGTTCGCTCTCTTCCTTCCTGCATTTTAACTCCAACCCAATCTCTCATTTACTTGCTTCCTATTACAACCTACTGTAGTGCACACCGGGGATCTTCCCACCACGCTCGTGGGTGTCGCTCTTTTAAGTTCTCATCACTCAGCTCTGGCCAGATTATCTTGCGTGCACGCCTCAACACTAATAATATCGACCTTGCCCGCATCAGTTCCACTCACGTCAGGGCTCAGTTGCTTTCTTAGCCGTCTTCGCGGTTGAGATGCATTGAGTCGTCGCTCGTTGGTCTGACCGTCATGGATCACCATAGCACCTCCCGGCATCCGCCCGCCCGCCAGCCGCTAGGCGACGCAACCCAAAGACTCAACCATGCCACTGTCGCCCACATCAACCGCCGTCACCAGGCCGCCGATGTTGAAAACCACATCTTGGCCAAGTCCAAGAACGCCAATCGTGGCCGCTCGAACCCCGTTGTTACCGTCAACTATGCTCCCGTTGAGCAACGTACTCACCGCATTCCAGCGCCGGCGGTGCAAGTTGAACCTGGCCCAGCAAACTCCCGCCTTAATGTCGTTACGCAGGACCTCCAGGATGCTTCTTCTGATGCCCGGCGCGTTTCCCAGTTTTCTAACGTTTCTTCGACCGCGTCTACCACGCGCCAACTCAAAACCCACATCGGCCCATGGCAGCTCGGCAAGACGCTGGGCAAGGGATCATCAGCACGGGTCCGCCTAGCCCGTCATCGCGTTTCTCATCAGCTGGTGGCAATCAAGATTGTAGCCAAGAGCACCGCCCATATGACCCAAGCGGGCAGTTTAGCCAACCTGGACCATATCGACTACAGGAAGCCCGCCATCGGTGCTGACGGTGGTCTCCGCCGGATGCCGCTGGCCATTGAGAGGGAAGTGGCCATTCTCAAGCTCATTCGTCACCCCAATATCATCGAGCTCCTTGACATCTGGGAAAATCGCTCGGAAATGTAAGTCTCGAATCCATAACGCCCCATCCTGTACTTCACTGACATCTCCCCAGCTATCTGGTCACTGAGTACGTCGAGAAGGGGGACCTCTTTGAGTTTATCAACTGGAATGGGCCGCTCCAGGAAGAGGAAGCCATCTTCTACTTCCGCCAAATAATGACGGCTCTCGAGTACTGCCACACGTTCAACATATGCCATCGCGACCTTAAGCCCGAGAACATCCTGCTGAAGGCGAATGGCCAGATCAAAATTGCCGACTTCGGCATGGCAGCCCTGCAGCAGGACCCCAGCCACCAGCTCCGAACTGCCTGTGGAAGCCCTCACTACGCCGCACCTGAACTGCTCCGTCACCAATTCTACAAGGGTTCGGCTGTGGATATCTGGAGCATGGGCGTAATCCTATTCGCGATGTTGGCTGGGCGCCTCCCATTCGACGACGATGACATGGCCGTCATGTTGACGAAGGCTAAACGTGCAGACTACAAAATGCCGCTGCACCTGACGCGGGAGGCGAAGGACCTCATCCGGAGGATCCTAGTGGACCAACCCGCGCACCGCATTACGATGAAGCAAATGTGGCGACACGCACTCATCAAAAAGTACGACTATCTTGACCAATACCAGAAATGGGATGGGCAGTCTCAAAATGCCCTGCGCAGCATGGGTACCGCGCCAACTCCGGAAGAAATCGATATTCAGATCTTGCGCCAGCTGAAATCTCTCTGGCACACGTACTCGGAATCCGCTCTCCAAGAGAAGCTTCGTCAAGAAAAGTAAGTTGCGTTACAATACGCGCCGTCCGAGGTTCGATACTAATTTGGATGCTAGGCCAAATGATCAGAAGCTTTTCTACTGGCTGCTTTACAATCATCGGGAGGCTCAGCTAGAGAATTACAACAACAACGTGCCGATCTCAAAGAGCGATTTCCATCACCTCAAGCCACCCAACTGGGGCAAGCGCATCTCGACTTGTCAGTTCATGAAGCCTGGCCGCAATGGGCATACCCGGACCGTGTCCCGGTTCACGGTGATCTCCAACGTTGCGGACGTTGATGATGTCGGCACCGTCCGGAGCTACGACCCCTACAATGCATCCCGTGTCTTGCAGCCATGCGGCTCGCAGGTGAGCCACGCCAAGATCATCATTCACCGGAACACCCCGGTTCCGGGCGTTGGACCATCTCCGACCAGCGTTTCTCATTCGTACCGTTCATACCGGTCGGTCAATGGCTCCTTCCGTCAGCGGGCGGGAACTAGCTCACGGCGTACGAGCACCACCGGCCAGCTGAGATCGCCTCAAACCTCAGTCAGCTCCATCCGCAGTCAACAAAGCAACCCTCGCGTCCGTGCGAACAACCGATCCAAGCGCTCCGTCGACTTTTCGAGCGTCCGCAATAAGGGTAACCACCATCGCCGGAACCGCCATGCGTCACTGGCAGCTCCAGCTAGCACTGCTGGCGATAACACCACATACGACCGTGACACACTCTCGCCTTCCAGCCAGACCATTGACTTGGATGCTCATCAAGTCGTAACTGCTCGGTCGATGATGGATATCGGTGACACAACGGACGATACCTTCATCTGGACCGAGGAGTTGGAGCAGCTCGGGCACCGTATCGCTCGTGATTGTGACGAGGCTTTCCGGAGCTCCCTTATCACGTCGGAGTCTGGCGAAGTCGGGGCTGATTCTCGCGAAGCAAGCCCGTTCATGCTCTCCCTGGGGACACTGCCGGTGGTACAGGAACGTCCGGCTTCCGCGTCGGGTGGCCGCCCCTGGGACAACAGACCCCTGCCACCTGTCCCGTCTCAGACCACCATCTCGCCTCTATCGATCCGCAAGTGCAGTCTGACTACTGAATCTTCCTCTTTGCCGGCGAAACCGCACGGATCCCACTCAAGGTTGGAGGTCCCGGCCCCTGAACGCCGGGTTGTTTCCGAGCCTGTGTATGATCGACGGGGTAAGGATACGAGGCCATTGCCCTCTATTTACGAGAACACGTCGGACGACCGGATGAGACGCAATGACGGTAGGCATGACGTCGTTTCGAGCTCTCTGGAGACGCCTACCCATGTTAAGAACAAAGGGCTGGACTTTTTGGGGAGAGCCGAAAATACCATACGTGTGGTCAATTCGCCGTCGGCAATAGGGGCTGACTGCCCGGTCAAGATCCCCGAACCTCTCAATGTTCGCAAAGTGTCTCGAAACACCGGCGCTACTAAGCCGGCAGTGGCCCACCCCCCTCAGGACGCGCAGAGACGCGCATCGTGTGGCTCGCAACAGAAGATCCAGTTGACGGATGGAAATGGCATCGACGCCGGCCCGCCCAAGAAAAGAATCTCATCCTGGTTCAAACGTAACTCGAATGAGAATGCTAGCGGATCGAGCTTTGCAACTGTGACCGACAGCAGCGTCCAGTCTAAGGACACTCTCGTAGACTCGCAAGCCAGTCAGCCTAGCCGCCCGATATCGCAAACCACAGAAGATACCTCGCTCCGGCATGTGCAGAAAAAGAAGTCGTTCGGCTTCGCTTTTTGGAAGGGCGCCAAGGATGAGGCAAAGATGTCGCTTGCGGGTAAGCTGGGCTTTTGCGAGGGACTCGGAGTGATTCATTTGCTGATTTAAACATTAGATTCCGATCCCGATGATAATCGCAACCGCACTGAGAAGATAACCAAGAAGCGGACGAGTAGAGAAGCCAGGATCATGAGTGGCACATCGCACAGCGCCTGGTCCGAAAGTGACGGGGGCACCCGCAAGATTGAAGTGCAGCAGAACTGGCTAGCGCGTCTTTTCCGCGTCAAGCCTGCGATGCGACATCTCTGCTTCAACATCCTCAAACGGCGTGCTCGGCAGGAGGTGGCCATCCTGCTTCGTGAGTGGCGTAAATACGGGGTCAGGGATGTCGAGGTCGACAAGGAGCGCAACATCATTTTTGCCCGCGTGGGCGCGAAAAACTGTAGGTTTCCCTCGCCACCACCGAAGGTTTGCATACTTGACTGACCGCGCCTAGACCTGAAATTGAAGGAGGTGTCGTTTGCTGTCGAGTTGATGACGGTCATTGAGCACGGCAAGCGCAATCAGCTCAGCATCGCCCGCTTTACGCAGGAGAAGGGCGCGGCAAGCAGCTTCCACCGGGTCGTGGACGCCATTAACTCGGCTTTCGGCGCTCGCACCCTGCTCGTCACTGATAAGCGGAAGATCAATATGATGATCAAGACGCTCAATTCTTGAGGGCGACAACCAACCACCCTCGATGTTTTTGTTCTGTATGGGTCCATTGCGACTTGGTTCGGACCCCGGAGCGACCCGGGGACACGAACAGTTTTCTATATAGTTTTTATTGTTTAACTCGGCTCGGTTCTAAGTCGAGAGGCGACATCATCTGGTTGGCTCCTCGTTGACGGCCTTGGTTACCGACTCTGACGTTGGCTTGTCTCGGAAGAAGCCGTACATGGATCGGTTTAACTGGGAGGTCAAGTGGGGTACAGCATGGGAGCGGGGAGGTGCGAAATTATTGGTGTGCGGATTCGGTAATGGTGTTGAGTTAGCATGGTGTTGACCTACTCGTATCTGAAAAGGGGCAGGGGAGCAGCAATCCAGGGGTCATTTTCAGGGGTTGTAAATATTTATTGGGCGAGTTGCTGTCGCCGACGCAGGCAGCGGGGCGTTGTACTAAGTATAATTGATAGTTAAAATGGAATTGCATTGCAATCAGGCCGGCGTCCGTTTTCTTGCAAGCCGGCCTGGCTTCTTGTTAGTTACCTACCTATATACTCTCGGCCGTGTTTTGTTCCTGCTCCCATTTTCAGGGGCTCGCCGTTGCTATGGGAAACTCATGTTGGATGTGACAGGGGTTCGACTTCTGTTTCCGAAGCACGTTGCCGATTCGCGATCGGGATCTTCCGGACCGGAGAACCGGATCAGCCAAGTTTGTTGGGGAGACCAGGATCCGGACACCGAGAGCAGTTTGGTCGCCATTGAGGGAAAAAAAAAATTAAGGAAAGCGTGCAATTTTTGCGCATCGTCGTTAACTTATCCCATATCACGGTCCGTTGGGAATATTTCGTATCATATTACTGAATTTCCCGCATCACGGGCGCATCGCTGCGGTTTTTAAAGCTCTGATCACCTTCCGCACTCGGTTACAGGCCGACTTTTTAGCTTTGACGGAGGAGTCAGGAGACTTCCAGCATGCTTCGATCGGTTCGCGTGTCCGGGCCCGCAATGGGTGGCAGCCTTGGTGTGCCGAGGACAGCCATCAGACCCCTCAGCACATGTCTGAAAGCGTCATCCCGAGCGTCGTCCTATGCCCCGGTTTCGTCATTTGCAGCCCGTCCGGTAACAACCTCCACAATTCAGCACCAAAGATACTTTCACGGTAGTGCGACAAGGATGGCGGCCCAAACGAGAACCGAGAGTGATGCCTTTGGCGAGGTCCAGGTGCAGGCCGACAAGTACTGGGGAGCACAGACGGAGCGTTCCCTCGAGAACTTCCGCATCAACCAGCCCCAGGACCGGATGCCGCCGCCCATCGTCAAGGCGTTTGGCATCCTGAAGGGCGCTGCGGCGACGGTCAATATGCGCTATGGTCTTGGTATGCGCCCCGCCTATCGTCCGGTATATCAATTCGTTGTCTACGGGTGCTAACCGGGCCACTTTCCTATCTTTAGACCCCGCCATTGGCAAGGCCATCCAGCAGGCCGCGAAGGAGGTCGCGGACCTCAAGCTGCTCGACCACTTCCCCCTCGTCGTCTGGCAGACGGGCTCCGGCACGCAGTCCAACATGAACGCCAACGAGGTCATCAGCAACCGGGCGATTGAGATCCTCGGTGGGACAATGGGTTCTAAAAAGCCGGTGCACCCCAACGACCACGTCAACCGCTCCGCCTCGTCCAACGACACCTTCCCGACCGTCATGCACATCGCGGCCGTCCTGGAGATCGAGGGCGAGCTGATCCCGGCGCTACGCAGCCTGCGGGCGGCGCTGCAGGCTAAGGTGGACGATTTCGAGGCCAAGAAGATCATCAAGATCGGGCGCACTCATCTGCAGGACGCCACCCCCCTGACGCTGGCCCAGGAGTTCAGCGGCTACGTCGCGCAGCTCGACTTCGGCATCAAGCGCGTCGAGAGCTCGCTGCCGGACCTGCGTCTCCTGGCGCAAGGCGGCACGGCGGTTGGGACGGGCATCAACACGTTTGAGGGCTTCGCCGAGGGGATCGCGGAGGAGGTCAGCAAGATGACGGGGACCGAGTTCAAGACGGCGCCCAACAAGTTCGAGGCGCTGGCGGCGCACGACGCCATCGTGCAGGCGCACGGAAGCCTCAACACGCTCGCGGCGTCGCTCAGCAAGATCGCGCAGGACATCCGCTACCTGGGCAGCGGCCCGCGGTGCGGCCTCGGCGAGCTGGTGCTGCCCGAGAACGAGCCCGGCAGCTCCATCATGCCCGGCAAGGTCAACCCGACTCAGTGCGAGGCACTCACCATGGTGTGCGCGCAGGTCATGGGCAACCACGTGGCCTGCACCATCGGCGGGATGAACGGCCAGTTCGAGCTCAACGTCTACAAGCCGCTGGTGATCCGCAACCTGCTGCACAGCGTCCGGCTGCTGTCGGACGGCATGCGCAGCTTCGAGCGCAACCTGGTGGCTGGGCTCCAGGCGAACGAGGAGAAGATTTCCAGCATCATGAAGGAGTCGTAAGTTTTGGTCCCTGCTGGATTTTCTCTCCTTGCTACCTAGGCTGACACATTGGTTTACTTTTGCCAGGCTCATGCTGGTTACGTGCCTCAACCCCAAGATCGGCTACGACATGGCCAGCAAGGTGGCCAAGAACGCGCACAAGAAGGGCCTGACGCTCAAGGAGAGCGCCATGGAGCTGAAGGCGCTGACAGAGGAGGAGTTTGACACCCTCGTCAAGCCTGAGCTCATGGTCGGCCCCAAGCCGTACAAGGGCTAGATTGGGAGTCCCATGTTATTTTCCAACCAGGACGGTGGGAGCGCTGGCAGAAGCCATTTTTGGTTCTGACCAAAAAGTTCCAAGATGGTGGATTGCTACAAGCGGCGCGCCGCCATCTTCTAACAAGTAGCAACACCCCTCACGGCTTCACTCATGAACCTCACGACCATGTACGATCAACACCACACCGAGGCACAACCAGGTCGCGGTTTGTTCACGAAGCCGTGGCCTAGTGGTTACGGGCTCGCACCAACGGATGTCGTTCATGGACGAAGACAGGAGGAAGAGGAGTCACAGACGTAATAATATGCAAAAAAATCTGGAAACTGTAACCCCATCCATCAATCATGATCCGTTCCCTGCGACATCGCTCGTGATCCGACCCGGCACAGGAGGAGCTCGTCGGGAACTGTCGGCACACTCCAGGCCGGCAATGACTCCCCACTGCCCGTTGCTCGGCTTTGCTTCAGCTGCAAAGACCTCGGCTCTGCCGCGGCAGATCGGAGCTTGGGACTGTGGGGCCCAAGCTCCGGTCCTTGGCGTTAGCATGGTGATCCGTTCTCGTCCCGGGCGAGTGGAGCCAGAGCAATGGTGCATGGCAAAGGCGCGGGTGAGCGGGGCAGGCGATGACGCTCTCTTATCGCAGCTGCCGGGGTCGTTTTTTTGATTGTTTGCTTATCTCTCCATTTCGTCGTGTCGGCCATTGCCTTTCAGTTCGGAGGCGCGAGTGTGCATGTGTACTCGGCAAGTAAATGAATGGCATTGGATACCTAAATGAGACTTGCGGGTGCAAACGGTTACGGCAATAACAAGAGCATCCGGGGTAACGGCGGGGCTCAGTCCCAAGCTGATGACCTCACCGCCCACTGTGCTATTATGGGATTGTACTGTGTGCTCTCTTCTGCACTTACACAGTATGTCACATGCAATTGGAAAGGCGAGCCTGGAACAATGGCGCCCCCTTCCCCAGGCCCGAGCGACCTCCCGAACGGGAAGAGATAGCAGCGAACGTGGAGCAGGGGTTGCACCAACGGTTACTATGTATGTTATATACATTCAGCGAGAGTCCTGATCTTTTTCGTCATTCCTTGTGATCCTCCTCCTTCCTCGCCGCATCCGGCACAGTGTTTCTAGTGTCTCCCATCTGAACTCTCCCAATACTCAACAGAAGAAAACAGCAAGAAAGCAGCAAGAAAGTGAGGATTGGATCGAGATATCACCTCATCCATCATATCGGTGAGTCAAGTCCAGAGAGAGCTATGTGTTGGGTACCTTTACCAGTCACAAGTTCATCTAACCCATTCCTCGCTGTCTTATCAATTCCATCTATCCGCAGCCCGTTTGACATTTCCCCCAGCCCTTTCTTTCCCGTTGTTTGTTTCTCGCAGTTTATCCAACACCAAAAGTAATGGAAACTTACTCGTCGTATGTCTAGCATAACCCGAAGTAATTCCCCAACACAGTAATCATGCCCAGCAACGAGACCATCCTCCAGGGCGTCAGCGTCCTCGGCCAGGTCCAGGAGTCGCACCGCAAGATCCTGACCCCTCCCGCCCTAGCCTTCCTCGCCCTGTTGCACCGCTCTTTCAATCCCACCCGCAAGGCCCTCCTCGAGCGCCGCAAGATTCGCCAGGCCGAGCTCGACAAGGGCTCGCTCCTAGACTTCCTGCCAGAGACCAAGCACATCCGCGAGGACCCGACATGGAAGGGCGCCCCGCCCGCCCCCGGTCTTGTTGACCGCCGCGTTGAGATCACGGGGCCAACAGACCGCAAGATGGTGGTCAATGCGTTGAACGCCAACGTTTGGACCTACATGGCTGATTTGGAGGGTACGTAGCTCGTGCCTCGGCTCGGCTCGGCTCGGGCTGGCTGTCTGAGATGTGTGAGAGAGCAACTTCAGCTAATCCGCTCCCCAGACTCGAGTGCCCCGACATGGGACAACATGATCAATGGCCAGGTGAACCTGTACGATGCCGTGCGCCGTCAGGTCGACTTCAAGCAAGGGGCAAAGGAGTACAAGCTCCGGACAGACAAGCCGCTTCCCACCCTCATCGTGCGGCCCCGCGGCTGGCACCTCGAGGAGAAGCATGTCACAGTCGACGGTGAGCCCATGAGCGGCTCCCTCTTCGACTTTGGCCTGTACTTCTTCCACAACGCCACCGAGGCCGTCAAGCGTGGCTTCGGGCCCTACTTTTACCTTCCCAAGATGGAGTCCCACCTTGAGGCCCGCCTCTGGAACGACGCCTTCAACCTAGCCCAGGACTACATCGGCATGCGCCGTGGCACCATCCGCGGCACCGTGCTGATCGAGACCATCATGGCTGCCTTCGAGATGGACGAGATCATCTACGAGCTGCGCGACCACAGCTCTGGCCTCAACTGCGGCCGGTGGGACTACATCTTTAGCGTCATCAAGAAGTTCCGCCAGAACTCCAACTTTGTGCTGCCTGACCGCAGCTGCGTCACCATGACGGTCCCCTTCATGGATGCTTATGTGGGTATCCCTGAATCTCGGCTGATCGGGACGTAGCTAACATATTTCCCTTTTCCTCCTTTCAGGTCAAGCTGCTCATCCAGACTTGCCACAAGCGCGGCGTCCATGCCATGGGCGGTATGGCGGCGCAAATCCCCATCAAGGACGACCCGGCGGCCAACGAGAAGGCCATGGCAGGCGTCCGCGCCGACAAGTTGCGGGAGGTGCGCGCCGGTCACGACGGCACTTGGGTCGCGCACCCGGCCCTGGCCGCCATCGCAACCGACGTCTTTAACCAGCACATGCCCACGCCCAACCAGCTTTTTGTGCGCCGCGAGGACGTGACCATCGGTGCCAACGACCTCCTCAACATGAACGTCCCCGGCAAAATCACCGAGGAGGGCATCCGCAAGAACCTCAACATCGGCCTGGGATACATGGAGGCCTGGGTCCGCGGTGTCGGATGTGTGCCCATCAACTACCTCATGTTTGTTTCCCCTACCTCATCCTCCTCACCAACTCATCTCGCTAACACGAACGACTTTCCCAGGGAGGACGCCGCTACCGCCGAGGTCTCGCGCAGTCAGCTCTGGCAATGGGTACGCCACGGCGTGACCACGGCCGAGGGCAAGCGCGTCGACAAGGGCTACGCCCTCAAGCTGCTGAAGGAGCAGGCCCAGGAGCTTGCCTCCAAGGCCCCCAAGGGGAACAAGTACCACCTCGCCGCGCAGTATTTTGCGGGACAGGTCACAGGGGAGGACTATGCTGATTTCTTGACCTCGTGAGTGGCCACTGATTGTTTCAACGCCATGGGAGATCGGAACTAATGCCGTGTGATAGTTTGCTTTACAACGAGATCACCTCGCAGGAGAGCCCCAAGCCGGCTTCTAAGCTTTGAGTGCGGTTTGGAAACGGAGGCGGGAGGGCGGACGAGGATCGGATTGATTGCATTGTTCAACGTTGTACCAGCTCTTTGGTTGTATGGAGGTTGCTGTAACAGGTATCGGCTTTGTTTGTTTTTAAAGCAATGTGAGCGGACGTGACCGCCGGTCTGGGAAAAGTCCAGGTATCAAGTTCGTTATCAACCAACGGCCGCAGATTCGAAAATAGGAATGAATATGAGGCGTGTGTTTTTTCGGCTGCCAACTCACACCGAGACAAAGTGCAACGACATGCCGGTAAGTTGGTGAGACTGCTGCTGATCCCTTTCAGAGCGAGCTGTTGGCCATAATGGCACTCAAGCCCCTTGGCGCCGGCATCACCAGCCTCCCCCCATGAATACACAATTTTCATCATTTGTTTGTCTGCCAGCGCCTGACCTAAACATTACGGGGTGACTCAAGATCAGGTTAAGAGAGACAGGTCCGGTCGTACATTCCACGTTTCTCCTTTTATTTTAGTTCCCTAGTTGTGTCTCCCTTTCAGCAATACCGCTATCACGATCGCGAGTTCCATAACAAGCAAACCAGGTTTGAACGGTGAGATGGAAAATCAGTGGGTTACGGGGTTTTAAGTACTGGTAACCACACCAGGCGTGTTTAAGTGCTGCCCACCCACGCAGTCGTTTCCTAGTCGAGTGTACTTCGCGAGCCTAGACCATAACGGGTACAAAGTTTATTACATCCACCTCAAACTCGACTATGCCTATGGACAGCTATCACGCCTTTCAAGTCCGCACCCCAGAAGGCGGCGTAGTACAAGACGGGGACGGGCATGGTACTGCCGTAGATGCAACGGACGAGCGCACTCCCAGCAGCTTCAACTTCTCGTTTACTTTCGTCGGGGTCATGATCCTAGTTCTCTATTTTACGGCCATGTTCTTCCTCGGCCTGCTCTGCTACTCACGTATAACAACCAACCCTTGTGCGCACCATTCCACTAAACAAGCATGCTGATGATGTACAGATCGAGCCCTTCGCCGCCCTAGACACGAACAACAGGACGGTTGTTGCAGCGTCCTCTGGAAGGCCATCAAGTTCGCCTTCTTCATCCGTTTTCTCGAGATATGCTGGGAGGTCTGCTGCTCGAACGGGAGAGGGAGCGGTCGCTCGGTTGCAGCAGCAGCAGCAGCAGCAGCAGGCAGTGGTAGCAGCCGGCGGGCCAGGAACCCTGCCGATGAAGAGTGGTATTATGGGGGCTCGCCCTACCCTTCCCCATATTACAACCTTTGGTACAACTCTCCAGAGGAGGCGGCGCAGCCCGTACCTCTGAGGACCATGCAGGGGCCGACTCGACGTAACACGCCACAGGGGTCTCCCGAAGACGGGGACATGTCGGCGCCGGCTAGGACGTGGTCGGGGTCGACGCTGGACCAGTCAGACGCGGCGGTGCCGGCGCATCCGCCGCGCGCACGTCTTCCGCGCACCGTGTCGGAAGCTTCGACTCTCCGGGACGCATGAGGTTGTGGGATTCGGACATGGCCTCACTGAGGAGTGTGCCTTTGAGGAGGCGAGAGATGTGCTCGCACGAGATGCGAACTTGGTGTTTGATACAAAACTGAACATCCAACATTGGCTCTCGTCTTTGTGTCCTTGTGTGGAAGGAGCCCAGTCCTGTTCCCTTGCCATGTAGCCCATGAGCCTCATGTGTGTCTCGTTAACTCTCAGAAAGCCCCGAGTGGGTACGCCGCGGGTATGTTACCCGCGTCCGGCATAATGGACGGCACGCCCTCGTATTCCCTAGGCTCCACGGTTCCGTTGGCAAACGGCGGCATCCTCCTCACCGGGACGAGCTCACTGATGTGGCTTGCAATGTTAAGCAACATGCCCTCGCTCCACGGCCGGCCGAGGATCTCCATGCCGATCGGAACACCGAGCGGAGCATCGTCTGAGGGGGCTGAGAAACCCGCAGGTACACAGACGACAGGGTGTCCTGTCAGGGCGGCCAAAATCCCGTTCCGCCCGCTCTGGGAGGGCGAGCCGATCTTGACGACAAGGTTCTTCTGCTCGGGGTAGATGATGGCGTCTAGGTTGTTTGTTGCGAATGTGCTTTCGAGGGCGCGCGTCAATTCATGGATGCGGCCTTGTGTTTCGAGGTAGGCAGCGTCGCGGGCTGATGAATGCCATGCTTTCTTGATGAAGTGGTGCTGAGCTGGAATGACTAGAAAGTTGGTGCTGCCAGTGGTGTATAACTCGTCGAAGCTCGTTGGGTGCTGGACTTCGGGGCTTTGAGAGGTGTGGTTGGCAGTTGCGAGCGCGAGGTAAGCGTCAAGTAAGTCCTTGAACTCAAAAGCCTGCACGTCTAATTTGGCAATAGCGAGCGTGTCATAGAGGGGCTCCGTGATGTTGATGACTTCGGCTCCAGTTGCGGTGAGCTTGGCCACCATGCTTGCCATGACATCGTTGACAGGCGTCGTCTCGGCCGAGGGGGTGTGGTTGAAGAAGCCGTGCAGCAAGCCAAAGCGCAATCCTTTTAGATCGCCACCGTACAGAGACGCCGAGTAATCTTGGTGTCGGACCTGGCTCGGCGTCAAGGCAGTGACATTGTCCCGATGATCCAAGCCGACACTGGCCATGACAGTCAATGCCACAGCGAGGTCGCTGGGGTTGCGCGCCATTGCTCCTACCGTGTCCTGCGTGGAGCTGACTGGTATGACACCCGTCCTCGAGATCAAGCCTCGTGTGGGGCGGAAGCTGAACAACGAGTTCGCACTCGCCGGGCTGCGGAGGGAGTTGACCGTGTCAGTCCCGGTTGCCAGGACAGCAAAGTTTGCGGCGACTGCAGCACCGCTCCCACCGCTGCTTCCTCCCGGAGTCCGAGTGAGATCATACGGGTTGACAGTCTGGCCGCCAAGCGAAGACACAGTCAGGCCTTCAAAAGCCATCTCATGCAGGTTGGTCTTGCCGAGTATGACGGCTCCCGCCTCCATCAGTGCCCTGACCGTTGGAGCGTCTGTCAGAGGTTTGTTGTGGGCCAAACCCTGACACCCGCCTGTGGTGCTCATCCCAACTGCATCGTAATTGTCCTTGAGCAGAACCGGGACACAGAACAGTGCGCCCGTGATATTGCCTGCTGCAAGTCTCTGGTCAAGATGGTCGGCAGTTGAGAGGGCAAGCGAGTTCAGTGATATGACCGCATTGATGCTGGGGTTGAACTCTTCTATGCGGGCAATGAAAGAGGAGACAATGTCTCGACATGTGGTGCTGTGTGTGAAGAGAGCGTCATGCACGCTGGCGATGGGGGCTTCTCGAATGTCAAAGACATGGTTGAATGCCCAGGTGGTCGGCAGCCAGAAGAGTGCCAGGGCACAGATCAGAATGTTGCCCTTGCAGCCGGCAGTGTGCTTGGACTGCATCTGCATCATTTTGTGAGAGAGAAAATATCCGGGCGGCCGGTGTACAGTGAATGAGTTCAAGGGTGAAGGACTGAAGACATGGTCGGAACAGCTGGTGGTTGGTTCTGTCAAAGGAAGAGAGAACTTCGTGTTATTCCCTATGAATCGCGGTCTTGGATCTTGGATACACCCTGGCGGTTTCAGGGAGTTGCGGAGTGAGAGGTACTCCGGGACAGTCTCTCTCCTTCCAGGCGGTGTGCCAGTGTGAGAGAGCCAAAGAAAGGCCGGGGCTAGATCGCGGAGGCCAAGAAGAAGGGCTGTGAAAATATTCAGTATATGCAAACAGTTCAGAACTCGGAAACTCGTTATGCTCGCTACAGGGATTCCTTGACGAGGTCTGCACGGGCCATATCGCACGGTTAATGGCATGCTGTTCATGCTATCGGGGTACTGTTGTGTGCTGGGTCTGCTGGGTGCTTGTGTTGTGTTTCCCCCTAGCTTTATGCAGCCAGACATGTTGGGCGAGCCTGATTGTTGGATGTGCCCGGACTTGCAGCCTAGCAAGTGAATCTAGACTCTCTCAACTCTGAGTCCCATAGGAGTGGTTGATTGGAAGAAGACAACCGAGGGGGTGTTGAAAGGATGGAAGGGGAAAGAAAAGAAAAAGAATCAAAACAAAGGGAAGAGGGAATTGGGAACTCACCCAAGGAAGTGACGAACACCTCCAACAAAAAAAGTAGGTTCCGTCCGAAGGGTACGCGAAAAGAAAATATGAAGGGAAAAAAAGATGAAAAAAGACGAAAGCCCGAGGGTGTTTCATGATGATGATGATAGCTGCACAAAATGTCAACCATAACTCCGAAGAACAGACTAGCCTTCAAGATCTCAATCATTACGTACCTCGCTTTCCCAGTCCGTCTTATCCGTTGGTCTTGTGGTTGGAATCAGCTCCCGCATCAGCCGGTCGAGAGAGGCCAACCCAGTCACATCTCCCGAGTTCCCATCATCCCCTCCATCTTCCAGAGGACCATCCCCGTTCTGAATTTGTTGTTTTTGTTGATTTTGTTCTTGTCTCACAGAGGAGTCCGATTGCGTCTCTGGAGATGTCGTGTCTCGGCCACCATCGCCTCCTGAACTGCGCGCTGACCTCAACCTCGACGCCATAGCATCCGGCGGCATCAATGCCCCCCGGCAGTAAGGAGGGACATCAAACACAATCTCCCTTGAAGACGACCCTAGATAACCCACGCTGTAGGAAGAATCAGTCCTCGACCAAGGCCCATCCCCAGCAGCAGTGTTATTTTCCACAACCCCACGATCCTGCACCCTCCTTTCACCACCACCCCTCCTAACACCAACTCTTCTAGATTCGCGATACCGCAAATCATCCGGCTCCCCGTAGCCACCACGACCCAAACTCGCTGCACTCTCCAACCGCGCCGGCGTGAAAACCCCGCCATTACCGTAATAACCCGCGCCGCCAAACCCCGACGAACCACCATCCCGCGCAAGACTCCGACTCGGAGACCGACGCGAGTAATCCGTACTACCACCGGCACCAGAACCAGCACCACCAGGGCGGTAACCCAACCGCTCACTGCCCATGCCCATGTTGCCAGCAGACGGTGACGCCAGCTGCCTCGAGACGCGGTTGAGGAGCGGCACCACCGTGTTCGTCCAGCGCGTGTTGGCCTGCTCTAGGTTACTGAGGCGGGCGGGCAGGCGGGCCATCTCGCGGTCGTGGGCCTGGCTGGTGGTGATGGTGCGTGGGGTGTGGTGGCGGTGGAGGAGGTCGATGTCGTTTTCTCTCGCTCGCCCTCTTTGTATTTCGGGTTTGTTTCCTGTTTGTTCTTCTCTGGTTTTGCTGTTGAGGTGGTGGTGTAGGAACGGGCGAGGGGCGGGACTTGCGGAAGGCGGGACAGCGTATTGGGTGGAGGGGTCGGAGTTGGCGGCGGTGGTGGTGAGGAACGGCGCGCTCGTGCCGGGTTCTTCGTTAGGAGGCTGGGATGGGTGCAATGAGGCGTGCGAGTGATTTGTGCTTCGAATATCTGGGAAGGCGTGGACGCGGCGGGGGTGTCTTTCGTTGTTAGGATTCATGATGTGTGTTGAGTGGTGCCGTCGGTGTCGGGCTTCGGGAGTCTTGTTGGTACCTGAGCGGAGAGGCGCCCGGTGGGGAGATGATGGTTTGATGTCGGCCACGGTCATAACAGGAGCGACGTGAAGAGCTCGACGGCCAAGTGATGAAGGTATAGGTGACTCCAGCGAAGTGATATTTGACAACGCATGGGGTTGAGAAGGCGTGTCTGTGTGAGGGGTGAGAAACGGCCGGTTGGGTTCAGGCATGCTCGATGTGCGGGATGAACTCCCGTTATATGGTGCCGAAAGGTTGAAGCCCTGTGAACTGTTCTCACTAATACTGGTCGTCTTCCGCGGGCCTTGACCACCGACCGAGATGCGCGATTCTGCGGGCTTTGGGGTGAAGTATCTGTCGGTCCCCGTCTCAAAAGGTTCGGGTGATGGAATGTGGACCGTTACCGCATCGGAAGATATAACTTCACTAGTGGTGCTGTAGAAGCTCTCGGACGAGGAACGCTTGCGAACAAATTGGCGGTTCATCGAGCATCTAGTATTTGGCAGCACCCCTTGTTCAGTGGAACGGCCCTGGCTGGGTCGTCGGCGTGGAGGTTGTCTCTGCTCCGACCACGGATTCGTTAAATAAGTCTCAGCAGAAGCCGACCGTTTGAGAGATGTCAGCTCACGGGAAGATGTAGCCACCATGTGAGTACCGGCTGAATTATCTGGGACCGTAGGATCCCGCGGTGGGACACCCGAGCCGTTGTTCGTGATGTAGGGCGTCTCGCCCCGACGCTGCCGCTCGGGATCCTCTGATCCATCTCCCGTGTTATTTCCCTCGTCAGGCTCACCGTGTGGCCTCGCCGGAGGAATGGTTGACTTGTGGACGGTGGGGTCTAGATGTGCATGCTCGATCGGGATGGATATTGCAATGTGACGATGACCCCCGGTGGTCGTACCCGCCACCGCCGAGTCCGGCAGCCTGAACCGGCCCCTTTGCGGCCTCGACTCTTTTTTGTGTTCGTGTCTCTTTAGGAATGGCCAGAGAGAAGACAGCTTGCCCTTCTTCTTGGACCCCTCGCTGGGAATGTCGGGCGGGGGTACGGATGATGATGCTGACGTTTTGCGGAACACACCCATGAACCCCTTCACCGGGCCCCTCTCGCTTGTCTTTTTTCTCCCGTCACTCAGACTGTCTGACCGGAGCGTGTCATTCGCGAGATTGGACGAGCTAGATAGGCCACGCAACGGCTTAGGGGTTGCGCGCTGCTGTGCCAGAGGCGTTGAATTGGCGGTGGTGGTCATTATCAAGCTGGATAGTTGTTCAAATATTCCAGCAGTCCTGAAGTAACTTTGGGTCACTAATGCCGCAATCGTCTGGGTAGATAGAGAACTGCGTGGTGAATTGAGGTGCGTTCAGGGTGAAAAAAAGAAGAACAGGATGGCGGAGACAAGGCCGTGGGGTTGGAACCCTGATATGGCAGGCCGGAGAACACAGACACGAAGCTCCTACATTTCCAAAGCGCTTCGTGGGAATGCTGCTAATTCAAAATTGCTAGTGTCTAAACTGTGTAAGTGATGAATCGAGAGGGGCGAGGTTGAGCCGAGACCTCTTCTCCTGAGTCGATGCTTCCAGAACAACATCCTCCCACCAAGCCGGTAGTCCGAAGAGACATGGAAGGGACGTGGAAGCGGGACGGGAATTCGGCGAGAGTTGAACGAGTGAGCAGGGACATGATGTCAGGAATTCGTCCCAGCTCGTCATCTCGGCGACGATGATGCTGGCTTCTTCTGCTTCCTCGCCCGTTTGGAATTGCGTGTCCATTTCACTTTCAACTGCCGTTTTTTTGCAAATCGGTCAAACGGTCGGGTGTCGTATAAAGGGGAAAACACTTGAGAAGGGCAAGAAAGCCCGTTAAAGGAGAAAGAAAACAGGACAAGAACAGAGAAGGCCTTGTTCTTGTCCCTTGAGGAACCGGGGAATTTTAGCCAATGACACCCCCTCATAACTTGTTAAGCTCAGCGGGGCAACGTCCGGCAGATCTGCAACAGCACGCTGGGCACATGCAGGGTCCGGTTCTGGTGTAACGGTAATGGAAACGGTGCAGCAAGAGAGCATGGGATTTCTGCACGTGGTGACACATGAGCTCTGCTCTAGAACTTTAGATGAAGATAAAGGATCCGGAGCTGGCTGGTTGATCCCGGATTGAGGTTGGGACGGATGACTCGGCCATCATACGAGGAAGGCTCACATGTTCCCGGCAGTTGTTGCGAACTTCAATACTACTGGCGCCTCTCCTGGGCAGAACGATGGAGAGGGAGGGTAGCTGGCTGTTTGGCCCCCATCATGAGGTTGAAGCGAGCAGCAGCCGTACGATAGCCCTTAGACTATCTGGCGGGGACCAGAAGCCCACGTCGAGTGGCCACGTACCGCTGCTCGGTACGGCCTCGGCCGGTTCTCAAATCAACGGGCACCAGCTTTACCTTTCCCAAACCCACCTGGGCGAAGGGAAATACGGAAAGGAAAAAAGAACACACCAAAGGGCGGGGTATTTTCGTCACCCAAACAAACCACCTCCCCAGAAAACTCCCAATGCTCAGCCCAAGTCTGACCAAACCGGCTGTACTTAGCGGTCTATAGTTCCACGGGAATGAACGAAAATCAATCCCCATGGCTGTCATGCGAACCCCGCGCCCTGTATCTAGAATTCTATCCCGCGCCATGCATGCTCCTGGAGCAAAAAAGATGCACCAGGAAAAGAGGAACTGGAGAGGAAAATAAACAAACACAAAAAAGAACGAGATGGCCCATTGCACCGTCAACGTTTCCCGGGCTTCCGTCTAATGAACGGATCCGCGGTCGGTTTCTTGGGCATTGTCACCGGCCCCTAGCAATCGGTCGAGTTAGACATGTGCCTATGTGCGGCGTCACGCTCAAGTGGATTTTCACTTACCTTTGGCGCATTGGGGGGTGCATTAGGTCTCGTTCCACCAGGCGGCCTGATGTGCGGTTGAGCCGGTTGGGATTGTTGGGCGGGCGCACGCGACGGAGGAACTAAACCCAACACTTCCATCGCTGAAGGATCCGTGGGCGGCTTCGGTTGTTTGTGCTTACCAGGACCCGTTGGGGCCTTCACGGGGCCTCGGTCCGAGCTGGGATGCGTCTGAGGGAGCTATTATCAGTTGAGGGCGATCTGGGCGAGCGTTGGTATTGTTACCGACCTTCTTTGTGCCGGGATGGCCGTCCTCGTTCTCGTCCCGCGGCCGCTTCTTCCCGGCAGACCCAGCAGTGGACTGTATGACGGGCGCACTTCCACCCCTCGGTAGCATCGATGTAGTTTCTCCTCTTCCATTGAGGCCGCCAATCCCTGAACCATGGTATGGGAGCGTTGGAGTAGCCGGGGCTACATTCTGATTATGCGCCTCTGTGTTGCTCCTTGAAGGCCACTGCTGGGGAGGCCCAGGCGCATCGGTCATGACGACATCGTTCTTCAGCTCCATGGCGCCAAGGGGTCGAGATAGCTCCGAGGACGACGCAACGAGCGACGACATGGGTACTTGCCGGCCTGGTTGGTTGAGCAGGGCCATGACATTACCGCTTGTGTAGCGATCGCGCTCCTTCGCGTCCTCAATGAGTTTGCCCCAGAACTCGCCCTGCACTAGCGCGCGAGAATCACCCAAGATCCATAGCGATGACCTAGCGCGGGTTAGACCAACGTTCATACGCCGGATATCTGTCATGAAACCGATACCGCCCGTCGGGCTAGCTCGAACACACGAGAAAATGATGATCTCGCACTCGCGGCCCTGGAAAGCGTCCGTGGTATTGAACTCGATCTCCTCGGTGATCCCGTCGCCATACTTCTCGGCGAACCGTTGTCGCAGCCGAAACAGCTGAGCCTTGTACGGAGTGATGATGCCGATCTTGCCCTTCAGCTCCACATTGCCGTAGTCAGTGCGGAACCGGCGGTAGAGCTGCATGGCGACCTTGAGCTCTTCGTCGTTGACCAGCGACTGGTTTCTCGGCCCCCGTGACTGGGAACCCTTGACGTCGAAAAACCGATAGGGACCGAGAAGTTCGCTCTGATGCCAGGGTTGGAGGCGGAGCTGTCCCATGTCGGCACCGTCTTGGAGCAAGCCCTCGTAAAATTCCTTGCTAGGGAACTTACTGATCTCCGGGTGCATACGGTATTGCATGTCGAGCAGGTGAACGTCCTTAGCATGGTTCTTCTGCATCCGCACAAACAAACTCTGGTCGTACCCGTACCGCGCAGCGGATTGCGAGAGCACTGTAGGGGGCAGCTGCTTGGGATCTCCGACGAGAATGCACTTGGAACAGCCATACTTGAGGGGGATGAGCGCGCTCAGCTCCACGCACTGCGCGGCCTCGTCGATGATGACCGTTTCAAACTCGACGTTGAGGTTTTTGAACATCTCATGACCGCTACCGCTCAATGTGGCGCAGAGAACTTGGGCCTTGTCGAGGATGTCTTGCTGGATCTGCCGACGCTTGATCTCGACCTCACGCGCAAACGTGTTTCCGTTGCTCTTGTTGGCATCGATCTTGGCGCCAATATGAGCCTGTCGGCGCTTCAGGTCATCAAACTCGCGTTGCAACTTCATAGTGAACGTGCGGTCATCACTCGCCCGAGCCGCCTCAAGCTGGGGTCGCAGCTCTGTAATCTTCTCCTTGAGCATGCCGGCTTCTTGATGTAGCTTTTCGCGATCACTCGGACCGCTATTGTTGACTCCGCCATCCATCCGGGCTTTGACCAACTCATCAAGCGTGACATCTTTGACGGCGGCGTTGATCGCGTCGGTACGACCCAAACGCACAACTTCGACTTTGTGGGACGCCCCATTCATTGTCTTGACACCAGCCTTCAGCCGCAGCACCAGTTCGTCCACAGCCGCGTTGCTGGGCGCGCAGACCAACAGCTTTTTTGAAGGCGCCTGGCCCTGGCTAGTGGAGGCGGCACCGGGTCTCGCGAGAGGGACTGCGCCGCTGGACGACTTGAGAACTCCCGTCAGGAGGCAACCAACCATGGCGATAATGGTCTTGGTTTTGCCGGTTCCCGGCGGGCCTTGAACCAAGGTGAAGCCATCGTTCTCCTTAGCATTCAGGATAGCACGCGCTTGGCCGGGGTTGAGTTGGTAATTCTCCATGACCCCTTTGACCGCCTCATTGCCAAACGTGAGCATCGGGGACGGCTGTGCCTTCAACACCTCGTCCATCAAATCATAGTACTGCAAACTTTCCAACGCCGCATACTCGCGTTCAATCGTCGTCATGTTGGTGATTTTGACGACATGGAACTCGGAGCCGGGGAGAAGCGCCGGCAGAATCTGGTTTCCTCTGGCGTTAAGGCGGTAGACGACCTCGACGGTGTCTTTTTTGTAAGTGGTTTTCCAGATACGAGAGAGACAATGCAGCTCCGTCGGCTGGTTAAGCGGATCTTCCCCCCTTGAGACCAGGACGATGTCTCCCTCGGACAGGCCCCGGTCCTTGCTGATTTGAGCGGGCACTGAGGCAGTGACTTCCATGAACTTATCGACTGTCATACGGTTGAGAACCTTGATACCAAAAGGCTTGGACGTAGCCTCGTCCTTGGAAGTAACAAACGATCGCCAGGCCTCGTTGATAAGCAGGGGGAAGAAGGTCTGCTTATAGCTGTGGGGATCTGTATAGTCGTCCGAAACGCGATCGCACCGGTAGCCGTTGGGCGGGTCATTACCCTCGTGGAAAATGTCCCACTCTAGAATTGCCTGATGGAGGACATCCATAGGGGGGATCAAGCGCGCTCGCATGTCCTTCGCTGACCGCTGGAGCTTGACCTTCTTCACGGGGCCCCGCTTTTCGGCCAGCATGAGTAGCCGACGGCGCTCAGCATCAGTGAGGTTCTTGTTCCCCGCCTTCGCTTTCAGCGCTATCCGCTCGTCTTCAGAGTCGTCTTCTTCCTCCGAAGACGAGCCAACCATGATCTCATCCTTGACGACCGGCGCATGATCCTTGCCCCGGACACCGGCGATGCCTTGGAGACCAGAGCCTTCTCCAGGGACGGTCTTGGGCGGGGCTCGTAAGGCTTTCGCTTTGGCAATGGCCTCGGCATCTCTCCTAGCCTTTTCAGCCTTTTCCCGGGCCCTGGCTTCTTTGATTGATGATTGATTGGCGAGGACGGCCTTTGGATTCAGCTTGGTTGGCTGCTTGGGCTTTGGGCCCTCTTCCTTCAATTTTGCGAGTAGCGCGGACCCGCGTTTCTCGAAGTTGGGGGTGATTTCGGCAAAACGATCCTTGGAAGTACCGGGGGCGCTCTTGGAGAAGTCAATCTTGCTCTGCTTCATGGCACGCTCTTTCTCCTTCGCCTCCCTCTCCCCGGGTTTGGGGCCCATGAACTGTTCTTCGATCACGGCATCCTCCCCGAGGGCCTTGAGCAGCTCAATCCGCTGCTCGTCCGTCAGGTTGGTCTTCTGAACGTAGTCCAGTCTTCCACTGGCGAGCTTCCTCCGCCGGAGCATGTTGTGGAGGTGCACAATAGCCTTGTTAGGTAACACCATGTCGTTCTGTTTTAGCCTTGCGAGCAGCTTCTTGATCATCTCGATGATGCCCGCGATAAGGTACTTGTCTCTCAGCTGCAACATGTCGGCGAGAGAGAAAGAATATTTCCTCGGCGGTTCCAGGACAGCTTTCAGAGCCTTCATCGTCGTATCCCCGTTAGTCTGCCCGCCATCGTCGCCGCTATGTTGGCTCAGAGCAGAGGCCATGACACCGTCTTGGGCAAACAACTTGTTGCCCAACTCCATGACGTCTCGGCAGAAGTCCTCCATGATCTTCTTGTCAACCTTTTCGTGCCATATCCTCATCATCGTAAATGAGTGGTCAACGACCTGCCACACACATTCCCACCACCGCTTGACAGCGGCGTGCTCCTCTGCGGTGAGGGTTTTACGCCTCAGTTGGCCCGAGGAAGGATCGCAAAGGCCGTTTAGAACGAACTCGCTACACTTTAGGATGGGGAGCATGTGGCTCCAAGGGCTGCTAGCACCATTTTTCGCAGTCACGTTGTGTACTGCTTCCGAGAAGGCATTCAGGAAGGGGGTGAAATAGTCCTCCAACATCTTGCCCACTGCCTCAGAGGGCAGGCTCTCGCTTGTGATAGCCTTGAGCAGCTCGAAGCCAGCGTCCCGAATAGCATCTTCGCCATGGATTAATGACGAAACGATGGGATGAATGGTCGGACTCTGGCGCTCAGAGCAAAACTTGACGAGGTCCTCTTGCTTAAAATCGGAAAGCCGGCCGAGCATCCTCCCTATTGCTGTTGTCTGCTGTTGGTACCTCGTATTGAACTTTTGGTGCTCCCGTTTCAGTTGCTCTTTTCGCTTGGGGATGAACCGCTCAATGCTTCGAAGACGCAGCGTAGCCATCAGCATGGCTTTCGCTAGCTCGGCATGCCCGAGCTGCCCATACCAAAGCATCTCGAGGAAGGATTCCCACAGTGCGCCAGAGTCCCGGTTCACAGCATCTTGTACCGGAACGCCGTCGATCAAAGCTTTCCACTCGATCTCCGTCGCCCTGGCATCCAGTGCTAGTGCTGAGTGGATGATGCCCATTGCCGCCTGAGAGATTCCCACGTTGAACGTATCTCCGGGTTTGAGGCCAGCCGCGGTGATAATTACATCGCTGTACTGAATGACGCGGTTGAGCAACTGATTCACCATGATGAGCGCAGTGCCCGTATCGAATGGAACTTCCTGATGAAGATACCCATCAAGCGACTCCCTGAGCGTAACCAAGCCCGCAAGGGTGCAGGTCGCTTGGGCGGCTCGGTCTGCTGCCGGATCCCGACGGAAGGTGTCAAAGAGATGCCGTAGCAGTGATTCGCACACGTCAGATCGCTGGATCGAGGGCAACGACCGTATAAATGCCCCCATCCAAGCCGCCAGAGCCGGTACTTGACTGTCCCCTTCCGTAACCATCATATCCGGCACCAGGGACTTGTTCAAAAAGCGGCGGAATGCCGGGCTCTTGAAGACCTCCTCGACGAGTTGGCTGGGGGTGACTTGGTCAAACGCAGCCCAGAACGCGCTCGATGACTTCTCCATAAGCCCTCGAAGGCCTTTCAGGACCACAGCCAGGGCTTCGTCGGAATCGGTGGCCAGGTGTTCCAAGGCGAGAAAGTAGACACTCGGTGACACCTCCATCGCCCTAAGAGAGTTGATGATTTGTTTCTCGCTCAAGGACCGAAGGATGAGTGAGAAACCGTGCCAAAACCGGCAAATTTTGTCCGGCGTCGGCATTCCTCTGGAGAGAGACACCCGCAGAATCGCGGTGCTCAAATGGGGGCAGATGGCCCAGTCCCATTCCTGGTCCGTGAGAGACCCGGGCGCCCGTTTCTCCCAAGCGCACTCGGCAAACTTTTGTTTGTAAGGGGTGGAGGGCTCGTCGAAGAGGAAGTGAGTCATGGTGGGGATGAGACCTCCTTGCATCCGCAAGGGTCGTTTTTGCTGTGTGTTCTCGAAGACGTAGGTGAAGTCGTCTTTATCCCCAGGGCCGCCGAGATATTCGGTACTGCAAAGGGCCTCAAAAAGGGCTATAACAGCTGACATATCGTGCTCGACTAGCTTGGCCGTCGTCATGGGGCCTTTCGTCTCGAGGATTGCTCTCGCGCTCTGGAGGCCCTTGTCTATGCGCTGTTGGTCGAACTCGCCGAGCTTGATTCGCATGTAATCAATCATCTCTGGTGCGAGATGCCTATATGCCACAAGAGATATCAGTCCTAGTCACAGTGGGGGTACGGGCAGCGGGATGCGCTTACAGGCCGCTGAGGTATGGCTTGCGGTTTCGGTGCCAGTTCCTCACGCACGAGTCGCACCTCGTGAGACAGGCATCGACAGCCCGAGTCCAATTGTCTAGCCATTCGCCCGCAACCTCCCTGCCGAGGCCCATCAGAATGCTCAGATCATAGGCATTCTGAAACCTGCTCTCGTATTCTTTGATCCGACCTTGCTTCTCGTCGGCTGAGAGTCCGCCTTCATCGGGAACATTGGGCTCGTCGTAGTTTGCGAAATCTTCTTCGTCGATCTTAGGGCAACAGAGATGCGCTTCTGGTGGACGGTCCTCGAACTCGCGATGCCACGCAAGGGCCGCCTGCAGAAGAGCATTCGGCTCCATGGCGGCTGCAAGTGAGGGAGGAATTCCGCTGGTCGCTTCGAGTGGGGTTAAGCGATAATTAACAACCTGGAAGCTCAGTTAAAAGAATTGGTTTCCCTTCGGTAGCCTGCCGCAATGCTGAATCTCAATTTTCAAGAAACCTTGCGCACATGGACCGAGGATTGGCAAAATCGTCGGGAAAGAGAGACGGGAGAAATGTGGCCCGGGGGACGACCACCCGATGTAAAAGAGCGTGGCCAACACACAAAAGAGAAAAGCACAGGGCTACTCATTGATGCCGAGTTCTCTGTGCAAATAAATACCCGCCAACGAGAGTTTGTATGTGCTGGTGTGGCTCAGCAAAGAGCAAGTTGCTTCGGGGTTTAAGAGGTGGGTGCAGATGATGCACCTTGGTCGGCAGGCAATCGCGAAGACGCAAAGTGGTTGCACGCCAATGCACGCGTCAATTCTTTGTGGGGCAAGCAAGTGGGGCGGCTGGCGTCAATTCAATGGACCCCCTGCAGCAGCAGGTCGCTTGGCATTGACTCGAGAATCCGGGTTCGAAGCCATTCTCGCCATTGTTCAAATTATCAATTCATTAAAACATACCTCTAACATTAGGTAGTGACCACAAGCTGTGCAGACATGGCCCTTGTTCACTCAAGCTATCCGGTGTTGACTAATTCATATGCCCCATCGCAAATCGATTGGGAGATTCTGCTATGGAAGTAATCTGTACCTCGGTAGTCACTGCTAACCCCAAACTCTCAGTAATAACGACCTAGGTAGTTTCTATGAAGCCCAAGGATAATATCCCTGAATCATCAAAGCAGCAATAAATCCCCCGTGAAATGGAGCCAAACTTCATCCGCCTCTTTATGCCATGCTATCTTGGGGCAAGATGTCACACCATAAATGAACCCTTACTCCTCCTCTTCTTCCTCCTCACTTGCATCCTCGCTTTTCGAGGTGTCCGTCTGGGAGCTCGTCTCCTCTTTCACTTTTTTGACCTTCTTCGGCTTGGACCCGGCTTCATCTTTGCTTCGAACCAACAAGTGCTCGAGTGGGCAGTCTGGCGCCTCGTTCCAATCCTTGGTTCCCGGTTTAGTCGCCTTCCTGCACTTGAAGCACAGCTGGCCATGGCGAATGAACAACTGGTGTAGACCATACTTGAGATGATCAGGCACCATAAAGTCCCCATGCCGGAAACAATTGTCCGGGTCGGCCTTGTCGGGAACCCATCCCAACCAACGGCAGAATTTGTGGACATGTGTGTCCACAGCAAAGCAGGGCATCCGCAAGCAGAACAATGTAACGCAGGCCGCTGTCTTGATGCCGATGCCTGGGTAGCTTACGAACTTAGCCATGGCCTCGTCCTTGCTCATGGCATGCATGTGGTCGAGTGAGAGAAGGTTATGTGTGGTCTTCTCTGCCTCGACCACTGCTTGGTTTTCGTCTGCCTCTGTACTGGGGGGTTGCGTATTGGCCCGCTGGATGTTCTCCTCGTGGACCATGTCGAGAATCCGCTTGATATGTTGGCTTCTATTGGGTCCATTGCCAGCAACCTTGATGACCTGCGCAAGCTCGCCGTGCGTGGATAATCTGACCTTGTCCCAGTTAATGCTCCCAGCGCCAGTACCGTCCTGGCGGAGACCATAGTGCTCAGCCAGGTTCTTGATAGCTGCGTCTGCGAGCGCCATAAGGGTGTTCCCGCTGATCAAGGTCCTCAGTAGTGCATCAAGCACGCAAGGGACCTCACCACAACCGGCAACCTCTAGAGAAGCCAGGGGCATTTTATCGGGTTGCTTCACCTCTCCGTGTATCTCGGTCAAAATCCTGTGTACTTCCTTACAGGAATCAAGTGTAGGAACGCGCCGGTATGAATAGGGCGAGAACCCAGGTGTCAACCCATATGGGTTCTCTTTGCCTCTTTTGACGATTCGCCTGAAGTTAGGGTCCAGTAGTTGGCTGGCGTCGATAACAATTTTGGCTGAAGACTTAGTAACAATGTCGTCCTTGATTGTGATGCCTTTGATGATCAAGACCTTCGGCGTGGGCTGGTCCAGAATCTTCTTTTTCTCAACCTTCAGCAGCGCAAGGTCCGAGGCTACCTTGTTGGCAACCGGAGCATCGGCCGAAATGTTAGCCACCAGAGCAGTCCGTACTCGTTTGTTAGGGTGACCATCCTCCTGCTCGACGTTGGAGGCGTCGTCGGGCTCTTCCAATTTCACTATGGGCTCCTGCACCTTCTCTTCCTTGACCCGGGCCTTGGTGACTCGAAGGGACAGGCGGGTTTGCCTAGTCTGTCTGAGGACCTTCTTTTGGGTGTTGAGTTTAAGTTGTGAGGTCACCGTAGCGCTCTGTTGAGCGGGAAGATCCGGATCAGAAGCTGCATCGACAAGCTCTGACTCGGTCCCAAGACCTGCGACACCCATCCCATGAGGTAAAACCCAGCCACCTTTGAGAGGCTGTGCCTGCTGCTTCCCACCACGCTTACGCTTTGTGCTCGCCTTAGTAGTTTTGCCGGAGGTCTTCGAGTGAGCTATCATTTCCGGGTCGCCGGTGCTCCCTAGCGCTTGTACCACCTCGGCATGTCTGTCCGAGACGCCGACCACATTGCTGGCTGTAGCTGCAGCACTGGCAAGCTTCGCGGCTGCACGTGTCTGCATTTTGGGCTGCAAGTTGTGCCGTAACTGGGGCACAATGGGTTGATCAACTAACTGGTGTTAGTGGGATTCAAGCCTGATTCTCCCAGAGAAAAGAGTAGATAGATGAATGAGAGGTCTGTGACAATTACACCTGCTCGGGGAGCGCCAGCGCTCGTGGTTCCACAGTGATATGGGCGGTTACTTGAGCCGTTATGTGAAACTGAAAATTGATTGTAGGAGTGTTTAAGCCGTGGCCATCCAGGGGGTGAGGAGTGGTGAAGAATGAAATGGGACTAATTGAACTTCCATACCTCTTATTACTACTTTAAGTAGGTAGCTAGTGTCTCCTCAAGGGTCCTTTGAATGAGCGCCCAATGTGGAGATCCTGGAACGGGTCGGTGATGGAAATGTCAGGAGTTGGGGAATATGAAAGCTTGTCGATGGTGGTGCAACTTGGTAGTCAGCGATCAATCCCTATAATGACGAAGTAGGAAGCTTGGAACAATGACTGACTCTGGGTATTGCGACGAACATGCAGCGGTGTGCTGTGTTGAACCTCAGGCTGCCGGTATTGCAAGAAGAACTTGGCCTCCTATTAGAGCCCCGTGAACGGATGTGGTGTAGGTGCCTACCTACCAAGGAAGGCACGACCCAAACCAGACGCCGTGAATCCATCGAGTCCATGCGCAACATTCGCTCCATGGCAACTACCTACCCAACCTAGGACAACACCGGTTACTGATTAGCCAAATCTAGACGGGCAGCTTGAGGATTACCTGTCTTACTTAGCTACCCAAACAATACATGCTTTGATCATCAAGATCTCGCCCAAAGATGATGCGCAGCATCCATCCTGGTTGTTTTTACCAGTATGTTCAGACTAGCGTCACGTGGCCACGGCTACAAGGCGAAAGCACCACTGATGCGATCCTTGCCGGTGCTGCCCCTTTCTGGAATTACGTATACATGAAAACAAGATGCACAAGTGATACTCCAATGGTTTAAGCTCCATAATGTTTTGTATTTCTGAGTTAAACGATATGCTGAGGTGATCGGGGAGGTACTGGGACAATCCAGTGCAGAAGTAACCACGATATCCAGGGCATTCATCCCAGTCTTGTTAGATGTGCAGACAGTTTGCATAGGGGGAAAGCTAGACCATAACCACAAGAGGTTAGCCAAGATCGAGGAACCATATATTCTTCTTGAAAGAGCCAAAGGATATGGAAAACATCAGAATAATTCTTCTCCTCACAGACAAGTCTCAGCAGTCAAGGTTTTGTCGAATTTAAAAGTCATCATCAAATCAAAGGAATATGAATGAACACAAAGATTCTTACCTATCCGTTAGATTCATCCATGATAAATGTGCTACCAAAACAAGGAGCTGGTCTTTTGCACAGGATGTCTGAGAATTCTAAAGAAATTGAAGAAAAGATTGAGCGAGGATGGAGAAAAGTTGTCGGTGGATGTGGATCCTACCAGTTTGCCAATGCGGCCGGAACGGAGCAAGCTTCTCCGGGTTTGGAAGGCCTCCATGGCAGCCCTAACCCTCGTTGTCGTTGCAACCAATCTTGGCTCTGGTTTTTGTTGACACAAAATCAGTGAGTTACGTTACCCCTGACTTCCTTTGCGCTGACCACACCCCTGCTTGACTACCGAGGGAGTCAGTTGTTTGCTCAACAGAGAAGCGTGATCAAGCCGACAACTCTTATTTATTTTCCTTCCTCTTTTTCTTTTCTAGCAGCTAAAAACCTTTCGCCTCTGCCACAAAATGCAATGCTGTTCCTCAGCGGCCGTTAACTTCCTAAGCCCGTGGTGGACTATCACAAGCACGGATGAGCATTTTCAGTGGATATTTCCATATTGTTACTGTTGTTTAAATGTAGGTAATTATTAACATCAGTGACCTCCTTGGGATTCTCTGTGTTTTTGGCCATGGAAGGTTGCCCGGCAAAAATGCTCAATGCATCGAGGCTGGCCATTTGGATACGCCTGGAAACCTCTTTGACTACCTAGGTATATTTTAGTCAGATAAATGCCACCACCTTCTATGCTTTCTACTTCCGTAGTTTTGCCCAACTGTCATATTCTTTGCACCGGGGCGGCTTCTACAATCGCGATCTCCAAAATTTGTTTTTGCGCACTGTCGGATGTTGTATCCCACACAATCATTACTATTCTCTGGTTTCACAATAACCTTTTCCTCAAAGAAAGTTTCTACAAAAGAGCCTTATCATCCAAAGGGAACTCTTTAACCACCTCACCTTTTCTCGAGATTGTGGTCACAGGACGCCTCCTCACCCTTACATTGATGCCTCCTACCAGTCCTTTGCCTACCATCGCGGCATTCTGGCGTTATATTTCCTCACTCACCAGTTATTGCTGGATTTGGAGCTACTTGACTCTTCCCCTTCTGGGCCTTCCTGCGCCCTCTTCTGTGCAATAAGTACCTATTCAGCATCGGCGTGTCTGCCATTCCTGCATTCCTGTGTAGGTAATCTAGAGTCCGCTGGTAAAGGATTTATGCAAAAGAAAAAAGACAGGTATGCGATTACCTTTCTCCACCGGTTTGGCTGCACTTTCTAACTTAATCCCAGCAGCTCCTTGCCCACCAGTATGTCTCGAAATTTCCAGTGCGCCGCGCTTGGCGCCCAACACAACCCCCTTGTCATTGATGACGATGAAAACCTCCTCAGAGACCTTGCCCGCCGGACTCGGCGGATCAAGGAAGAAGCCCAAACCGGCCGGCGACTTGCCGAATGGGTAGCATCCCACGCCCGCCAAAGAGGCAGCAACGAACGCGAGAGCCCTTCCGAAGACGACCACCGAGAGGTACAAATTGAGAATGCCTTAGAGGAGGGTATTTCCAGTATTATCGACTTGACCGGCGATGATACCCCGATTATCGAAAAACGCGTAACGGTCCCGAGACAGGATGTACGGCATATAACCAGCTGCGATTTGGCAAACGGCATTCGGATCCGACCAGGGATGACGGTCGAGCTCAACAACCCAATTGGGGCGTCCGAGATTCAGTTCCTGAAGGTCGCCGACATTATCAGGCTTGGGTTGGGTCCCGAAATTGTGATACGTGGGCCGGGTTTCACGCGAACTCGGCACCTGGACGGGATGTTGCTCCCAAAGCTCAACGAGGTTGCAATGGTGGCCGAGTTTCGCGGTTCTAGCGGAAGACAATGCGAAGAGGAGGTCATGTTCGAGGTGAAATCGACGGACATCCGACGTGCGAGAGCCCTGCGGATCACAAGTGCGCCCTTTCCGGAATACAGGTTCAGCGATTCTGAATACGCCAGCAACGGAAGACGATGGGTGGAGCAGAACTCCATCCTGGTCTGCAGATACCGCTACGACATTCACTACCACAGAGATAGCGACAAGCCCCATGAATGGGCCTTTCTGAGGATTTGCGAGGAAGACGCGGACCCGGATTTCAGAATGTCAAACGAGAGCAACCTGAATCGATGGCGGGGCGGCAAAGTTCCAGGAGGTTCATATACCCCCTACGGATTGAGTCATCCAGTACTCGACCTGGAATCAGGGCCATCAAGCTACGGCCGGACCATAAGCCTCTTCTCCCCCGGGCAACGCTATACAGCGGGTGATGTGTTTTCCGGAGCAGGGGGTGCCTCAAGAGGTATCGAGAGAGCAGGTGTTCAACTGCTCTTTGCAGTAGATAACTGGCCGCCTGCTGTAGAGTCCCTGAGAAGCAACTTCGGCCGGAGCCACGTTTTCGATTTGGATGTTACGGATTTTATTACATCGAGCGATACCCAACACCGCGTCGACATCTTACATTTGTCACCACCATGTCAGTTCTGGTCGCCGGCACACACAGTGGCGGGGAAGAACGATGAACATAACATCGCCGTTCTCTTTTCATGTACACACCTCGTGGAAAACCATAAGCCGAGGCTGTTTACGGTGGAACAAACGTTCGGGATCTTAAGTCCCAGATTCAAGGAATTCTTCAATACCTTTCTCCACGGCTTCACCAAGCTTGGGTATTCGGTTCGATGGAAAGTTTTGCCACTCGCCAGCTACGGTGTTCCACAGTTGCGGAAGCGACTTATTATGATCGGGTCAGCCCCTGGAGAAAGGCTTCCTCCATTCCCACCTCCGACTCATAATAAGGATGGCACGGGTGGTCTCAAACCCTGGACTACTCCAAAATCAGTTCTGGCCTCTCTATCGCCAAATCTGGTCCATAAGTTACACGAACCCGGTCTCAGCAAGCGGTTCGACCCGCCTAAAAAGCCTTGGGATCCTACCCAACTCGCCAAGACAATAACAACAGACGGTGGTCGGAACTACCACTGGGATGGGGAGCGAGACTTCACCCTGCTCGAGTACGCAGTCCTCCAGGGCTTCCCGACGTGGTACAAATTCGAAGGAGCGTATATAAAGAAGCAAATCGGCAACGCTTTCGCGCCGTCCGTTGTCAAAGTTCTTTACGACCACCTCGTCGACTGGCTCCTGGTCCAAGACGGCTTCGACCCCTCCGCTCGACGCAGCCCCCGTGCCGGGATGCCCAGCGATGTTTCTTCGGACAAGTACATCTGTCTTGACGACAATAACAATAACCATTATAATGTAACTGCCGGCAGTACCAACGGCTCCTCCACCCGCAGACTAAGCGATATCGTCCGCCAGTTTGACCAAGCAGCCGAAAACGAGAACCGCAACGACGAGCTGATGGATCTGAACGGGCTCTCGGATACGGAGACGTTGCGCGGCGACGAGATGGACCACGGGATTGCGAAGGAAATAGAATTGGGGGGAGACTGTGTTGTCGATCTGATAATGGAGGGATGGGGCCGGGGAACAGCAGCCGACCCGTGTGTGCTATCAGATTGAGTTGAGCGAAACGTGGTGAGGATGGTTGTAGTTGTCACTGGGCCAGGGGGCTCCAGCAAAGGGTTCGAGTACCTATTAAAAGATGAGGGTGTGGATCAATATTCCGTCGGCGCCCAGAGCTGTGTCTAGGGGGCTTAAACAGGTCGTGGAGGACGTTTGATGCCTACACTTAATACGATGCCGAGTATGGGGTGTGTGGAGGGAACTTCTATATCAGGACTGTTTTGCCGTTTGTTTAGGTTCCCTTTACCGTATAATTTCCATAATCGCGTTCATCGTGGACATTATCGAGGAAAAGACTAAAAGACTTGACGGGAAGCTGTTTATGTACCGTACCTATCACGTAGGATTGGGACATCGATAGGCACAATGACCACCATCACCAATTACGCTTAACAAACAGAACGAAGAGCAGATAGCAATGATTGTTGATATCTTGTTAGTAAGTTTCCCAGTTACAACTCATTGCTAACCAAGCATGTAATCGAACTATTATTTGTCTAACAAGGAAACCATGCCTCATCAGAGCAACTCAGCCATGCCCCATCGGAGCAACTAAAGTCTATCAACCTTGCGATTGTGTGGTATCCTGCCACACCTGCTAACTCCATCCAGTCGCAGAAAAGAATGCACAATTAGATCATTGCAGATACTTCTCGCCGGCTAAGCCGTTCTCCCAAAATAAACCCAAATGTATGCTTCAGCGAGGACCAAGGGTACCAACTGTAGTGCCCGCCACTATAAACCGCAACGCCGTACATACCGATCCCGAATATATAAACACAGCACAAAGCAAGAAGGGACCGTTTCTAGACGAAGTTGGAACGAATCTTACTCCTCCTCGCTCACTGAGCTATCGCTCTCGTTGCCACCTTCGGCTTGCTCAAACTCTCTCATCAGGGCTGCCTCAAGGTCTCCAATATCCTGCTCCAGGGCATCGTCGCCATCCTCGTCTTCGTCCTCGTCCCCGTCATCGAACGTATAGCGGTCAGGCTCGACAGCGACGGGAACGTCCAACTGGGAAGGCCTGGTAGGACTGGCCAGTCGGTGCGATGGCTCTTCCTCGTCCTCCTCTTCATACTCGTCCCCGGCATACCCTTCTTCCTCGGGTAACCCGGCATCGTACCCACCAGCCATTGTAGTATCGAAGTCGTCGTCGTCCGACTCTCTCTCGTTGGCAAACTCGGAAAAGCGCCTTATCACAGAGGGGAATGTGGGCATATATTGGTTGGATGCGCAGAGCACGGCTGGGTTGCCCTCCGGGTACTCGACCGTCAGGCCGCCGTCGTCATCATCGTCGTCTTCTTCTGATTCAACGGGCGATAGAGCAGGGCGCTTTGGCTTCTTTTCTTTTTCTGATTGAGACGCTGACGGCTGCTTTTTAGGGTTGGTAGGTGCCGCGCTGAGATTAGGGAGCGTCAGTTCCACCGCCTTGTTCTTCTCGGGTTGGCTGCTCGCTTTCGATTTTGGCGTGTCTCCGGCGCCAAGGTTCTTGTTGCCCTTGGCTTTTGTGGGAGTGGCCTTGGTCGTGTTCGCCCTGTTGTTGCTAGCCTTCTCCGCGGCCTTCCCTCTTGGCCTCTTTGTTGACTCGGTCTTGACTTCGAGCTGGGGAAATTGCTGGCGTAGGCTTTCGGCGTTGTTGTCTGTCGGTGTGCGGGTGATGTTCATGTGGAAGGTCGAGTCGACTCGGTGCAGTACGAAAGCCTTGCGAGCGGGGTCGAAGATGAGGACGTAGTTGCCGTCGTCGGTGGTACGGACGCCATTGTATTGGTACTTGTCCCCTTGGTCGTCGAAGCCGAGGTTGTAGGAATCGTCCTTTGCGGATTTCTTGAGGCGCGCTGTGTTGGGTGCGGTATCTGACGAGAGTGCTGGCCGGTGGTTGTCTGTGATGGAGCGGAGAGTCAGCGCTTGTCACGGGAGAGCGAAAAGAAGCCCTCGAGAGCGATGGTCAAGGAGGAGGGAGGGAGGCACGAGGAACTCACATCTTATGCCTGTGTATGTCTCCTTGGATGGCTTGCCCAGCAAGGCGTCGCTAAGGATAACCGGATATTGGCCGGACTTTGTCGGGTCCAAAACTCCTGGGGCTGCCATTTCGAGGAGCGTCGTTGCGTTGTTGCAGCGTGTGTCTGAGTGAGAGAGAGATGGTGGAGGGATGTTGGAGGGACAGGGAATTGAACCGGGCAGTTTGGCGAGTCTGGGCAGGCAACCAAAAGTGGACCGGGATCGACCAAAGGAACCCTGGAAGACCGGGGAGAGGACGGATGTTACGTAATTCTCTTGGCTCAACGCCTTGTGGGTCTCGGGGTCCGGCAACAAGGATCAGCAAAGATCGGGGTCTTTTCCCCGGATCTCCAAGTTGGTCTTGGCAGGTGCAAGCGCTGCAATTTGTTGCCAACAAAGAATTCAAAACCTGAAGAGAGCATGTCTAGGTTTTTCTTTATATTCCTCGAACCATTGTTTGAGCTGCGCGCCCCAGTTGAATATGCACAGTTGAATATGCAGTATCGCCCTGAAACATGAGCCCACCGAACTTCTGAGGACTTGCGATTTACTTCCAGTGTGCCGCTGTGAGCCTGTGTCAAGTCTTGACGTACCTCTCCGTCGGACCCTCAAAGCTCACCCCACCGTAGCAAGTTAGGGCCTGACATGCGTGCAATCATGACTCCCCTAGGTTAATTCGGTGGTCATTCTTCAGAATGATGAGACGGTCCCTGTACCTGCCTCGATGTGATAAACGGGTCATCTCCATTTCCTTCTCTCCCACCCCCATGATGGCTACTCGACAGCCCGCTTCATCCTTATCTTCAGGCTCCAGACCTTACCGATGTTTCCTAGCACCAAACTCTCGCATTGCAGTCGTCATGAGCAGAGCTGCAAAGCTACGCGAGGTTGGCGAGGGTTCCTGGCAGCAGGTCTACTGGTGGCCGGTCGGCTTTCGGGGGCCTACAACCTTGATTTGGGCTCAAAAGGTAAGATCAACGATATTTAAGCGCAAAGGCTGTACTAGGAGCCTCCCCTATTGACAATTGCAGATTCTATGGCGGTAATTGCAAAGTCCATGGTCGAAGACATGATGTCATTCTACACAGGGGACGAGCGGGGAGGAGTCCCTGGTCTATTACCCAACCCATATTATTGTAAGTTGGAGGAAGTCCAAGAAGTCATCGTATCGTGGGGTGACCTTACTGAACTCGTCGTCCGTGCTTAGGGTGGGAGGCGGGCGCTCTCATGGGCTCGTTAGTAGACTACTGGTATGTATGCCGCGTTCTTTTTTCTTTTCGTTTACAGATGTCTCGATGGTGTAATGGCACGCCTGAAGTGGACACGGTTCTATTCATCTTGGACGGGACTGATATTGGCTCGGAAGGTACTACACAGGTGACACACGATGGAACGATGTTGCCGAAGAAGGGTTGCTTTTCCAAGTCGGGCCAAACGACGATTACATGCCGCCGAACCAGACCATGACCGAGGGAAATGATGACCAGGGGTTCTGGGGCATGGCGGTCATGACAGCGGCAGAAAACAACTTCCAAAACCCGCCTCCGGATAGACCCCAATGGTTGGCACTCGCTCAAGCCGTCTTCAACACCCAGGCCGCTCGGTGGGAGCAGCAGGACTGTGGCGGCGGCCTACGATGGCAAATCTTCCCCTGGAACAACGGATATAATTACAAGAATTCCATCTCCCAAGCCTGCTTCTTCAACATTGCCGCACGCCTCGCTCGATACACCGGGAATCAGTCATATGCGGAATGGGCCGACCGGACATGGGACTGGATGACTGCCACGCAGCTCTTGAGCTTAGAAACATACTACATCTATGACGGTATTCACGTTGAGAACTGCTCTGAGATCACTCCCTACCAATGGACCTACAACGCGGGCGCGTTCTTGCTAGGGGCTGCCGCCATGTACAACTACAGCACCAGCGCCGCCCAAGCCCAAACATGGCACAAGCGAATCGACGGCCTGCTTAACGGCAGCCTCATCTTCTTCACGGGCAAAAACCACAACATAATGACCGAGGTGGCCTGTGAGCCCGTCGATCTGTGCGACCTCGACCAGCAGAGCTTCAAAGCCTACCTCTCCCGTTGGATGGCAGCGACTACCAAGTGGGCACCCTGGACGTATGACCGCATAAAACCATTGCTAGAGTCATCGGCCACCGCGGCAGTGTCAACTTGCACTGGTGGCGGCAACGGACGCATGTGCGGCTTGAAGTGGAACACGGAAAAGTGGGACAACAACACGGGGGTAGGGCAGCAGATGGCAGCCATGGAAGTTGTCCTGGCGAACACAATCCAGCACTCCCCGTCGCCGGTGACGGACTGGGAAGGCGGGACGAGTGTGGGTGACCCCGGTGCGGGTGGTGCGGATATCGGGCGGAAGACCAAGGTGTTTCCGCACGTTTCGACTGCTGAGAGGGCTGGGGCATATGTGCTCACGGTCTTGGCCATCCTAGGGCTGCTTGTTGGGAGCATCTTTGTGCTTGTGGATGAAAACGACCGCTCATCGCCCTCGGAGCGGCTCGCGAAGCTCCGAACAACGCTGACTGAGGCCAGCAGTTGGAGCCGTAGCCTGTTGACGCTACGGCGGCAGAGCAGCAGTCAATCAAAAGAAAAAGGGGTGGATCGATCCCATGGCGGCGAGGCGAGACAACACCAACAACCAGAAGCGCCGAGGAATGAAGAGGGTTTAATAATACATCCCTGTGCTCGTACGACGCGAGTCAGTCAGCACCCCGTCCCGAACCTGCACCATAATTGGAGGGGTACGCGATCCGAGCCGTCAGTTGTGAGAGCTGCACATCAAGATGACGCCGTTTTAGGGTCGAGCAATGACTGGCATAACTACTCATTTCCCCGACTCGTTACTACCGTTCAAAGAGAGACGGCACCCCAGATGGGGAGGAGAAGCAGGACGGCTGGCCGGGTCCATTGCATGGAGACCTCGTGGGAAGAAGCGTGAACCGTTTTAGAATTGTCAAAACCAAAATCAACAGCGTGGGAGTACAAATAATACATTGCATCACACACGAGTCGTCAAACTCATGAGGGCGGTGATGGTTTCTCACACACACACTGTATAGTTAGGCGGGCATATGGCGCCCGGGTGGAGTGAGCGCCTGAGTAAGAGCCCAGTGTCTCATCAACAGGTACCTAAGGTAACTCGGCAGGTGCCTGAGTAATGGCGGGGTGGGACATGATGAGGTGGCGTTCTAGGTAGGTCAGTCCAAAGAAACTGGCCTGCGCCGATCCCCCGGTGCAACCAACTCAGGTAACAATAAGTAGTAGCAGGGGTAAAACTTATCACTCACAACCTTCCTATCGAGGTAACAATCCAGCTCAAGGAGGGGGGGCGCACAATAGTGACGGCGACGGTGACAATGCAGGTAGCGAAACGTCACACGCCTGACGATCCCATGATCATCAGCAAGCCACATGCAAGCTCTTAGGCCGAATGGGGATCGAAAGGGGGGGCAAGAGCAAAAAGGGGGGCGAAAAGGGGAGATTTGATCAAAACCGTGCTTCAACATCGCACTCGCTCTTTTAACGGAGAAAGGGAAGCTCGAGGTCAAAAACATCATAACCTACACCCGTTCCTCGAAACATGGGCCCCCTCGTACTGACTGCGCTCAGCCTACCGTTGTCGGCCTGGATACTGCTGCGCGCCTACTCATGGCTCATCGTCGACAATGACAACCTCGGCCCCTCTCCTCCTCTTCTCTTTGTTGGCCTCGCCATTCTTGCTCTGAAGATAAATCTGTCGTTCATTAACAGGTATCGGTTTGAGCGCCGTGCACGAGCCTTGGGGTGTGGGCAGGTGGCGATCTACCCACACAAGGACCCGATCTTGGGGCTGGATGCATTTTTCGAGGCGCTTCGTGCCCTGAACAACCACACGCTTCTCGACCTTTACTCCAGCCGTTTTACATCATGCGGAACTACCTATTACACCATCGCCCTGGGAAAATGGCTGCTCATGACCAACGAAGCTGAGAACATCAAGACCATCCTTGGTACCAGCATGGATGACTGGCCCATCGACGGGCCCAGACTCCTCTCTACGCTTCCAGTCCTCGGACCGGATAGCATTTTCACTAGCAATGGCGAGGCCTGGAATAGGGCGCGGTCTATGTTGAGGCCCTCATTTGTTCGGGATCAGGTTGCCGACCTCCAGTGCTTCGACCGGCATATTAGGAACATGCTGGCTGCGATCCCCGCCGAGGGCGCCACTTTCGACATCCAGAACCTTCTGTTTAACATGACTATGGACTCATCCACGGATTTCCTACTCGGTTCCTCGACCAATCTACTGACCAAGGCTTCGCCAGAGGCGCAGCAGTTTGTCCGCGACTTCGAATATGCGAGCCGGGAGAGCGCTAAGAAGGCCCGCCTCGGACCTATCCTGTACCACCTGCCACACCGTAAACTTCAGACAGCCGTGCGAGGACTGCGGGAGTACGTCCGTTTCTACTTGAAGAGAGCGATCGCCGAGAAGAAGGAAGGGGGAGGCAAGGCCAAAGACCGCAGCTATGTCTTTCTGGACGAGCTTCTCAAGGCAGAACCTCCCGAGGACTACACGGTCGATCAAATCCTTTCCATTCTCATTGCCGGCCGGGATACCACCGCGACCGCCATGTCGTCGGTCTTTTACTTCTTGGCTCGTAATCCGAGCGCGGTAGAGAAACTGAGAGCGGAGATCGGGAGCGTAGGTGAGGAGGCTCCAACATGGGAGCAACTCAAGCACATGAAGTATCTGAACAACGTCATCAAAGAGGGTAAGCCTTGGATACCCCTTTCCTGGCTTGATCCCCTGAATGACCCCTGACGCTTGGCGCTTAGCGTTACGGCTCTTCAGCCCCGTGGCAACGAACTCGAGGACGGCAAATAAGGAGACAGTCCTACCACGAGGTGGTGGTGAAGACGGTACCCAACCGATACTTGTTCAAAAGGGCACTCCGGTGCGGTGGACGAGTCACGGACTACACCGAAATAAAGACGTGTTTGGGCCGGATGCTGACGAGTTCCGCCCGGAGCGATGGGAGTCCGACCTTCGAGTCAGGTATGTATCTTCCCATCACCACCATGTGAGAGACGCGCCCCCTCCACTGACTGCAAGTTTCAGCTGGGAGTACATCCCATTTAGTGGCGGGCCGCGGATCTGTCTTGGTCAGCAATTCGCCCTTACCCAGATCGCCTACACCCTGTTTAGGTTCTTTGGGGCTTTTCGGGCCATCGAGGCTCAAGATTCTGGCCCATACCTGCTGCGGACTAACCTTACTATCTCATTTCCTTATGGTTGCCTAGTGAGTGTGACGCGAGCTTGAGTGGTTGGAAGTTGCTGGGATTGTATTATCTCCAAGTCGTGGCCAAGGAAAAACGACAATGAATGCACTCCTAGAATTAACTTCACACATTACTCCAACAAGGAGGAAATGAGAACCCAGAGACAGAGGGGAAAGTAAAGTGATCCGGTTCCCGGTCTTCGGGGGGCTTGCTACATTACCCGCTCGACTAATCATCAAACGGACCACTGTTCCTAGCTTCGGTAGTGAAAACAGAATAGAGATTCCGGGTCATGGCCCGCGTAAATACAATCCAAGAAGCAAAGCAACTTACACTACACTACAACTCCCCGCCCACGCCAAAAGCGCCTGGGGTCCTTCCCAAAACCTAAAAGCAAGCCAGAAAACACAACGCTAAATATCCTAAACGCCGGAATCCGTATCTTTCCAAATATGAACTACCTATTCGGCGACGATCGTGTTGGCCGGGCCTTATTGCCGATTTGGCTTGGGTAAGTACCGGCTCCTGAAGGCGTGTCCGATGGTGCCTCCTATAACACTCATCCGGCTACCAATCGTGCCATCCTGCATACGGCTGGCCAGGGCTTCCTCGAGTGCCGATTGTGTGACCGAAGCATCTACTAAGCCGTTAGCAATCACCACCGCCCTTCCAGAGCAGCTAAGACAAACAAAGAAACCACTCACCATCCAAATCACTAAAACTGCTCCCCATACTAGGGGTTCCATCACTCCCCTCCCTGGAGGCTCCCTTCCCTCGACTACCTCCCGGGCCCCTCGCCGCAGCTAACTCAGCCGTCCGCCGCGGTGAGAGCGGGCCCTGCTGGTGGCCACCCGCCCCAGCAACGCCTGGTGCCCGCCGTCCATCAGTAGTCGGTCCCGCTGTCGCTGGCCTCCGCGGGGCTTGGACGACAGCCGCCGACCCGATCGATGAGTCCGACGTCTGCGACTGCGACTGGCTGGCATCGTCGCTTGCTGCTGCTGCTGCCTGCCGACCCCGCCCGGCAAGATCGCGCATGGTAGTGTTCCCCCGCAGTGTAGCGCCCAAGTCTTGACCGCTGCTGCTTCCCGTGCCGTTGACTGAGGGGCCGCCTTGGGGGTTGTATGGGAGAAAGGCGAGCTCACCGTCGTCATCGTCATCATCGTCACCGCCGCCGAACGGATTGTTGCCACCGGTTCGGGGGTCCTTAGACGGGAAGCGTGGCGGGCGACGGATGATGCGGCTTTCGACGGGACTGTCTGAAGATACTGAGGAAGAGGGTGATGATGATGATGTAGAGGCAACTGGGCTTGGGGGGATCTCGGTGTCGGTTTCCTCTTGTGGCCGCTGTTGCGGTGATTGTTGGGTGTGGGGAGTCGAGAGATATGAAAGCCGGCGTCGCTGGGGGTCACTTAACCGGGTGGCTGTCCCTGGCCTACCGCCAAACTGGCTCGGTTGGATTTGGGAGGTGGGGACTGTGGTGTTAGAGGACGAGTTTCGAGAGCTTTCCGGCCGAACGGGGAGAGCGGTTTTGATCGAGAGCCCAGCGGCAGTGGAACCGGAAACAGCGTGGTCCTCTTCATTCTTCTGAATCGGTAGAGGAGTATCTTTGCGCACCGAAAGAGATGATGGAGCGCGGCCGGCTCCTAGGCTGGCCCGCCTGGTAGGGTCTACGGCGATCTGATAGCTCCCCGAAGGATCAGCACCAGGCACTGGCGATGGGGCGTTGGAACCCCTGGCGGCAGCAGCCTTCAGCATGTGCGCTCGGAGTTGGGAGGTATGCCGCTCCGTCAGGTAGGTGGCCATCTGGAGGAGAAAATCGACGGTCACATCGAACTCGCCGGCGCTAGCACAGTGTCAGTATTGGCCTAAGCGATTGCAAACCGAGAAGCCTCACAGCTTGGACCCTGGGCAAGACCGTCAGCAACACAACGACGACAAGAGTGTATCGGATAGAATATGACCTACAGTCAACATTATCGGATAGAGAATCGGATAGAATGCTCCATAGCGCCTCAGACTTCTTCTCACTCCAGTTCACCTTTGACGATCAGGTCAGTCATTGAGCCGAGTTTCTGAAGGAACACAGTGCGAAGCTCACAGTTCCTGGGTCGACGAAGTCGCCGCGGTCGAAGGGGAGCCGGATGTAAACGTGGTATCTAGGCTCTGGGCGTTCTTGAGGGGGTTGTTCAGGCTTCTTTCGCCTATCCGCCGTTGCGGGTTGATCTGCCTTCTGTCTCGATTCCATTCTGTTGATGGGGAGGAAGGTTGCTGGGGAGCCTGTTGTGTAAACCAAAAGGGAAAGGTCGAGCCAGGATGAGCTGGGGTGGGTTGCCAGTGGAGTGGACTGCAAGGGCTTAGTTACATAGCCTTTCGCGGGCGCGTTTGATGGAGGAAATGCATTTAAGAGGGCGGGGTTTGAGCCAGGTCTGGGCATTGTGGCCCTAGCTTCTGTGAGCCTCTGTGCTTCCGCTGTTGCCCAGCAGGATCGCATGGATACAGGGCACGTCAACTGGAGGGCCTAAAAAATCGCGTCGCATTCAGATCGGGCAAACAGGCTCGCATTGAAACACGGCCAATTCGCGCTGAACGCTGCTATTTGCAACATCCCTCATCTACTTTCCGCGCGGGCGACCTACCTAATCTCTATTGGATCGCAATTTCCCGCTGGCATTTCCGCTTGCAACAGCCCGACCATGGCACCATTAATTCTACACAACGTGCCCGACGAGGAGCTCTATGTGGGAGACGACGGCATTCAGAGACCCTACGCAATGGTCTTTCCACAGTATGGATCTGTTGGTTCCTATGTACCTTGAGGAGGCATTCTAACCGGTTGCGCCTACAGACAAGACGGGTCGCTCCGATCGAGGAAGGTGACCCACGAAACCGGTTCCTTCGGCAAGTCGACGCGCCGAACGAGATCGAAGACGGCAACACCAGCTAGGCGAGAAGACCCTACGATAGCTGCGGCGGACAAAGTTTTTGGCAGTTGGCTAGCGGCTCAGAATCAGAATGCGACACAAACAAACGCGCCAGCGGCAGGACAACGAAGACCGACCCTTATACCTTCCACTTCCTCCCAAAACCTTCCCCAAGCCCAGGACGAGAACGCAGCGCCCTCACAAACCCGCTTCACCAAACAGCAGGTGCCTACCGAAGTAATATTGCGCGGGTACCGTTCAGCACAGCAACAATATGCAGCCCTCAACCACTACGAACAGCTCGCCGGCCGGGTATGCGAAGACTACTCGCGCGAGCCCCCGATAGAGAACCGGCGCTACAAGTCGGAGCTGCGCGACCCAGCCTTTACCCGCCGGCGGGCCTTGACTCCTGAAGAGCGCGCCAAGGTCAACAAGGCAGACAGCGGGCAGCACTGGGTGAAGGTGACGTTCGAGTCCGGCGAAGCGGCCGATGCGGCCATCTACGCCTCGCCGCAAAAGATCCTCGGTCATCTCGTCTACGCCGAGCCATATCACGGCATCCCTCCCTTGCGAGACGAAGCTATCCCCGACCCCTCCACGATGGGCAGCGGGCCGCTGCGGACCCCCTCTAACCTACAACACCCCCGAACCCAATTCGGCTTCGGCACGCAACAATCCGGCGGCTTCGAATGGTCCCCTCCGCAGTCGCAGACTTCGTCGTCACTCACCGCCGATACCAGGACCGTGGCTTCCTCGGCCGACGCTACTGCTTCCTCGAGCACAGTCACGGGGAGAGCGCCGGGTCCCGCCAACGACGGCAGCGCGGGGCTTACACCAGTAACGCAGGAGAACCCCGACGATGCGTTTTGCAGGGCCATCCCCACAGTGCGCAAGGCTAAGCTCCTGCCCATGGAACAGGCCCTGCTGCCCGCCCCGTCGTTCACGCAGCGCATCGGAAACCATATCCCGTTCCTCCAGTGGTTCAATGGCGCCATGATCGGGAGCGAGGTGCCGCGCACCGAGCTGGGCGAGTTTGACTGGAACAAGGCCAGTCTGTATTGGAAGCTGATGTGGTGGCTGGACTTCCTGCTAGGGCTTTTTGGAGGGGAAATTCGGGAAGCCAACAAGGATGACTGAAGCAAGCAGACTGTTTTTGTCTTGTAGGTAATAACCATGGCGCTCTCTCGGGGGGCGGCGACATAGAATTTGATGGATTGCGGGCGTTCCCCAGCATTTTCAAGGCGTACATTTTTGGAGTCCTGGAGGGACTGGTGGCTGGGTATTATTCATGATGTGTCTGCGCGCCAATCTATTACGGTTACGGTGCCCAAACAGTTATCCTTTTCGTCAGATTGCGTTATGTACAGTGTTGTTGCCATCAGGGTATATACATTAATTCAAGCCCAATTCCCTTCGGTGGCTCAAGCCCCCCTCCAAGCCCACAATCATATGCTGTCATTTGTGTCGCTCCACGTCCCCTCCCGCTGTTGCGGATCCCCCAGGCTTGCGCCAACTATGTCTTTGGCTTCGTCATCGGTCGAGCCACGCCGTAACCCCTCGTTGCGCCATGGATGGTTCTCGTCGTCCTCTTGGCCCTCGCCGTCCTCCTCAACCGCGCACTCTTCGTCGTGCTCCTCTATACCGTCGTGGTCACGACTCCGTTCCTTACCTGAACTGGATGGTGCCTCGGCAGCCGCACTCTCGATACCACCGAGCAGGTCCTCCGGGTTTAGCTTCAACGGTTCCGGCTGCGGAGAAAACGGCCGCACATTTCTCGACCGGTTGAACTCAGAAAAGACACTGTCGGTATCGCGGTCCCTCCCCCTCCCAAGGTCGGAATTGGTCACCGCCCCAGCCAGGCTCTGATACCGGTCCGTATCCACCAGCAGGCTATCAGAACGTGTGCCCTTCGCCCCTCGCATCGTGTCAGCCCCCGACGTGTCCGCCAGTATGCTCTTGGGCGGCAGGATGCTGAACAACGTGGCGCCCTCGCCCGAAGAGCCCACCCCAGCACTCCCGTCACCACCTCCTCCCCCCTTCCCCGACCCACCTAGCGGATCCATCTCCGGGGCGAACAGATCCACCCCCTTCTCCAACACCTCCTCCAACCCGCCGCCCGTCCACCCCTTCCTCGCCAAGCTCTCAAAGATATCCACCTCAGCCCGGACCAGGCTACAGCTCGCATCGACGATGCGGCCGCTCGCCTCCTGGCTCTCGCCCAGCAGGGTGCGCGCGTGCTCGCCGTGCAGCACGGTCAGGGCATCGAGCTTGCCCGTCAGCTCGACCAGGTGGCCGCGCAGCTGGCCGACGTCGCGGCGGCGCTGGCGGTGCATCCGGACGCCCTCCTTCTCGAGGCGGCGGATCTCCTTGCTCTGGGCCTCGAGGGCGCGCGCGTAGCCTTCCTCCTCGTCGTCGACGGCGCCGCGCCACCGGTCCAGGTCGTGCAGCAGCGGCACCTCGAAGGCGCGGTACACCGTCTCCGACAGGATGTGCTGGTGGTTCGCGACCAGGTGCTGCAGGCCCGCGGCGGCGAGCAGGGTGTCGGCCGTGCAGGCGGCGCCGCGGTTGGCGGCCGTCGTGAAGCTGTTGCTGAGCGGGGCGCCCGGCGGCGGCCCCGCGGTGGCCAGCTCGGCGCGGGCTTCCTTGAGGCGGGCGCAGGACTCGAGGGCGGAGCCGAAGGTCGAGGCGGCGGTGGAGAGGGAGGCGAGGGCGAGGCGGTAGGCTTTTGCGCTGGCGAGCAGGTCGGCGTAGGCGGCTTGGGAGTGCGCCAGGTCGGCTTTGGTCAGGACGGCATGGGCGGGGCGCGGGGGTGGTGGTGGAGGGAGGTTGTATTGAGATAGTGGGTTCGCGGTCGAGGCGTAGGAGTAGGTTGGGCTCGCGGGGACGGGGGGGAGTTGGGAAGGGGTCGGGGTCGGGGTCGGCGAGGGTGGGGAGTTCGCTGCCATTGTTGATGGGCTGTGGTGTTGCTAAATTAGGGAGACAAAGGAGACGAGTTGCGATGGATGGGTGAGTTGAAGACCGGCGAGTTTGTTTACTTTAACTCTTTGGGTTCGTCGGGCTTGAGGCTAACAATGGGCCCACATAGTCTAAGTCGGGCGAGAGAGCGTGTGCCAACTGTAGATGTGGTCGAAACTCGAATGAGAATCAAGGAAATTCCCGAAGACTAACGCATAGACAACACTTTTCAACCCTCGATGATGACAGGAGCAAGAAACTGTGCATGACAATTGTGCATGAGACTGCCTGAAGTGCCTGCCGGGCGCCCATGTGATGATGCAGCTGGGCCAACAGCGGGCCTCGCGGCGGCAGGGGGGTGATAAGATAAGACCGAACGGGTTGGGCTGGTGGGGTCAGCATCCTTGGGAAAGCCGGCACTGGCCGGCTGTTTGGTTAGCGGGGTTGGGTCGACGGACTGAATGAACATCATCAGACGACGTAAATCAGGTATCTACTGCGTAAAGTATGGTCTAGAGAATTAACGCCCAGTTCACCCCGTCATTTAATAACCCATCGTACTTCCTCTCAACCATACCATGATAAAAAGAGGCCGTTAGAGCTCAGACTTGCCCTCGTTCCCCAACGCCGGAAGCCGCTCCTTCAGGAAAGCCTCGATGTCGTCCAGTTCCTCCAGGCAAGCCGAATGCCCCATTTGCCTTGAGATCTCAATTAGCAACAAGCAATAACCATGAAAGTCCTCGATTTCGACTCACTCGTAAATCTTCAGCGTGGCATTGTAACCCAAGCCCTTCAACAGCTCGTGCGACATCTTGCCAAGCTGTGTGTTCACCACCTGGTCGGAGTCACCGTGGCCCATGAAGATGGGTGTGTCCCGGTTCACATCGGGGCTGGGTACCAGCTCGGCAAACTTGAGGCTCAGCAACAGGTACGACGAAAGCGCCACGATACCAGCCAATTTCACCTTGGAGGTGAGGCCGCTGAACAGGCCCATGGCGCCGCCCTGGCTGAAACCTCCGAGCACAATCCGGTCGGCCGGGATGCCGGCGTCAATCTCCTGTTGGATGAGCTCGTGAAAGTATGCCTGGCTCAGCACGATGCCGGCCTCGTCCTCATTGCGGCGGATAGACTCGACATTGCCGTCGATGGTGTGCTGATGTTGTGAGCAGTTATGTTCCTTGCAAATGTTGCTTGCAAACGGGCAAATGGGCGAACGGGCGAATGGGGGGACTCACAATATCATACCACCCCGGCATTCTCATGCCCATGTTGCAGGTGATGGGAATTGACGGAGCATGGGGCAAAATGAACTTCACTTCATCAAGGCGCTGCCGGCGGCGCCAGTTCTCAACGGCGCCGGCCCAGCCGTGACCTGTGTCGCCCAAACCATGGACGAAGATGACTGTCGCAGTGTGCCTCGCTGTTGCCGGGAACAGCAACGGTGGTGACCGAATAACTGACGCCATGGTTGTTTTAATCGGCGTCTATTCGTAAAAACCGGAACTTGTAGAGGAAAATGGCGATCTAGTGTCGACAACGGGTCCGGTCCGGAATCTTAAAGAAAGTGAGCGGGGCTGAGGCTGATGCCGGCCCCGAATCTTCGGACTTCAAGGGTGGCTTGTTCGGGGCAGTGCCGGTAAGGGTTAGGGTCAGGTTGAATTGCTTTTTCTCCTTTTGGCCAGGGTTCCACAGTGGACTTTGGGGGAGCAAACACCCGCGCGGCTTCCCCTTCGAGATGGCAAGAATTAGTAAATGCTTACCAAAACAGGAAAGTCCAGGTCAACCGAATGCCGAGAACGCGAGATGATGTTCATCTGTCTGAACAATAACCTCTTGGTTGGTTGTATCTGGGTTGGTAAGCTGCAGGCTGGCGAGACAATCACTTGGAATACAAATATATCGCTGTTGAGCCACTGAGCATCTCCAAATTACAGCGGCAATCGCGATGTTTGGATCGCGCATATTTGGGGATCATCGCATCTTCAGGTTATTTATTCTGCCAATTTTAGTCCTCATTCTGGCTCTCCTTTTCCGGTCATCAATTCCTTTGGCACATAACTTGCCGTCCTTGACTAAGATCAGGAACTATTCATCACTGTTCAAGTCAGCACAGCCGTCTCCCAAAATGACGAAGGCACCAGTGTATTTCTTCAGCCACGGAGGAGTAAGTTTACATCAGCCGTAATACATTTATAGATCTTATTCTCGTTAACACACTGCCAGCCGAGTGTCCAATACGACACGGCACACCCCGCATACCCCGTGCTCCAGGCAATCGGCAAGGAGATCACCCAGAAAGTCAAACCCAAGGCTCTCGTAGTATTCTCCGCCCACTGGCAGGCCGAGCCCAATGAGATCAACCTCAACAACGCCGAGGACACTGACCTCATCTACGAGTATGTCTACGACCCCCTTTTCCTCATCCAAAAGCCGAGTCTGAGCACACCCTTGAACACCACTGACCCCCCAACTCTCAGCTTCTACGGCTTCCCTCCAAAATTCTATGAAGCCACCTTCCCCAGCAAAGGCAGCCCGGAGATAGCCTCGCAGATCCTCAGCCTGCTCTCCGATGCGGGGATCAAAGCCAAGGGCCTCAAGCGCGGCCTCGACCATGGCGTCTTCTCGGGCTTCAACGTCGCCTTCGGCCCCGACGAGAACCCACTCACCTGCCCGCTAATCCAGGTTTCGCTCTTTAACAACGAGGATCCGGACGCCCACTACCGCCTCGGCCAGGCCGTCTCTTCACTCCGCGACGAGAATATCGTCATCATCGGCACGGGAATGTCAGTGCACAACCTGCGCGACATGCGCACTACCTGGGGCCAAACTACGCCTCAGCCCTACGTAGCGTCCTTTGACAACGCTCTGAAGGAGGCCGTCGAGGCGGATCCGGGTGTTAGGCAAGAGAGAATGGCTGCCGTGTCCAAAAGACCGGATGCCAGGCAGTCGCACCCGTGGATGGACCATCTCATGCCCGTCTATGTGGCGGCGGGCGCGGCGGGCGAGGATAAGGGGATACAGACCTGGACGATGCACGAGCCGTGCTTCGCGTGGGCGCAGTACCGGTTTGGGGAGGTCCCGGCGTGAGATCAGGAACTGTTTTCAAGTTGACACGGCATTGCGGGCCTTGGTGGTGATAACTATCATGTCATCTATTTTCCTTGTCCGACTTTTATGTGCGGCATCACTCACTCAGCTATAACCGCTTCGTAAATACATCCACCACGCCATCAAACCTCCTTTTTCTTCAAGATCGCGATTGGCTCCTGCCGCTCGATTACCACAACACATTACTTCCACCCCCCTCCCAGCCATGTGTGCAAGCAAATCTAACCGGCAAACGCGCCTCCCGTCTATCCACACAGCCACCCGCTGTCTCCCTCCGTTCCACTCTCCTCGACAGCCGATCACCCTCACCGATGACCGTGTCCACGCCTCGCCTCAGCCCTGTGGTCGCAAAAACTCCTCCCTCTTTGTCAACCACAGGACCGTGGCGCTCACATGGCGGCGGTGACGGTGTCATCCACCATCTCGGAGATATCGCCCAGAAACAGGCTAGCAACAACCGCGGCACCGCCAAAGACGGCACTGCAGTAGTACACCCAGGGGTAGGCGTTGGCGTACGCCTGCTGGCCGGCGGCGACGATAGCCAGCCACGCCGCGTCGCTGACCCCCGGCAGGCCGCGGATCTCCTTGACGAGCGAGGCCGCGGTCAGCTCGATGATCTCGCGAACGACGACGGGGTCGGTGACGCCGGCGCGGGCGCAGGCGGCGCCGACGAGCGCGCCCAGCTCGGGCACGAGCCGCTGCACGAAGACGTTGAGGTAGACGGCGTAGCCGACGGCGCCGCCCACGATGCGCACCGCGATGGTCAGCGCCGTCACCGTCGCGATCACGTCGCCCGCGCAGACGATGGTGGCGACGGTGGATACCGGGATCGTGATCCCGCCCACGCCCGTGCCGGCGACGAATAGGATCCCGTACACGGCGTGCATGTTGTGCGGCGTCGCGAGCGCCATGCAGCCGCACCCGACTGTCATGAGTACGGAGGCGCCGAGGATCAGGTACCGGATTTGGCCGCCGCGGAAGCGCGAGAGGAGCACGAGCGAGACGATGCAGCCTGTGAAGACGCCGAAGGCGAAGGGGAGGCCACGGAGGCCGACACCGACGGGCCTGGGAGACGGGGAGAGTGGATTAGTACGGGGGTTGCCCGGGGGAGCGGGGGGTAGGGTTGAAGATGGGAGACTTACTCGTGGCCGTAGACGTTGTAAGCCTCAGGGGGCCAGAGAAGCAGCACCGAGAAGAAGTTGGCGCCTGAGATGAAGGTGATGATCATGGTGAGAGCCAGCGTCCGGGGCGCCTTGCTGAGGTTGCGGGGGACCATCGGATTGGCGGTGCCCCAGAGCTGCCAGGCCACAAACGCGGCGATGGCGCAGATGCCGATGATCAGAGGAGCCAAGGTGCGGGCGCTCGTCCACGGAAACTGTTGCAGCACCTTGTCAGCGCTTTTGCTCTTAGATGTTCGACCGAGGAGGACTCACCTGGTATCCGCCTGCGAGGATGCCGACCTCAAACAGGGCCAGCCCGACAATAGACAGGAACCCGCCCATGAAGTCAGTCCGCTTCAGCAGAGCCATCTTCTCCCTCCAGCCCTGGACGCGAGCACGGGGCGGGGGGAAGTAGAAGAGAATCGTCAAGACGATGCCGGCAAACGCCCAGCCCGTCGTCACGATCGAGATGTAGCGCCAGTTCGAGTAGGCCGCAATCAGCTGGGCATACATGGCAGACGGCATAAACGGGAGAACGGTCAGCACCATGCCAGCGATGTAGTAACCACGGTGAGACAGCGGCACCAGCTCGGCGGTGCCGGCCAGGGCCGTGAGCTCGTTGATGCCAGTACCGATGCCCGTGAGACCCATGCCAGCTGGTTCGGTAGGGTACATAAGTTAGCTCAGGTATCCCTGATTTTGGGATGATCTGGTATTTTTATGAGAAATAACTTACCGATGAACATAGCCATGTCGATTGAAGCGCCGCAAATGATCTGACCGAAGATGATGATGGCACTTCCGATGATGGCGACATAGCGGCGGCCCACGAGATCCGAGAGAGCGCCAACGAAGGGGGCGATGGCAGCGGTGGCAAGGAGGTGGGCAGTAATGAACCACACCCAGTAGCTGAGACCGCCGAGGTCACGGTAAATGTATACTGGAGCACCGGCTGTGTTGCAAGCAAGATGGCTCGTTAGTGATTGAACGGTAGAAAGGATGGCAGCGACCGGCGATGAAGAGGTAAAAGTGAAAAATAGGTATGTACATACCAAACAAGTACAGGGGAGCCTGGGCGCTCGTCCACATAAAGGCCAGAGCAGTCAGAGCTAGCCAGCGGTTGACATTGGTTTTGCCCTGAATAAAGGTCAGTTGAGCGACTCGGAGAAATCTAGAGACATGGACATTAGAAAGGCACAAACCGTGTGGTCGCTGTCGTCCTCAGTGGTGCTTGTCTCGCCCACGACCATGTCACCAGGCATTCTAGTGCTGCGTTCCCAGGCGCTGCCATGTTGAACCTCCTCAGAGACATTGACCTCCTTCGGGGGAGGCTGTGGTGGTGACATGGTGAGGCACTCTTCTTATTTTATGTTCCTGCACGGCCGTAAGCGTTTCTGAATCGTGTACCATGTTTAAAAGAGTCAGGAGTCTGGGGGCATACCCGTAATAAGGCGCAAGCAACAAAGGCAGGGGAGGGGATAGATTAGTTTGCTGTTGTGTAATGGTCCGGGAAGCGCCACTTCGTGTTTTGTGCGTCCCCCTTCGTGCTTCTGTTCCGAGTTGTGGGTGAAAGGAAAGCAAACACGGCAGGGCAGGAAGGGAGAGAATTTTTATACCTGAAAGAAAGAAGAAGGACCCTAAGACTCCCTTCTCATTTTCAGTATATCGTCCGATGCCATGACTGCCCTGGCCGTGTGCGGAATCGGAGTTCACTGTGCTCGTCTGAGGTGTCAACAACATGAGCAACAGTCGTCGGCGCAGGGAGATCCCCTGGAAAGAGCCGCATGCCAATGTTGTGTTCAGATCCGAGATTGATGCTTTGGAGGGAGTGTGTGTGTACGGGTCGGATCCAGGACCTGCGTGGGGGAAGAGACGCTCGGGGGCCGGGTTCAGGGGTTATGGCAGCAAGCCGCCCCCCCAAGTCTCGAGCTGCCATTGTCGAAACGGATGTCTCCCGCTGGCGGTGCCTTGCGGACGGTGCATTCCGTACCATGAGCCGTTGAACTGAGTGGCCTCGTCCGTCCGTCCCGCTGGTATCTGCACACCAACATCAACCATCCCACCCACGAAGAATGGCACACGCAACGACCCCATGTTTGTTTGCTGGCTTGAAGGGCTGGTCCCTACAAGCTGACGCCATCTCGACATCGTGAGCATCCTCGGGTCAGGGTACCCGGTCGCCGAAGCCGTTCCAAATAGGATGATATGACCGTGTCTCAGCCCTTCCATCCCACGCGTCCGGTGTAGGCTGCAAGAACACCTCGATCACAACGCTGGGGAGACAACGGCGAGACCACCAATCAGGTGTGCCCCCAAGCCAGGCGCAAAAAGAAGCGGAAGCCCGGGACTTATGCCACATGCTCCAATTTCTTGATGAGCATGGATAGTGAGCAAGACAGCTGATCTTGTCGGAACTGTAGGTAGCCGTCGCGCAGTTCAGCAGCAGCAGCAGCAACAGGAGGCTGGCGATGGTGACACAAGGATCTGCCAAACTGCATTCCCATGCTCTTAGTAATACTGAAAGAGGGAGAGAAAAGCGCCGGTACGTGCGAGAGAGGCCCCAGGATTCGGGATCCAATGTGTCGGATGGATTGTCGGGTCCGGTCCGACTGGGAGCCGGGAAGGGAAGGGAGCCATCAGGATCCTCGTGCAGCTGTGTGTTTGTTGCGCGTCTCCCACGTAATTTCGAGGGAGTATTGACATTTCCTCGGCCGAAAGATAGCGTCGAGAAAGCAGTTGGTGCGGTAAGTTGAAAGAGTTGGTCGAGTCACAACAAGGAAGGACGAAAGTGAGTTGTCGAGCCGCAAAGAGACGGTGACACAGGTGGGTTGCACATGGTAGCATCCCTGCTCCCTGCAGCTCAACTGTCTAAGGTGGTTGTTAACCGTGAAGGGGGAAATAAGCGAAAGGGCGATGGTTATCGGGGTGGTAGTGAAGACTGGGCCATGGCAATGAAGGTCGAGGCAGCCCAGGTTGTCCAGGTTGTTCTCTCCATCAATAACACCAGTTTGTGCTCTTCCGGAGATTTCTACCGTGACGCACGCGGGCTTTCATGCTTGTGCCACATTGCCCATGCTTTGAATATCAGGGGAAACCCCCTTCCAGCAGACTGGCGGGTTTCGTGACTTCGTCCAGTTCGTTACCAGCGGGTTTGTTGATTGCCTTCATCCTTGGACAAGAGACTCCCGCAAGGAAACCACCAACAAACCCCGAGTCTCGGTATTTCCCACCCGTACCCGAGTCACGTCCCTCTTCCGACCCTCATCGTTGAGAGTGTTTGCAGTGCTATGCCACATCCGTCCTCCTGCTCCGCTCTGTCAACGTGAGAATGATGCCATGATCTAGGCTCACCCGGAGAGACTTACAAAAAGGGGCCTCTATGCGGGGTCTAGGTCGGTCGGCAGCCTAGCGAGGTTGCATATGGCGTGAGATCTCGGGTCCGATCTACATGCAGCGTCTACCTAGCATCGCCTTGGGCATTTATTCTCGTCGAATCCGAGCGTTTCCGAGATAAAGTCACGCATACTAGATCCGGTATACTGTCTGTGTACGGAGCACACGGCGAGATGACTGCGGCCCCGACGTGTATGAGAAGGATAAGAAGGGGGTATGGGAAAAGGGGGGAACGGAGACTATAACCTTTCCGGGCTGTTGTTGGTTGTCCTCGACTCCGCCCATCATTGCCTGCCCGGTCACTCCACCGGATTGAATTCCCCCTCTCCGGGCCCGGTCCCGGGTACCTAAACGGGCATCCGATCTCAGACAGCATGGCGCGGACTTCTCCCCGGGAAGGCAGAAGCCATTTTGAGTTCTGATGGGGGTTGGGAGATGGCGCTGGATGACGACTCCGGAGAGATTGGCGCCAACCGATCACTTGCTCACTCCACCACCCATCTCCACCACACACAAATCAACCGCACCAAAAAATGAGACATACAACACCAGACATTCGCTGGTCGTCTCCGACCCAACTACTACCCTGGCGGTTGCTGACTTTTCAAGAGGAGAGCGGACGGGATCCCGAATATTCCAGCACCTATGGTCGTATGTGTCAGGGGCTGACAGTGCTTGGGTTTGTCAACAGCATGCTGCCGGGCCGTGTCACTGATGAGGCCACGAGCGTGGCTAGAATGATAATGATGTGAATTAGGTAGAGCATGTCGCTCGAGTGCCAGGTCCTAACAAAAGAAGGAGGCCAGATCATGGCCAGCAGCTGAGCCTCGCCTGACATGACCGAAAACGTAAGTAATGGAAGGAGACGCGCGCGCTGAAGTCGCTGACTCGCTCTATCGAGCAGTGGTATCCAAGAAGTTGGTACATCCATCCCAATCCAGCCCGATTCCCCGTGGTATCGCCAAACGCCGTCCTGACCGGTCCCCGTACCCCTTTTCCTCCCTCCCCCGCAACACACTCCCTTTCCCTTCCAACCCACCTCCAAACTCTTCCGTACATGTACATGCATCACCCCCCCTCACAAAGCATAATTCTCGGTATGCAAAAAGATCTCCTCGAGCATATCATCGCCCCAAATCTCGGCCTGGAGGCGGGCGACGGTATTCGCGACGCCGACGCGCATGGCCGGGGGCCCGCACACGAAGACGGCGGTGCGGCGGCCGAGGATGCCGCGGCCGTCGGGCCCGCCCGTGGCCCACTCCTTGAGCATGTAGCCCAGGTCGGGCCGGCCGTACTCGACGCTCCAGCCGCCGTCGATCTCGTGCGGGATCGGGAAGGCGAACCGCATCAGCGACCGCTGGAACTCGGTCGGCGTCTCGGGGAACCCGAAGTCGAACCCCGACGGCGGGCCGATCGTGCTCGTCGGCCGCGGCCGCGAGAACCCCCCCACGTCGGTGCGCAGGTGCGCGAGCTCCGGCGGGTGCACCGGCGCCGAGCCGCCGCCGCCGCCACTCCCTTCGGCAGTGCCTTGGTGTTGTTGTTGTTGTTGTTTAGTGTCGCTCGCGGCCTCGCTACCGCCCGCTTGACTGAGGCGGGGGTCTGCCTCGGAGAGGATCTGGCTATAGCGCTGTCTCCCTGCTGGCGGGGCATAGTTAAAGTAAGGAGTACCGTCGCTGCGCGCGGCGCCGAGGGGCGGGAAGTGGAATTCACCGTCGTTCTTCTTGTGCTGGCTGGAGGCACCGGAATGGCCCTCGGAGGTGGGTCGCTCGAGACTCTTGGCCTCGCTGTCACGGCCCTCGAGCCTACGCAGCGTCTCCTCCGCGGGAGACAACCCGTTCATGTTAGGAGGCGGGCCCGGCGGTGGTGGGGGCAAGTTGTGAGGTTGTAGGTACTTCTGCTGTGGTAAAGCCGTGATGCGATCTTCATCCTCGCGCCGCAGCTCGCGCTCTCTCTCCGGGTCGCCCTGGGCCTCGGACGTGATGAGGGCGCTGTTGCGCTTGCTCGCGATACCCGCGACGAACCCGTCGAGCTTATCGTGGAACATGTTGCTCAAGGGCCTAGGTGCGCGGCTGTGAAGGGCGGCCGCGTTGGCCTTCTGCCGCACCGACGCTGTGACGAAAAACTTGCACGTAACGCTCTCTGGTGGCGCGGCCTCGCGGCAAATCCGGAGCTCCTCGCGGAACCAGTCCATGGCTTCCAGTCGCTTCAGCGACCACACCACCACAATCTTCTTGGTGATGGCTTTCCCATCGCGCATTCGTTTAATAAGGTTCAAGAGCTGCGACATCAGCGATGTGATGCCACTCCCACCGGCAATCAGGATGCAGGTATCAAAGGCCGCGAGCTCGCGTCGCATTCCACCATATGGCCCGTCGAGAAAGGCGCGGTAGGTGTGGAAAGGCCCTTTGCTGATGGCAGTGTCGAGCACCTTGCGCGTAAAACCGCCGTACGGGCGGAAGACAAGTACGCAGTCTCGAAATTCCTCACCGTACTCGGACGGAAAATCCTCGCTGCAAAGGGAGGAAATGGTGAACGGGTGGTTCTCTAACACAGAGATCCCGGGCATCCGGAGGTAAACATATTGACCGGGCTTCCACCGCATCTGTGTCGGGATGGTGATCTTGATGGCGTTCTCCGTCATGATGTTGATGGCGGCCTCGTCCCCCACAAGCCACGCCATGCGCCACGGCCTCGCCCAGTTCAGCTTGAAGACGCGGAGGATGTTGCAAACGACGATGATAGCGGCGGACGCGATCAGGTAGCCCCACGACATGAGGAAGTTTTTAGTGTGCCAGAACAGCACCGCGACGTAAATGTAGCCGACAGGAGCGTGTAGCAGCGAGAAGATCTCGTACGCTGTCCTCCGGATGATGGGCAGCGAGCCCACGCAGAGCCAGCAGAGCGGAACGATGCAGGCAATGCCAGAACCATAGATAATCCCGCTCCCAGGGGGGAACAATGTATCGAAGACCCGCATCCCACCATCCTCCCAGACCGGCTGGATATAGAAGGGGATCATGTGGACCAGCGACATGAAGAGGCAGAGATATCCCAGCCAGCGGTGGAAGACGTTAAGGCGCTCGGGGCCAATGCCTGTGATCATGGTAAGGAGGTTTGTCTTGGTGCTGGTCGCGATGATCCAAGGTGTCATGGCGACGGCAATCATGCCGGACCGGATGGCGAGCGGTGGGGATCCGAACCGGATGCTCTGCCAGTAGAGAGGCTGCTGCAGGAAGCAGAAGATCGTCACAAACGCGACGGAGATGAAGGCGCAGCCCAGCACGGCGAGAGAGCTGAATGTGAACCGCTGTTTCCTTAACACGATATCCGGGATTGGGCGGTAAAAGACCCATCTAAACAGGGCCAGTGTGTCGTTGAAAAAGCCGACAGACGAGAAATGCGCCTTCGGTTTGAACTTCTTCTCCTCGACGTGCTGCTCCTCCGGGAAGAAATGCCGTCCTGATTCCGAGGCCGTCACACCCGTTGCGAGAGCCGCCGACCTATCCCACCCTGGGTCCATCGAGTACAGGTTCTGAAAATGCTCCATGTCCTGCTTGTAGATGGCTTGCCGGATCTTGTCCTGCCAGTAGTGCCATACCCTCATAAACACGGCCAGGGCCCCAATGGCAAGCGCGAAATATGTCCATCCCAATCCATATTTTCCAGACTGCGACCACGGATCTACCGTGAGGGCCTGTACCAAGCCAGGCGGACTGTTCGGTTCAAGCGGTATATTAATGCGCTTCGCGAGCTCGGCTAGAGTTCCCGGGGAAGCATCGGCGGCGCTTCGCAGCGCTGGTTGGAGTTGTGAAGCCATCTGTTGTTGTGTTTCCATGCGCCAGAGCCTTGATGAATGGTCCCGCCCGGGCACCGGCCCTCCTTTCCAAACCCTCTCGGTAATGCCGCAGGACCCGAGCCGCAACGAGAAGCCGCCGTCAAGGTTGTTGGTGTTGATGTTGTTGTCGAAGGTGAGGCGAGGAACGCCGGGGGCTGATTCAGCTGAGATCACAGGACGTCGAGATATCCATCGAAAGAAGAAAATGAGATGCGCAAGCGGGAAGGATCCGGAAAGGTGGATGTGCCCGCCAGCGCAGGAGAGGGGCACAGTGATATAATCAACGCTACCCCTGTTGATCGAGAGAGCTGTATGGTGTGCTCAGGAGCGTGGCTTAATCTCGACCCAATCCCAATCCAGTCGAATGCGTAAACCACCGCAGTCTTCCTAATTTCAGTGGCGCTGGTGTCGAGCGTGAAAACCCTCTTGGCGTGTGTCGAACTGAGTTTGGCCAAACGAGACAGCGCCTTAGGCCGACCGGGTTACAGGATGGAGATTTGCGAGCAAGAGGCACACACCAGGTTCCAGCGGTTGCGTGGGTTTTAATATTGGACACCGGTCCTGCACGGTTGCATGGGTATCACACGGGGGTGAGATAGCTCCTCCGCGGAACAAGTCGGCAGTGTCGACACGACCGATAGTACTCGGCAGAGCTGCACAGGCGGACGCTAGGCTTCGAGGCTCGGGCCTTGCAGGTTCGGGGAGAGAAAGCGGACGGGTTTGTCAACCCTGGGTGGCCGATTCTTGCTCTGTCGAAGCAGTGATCTGCGAGTGTTTCTCTTGGTTACTTTCACCTAGCAGTGTTGTCGCACAAGCGGGCGGGGGCACGCGCAGTCAGCAACGTGCGCACATGGGAACCGGATGCTGTGCCCGTGTGTCCAGGGACGACGGGAGAGGTGGGAAAAGCTTGTTGATATCAAGTATACTGTCTCTCCCACCAGGAACGTGGGGACAGGGCACTGTGCAGGAGAAGAATGCCCCCCCCTGACCGCTGTCATCTCACTGTCTCCAGGACGTCGTCCAGTAAGAGAGAGAACAACCAGGATCCATGGATGCGCTCAGCAAGGTCGGCCGAGAATGTGACCGTATGCTCGACTTGCTTGCAGCAGCAGCGGGAACGCGAATTGGAATTGCGCATCCCCCACAGCCCACTGCTGCGACCGCCCCCGCCGACCTCGAAGATTTCATGCAAGCCCGCATTGTGATTCCTCGGGCCCCCAAGGCAGGCGTCAAATCGCGTTCGAGTATTGAGGTGACGATTGAGCTCGAACCCAGCGAATGGGAAGCAAGCGACGGCGAGTGAGAAGCCGTTGTTGGATGTTCTGGGGAAGACGGCGGGCCAGTGTGGGGATCGCAAAAGAACGGTGACAGGGGTTGTGTGCAGGCCTGGGCGGCAAGAACGGTTTGCTAATTGGCTGCCGGTCCTTTCCGCTCTTCACCTCCTAGGCTCGGCCTGTGCTTGCCGTGGTTGATGATGATTGCTGCAGGGGCCCTCAGGTACCTGCTTCGGGAAGCGGGGAAGCGACGACAGCGTCACTTCTCTGGACTTCGTACATGGAATGCAACGTCTTCCTGCTCCTCTGTGGAATTTGAAAGTTAAAGTCCCATGCAGGGCATCGAGTCGTCGTCCTATCAAACGATGAACTTGGGACGGATGGTTCCAGCGTGCTCCGGTACACTGGGTCGGCCGTGTCTCGTAGCCGCCCGAGACGGTGATGTGAAGGCAATAGATTGTGTGCGAGAGAACGCCCGGATCTGTTCGCATCCCGATCGGGCCTCACAGACACACATTACATCACCCCTTTCGAGATCGCCGCCACTGTCATGGAACATGCCGCTGAGCCTGACGGAGCCCTCCCCAGTGTGTTTCTCAAGTTTCTCAACGCCATGCTAACTGCTCACTCGAGACTCAGTAGAGGCGCCAGCCAACCTTATCTTTACCGTTTAATTCGCGTATAACTCCCTCATCCTGTCGCCGTCAAAAGCCAATCCGCTCACATCCGCGCTCGGCTCTCGTCCCTGAACCATTTCGGCCAACACCACGCCCGTGCCAAGACTCATGGCGATACCCCACGGTCCGTGACCGGCGGCAATGAACACTCCCCCTTCCCCCGGCTTGGTTGCCATTCCGGCACCAAGGTCCTGGTCCCGAATTTTGGAGATAATCGGCGCTCCCCAGGAGGTTATGGGCCGGAAGCACAACCCTTCCCGAACTATCTCCAGATCGCCATCGCCCTCAGCCGTTCCCGAACCCGACCCGAGAATGTCTCTAGCAGCTTGTCGCAGCTGCGCGAGGTTTTCGGGGTACGGCGTTGACTTCCCCTCCGCTGGATCCGGGAGGGGAAGCGTCGAAGAATTGAGGCCGGCAAAGTAGATATCACCATTGACCCGCGAGAATAGTTCCGGACAGAAATCCTCGTTGTGCGTGGTGAAGAGGGCGTGGCACCCGTTCTTCTCTAGCCCGGCATGCCACCGCGGTGACTTCAGAACCAGCGAATGCCCGGCCAAGCTCTTGATGGGGACTTGGAGCTTCGACTTGGAGAAGAGTATCTGAAACACTTGTCCCGTCCATGATCCGGCCGTGATGACCAGCCGCGTGCAGGGCAGCTCCCGTTCCGCAGAGGACTTGGTATCAATAATGCGGATACCAGCCAGCTCGTTGTTTTCACCGGTGCTCACCGCAACCGGCTTGGCCGGGTGATGTAGCTTCACCCCGCGCTTGAGGCACTCTCGCAAGAGGAACTGGCATAGCAAAAGGGGATCAACTTGTGCGGTAGTACCCTCATCGCTAATGAGCTCGATATGGTCGCCCTCTGTCCTCCGCAGCCAAGTCGGCGACTTCCCGGAGAGCGAGTCCAGGACTACCGGAGCCGCATCCGCGCGGCTGGTCCCGGAACGTAACCAGTCATCGCCCCGTGCCTGTGAATCGTGTGCGGAAGCCGATGCTGCGTAGCTGACGCACGTGGTCGCCGAATAGCCCCATGCCTTTCGTCCATCGTGCTCTTCTGCAAGGCGACGGTGTTCCTCGAAGCTGAGGACGCCGAGCGCTGACAGCGAAGGCCCGAACCAATGCTTGGCGAGGAACCCTCCCGCAAATCCGGAGGCCGAGGAGAATAATTCAGGAGACGGTTCGACCAGGTGAATGGTTGCCGGGTCCTGGTGCTGCGAAAGATAGTAAGCTGTCGAGACGCCGATGATACCCGCCCCGAGGACGGCAGTAGGACAAGACATGTTTTATAGCCGACAGAGGATCGGGATATAGAAGCCCCCTAGGTTTCGTTGAGAATAGGCCAATGCCGTCGATCTTAGGAACAGGTAATGAAGATGGATGATGGGCTCATTATATAGCGAGCGAACGGCAAACACCCCACCTTCGGTCCCCGCCGGCTTAGTCGCCGCGCCGGCGCCGAGGTCCTCGTCCCGAATCTGGAGACAATCGGCATCCACCGCACGCTTAGCGGAAACCTTTTCCGTGTGTTTTATGTCGGCACCCCATGGGCGAAAAAAAGCTGGACTCCAAGTGTAGACGTTGACTAAACGTCGACTGTAAGAACGAAATCAAAGCTATCCAAAGGCTCCAAGAAGCCTATTAGCTTACTTTTCTTTTTCTTTTTATGTCTTCTATTTAATTTGTTTTTCCTGATTACTTTCACTTAATTCTTTTTAGTTTTTTATTCTCCTTTGGAGTTTGGCTTTTTTAAGCTGCATTAATTAGTTTACTTTTTATTTTACTTGATGTCTTTCACCTAATTCTTTCTGCATAATAAGTTCCTTACTTTCTTTTGGAATTCGGCTTTTTTAGCCAGAGGGTGGTCAGGTATACCGCTCCCTCTCAAGAGGATGATAGAGAAAGTCAGGTCCATTCCTTCCTTTAACTCATGGAAAGTAATATCGATCGTACCTTCCTCCTACCTAAATGAAAGCAATATCCTACCTTCATCCCAATCAAACTATCTGATTTATAGAACATTTTCCCACAAAACCAAAGCAGCCTAACAAATCGGTCATTTCTTCCCTTTCCACTCCCACATTCACATCGCATTCAATCTAGCTGCGGTATCCCACAAAACCAAAATCAACCACAAACAACAAACGATCATGCCGGGTCCAGCATTAGACCTCCTCGCCGATCAACCGTAAACTACCTAACAAGCACCAAGGAGGATGGGGAGGAACGTTCTCCCAAACACCCGGCCGAGAAGGCAACCTCGTCGCAGAACACACCGACCAGCAATTCTAGAATTATCTCGAATTCCGACGCAGCGAACTCTACTACAAATACGGCTTCCGTACCAGAAGATGCCCCCGATGAGAGTACGTACGTCCTTCAGTATTCTTACTTGGTGCGACAACTCTAACCAGCCGATCCTACAGCACTCGCGGACGACCCGGCAGAGGCGAAGGGGACCAAGACTGATAAGAGACTTGGCAAGCAGAGTATATACACCCAACCTTTGAGTACCTTCTGAGACCAAGGCTAACTCGCCCGAGAAGCTTCCACGGATACTCTACGAAGCACTACACCAGAGTTACTAGCACAAGTCGCTTCTGGGTTTCGCTACCTATGCACGCACGAACAGCAACAGGTGGCTGCCAGGGACGTTGCTCGCGAGCACGGTAACGTTATGGATGAGAGGGAAATCAGATCCTTGGAGAATATTCGGAAGTTGCTCGAGGAAGAACTCCAAGACGGGCGACATGGGGACAAGCTGCTTACATTGGTGGAGAGAGAGTATGATGTGGCAACGTAGGTACCTTTGATGAGCTACCTAGTCACCCTACGGGCAAAACAAATCCGGACTCAAAGAGGGTAGGCGTCGACCATAGGACCGAATCGAAAGCCATCCAAAAGGCCAAAGAAGCTACATCGTCGTGGCTTTACATTTGTTTTACTTGATGTCTTTGATTTGTTTTTTTTCTTTCTCGATTCTTTCACTTAAACTTTTCACTTAATTTATCTTTGGTCTTTTTTTGGCTGGAAGGTACTTTTTATTTACTCGACATCTTTGATTTGATTTGGTTTTCCCAGTTTCTTTCACTTAGATCTTTTCGTTTCTTATTTTCCTTTGGTGTTCGACTTTTTCTTTGGCCAGAAGGTGCTAGTCTACTCCAGGCCACACCCACGGTCCTCTCTTCCCTCTTCATGCTCCAACGGTGAGTCCCGAAAGTAGTGGCTGCCGGCCCTCCCGCCTCAGGCTCACCGGGCAAGGGCCCTCTTTCAAACTCGGATTTCCGTGCGGCATTGTCAACCAGGTGCGTGTCCACCTCACAGGGACTGCCAATCACGCGATACACATGGACAGCGTGTGTCTGCTGTAGACAGTGGAGACGCCCGATGAGCTGGGTATCAAAATCAGGACTGAATTGAGGCTCGCAGACGACAGCCGGGATGCCGTGGCAATATTGAGTCCCGTTACCCCTGCGGTGGCACTGAGGAAGAGGACACTCGGTCCCAAGGCTGCCTGGTCGAAAAGACGGAGGTTTTCGACTCTGTCGTCCATGTTGATGTGGCCAGTACATCGGTACAGCGAGTGCTGGCGCAGTTCTGGCTGTTTGTGACATCGCCTCCTGCACAATGTCAAGGAATCTGACAAACCTCGAGTCCTCGACGCCACCGCCGTCTTCTCCTCCGGCGCTTCTTTCCGTATGCTCTGCAAGAGGACGATGATGCTGGGAACACGGGGGGTCAGCAGCGTGTCCAGAGACATGCCTTTCACCTCCTCTTTCTAGGTGCTTCTTTCAGCGCGTGAAATAGGACGATAAACTACGCTATTATCATCATCAGCTTCATCATGCTCGTAATTATCGTTATCATCGACATCGTCTTCGTTGTTGTGTAGCTCCTCGTTTGCCGCGAACGCCTCAGCTGCCTCGAAGTCCTCGTCTCGCCATATGCCATCCAACTTTCTACCAGGCTCGTCGTACGTGAAGGTGAGCAAGACATCGAACTGAGCGGGCAGCAAATCCAGGAGTTGGGTGGATAGCTGGAGGCCATCACCGTCGAGAAAGAGCGGTATGTGCGCTTTCACGGCCATCTTGCCCTTCCGTCTACCCTTCTTGCAGGTAGGCCGGCGCTCGAACCCAGCTCGGACGGGAGCATGAGTGAGTGGGCCGCCTGGCTTTGGGCATGGGTCAGACGGGCTAGACCAGCAGTCAACTTCTGTGTACTAATCAACCATTTTCCCTTTCGCACATCGTTTCACTCTTGGAAGTAAAAAGGAAACCGCTTCCGCCCCAAATAAACCACTGAGAGTTGTGAGTATGTAGATAAGCAACATTAGCTACTACTGTAGATCCCGAGGCCATACTCTAGAGACAGGGTCCACGTCCGCACTCCCTCGCCGTGTACTGAAGGTCCCGCCCGGGTTCTGTCTAGTGCAACAAATGTATCCCGGCCACTCCATCAGGAACCAGAACTTCTCAAGGCGGGGAAGCATAGACTGTATTTCCCGGATGATGGCTCCATCTACCAACGCCTTTTTTCTATATCTGCGCCGCCATTTCGGGCCGCGGTCTTTATTTAATTTTGGCCGAGCATTACAGGAAGACGCTTCGGCTTTCGCAGACCCCGACAGGACGTAGAGAAGACCCCGATGCCCGGCTCACGGGGATGGTTTGTAAGATATCGACGGTACCTTGCCAGCGTGCTGGCTCTGGCGAGGCGAGGGACCGCAGGGTGGGGGGGGCTAAGGCCGGCTTACGTCGAGGACAGCTACAAGACTCGCCGATACATCATGTAGGTGCCTGGTGCGGACGGGAGTTCGCCGAAGACTCCATTAACACCGGCTACTCCACGTGTAGGGCACCACGTTGGAGGGTGTCAATGACGGTATCCGAGAACATGTTCATGCCTCCGGGATGAGTACCGAGTCCAACATCGAGGGATATCTTCCTGAGAGAAGGGATTCAAGCAAGGAACTCGAGCCCCGAAACCCCTTTATCTTCGCAAGTTGAAATCTGGAGAGCCTCAATCTGTAGAACTTTGTCTGCTAACTCGGAGGGAAACTCGGCCCCAACAACACGGAGATGGCAGAAACGATGACTACCTAGGCTGTGGCGCGGCGGACTCTGAGATGCCAACCACGCCCGCAGCTTGCCCCATTAAGTGTGAAGTGAAGCTTCTAAGTGACGTAGTTCTATAGTTCCAGTTCATTTGCTTCTTTTACATTAATAATATTTCTTCTTTTTATTCTTTTTATGGTTTTTATTTTCGCTTCAATTACGAATAGGTAATGGAAAGGATGACAGGCTAGTATTATAATATACACAGTACATAGGGAACGAATGACAAACACCTCGCGTTCCATCTCTGCCGCCTTGGGGACATCCGCTTGGACGTGGTTGATGGAGACGCGCCATGTGGATGAGGGAGGCGAAGGAGAAGGGGGCGCCCTTGGATAAACGATTCTTTTTTCCCCGCTCCCCACATGGAGGGGTTCCCAAATTCATCGAACTGGGATACCCGAAGTGCCTTGACACAGATTCTACCAAGCCGCCACCTTCACCCGGAGCTTCAGCCCTCCCACCCGGAACATGGAATCCAAAGTAGTCATTGTTACCGGCGCAAGCCGCGGCATCGGCCTTGCTGTGGCCCAATCCCTGCTGGCAGCGTCCCACAAAGTTGTACTTGTTTCTCGATCTGCCGACCAGCTCCAAGAGCTGAAGGAACGCTATCCTACACAGGTTGCGTTCCTTGCGGCCGATATGACGGTCGCCGATGTGAGTAGCCAGCGTTTGCTCCCTTGAAGTACCTCGGTTGTGATGTGGCCGCCGTTCCATAACGGCAATACGGGTACCCGCAGACTGCGGACTGACTTCCAAAGACAGCATGGAAAGTAACGGAACTCGCCGTTCTCACGTTCGGCAAGATAGACGGGGTTGTGGTCAACCATGGCATGCTCTCTCCTATGACACGGCTCGAAAACGCCTCGGTTGAGGAGTGGAAGAAGCTCTACGACGCGAACTTTTTCAGCGCGCTTGCACTTGTGAGTTGGGAAAGGTCACGGAACGAGGGCGTGCGCTGACGCTTCACACAAGACAAAGGAAGCGATTCCTCACATTCGCGCTTCGAAGGGTCGAATGGTCTTCGTCTCTTCGGGTGCCGCGACGGGTGCTTACACGTCCTGGGGGGCTTACGGCTCTTCTAAGGCTGCGCTGAACTCACTGGTACGGCATGTGGCTGTCGAAGAGCCAGACGTGACCGCAGTGGCAATCAGCCCAGGCCGCGTCGATACGGACATGCAAAAAGAGCTCCGGGAGAAGGGCACCGAAATGTCGAAGAACGACTACGAAACTTTTTCAACGGCCTTCCAAGAAGGCAAGTTGATCAAACCAGAAATGACCGGCCGCATCATTGCAACACTAGTTCTGGACGCCAGACCGGAGCTTTCTGGGAAGTATTTCAAATGGGACGCAGCGGAGTTGGTCGAGTATCGCGAGTCGTAACGGAAACCTAGTAATCTGCCCGCTTGTTGGTCAGCATTGAACACGCTATAGACAGAGGTTCAAGGCGGGTTGGAAAAGGGCAATCAGGGGTAAAGAAGGCTTTATGTTCCTCCACATAGTGATATTCGGTATTAGCATGGAATAAAGTTGTTCATCACGCTGCGCATTGTGTTCTAGGTATAGAAAATGGCCTACCATTTGGAATGGCTCTTGCCGTCCTTGACTTCAAGCCATTCAGGCCTGGGTTCCCAGTCAGCGACATCCCGCGACACGGTAGCTTTGTATTGCGGAATTTGGGGCGTCGCTGTGTTTCAGGTGAAAGGTTTCCATCATGGTTTATCGGTATTGGAATGAATAGTACAAAAATTGAGCATCATGTCGTGGACGCGGAGTCCAACGCTGCGGACTGGACCGGGTGGTATGAGATGCTGTCAACTGCGGCCTTGTCAGCTTGGTCCAATAGTCAAAGGCAATGCAAGACTCTCGGCAATAAGCTTGGGAGCAAATCAGGAATGTCGTTTGGCTTGACGGTGTCTATCACCACGTATAGGTCTGATAGGGGCGACACAGAATGTTCATCATTTGAGGGGTGCTGAGGGGAGCTGAGGGAAAGTGTCCGGCTTGCTTACCTTACTTGAGCAGTGTGCTGTCCCGCGCCAGGAGCGATGGACATACAGCAAAACTTACTTTGAGGAAGAAAATGGCAGACTTTTCTCAGACGCGCCGAATCTCGCTCTTTTGATGCAGAAAGTTTCTGGCATCGGTGCCGGAAGAACTCTGTTTGGGATTGGAAGTGGATCGTGGAAATTTTCGGTGTTGCTGGGGTCGGTTGTTGGTGGGTCCCGTCCTTGTGAGCAACCCATTTGTGGCTAATAACACAAAGAGGGGCACTCAGCCACACGAGGGGTGGGACGCGTTCAGCAAGGCCGCCGGCTGGCATTGGCGCATCAGCAACCACTCCAACAGAGGACGGCAGGCAGGTATAAAGGCTGCTCACCAACTCCAGGGTAAGGGAGCACTCGGCTTTTCTTGTTCACAACCATGTTTGTTCATCAGCCAAAGACGTCTCTGAGCTTCATTACCTGGAGAACTACGTTATACTCTTGATTTTAACCACCGTATCCCGCTTTCTTTTTTTTTTTTACCGACGTTTAACTTCAAGAGCCGCCGTTGCTTTTACCGTTGCTAGGGGCTGGGACCCTCTTTCCCGGGTATCATCATGTCGGATCATGAGTTTGGAGGTTCGTCGCCAACGTTCTTTCTTTTATTTTGGCCGAGTGACCTGCGCTTTCATGAACGTCGGATGACCTGCAACTGCGAATTCAAGTGAACCGCAGTCCTGCAGCTGCCCATGCACGACGCTCGTAGTTGGTTAGGGATAGGTTGATATCTCATCCATCTTAAGCCTTCTGAGCTTGTGGCCCAGCTCGGGAAGCGGCAGCTGCGTACAAATAAACAGCATAACTTCCCAATTGTTTGCGTTTGACACGTTCAACACCCCTTTTCAACATCTTACCTTGACTTGCCGAAATGGCCTCGCATGTTCCCGCATCAGACCGCTACTGGATGCGATTCGACACGGCCAGCTCAAGTAGTTCCCATCCCACTCCCTTGTTTTTGGAGCCGTTGACTCTGCCTTACTTTTCTGATCTGAAATGCTGATGTTTTCCTAGGGAACGATGACCTCTCATTGCCGAAGGGTACGTGTCTAAGTCACTCTTCACTATCTCCCGGAATTGTTGTAGCCAGGGCTACGGTCTCTCGCTGCCTGGGTCCATCTCGGCGGCTGGAGTTGATGGCTTCCATTTGTGCTCCAGGGTAGAGATAATTCATTCCAAGGGGAAATTCCCTGGCTTGAACGGTCTCCAACTCACTCCGGTAGACGATTGGGTCATGGGATTCCGAAATTTTGCAGTGGCCACCTTCAAGCAGCAGCGCTGGCACCCCCAGTGACTTGAACCTATGCTGACATTTTGCAAGCCACCGTCCAAAAGATAGTCGGTGAAATCCTATCGGGATCGTCGGGAATCGCCTTCTCCAAGGAAGCCCGCGACGTCCTCATAGAATGCTGCGTCGAGTTTATCACCCTTATCAGCTCAGAGGCGAACGAGATCTCGGAGAAGGAAGCCAAGAAGACGATCGCATGTGATCACATCATCAAGGCGCTCGATCAGCTTGGTTTCACCGATTACGTCCCAGCGGTGCTCGAAGCCGCTGCTGAACACAAGGAGGTTCAGAAGGTAGTAGGCGACCCAAGATGTTTACTTTACCGTGCCGTTGAAACTAATCCAAGGAACCAGGGACGTGAAAAGAAGGCCAACAAGCTCGAGCAGAGTGGCTTGTCACTGGAGGAATTGGAGCGCCTCCAGCAAGAGCAGTTCGCGGCGGCAGCGGCCAGACACGGCTGAATTCTTGAGGGAAGGATGCGTTACCTAATTCTGTCACGTCGTTCATAAGTTGAATGCCGGGAGGATTGGAGGTTGACTTGTGGTTAGGTTGGGATGACATGCTGCATTACTCGGCGTTGGAGCGCGTTCGTTACATGGTTGGGGGGGTTTGCTGCATAGACGAGCCTGCCGTGCGTTATTCCATGGCCCTACGCAAAGCGTTGGTCGGGAGCTGAGCGGCGTTTAGCAACCTTTCTTCGCAACTGGAACACGGTGCAGGGCTCTTCGAATCCCGTAGTATCGCATCTGGCTGATCTGGGGCTGTAGAACCGGGATGGGCAGGCCAGCTGAAGTGCATGATATCGACTTGTTTCCGGGAAAGGGGTCGCACATTGCGCTGCCGACAAACGGACAAGGGGAGTCGAGTTCCAAAGAAAATACAGACTCTATTTGGAACGCCTCCCCGCTCCTTAACCTCTTTCCACTGGGCCTAGTTACAGACACGCCGTCCCGCAAGAGTCCCATGTGAGGCCCTCTTCTTGCAGTGCATACTCCTTCCTCCGGGTAGAAGAGAAGTTTAATAGCCGTCCTTGCCCCACTTGTTGTACTTGTCGTGGAGTCTCTACAAAGAGGGGTTAGCTTTCTTGACGCGGTCCACCGTGGCAGAAGCCGGTACGGTACCTTGGGCAGCTCGACATCGGGGACGACGACAACGTTAACGGCACTCGGGGCGTCCTTCGGCGCAGCGCTGGAGTCGCCGCCGGGGTGGTACTGGTACTTGCCGTGTGTCGCATCGGTCTCCCACGGCATGCTGTTCTTAGCGAGGGGGACAGGGTTCTCGGATGTGGACTTGGTCGGGCTAGTGCCTACACGAGGTTGTGATGTCAGCGTGATTGTGGTGGAGGACGCCGCCCGCGGGGAGCGAGTGGGGGACTAACCGAAGTAGTAGCCAGCACCAGCAAAGGCTGCGACCATCACACCACCAAGAATCTATACCTCGAAAAGCTCCCAGTCAGCCGCGTTAACATCCCAGGCGCTGTCAAGGTTCTAATCCATGTTTCTCGGGGTCGCCGTGGGAATTTGACGCACCATAATCTCGGGGTTCTTCTTCGACTCGGACTTCAGCGCCTCCTCGCCGGTCGCCATGCGGCGGGCGGTGGTGCTGAAAGCTCGGCGGGCAATTAGCGAAGCCATCGGGGCGGTGTTGATGTCGAAAAATGGGCGATTGGGAGGCAGAATTGCTGTCGGGAGAGCTCGGCTGTCTGGCCGTGTTGGAAGCTTGGATGTGCTCTCATACGATTGATTTCGTCAAGAGGCCAAGCTTCAAGGGCTTGGCATCGAACATTACGTAAGGATGGTTGCTGTCTTGCGCGGCCAGTTGTTGGCAGTTGGTGTGAGCTCCGAGCTCCCGCCGGGCACAGGCCTTCTCGCTTCCATTGATTGCTGACAAGTTCCGGGCCCTCCTCCCTTGTCACATCGTCATGCAACGCAGGGACACAGGAACATGCATGTACCCCAGGCTTCGTTGGGTCTCGACTTTCTCGACTTTCCATGCCATGCAATCGAGTGAGGGACCAGTGACTTGGTTCTTTCTCAATCTCATTTGAGGATCTCGCGCTACCTTGGAATTGAAGTTGAAAAGCTTGAGATACAACTGTGGGTAGTGACAATACGGTGTCTTTTTCCTTGAGATACTTCTTCCCATCACAATGGAGCTGAGTGACGAAATCTTGGGGTGCGGGCCCCAGCATGAACATCATCTCAGGGGCCGGTCGGGTGGCCAGTGCGATGCAGCACCCGAGGCGGGCGAAAAAGCAACTGCCAAGCCGAGACGGCCGTGCTCAGCCAGTGACACCGCCGTGACCACCTCCTCTCACGAACGGCACGAAAGAAAGAAATCCCATTCGCTTGGTCGACGTCGAATCCACGCTCGGACGAGCCGCAGGAACCAAGATTGAGGTTTACAATCTTGCTTCACTACACTCCTTTTTCTGTCTGGCGCGCTTTCCTTTTTTATCTGCTTCTTCCGCTCTTTGACTATCGTGACCGTAATTCCCGATCAACTACACTACCTGACTTAACTCGATTTATACTCGAAGTCCTTGATTTCCCGACGCTGCCTGCTACGCCTTGGGTTGCATCACTCGAACTCCTGCAGCGACGCACTTTCCTCGACGCCGCACCACACCACCAGACTGTGGAATGCGCCGCGACCCCGAAACATTTGGGGCGAAATATTAGTCGCCCTCGCTCTCCTCCATCGAGTTCCACAATCTCCCGGCCGCTCCTCACAATCCGCTATGCTTTCGCGAACGACTGCTTAGCATACAAAGCTCGGTTTTACGCCGGCCGCAGCCGATCCCGATAAACTTCGCGAACGAATATGTCCTCCGCCGAGGGAGCGCCGCGGGCGCTCTCCCCGACCAACGATGACAGTTTTCCCCAGTTTCCGCAGTCCGAACGCGGCGGTCCTCCCAGCGTCATATCGTCGCGAATGACGGATATCATGACCGAAGATGGCGGGGATTCGGAGGCTCAACGGGGGCCTGGAAGCCATAGGAGGAGCGTCATCTACTCGGATGGCACATCACGGCCGGGGACCGCGAGGACGGGCATATCACAGAGGAGCCCGTGGGCACAGGGATCGTCTCTGCGCGGCGGACTGTCGGGCAAGCGGGTGAGCATCTCGGGCAGTGTCGGCAGCTCAACGGCGGGGGCTCGGCCGGCTAGCTCGATGAGTAGAAGCCACGTCCCTACGCTCACGTCGCATGCCTTCTTCCGGCCTATGAGCTCGCAGAAGCTGCAAGCTCAACGAGGGATGGCGAGGCCGACCACAATGAACCGGCAGATCGGCTTGCAGGACGAGACCGGCGAAACCAACCGGGACAGCATGGTTTCGAGCCAGGGCGCCCGAGTAGGGCTGCATTCCGGCGACGAGGGAGAAACACGGCCACCGCCCTCCAGGGGTACCGAATTCACCGAGCAGGAACCATACGACCGCATAACGGCCACCACCAGCCCGACTCACGGCCACCAACCCACGCTGAGCCTGACTGATAGCGTCCGCCCGTTGCAGAGGAAGCCAGAGGCCGCGAGAAACCTCACCCTTGACATCAACAACAACACATACACGGGTGGTGCGAATGCTCCAACCCCTGTCCGCACCCCGCGCTCTTTGCGATCTAGCTTCCTCATGCCGAGGATGGATTCTAGCAGCGGCAACCGTGAGATGCAGGGTGGCGAGAAGCTGGAATCCCTCGCCTCGTCCCCTCAACTCCCGCCCAGTACCGGAGATGAAAAAGCCCGTCCCCAGAACACGAGCAAGCCGAAACTGGGGCGCAACTACGAATACTTTTTGGGCAATACTGTCTTCTGCCTGGGGGGTCGGTTGCAAAACACCAGGCACCGGCCTATAAACATTGCGACCGGGGCGTTTGTCGCTATGCCCGCCATCCTCTTTTTTGTCTTCTCGGCACCGTGGATATGGAGCAACATGTCTCCAGCCATACCCATCATTTTCGCTTACCTATTCTTCATTTGCATGTCGTCATTCCTGCATGCATCTGTCACTGACGCAGGAGTATGTTCCACCCCTACATAGTATCAGCGGTTCTGGGCGCTAATGTTACCCTAGATCTTGCCTCGAAACATACACCGGTTCCCCCCTCCAGACGAGAACGAGGACCCTCTACGGCTTGGGCCTCCGACGACAGAATGGGCCCTGGTCAAGTCCGCTGACCCGGCGACCGCTGCGATGGAGGTGCCGACGAAGTACTGCAAGACATGCAACGTCTGGCGGCCACCCCGTGCTCACCACTGCCGCTTGTGCGATAACTGCGTCGAGACTCAGGACCACCACTGTGTCTGGCTCAACAATTGTGTCGGCCGCCGCAACTACCGTTATTTCTTCACTTTCATCAGTAGCGCCACCTTCCTTGGACTCTACCTCTCCATAGCATCACTGGCGCAGATCCTCGTCTACGCCAACCGCCAAGGCATCTCCTCTAGCGATGCCATCAGCCACTTCCGCGTCCCCTTTGCCATGGTCATCTACGGTTTTATCGCCTTTCTCTATCCCGCCGCGCTGATGGGGTATCATCTGTTCCTCATGGCTAGGGGGGAGACGACACGCGAGTACCTCAACTCGCACAAGTTCCTCAAGAAGGACAGATACCGCGCCTTCACGCAGGGCAGCTGGTTCAGAAACTGGTTCATCGTGCTGTGCCGTCCGCGACCCCCGACGTACTATCAATTCAAAGGCACATACGCCGAAGGCGACCAGCGGCTTGCTCCTCGCCGCCGGGCTCAACGTCCTCCTCGAAGAGAAGCGGACCCAAAAGATGGCCTCGAGATGCAAGACGTCAAGCCGCAGCCTCGGCATGAGCAGACCGGCTTTTCAGGCCCGGTCTCAATACAGAATGCCGCAGACTCCGCACCAGGGGGCGGGTCATAACCCCGTACCATCTTTTTCTTTTTTCCCCTTTTCTCTTCCTCTTATAGTGATCTGACATTACTTACCCATCCATTTCCTTAACCTATTCATTTATTGGCCAGGCGTGATGTGATATCAGCAACGGCGTTTAGCGATTAATGACTTGAGCCGAGAAAGTTAGACTTGGTGGTGTAGGCACAACGCCCTTCTCTGTAACCTTTGGATTTTTACGTTCATATACCCTACCTGGCTCGAATCGAGCGGAGCCGGATGTATCTTGTACTTGTACTTAGCTAGAATTTCTCTTCAACTTTCGACTTGACCCCTGAGATTCCTTGCACCCGAACTTCTTCCCAACCTGCTGTCATCCATTCCATAAAAATCGGTTCATACCCCTCCTTCCTTTCTTTAACCCCATATTAACACGCGGAGGACGAGAACAACAAGACACCACATCTCCTTCAATTACTGCAGCTCTTCGAGCGCAGCAGATGGGTTATCATAGCCCCTATAAGCCAGGGAGCTAGAATACACCCGATTTACCAGGCAGCCAAAGATAAAATAAAGTCTTTTATACATGGGAAGCAAAAGGAGTAAAGGATACCTTGTACCCACTGCTGAGGTCCTCGGCGTCGGGCATATCCAGGGTGCTCAACTTCCAAGCCCTCTCTACCTTGCCGTACCAAAATGACAGTCCAAAATGAAAAGATGGCACCAACCTACACAACAGTGCCACCACCCCTACCTAGCCTCCAACATGGCGCCGCCCGAAACAAAACGGTCCGACAATAAGCCCATTCCAAACCACCAGATAATCTCCCCCCATACGCTATTCCCTACAACCCTCCACCCAGAAAAGACAACACCTCAAGCACCAGCCGCCGCCTCATCCTCCATCGCCACGTCCTCCTTCTCCTTCTCTTCCGTCTTCCCCTCCCCCTCAACACCAGCACCAGCACCAGCACCACCCCCCTCCACCTCAGCCCCAACCCCCTCCACAGCCGCAACCGCAGCCGCAGCCTCAACAGGCGGCTCCGCGACGGGCGTGGTCTTCCCCTCCTCCTCCTCCGAAGCAGAGCTCACGCCCTCTTGGCGGTCGAGCTCGCGCTCCAGGCTCCCGAGCAGGTTGAGCCCGTCGTCCTCGTCGTCCCCGGCCGGCAGAGCGGTGGGGGGCAGCGCGGGGGAGGCGGGCGGTTCGAGCTGGGTGGGGGTTGCGTCGGGGATTGGCTCTGCTGCTGTGTCGTCCGCTTTTTCTTCGCTGGGCTGTACAGGAGGGGCGGGAACGGGGGCGGGTTCGGCGGGTGGTGATGGGGTTTTGGTGGTGGTCGTCGTGGTTGTGGCGGCAGCGGGTTGTGGTTCGGGGGTTGGCTGGGGTTGGTCGGCCGGGTTTATTGTTGTCGTTATCGTTGTCGTCGTCGCCGTTGGCTCGGACAGATTTGGGGTGAGCGCTGGTGGGGGTGCTGTTGTTGGTTGGGTGATTGTTGCTGTCATGCCCTGGCTCACAGAGTGCCGGGGTGCTGCGTTTTCCCTGAGCGGCGGGAGGATCCCACGTGTCGTCGTTTCTGCGGCATACGCTGGGCTAACGGTGCCGCCCGAGCCCATATCTATAGACAGAGTGCGTGACTGTACCTCCAGGTAGTTGGATGCAGCAAAGGAAGTGTTTGCCGTGGGCGAGATCATGGACGATGGTTCGGTTGGCGACAAGATCATGACGTTCTTCAGGGGGCTGCCCTCGATTTTTGCAGAACCGAGCGATGAGCCGAGATTTGCCAGGGCCGGCGGCTGGAAGCGAACTTTGGGTATGGTGACCTCCTCTACCTCTTCCATAGCGGGACGAGGCTCGTCAGGTTCCTCGACAGAGCTCGGCTGGATGGCCTCTGACATCTCAGAGTCCTTCGTCTCCTGAACGTGGGCTTCGTCGCCGGCATTTTCGACCTTCGGAGCCTCGCCCCCTTCGCCATCCCTGATTTCCTCGTCTCCCTCCTCTTCGTCCTCGCCCTCCCCACCCTCGCCTTCTTCGTCGTCGGAGGGCATACCCGAAATATCTGCCATCTCACTGTCTTGGTTTGTGCTGTCCTCTGTATCTTCAATCTTGATTCCCTGAACCAACATGGCCGTTAGCAGTCGGCTAGACACATCAGGGGGGAGAAACAACATAGAAACTCACATCAGGGCCCACATTATCGGTTTTGGCGGACGCAGTGCCGTCTCCGTCTGCAGCAGTGGCTTGTGACCTCGTCGCAGGCAAAGGCAAGGGGAGCTTTCCCTTTTTACGCCCACGCCCAGCACCCTTGGGCTTGCGTTTGGGTGGTGGGGGTCTCCTCCTAACTGGTGTCGTCTGCTGCACGGCCAAATCTCCTTGGGCAGCCGCCGGCGCCGGCACAACAGTGGTGGAGATGATCTGGCCGTCGACCTGCTGCCCGTCGCCAAGGGTGACGGTTTGTTCGTAAGGGTTGCCGGCGGCGTCGATTCGGCGAACGGTGGCCCGGATAACAGTAGGCCCTGCCGCCTGCGGCGCTATCGCCCTCGAAGCGAGGGTGACGGTGTTCTTGTGCCGCTTTGCCAGGTGAGATATCGTTTGACTCTCCGCGTTGCGCGGCACCTGCTTCCACAGCTTGACCATGTACCCATCATTGGCCGGCTCTGAATCCTTCTTTTCCCCCTTGACAATATCAACCTCGGCGTCAATGTCCTCCTCTTCTATCGGGGCAGGTCGTTTGTATAACCGGCCGGATCTAGCAGCGCGGAGGAGTTCCTGGGTGTGTGGCGGGAGAAGATGGGACTCTCTCGGCATACCGTACGGGAGTTCAACAGCCCAGCGGTCGCTCTGCTGGGCCATCTCCTGCTGTGACGAGGGCGCGACGCTGACCCATTCCTGGCGCCATTGTCGAACGGGGAGGCCTGTACACGTAGGGGACAGAAACGTTAATCACCGCCGATGCTAAGACGGGCGCAATGGGCAGATAACCTACCTTCGAAGTCATCAGGCTCCGGAAAGCCAGAGCGAGCGCTTCGACGTGTCTGCGTCGCCGTCCGCAGTTGCTGCTAAAACCAGATGCACTGTCAGATAGTGCGCCGACGATACCGGTCGCAGGAGTGCAAACTTACCGACCGCTGCATTGCGACAAACGGGAGAGCCTGTGTCCTGGCTCAGGGCGTTGTCCTTCCACCAAGCCAGGAAGCAGTACAGCAACCACGAGTAAAATTGTCCTTCCAATTCCTTTTGGCGCTTATTACACCCGAGCGATCCGTATCCAAAAGCTAGATAGCGCGCTAGACAACCCGCCGTTTCAAGTGGTTAACTCCCGGTCGACAGAAGTTTGCGACAAACGGCCCAAGACGATCGCGGGATGGGACGTCGAGGGCGATAAGGCAGATAGGATATCGATGGGTTCGAATTGGCGGACACAAGGTAGGAAGATGTGAGCTCGGTCGTGTATTGCAATCGGTATCGGCAGCAAAATGGTAACGATTAACACGGATTGCGAAGGTCGCGGGCCTGGATTGTTTGTGCACATGCATGTCGCTACGCGAACACCAATGAATGAGCGACAGACCTCGCTTACAGTATTACCACGCTTAACAACAACTCGTATCTCTTGGAGCAGTGCACCGGGACAGTTCATGCTTAAAGCGGTGCCAGTTCTGATACAGCATGAAAAGAGATCATAAATTTCTGATTTCTCAACACTTGAATAGGAGTGGCAGTGACACAATTTCCTTAGGCAACAGGCATAGAGTCTTAATAACGCGTGCAATCTCCGCTATCACAGCGCCCCAACTCCTGACGGACATGTTAAAACAAATCGTCGTCGGTAGGAAAGCCATCGCGTGCTCCAGGGGCAGCCGTGCCGCCCTCCCGGGTATTTATACACACATCGCCAGCACTCGGGTCCCAGAATCGGGTATCCCGGGCGGCAGCGGTGGAAAGGCCTCGTGGTTCAGGCTAAGATCAGTCCCAGCTGAAGTCTGGTTAGTATCATTCTCAAATCAGACCAACGGCGCCCATTAGAGGACTACTCACCCGGTGTCCTTCTGTCTCGTCGTCTCGCCGTGCCCTGCCTCGTCTTTGCCCTGCGCAAAGGTTAGCACTCCATCAGAACGTCGCCCTGTAAACAGCCGTCCCACATACCGATATCCCTCCCTCCACCACAAGCTTATTCGACTGGTAAAACTGGCTGACCACCGTCTGGCGCTGTATCCACCCAACACAATCTCCCGTCAGCATACTGCTCTGACATCATGTCCACCTAGCGGTCCTCCACGGGTAGGCAGGTAGGCAGCGCACCTTTAGCACCTGCAACTCCTTCAAGCCCTTCTGCATAAGCTCCTGTACCCTCCGCGGGTCCTCGACGCTCCTGTTCTCGCGAAAGGCGTCCCGCGTGCGGCGCAGAGCATATTCTCGGAAGTTGTACGCCGAAAACTGGTTCCCCTGGCGAAGGAGCTGTCGGTACTGCAGTGGAACATCCCATATCAGCATCTGAACACTCAGGCACCCGTCCGGAGACCTTCGTGAACGGTAGGGTGTGGCGTGGTATGTTGGCGGGGCAAAAACCCGCCGTGGCCGGGGGAAAGGGCGAAGGGGACATACCAGCGAGAGCACCTTCTGCGCTGACTCCGGCTTCGTGGCCGCTTGTACGGCAGACATGGCTTGGGAAGATCGCTTAACGAGGAGTCGAAAATGAAAAGGCCGAGCGCGGGTTACTTTACTGGGGGAAAGAGTCGCTTGCGGTATTCGCGATGACGAAAGTTGATGGGCAAAGGTCGGGATATTCGGAGATAACAATCCTTATCGCGACCGCCGAGATGCAAATATCCCGATAAATGCATATATAATCCAGGTCTCCTCCGCGGAGCCCCGCGGTGCCTGTACACATACGAAATACTGTCAAGTAGGCAAAGAACTCTTTATTTTTCGTATGTTGTTTTCAGTCAAGTACCTAGCTTTTGACACCCCTAGCATAACTAAACTCCACAAAGCAGCAATCGCAAAATCTCACATCCCAAGCAAAGGGGAAATACCTTCCCATCCCTTTCCAGCCACGGACCGTTCCAGGCCGGGTCACCCAACCATAAACTCCCACCGCTAAGACAAATAAAAGCAACACGTCCACGCAAGAAAGACAGCCTCGGTAAACCTAAACAAAAACCAAAACCCTCCCGCTCAACCCCCTCACTCTCCCTTTCAGTCAGTACCCATACATGTCCCCTCCCCCAGTCCAGCTCTGCTGCATCGCCGGCGGCACCCCATCCGACATGTAGTACCCTAGCTCGTTCTCGTACCCGTCGCTCACGGCCAGCGCCGGCTGCGGGTAGTACTGCTGCGGCGTGGCGTGCGGGTCGTACGCCGCGCCTGGTGGAGGAGGCGCGTTGTTGTTCCCCGGCACCCCTTGCACTTCTTGCACCCCTTGCACCCCTTGCACCCCTTGCACCCCTTGCACCCCTTGCACCCCTTGCATAGGCGCCGCGGCGGACTGGCGAGCGTCAAACGCCTCGATCAGCAGGCCGAGCCCGTCAGTGGTCGGCCTAGTACCAGCGGCCTGGAGCGGCGCCTGCCCGTGGTCCATGATGACCTGCTGTGGTTGCTGTGGTTGCTGCGCTTGTTGTGGTTGTTGTGGTGGCGGGTTGGGCGGGGCTTGCGGTTGGGAAGTAGGGCGACCGAGATTGGGGTCTGCGTACGCAGTTGGTGGGGGTTGTTGTTGCTGCTGCTGGAGGGTAAGCGCCGCCATACCGGGACTCTGAGGTCCGGCCCCGTTCTCGTTCGGGTTTGAAGCCACGACACGGGGTTGGATGGGCTTGGTCGCTGGGTTGTTGGGCGGGGGGTGGAGCACATGAGGTATAGGCTCTCTCTGTGAGGTGTTAGGTGCGAAAAGAAGCTACATGACGGTACAAAACGAGGCACTCACGCTATCAGCCATACTGCCCTCCGCCCCGGCAGTCATTGCGTTCTGGGAAGTGTAAAACCTCTCTAGATGATCATACCACCGAGCTGCCAAGGGCCAGATACTCTTGCTCTCGGCGAGGATATTGAGGATGCGTTGGACCATCATGGGAGCATTGCTGACGATGGATGGATCAGGGCAGACTTCGGAAAGGCGGTCAGTATCCCTCAAATGGGTAGCGGTATAAACATAGGGACTTACTGTTTGGAAACTTGCAGGGGTAACAAGCTAGAAAACCACAGGTATAAAAGCAAAACGCCTGTAAAGGTCTCGTCAGCTTCAGTACGTTCAGGGTTTGTCTATTTGTACTCACCGCCATCTGCGCGCCAGGACCATCGCCGGGAGCTTTGTCGGCGTAATGGGTCTCGATCTGCTCATAGAGTATATTTACGTTCCAGAAAAGCTTTTGCGCCATGTTGGTCCAGAAGGCAGTTAAGTCAGGATCCGACTTGTCGTGCGATATCATTCTGAAGATACAGTGTCAGCCGCGCCGTGCCGCCGGGTGGGCAACATATGACAATATTCCTTACTCAGGTAAGTACGCCTTGCGAATAACAATGTTGCAGAGACGAGTGATCATGGTCACGCCGAGATACGCCTACTCGGAAGTTAGCAATGCTGAGAGGCATATGGATGCCAGGAGAACATAACATACCAGATCCTGGCCCTCGTGTTTGTAGCCCTTAAGAAGAAGACTGCTCCAGCGGTAGTCGTTCGGAAGACCGCTCTCCCATTCCGCGAGCCGTCCCTCCATTATGGCATACTCGCTGTCCGGCTCCCATGGCCGCAGACTTCGGTTGTTACCAATGGCTCGTCTATAAATGGCGCCCCAGTGGTGATGTACTTGAATAAGCGCTGCAAATAGGGATCTCCCTTCGATGGCAACTAGACCAGGGTTCTCCAGAGCCGGGGACGTGCCCTCGAGTGCCGCTCTCGACTGTGGTTCTCGTGCGTTGGCGAAATCGCTTTCGTTGCTGGGAAGCAGTGCTGTTATATCGCTCGCCGACAACAAGACGGGGGACCGTGGGCCCGAGTGAAGGTTGTCCTGGCTGTGCAGCATCCACTGTGGCGGGGTGTCAGCTCATCGAAATTGTCGCATTCATCTCCCAAGTAAAAGCGTACTAGAGTTCTGCGAGCAGATTCGGCCCTTAAGATTAATTCCCTCGTTGGGTTCGGTACAACATAGGTTTCCTCTCTGTGAAGTTGCATCAGAGTCGCCATCCGCATCGCAACCGCCATGTTGATCTAGTGACCCGTCAGATTACCGCCATATCGCACACAAAGCACCCGCGGAAAGCGAAAGTGACTTACGGAGCTCTTATGCCTCATCCCACTCCCTTGCTGCGCAACACTTAGCAGGTAAAACCCCTGGCACCTCTCCAGGGTCGGCTCCTTGTACAATTCGCTCTGTGCTAGAGCCAAGCAACGCTCCATGAAGGTCTCGGAGGCTCTCACAGCACTTCCATACCGCTTTACCAGTGCCGGCGTCAACCGTGCTGAGATGCTGAGAATACCAAGCAGAAAGAACACGCTGACAGACCGATTCTGAGTCCGAAGGCGCTCCAGAAACAGCTGCCTCGGGATGAAGCCAAGCTGGAAGTAGTGGCGTGTAAATTGGTTCACGGACTCCAGGATTTCGGGTAGCGGGGGTAGGAGGTCCCAGCCATCGGAGCCCTGGGCGAGACTCGAAGACGCGAGTAGGTTCGCGCGCGGCGCAGCTGGGGCATCTCGGCTCCCACGACGAGCCTTGGTCTCGTCCCGTTTCTTGCTCTTCTCGGCCCTCACTCGAGGGTGGCGATACTCACGGTCCTGGTCCGGCTGGCCACGCACCGGGAAGACGCTTTTTGTGAGTATAGCATCAGCACTGACTGTTACCTAGTGAAGAAAGGGGAGAGGCAGCATTGGGTATGGCTGCCGAGGTCAATGGGCATGTGGCATTCTCACCAATCGCTAGGGCCAAGACCAGCCTCGAGACAGCCTCGACATGGTGGCTTCGCTTTGTCGTGGTGACATTTGCTTCTCATACGGCGGCATCTAGCATTGCACGTTAGGCCTATCGTAATCTACGGACAGCAGAATTTGATGCAGGTGTTCAGATGGCAGCAGCCGGAAGAAACCACGAAATGAGAACCCGCAAATCCTGCAGTCAAACACACACGCACCTTCGGCAGGCGATCGGAGCTCTCCGCCGGATCACAGTGGCAGGAGACGATCCTTCGGCCTGTGGCTGCTCGGAACCTAAGTCTGTAGGAGGAGCAGGAAGAGGGGCAGGAGAGGACGGTGCCGGTGGTGCTGATGATGCCGGTGGTGGTGGCACAATGGGCGGGCCGGGCGGCTCCATCTCGACGTCCATCTTGGCGCGTCAAGGAAGCTCGTCCAAGGGCCGTCCGGATGCCGCAAGACGGGGCCGGAACCCAGCAGCTAGGTTTGTATCGTCGCCTGATGGGAAACTCTAGCAGGTTGAACCTTCGAGTTTCTTAGCCGGAGCGCTGTTGCGGACGGGTGGGGCTAGGCCTCGTTGGTTGCCGGCAGGGCAATTCAGGCCCAATCTGAGTCCGTCAATTCAGAAGGTTATTGCCAGGAGGAGCAAGAGCGGGCTGCCTTGTCGACGGAAGGTGGGGAATTGCCGGCCGCCCCGAACCGCCGAGCTTCGTGGGGCTGTCCCGTTTCTTATAGACAAATGGGCGTGGAATCCTCTCTGGAACTCCGATTTCACGGCGGGGTGGGTTGAAAAATAATAAATAGAGTACTTAGGCACACCTCACTGATGACGCATGTATGTACTTCAAGTACGTCGGCTGCTCATAACTTAGAAGAGACGAAAAGGCAAGATACACTCACGTGATATATCTTTGCTGAGGAGATTCAACAATGGCACCCTTCCGTGGGGGTCTTACCTCAAGTTGTTTGCTTCGAGTTTCACAGTATGTATAAATACATGGCGTTAAACATAACACCTTTGCTTCGTCCGCCCCAAATCTGTCTCGACCCGGGCATTTCTGCCTTCCTCCACACCCCACAGTCATCACAGCATATTTCCGCCAAGACCTGAAGCACCTTGACCAGCCGGATCAGCTCCCGATTGGGGTGCGGGAGCTCTCCCCTCCCCCTGCCCAGCAAGATTTGTTCTCCCACAACCGTATGAATTGCACGATTTGCCCACTGTAGGTGGCCCTCTCCTCCTCGGCTTCACTCTCATTCATGTTTCCTGTTTTCAATTAGGTAACAAACTGACGACGACAACTCTATGTTGTCGCACCTTGCGGAAATAACATGCTAAAATAATCACTCTCTGATCTCCGTCTACCTCGAAATACTCATTTCGAGGGCCCGAAAAGTTGTAGACCGTATCGATTCCCTCGAGGTGGTAAGTCACTCGCGCCAAATACATCTCGTTGTTGGTGAAACATAGGACCTTCAACTTGCGGTTCCAAGGTTGTAGGGCGAAAACAGCCTCGCCGAGCCTAACGTCTTGCGCTTCTTCAACTATTCGAGGAGACTTCGCTTGTATTTCTTGAATGCTGACCGTGGATAGCCTCGAATCTATCACCTTCACGAGGTTGCGAACTGAGGCGGCCGTCATGAAGGTGTTAGTCAGAAAACCGTAGAGCACGCCGTATTGCCATGGGTAGTAGGTTAAATTGATAGGCGCCGCCTTCAAATACCTTCAATGCCAGATCGAGCCGCTCGAGAAGGGTTCAAAAAAGGAATACAAGTCGGGGTACTGAGTGGTCCGGATTTTGTGGTACAGGAACGGCTGGCCCACTGCGTGTAGTAACTTGCACACACGGTTGAAGCTCAGGCTCACGAAGCCCACTTGTCACAACCGTACATCTTGTAGCTCGAATTGCTATCTGCTCAAGCAGTGGTCGCAAAGATGAGTGCGCGTGTCGGCCAGGAGCTCGGGCGGGCGCTCGTATAATCGGGCCATAATTTGATAATCGACTTGGCTCTTAATCTAGAGATGCTGCTAATGCCGTCGAGGATATCGTCGTAATAAGAACAGGATTCCTAATAACGAACACAGAAGCTAACAACCATCCTGAGCCTGGGCGATACCACGTCTCGTCCGACGACTCAAGAAGTCAACAGCGTGATAAATACACACGACAATGGCTGCCACCCCTTGGCCGGGATGATGGTAGCTTTCCATTTTTAGTCCCCGGTGCAGGTTTTATATACAACAAGGTGGATTCCAGGCCTGAGCCAAGGGTACCTAGGTTCGCCGGCCCCCTCGTTCTCGCTAGAGAGAGCTGAGCAGCCTTGCGTGTTTGATCTGTAACTTGTCACAACCCGCAATAAGGCTTAATTGAAAAGAGGGGTGACTGATCACTCAGTTATAACGCTAGAGAGAAGATAAAATGCCAACTCTAACTCGGAACCTGTCCCGTGAGTATTTCCAGTTTCCTCAGCAAGAATGTGTTAGGTGCATCAAAACTCCTGATTCTGGTCTCACATCCTCTTTACCAATATGCCTCACGGAAGGGCCCGCATGCCAACGCATAGTTGCCAGCGGGTCACTGCATTGGTTCCGAAGTATACCACATTCTCTCCGCCTCTGTTTCCCACACTGGTCGTCGAGCTCCTACCGCACCGCACCGGTGCTCGTCGAACTCGGAAATCACTCTTGGTAGGACGAGTATTGTCTCGCAGCCATGCTAGCTCAACGGTTCACCGGCCCAGGTTCTTGCCTAGGTAACGGCCTCATAGATAAACCCCGTCCCAAACCCACCAGATAGGCATACAGGAACCAAACTCTTGATATTCAACAAGCGGACGAACGGGCGGACAGGCAAGCAGATCGCGCGTCCGACCCCGTTACCCCCACGCTGGAGGGCGGGTCCACACATCTGCATGTGAAGGAAGAATGGCTCGAGGCTCGGCCTGCCGCATGTCACCGCTACATGTACATGTACACAAATGCCGTGGAACATTTCTGTAAGGGGTAGAAAGTAAACTGGTATGCCGATGGGGAAGACAGATACGAGGGGCAGAGAGAGTCCCGTCTCGTTGCTCGTAAGCCCAGATCTCCCGGGCATTCATGAGAAAACCCCGTCCGTCCAATGCGTTCAGGATTCCGTGACTGTTCCAAACCCGTCCTCTTACCCGCCCAGTCCCTAGTGATGTCCGCTTACTCGAGAAAGATTACGCATCGTCAATCGGCCCAGCCATTCCGTACCGCCTCCTTTTTGGGGGTAATGATCCGTTTCAAAAGTCTACATGATGGTGCATTTTGCCCCATGCGTCTACATCCTAGAAGCATGGAACATTACATGTAATCGCTCTATCCTCATCCCGAGAAGACCCGCGTAAAAAAAAAGGGGGAGAAAAGTTGACATTGCCAGCAACCGTAGCAGGTGTTAGGGAATAGTGAAGTGACTTCTAGGGGTATGATGTCGGATTGAAGGGGGTCATAGGGTCTATATACACATTATCTGTGCATCTCCGTGCTGTGTCATGTGCCGTGCCGTGCCGTGCCATATCATCGTGTGCATGTTGCTGCGCCGGGGAGGGCGGGGGTAGTGGGGGTGTGCTTTTCGGAGCTGTCTGTTGGGGAATCAAGCCATGGAGACGACGCCGATGCCTGGTAGGGGGCCTGGGTAGGTAAAGCCAAGAACAGCGGTGCCGTGCTGGCCGGGCCCAAGCCTCTCTCACGTCTGCTGCATGACGGTCTGTGTCCCGCCGATTTGCCGCTTGACCTGCTCGCGGGCCCAGCGAGCGGTCTCCATGGTGCGGGACTGGTACTCTCGGTTCGCCCGCGTTTCCTTGATCATCGCCGTGACCCATTCTTGGCGGAATGCATCAGCCAGCTGGCCGTTAGGATATGCGTCTGCGAGATCGCTGTCGGGGAGTTAGCTATCAAGATCTAAACCCGCTGGCAGGTCAATAATTACCCGATAACACCCATGGCAGACCGCATCAATGCCTCGCTGCGGTTAGCATCGTTGGCGATGCTGTTTAGCAGCTCAAAGACGGAGGGCACAAATGGCTGGAGGACGCCGGCTGAAGTAGTCGTGTCAGTAAGCGAGCCGAATAGAGCTAGAGAGCTTGTTGAGGGGGGTACATACTCTTGCCACTAGTCTTCATGGCGCCAATGATGCCGCCCCACGCGTCCATGATTCCTTCGCGCAGCGCAACGACGTAGTCGAACATCTCATAAGAGCCGTCCGCGCCAGCGGTGATAGTAGCAGCTTGCTGCAATACCTGGGCCACGACGGTAAGGTATGTCTCGAAGTGCCCGCTGATAGCGCCGGCAATATCGCCGAAACATTGGAGAATGGCGGGCTTAAATTGATTTGCGAGTGCAGTGCTCTAGTAAAAAGAAAGAAACGCATGTTAGAAGATAGATCAGTAACAATAGGGTAAAGAGGGGGACAAACCCTAAGATTGCTCAGAAGATAATTCATGAAGTTATCGCAGTATGGCTGGCTGCGCTCTCCCATAGAGCGAGTGATGTCGCTGACAAGGCCAATAGCCATTGAGCAGAGACTCGGCTCTTCCTGGTTGGCCAGGGCGTTGTAGAGGAAAGGAGAGAAGGCATCCATGTATTTGACGAAATCCTCCTCCATGGCGTTTGCAAGACTGCTGATAGCGGCGAAAACCGACTCGGGGACGCTCGATTTGCCATTTACGGTGCTGAGGATCTGTAGCAGGACTTGCATGATCCTATCGCCCTGAGGGCCAACCTCTTTGTCGAGTCGCTGAATGGTGGCTTGCAGAACGGTGCAGAGACTTGTCTGTATATCCTCCAAGATAATCCTGTCCTCAACGCTGACAACCTGCTGCTGGAGGGGAAGGGTTTCCTCGAGGCGCTGAATGGCAACGGTGGACAGGGATGCAATGGCGCTGAGGCTGTCGTTCGCGGCGCTTTGCACGAAGACATTCAAGACCTCATACGCCGCAGTCCTCACGGAAGGCTCGCCGTCCATCCTGCCGGTCACGGTCAAAAGGTTGCTAACGCTCTGGTTGAAGTGAGGGGTAAGGGGGTTCTGTGCAGCGCCCAGGTCGCCGGCAAACCGCTCGGCGACGTTCATCAGAGCCCAGCAGCACGACGCCGCCATCTTAGGGTTGTTGATCAGCCCGTTAAAGAGCGAGCGAACTAGGGGATCGAGGTGCTGCTCCGGGTCAATAGCCTCAGAGCAGGCCTCGGTGATGCGGCCGAGAGCGTAGGCGGTGGAGTCCCGCACGTGAACGGATGGATCCTCCATCATACTAATCAAAGGCTGGATACCAGACTTCACGATAGGATCCAATAGCTTCTCCTCAGGACCGTCCATGATGGCGCCAAAAGCAGAAACTGCGGCGTCGCGGTGGTGCCAATCCTCATGGCGCAGATTGGCCTCGACGAACTGAATGACGGGCTGAATAACCGCCGCGCCGACCGCCTGGGCGTACAGCTGCAGGCACTGATAAGCTGCACGTGAGATGTTGTACTCGTCGTCTGCGGCATCCTCGTCCTGCTTCGTCAGAAGGCCGAGCAGAACCGGCACGACTTCGTTTGTTGCGACGCGGCTAAAGTTGTAGAACGGGCGCATCTGATCGGAGCTCTCGACTTGGGCGTTGTCATCTTCGATGGCAATCTCTTCCTCGCACACGGTGCTCCAGAACTCAACCGCCAGCTTCGCTACATCCTCATCGGCGCTCTTCATGCCCAGGATGGTGAGACCAAAGAGAGCCTTCTCCATGTAAAACCTCATGTTCTCGTAGTAGAGTGCCATGATGCGGTTCAGGCAGCCGAAAGCACCCTGCTGTATCCGAGAATCTTCGGCCTGGGTGGCCTCGCAAACGACCTGCATGATGTAGTTGCGCTCGCCTTCGTGCTTGAAGTTGTTACCGACGAACTCGAGCGAATCGCCGAGGGCAGTGATGGCGGCAAGGCGGACCTCGCCGTTGGGCTCCTCCTTGCGCGCACCCTGAACGACGGCCGTCAGGATAGCGTTGGAATGGGCGACCAGGCTGTTTCTAAGCTCCGTATCTTGACTCTCGCAGACGAAACCGATTGTGGTCAATGAAGACTGCTTCTGATGCTGCGTGCCCTCGCTAACGTTCCGCACGAGCGAGTGCATGAGATCGGGCCACTGGTTCCGCGGCAACTCGATCGCGGCAATCGCAGCAACGACCTGGGCCGTCGCCTGGCCGGCCTGTGCATTGGTGGATCCGAGCGTCTCCAGGGCCAGCTGTTTGATGCGCGTCTTGCTCTCCTGATCGGTCTGGTTGAGCCATTTCGCTTGTAATTCCGTTTGCCTCGCAGTCTCGCGCGCACTAAAGGCGTTCTTCAGGGCGATACCGGCAGCGGCTCGAATGTGGCCCTCGGTGCTCTCATTCGATAGGGCTTGGACGAGTGTGAGGAGATAGTGCGACTGGGAGGCAAGCCGAGTTAGTAAAGTGGGCTCGTGACCAACGGAGCATGTGAAGATGATCTTACAAAGTTGGCCTCAGCGGCATGGGTAAGTTGCTGCTCGGCCGCATTTCGAAGAGTCGCGTCTGGGAAGAGGCAGTCAGCAAAGGAGAAACGCCTGGGTTGCAGGGGCTCGGCGCGGTTTGAGCAGCCCAGCAACGGGTTTTAGAGGGTGTGCACTAACCAGGACTCAACGAGTTGGTGAGGACAGTGTTGATGTCCGGGGTGCCTTCCATGGTTGCGGTCTGAATACTGCGGCCAGAGATCGAGGTGATGGAAAGCGGGGGCTGCGAAAGTAAAAGAGGAAGCGTTGCTAGGGAGGAGGACGACGCCGTTCGCAGCTAAAGTTTGCGCGGAACACAGGCGGGGCCGGTGGGATCCACAAGGTATCGGACAAGCCTGGGTTTGGAATCGCAGGCCAGCAAAAAACGTCCAAAGTGCTTTGGGCAGAGGATAACGTGCAGCCGCCCGGATGATAAAAGTTTCCGAGGTGCTGAGATTCAGCCAAAGTTGAGGGTTGCGGGTCTGTGTTTTGTTCAAATTTTTTGTTGTCAACAATCGCAGGTCCCGGCTTGGTGACTGTGGATGCTGCCAATAATGCCAAACACGGGCGACTGCCTGGCAGGTGTCGGGAACAGGGCTTGTGTTGCTGAATTAGAAGGAAAGCGCGCCGCAAAGGAGTGTGCCGAAGGAGACGAAAGCCTTTGCACCAACGACAAAGACGAGGATGTTGGAGAGACTTCTTGTTGGCTTGAGGAAAAGCCGAAGGCAGCAGAAAAAGCGGTCTTTGAGTGAGATGATGCGGAGAGTTGACGACGGGACTGGGAGGCAATCCAGCGCCCAGTTGGCAAGCAGCGGTGGGAAGGTCTCGACGGCTGTGGATTCGCACTGTATGACTGGGCTAATCACTGCTGAAAGTCATGCGGAAGAATTGCCTTGTCACAGTGTGAATCCGTAGGGCTACGCCGTCATGAAAAGGCGCCGCCCCCGCAGCTGCACCTGGAATGGGGGGGCTCGACCGGTCGAGAATCGAGGAGCCCGCCCACCCCAGGGGCCCCTACCAACACTGGACCCAGCATCGTCGGGCTCAACGAAATCCAAAATACTCCTTGCATACCTAAGATCAGAATGACGCGGCAATATTTATCTCCCTTGGCACCGAGGTACCTTATCTCGACTCCCGTCTTGTCTTTTCGGAGCAAACCGCGAGCATCGCTCCTCTGGGGGGTTTGGTGAACAAAATAGAAGCCAAGAAGCTGGAGACCTGCCTGGTAGGTACATACCTACTTGGTAGGTATGTCGTTTGCTTGACCGCCGCTGTTTCCTAGGCATCTCCTGAAAATACAACCTGCAGGTGCCTCTCTTATTATACTGTGCACCTCATGACCGACAGCAGACATCGTCCGTTTGCCAAAAGTTTCGGTAGTTACTGCCATGGTGTCGAAGGGAGCGGTCTGGGACTCTTAAGATTTTATTGTGACAGAGCGGTTAAGGGCAGAAACTTGGAACGCCCGAATGGCCGTGGGAAGTCTTGTCGTTTGCTCCGTGTTCAACGGTCCTTTTCGCCAGGTTTCCATGGTTGACCGGTCCCCCGGAATCAAGCCAAGGACGGTGAAGGCCCCTGGAACTTCACATGCGAGCCAAGGGCTCGCAACCCTAACCCATATCAAACCCCTCTCAAGGCCTCGAGCCCCTTTTCCATGTGTTTCGACAACCAACAAGGAGGCCAGGGCTCGTCGCTCTGGGCGGCCTCCGTTCACAACACATCACGACAAAGGGCTGGCCAATGGTGCAGCCTGGGTGGTTGTCCAGGGTTTGCCAAATCGGCCTCAAACGACGCTTTCAGTACAGCAGCAACAAACAACTAACTTTTTAGGGCCCCATTGTTCTTTTTGATATTTCCCGAAACAGATTATCTCCTCAGCAAGATTTGCGGGCAAGATGGCAACTACCAAAGTATGTGGACGTCCAAAATTACACGTCCGCCGCCTTTGCCTCGAGAACGCTGAGGAAGTCAGGTGGCTGAGGCCCGTTGGCGGTCGTCTTCGAGAGGACAGGGCTTCCTTGTCGGCTCGGGGTGAACTGCATCGGCATTAGTCAAGACGTCATTCACAACTCCCAATTCCAAAACAAAAAGAAAAACCGGGGTAACGCCCGATTGGATGTGGAACTTACGTTGCTGGCAGCGCTCAGAAGAGCAATCAGGGAGCTCTGGACCACATCCTCATCGATACCCACGCCCCATACCGTTTTCTTCGTTCCAGCCGCCGTGCATTCAATGTATGTCGCGGCCTTGACATCGCGGCCCCTGCCGACGGCATGCTCCTTGTAGTCCTGAACGTCGAGATCTATGCCAACGGTCCGGAGGGCGTTAGCCAAGCTAGAAATCGGACCGTTGCCACGGCCGCGGAGCTTGTATTCAAGGCCGTCGACCGACACAACACCCTCAAAGAGTCTCCTGAGGCTCGTCGTATCCTGTGTCTTACCCGGTTCCGGGGGGGCGGGCGACGCGGATCGGTCGGGCGAAATGGTGTAATCGACGATGCTGAACCGCGGGCTTTGTGTGAGGAAGTAAGTCTGCCGGAACAGGTCTGTGATCTCGGTGGGTAGGAGCTCCCGGCCCTTCTTCTCTGCCATGTTCTGGACGACCTGAGAAAAGGCGACTTGGAGACCACGAGGCAAATCGAGGTGCAGGTGCTGCTGAATGACCCAGGCGGCGCCGCCCTTTCCGCTTTGCGAATTGACGCGGATGACAGCCTGATAATCCCGCCCGATATCCTGAGGATCGAGGGGAAGATAGGGAACCTGCCAGTAGTCATCATAGCCCTTGCCTTCGTTCTCGCGCACCTGGAACCCCTTCTTGATAGCATCCTGGTGCGAGCCGCTGAAGGCACACACCACCAGGGAACCTCCGTATGGCGCACGCGGGTGCACCTCGATCTTGTTGCATTCCTCCACTATCCTGATGACCTTTCCGAGGTCGGAGAAGTCCACGTTGGGAGTCACACCCTGGGTATAAAGGTTCAAGGCAAGTGTTACAAGGTCGACGTTGCCGGTGCGCTCTCCATTCCCGAAGAGGCATCCCTCAACTCTGTCCGCGCCAGCCATCTGGGCTAATTCAGCTGCGGCCGACGCAGTCCCGCGATCATTATGAGGATGCAACGATACACAAACCTTCTCGCGTTCGGTGATGTTACGGCAAAAGAACTCGATCTGGTCGGCGTAGACGTTCGGGGTGGCCACCTCGACAGTCGCAGGCAGGTTGAAGATGATGGGGTTCTCGACCGTGGGCTCCCAAGCCTTCTTTACCGCCTCGCAGATGCGCACGACAAACTCCGGGCTAGTGTCAGAGAAGGTCTCTGGGCTAAACTCGAACGCCCATTCCGTCCCCGACTGTGAAGGGTCATCCTTGGTCAAGGACCGGACCAGGGCGGCACACTTGCTGGCCAGCTCAACACTCTGGTCCTCGGAAAAGCCGAAGACGACCCTCCTGAAGCACTCGCTGGTGGCAAGGTAGATGTGCACAATAGCCTTCTTAGACCCCTTGAGAGACTCGACGGTGCGGCGGATGAGATCCTCTCTGCAGGGCGAAAGAACCTGAAGCCAAACATCGTCGGGTATGGCTCCCTCGGTCTCGATCAGGCGCCGGGTAAAGTCGAAATCGGTTTGCGATGACGAGGGGAATGACACCTCGATCTCCTTGTAGCCGAGCTCGCACAGCATGCGGAAGTATTTCCACTTTTGCTCGCCGTTCTGCCAAACGCGTTAGCCAATTGCTTCGAATCACATCTCGCATAGCTAATGGGTGACTCACCATGGGATCAACAAGGCTTTGGTTGCCATCCCGAAGGTCTGTTGACAGCCACCGAGGGGCCTTGTCAATGGTCTTGTTCGGCCATTGGCGATCAGGGAGGTTGAGAGGAGGGAACCTCTTGTACTTCTTCGAGGGGTCCTTGAGCCTGTAGCGAGGAGCCATTAATTTCTCTGTTTCTCGTAGCAGTTGTTGGGAAAAGTCAAACTTACATGACCATCTTAGCCGGCAGTGGAGAGGGATGGGCAGAGTAAATTCCGTATTATTTTCCGCCAATTCTTGCCGTCTGAGTAGCAAGAGTGATTAACTTGCACCGGAGAGCTCGTGTTCTTTCGACAGGCCGACGCCGAGGTTACTTGGGTTACCGAATACCTCGGGGTAGGAATCGGGAGCACGATGCGCGGATCGCGGTAATGGGGAAAAAAGACAGGGCGGTTATAAATGGCTAGTGAAGGGGAAGATTTGAGTCATAAGTGGAGGAAAGTTGAGGCGAATCCCCATCTGCCCGTCCCAGGCCCGAGGAACAAAAAGACCCAGTCTGTGCTAATTCATGTCAATCCCGAGCTTGTTGCATTGCCCCACTACCTCGAACTCCCCGACCTTACATGTTCACAACTACGAACGGCTGGCCAGCGGGGGAGGCTTCAATGGAAGCACAAAAGGTGTGCGCGCGCGCCTTTGGACCCATGGCGGGGTTAGGTGGTTTGGGAACCCCTCCTTGCTCCCCGCTAACGACACGAATACTTGACACCCCTCCTCCCGCTGCGTCTCACGCCACTTCACCCTCATTGGTAATTCATTTTTTTTCTGCAAAACTCTTCGCCAGATTATTGTTCTCTAAACAAGCATGCCATAAAACCTAGTAGTCCTGGGTGCTTCTTTGTCCGCTTGCCTCGGTCTCCGGGCAGACCTCTCTGCCTTCCCCGAGTCCCTAGTCAACAAAACCGCCGAGACAGAGGGGCATCGGTCTCGTGTGGTGCAAGGCGTGGGGGCTGCAGGGGAACCGCAGAAAGCGGGTCTTCCGAAAGCGAATTTCTGGCCTCAAGCGGCGTTGTTTTGACTTGCCGCTTCTCGAACCGCTGCAAGACGACGTGCGGATCAAGGAATCACATGTGGGAGTACCCGCGGAACGTAATGATGCCACACAACATTGGACCAGAGCGAGGATGTGATTGGGTAGGTACCTAACTTTAACCAATCCCTCATCTCCATCCCGACGTCGTCTCTCACGGTTTCAATGGGTATCGTATGTACAATATCCATACGAGATGGTTGGTCTTGCCCCGCTGATGAAAGTACAACGTTGTGTCTTTGGTTGAAGGTACATACATACGGGAACCTCTGTCTCGGGCTGTTGTCCGAATCTTTGGGAGATACTCGGGCATTACCTATTTAGCCGCTCGTCCCGAGCGGCGTTCAAAGGGCGACCGCATCAGGTCACCACGACTACATCACGACTTCTTGCGGGTTGGTTTCATAGGTGTTGGAAAGAGTATAATAATTACTAAGAAGAAAAAATGCTTGCTCGACGCGCTGTCGATATGCAGAATCCGAAAAATAAAACCACCGTCCGTCTAAATCATTCCGTCTAGGTATTCAAAAAAACAAGCAAACCCGCCCGGAACGTTCGAGCGATGGTCACCACGTGAAACTCTCCTCCACGAAATCCACCACGGTATTATGCGCCTGCACCTTGCGCACCGCATCCCGCACATCATCCGCCAGCCCGCCCGGCCCGCAGACGGACACGCACATGGCGCCCATCTGCTCGCCGACCTCCTTGGCCAGCAGCATGGGGATGTTGGGGCGGCCGGGGAACATCTGCACGGTGGCGGAGCTCGAGATGACCTGGTTGGGGTTCTTGGGCCGGGTGACGAAGAGGCGGATCTGCAGCACGTCCTTGCGGTTCGGCAGCCGGAGGATCTGGTCCATGTAGGGGCGCGCCCACTCGAGCACCTCGTAGTCGCGCACGATCCAGACGAGCGTCACGCGCCGCGTCGCCGCCGTGCCCGCGTTGTACCCGCCGATGAGGTGCCGTAGGTAGCTGATCTGGTGGGTGATGCCCGTCGCCCCCGCGAAGAGCACGGCGTGGCCGTAGCTGTCCATGCTGAACCCCAGCGCGTACGGCCCTTCGAAGGCGGCGCGCATCGAGATGGCGCGACCTTGCGGCGCCTGCAGGGTCTTGTTATAGAGCTTGCGGGTGAATCCGGTTTGGGCGCCGATGATGAAGGAGACGGTCGTGCCGATCGCTTCGCGTGGTTGCTTGAGCTTTTCCTTTTCGGCGGTGGGGAGGGTGTCGTCGTCACGGTATCGGTGCTCGTACCACGCGATGGAGAAGGGGTGGTTCTCCCAGCAGTTGACCCCCGCGAACCGGAGGTAGGCGTGCTGGCCGGGTTCGATTTTGACGAAACGGGGAAGGCGCATGGTCACGCGGCAGGCTTCGCCCGGTAGAGTTTCGACGATGGCTTCGGTGAAGCCGCGGCTGGACCAGTTGGCGTAGGCGAGGCGGAGCATGCGCGCCGTCCTCTCAGCAAGCCAGAGGGCCATGATGGCTAGCATCCAGGGAGCCTGAGGAAGCCCTCCGTGAACCGTCGCCGATATGCAATGAACCCAAGTGCAGACAAAAGCGACCAGAGCCAGGATGATGTGGATGTTGAGGAAGGACTCGTAAAAGGCGTGGCGAATGGGAGAGAAGGCCGTGATCAGAATGATGGCCATGGCCGCCACCCCCACAGTGCCCGAGGCGATAAAACGGTCGCTGAGAATCTTCTCCTGGACGCCTCCCCATCCGTCGTGAGCCACTTGAACGACCGCCCATGCGATAAAGTGGATGATGACTTCGATGATGGAAATTCGGCCCATCCACCGGTGCAGAAGATTGTACGTATCGAAGCTGACATTGAGGAGGTTGATCAGGGGGTTGTTGCGGCCGGCGAAGATGATGAGCGGCACCATGTTTACAACGGAGAGCGTTCCAGATCGGCCACGGATTTCGGCACACAGCGCGTACTTGTTCTCGTGCTTCCAGTCGAGGATGAACATGTAGGCGAGATTGCTGGCGATGAAGCCGAAGAGGAGAAGGGAATGGAACCTCGAAGGAAGCGTCCCCATATTGGCGGCGCTAGAGATGCGGATTTCGCGGTTGTGTCGTTTGTTCCACAGGGGCGCGTAGATGAGCCCCCTTTTCAGGCCGGGCATCTTCCTCCACTGTGTTCGTTTCCAGAACTCTTGCTTTTCCCCAGGTAGGGACATGGCCGTTACCAGTCGCAGTTGCGCCCATGCTAACCCGACTATCCTGATCACCAGCATCACCAGACCGACGATGCCTAAACTCCACCAGAGGATGTCGGTAAACAGCATGTTAACCGGCTGGTTGACGCCATTGAGGCCCGTGCTGTAAGGGGCAATCGTGGAGCTCGGGGTGATGGCCCCCGTCTGCGTCCCTGTGGTCGCTGTCGCCACATCTCGTAGTTGTAATGGTGGGGTTGGTATGGTGAGGTCAGGGCTAGGGAGCCCATCGTGTGTGAGGTCCATCGTCGGACTAGGAGACCGAGGAAGCGGCAAGTGATACTCAAACAGGAGAGGAGGAGGGGCGTGTAAGTCCCGGGTGGGGTTCAGAGCGAATGAGAGCGCGAAACCCTCCACGCTCTTAGTCGCGGTAACCCTCTTCTTTAGGGAGTTTGGCGTGCCACTCTAGGTTGGTCCGAAAAATGCTGTGTTATTGAAGTTGGCGGGTAAAAGGGAACATTCCCATTGTGTGTTGGACAATAGCGAGTGAATAAAGGTAGTCGGCCGATTGTTTCTCCTGTGATCCGACCAACAACCCGACAAACAGGCGACCTTCCGAGCGCTGACAGGGTGGAACAAGGCAGCAAGTCTTGTCCGGTTCAAAACAATTTCGGACGCCCAGAAGTTGATCGCCGCTGTTGGTCCAGGAGCCGAAATCCCAGCGCGCACACGCGGCGATGGCAAGCTTCGCGGTCGCAGTATTCCCTGGTGTTGTTCGGTGGGAAAAGAATGGATACGCTTTACCAGAAAGCTGGAGAGAAACCAGGCGTCCCGTTCGACGTTGGACCGGGTTTGTCGTTCAAGGATTGAAGCGGGGTGTGAAAGGCCCGTGACAAAGTGGGCAAGGGGAGCACCAAAAGTGAAGTGAAAACAAGGTTGAGATCGGCGGCGATGCAATGTGCCGGACTGATCTTCCCTTCCCTGTTGTTGTCGTGACACGGCACCACAGGGCGTGTCAATACCGGGATCTAGAGAACGAGAGAAGCGAACAAGCGCTGGATCGACCAAACCAGAAGGTCGACGCTTTTGGAAATGAGAAACCGGCGGCTGGGGAAGGGAGACCTGGAATGCGAAAGCAGTCGAGGATGCACAGCCGCGCGCGAATCTGGCCAAAGCCTTACCTTTTAACAGAATGGGGAAATCATCGTCAAGGTGGCTCCCTCCGAGCGAGCTTTCTCGGAATCGCGCCCCTGACTGGCAGAAGGATCCCTTGCGGCGGGACCAGGGCCTTGGAGAATCATCGTCATCCAACCGAGCTCGTGGAATGATCTTCCTTCTCGCCAAGCATGTTTGCGTGGGTCATGATTGCCCTGGAAAATACCTATCAGGTAGGGCCGCTAGTCTCGTTCATCGTGTGTTCTGCGCAGCCCAGGCGGAGGCGCGGACGGCCAAGATCTCGGATCAGGACGGTGTGTGTCTCTGAGCAAGCGAAATCATAGGGTGAGGGAGGTTGTGGACCTTCGACGGCGGATTTCAGAACTCATGCAGCTGACGGGGGGACGAATTCTCATTGGTCCAGTGTTTTCAGGGCGTTTCTTGGCGCCCGGATTCTGTCCACATGTCGACGACGGGCCAAGCCGTTATGCAGGGGCACAGGCAAACCCCGGGCAGGCGCCGGAGGAACTTGCAATCGGGCCTCAGCCCGGAACTTCCTGTGCTGCGGCGACACGTATTTTTCTCGGGTGCCACCTTGCTAACAGTCGTGGACACCCGCAGAGTTAGACGTCATTTACATGCAATACTGAGTTATGACTTGCGTCCCTGGTGAGCGCGGCGTCATGGGCGTGTCGCCGTTGAACCGGACGAAGAAAGGGTTCAGATGATCCCGGAGGGAGATGCTTGGCCCGAGAGTCGCTTTTCCACTTTGGGGGTCAAATTTTCGACGTCATGCTTCCGCTTGCCGCACGGACAACGTTCCGACCGCAGCGGGGAGATATCCTATTCGAGCGGTCGGGAAGCGGAACGGACATGGCTGGGGCTTTGAGCGGGAGCGGCCCCGTCGTGCCACTGCCCACCCGAGCCACCGTATCTCTGCGTCGGTTACAGATAAAAATACGACGTAGGCACGGTGGGGTTGTTCCAGGTCTCTGGGCCCGACTTGCCCGCGATCCCCGATCGTTATGGTGGTGGTGCGAGCGCCCCCTCAGCCAAGCTTTCTTCGACTCGCTCGAGATCAACTGGAGCAGTCGATCATTGCTCTTCCCAACGGCTCCCCAACTCCTTGAAGGTTGTCTTGATTTGGCCGGCCCGAAGTCGTATCTTCGGGCCCCTCTCCCATCGCACCTCCAACTCTTCCGTGCTTCCGTGTGTGCAACCAACCGCATGGAGTCGGTCTCGACGGGCGATACCCTAGTTCAACGGCGTGGGATGGTTGTTGAAGTGACCCGCCCTAGGAGATGAGAGGGGTTGACACCCTTGGTTATCGAGCCATGTTCCCCTCCGTTGCATCGAACTATCGCGCCTTTCTGCTGAAAAACGTGCACAATGTTGGTGAACCAGGTAAACCGGGTTACATTCGCAGCCATCCGGTGTGTGCTCGGGTATGGAACCCAAAACTCGTGGTTGCTAAACTGGGAAAGATAGGACAATGGTGGACGCCTCGGACGCATCGTGAAGTCGCTACTCCCCGAGCGCATACCGAACAGAGCAGGCGGGTCCGTCACATGCAACAGCTGTCCTCCAGTTCCTGAATCAGTGTGTGGCTATTCTGCCCACACGAAGGATTCCGCCCCAGCCGTGATACATCGGACGAGATTCTGCTCCCGGGACGGCGCTCCGCCGAATGGAGTCGTCACCCCCGGCGATCACCTTGTCTTTTGACCCAGATAGTGTGCCGCGGCCGTGCCCAGGACAAGGGTGCGCTTGGCGGAACACGCCATTGTTGACTTGAGCTGGGTGGGTGGTGCGCGGGATAACTATTGTGTAAGTGCGGATGCTGGTGGGTGGCAATCAAGGTGATGCTGGATGAAGCCTGAATTGGCGAGTCGAGTAGGACTGTAAATAACCAACAATTGTACAAATATCCTACTGGACCTCGTCATTCTGAACAAATTATGTAACGCTCACAACTCTGGGCATACATTCTAGATACGTACTGTGTACTCTGTCGGAAGGTGGGTTATCCAGACATTGAACCTGGTCTCGAACTGCCATCTCGACTCTCGAGTTCCTTTTTGGAGTACAGCTTTGGAGTACACCTAACCCAGGACGGATGCGGGGTCCTCAGGAGCGCCAGTAAATAGCAATACGAGGGCCAACGCAGAGAAAACGCGAAAGCAGCTTCCAGTGATCTAAAACAACCTTCGTCACCAAAATGTCCGGAAGTGGTGAGTGATGGTCTCCGAGGTTGATAGGGTCCGAGCTCTTCCAAGTTGCAGCGAACACCAAAAAGGGCCATTTACCGTGTTAACACAGTAAGGAGAGCACTGTATCCCGTCATTGGTTGGAAATTTCCATGAGCCGGAAACACAGCGGGTGCCAAGGATCCGGGAAAGCATCACTCACTGCCGACCGGCGAAGCGCACGCACAAGAGCTCGAGGGAATTGCGCCACTCGCACCACCGGAAGTGTTAATTGATTGAAGCTCTGCTTCTCATCTGTCCACCATGGGTTCGAGCACGTCCAAGCCCTCGAATCCCGCACCACACGTGTGGAGGGGGTACGCCCAACCCACCCCAAACTCTCAAAGCTCTTCCGAGCTCCCCATCACCAAACTAATCCCCTTCCAGCTCCTCCCAGGCCGGGGTGTCGCAAAGCCTAGTTGAATCCCTTGAGACCAGTAACGAGGTTAGACACTGTCCCCAACCTTCTTGCCATCACCCAGCCGTCCCTCTAACTGACCCTCTTCCCAATCGCAGACCGATGTCTCGCGTCTCCAGGCCCTCGAGCTCCATATCCAAGAACGCGTCGCCGCCGAGCTGAAGCGCCTTCGCGCCCAAGAAGCCGAAACCTTGCGCGAGGCGCAACAGAAACTCTCGGCCGAACCCGCCGCCGACCAGCAAGGGGAGGAGCAGCAGCGGCAGCTCGCCGGGCCCAGTCGCCAGGAAGTGTCCAAGGCGATCGGAGACCTGCGCGCCAAGCTCGAGGAGAGGAAAAAGGTGCGCCAGGTGCCCGAGACCTTGGAGAGCGCGCGGGACGAGGTGGTGCGGTGCCTACGTGAGAACGACCGGCGGCCGCTGGACTGCTGGCGCGAGGTGGAGGCTTTCAAGGAGGAGGTCAGGAGGCTGGAGAAAGGGTGGGTTGACAAGGTCGTCAAATAAATAAGGGATGATGAGGAGGTGAATGGGGGTTACGAATGTAATTCGCCAGGCCAGTGTTGTATACCATGAATATCGTGTATCAAAGGGATTGGGATCTCGGGTCGCCGGATGGCTTCGGTGACGTAGAAAAGGGGAAATAGAAGGCGTTCGCAATCATAGTCCTGCAGAGACATTCTCAAACATCGCCAGGTTGTTGAACTATAAAGTCTTCCCTGGCCTCGCCCGAAACCCCGCTCTTGTCTTTCTTTAGTTCCTCTCGTCGCTTAAGTCCCTCCAGCCGCTTGCGCTCTTTTCTCGCCTGAGCATCCTCCCAGTTCTCTTTTCCCTTAGGGGGGGCGAAAGCTGCATCCAGCGCGGCACTAAACCTGGCTATCCTCTTCTCATTCTCGACAAATCGCTCATTGGCTATTCGCACGAGTGTTTTCAGGTACTGTGGTGACACAACCAACTGGCGAACGCCGTCTGTCTCGGCCCCGATCAAGGACTCAAATGATAATCCCATCGACCGCACAGCGACCATGGGCGTTACCTCCTCGTCCGGCTGCCGCGGAAGCAGACTAACAGCTCCCGACTCACGGAAACCGGCCTCCATCCCGGCCTGGATAACCAGTTGTGCGTGCTCCAGTGAAGCGGTCAAAACGTGCAAGATCTGAAAAGGGGGTCAGTTGGTCCTAGTCCGTGATCTCCGAGATACCGGAAACATACCATGGGCTCGAACTTGAAATGAATCAATCGTGACGACCCCGTCAGTGCCGCTTGCCTTGCGCCTGCTTCTTCCCCAGCTACTGCGGCTGCCGGCTCAAGGCCCAAAAGCAACCTCTCGTACCCCTCACCACCACCACCATCATCACCATCTTGACCCCCGCCCTCCACCGGATCATGCGACACAAACAACCACTCCCCGCCGCCCTTCCCCCCCGCGGAACTCGCACCCTCCACCGCAGGGGCACTGCCCTCACGCCCACTCACACCACCACCACCACCCACACCACCATCACCACCACCCACCAACCCCCCATCCACACCCGACGACGACGGAGGCGGCGGGCAGCAGGCCTTGCGTCCCTCGAGGTACACGCTGACGCGCCCCGCGCAGCTGCTGGTCGTGACCAGGCCCGCGCGCGCATCGTCGTCGCCGCCGTTGCGATTGTTGTTGATCCGGTCGATCAGCTGGCGGATGCCGGCGTCGACGGAGCCCTTGGGCGAGGCGTCGGTGTACTCGGCGTCGGGCACGGCGAGGTGGGCGAGGATTTTGCGCTTTTTGAGGGCGAAGGTGGGGCTGGGGGTGGGAAGGGGTTTCATGGTTGTTGTTGTTTTGAGATGAGGGGGTGATGTTGGGGTGTTATTTTTTAGTTACTTGGATTTTGGTTGTTGGAATTCGGAAAAGGTTGAACTTCGAGCAGCGTGAGGGTGGTGTGGATGAGGGTGAAAATGGGGGTCACGTGCGCGGGTTCAAGGTCTCTTGACGGGGAGACAGACAACAACAAACTCAAGGGGGGAATACAAATGTTGGAAGGTGTGATGACTTTGGGATATCTTGCGGGTGTCTCAGTAAAGAAACCCGATGATAATCGCAGGCTAACTCGGACTCCTGCAATGGGCTGTTCTTCAGTGGTATGGACTGATAACTTTCGGGGGAATAATATCGACGGCGCTCCTAGTTCTGTGACGGGTAAGATAAACGTTGAACTCCTCTCGAGTGCTTTTTCCGTGATTCCGCTTGACTCTAATTCGCACCCGCAACTCTGGAAATATGGTTCATTACGTTAACAACCGAGGCCACGCTGCCTTGGTCTTGGTCTTAGTGCATCAAATGGCACGGAAGGTGATCCAGTGTATGGTATACGGGGGCACAAATAGAAGAAAAGCATAAATATGACACTAAACTTGACCCTCAAAAGTTCGCAGCCATGATAGCAGCACTACCAGCAAGTATCAGCGCCGCTGTTGGGACAGCAGCGAACACGCCCCCGTTTAGGGGTATAGTAGCAGGAACGAAAGTCGTTGTAGGCGAAATCCCCGACGTGAAGGGGGCATCAGAGACAGCAGTGACGCCAGAAAACGCCGGTGCCTGAGTTGGAGCAGCCGTATCGGGGGTAGCGGAAGAATTAAAGGGGTTGAGAACGCTGGGAAGGAGTGGTGGTCAGCGCACCAGGTATCTCGGGGGACGTAACGAGGTCAACTTCCACTCCTCAAATAAAACTCACTTATCCAATACGTGAACCACCCCGTTACTAGTCAATATGTCCGCGAGAATCACCTTCGCCGAGTTGACAAACACCTGGGAGCCGTCCCTGCGGACCGTAATGTTTTGGCCCTGCAGCGTCGCGAGCGTCATCTGGTCAGCAGTCAGCAAGTCGGTGCTGAACCGCAGCTGCTGCCGCGCCAGGACGTGGTAGCCTAGGATGTCGGCGAGGTCTTGCACCGCTAGCGTCCCGAGCGCGGACCCGATTGTCCTGAACGCGTCGTTGGACGGGGCGAAGATGGTGACGTCCGTGAGGGCGTTCACGCCGCCGACCAGCCCGGCGGCCGTCAGCGCACCGGCGAGCGAGGTGAGGCCCGTATTTATGGCCGTCTGCGACGGGTTCGCAGGAACGGTGAGGACGGTGTCGATGATGTGTACGACATTGCCGCCGTCGAAATCTACGTCCTGGAAAAGCCTCAGTCTCTTGCAGCTTCTCTAGAAGTAAATTAAATGGTCACACATACCGCTGTAACGACTGTAGCAACCTGCTTATACCCTGAGAACACCTTTGCCGTACCATTCACCATGACCAAGCCAACCTTTTGGCCGTCGGTGACATTGGTAAATGGGGTTTTAAGCAGAGTCGACGGGAACTTTGGCGTTGGCGAGAAGTCACTCGACAGTAACCTTCCCATTAGGACATGGTATTGGAGTACGCCCGCCAGTGCCCTGGGATTTCTCATCAACTCTGCCGACCTCGGATTTCTCGCCATTAGGTTGGCAAAGGCGGTATCTGAAGGCGCTAGGATGGTAATGTTCTTGGCTGTGGAAAGCGTCTGGACGACATCGGGCACAAGGGCAAGGAGACCTGGTTTTGTCAGTCCGGGTCAAACCTGGGCATGTATTGCGAGATGCGTACTGGTTAGTGTGCTCAGCGTGGCATTATTGTTCGCAAGAATGCTGGCTAGCGACTGGGCAGAGACGTAGGCTGCCAGGCCTAGTGGTAGCAGATGGGTAAAACGCATCGTGTGGGCATACTCCAACCGAGGTCGGACAGTCAATTACCGTGAGAGTAAATCAGAGGGAAACTCACAGCGGGTGTATCGTGGTCATATAGGAAACAGTGACGGCATCTGAAACGCAGCAATTCCGCAGTTTCCTCCAAACAAAACGCTTTGAACGCAGGATGCAGGCTCACTGGCCGTCTTGCTGCTAGGACTATATCACAGTGGCATCCGCCGGCAAACTTTCATCCGCATAGCATTGCGGCACGTTATCGGAGCCGACGGAGAGGGTTGTCCTGTGTATGGTGCTTAAGCCATTGCAACGTGTAACATGGTAAAGCTAGGTAATACGACTGAGCGATGCCCATGTCTAGGTGGTGCCGGAAACCGGAACAAGGAACACTGGCTTCCCGTCGCCACGATGGTATATGGCATGAGGCACGAATGTGAGGCGAGGAGTGTCGGAGCCTGGCAGATCATGGCAACCCCTAGATCGATCTCCAATGTGGGAATCATAATTCCGAGATCTTACATAAAAACCTAGATTGAGTCAAGATAACGAGATTTTATTAAAGAGACCAAACTATTGGCATCCGATCGATGTTCGGGATTGGGGTTCTTTGGAGTTGTTGTTGTTGGGAAGTGGCAGGGTTAGGGGCAGAGTGACATGGGAGGTTTGTCTTGATTGGGTGATTGGTCAAAGCCCAAGCACCATTTTGCTGCCAAGCTCGGGTTTATCGATAGCTCAGCGGAGGGCGGAGAGCTCGGAACAACTCCAGCTCCAAGATCTCGCGATCCATCGGCATGATGATAGCTTCTTCCATTCCCGAAATGCACTTGGAAGTCATCGCCCACCGATGCCCGGAAACGACAACATGAGACAACCGCCACCAATGCCCTTGTCCAATTACCATTCGGGACGCCCTGACTGGATCGCCCAAGCTGCCGTGGTCTCCTGACCCGTCCCCCGCATTTCACCTCCATTACGAAGCTCACCAACCCGGCAACGACATTCTTAAATATTTTGAATTTGTCTAGCTATTTAGCTTGAAGCCAACGGAAATGACAATGCAACGACCGCCCATGCTGTTCGAAACCCGCGATTATCCCATGGCCACGAGGACCAATAACGCCGACGCCGAGCTATTCCCCAAAAACGCCTCTGTAATGCCCGTCATAATGTTTGTGAAATGTATGTGTGACCCTTCCAATCTCGTCACCTTCATAATGAAACCACGGCTAACGCCTCATTCTTCGTCACAGGAACCCCCGATGTGTTTCCCGTTCGATATCTAGGCCGAAACCTCTTGAGCCTGCTGCCGCGCGGCGTTCTCGAGCCACTGGGCATAGCGGCTCTGCTTGTTGTGGATGCCGCACTCGGTCTTTTCCTGGCCCTTCCAGCGGCCGGCGCGCTCGTCCTCTCCCTCGCCGACGGGGACGGTCGAGTGCCAGTCGCCGATGGACTTGTACCCGCGGTCGAGGAGGGCGTTGTACGGCACCTTGTGCTCGTCGACGTACGCCTTGACCTCGGCAAAAGACCAGTTGGCGAGCGGGTTGATCTTGATAACACCACGCTCGTCGTCCAGCTCGATGACTTTGATGTCGCCGCGCTGCCCGCCTTGGGACCGGCGCCGGCCCGTCAGCACGGCCGCCACCTTGAGTTCCGAGTAGGCCCGCTGCAGCGGTTCCACCTTGGCGATCCAGTCGTACAGCTCCGACGACATGTCGTACAGCTTCTCGCCGTACAGGGCCTCGAACTCGGTCACGTTGTCGACGTCCGCCGGCTTGAAGACGTGCACGTGGACGTTGTAGCGCTCCTTGACGCGCTCGACGAGGTCATAGGTTTCCTGGAAGTGGTAGAGCGTGTCGAGGAAAACGAGGTCGATCGGCTGCGGGTTGGTCGACTCGGCGTCCAGCTTGGACAGCATGTCCACGGTGACGAGCCCCGTCAGGCCGAACGCCGTCGACTGGTAGAGGTTGGGGAAGAAGATCTTGCAGAACCGGAGGACGTCCATGGGGTGGAGAGCCTCGAGTTGCTTGTTGAGATGCTTGATGTGCGGTTGGGTGAGGGATATCCGGGGCAGGCTGACAGTGGATGCGCTTGGCGAAGCGAAGCCGGAGTCGACAGATCCATGGTCCCCAGGCGAGGACAGCTGGGAAGATGTTTCGGTGCGGGAGTCGTCAGCCATTTTGAGGATGGGTTGTTGTTGTTGTTGTTGTAGAAGACGATGAGGGAACAAGCGGTCGGGGCTCAGACTATGGGCAGGCCGAGGATGAAGTCTTGTTCAAGTTGTTCTGCAGGAGAAGCGGGAAGAAAAGGAGGAGTACCGAAATCGCAGCGGGGGATGTGTCAAGAACGTGGGTGAAAGGGGGTAGAGGGGGGTCGGGTGGTATTAAAGCAGCACGGGAGGAGGTTTGGTTGTGGGATGCCCCGTTCGAGCGTCTCGCAGGGAATGTCCGTGTTTTCCGGGGTTACGAATACTCGAGACCAAATGGCGAAATCTGGGCCCCCGGAAGTGGACAACTGGGCGAGAGAGGTTCGTTTTCTAGTGAACGCATCACCGCCATTACTAATGCCTGTTTCTAGATTCTTGGTCATCCTCGAGATATCCGAGGGGCAGGGACAGTCTGGCATTGGTCCTTGACCGTCGAAACCGGGTCAGCATGACACCAACGAGTGGAGGCGCTGTTAAAGGCGCTTTTTCATGAAGACTTCGTTAGAGTGGTGGTGTTTTCAGCGAGGCTGATCACGACATCTGGGGGCCCTGTGATTGGTCAATCTGGCGGTTTTCTGTGGGGGTTCTCCCGCCGCGGTTTGGATGCCACCCCTTGGGGCAAGGACTCGGACCTGGGGAAGGCGCGATTCCTTTGAGGAATGAGCACTAACGCCAGATGCCTGGGCTGTTGCGTGCCTCCCGAGATCCGCCGGCAACAAGGGGAAGCCAGGGCCGATTGTGGGAGAGGGACGACATCTGATGTCCACCCTCGAGCCACCCCTCTGACACAATTCACGAACATTTATCCCAAGGTCTTTAGTCAGCCACGCTCCGCGACCCTGTAAAGTGGTTCAACTGCTATGATGTCACCATCTGTAACGTTCTTAAAGGCACAATCACCCCTTGTATTGCAATGAGAGCGCGAAGGTGTTTGGGTCTGTGTTGTGAAGTCGTTTCAATGAGAGAAGCGGCTCGGCGGCTCGGCGGCTCAAGTTAAGACCGACTTCCGGTTTTCATGGGGTGGTTGCACAGCACCCTTTAACAAACTGATATGATTAATAAATTACCCCTGGACACGCAGCTGGCTTCCTGGGGACCCTGCCTACTGGACGCCCTGACAACAGCAACAACTGAAATCATCCGGTGAACCATCCGAGACACTAATAATAATGTCGGTGTTGGGTTCCGCGGGTGACGAGTCGGGTTGACGATGTTCCTGAGAGGACCCTGACATCGCGAAGAGGTCCGGGCTTTTCCCCACATCTGTCATCCTCGGCGCATCGACAAGCCACAGTCTGATCGGACACTATATTGGCTCGTCGACACAACATGTTGATTGGAAAAACAATGAAGTATAGTTGTTGTATCCCTCCTGAAGACCGACCGGGCCCCATGGCTGACTGAGCCGACTGTGCACACAGTAGGGCATCACTCAACCGTCTTGTTGCACGGATGATATCGGTTGCTTGCCAAGGAAATGGCGGGGTCCTTTTCTTGCCCGCCAACTTGAAAGGTGGGGTTCCACGAGCGCTGCCAGTTTCTTGAAAACACTCGTCGAGACGCGGGGACAAAGCGAACATTATATCCCGCTGCTAGAAGTGTTCTCGGTTTTCCTGAAGAAGGTCTGCACTGCAGTTTAGCGGCATTTGCATTGAGAACCTCTCCTGTTCCAAGCGCAAACCATGGCCGAGGAAGCCGGTGCCTCTCCCCGGCAGGGACGGCCCTTAATGACCGCCGCCATGCGTAGTAGCTCGTTCCTGAGGGATCATCAACAGTACCGCCCACCGCACAAGCCCGAAAACCACTATGGGATTGACACTGTCGTCGAGGATCTTCAGGCGACCAGCGTCTCGCCGCGCGAGATCACCCACTTCAGAGGGGTTCCCTCGCCCGAGCACCCTCCCAAGATTGTCGAGAGCGGCTTGAGCCACGAGCTGTCGCATCCGGACTGCACACCACGGCCCGGCACCCACACCGAAAAGCTCGTCGCAACCTTGTTTTATCGCTCCACGGCTCCTCGGGCTTCGAATGCGATTCCCTCCCCGAAGTCCCCTTCCCCACAGAGAAGCCGGTCCCCCTCGCTCCGCGCCCCCTCCGATTCCGACATCCCCCCGACCATGGCCCCGAGCAGCAGCCTTGAAACCTACCCCCTCGAGCCGCCCGCTGCCGAGCCCGAACCGCTCAATCACCTGTATGGCTCATACGTCACGCCCATGTGCATCACCTCCTTCCTGCACCTCATGACCACCTTTCCGCTCCCTGCCGGCTCGAACGACCTCACCTCGGCGCACCGCTGCCTCAAACTGGACGCCAGCCAAGACCACCACCCCGTGGTCGTCGAGCTGACGGTTTCCCCCGCGCCCTCGTTAGACTACCTCTCCTTGGCCGACCTCCGCAAACACGAGCTCATCTACAGGTTCGAGCGCGAGTGGAACGTCGACGTGGCGCTGCGTGCCGACACCCTCTGGCGGCGGTACCCGCGCCTGGTGGTGTTCGACATGGACAGCACCCTCATCACGCAGGAGGTCATCGACCTCCTGGCCGCCACCATCAAGGACCCGCCGGACCTGGCCGCGCGCGTCGCCGACATCACCCATCGCGCCATGCTCGGCGAGCTCGAGTTCGATTCGGCCTTCCGCGAGCGCGTCAAGCTGCTCACTGGTCTGCCAGGTACCTTGTTCCAAGAGCTGCGCCCCGTACTGGATGTGACAAACGGCGTGCGACCGCTCCTGCGGGCGCTGAAGAGGTTGGGTGTCAAAACCGCCGTGCTATCGGGCGGCTTCCTGCCCCTGACGAGTTGGCTCGCCGGAGAGCTGGGGATTGACTATGCCCATGCGAACGAAGTGGTCATTGACGAGGCGACGGGTCTGTTGACCGGCGAGGTGACGGGCCGTATCGTCGGGAAGGAGCGCAAGCGGGAGCTTCTGATCGAGATTGCCGAGAAGGAGGGCATCCCGCTTGAACAGGTGGTTGCCGTGGGCGACGGTGCCAATGACCTGCTTATGATGGAGGCTGCGGGCCTGGGTGTTGCCTGGAACGCGAAGCCGAGAGTGCAAATGGAGGCCAGCGCGCGGATCAATGGCGGTAACATGCTAGATTTGCTCCATCTCTTTGGGTTTAACGAGCAAGAAGTGCAGCAGCTCAGTGCCTGAGCATCAGGGCGCTCCTTGGGGGGGGGGGGGTTAGCTTTCTCTGTTTATGTTTCTGGAGTCGGTAAGTCTATTAGTGAGGGGGGCCAGAGTGTGTATGGAGAAAATACTAGTTATGGTAAATACAGCCTGAAGTATATTGCAATGATATATGTGAAGCTAACCGTTTGTTACTCGAAGAGGTGCGTGCAGAAGTACTCGATGTCAATGTTCCTCTAGAAGGAGAGATATATAGGATGACTTGATGTACCTCAACGGCCAAGCGTTTCAAGACAGTGGCCGGCCCCTCTTCTAGTATAGTTATGCCTAACCTTAATTACCTGTGCCATCGATCGATTCTCGTGACGATCATAACCTTTTTTGTGAAAGGACGCATTGCATGTGCTTGAGACCACAACACTACTCGAATGTATATCCCCAGTCCCAATATCAGAAATGGTCTATGGTCGAAGGACGATGCGTGTGGGGATACTCAGTCGAGCGTGGGAACAAAACATGGTTCACAATAAGATGAAGCATGAGGTCTGAGGTCCTCCCCTTCCAACTGCGTCCAAAACGCTCCTAATATGGAGAGGAACGGGCCTCAAATCTGAAGGCTTAATCGGGAAGGAGATTGGGCAGCAGAGCCCTCGGCTCACCATGACGGGCTTGAACCAGCTGCAATGCAAGTATGGATCCCGGCTCGGTAACTTTGGCCGACCCGGATACCTCACCCCTGAGAGATCTCAGCCCGGTGAGCCCACTCCTCATTGACGAACGGGGCGGGCTTGTCCTGATGTCCACCAAGGGACGGAGCAGTGTATTCATTCCTGTGGACCTGATCCCGGGCTACACGCAGCATACTTGTAAGCATCGTTAAACGACTACTTTGTTCGTCCCTCAAATATAGGGCCATTACCGAGTGAGTAGGAACAGGTATGTTCTCATTAACAACCGAACACAGGCAAGTCAAGCAAGTAAAAGCATCTCGAGTGTCCCGGGGGTAGAGTGCCCTCTAGCTTTTCCAGAGGATGTGAGCAGGTCGATGGCCTGAAGGGATGGAAGTACCTGATGCGCCTGGGTCCCCGGCCGTAGAGGAGTGGGAACCCCTCTCACTACTGGAACAGACAGGGCTGCGAGAGCCCCGACATGATGGTTCCCTTGGACATGGTGGGTGGGAGGAGTTTGAAAAGCTTGTGGCTGCAGTCGAAGCTTAAACCATCTACCCCTGTCCTTGCCGACTTCAAAAACGGGGAGGAACTGAAGCTCTCAGACGGCCCTAGCCTCATACGGACATCGAACACAATGACCTCTGCGTCTTCGACAACATCAAACGGCCCGATGGCACGGTGTTGCAGTTGTGCGAGATGCAAGATATAAATTGTAAGAAGAAGAAGGGCTGTGTTTCCCACATTTGCCACTGTCCTTGCAAGCGCATAAGTCATGGCCCCGTCCACTCGAACCGAGCTGCGTTTGTGACGGCCGCGACCAGAAGAGGGGCCACTTCGCCACAAACACTCGGTTGAGATTGCAACCCCTCCGCGGCAAACAAAGAGCTGATTGCCGCCTATCCATCGACAGTCATTCGCCGATGAGAAATGAGGTTTTGTAAGAGCCTTCGGATCGAATCCCCACGAGCTTCGGGGTCACAAGGGAAGAAGGAAGCGAATCTGAATGCCCGGAGCTTGACTCACGCCGCAGACTCCCCGATCCGTGCACAGTATCGTCACATTTTTGACGTTGGGCAGGAGGCCAATGCCTAACTCACCAAGGACATGCGGCTTTGCGGCAGGGAGTCCCACTTTACCGCCAACCTCATGCAGTGGCGCTCGGGCCGGCCGGTTTTTGAGGGCAAAAGGATTGGCGAACGGAGGGGCTTATCGGTTGCCTGGGAGTTTGCGAAGAGGGGCATTTTCGAAACCCAGAGAGGGGCAGTTCGACCAGGTTCAAGAGGCGTCACAGGCAAATGGTATTATTTCTCTGACTGTATTTTGTACGTACAAGTTCACACTGGGATGGGTTTAACCGGACTTTGGATTCGGTGACTCGAATCCACGGATGCTCTGTTCGTGTAGGTAGTTTGCATTAGGTGCGCTTTGTGTGCAATCCATCCGAAGCCTGACCGCGGGGCTGGGCGGCAAGGTGCGGCAGAGAAATTGGCTGGCCGAAATTTTGAGGGCTTGCCCCACCTTGGTTGAAGTTTTTGTGTTGCGCAACCCCACCAACCCGCCTTGCCCCTCCCGACCTGCCCATAAAAACTTCAACCCCTCCTCAAAAATCACCCTACTCTCCCTCTTCACTTCCTCGTCGGCATACCTGATTCGGGCAATCACCTGCCACTTTCAAGTGCGTAACCATCATCGCGCCATCTCGATCTTCGACGAGAGCATCATTTCTGACTTATTACAGACTTACATCAAGCGCAAGTCGCCAGTTTCGTTCTTAAGAACAACAACACCGTCAAAATGGGGTAAGTCGTGGTCACCAGCTCCCGACCGATCGCGAGGGACCTCGATTGTTTCGTCAACAAAGCTAACTCGGTCAACAGCAAGGAGGACAAGCTCCACCTGAACGTCGTCGTCATTGGGTTTGTCTATCTGCATCCGCGCTGTTGTTGGCGCCCTCGTTTGCGTGCGCAGGAACTGACGTGTAGCAATTTAGACACGTCGACTCCGGCAAGTCTACGACTGTAAGCTTCACCCCTCCGCCTCCCTGGTACACTGCGCTGTAGGATAGGTCGCTGACAAGACTACAGACCGGTCATCTTATCTACAAGTGCGGTGGTATCGACAAGCGTACCATCGAGAAGTTCGAGAAGGTCAGTTCATTTTCCTATTCCCAACCCATTCCCAACCCGAAACATGCGCTCTCATGGGCTATTTCCGCCCGATTCCGACCGCACCTTCATTTCTGCCTGTCTCGCACTTTTTTCCTGGCCTCTTCTGCCTTTGTGGCTGCCCCTCCCTCCAAAGCGGGGGAGGGGCACACAAACCCAGCGGACAAGGGAAATTTTTTCGGCAGGCCCACCCACCCCGCACTTCCACCCCACCAACCGCGCGCCGCATTTGGCGCTCAATTGCCAAGGATCGAGCTGACACCAGACAACAGGAAGCCGCTGAGCTCGGCAAGGGTTCCTTCAAGTATGCGTGGGTTCTTGACAAGCTCAAGGCCGAGCGTGAGCGTGGTATCACCATCGATATCGCCCTCTGGAAGTTCGAGACCCCCAAGTACTATGTCACCGTCATCGGTATGTCGCAACCTCTCGTCCTATCGCCTGCCTCCCCTCGCTAACGTGCGCCACACAGATGCCCCCGGTCATCGTGACTTCATCAAGAACATGATTACTGGTACCTCCCAGGCCGATTGCGCTATTCTCATCATCGCCGCTGGTACTGGTGAGTTCGAGGCTGGTATCTCCAAGGATGGCCAGACCCGTGAGCACGCTCTGCTCGCCTACACCCTCGGTGTCAAGCAGCTCATCGTCGCCATCAACAAGATGGACACCACCAAGTGGTCCGAGGCCCGTTACCAGGAAATCATCAAGGAGACTTCCAACTTCATCAAGAAGGTCGGCTACAACCCCAAGACCGTTGCCTTCGTCCCCATCTCCGGCTTCAACGGCGACAACATGCTTGAGGTCACCACCAACGCTCCTTGGTACAAGGGCTGGGAGAGGGAGATCAAGGGTGGCAAGGCCTCCGGCAAGACCCTCCTCGAGGCCATCGACTCCATCGAGCCCCCCAAGCGTCCCACCGACAAGCCCCTCCGTCTTCCCCTCCAGGATGTGTACAAGATCGGTGGTATCGGAACGGTCCCTGTCGGCCGTATCGAGACTGGTATCCTGAAGCCCGGTATGGTCGTCACCTTCGCTCCCTCCAACGTCACCACGGAAGTCAAGTCCGTCGAGATGCACCACGAGCAGCTTACCGAGGGTGTTCCCGGCGACAACGTTGGTTTCAACGTCAAGAACGTCTCCGTCAAGGAGATTCGTCGTGGCAACGTTGCCGGTGACTCCAAGAACGACCCGCCCGCTGGCGCTGCGTCGTTCGACGCTCAGGTCATTGTCCTGAACCACCCCGGTCAGGTCGGTGCCGGCTACGCACCCGTCCTCGACTGCCACACGGCCCACATTGCCTGCAAGTTCGCTGAGCTCCAGCAGAAGATCGACCGCCGTACCGGCAAGTCTGTTGAAGACGCCCCCAAGTTCATCAAGTCTGGTGATGCCGCCATCGTCAAGATGGTTCCCTCCAAGCCCATGTGTGTTGAGGCTTTCACCGAGTACCCTCCCCTCGGTCGTTTCGCCGTCCGTGACATGCGTCAGACCGTCGCCGTCGGTGTCATCAAGAAGGTCGAGAAGGCCGCTGCCGGTGCCGGCAAGGTCACCAAGTCGGCTGCCAAGGCTGGTGGCAAGAAATAAACAGTTTCTTGCTCAAGCAAACAAAAATCTCACTTCAGGGATTCAGGGCCGCTTGGCTCTAACGCGAGATCGCGTCGCGGTGTTAGCCGCGATGCTACGATTGACATGAGCACTCGGTTGTTTTGTGATGGGGCACATTTGAGGGGGTAATGGTCAGGGTTTCTGCACATCAAAACTTCTCACCATGTGCTTAGTACAAAATAGAGTCTCCTAGAAGTGATCACGAAGGTCATGATTCCCAAATTCCGGTTTTCTGCTGCTCGTTAGTGATGTATGTTTCTGTGTTAGTGATGCCGCGTTTCCTTTTTACAGACGGTGAGCAGTGTGTTCTGTCTCTGTTATGTCTCGCCAATGCACGACACATCTCAGTGGGCGACTCTTGATCACGGTGCTTCGGCGTCGGCTTCGTAATTGATAATTCTTGCAATGGTTGTCATACAATGCATTACACACGGTCTCCATGCTTGCCGATATGCGGTCTAGTCTAGTCTATCCTACAAGTACTGTACATATTGCCTCTTATGATCGTTTCGCATGCCACTTCAACCGGCCATTCTCGTTGACGATCCCAGACGCGGCCCGTAAAAACTCATCCACCTTCACGGGCTTCGCCAGGGCCGCGGCCTGGGCCTCGGCGAGGTAGGTGTTCGCCGCCTTGGGTTGGTTCTTGACGTGCGAGGTGTACCCCGCGGCGCGATCGACCCCTTCGTCGACCAGATCGTACACGTCGGTCGCCTCGGGCTCGACGTCGAGCTGCGGCGCCACGCGCACCGCTTCCAGCGACAGCTCGGACCGCTCCCCGCCGCCCTGGCCCCCCTGGGTGCTGGTGTAGCGCAGCTTGAGCGAGGCGTACTCGGCGGTCACGGTGCGCTGCACGTCGATGGAGGCGAGGTTGTAATCGACTTTGACTAGGGCTGGTGGCGCGTTGGTGGTGCTTTCTTCCGCCGGGGTTGCGGCGGGGGTTGGGGTGCTGGTGTCGGTGTCGGTGATGGGTGGTGGGGTGAAGAGGTGCGGTGGCAGGTGCACGCCGAGCAGGGCCGGCGGGGTGCTGAGCTTGCCGTGCCAGGGGCGCAGCTTGGATTTGGAGAGGAAGGTGATGATGGCCGGGACGTGGTCCTCGATGCTCGGGCCCGGAAGGCTGAAGCTGCGCTGCTGCACGACGCGGGCGTCGACGGTTGCTGCGGGGAAGAGCACGTCGCCTGCGAAGGTGTCCTTGATGGCGCGCAGGGAGGTGAGGCTCTTGATCTCCGCATGGTCGGCTTCTATGCGGAGCTCGAGGGTTGGTGCCGAGGCGACCAGTTCGGGAGAGAGGTCGGGGGATGGCACGAAGCGGATTACAGTGCTCGTGTGCCAAAGCCCTCCTTCATGGAGATTGTTGGGTAGATTGAGGCTCCCGAGTGCGGGGAGGGCCGGAACGAAGGACCGGGGCAGGGAGGTGTCCAACTCGGGTGCAGGTTGCGGTGGTGGGCTGGTGGAATCAGAGGACTGGTTCTGGCGGGCGAAAACAACATGACCAAAGGTCACGCTTGTGCCGGTTTGCGGTTCGGCAGGCCACCCTCCTAGATTGTCCACAGGTAATTCCGATGCTAACTCATCGACAGCCTTCTCGTTGTTCAGCTTGAACGGGAGGATATCAGCCGGTATTGTGATTTTATGTGCCTTAGATTTGGTCCCCGGCCGAGATACAGCGGCGGTCCACCTCTCCCACTTGTCGAAGCGCTCCTGCCAGGGTAATTTTGTTGAGTAGTTGAGCATCGGGAGGTATCGACCCTGGTCTGCCAGGCCATCGGGGACGGCCAAAGCGGTGGAAAGGCGGGATTTAGGCCCGTATGCCTCTCGCAGGAATCGAAGGACGGTCTCGCTCGCATTCTCCCAGTTTTCGTCGCGTTTCGGTTGATGGATCCAGGTGACGACAACCTAGGAAGCGCATTTTGTTAACCATGACCACGGCCTTTATAGACCCCGAGCTGTTCACATACCTTCTTTCCCGATGCGTCCAGCCGTGTCACTGTGTTGGTCATGCGCCCAACTTCCTCAAGGACACCGGGCTCGAGAGGCTCGGGAGAAACGAGGTCGATGTCAAAGTCGCTTGTCCTGGCATTCGAAAGGACCTCATGGACTCGGTCAAGAATTGATACAGCTGCGTGCCTAGGAGCTACGACGGAAACGAGTCGGGATTCTCGAATGAGTCTGACCTCCTTCACCTGCGCCAGGATGGCACTCGGCGTGCCCTCCAGCCATCTTCTGTTGCCGACTGTAGACACAGGAGTGTTAGCTCAACTAGGAGACAGGTTTCGAGGCTTCGCTTGACGTACGGGTTAGGAGGGAGAACTCCACATCACGGAGCCGTAAACTAAGGTAACCATCTCTGTCGAGAACGCGCTGGTTGGCCACGTCCCAGCATTCACGAATCAATTTGACCACGAGCCGGGTCTTGGGGGCCATGCCCCTGGTGAGGTAGCCCACGAGGTGAGGCTCAACATTCTCCGCCTTATTCGCAACCGTCGGGGCCCATGACTGCCGCTCTAGTACCCATGGGGCTTCTTCTGGGCTGTCGGTTTCCTCTTCGCTAAGGCGCCGTAACGTTTCGTATTCCCTAAAGTAGCGGGCCAGCTGGGCACCTGTGAACCCGTCGACGAGTGTGTTTCTGAGTTCGGTGAACTCCTTCTCCGAGAGGATCTTTGTGTCTTTCGGTCTTAGCTCGTGAATGTTGAGCAAAATTTCCTCATCGGCAGGGGCGTCGTCTTCTTTGAGCAGCAGGCTCGCGGGGTCAACCAGGGCCGCCGGGTCGTCGTCGGAAACCGGCTCCTGGATCTTCTTCTTCCAAGCCCGCTTCTCTCGGAGAACAATGGCAGAGCCAGGTTTCCCTAGCATGTCGATGGAGAGCCCCTCCTTTTCTGGGGAGACGAGTTGACCTCTCGACTTGTACACGCGGTTCTGCGACAGGGGTGGGGCCGGCGCAAGAAGTGGCCAGGAGGAAGCGAAATCTTCATTGTGGGTTATCTTGTCGCCGTCGGATTCATGGTCGGGTTCGAGGTTTGGTTCGAGGTTGGAGTCAGCACTCGTCTCGCCGTCGTCATAATCGTTTAACCTGTCGGGGCGACCTGGACCGCGGTAAGTACCGATAGATCGCAGGGACGTTCGTAGGGGCGTTCGAAGAGACGAGAGCGCGGCGGGGGGAAACGACGGCCGTTTCGGTACACCAGCCAGCTGGAGTCGGCATCTTAGGCAGACAAAGCTGGCGCTTCCGGTCAACTTGCGGCCGAGCATGGGAGCGATTAGGACAGCTTGTTACTGCACCACCAAGGCATTAGTGATGGAAGAGTCCTAGGATCCATCCAGAGGTATGGCCCGGGCAAAAGACGGCGGAGTGGATCTCGACTTTCTTCGCATCAAAATATTTTAGGTGGGTCCCGCTGCTTCTGGGCCCTGACTTACAAGGGTCCCGGCAGCCAAAAGCACATGAAGACGCGCGACTTGACAGGGGATCGACGCGCGCTTGCCACACCCCGCATCGCCAATTCACGCCAACTTTTTTAATCGGAGCATTTGATACAACGAACTCGGGTTCTTGATCTCTCTCCTCTGTTCTACTAACTTACTCGTATCCCATAAACGGAAATTCCTTCCCGCGACACTCGATTGGAGCTGCTACGCAAGATCCTCCCCGCCATGTCCATGCAACAGCGGCGACGACGCCTGGTAGGTCTTTCAATCTCGCCGGTGCGGGACGGAACCGTAAACTGACCAACAGCAGGCCGTCCCAGAGGACGAGGACGAGGATATGCAGCATGAGAATTCCCATGGGCCAGGCGATGTCGACGGCGATGGCGACGAACGGATGGTGGAAGGGGGACAACGAGACGAAACCAGCCAGCTAATCAAGAGCCTTGTACGCTATGCCCTTGCCTGCGAGTACTCGCGAACGCCGATCCGGAGAGACGGTATCAGGGACAAGGGTACTGAATAACGACAGGCCTTGTGTAGGCGGCTGCTGACGTTTAACAGTACTTGGTCCCAATAGCCGAGAGTTCAGGAAGGTGTTTGCTGGAGCGCAAAAACAATTACAGGCGACATTTGGCATGGAGATGGTGGAACTGCCGACGAAAGACAGGAGTCTCCTGACGACAGAACAGAAGAGGAAAGGTAGTTTTCGCGCCCCGTCCCCCCGGTCCGATCAGCGGCTGCGACGGCTAACACGCCTTCGATAGCTGCCAAAACCCAGAGTCAAAAAGAACCCAGCTCGAATGCATACGTTCTCGTTTCCACGCTCCCCGAAGCTTTCACAACGCCCGCTATTATACCCCCGTCCAAGGTCGAGTCCGCTGAGGGCGAGGCTTCTTACATCGCTCTCTACACCACCATCATCGCCATAATCACGCTCAGCGGCGGAGAGCTCAGCGACCCGCGCCTTCGAAGACACCTGTCGCGGCTCAACGCGCTCGAGAACATGCCGAGCATGAACCCGCATAATGAGACATCGCCAAGCGAGAAGACGGATACGGTCCTCCAGCGGATGATCAAACAAGGGTACTTGGTGCGAGTAACCGAGTCCAGGTCAATGGGCGATGACGACGGCACGACATGGCACGTTGGGCCGCGCGGCAAGGTCGAGGTTGGCAAGGACGCGATCGCAGCGTTCGTCAGGACCATCTACGGCGGATCCAACGAAGAGCTTGAAAGTAAGTTGCAGGTTAGCTTGAAGACTAAGGGCAGGGAACCGGGCGTGCCTGAGACTATGGAGGAGGAAGCGGAGGCGGCGCCGCCGGACGGCGAACCCGGGCCGAGTACTCGACGCAGGGGAAGGAGACGGCAGACCGAGGCTGAAGATGAAGACAGCGAGTGATTCACCACGCACTGGGCTGGGAGAGCCGCTGGAGTCAGGGTATCATTGTGTATTAATCGGTCGCACTATGGAGTTGGGCCTTACAGGTACAGAGGCGGTCTGTTGTCAGGCGTTTGTACACCCTTCTGGCAACGTCCCGCGGCAGCTGGCGGGAACTAGGGTAATCTCACGGGAGCAAGCGCACCGGGGGCGTGCCCTGCTGCCGGCCTGCTCGATGACCGCGTATTCACGGCGTACCCTCCCCCCCCGCGCGTCCTTTTGCTTGTCTCTTTTGTAAACATCCTTGTCTGGTCGACGTTGTCGGGCTTCATGATTCCTCTTGTCGCGGCGCCACAAACGCTTCTTCGCCTTCGCGAGGCGGCGGAGGCCCGGCCGGCTGGAGCATTTTCTACGTAGACCACCCCATTAGCGACTGCGATATACGCACTTGTCCAGCAAAGAGAAATCGCGAAACAGGGGTCCCATACCCGGATCATTTGCACGCGCACTTTGGCGACCGGCTCGTTCTCTGCCAGCGCAATGTAGGATAGCAGTGGCGGGTGGCCGGCGATGCTCGAGTATGTATCGCGGTGGATGTTGGTCTTCCACTCCCAGCTCGTCGTGTCCGGGTGTCCGGTGCCGATGAACTTGGCCTGGAGCCGCTCGAGTTCCTGTTGGTTGCGGAGTTTATCGGCCTGTTGAGGCGGGGGTTAGTATTTGTGGAACGGGGACCGGGGTGCGATAACATACCATCTTGTTATTATGTTGGTGGTATTTGAGGCAGCGTGATGGTCGATGGGAGTTGCACGGTTTGAGAATACTGATGCCCTGGAGATGCTCCAGCCTGGAACATGTCTGGAATCGAAGGCCAAGCATGGACGCTCAACTCGATGGTCAGCGAGACCCACATGTCAATCTTGGCGCTGCAAGGGGTTGTGGAACTCTTCCCGTCTCGTCTCACTCATGCACGATCTCATCACCTTCTCTATCTCAAGATCAAGCCCGAATACGGCTATTATCTAGGCTTTTTACACTAAGATCGTATGTGATGCCCTGATAATTTGGTGACCATATCTTATCTCTAACGGTCATTTGAGAGCCAGAGTCGTCTGTGTGGGCTGTTCCTGCACGAGCTCGGACCTCATCCCCGACCTTCACAACAACCACCACTTGCACTCACTCACTCACTCACTCACTGCCCTACCATGCCCGAGCTCCTCCTCCAATCCGCTCTTGCCGCCTCCAGGTCGAAGGACTTCGCCATCCGAGCGGCCCAGATCAAGTCCAGCTGTATAAACCAGCACGGCGATCATGAATCCCTGGTCTCGTGCCCACAATGCTACGGACTCCTTCTTGACGCTCTCCGCGCGCGCTATCTCGGCTCCTCATCAAATACCAGCAACACGGGAGCCCCCGCAGACCAGCAGCAGCATGAATGGTTCACCTCCCGGCCCGCCTTCCTCTCAGCACTGAACCTTCTCATCGACTCCGCCAAGGAGTACCAGGTCCCTCCGAAGGCTATCGACGATCGTGTGCAGGAGGAGCGGAGTCGCTGGTATGCTGAGCGGGTGCGCTCATCATTGCTGAGGTTGATGGTGGATGACCCGTCGATGCGCGGGATAGTGTTCGAGAAGCTGGAGGACCTGTCCACCGCGACAGCGGGCGGTGATCCGGTTGCATTGGCCAGAGAGGTGGCCGAGATCCTCAGAAAGGGGCCGTTGGCGCCTGAGAAAGGGACGGAACGTCATCTACCGGAAAGGGTAGCCGCCGCGAGCGGCGGGATCGGAAAGGTAGAGGTGTTGCGGGATGCGTTCTTCAGGGCCGAGGATGGCACCGTGCCCGAGGATCACCGGAAGTACCTCGACATGCTGCTGCATCACGGCCTATCGATGGAGCAGGTGGTGGATCGGATTTTGGACGAGCGGCAGACGGCCACCGGCGCGCGGGAACAGACGGACAAGCTTAACCAGCGGCTCGACGAACTCCGCAGAGCCCGAGCCGCACACGAGGCACAGAAGTCGAGGAAAGCGCAGCGGCGGGAGAGTCTCGCCCAGCAAAAAGTCCCAGACGAGCTGTACCATCTCCCCACCTGCGCCGTCTGCGGGCAAGAACCGCGAACAGAAGACTACTTCACCTGCAGCATATGCACCATACTCACGACAGCAGGAACCCAGTCAAAGCAGACGGTATTCTGCTCCGAGCGATGTGAACAGCAAGGCCACGTAAGCCCACTCCCATCCCTCATCCATTTTCCCACCCTCACTAACCAACCACCCCCGCCCAGCCCTCCCACGCAGAAACACACACCTGCGCCTCCGCCCTAGATTGCATCCAACTCCACCCAGCCAACACCAACACCACCACCTCCACCAACCAAAACCCCAAAGAAGAAGAAGAAGACACGCCCATGGCCGACGCCCCGCCCCCGCCGCCGCCAACCGAGCTGCGCTTCTGCACCGAGTGCCTGACCACCCTAAAACGACCAACAGCCTGGTGCTCGCTCGCCTGCGCCGACGCCAATTTCCAAACACACCGGGAAGCGGTGCACCTGCCGGGACGGGCGCGGCTCGGGCTGGGGCTGGTGCCGGGGGGAGGGGGAGGAGGAGGAGGCGAGAGGGCGGACGACGAGGCACAGCTGGAGTATTATCCTCCTCCGCATTCTCCTTCTTCTGCTGCTTCTGCTTCTGCTTCTGCTTCTGCTCCTGCTAAGGGGGAGGGTGAGGAGGGTGGGAAGAGGTACCGGGCGAGGGATATCGCGGCGCTTACGACGGGGCTGGGGGAGGCGGTTCGGGAGTGGGAAGGGCGGAATAGGGTTCGGTTGGAGGGGTCGGTTTGATGGGCTGGGCTGCGCGGGGAGGGACGGGTGGTGGTATGGTTAGCTTTGATGTAGGGTGTGTATATCAGAGGGAGATGGTACAATTGAGGTCTTTGGCAGTGTATGCGCGCGTGTATGACCGTTTTCTTCGTTCCCCTGTGGCGTTGCCAACAAAGATACCAGTTAACAACACTGCACTAGTCCATTTCACGGCTTGTCTGCTACGGTATTGCAGCATCGCAAGGTCAGGGCCTTCGAGTGTCGGGACAGAAAACATCATCGTGTTGGTTTGATCTAGTAACATAGAGGAACAACACCGCCCAAGTCAACCCAGGACCAGGACAACCCAGCTACGTAGGGCGCTGTTCGATTTGTGGTCGCGATTCGCATTCTGCTCTGCCAGCCCGGACACCTCGAGGAAGAGAAGAAAAATGAGAAGTTATGGAGAGGCGGCGCTCGACCGCACAGTCGGTAAACAGATATCCATCCCCCCTTCTCCAGGGGTTTTAGTCCAGAGACAACATGAAGAAGAAAAAGCAACACGGGTTAAAAAGGGAAAGGGGTATTCCATGTTTGGCCATATCAAAAATAAACGTGGTACATGAGCAGGGCACTATGGGCTGCTTCGGAGCTCGCAGCAAGCGCCAACGCCCTCAGAACAGAACTCCCTTGATGCCGTCCACGACGGGTAGAGCCGTTGGCCCATCCACCGCGGCTCATCTGAGCCAAGAGGGGCTCGTTATGAAATAAAGAAAAAAAAGTCATAAAAGACGGTGATTGTTGTTGGTAAAAGAGAAAAGTCGACTTGGGTATGATGTCGTCGTGACCTAGGGCCCACTGAAGTAGACACTGAAAATAAGAGGTCGAAATTGGTATAAACGAACAGGGCGGGGGGTCTGAGGGCGCATGTGGTATTCGGCCATCTCAACTCCTGTCAAGGGTGGTATTATCGGCGTAGCCGACCTGAGAGTAATATTGGGCGAGCGTAAAGCAGACGAAGGCGCGATCAGCCCTCGGCTTTATTTCACCGATGTCCCTTGACCCCCTGCTGCTTGAGCCTGCTCGTTCTCCAACCTTCGTACCACTGCTCCCTGCTAAGCTCGCGGAGCTCACCCCGCCACTCGCTGAAGACGGTGTCTTTGAGGCGGACAAAGTCGCAGTGCTCCTCGTTGTACGGGTCGGCGAAACCCCACGGGAACTGGCGCCCGATGACCTCAGGCTCATAGATGTCCGGGCTGAGGATCGACAAGGGCAAGAAAGGCACCTCATCCTCCTTGGGGTTCTCCTCTGTAGCCTTATGCCGACGGGCGGAACCGCTAGAGAGCCGCTTCGATTTGGGCGACGAGTCTTGGCTCTGGATTGGTAGCTCCGAACCCTCCTCGCCCTCCCGAGCAACCTCATCCTCCCCACTGAGTTCCGACACCTGGTCTTCGTCCTCTTCGTCGATCCTAGCAGGGTCGGTGCTGGCGTCATCTTCGTCATCGAGGCCGAGGGCTTCCAGCGGGTCGAGGTTCGCCTTCTTGAGGCTTTCAGCCACTGTCCGCTTGAGCATGCTCATGTGCTTAGTCGTGATGGTGTCAGCCTTGGCGATGACCGGAATGACGGTCGTTTTGCCCTGTAATGTCCGCAAGACCTGCAGATCAAGATCCTCATCCAGGCCACCTAGGATTCGCGCATGTGGGATATGCTTTCCTCCGTTGTGCTGGCCGTTCGCAGAGGCGGTCCTGGCCGCCACAATGTTCCGGTCAAGGCGCGAGGGGTCGAGGACGAGGAAAACCGCATGAATGTGGGTATCCTGTACCCCGGGTGAACGAATCACCTTCATCTCCTCGGCGAAGGTCTCCTCAAATTTGCTCTCGAGGAAGCTCGACATCTCGCGAAGCTGCAGGTCCACCACATTCTTCTCCAGGCCCTCGGAGTCCCATAGCGTAAGGCCAATACGCTCGCTGTCGATCTCGGTCTCAAGGTAGTGGGGGATGAAGTTGCCGGAAGGCGGCGCCCTCGGGGGCTCGTCGTTCTCGATAGTGCTCTTGGCCCGCTTCTTTGCGGGGAGAGCAAGCGCCGTCTTCAGGAACTCGAGGAAAGAAGTCTTGCCCGAATTTGACGTACCAACGATGAGGATGCTGCACAAACGGTGAGCAATGCGGTAACAAAGCAGCCAAGGAGGACTACTTACTTGAAAGGAGTAGGGTCCTTTCTCCTCCGAACCCTTCTAGGGCTGTTGATAGTACTGATCGCGCTGCTGGCGTAGCTGTAGCGGCCGCGGTGTGCCATACTTCCGGTGCCCGCGTAAGGATCGAAACCGCCGTTGGGGATCGGGGGAGGGGGGATGCTGATGGCAGAACGGGGTGGCTCCATGGAAACCCGGGGAGTAACAGCCGACATTTGCTCAGCTCTTCCGGAGACGATTGCGAGGGAGTCGGGACGGGCATCGCTGCCGAGACCTAGTTGAGGTGCAGGGGCGCCATTGTAAAGGACGGGCAGGCGCGGTGGGGACTTGGGGACAGCATCGCGCTGGCGCTGGAGCTCCAGCTCCCTAGCAGCCTGCTGCCTCTTGAGGTCGCTGCTTTTGCTGCGTCGTAGTAACATCCCGAGGCTAGAACGACGGGGCGGGCTTGACATTTCTCGATCCAAAGGGGCTCGATAGGCAGGTGGCTAACGGCCTCGCATGAGCGGGCGGAGAGCGAACAAAATGGGGAGGGGCGAATTCGCAAGTTCGTGGGGCAACTGCAGCTTGCGCAGCGCAGGAGGGCCTAGCATGTGATTAGCATTCCCAGTTCGGACGGCGCGGGAGACCCGGCAGTCGTAACTGAACCTGTGCTTACCTTTGAAGCGAGTGAGAAAAGGTAGGCAAGTGCCTCTAAGCACGAAACACAGTTCCGTTGTGGGTGGACCCAAAGCGAGAAGGCTCCTTCGTAGATCGGGTATGCAGTCTGCGGTGGTATACGCTGACTGGCACTTTCAATGATTGTGCGGTGATTCCGAGGAGGGACCTAGGTAGGTAGTTCGGCGGGAACGGTGTCGAGCACAAGCAGCACCTGATGAGGTAGGTTATGGAGGAGCTTCTTCCCTGGAAAGTATCGCGATGTGTTAGCAAAACCCAATCCAGTCATTTTCCATTGTCCACATCGTGCACGCCCATAATGATGAGCTATCCGCGGGTGCCGGATCGGCAGTTGCGCTCGGTGAATCCCGCTACCGTGCCATGTTGCTACATTTCCCGGGTCGCGGCCACATGGACGCCAGTGATTCAGCTCCGGGCCGCACCTTAGCTCTTCCATTGTTGAAGTTGCGATTCCAGCAGTTCCATAGTTCAATGGCAACAAGGCGACAATCACTGAAACAACAGTGGTTGCGGGCAAAGCCGAGATTGGACTTACTCAGGTTTCGCCACTACAAGCTTCAGCTCTCCTCTGCTTGACGAGCTTGAGGGGCTGAACAACAGCGGGCAGAGGGTAAAAGTTGGGTTGTACGCGCGGAATGGTGGAGACTTGCTCACGCGAAAGGGAGTGACAGGCCCGAATCGACGAGGCCGAGGTAAAAGATCGAAGCGAAAGGGTAAAAGGTGCTGCGATGCAGCCTTCCAAAACCTGATGACAAGCCGACAATGCGACAGTCGTTCAGGGACGATGTGAGGGGTGGTGAAGGGAAGTGCACCTCGTCAGGGGCGCGAAGAGAAAAAAGATGTCCAGTCAATGGGCGGGCGACCTCGTGCGACGAGATTGGCTGATGCTTAAAGCCTGGGGGAACGGTCCGGGAAGGTACCCTCTCGGAGCGCAATTAAGCCAGGGACAAACTAAATGGAACAGAATGGACCCGGCCTGCGACTGCAACGTGCTGCACCCTTCCTTCTGGACCAATTCCCTTCCTCGGGTCCGTGCCAAGCACGGTGCCATGGGTGATGAGATATCTTCACTTTGAATCGGCCTTGAATCCAGTATGGTTGGTGTTCAATGCTCGCTGGAGGGGGGGTTCTAGAAGCCCAGGCACCCAGTCATGGAAGGCATTCCCCCGGGCTAAGACAGGAACAGTGTCTGTCCAGGGTCTTTCTGCATCATGTCTCATCCCCGCTAGTCTATGCTCGGCTACCGGGCTGGCTCTGCATGTTTGCTGTGCGTCTCATTCCGTTGCCTGGTTCCATCTGGACGCTTTTCCGGGGAGCTCATCGATGCGATGGAGAAAAAGCCCGGTTCAAAACGAGGGACGGCCGTGTCCCCACATCCCAAGTGGTGCCCCTTTCCACTGCAGCCGGCGCGCTAAAGCTGACGCCCGGCTTGCTCGTAAGACGCGCTAGCCAATCAGTGGTCTCCAATCCCACCTTTCTCTTCTGTCGTCGGCGAGACGCGACGACCAGGTCTTCGGAAACAACACTTTCCTCCCGCCCGCGATACGCCGTGGGCGGCCCAGTTGAAGATTTCCCAAAGTGGAATGCGTTTTGCGCGTGTTGCTGAAACTCCGATCAACTTACACAGTATAAGACATGTTTCCCCACAACTCTAGTGACGAGCACTTTCTTAGCCTGGCTATCACGCCACCTCTCACAGCGAAAGCGAGAGCGCCCGACATCCGAAGTTCCACAAGCCACGTGCAAGCATCCACCTTGTGTAATCAACCGGAGAAACAGGCAAGTCCAAGTTCATGGTAAGGGATCCAATTCTTACATAAGTACCAGGTACTGTGTTGTTGGCTCACTGTCGGCCCATGGCGATCTCGAGCCGTATTTCCTTCATGCTGTTTCCCAGTTTCGGTGGTTCTAAAAGTCCGTCGCGTTCAAAACGGAAACGCGCATCCTGCATCGAAAACTTTGAAACGTCCAATTTCAGCAGCCCGGGACCGGGGTTGGTGGAGCCGTGGAATTTGGGTTTGGTGTGTTTCAACGGAAATTGCCCCACACGCGATCGCCAATCGATGCATCCTGCATGCAAGTGCAGGTACGAAGGCGGTTCGCGATCACACGAGGATCGAAAGCCAAATCACAACTGCAAAACACCAACCACTTTGCTGTTAATGTGGGAAACCGGGCGCCAAAATCCCCCACGGCGATCAAATATCGGGTACATTCCCCGCAAGCTGATGATTTGCAAGGAAGAAGCCTTACAAGTAGAAAGACGCTGGCTAGTTGGCCGGGCAGAGATGCCGGCAGGATACGAGCACACTACGAGTAGGTCAGGTGGATATGCAACTATGCTGGTAAAATGTATAACACCAGGGGTATCCATCTATGCGTCTAAATCTAGTGTTTGTGATTGTTAAAGTACAGAAGAGTGTGAGGAGATCGCCTTCTCGTTCCAGTCACCCCTACCCCTCAAAGACATTATGCTGGAGCTCGACGCCGAACTCCTGAGCCACACTCTTCAGCCTCGCCTCCACCTCGTCTTCCAGGCCGCCGCTCCGGCCCAGCAGCTGCTTCAACCTGAAAAAGTAAAAGGCGACGTCCGACATGAAAAGGACGGCCTTGAACAGAAGATGCTGCCAGACGTTGACCATTCTCTGCCGCAGAGGCAGGTTCCGATCCTGGAACAGCGACCGGCTCGCCCACTCGCCCATCATCTTGATTCTGTTGACCGGCGAGCCCATGTAGGCGTTGTTGCCTTGCACAATGCGCATGTTTCTCCCGATAAAAATGAGCTCCTTCGGCCACTTGTCCTCGTCGGCCAGCACGTCACGGATGCCCTGCTTCATCCGCCTCTGCATCTCGTAGTGCTTCTGGCTCGCCGTCCTGCTGTCGTCCAGCGCACCCAACATTCCCTTCTGTAGCTGCTGGTCCCCACCTTCATACGGGCGGAGAAGGGTGGCCGACGCGAAAAGGTCGGCAGCCTTGATGCCCCATTCCTGGGTGATCTCGCCGATCTTCTTGTTGTCGAATGTCATCAAAGCTTTCCAGAAGGTGCCATACTCGTGCCGAAACTTGTCACTCATGTAGACATATAGTCCGTGATCGATTAGTACCAGCTCGGGGAGCCCGTTCGGTAACCGGCGGATGAAGATATTCCCGGGGTCTAATCAGATGTGTTAGCGGGTGCGGTATTTGAAGGAAGGTAGTCAGAAACCTACGAGGGTCGCAGTGCACAACACCCCACTTGAAGATCTGCGCCGAAAACAAGTCGATCATGGTCGTCATGACCTCCTTCGTCGAGACCCCTAGTCCACCCGTTCCACGGCGCCCCTTCCATTCTGTGCGCTCCGGCTTCAGATTCTGGCTCTGAGGGTTATCGCGCAGCTCCCGGCGGATCACGTCCATGTCTGGAGGATCCAACTGAGCACCATGTACCCCCATCGAGCCTCTCCCATGGCCTCCCAGCCAGCGTCGGGTGAGAGACTCTTTATCCCAGAGCCTAATGCCTTCGATCCACTCGGTAGTAAGGACTCGCTTGGAGCTCAGCTCGGGGTACACAGGCGGTACGTAAACCCTCCCTCGTAAGCTGGGTTCCTTGCTAACAAGTTCGCGCATGACCTCGGAGTTCTTCGCCTCGTTCTCGAAGTCGGTCTCGAGCATCAACCGCTCCGTGATGAACGGTACCAGGGAATATAGCGGCAAGTCAAACCACCATGTGTACACCTTCGTAACCACCCTAGCAACGCACCTATTAGCAAACGCCCCCCTAGAAGCTTACTCGCATCCCACCTCACAGTAGCAACACTCACTTAAACGACCACAGATCCCACCCGATCTGTTTCGCGATCTCCGGCTTCTGGATCTTGATTGCCACCTCCCTCCCGTCGGCCAATCTTGCCCAATGCACCTGCGCCACCGACGCGCTGGCTCGCGCAGTGCGCTCCATGACACCCTTCCCCTCCACGCCGGCAAAGCTGACCCCAAACACCTCCTCGACGCTCCGGCCGCCAAAGTCATCCCGTATCACCTTCTCCACGGCCTTCCACTCGTCCTGCGGCGCATCATCAAACATGCGCGCGAACATGGCCTGGAACTCGGGCGGCAGCACGGCGCTCTGCATGGCAATCGCCTGCCCAATCTTCAGATACAGCCCGCCGTTCTCGCGCAGCAGGTCGGACAGGCGCTCGGCACTGCGGCGGTGCAGGTCGGGGATGCTTCCGGCGAATAAGGGCTCCGGGCGGAAGTTGAGCTTGTAGTCGGCCGCCACCAGCAGGCCCATGCCAAAGGTGCGCAGCGACCGCGCGATCCCCGACGCGTACACCTGCCGGTCCGCCAGGTAGCCCGCCCCGAGGACGGCCGACGCGATCAGCAGGCGCCGGCCCCAGCGCCGGGTGCGCCGGAAGCTGCGGGCGGCGCGCGGCGCGCCGAGCGAGGAGGGGGACGGCGGCCGGAGGGGCTCGAATGGCCCCGACGAGGGGCCTACGGCTCGCGGGGGGGTCCTTGTCGAGAGGAGACGGCGGGGGGAGGGGGCGGAGGGTGCGGCGGCGGCACGCGGGACGGTTGTCGTTGTTGGTGTGCAGCGGGCGCATCTCCGGATCGGGATCGCCGGGCGGAACGGCGAAAGCGGTCGGCGGCTTGCGCCGGCCATGCCGAGACGCCACATGTTGGCGGCGAGGGGATGGGTAGGTACGCAATTGATATTTTGTGTACCTCAGTCCATTGTGTTGGTTAGTGTTTGGCGAAAACAGAAAAGCCTGCAAACGGAAAAGTGAGATTTATTGGTAACGGAATGCGGAATGCGGCAGGTTCGCCCGCAGGGTCTCGATCACTTCTGCGCCCCGCTGACGACAGCAGATCGGGGCCCGTTTTTTGCCGCTTCGGCTTATCTCGCGGATTCTCCGAGGCCGCTCGGGGTTTAACGTTAAAGTTGACCTCAACCGGGCGAACTCGGTGATAACCATCAGAACTGCGCCCGATCTCATCGGCGGTATCAACGTCGCTGTTCTACGGATTAGTAGGACTCTTCTCCGTAAAAATCGATGCAGGCCACGTCTCGACAACCCCAACTCCCTATACATCAAGGCTGGCGGCGTGAGTGGGTAACACCAAACATCAGGTACCTATTCTCTTGGTTGTCTGGCGGTTCCACGACCCATTGTAGGTCCCCCGAGGATGCAACAACTCTGGGTGTGGTCTCGCGTTTTCCTTGGAGGTGACGCTTCTCGCCGCAAACACAATCCTCAGACTACCGGGCAATAATTCACCGAGCCGACCCATCCTATTTTAGTATGCGTACCGTGACCGTCGTCAAGGGAGCAAGCAGTGCGCCGTCCTCCATGCACAAGAGTGCTCTCGGCAGAGTGCAATTAGCCTAACCCCATTGCGCCGAGCTTTGCTTGGGAGCTAGGCTGATCGGCCGCAAGTCAAAACAGGTGGTCAAAGAATACAATTCGAGATTCCGTCCACACAACAGACAAGCAATGCTCGTACGATCACACATTCGTATATCCCCAGTAACTATGGTGACCTGCTTCTCTCTACATTCAGGCCCTTGTGACCAAGTATCTCCGCATCTGGCTGTTAGACTTCCAACGATGCTCGCCGTCCAGAGAAACCTTGGCGCAACTGGTTTGCGCCTTGAACCGGGACACAGCAGACCCCCTCTGGCTCGGGGCGATGGATCACCAGGCATGTCCCAGACGCCAGCTTCCCGAACCGTCAGCAAGCTGTTACACGAGGTCCTGCAGATATTCCTCCCCATCTATCGACGAAGTGCTTTGGCCCCCATCCCCAAGCCCCTGGCTACCCTGGCTGACCTTCCGGTGGCTTTGAGGCTTTGAATCCTTCAAGTCCTCCCTCCTGATCCCCGCGTTCTACGCGACACCGCGTCTCCTTTTCCCAGTTGCCTCGTTGTAGATGCTGGCAGGTGTTGCATAACTGGGAGCTTAGTAGCAAGGTTTATAAGTCGAAAAGTGTATTAAAAAGTGTATTAGTTCCTTCCACTAAACATAGGAACTAAAAAGGCTTACGGACATATATAAAAGAGAGTTCTCGGGCTTACGTGAGGCCACTCCCCCGTGTATACCCTGGCACGCGCCAAGGGTATACCAAGACCTGCGGCGCCAGCGAGCGACAGCAAACGGCCGATAAACCTCCCCAGACAACACTTGGCCGTCTTTCCGCTCGCCCATTATGCCCGCATTTAGGTAGCGTATCCTGTCAAAGTTAAATCGGGCCGTTGCGTTCAGGTTACTTGTAGACTAGTCGAGAATTGTGTTTCCGGCAGAACGCTCCGTAGATACGGGCGAGTTGTTTGTTGAACCTCGTGTGAGACTTGTCACTGTCAGACTCTCGGTCTACCTGACTCAGCGTGTTGTCACTTACCACAAATCCGTTACAATAGTAACAGACACTTGAGAGACTGGCGAACTCGACCGTATAGAGTGAGGCCAGGTGCGGTGGCTTGAATACGGGCAGTTGGGCCTGAGCGGCACGCGCGCCCCCTGACAAAATTCGGCCGGCAACAGGCCATGTGTCTACGTAAGATCGTGGGGAATGTAGCTTGGGGGCCGAGGGAATGAGTTTTATGGGGTGAGACAGATAGTATGATACGTCCCGGTTTGGAAGGTAAATAGTTTAGTCTGCCCCGATGCGATGAGAAAGTGTCTGCATTAGAGTCGTTTATGTAAATGTCCCCAAGACGAAGGGGGATTTTGCACCGACTTTGCCGCGGAGATAGGTTGAGTGCTCAGTATCCAAGACTCAGACATGCACATTGGGGGCCTCGCTGATGGCTGGCACTGGATAGGATCCCGAACTATTGGTACCTTGCATACCTAGCTACATGCAACGTTAGAATATACACCTCTACAGACCCTTGTTGCTGCCGCTGTATCTCGCCGGTTAGGATCCGGTGATATTGATGCATGTCAGATGAGTAGGCGCCAGAGAGGCGGTGGCAAGGTCCCGAAGGTTCACTCCTAGACGCCCTGGTAGGAAAGCCCGGCAGGTGACAAGAGGTTGAACTCAAAGGTATAAAGACGGGGACGACACGCTTCTTTTCAATCGTGCTTGCCATGGTCAATCAAAGGCAGCCAGATCACGCACCGCAATAGCCCTTACTTGATCCATCTCATCAGCTTAATCCGTCAAAATGGTTTCCCTCAAGTCCTTCGCAGCCTTCCTCGCCCTTGGCGTGCTCTCTGCTACTGCTGCTCCAGCCAACGATCTTGTCGAGGCTAGAGCTATCGCCACCCGCCAGAACACCGTGAGCGTCTATGTCTGTGAGCACGCCAACTGGAGGGGGGCTTGTAAGCAATACGATTCTAATCCTGTTGACTGCGGTGAGTCGAAACCTACTCCCACCTCAAAGCCCCTGAAAAAGTGAACGAGGTTTGACGTGGTGAATTACAGTCAATGTCTCTAGCGACTGGGACAACCGCATCAGCGCCATCCAACTCCTACAAAAGAGCAGCTTTAATTGCGCTTGGTTTGAGTAAGTACCGACAACCTTCGTCTTTGGGCTTGGGGCCCTAAGGACTGTATCTAATTAAGCATCCACTCAGGCACCACCATTGCACCGGCTTAACGTACCACAATCAAGAAGATGCCAACCTTGCTGACGGTAATGGGGCTTGGAACGACCGGATCAGCTCCTGGAGGTGCACTAGAAATCCATGAAGAGGGCTAGCCTCTTCTTCCATCTGTTAGGTAGGTAGTTTGTCAACTTGGGAAAGCTCCTTAGGTACCTAGTCAGGAATCAAATGAACCCTCAAAAAACTTCCAAGTTGACTCACACCGTGACGTTGATTCCATATTTGAATCCATCCAATAGCCTGTTGTGCGCCCCGACTTGAAAACTCACATTTCCCCATGAACCAGAAAATGAGAAGCACCTAATACAGGGCCATGCCGGAAAGTAGCTGGAGATGAAGAGTGTTTGCTCTCGGCGCCCCATGGCCCCCTCGGGATGAACCACATATCATCGTTTTTTACGCGCTGTAAATCGCCGGCCCTGGCAGTTACAAGCTGTAATGACGTTTCAGCGTGCCGGTGCTGAGGTACCCCCCCCGACTGTGCCATTCAGCCAAGTTTCGTCATTCCTGGCGTTTCGGCAACGCTACATGCCATTTGGCGTTCGATTCAGCGCAGCTACCTACCTTGAGGCTTGAGGCTTTCTCTTGACCAACGATAAACGGTGCTATTCAACCACTACTTCGGACCGTCTTTTGTTGACCTATTAAGTACCTCCCTAGGTATGTACCTAGCTCAGATTCATCTTATAGCAAACGTCCACCAGGAGCCTTCCTGGTCGAGATCTCCAACACCACTGGGCAATCCCGCCAACACGAACCCAATCAGACGAGCTGTACACATTAGAATGGTTCCTCGCTTTTGATTGTAATAATTACCAGGTACGTAAGATTTCTAATTAGGTAGGGAATCAACCATTTTGAGAAGAGAAATGGTTATTATGTACATGCTTCCTGAATGCGTAGACTTTCCCACATGCCGACGCTTCCTCAGCCAACAATTTTCAATTTCCGCTGCATTGCCCTCATTGCCCATCACGACAGACAAAGCGAAGGCCCCTCGTTGCAGCACCCTGCCAGCATCAAACTCCAAGTTCATGCGTTTGACGGTCTGAGTAGACCTGAGACCACCCCACAGCAGCAGGGGTCCCTAGGTCCGGGGCGATCTTGGAACTCGGGAAGTTGAGGAACAACTTACAACGTTACGGTATTTTATACGAAGTACGGTGTTTCGTTATCTTGCAAAATAAGCCCTCCATGCACAGGAGGGACACTGTCCCGCCGTTGCAAGGCACGGCTCAGCTTCAGGGGGTGAGGGGGGCGATCAGTTGACTGATAATGTTGGGATTGACCTTTTTATTGAAAAGTCACTCGATAAACAGTTCTCTATTTTGAGAGGGAGCGTATCCTGGTTGAAGCCCCCCAGTACCGAGCGCCCGTGTAACGCACACGGTACACCTAAATTACAGCATACACAGATACGAAAACGTACGGCGTCCCAGCCTCGGCTGTGTTTGTGATCTTAAAACTCAATAAAATAATGGGATTGGAGATGGGCAGATGAAGAAATGCCGGGAGCTTATATTTTCGTGATCCACTCATCATCGCTTCTGTGTGGGCTCCGAGGCTGCTTCTCCTGATGATGTACTGATGCATGCAGACGTGTTTAGCGTCGGGACCTCAACCTTGATTTGGTGGTTGGTACGGACACTCCCCACCTTCCATGTGCCAGTGATGCGGAATCACGCGCATCATGATCTCTGCTTTGCATGGGTATGGTTCCGGGTCGTCTTTCGCGTGAGCTCGAAATCTATCGCGATGATATCAATTGTCTGCAAGCGAATGTTCCAAGCTCCTTTTATGTATATACAACTAGGATAGATTACTCCGTAACTAATCTGTACAGACATGGCAATACTGGTGTGAAAGGCTTGTTTGAACTGGAAGTGGGGGCAGCGCTTGGCGCATGGATGGAATGGCGGGTGGATGTTCCGATCGTCTCTTTAGGCTGCTCCGCATCGCTCATCTCGTTAACTCAACCTCAACGAGGTCTGGCTCTCTTGTGTATGATATTTTTGCTACAAGGTGACAGTTTGCGGGCTATTGGACTAAGCAAGCTGATAATGACTTAGCTATGTAGAGTGATGATGCAAGGGCGAGCTGGTCTTGCTGTCGTGGGCAGCGTGTGGCTAAGCTCCATTCGCGGGGCAGTTTCCCAATCTCGAACTCCATTTCAGGGCCATCTGAGACAATTCAGTGATTGGGCCGGTGGGGTTCGATGCGAAGCATTTCAAGCCAAGAGCTGCAACGGACGCATGGGGGCCCAGGCTTGCTCGTTCCCCACAACTTCCCTGTTTCCGTGTATGGACCCCCTAACGAGCATTTCCCACCTCGATTCACCCTGTCATTGCGCCAGCGCCGCTCTGGTTTTCCATCACCTCACCACCAGTGCACCGCATCCCATGTGCAGAGCGTCACTCCCCGCCGCCATTCATTTTCCGGGGAACGCTGATTGACCGAGCGAGTACGAATATTGACAATGGTCTAACACGAACTGGCGCTGCATCTTCAGGCCGCCGCCACGCCGAACTACCTAAAATCGATTCAATCGCGACACGCCGAGTCAAGCACACCACCACCCTCGTTCCTTTCCCATGTTTCCCACAATCCGCATCCGTCGTACTTCCTTTCTACGCCCAACCCTTATGGAACAACCCCTTCGATAAGACGACGACCATACATTTTCCTTCCGGTTCTGGACGACCGGGTGCCTCTTCTCAGCAGCCGCGTCTCGACGACGCTGGCTCTTACTCGACGAACTTCTTCGACTCGGCTCCGCCGTCGCCAACTGTGACCTTTGATCACCATGTTGCGCCCCGCGACACCGCTGTCGGTGCTGCTATTTGCGGCCTTCATTCTCCTTTTACTCTCGGTTATATCGACCCCCATTATCACTGCTATCCCCCTGGGCAGCTGGGAAGAAGTCGACTTTGGCGTCTTTGGGTTTTGCGACCAGAGCGGATGTACCCCAATTGAGATCGGCTACGATGTCCGTGAGTGTATACCCCATCCAACTGCTTGCGTGAGCAACACCAGACTCATCTGCATATCCAGGACGTCTACATCCCAACGACTTCTCCCTCTCCGCCGCAACCCGTTCCACTCTTTCCAGCCTTCTCATTGTCCACCCAGTCGCGGGCTTCTTAACTCTCATCATGTTTGTCCTTGCCGTGGTCGCCCATTTCCACAGCCCCTCCCATTCCCCGAGGTTCCTCCTCGTGCTGTTCATTGTCGGCATCGTCAACTTCCTTGTCTGCCTCTTGAGCTTCCTCGTCGATGTCCTGCTTTTCGTACCCCACATCGCTTGGGGTTCGTACCTCGTCCTTGCCGCCACTATTCTGGTCGCCTTGAGCGGCTTGGTCTCTTGCGCCATGCGCAGGACCGTCGTTGGCAGGAAGGCAAGGCAAAAGCGCATTGCCGAGAACGCAGAGATGAGCGGCGAGAATTACTACAATCGCCAAGCCCAAGCGACGACCGCTCCCGTACCTAGCTCGGCCGTCCTCCACCCAACAGTTCCTCTCGTCAGCGGCGCCAATGGCGGGGGCGATGCGCTGCCGGAGTTTGCCTCCTATGAAAAGAAGGATGATCTGAGCAGCGACGAGAGGATTCCCCTCACTGCCGCGAGAACCCGGTCAAGTAGGTCACCTGGCACCTTCAACACCGACCAATCTACATATGTAAACGATCCGACAAACCCAGCCGACATGGCGACCTTGCGTTCCATGTCCACCACGCCCGGCGCCCGCGACCAGTACGGGAACCCCCTCCCGCCACAAGACGGATATCCCATGAGGTCAGGCTCCATTGAGCGCATGGGCTCACCGCCACACGGCCCTCTGCCTCCAGGCGCTTATCGAGGGCGTGGTGGATATTCAGGCCCCGGCAGGGGCGGCTACAACGGTTACGGCCCCGCCCCGGGTGGCCGCGGCGGTTATGGTCCTCCAGGCCGTGGAGGTTACGGAGCCCCAGGCGGCAGAGGAGGGTATGGACCCCCTTCCCGTGGTTACGGCCCCATGCGCGGCGGACGCACTCCGCCCCCACCTAGCTACCAGGGCCAGTATGACAGGAGAGGTTCACCTGCTGGCACCAACCAGTATGGTTCCAGGCGACCATCTCCCGGTCCGCCCTCCGCGCCTGGCTATATGAATCAGTCGGTGTCCAACGTCTCATCTAGCGCATACGAAGCATATAATCCTAGCAGAGATAGCAGAGACAACCTCCCACGGGCAGAGTCCCCTCCTCCTCTACCGGGCATCGATGACGGGGTCCGGCCAGGCCAGGCGATAGAAATGGATGCGTCGGGCCGTAGCCCAGCAAATGCGCCTCAGGGGTTCGGTCAATTCAACATTCGAGACAGCGATTCAGATGTTGCTGGGATGCTGGCGCTGCAGCAAGCGCGGACCTCGGGCGCGGATCGTCATATGAGTGATACTAGCAAGTACAGCCAAGAAGAGTAAGGCGGTCCCCGGTCTGCGCAACCACTCGTGTTTCGGTCTCAACTGACTCGCAACCTCTAGAACGGCCGCCTATGTACCGCCGAGGCAGGCGTGGAACCAAGAAGGCAGGAATTCACCCCGCGTACCCTCGCCGCTGAACACACGCCGCCCCGCGGAACTTCCCTCCCAAGGAAGCCCCTCGCCCCCGCCGCCGGCAGCGCCCGCTGGTGAGTACTACGAAGACGTGGACCCCCGCTTCGCCGAACCTCCTCCGGCCAAGAAACCAATACCTGCTCCTATCCACACGACTAACTCCTACGAGGATATTCCCCAAGGCTCCCGCAGCCCGGCGGAATCTGAGCGCTCCACCTTCACCTCCATCTCCCAGCGCGGCATCAACCCTCGCTGGAACCCGCCAGTGCCACCGCCCCCGGCACCGGGTAGCTACGGCGGCGGCGGCGGCGGCGGCAACAGCGGAGGCAACCTGATGATCCCCCGACGCCCCGTCAACCGCACCGACATCCTCCTCGACTCGAACCCGGACTTCGGACTCCCTAGTCGCGGCGCCGGGCCGTCCAGGTCCTAGGTGGTCATGGTCCCCGACTGCGCCTACCCGGCGAGGGCGTTTCCAAGCCAGATTGGGTGAAGTGGGTTGAATCGGGAAAAAAAAGAGTAATCTCCGTTTCGCCGCGCTACGGCACCGTGCATGACTGCATCCATCCACATGTGTGTTTGTCTGCGACTTGCGTGAGCGGCGAAGGGTGTTTTATATTGTCCTGCTCTTTTTCTACTTCTTTGCTGCGTATATAAATACCACTTTCTTGTGATACACTACACTTCAATTCAAATTTAAGGCTTTTGTAATCAACGGCTCGATCTACTCTTGCAATCTTGTGCGAAAACTAATCCGAAGGTTCATGTGCCGAGGGCCGCGACGAAATCAAGCCGTGACCTCGACACCCTCACAAGGAAAAAAGGATACAAGAAGAGCAGGATAATTAAGCTACGCACTTCTACTGTACAAAATCTGCGTGGGATTAAGTTGATTTTGCGTTATTCAGCCAAAAACCGTCCAAGCAGTGGCGCTGCCTCTCCAAAGCAATTGTCCTGCTCGCCACCAATATCAGTCCAAAGCATAAATATCCTCCGATGTTGCCTCGCACCGATAACTCCCTTGTCCTTTTCCAGATATCAAGTAATAACCCACACTCCTTCGTAACAAATTTCCGTGACCTGCTCACTTTTGTGATGTGATAGCCGAATGCTCCCTTCGATGCCGAGACGAGCGGTTGGGCGTGCCAATGCAATGGGCAGACACTCTCAGTAACCCCGCCTCACCTTCTTGTGGGCCTTCTTCCTCTTCAGGCACTCCTCCTTCGGCTTACTAAAGAAGCTCGTGTTGCCTTCGACCGTGGCGTCCACCCAGCTGTCGTCTGGCTTGGTGAAACCGCTGGGCCATGCGTTCTGTCCCGAAGCCCCAGACTCGCTCTGTTCTTTGTAAGACAGCAAGGTGGCGAATGCCATGTTGACCAGGGGTTTTGCAACATCAGCTTCACTCATCTTGTCGACCTCATCGACGCTCAAAATCGGCGGTTGGACTTTGCCATCGGCACCCAGTCTCTCGATGTGGCTCCCACGAAGACGCTCGCGCTCCCCGCCAATGACTCCAATTTTGTTCTCCAAGCAGCGATAGTTGTGGTCGCGTACGATCTGTTCCAGGTTCTTGACCAGCCCCTCTGTGCCGGCGTAGAAGTTCCGGTTGATCTTGGTCATGCGTTCCGAGAAGCTCTCCTGTCTGAACCCGTCCTCAGGAGCTGGCTGCTTTGTAGCCCAATCGTCGCCCATGGGCTTATGTCGTCCATCATAACTCGAGGGAAACCCGCCCGGGAAGTAATGCTTGATCCTCTCGGGCGGGAGCGTGTCGTGAACCTTCCGCTTGGCCCCGTCCAGTGACTCGGTAAATGTGTCAAAGGGGCCCGGTGTTAAAAGACCCCCAAAACCTGTAACGTCATGAGGATTGCGAGATACGGGGCCGTGCTGATTCTCTTCAAGAGGCAGCTGGGCTTCTCGCTTTGAGCTATGGATTCCATCATCGTCATCGAAGGCGGCCTGGATGTTGGTATCAGGGTTGTATTGGAAACCAATTGGAGACCGAGATTGGTACATGGCCGGTGGCACCTGGTCCTCAATGCGGAGGGACCTGGCCGCGGCGTCCAACGTCGTCGGTTTGAACGCCCGCTGGCCTGGCGGGCCTGCCTTCAACGGCTGAGGCGGGCCTGCCATAGCCGGCTTTGCGCCGTACGTGTTGAAGAGGCGATCCTTAAACATGTCTGGAGTGGTAGATGGGAGCGATGAAGGAGTCCCCGGACGGCTGAGACTGAGATTAACAGCGCGGGCTCTTGCCAACGTGTTCCGGGCAGCCTTCTGCATGGGGTTTGGATACGACGCCAGGTTGGTAAGCCCCTTAACAGTGATACGTGATGTCAATGTGTCCTCTGCGGCGACACTGTCGTTGCTTTCGAAGCCTGTGGGGGATGGAAGGTCCCCAGACCGGACGTTCGTCATCGACATGTCGAATTCGGTAAACGCCATGGTCTCCTGCTCTGAAACTGGGATGGCTGCTCGGTCGTAGTTCTGCTGCAACGGCGAGTACTGTCGCAGTATAGATGCCGTTGAAGGGGGTGAAGGAGGATTCTGGTCCTCAATTGGCAGGGCTGACAGCAATGCGTTCATAAAGGTACCCTCGGGAGGAGATCGGATGGGCTGCGGATACCGACGCGTTCTCGGGCGGCGAGTTGGCGGCTGGAGTGGTGTTGTGGTTTTCGGATTGTAGACGGACCCGACAGTCGTGTAGGTAGGCGGCCGTTTTGCACCTATTCCTGTTGACAGGTCTATCGCGGAGTCAGATAAAAGGGACGCAGAATCCATTTAGAGAAGTAGCCTGGCTAGGTATGCTTATGCATCCCTCATAGGATGGGGCCGAGGAAGGAGACGAAGGAACGAAGTGCGGCCGCGGGAAAGGAGAAGGGAGAATGGCCAATAGAAGTAGTGGCGTCCGGCCCTAAACCGCGGCTCGAAGGTAATATTCGACGGTTTAATGTCGACTATGTATGGGCTGTTGGTGAAGGGGAGGAACGCGAGTGCCAGCACAGTGAGAGAGGCCAAGGGTGGAAGAGCGACGAGAAAGGCCAGCCATGAGGTAAAGGGAAAGCATGCTTACCGTTTGAAATAGACCGTAGATCTTCTTTACTGCAGCCATGAGGCTGCAGCACGCGCGGATTGTCGCGAAACATGGCCTGAGCGGGAGGGGAATGGAGGGAACTGTTCTTGCCAGTGGCCTCGTCAGACTCAACAAACCAGTGGAGCTAGAAGGCACAGTCCGGGGAACAAGTATCGCAAAAAGAAAATAACATACCCAGACCGTTATACGGAGTAAAGTATCTAGGCGAACAGGAGTTGCCCTTCTACTCTTCGCATGCCCGGGGCTGTGATGGCTTCAATTGGAATAAATCCCGAAGGTTTCAACCCCACGCGATCCTAGGCCCTCGAAGGGTTGGCAAGAGGGAGAGCCGACAGGAACAGTGGGCGAGTTCGCAAGAGCGGCGATGCTAGCTCTTTCCCTTTCTTGTACGTGGCTCTTTCCTAGGACTGACTTCGGACCAGAAACAAATCTGTTCAATAATAACAGCTCGCTGGCATTGCGCACCCCCGCCACAAAGCAAAGTGCATCCACAACGCACCTGCCAAGTAGTTTAAAAGGAAAAGGAAAGAACATGGATGGGCTTCGCCGCGACCTAAACTTCGTGGAGTTTGAGAATGGAACAACTTGAACAGGCACCTGTTGGCGGCAAGAACAGCCAGACAGATTTTGCTGCGGGGCTGACCCTGTTACTAGAAACGAGGCCTTTGGTTTTGTTAGGCATCTGGTATATTCTTTGACACTGCCCGAAGGTGTAATTATCATGCAGCGAAAAAAGGAGATATAAATGACAAGCAGCGTTGTTTCTACAACACGACCCAAAGCTCGCTAAACAACCGCAGACCTGTGATATACCACCTACTATGGAAATCGATCGAGTCCCCTTCAACCCTGGATGAACATACTGTCACATGATATATTCCGTCCAAAACCGACCTAATATTGGGATAGAAAAGATGGACTCTGTGCTTTTTGAAGACACATCGTGTGTGCAGCCCCATATCAGTTTACAAAACCAACGTCGTTGATCCCCAGCAAACATAATACTCAGCTGCTGTTGATTTAGGAATACTTTCACTATGCGCATTGCTCTGGTTGGGTAACAATGAATTGTTTACGGATGCCCCTTGGACCGCTCAGGGGTAAGGGGTCGTGATGTTTGTCTCCAGGGTGTTGTCGAGGCAACGTAGCAACGCCTCGGCAAATCGATTAGTTATGTGAGCAGTAACCCAAGTAGATTGATTTGGAGGCGTCTCCATCGTGTTAGTATTTCCGCGTACCTATGATGGCTTGATCAGCGCTGTGTGCTGTCAGCAGAACTGATCTGACTTTGGAGATTTGATCCGAGTCGGAACCCCTGCTTACGGACACCCCTCGACGGGGCCCACTTCGGCGAGAATCGAGTGCTTTTGGCAGCTGTTGATTACTTATCAATCAATGAAACTGAGAGACATCTATTAGGGACCTTCGATGTCTAGAATCGTGTTAGCCAATGGCCAACACCGGCGTATGTTACGCTCAGCAGGATGTCGTCCTCTCACCAATCACGCTAAGTTAGCGAAGGAAGAGCAGAGCGAGGGCATTAATAAGCCAGCGCGTTCCGCGGAACACGGCCAGACTTGTGTGTATATGAACATGCTCGGGAGCTACCACCAAAGAGCTGACCCAAGCTTCATGTGCCTACAAGCTTTTCAGTGTCTTCGCTGTCCTTTTTGAACATTCCTCACAATGGCTCTTCGCATCGCAGTTGTACCCGCCTCCACCAAGGCCGGCCGAGAAACAATCCGTCAACTTCTCGAGGCCGAGAGCAAGCCTTTTGTCCGCGGCATCTATCGAGATCCATCCAAGGCTCCTTCCGACTTCGCCCAAAACCCAAACTTCGAAGCCGTCAAAGGCGACGTTGGAGCAGGCGCTGGTCTCGATTTTAGCAGCGCCGACGCCGTCTTCTACATACCACCTCCAACCTATGACGGGACGGACCAGGGTGAATGGGCGACCCGGTGTGCGGAGAATGTCAAGAGAGCCATCCGCGATGCTGCGAGCGTCAAGCGACTCCTCCTCTTTTCGGCTCTGGGCGCGCAGCATGACCATGGCATCGTACGTGCGGCTTGGAGTGGGATTGGAATCATTGTGTCTTGACGCTAATATGACGGGAAATGCAGGGCCTTCTACGTCTGAATCATATATCAGAAACGATTCTCAGGGACGCCGCGCAGGAAGTTATTATGGTCAGGCCCGGCTTTTTCTATGACGAATTCGCTCATGCACTTGAGGAGGCACGAGCTGATCCGCCTGCCTTTCACTCGTGGATCACGCCTGTCGACCACAAAATACCGATGGTGAGTTTTACCCCCCCTGCACTCCTTCCCCTACTCATTGCAGTTTCGTACTGATCATAGCTTCGCTGGTTGCAGGTAAGCCTCAAGGATATTGCAAAAGCCTGCGCAAACAACCTTCTGGTCGGGCCCGGCAAGCCTAGCCCGCACGTCTTCAAGCTCTTTGGCCCGCGGAACTACAGCGCCCTCGACGTCAAGGAGGCGGTGGAGCAGGCGACGGGGAGGAAGGTGGAGCTGAAGGCGGTGGAAAGGGATCAGCTCGAAGGTTTCTTTGGCCAGCAAATCCCCCAGGCACATTTGTCGGAGTTTTTGGGCATGGTGGCCGCTACGCTGCCTGGTGGCATTATCGTGGACGACTTCGAGGATGACGAGAGCACGATGAGGGGGAACACAGAGTTGGTGGACGGCCTGCGCGAGCTGGCGGCCAAATAGGCAAGGGAACGGCGCATGTAGGAACTTCTCCTGACATAACGTATCCTGCAACTCCTAGTATATAAAAGCGTTGTCCCCTTTCGGTCCCAATTATCCGATCTAGGGGATCTCCAATTGCAAACATGATATGAGACATCAGGCGGGCGTTGGGTCGGGTCTGCTGAGTTAGCAACCGCAGTCGTGCAACGCCAGAGATGTTGCTGTTCAACGGTACCTAACTTCCATGGTGGCACAAGCCTTCACAGTTCGTCGTCACAGCCCGAATGGCTGGCGGGAGACATCCCGATTCGCCTGGAACTTCTGGAACTTCTGGACGGCATCGGACGACACAGAAGTAGGCCACGTGCTCGTCTGCATCTCGCTTGCCCCTCGTCAAATACCATGAGATCTGGTACCGCTGGCTTCTGCATACATGAGGCGCAGCACGACATGCTTCAAAGTCCGGACTCCTCGACCCATTCAGGGGCTACTCCGTTTGCTGCTGCACATCTCTGGCCGTGAGATTGATTGCTGTGAAGAACCCCACCTCCCGCCGCGCTCAACCTGGAACCTGCTCTCTCGTGGTACTTGGCTCTGCATGTTCGGTGGGCGGAAAATCCCGTCAGCATCGCGGGGGAAACTTCTTGTGCTTCCATGGATCGGCGGCCTCCCTGGCCCTTTCGAGGGGTTGTTCGCCCGGGTCTTGAAGTTCGGAGAGGCTCCAGCCGCGGCATTAGTGGAGGTCACTCAGCTGACCGGGCGTGTGGACTCCTCGCTCACTCTTTTCATCCCCGGACTTCGTGCCCACGGGTCTGTGCAGCACACACGGAGAGCAAGCCGCCGGTCCGAGGTTCGAACGCAAATGGAAGTTTTCGCGGGGTCCCTGGAGACTGCACGCGCGCTGGGTTCTTAGGTAGTTGTCTTGGATAGTTCTCACATCAGCTTGAGTCCCTCGTCTATTCCTTTTATAGCAAGCGAAACTGCCTCCCTGCGCATCGAATGTCTCAATGTGTCGGCCGATCCAAAGTGACATGGAGATCGGACCTAACTCCAAGGGTTACTTCGCGTGGAGATTAATAACTTAGGTTGTGGGCCCGGGGCGGGCATTCCAGAACTGGTTCGATGCCGCGCGCCTGGGGCGAGGCTGCTGGTGTTTGTGGGGCTCCCCGCCCCAAACCTCTCCCTGGGGAGCCTGGGCAGCCTAAAGCTTCACCGGTCCCCGTGCTGACTGAACTGCCTCCACCCCCAGACCCAGAAGACCCGAACACAAGAATTCCGTTCGTCTCATTCTGGATCAGGCCTCAAGAGTCGCCCCTCCCGTCCCTCCACCTCCTGCTCGTTCAGCAGAAAGCAGAAAGAAAGAGAACTCAACGCAATAATGGATTATTCACACACTACTTTTTTCCCTGGCGCTCCGCCGTACCAGTTCATGGGAGCAGCTCAGGTTCCTCTGACGCCCTCGCATTCCAACTCGGTAGCCTCGGAAGACTACAACAACACATCGTCTCCGGTAGGTTGCATCTCCCGACCTTTGCGGTGGAACCCTAGATGGACGGAGAAAGGATTATGATTGTGGTCAACACGAGGAGGCGTGCCTTGAGTTTTTATACTCACCAGCAGTCGATTGGAGCCGTTCGTTTTCTGGCCTTACTGGGCTGCCAGACTCCGCATTTTGATCGCTGCGAGTGGCAGTAGCGCGCATCCGATTGCGGGACGAGAGGCTTACACAATCATTACTCAGGAAATCTTCGACCAGTATCCGAACGGGATACCTCCCGAACAGTTCCAGAATTTCGATGGCTATGTGCAGTTCAATCATGGCCAGACCTTCCCGGGCCCGCCCACGCCGCCGGGGCAGCTTCCGGTGCATGCCTCGGGACCCTCAGTGAACGGCGCTGTCCACCCAGCTGGTCCCACATCCGAGATCCTATCCGTCTCGAAACTCGAGGCCGAGGAGAATCGCAGACAGGGTTCGAACTCGGAAGACGACGACTTGACCCCTGCTCAATCGAGGCGAAAGGCCCAGAATCGTGCAGCGTATGTGGCAGCTCCTACCCCCCCTTCTCTCTCTCGCAGCTCCCTTTAATCCCACGTCTGGCCGTGCATGTGCTCGTCCAGCCTTGTACCCCGGGCCCGCTAATGGTTGTTGCAGTCAACGTGCATTTCGGGAGCGCAAGGAACGCCATGTCAAGGACCTCGAGAGCCGCCTCAACGAGCTCGAGCAGGCACAGACCGAAGCCGTGTCCGAGAATGAGCGACTGAAACGCGATCTCCAGAAGATGGAGACGGAGAACGAGATTCTGCGGGCAACGTCGATGGTGGCTCCCAGCGCCGGGTCCCCGGCCGCCGCCGCACCGACAACGACGGGGCCGATGACGTACAACCCCACCGACTTCTACAGCAACGTCCTGCAGGGCCACGCCAACAAGTCGCCGAGTCACAGGGTAGTCACGAGCGAGAAAGGGGAGCGTCTCCTCGCCGCAGGGGCGACCTGGGAAGTCATCATCAACCACGAGCTATTCAAGCGTGGGCTCGTCGATGTTAGCGCCGTTAGCGAGCGCCTGAAACCCCAAGCCAAGTGTGACGGTCAGGGCCCGGTGTTCGAAGAGAGCGCCATCCTCGAGGCCATCAAGCTCAGCGTCGAAGAGAACAGCGACGAGCTGATATAAACGGGTATGCACTCTGTATCAGAGTTCTACCGGCGTCGGTCTCGCCCGTAAAGACGGATTACAAAGGCGATCTTAGCATACGGCAACCCCCGACGATCCGACGATGACTACGAAGCGACGACTATGATGATGGGTTATCACCTTCTCACCCACAATCCATTGAGACACTCATGGCGCCACCGGGCGACTCACTCGCTTGAGTAGGTATATTGTGGCCTTTTCTGCGGTATTATTATGTATTGGGCGTTTTGGATATGCGGTTTTTAAGGAAGGATGCATGGATCACGGCGGGTTCCTCTCGGGTCTTGGGTATTCAACGAGCGAGCACCAAAATCGAAGGCTTCATAACCTTTCCCCTCGTGTTTTGTGTGGGAGAGGGACGGGGTGAAGTGGAATCCTCGACACTTCTAAAAGGATTCTTGGACTTCAACTCCAGGACGTGACGGGTTGCAGGGTATTATAGCAGTGTCCAGTTAGCCCCTTCAACCAAACACACACCATATACCAGAGCGTCGCTGTCCGTGATTCTCATTTCATCATTATCTATATATTTGACAAGCTAGGTGCTGGTTTGTCGGCGTCTATAGGATTAGGCAAGGAGAGCGACGTGAACCCAAAAACGCCGTCCGTCTCTACCCCTCTTGCTGAAGAAGACCCTTTCTCGCTCTATGCCGTCGCGCCTGCCATGCTAATTCCAAAACCGCCGTGCGCACCGTTCAACGCCCGAGTCATCTTCACAGTCCCGGCCCCCGCTGCTCGGCTCCCCACCTCTCTCTTGCGTGCATTACAGCTAGCCTTACAGGCAGCTTCTTATCGTCGTCGACAGTCATGATACAAAACATAGTTCTGCTCTCGTCCCAGGTACCGGCAAATAGTAGTAGTAGTGTCATAAGTGTCTGCGACTGACTACCCCCTCATTGCCTCTTCTTATCCGCGCCCCCGTCCTGGCTCTCCTCCACCCACGGGTGCTTGATAGTCAGGCACCAGATATCCAGATAGTCACAGATGGTCACAATGACGTCCACCACGAAGCTGCCGTACACGCCGACCGCCATGCCCAGCATACAGAACATGAAGGCGACCTGGTACACGCCGTCGCCCAGCGCCGACGGCCAGCCCAGGCCGGGCACGGGGCTGTGCTGCAGCAGCAGGGGGCCCAGCGAGTCGATGACGCCGCACGACAGCGGGATCACCATGACGTTCCAGTAGGGGAACGGCAGCTTGACCAGGTGGGCCGTGATCATCTGCCCCACCGAGTAGGCGTTGACCAGGCCGGCGAAGACGGCGAAGGGGACCAGGTGGCCGTGCAGGATGGTCGGCTGCAGGTACAGGTAGGCGGCGATGAAGGCCCACGCGGCGAAGAAGGGCCCCAGCCCGACCAGCGCGTACCGCGATCGGTCGCCCCGCGCCCGCCGCGCCCGGATCACGTTGCGCGCCGACTCCACCGTGTTGTACACCAGCACCACCGTGCCCTGCACCATGTACCACTCGGTGAAGGAGAGGTTGTAGACGCAGGCGGGGATGGTGGTGGCACCGCCGAGTGCCTGCGGCACGCCGACCGTCGCGAGCATGCCCTGGTTCCAGAAGGAGGCGCCGCCCAGGAAGCCCGTCAGGAGGTAGACGACGACGACGGTGAGGATGCCCTCGACGGGCCCGTTGATGATGCCCAGCGTGAGCGTCTTGGTGTGGTACTCGTCCCATGTCTGGATGTAGAAGGTCAGCAGGCTGGCGAAGAGCGACGCCACCGTCTTCCAGCTCTGGCCCATGTTGGTCGCGCCGGCGAAGAGGAGCACCTCGAGGCAGGTGTTGAGGGCGTCGACGCCGTGGTCGAAGAGCTCGCCGAGCGGACCGGACTGGTGGGTTCGCCGACTAGAGACAAGGGCTACCAGTTAGCAAGGGTTTCTTTCTTTGTCTTTCCAAACGTGATCGGGGCGCCGTCGCGCGAGGGGGGGCAACCTACGCTTGTGTCCCGTCCACGGCGTCAAAGGTCTGGTACAGGAACAGCCCGGCCGCCCAGCTGTAGTAGACCCATGTGGGACAATCCTGATCCAAGGTCGGGTTGTACCACAGCAACGTTAGGAAGTTGGCGATGACAAACATGAACCCCGTGAGCGTGATGAGGTTTGGCGCCATGCTCATCGGGAAGCACTTGATGACGACATTGGTGTAGAAGGGCTTCAGCACGTAGCGCGACAGGAGCGAGTGGTCGACACCCGAATACTTGTACTGCCGTAGGTTGGGCAGGTATTCCTGCCGTACGTACACCATTTTCGCTGATGTCTGCTTGCGCTATCTCGTGCTATCCCTCCGCAGTCTCTCGATGGCGCCCGGTCGGGTGGGAGCGGGTTGGAGGAGGGGCGTGCTGGTGCTTGTTGGCATGTAACGTTTTGCAGTACCGGGATTCGTCGCCGATGTTGACGGAGGTTTTGGGGGACCGAATTGGCGGATGAGACGGAATAAAAAGAATGGAGGGGAGGAAAGGTGTGGAAGAAGCCAAGTGGATCGTCAAGGTGCCGATCGGAAGCTTGACTTTTTTTTTCCCAACATGGCTGGCTGACGCTGGCTCAGGTTGGGGCCTCGCTGCTTTCAGCGTCTCGTGCCGCGGCGCGTTCCTTGGTTTTTAATCTGGCGCGAATGGGAAAACAAGACGACCAAAGAATGGAACCTTTGTTTTAGCCAATTTCCACCTCCCCTCCATCACCACTGGCCAGCTGGATTGGCGCGTTCTCGTCCGAACTCCAGAAGAAATGAAATCTCTTGTCCCTTGTTGTTTGGTCCCAGTGACTTGGGAGTTCCCACGACAGCGTCACCATCTCCACTTTTACATTGACCGCTCCTCAGTGACCGCTCCTCGGTTTCACAGTACCGAGCTGCACAATCAGTTGGCAAAGTAGCATGAGCCCTCCGGATATCAACCTCTGGTGGGACTTGGAAGCACAACTGCCAACCACTTATTCCCCTGATCATACCCCGACCCGCACGAGTCTATCGGTCTATGCTTGACAAACCATACACAGAACCCCCGACACCGCGCAACTTGACAAATGCTCTTCAATTTTGTGAACACAGCAAAAACAAACTCACAAACATAACGCCATTCGTCTCCCTTCATTAAGCAACGGACGCCACCACCAGCACCGCCACGCCCTCCTCCTCGCTCCTCACCGTGATCTTGGTCGTGACGCCCGACTTGGCGGAGTAGGCCATCCGCACATTGGCCACGACCCTGCCGCCGTTGACCGTTTTCCCGAGCAGCTTGAGCGTGTGCGTCGTTTGGTTGACCGGCACGTCCGTCCCTTCCAGCGGTTGGAGCGAGAGCGCCTTGGCTAGTTGTTCGGTCGCCTCTGTTCTCGAGGTTAGTGTGTCTGCAGGTAATATGGGTATTGGTTGCTATCTTTTGAACGTACCTGGTATGCTTTTCATGCCGCTCAGCTGTAATGTCTCTTCCGCCTCTTCTCCCTGGGCACCGACTTGCTCCCAGACGTGAGCGAAGTTGCTGGCAAAGGTCGGGATGACATAATCGCTGCCCGACAGGTCAAAGTCGGAGACTTCGTACTCGTCCTCATACCCGCTCTCCTCGGGCTCGTTGGTTGTGGGGTCGATCTCCTTGCTCGTGAACTTTAGGACGTTGGAGAAGGTGCTGATGGGCAGAGCACCTTCGCCGTGAACCTTGCGGAACGCCACATACACCTTGCCGGGGACATCGGTGCCGAGCTTTTCGGCCTGGATGATGAAAACCTCTTCGAGCTCGTCTTCCTCCGACGGTGTGGCCCTCACCGACACGTCCTCTAATACCGTGGCCGGGAGCGTGTTCTTGACCTCGTATTGCAGCACAATATGCTCGTTGAAGACGTGCTTGACAACGGCAACCACGTACTCCGTCTCGGCCTCCGTTAGCTCCACAAGCGGCGATGACTTGAGAACGCTGCCGAACTCCTTCATCTCGGGGATCTCCATCAGTTCCTGGGCGTACTTCTGGGCCGTTGCCGTCGCAGAGGCGGCCGCTTCGGCGGCTGACGGCGCTGCCTTGGTCGGGCCAACCTTTGGCGGCTTGAGGGACGGGGTGGTGGCGGTAAGCTTTTTCGTCCTGTCCTCGGCGTCGGCCTGCTCGCGCGTGACAACTGGGATCTTCGAGATGTCGAATGGCGTGTCGAATGCCGACTTGTCGTCCGAGGTGACGTACATGACGAGCTGGTGCTCGAAAAACGGGAGAGCAAACATGTTGTCTGCAAAATTCGTTAGCGTACTGTAATGTATAGAGTCCAGTCAACAAGCACTTACCATTCTTGACAAATCTCGTGGCCAGCTCGTCTTCCTCGTGCATGAGCCTGAGATTGAGGGCCGCGCGGTCGCGGACTTCGTCATCAACGTCATCCAAGCACCGCCTGAGCAGAACGTCCACGCTGCGCTTGACCTCGGGATCCTTCTGACCCACGCCAAATTTGGCCAACGCCGTGACCGCAGCCGCGCGCACAATAGCATTCTCCAGGACAACCCGGTTGTAGATATAGCGGATGTACTTGGTAGGCTGGGATGTCTTGGGCCCCTCCAGGCCAAGAAGATGCAGGATGCGCACAGCCAGTTTTGTGAACTCGCAGTCTTCGATAAACTCGCAGAGGTGCGCGAGCGCCTCTTCCTTGGAGTCCGGCACAAACTTGATCAGGTCAAACATGCTCTCCACCACGGCACGCTTGAATTCGTAACCACCCTCGTCGCGCAGGATGCCGCTGAGGAACTGGAGCATACCAGCCTGCTTGCTAGGGAACTTGAGGCAGAGCGTCCGGATCGCCTCGACAATGGTGATCTTAAACTCATCTGTGATCTCAGACATGAAGCCGGAAATCTGCTTCATCAGCCGGTCCACACTAGCTTCGTTGCCCGTCTTGAGTAGAGTGGTGATAGCAAACGTGGCAATCGAGCGGTTGCTGTTGGAGATGAGAAGCTCAATATCCGGGTTGCAGACGTTAACTACGTGCGGCTTGAACGAGGCAATGTTGTGTAGGATACGGAGGGCGGCGAATTTGGTGACGGCCCGAGGGGAGCTGAGGAAGAGCTGAAGGACGTGAACGGCCTGCGTCACCTCGGCATCCGTGACATCCCGCATGTCACAAATAGCCTTTGCCGCTTCGAAGTTGACCATCTCGCTCTTATGCCGAAGCCACCCATCCAACAGTTGCATCATGGGCTTCCTCAGCTGGTGATCCTCCTCAGCCAGCTGTGAAGCGAGGCGGACGAGCATGACAATGGCGGCGGGGTTCTTCATCGCGCCGGCGGCGCCAAACTGCTGGACCATCTTCACCAAGGCCATCCTGTCGTGCATCCGCATCTGGTACAGCAGGCCGATCGCGTGGTATTGTGCCATGGTCGAGTTGTTGACCGGGAGGTTGCCCGAAGATGACGAGAAACCCAGTGAAAACCCGCCCGACGACTTTGAGCTCGCTGCCGCCTCTTGGGTCTCGCTCTGCCACCGCTTGACGACATCGCGGGCGATCGGGAGGAGATGGTAGGACGACACGAGGGCGGAAGATGAGACCGAGGGGTTCTTGTCGACGATCGCAGTCTTCATGACACGCTCGATGGATTGGACTGTGGTCGCCTGGTGGGAGCAATGTCAGCGCCAACTATAACAAGAAGCCCTAGAAGGTCGGCGACGCCTCATACATCAATAATGCGACACAGCGCCCGGATAGCGTTCGGACGGTAGATGGAGTCGGTGCTGCCACCCGTATCCTTCATGATGGTGCTCGTGACCATGATAATATCCTCGGCGGAGTTGGCCAGCTCCTTGATGACCAGGTGGACCATCTGTCGGAGGCTGGCATCCTTGTTCTGGAAAAGCTTCGAGATGCCGAAGAAGAGCGTGGTCGCTTCGGTGGTAGGGAACTTCTCGCCCGTGTAGAGGAGGAGAGCGATCTTGGTGAGAAGGACGCGGCATCTTCGCGGCTGGATCGGGGAGCTGTTGAATAGTCGAGCTGTGGACGGGAAATATTGGCTGCGATTAGCTGCTGCTGTCCTCGACTGCGCGGGGAGCCCGTTCCAGTGCGGATCTGCTCACCCTCTTGGAAAACCTGGGTCCGGTCGATTTTGACCAGACCGCTGTCTGCGTCCTCGTCCTTCTTCCCGTAGCTCATGGTGGGCAGAGTGACGCGGGTGGCGCTGGGAATGTAGGAAAGTCGGGCTCAAGCAGTGTGAACCTGTGCGGAATCCCAACTCGCGACGTTGCCAATTCAATGCTTGGGCTGCCAATGGGGGTTCCCCCACAACAGGGGTTGCCGCTGGTGCACGGCCCCTTAATGGTTCAGATGCTGAGTGGGAGAAAGCGGGTCACCTGAGAAGTCACATGGAACCCCCTCGATGAACTTGGTTGCTACCTGTTGCTACAATTTGGGACAAAAAGAACCCACGATTATACCGCTGACTACACCGGCAAAATAGACTAATGTACTTCATCCTTCGACCGATCCATGCCCCGATAGACAGTTCAACGTCAGTCAAGGATCAAGTCCCCCATAGTCGACAAGAAGCTCTGATGGTTACCGTCAATTCCAAGCCCCCCATGAGCCGTAAATTATTGATCGAACCGGGGTAAGCAAAGCGAAAACCTGCATCAAAACTTTGAAGGATATTCCCCTTTTTGATCATGGCCATAGCCATGGATACGAGCCCAGCCTATGCAGCAGCGATCTGCTCTGGTACTGCTTGCTGTGGCTCTGGTTGGGATTCGGGCTCGGGCTGCTGCTGCTGCTCAGGCTGGGGTTCAACCGGCGGAAGCTGGTCTAAGAGGGCACCCCGCGGGGCCATTACCTCGGCGCTGAACTCCGTATTGATGGGTTGTCCGTTCTCGTCAACATCCTCTTCTTTACGGTCCGGGTTTTTGCCCACGCTCTTGACCGCCTCTTTCTCCTTTTTGCCGAGGACGACAAGGTCAAAGCCTCGGGGAAGGAGGGTATCAGTCCTGCGGTGTTGTAGCACGTCAGCAAATGTCCAATAGTAGTAGGAAACGATAGAGCAGGGTGGCGTAACGACTCACTTCAGGAAATCTTGCTTCAACAGGCGCGCCTTGTCCCGAAGTGCCTGCTGATCACGCGGGCGCTCAAACGGGATTGTGCCCGCCTTGATTTCCTTTTCGATGGTGCTCCACTTGCATTGGTAGGTATTAACTGCCTTGACAAGCAGGAGGATATCCCGGCGCACCCAGCCAGAGCGAACCTGGGGCTCTTTGACCTTGCGAGCCGCAGCCGATATCTCCCTCGTCCGCTGCGAGAGAGCATCGAAGTCAGGCTCGTCCTGTGTTCCAGGTAACGGCGGATATTGCGACGGAGCAACCGGCGCGCTTCCGGGAGCACCTGTAGAAGGAGCGCCCATGGCAGCTTCTGGAACCCCTGGAACCACGTTCTTCTTACGCCTAACGCGCGTCTTCTTTGCTGGCGATCCGGCCGGTCCGGCAGTTCCATCGCCGGTTGATGGCTCGCCCTGAGCCTGTCTCTTCCTGCCCAAAGCCTGGACCGCCGACTCGGCGTAGATGGAGCCGGGCGGCTGAAAGCCGCTCTGCTGGGATGGGTCACCATACCCCAGAGCATGCGAAGGACTGCTGAAGCCTGGCGGATAAGGGATCCGCGGTGCTGGCGGATATGAGCTAGGGGGCAATCCATGATTATCGCCGTACATTGAAGCCCCCTGTTGTTCTAATTGCTTCAACATCCGCAAAGAGTTCATGTTGAACGCTGGTTGCACACTAGATAGGGCGGTTAGCTAGTCACGAGCCGAGGATAAACATAAGTAACGTACTCAAGGTCTGCCCGATCGAACGCCTGGCCAATTGAGTCGGCCTCGAGCTGCGACCGAATCTGCGAATCGGCCCTAGAGGTGGCGCTCGAGTGTACGGACTCCTGGTGGAGCTGCAATTTGATGCTTTCGAAGCAGGTCTTGGTAAAGTTCCCCAGATTGTCGAGGAAATCTGGGAAAGGATACAGCGTCTCAAACTGGCTTAGGTCGAGGCTGTCACCGTCGACCTCTTGATCGGGCAGCATCTTGCAAATGGAGCCGAAGCGAGTAGGAATAGCATTCCGATCCCTCGCCAGCGCAGCCACCTCGGACTCGGCCGGTGCGATGGGCTTGAGCTGGAGACCGTCATTATTGTTTCCTAGAAAAGCCTCGATCGATTCGAGAGACACGTCACCGTCGCACCAGATGCCAGCAACCTGGAGGCGAGGATGGAACGGCCCAGAGCTCTTCGCAAGTTCCTTCAAACGAAGGATGGTCAGCTGCGTGCGGATCATTAGGATCTGCTCAATAATTTGCTGGTTCATCGCGTTGTCTGCGTTGATGGAACCTTCGCCGATGAAGCAGTCGGGAAAATTCGACTCCAATGCGTGTAGTGATAAGGGGGATTCCTGGTTGCCCGGGGTGGTGTCCCCGAGGAGCATGACGAGATTCGCCGCCGACACAACTCTGACGACCTTGTACCAATGCAAAGACGCCTTTTCCAGCCGCATCACATCGGTAACGAAAGTCGGGTTGACGACCGGCTCGGTATCATCGCGTACGTAGTAAGTGCGGTATGCTTCGAAGGCCTTCTTAAAGCCCTCCCGCTCCCCCTCCCACGTCTCCTGGTCAACCTGTTCGCTGCAAAGATGCATGAAGAAATCATCGGCAGCGGTAAACAGACGCGACAGCATGGCAGTCATAAGCCTCGCCCTCGCCGCTTCGCGGCCGGGCGTATCATTAGTGGCAGAGGATACCGTAGATGGAGCGTGGCTAGGTGGCTCGAACATGATACCCGTAGCAGGCCTATTCAGTGCGGTGCCTAATAGAACGAGTTAGGATGGCTCACCTTGGCTGGGAGGCTGTACGTACCATGGGGTTCTTGTTGGGATGAGAACGCGTCAGTGACAGGAGCGCTCCTGATGCTCATGCTGCTGCTGCTGCCGGGCGTCTCTGAAGTGCGGCGCGTGTTCCGGCGGGCGAAAGGCGGCCCGGCCTGCCCCCGTACGCTCTTAGCACTGGGGACAGGCGGGGGAGGCATGCCGCCATCTTGCGGGCCCGAGATGGCCGGATCGATGACTTGGTTATACAGCGCCGCAGACATGGGGTCCTCCAATTGAGGGTCTAGGTCGTGTTCCAGTTGCTGTCCATCCTGTGGCTGGTGTTCCTCATGCTGCTGCTCAGAAGAATCACCATGCTGTTGTGGCTCTTCTGGTTGTGGCATGTTCTGGTGTTGTTGCTGCTGGCGCGTCGAGCGGCGACTGGAGCCCGCGGCTGGTTCCTGCGCCGAACGCGACGCAGGACGCCCTCTTCCACGTCCTGACATGGATGCACAGTATGTCCGACTCGGAAAATAGCCGCTGATGATGAGAAGTTCGATGATGAGCGTGATGAGCGTGATGAGACGCGCAGGAGTGATAAAAAAGGGTTGGGGTTAGGGTTACTCTGTCGAAGAGTTGAGGTTGTTTTGAAATTTAACCTGCTGGCAAAGGCCACAACCCCACCAAAAATAATGGTGTTCGAGTTCTGCGCGCGGCCATCTTCATTGTGCACGTGACATGATTCCATTGGCCCCGTCCCACATACACAGTCCGGTGGGAATGGTCTTGACATTGTGGATCTCTGCTCTCCCTTTTCGCGCCACCGATCTTTCTGCTGTGTAGCCCGAACGATATCGGGGATCTCACAACAAATTGAGCCTTTACTACCTAGTTGGCTTCTCAAATAATAGCAGTAACAAACAACAAGAAATGCGACAATTCAAATTTTCAAGGCTCCCAAACATGTGCTGGCGAACCTTGCACGGCGGGTTTTCGCAACGGGGCGAGGAAGTGTGGCGGTGTCTTGACACACCTCGCCCTTTCTTGTAAACGCCAAGACAATTCCCCAGAAACCCCTGGCAGGGGTTGTGGACTGGAAATCCTGGTCACAGCCTGGAACTTTCCCTCGCCTCTAATCTTATCACCGGACGGCCAACTTTCGCTTCAAGACGCTCTCTTTGTAGACACCTTTGCTCTTCCAGTTATTTCTTTGGCGTCGCTTAATTATTCCCATCTGCAACCGCGTAGGGCTCTTTCCGACCCGTCGGCGTCTGATAACCACCGGCTTTTCACCCACTGGGCAAACCAGGCGTGAATCGCGTGCCTCGAGCGAAGTTGGGATATCTCCTACCCTAATTGATTTTGATTTTGGATCTTCGAACAATAGACGACAATGAGGCTTCGAAATCGCAACTCGACTCTTCTCCTTCTTCTCCTTCCCTCGCTTGCCCTCGCTACCGCAACCGCCGACAAGCAATTGGACCGAGACTCGGTCGCCGGCCCGGCTGGTGCGTCGCCCGGGAGGAGATATGGCACCAAAGATGCGCCGGTCGATGGGAACGACGGGAAGCCGCACGCTGGGCCGTTCGTCGGACTCGACTCGAATTCTGAGTCCGAGAGGGACTTGCCTGCCCTAAAAGACCGCCCGGAAGACCCATTGATCGTCGACGGGAAGCGAATTCCCGAGAGTCATGACGGCGTGATGGACGACAAGAACCGTCCAGGACCCAGAAAGGGCACCACGGGCACCGAAGGAGGCGTGAGCGAGAAGGAGAATGACAGAAAGATGAGGGAGAAGCAGACGGGTGAGAAGGTCGAGAACAAGCCCCCAACGCCCAAGGAGGCGCCTCCGCTCCCGGATTCGGACCAAGAACGGATCCAGGCCGCCAATGAAGCCAAGTCCGATGAGAAAACATCAGGCGACGCTTCTAGCCTCGAGGTAAATTCACCAAAGCCACGCCCCCGTCTCACACAGTATGTGCGCGGCCTAGCTAACTCCGCCGTAGAAACCGGCCGGTCTCCCGGACAAGACACACGACAAGTCGCCCCCGCTCCCCGATTCCGTCGCAAACATCGATCATCTGGATGTCTCGAAGGGGGGCACACCGGGGAAATTCACTGGGCCACATGACGAGGACAACGAGGGTCTCGTCCAGCCGCTGCACTCGTTCATGCTCTCATTTACAATGATTATTGTCTCCGAAATCGGCGACAAGACATTCCTGGTTGCTGCGCTCATGGCGATGAAGCATGACCGCTTGGTGGTGTTCTCAGCTGCCCTCAGCGCCCTAGTTGCCATGACCATTCTCTCGGCCGTGTTAGGGCATGCGGTACCCACCCTGATTCCCAAGCGCATGACGACCTTTTTGGCCGCCGTTTTGTTCTTCATCTTTGGGGCCCGCCTACTTCGTGAGGGACTCGCCATGAGCCCCGACGAGGGCGTGTCGGCCGAGATGCAGGAGGTCGAGATGGAGTTAGCGGAAAAGGAAAACCTCGCTAGAAAAGAAGGCCGGAAGACGTCAGATATGTCGCCGTATGCCCTGGAAATGGGTCTCGGCAACCGCAAGCCCCGGACTAAGTCCCGTTTCCCGGCGCCCGCTCGCAGCCCTTCAAGCTCGCCTGAGGGGCGGAGCCCATCGCCGCGCCCTGGGGGTCTCGGGGGAGTTCTTTCGGGTCTCAACAATCTCGTCTCGCTGCTCCTCAGCCCTGCTTGGGTCCAGACCTTCGTCATGACATTCCTAGGAGAATGGGGTGATCGCAGCCAAATTGCAACTATCGCTATGGCGGCGGGTCAGGATTACTGGTGGGTGACTCTGGGCGCTGTTCTGGGCCACGCATGCTGTACAGGCGTCGCTGTTATCGGAGGTAGGGCCATTGCGGGTAAAGTGAGCCTCAAAGTTGGTAAGTCGACAGCCCTACACCACCGCCGTCCATGTCGCATAAATACTCACACATATTCTAGTCACTGTCGGCGGGGCCGTCGCGTTCCTCGTTTTCGCATTTCTCTACCTGTTCGAAGCGTTATACTCATAGACACGAACCACGCAACCACGGTCAAAAGGTTTGGCTGTGCCAGCTGCCAAACGGCGACCACACTAGTTATATTTCCGTCACAACTTGTAATTTTGCGTCCACACGCGACACGAGGAGCTTTCTTTTCGAACCACGACAACCCGGCGGCATCACTGGTTATATGGGGACTTCACTGGGAGCAAAGTTGCGTACTGGTTCACGGGCGTGTATTCACTATACCGGACTATGAAGTTTGGGTCATATTCAACGGGGGGAGAAGGGGGGATGGAATCGGGAACGCTCTCAAGATGACTCGGCATTGGCAGGAGTTTGGGCAAAAGCGAGATGGGGGATGGTGGTTGGGGGTTGGGGGTTGGGGGAATGGCCTAATTGTCTTGTAAAGAAAATATGTGTATGTTTGAGCGATATCTTACTCTTGAACAAATCGGTTGCAGCGGAGGGCTGTGTAATTCAGGCCAAAATTTAATGCCCCTTTTTTGGTGGTGCTGAGCTGAACGAGTATCTGTGAACGAACCTCCCTACAAAACCAATGACGACATAGGCCCAACCAAGCTTCACTCAGACTCACTCAGCATCCCGCTTTAATGAACCTTTTCGGTTCTTCCAGGTTCAACACCAAAATCAACAACAACATATTCTAGAAACATCTCTTTTGCCGCTCATCCTCCAACAATCGTCTCATCAATTGAATTCGGCGCTCAAAAAGATATTATCTCCCCTCAACACAGGTCCAAGATGGCGAATGGACTTGCGGGCAAGGCCCAGGAGGTCGCGTATGTTGCTCCAGCACAAATCGGGAGGGATATTTTATGCATTACCTGGCTGACGCGTTTCGTTTCAGAAAGGAGGACTACGACAAGGCTCGAGTCCTTCTCAACGATGCCGCGAAGAGCGGGTCCTACATGTATCCCATCAAGGTAGGCCAGGCACACCAGCACAGGTGCTACCGCGCAGCCGACAAGAACGGGGGGTGATTGATCATCGCAGGGGATCTTCTACTTTTGCACCCATCCCGGGTTATGGAAACCGCTGCGGTCCAAGCTGCTTCCCTACATGGCCCTCTACTCGAGCGTGCTGGGTTCCATGTTCTTCTTCACCTACCTCCCGCAGCTTGCCGTTATGGCGTTCGTCAACGGGCCGCTTGCCGTCATCACGACCGCTCTTCTTATTCTGAATGAGAGCTCAACCATCACGGGCATCATCTCCAAAAACTACCTCCTGCAGGAGGCTATTATGGATACCTTCGATGGCACTTTGATGGCCAGGAACGCTTCTAAAGTGGTTGCCGAGGGAAGAGAGCTGAAGGCGCGGGGGGACTCCATCGAGAGGCTCGGTAAGGCTCTTAAGAAGCCCTTCACGCGTTTCAGCGTCAAAGAACTGGTTCGATACGTAATGTACCTACCGCTGAACTTTATCCCTGGTACGGTTTTCGGTGTCCCCAACCTCTTGCGTATCGACGGACAACGCTAACCTTGCTGACGCAGTCGTGGGTACCATTGTGTTTGTTTTTCTGCGAGGTGAGGCTCTGGACGGCGTGTGGTAGAAACGTGTAGCTGACACCAAATAGGGCGAGCTCGCGGCGACTCCGTTCATGACCGGGTGAGTCGAGCCTATGTGTATCCTGCTGCAGAAGCTTACTCGTTGGTTCTAGTACTTCCAGCTGAAGGGGTGGCCAACATCCAGAAAGTCGAAGTGGCTCCAGCAACATAAGGGACCTTATACTGCGTGAGTGATCCATTCTTCGAGGTGTACTGGTCCTACGTGAGGGTGGTGAGCCATGGCGGACAACCCCGGCACGGCAACCCGCTTGTCGACCGACAATAGCTTAACCCCATGTCCTTCTTTGCATGTCCGACCTTCGTTGTAACGTACTGACGGAACCCGGTCTCCTAGATTCGGCACAGTTGCCACTGTTCTCGAAATGATTCCCGTTGCTTCGGTCGTGTTCTCCTTTACCAACACAGGTAACTTTCTGTTCCATGACAATCACAGCCTGTGCAATTGCTAACAACCGATAATAGTCGGAGCTGCTCTCTGGGCGGCTGATATTGAGGCCAAGGAAAATGAGATGGCCGGTAGCACAGCGCCGGAGCTTCGGGAGGCGGCCAAGAAGGCCGAATGAGATGTTAACGGCGAGAATGTCTAGGATCGCGCGCTCGGCCGGGGGTATCTCTGCATGATCTCAGTTTGATACAGACACGCATACAGGGGCGGCATCGGTGGTGACAGCAGATAAACGAGGACGCACGGCATATTGACAACAGAATACTCGGTGTTCCCGTTGCGGCTCGAACAAGGTTCAAAGTGGAAGTATTGCGTATCGGGCTTCCGCGGGCCAGGGCGAAATCCCCACGCAGTTCGGCAATGGCCCGGAGTTGAATGCAATGGCAGACCTTCAATTAAGAATAAAAAGCAATTCGATACCTCTCCGCGCTCACATCTCGAATTGAGTCATATGCCTGAGATCCCCTGAGCCGCTTTCGACACAAACCTTTCTCATCGATGACACACCGATGCAGGAACAGATAATTTGGCCACCGGCTACCCGCATAACGGCATCTTATCGACCTAGGTGATGTGCAACTCGTACAAAACTTGGCCTGGTGGCAACAGAGATCAGGGGCTACCGTCCGTTACCTCGCTGACCTTTGCTCCTTGGTTCTCGATCAAGAAGAGCTCGGTTGTCGGTTGTGCACAACGAAAGCTGCCCTGCTCAAGGTCACCTTGCCCCGAATGAGTCGTCACATTAGCTACGCGGCCTAACCACGGTCAGACATTTGTCAAGTTGGCCGGGGATCGGGTGTCCAAGATCGGGGAGGGTGTAACAGGGGGGTTGACAACCGCGAGGACACAATGCTAAAGAGCAGCTAGGATCGAACCTTGAAGACAAGTTTGAGACAGAACCAACATTCCCAGGCCCTGAGGAAGCTTGAAGACCACGACAATCTATCCGAATTTAGATCGACGCGGCTATCTCGCTGCCCAGCTAGGGGAAAACGATCGTGGTTGCGACGTCTCATGTGTCTCAATAGCCTCTTGTGTTTCTTCCAGACCAAGGCTTACAACACCTATTCGAAGTTACCCAGACACACACGGCCACACCATCCGTCCAGTTGTGGCTCGTTAGTTGTCATCTTGTTGCGCCATGTCGAAAATCGGATTGACATGTCACCTTCCCGAGTCTCGCGGATTAAAGGTGGCCCTGAGTATCGTTTCATGCAATCGGAAAGGTATTCTTACTTAGCTATGCACGTTATACATGGGGGAATACTAACACAATTACATCTTCTCGATAGGGTAAGACTGAGGAGATTTCCCCTTCCTCCCTGGGAAGCAACCAGAGTCAAATTTGCGTTGTGCTTGGGCGACACATCTCGAGTCACCCTCCACTGACGCAGCACCAGGAAATTCTGCCCGGGTGAGCCCCAAGATGAGCTACTCCCTCTATATCACCCATCTGGCTCAACAGTCATGGAATCCCGAGTCCTGCTCGTTCACCAACATCCGCGGAACCAGATGGCCTTGCCCTGCCATGTCAATTGATGAACAATTGGGGCAACATCACTCACTTACTCCTCTCCCCAGCGGCTCTTATTACTTTTAGTTGTTCTACGATCAATGAGGTTATAATCCTCAGGTCTCTACCCTCTTTTGCAAGGAGAAATCACACAGTGGGGGATTTCGGCTTACTAGTACTTTGATTCAACCCGCCTCATAATGAGGGTTTCTGGACTTTTTGGGGCCATCACGTCAGCCATAACATTGTTGGGCTGCCTACCAGGCGCCGCGGCTTATAAGGATGGCATCTGGTCCAGCTTCCGGCAAACCATCGGCAAGGCTTTCCCAAACTCGGGAGCCGGCGGCCGCATGCATTCTCAGAATATCGAGCCGAGAGAGAGACAAGACGATCCGCCGTATGGGTATCAACCCCCACCACTTCCAGAGACGTCATCCTCTTCCTCTTATTCGTCCTCTCGGCCTTCCTCTTCCGTTTCAGAATCATCAACTTCAACCTGGGCCGGTGAGTTCTAGCAGGCTTCTTATTTTCTCACGAGCATCTTTCCAGAAAACGCTTGCTAACCTGCTCAGGATATGGACCCCCTCCAAGTGCTGTCTCGTCGACCACATCCCCAGAAACCTCATCTTTGCGGACATCGACTGGCTCCGGCACCTCATCCGGTGCGGGTTATGGGACTGGCACTACGGAGAGTGGTGGTTATCCATTCCCGTACTCAGCATCTGGTTCCTCGACTGGAAGCAGCACCGCCATTGGGTCTCAAACGGGGTCTGCACTGTCGAGTACTGGCACGTCTTCTGCCTCGACCTCGCTAAGCGAAGATCCCCAGACCACACAGACGATTGAAGCTGCCACGACCGGGAATACCTCCTCCACGGGTCCTGGGTCACCAGTCTCGGGGAGCACAATCTCGATCTCTGCGACCACAACCGCTGAGGTCACACCGCCCTTGTCCACAACTTCAGGGGTGTTAAACGGTACGACAACTAGCGGTCCAGGTTCGTCCGTCGCTCACTCGTCTAACCAAACGTCAACGGGCGTTGGGTCGACCTCGGCCGCAACGTCCGGTGCCTCGTCTTCGGTTGTTGGCACCACATCTGCCACACTGGCCACAAGCTCCGGTTCTCTCATTCCTCTAAATTCCACCACCAAGCACCCGGTTTGGGAGACGTCGAGCGTTGATGCCGTCATTGGCACCCCAACAACGAGTTACGTCGTCAGTGACAATGTAACTATCAGCACAACTATTTTTACCGTCACCCGGAGTGTTAGTCCGACTAGCACCTTGCTGTTCACTACAACCACCCCCGTTGACAACACTACGTTTGTTTCTATTGCGACCTCGGCCGCCCCATTTCCCGCTTCTAATCTCACATCAGAAGTGGGCGTTACGGCCATATTACCCTCCTGGAGCACAGGGCCATCGGGTGGTCTCTCTAAGTCGACGGGCATTGGTGGCTCACCTAGCAGCACCGCCGGCGTACCATTCCCGTTTAGCAACGCAACGGTTCAGGTTGGTCCTACAGGAACAAGCCCTACTTCGGTACCTGGGAGCGGCACTGGCGTCCCGGCATCCGGCACTCGGGTTCCAGGGACCGGGTCAAACTCTGCGCCGTTCCCGTTCTCCAATTCGACAAGTCTGCCTAGGTCAACGGGAGCGGCTTCGGTAGGTACGAGCGTGCAGTGGCCGCCCGGGAGCTCACAGACGTCGATACAAACACCACCGTTCTCTCCCAGCAACTCTTCACTTGCGAGGGGACCGACGGCCGGCCCAACTGTCAGTGACACTGGGCTAACATCGTCTGAGGTCTCTAAGGCAACCCTAGTGCCCTCACCTTTGGGTAGTTCTAGCCCGGTCACCGGCGGCAGAAGGTCCTCCAGCACGCCTCTCTCATCCTCCGTCACAGATACATTGATCGGGTCTTCCGGTACTTCCTCAGCTTCTGCTCCCTTTCCCCCCTCAAATTCGAGCACCTTGGGCTCTCCTACCGGTGGCAGCCTCACAACACCCACAAGCCTTGTCACAGGTTCTAGTCTTGCGCCGTTCCCGTTCCCGAACACGACAAGGACATCATCCATTGCCGGATCTGGAACCGGAGTCTCGACGGCGCCGGCCGTTTCCAAGAGCTCCCCCGCTCCATACCCCCTCACGAACCAGACTGTCGCCAGTGGAGTTACAGCGCAGTCTTCGTGGATAGGAACTTCTGTGCCTTTGAGCTCGGGGGTGCGGGGCACCGGCAGTGTTCCTGCTGTCTCAACTGGCAGCATACCGTTCCCGCTATCGAATTCTAGCACCCCTTCGCCAACTGGTAGCGGTGGGACTGTGGGCTTTACGTCGTCGCCCAAGACGGGTACTGGATCCCCGGCCTCATCATCGGTTCTGTCGAGTCTGGCACCTTTCCCACTCCCCAACTCAACCGTGGTAAGTGTGGGCCCAACTGGAACCAGACCAGTCGAGGTATCCCTTACAGCATTAGGAACCGCAGGCCAGTCGACCAGCGCTCTGGACGGTATCACCGCCGGGACACACTCGCCGTCGAGTTCTTCGGGCAGCGAAACAGCCTCGACGAGCTGCACCTCTGGTGAGACCGTCCCGTCGCCTCTAGCCCCATCCCAGAGCAGCACGGCGAGCGTTCCCCTAGATACCACTTGCACAGGTGAGACCACGCAGTCTACCCATGCCATTGAGACGACATCCTGTAGAGAGACCGTGTCTGCACCATCGGCGACTTCAGCGGGCACTTCAACAAGCTGCGAAGAAGCAGCGACGGCTCCCTTGAGCGAGAGCTCAACCTCGTGCGAAGAAGACACCGTATCCGCCTGGACTTCCTTCCCATCGACATGCAGCGAGACGACGCTGCGCACGGTGACGCGGGCCTCCTCACAGGCCGGTGCGCCGGCGAACAACACCTCCAGCACGGCGGCGGTGGTCGACAGTAGCAGCAGTGTGAGCGGTACGACAGCCCCCCTATCTCCCTGCACCCCTTTGGCAAACAACTTGAACCCAGCACTAGGTGGCTAACCCCCGACCGGTTAGAAACCGCCCCAGAGAGCAGCAGCAGCACAAGCATCACTCCCGAACCCAGCCCACAACCACCACCACCTTCATCAACACTCCAAACAACCCCGTCCAGCCCAACCACCTCGCAACCAAGCCCGACCGCGTCACAACCGCAGCAGAGCACAACCAACACGGAGAGCCCTCCCCGTAGCAGCAGCAGCAGCGGCGCCGAACCCACCGGGTCTTCGGCCCCGGCCCCGGCTCCGCCCGGTGGGCTGCCTAACCCGCTCAACTCGGGCGAGGGCACGCTGGACCATCATCACCACGGTTCTGAAAAGGGGCGCGACGGGGGCGGTTGGGGGTCGTCGTGATGGGGGTAGTGGGAAAGGTAAGGGGGTTGGGGTTATGAAGTGTTGTTGTTATTGGGTGTTGGGAGGCGGTGTTGTGGTGAGGGCTTCGGAGGTGGGAGGTTGAGAGGGGGGAGGTTGAGAGGTGGGAGGTTGAGAGGTGGGAGGTTGAGAGGTGGGAGGTTGAGAGGTGGGGGGTTGAGAGGTGGGAGGTTGAGAGGTGGGAGGTTGGTTGTGAGTGTTGACGGGGGAGGGGGTGTTGTCGTCGTGGTTGGGGTAGGTGGGCCTGTGGAGGGTTACTTCTCGACTCAACTGTATTCGGTTGCTACCTTACTTATCCTTTCGGTTGTTTATCTTTTAATTTGTTTGGGTTTAATATACAGGACAGCTCCTTTCACTGCCGTTCTCTCTCCCTTTCTGTTCTTTTATTGATTCTCCCCAGATTAGCTCGAGGACATGCTCTTGCTGTGCGGGGATGTCTGGGATGGGTAATTCAGGATTCCTTGATGCCTTGGGTTTGATTCGTTTAGTTCCTTGTAAGGGTATGACAGCGGAGAGTTCTTGACCACGCACTCCACGGAAAGAGAACTCTCCGTGAGCGATGTTGGTGAACCACACCATCAGCATCCAGGGGTTCAATAACATGGGTGCATGGGCCATAACCCTAACCCCCAAAGCCGACCCCGATGCCGAACCATTGTCGGGCATCCGGGTGCCGTTGCAATCCGGCAAGAGATTGGGCAGCTCGCATTCTACTCCTGGTCAGTCGGTCAGTCGGCCAGCCCGACTTCCGTGAGGTCGGCTCCAATAACTGGTATGAACGACCGTCTCATCGCGGCTTTTATCGCTCATCAACGGCAAGAGCATTCTGCGGGTTTTGACGTTTTCCCTGATCCTGTAAGCTGTTGCGTTGTGGTTGGTTGATTGGGCCCACATTGACAACGGCCGATTGAGCGGCAGTGAGTGGGCGGCAGCCACGCGTGGTGGTCCTTGCCCGAGCACGTCATCGGAGCTAAGAAACCTTGAACAGGGCCGGTCTCAGGTTTTCACCATTCTCCCGCCGTCGAGGATGAGTCGAGTAAAGGCCCCTCGATGCTCCAGGCGGACCCCTCTCCGATGGATCGCCGGTCTGGCATAGAGGCAAAAAAGGTCACCTTTTAGCCCGCCTGCTGCATGTGCCTGATGTGCCTGCCGCTCGGGAAGAGGCTCGGAAGGGGGCTCGGGATATGTGACGATGTACATAGTTGCGAGCGTTCCATTCGTTTTCTCGTTTGGGCCCATGTAAGAGACGCGCATGTCCCGTCAGACTGGGGAACCACGGGGATCTCCTGTTGTCCGTGGATTACGAATCGCCACAGGGGAATGCGACAAATACTCCCCTTATGTAAGGAGTACATCCATAATCAAAGGCGAGCGCCGCTACCGGGGGGGTCGCTGCCGGCCAAGTCGCAGTCGTTTCGGTCCGCTCACTTACCCATCACCTGCTTGTAAACGGAGCCCTGGGCACCTGGGGTACCCGCGGAGACGGAAACGCGGCAAATCTGCAACAGATATATAAGGTATCTATCTGGCCTTGACCGGCAAGTTTGTCTGTCAGAACTCTCCACTCCATCTCTTCCTCCCACTGCTCCATACCCCGTTGCGACAATTCGTGGAATTGCCGTCTTTCGTCTCGTCTAGCCCGGCTCCGGTACCCCTCGATCAGGAACCGACCAATCCAACAAGATGGCCAACTCTCCCCACGGCGGCGTCCTCAAGGACCTGATCGCGAGAGACCTGCCTCGCCATGCCGAGCTTGCCGCCGAGGCAGAGACCCTCCAGGCGCTGCTCCTCAGCGAGCGTCAGCTCTGCGATCTCGAATTGCTGCTCAATGGTGGTTTCTCGCCGCTCGAAGGTTCGTCCAAAAAACATGAAACCCCGCGGTTGCAGCGTGCAGCGCAGGCTGCGCGGTTATCGATGGTGGGGCTCAAATGAACCCCGCCATTGTCCTCCTTCACGACCTCGATTCGCGTGCGAGAGACGCCAAAGCTAACGGACGGTCCCCAAAATGCAGGTTTCATGACCGAGGAGGACTACAATGGGTATGTTCAACCAAAGAAACGGGCAATTGGCCCTCCCAAAGGGTGCTGAGACTGACATGTGCCTCTCCCAGAGTCGTCAAGGAGAACCGCCTCGCCAGTGGCGCGCTTTTCAGCATGCCCATCACCCTGGACGTGGACCAGGCGACGATCGACGAGCTCTCCCTCAAGGCCGGCGCCAGGATAACGCTGCGCGATTTCCGCGACGATCGTAACCTGGCCATCCTCACCATCGAGGACGTTTACAAGCCCGACAAGTAAGCCCCGTCGCTCCCTCGCCGTTTTCCAAGACTTGCCAAGGGTCGCGTCATTGCGTGGCAGAATGGCAAGGTTGGGGGTGACACAAAGACTGACACGTGCGAAATAGGGCGTTGGAAGCCAAGGAGGTCTTTGGAGGCGACGAGGAACACCCGGCGGTCCGCTACCTCTTCAAGACCGCCAAGGACTTCTACGTGGGCGGCAAGCTCGAGGCTGTCAACAGGCTGCAGCACTATGACTTTGTCGAGCTGCGCTGTGAGTGGCCCCCCCGTTCTGGGCGCGAGTGGGCTCGGGATAGAGAGAGAGAGAGAGAGAAAGATGCTAACCGGTGTTAAGATACTCCTTCTGAGCTTCGTGCTCACTTCGACAAGCTCGGCTGGGCCAAGGTCGTCGCCTTCCAAACCCGGAACCCCATGCACCGCGCCCACAGAGAGCTGACAGTCCGCGCTGCTCGGTCCCACCACGCCAACGTCCTCATCCACCCCGTCGTCGGCCTGACGAAGCCCGGTGACATCGACCACTTCACCCGCGTCCGCGTGTACAAGGCTCTCCTGCCCAGATACCCCAACGGCATGGCCGTCCTCGGCCTGCTTCCCCTCGCCATGCGCATGGGTGGCCCTCGCGAGGCCATCTGGCACGCCATCATCCGCAAGAACCACGGTGCCACGCACTTCATCGTCGGCCGCGACCACGCCGGCCCCGGCAAGAACAGCAAGGGGGTCGATTTCTACGGCCCTTACGATGCCCAGTACGCCGTCGAGAAATACCGCGACGAGCTCGGTATCGAGGTGGTTCCCTTCCAGATGATGACGTACCTCCCCGACAGCGACGAGTACGCCCCCGTCGACCAGATCCCCCAGGGCGTCCGGACGCTCAACATCTCCGGCACAGAGCTGCGCTCGCGGCTGAGGAGCGGCCGTGAGATCCCCGAGTGGTTCTCGTACCCCGAGGTCGTCAAGGTGCTCAGGGAGTCGCACCCGCCGCGGTCGCAGCAGGGCTTCACCGTCTTCCTGACGGGTTACCAGAACAGCGGCAAGGACCAGATCGCGAGAGCGCTCCAGGTCACGCTGAACCAGCAGGGCGGCCGCTCCGTGTCCATGTTCCTCGGCGAGACTGTCCGCCACGAGCTCTCTTCCGAGCTCGGCTTCAGCCGCGAGGACCGCGACAAGAACATTGCCCGCATCGGCTTTGTGGCCTCGGAGCTGACGAGGTCCGGCGCTGCCGTCATCGCCGCGCCGATCGCCCCCTTCGAGCAGGCGAGGCAGTCCGCCCGCGAGCTGGTGGAGAAGTACGGCGACTTTTACCTCGTGCACGTCGCGACCTCGCTCGAGTACTGCGAGAAGACGGACAAGAGGGGCATCTACAAGAAGGCTCGCGCGGGCGAGATCAAGGGGTTCACCGGCGTCGACGACCCGTACGAGGCTCCTGCCAAGCCGAACCTCGTCGTCGACTGCGAGACCCAGTCTGTGCGGTCCATCGTGCACCAGATCATCCTGCTCCTCGAGAGCCAGGGTCTCCTCGATAGGTTTTAGAGCGGCTGACCGGTCGATGTCGAGTTAAACGCCAGGGTACTCGACCCGCGGCAAGCGGGGGAGTGTGATCCTCATCAAGGCTTCCCTCCGCTCCGGCGGCTGGGACCCTCTTCGAATCGTGAAGCGAGAGGATGGCGGAGGATGGAGTTTTGGCTGCTTTCGGAATCGATAGAGCCGGCAAGCAAGCGGCATAGTTGCTGCAAGCTTTAAGAGCGTGCCATACAAGTAGATAGTTAGCATGCGAGAAGAGTTCAAACCAGGTTTCAATTCCACTACGGGCTTCAAAGACGTCCCCCCCTTGCAAGTCTGCAAGCGAAGCCGACACGAAGACTCATGCGCTGTGCTCGTGGTTTCTATTCTCGGTTGGCGGCTGTAAGACGCAAGACTATTGGGCGCCTTTCCCGCATCCTGCGGGCAGCCAGCGCGTCGAGACGTGGAGGTTGCATTTGGGGATTGCGGGCAAGTGAGGAGTTCGGGTCGGTCCCTGTACCCACCCAATCGAGCTTTAACCCCTCGTTGCTCTCAAGTTTCGGACGAAAACCGAGGAACACATGTTCGGGCAGGGGTAACAGTTCATATTAACTGCGGTTGTACTGTGATACCGCGGGGCTTCTCGTTGTGCTTCGCTTCTGTCGAGGGACGTCTCACACGGCGGCGGTATCGGTTGAGGGATCAAGTCCATCGAGCAGTTTCCGCTCAGGATTAAATGGAATTTCAAGGGATTGAAGCAGCGACAGCCGAACACATCAGACAGTGATCATTTCGGTAGCTTAGCAATGTACGCACTGTGCTGTTCGTTTCCCTCCTAAATAAAGGCGTCAAGCTGTTACGAGCGGTCGGATGCACAGTATTCACACTGTCTTAAACGCCAGGCCGAATCACACTGAGCGGCCCAATGATGGGCATCACCGCCCAATACCAGGCAGGGCAGAGACTTGGGAGGAACCGATCGGTTTTAGGCACGACCCAGTCAGTTCAAGCTTCCGACAGTTTGCTATTTCGCCATTTCCACAGCCGAGTTAGCTCTCCTGCATCGGGGAATATCGTCGTGGCGCCTTGAAAGGTCGAGAGGTGATACAGGGCCCTGGTTGGTTCCCACTCGGTACCTCAGCAGCAGCATTAACGAAAGTAACCACGCCGACCAACGTCGGCCAACATCTCCCTCCCGGTCCTGCGCCGCAACCCAGGATTCCCGTTACAGCTGCCTCCGGTAATCGCAGCCGCAATTCCCCGTCCTTAAGGCGGGCGACACACCCTGACATGGTTCATCATGCCGTCCTCTAAAGATCGCGATGTCGATGTTGTCGACGATCGCCCGCGCGACAAGCCACACCGATCCAAATCCGAGCGCAAAGACAGAGGAGAACGCGACCGAGAGAGGGATAAGGATCGAGACAGAGAAAGAGAACGGGACAAGGACCGGAGAAGAGACAAGGACAGAGACAGAGACAGAGATAGAGACAGGGACAGAGATAGGGACCGCGATAGCGACCGGGACAAGGACTCGCTCTTGTCGTCCGCCCTCCGCTATCAGCACCTTTCCCACCGCTCCTCACGATCTTCCAAGCTGAGGCCGACCGACAGCGATTCGCACTCTCGATCTCACCGACGACACAGGACGAGGGACATGGACAAGGATGAGTTGGATGACAAGTCGGTGGCCTCCAGGTCCATGGTGGACCTGGTGCCGGAGCTAGGGAGGGGCATGGGGAGCGAGCGAGGGAGTACCCCGTACCCGCAACTCAGTAAGGAACACAGCAAGGAGGCCCCCCACAGCAAGGAAGACCTCCCCTCGTCTGGTCCCCGGCGGTCCGACCCGCTCACACCAGATACCACGGATCTTGGCGGCAGCGAGATGCGCCGTTCCAAGTCGGTCGGCTCGCCTCCCATTGCCCGGAAGGCCTCAACAGCACGGCAGGAAACCCGCCAGGATGACCGCCCGCCATCACCCCCCGAGACCGACTTATCAGGCCAAAGAAAGAGGCCCGAGACGCCAGTATCGGTGAAGGAAGCAGACGCTCCGGATACAACGCCCTCGTCCAGGGGGGGCTCCTGGGTTTCGAGGTCGACGTCCAAGCATGAACCCAAGTCGAGAATTTCGAAGGTGTCGAGCCAGGCAACCTTCGTTATGCGGCCGGCCCCCTCGGTCAGGGTCCCTCACCATGAAGACCCTACAGCACCAACGTCGGAGATAACCGACGCATCGACCGTTGAGCCAGGCTCTACTTCAACAGCCCTCCCACGGCGTAACGGGTCCATAGCTCGACCGGCGCCCACTGAGATGGCCGACTACTCGCCCGAATCAGTAATAGATGTCTCCCCGAGGACTCCAACGCACACACCACCCCAATTCCCACCGCCACCACCTATGATGCCGGAAGAGAAGCATCACTACTCAACATCCGACGTTCCCACGCCTTCGGCGACCCCGTTTATGCCAGGCCCTCCTCCTCCCCCTCCGCCCCCGCCCCCGCCTCCTGCGCTCAACCTCCAAGAAGTGCCACGAGTAGACTATCTCATGCAAAACGGTGGCCTGCCACAACCAGTTCCCAGGACTTTCCTGTCCGTCCTACCGCGGCAAAACGGTACGCGGCCGTCCAACCCGCCACTCCAGGGTGCCGATACGCTCTTCGCGCCGTTCGTGAACCTCCTCAACCAATACCAGACAGTACTTTCGGGCCACGGTTCTATCGCCGTGGCTACCGGGCATAGGACCGTCGCCCGGCGACTGCTGGACCGGCTAGAGAACGTCTTCTCTCGCGACCTCTCTCCGGACGGTTGCCCCTGTCTCATGTGTGAGAAGTCGGCTCTGCCTCGCAGGGGACTGGGATGGGGAGAGGTGCTCGAGCGCGTTAGCGGGAGAGTAGAATTACCGCCGTGGCCGCCGTTCGACTTCTCCCTGCTAAGCACAAAGGCGGTTGAGGACCTAGCGGATGTGCCGCCCCGGCCGTCATCACCGGTCAAGATGGATCCGGACATTGCCGAGGAATTTAGGGAACATTACCTCCGCCAGACGAAACGGGTCCGGGCAGCAGTCGACAGGTGGATGACGGGCTGCGAGAAGACAGCCGCGCCGCCACCGCAGGACGTTGACGACGAGACGCTCGCCTTCGCTATTCTCACCAACCTTGAGCAAGAAGACCGGCCCTATTTCAACGCCCTCCTCGCAGGCGCGCGGGAGGTACAAACTGCCGTGCGCGCCCCGACCCCGGTCCGCCGACCCCGCAACGACTTCATCGTCAAGTCCGGGCTGTCGCTGCAGAGACTGTACCGCCTCCACCAGACGCCCCGCGACGCGGAAACGGCCGTGTTCCTCGTCAAGTACCAGACCGTCCACGACCTCCTCTACACCATCTCCGACATCAGCGTCTCCGAGTGGGAGATCCTCACGTCGGGCCGCTTCGACGGCTTCCTCTGGTCGGGCGCCGAAGACGACGGCATCGGCGTCGGCGAGAGCGTCTCGCGCATGGCCACCCCGGCCAGCGGCATCTTCCCGCCGCCCTCGCGCATGATGAGCCCCGCGGGGCGGCCGCTGTCGCGCACCACCACGCCCTTCGGCTCCTTCTCGCGCGGGCCCACGCCCGCCTCCTTCATCAGCGGCGTTTCCGCCGCATCATCCAGCTACCCGTCCCCGCGCGGTGCTGGCGGCGCCGTCACGCACGACGAGGAGGTCGAGGTGGCGACGCTGGCGGAGCTCGAGCGCGAGATCTTCAGCGGCATGGAGGCGCTCGAGGACGCCTTCGAGAAGCTGCACGACCGCGCCATGGCCGTGCGCGACGGCCTGCGCCGCCGCGGCGCCGCCCTCCAGATGAGCCTGCAGCAGCGCCGCGGCGGCGCCATCGGGCCCGGCGGCCGCGGCATCGACGTCCTCCCGCTTTCGGGGTCGAGTGGCGTGTATGACCGCCCTGCTTGGGCGGATGAGGAGAGCGTGGATGGTGCGGATAGCGAGTGGGGCGGGGATGATATTAGTGAGTTGGCGCCGGATGACTCGGCTAGTCAGGTTAGTAGTAATAGGTTGAGGAGGCCGAAGAGGCGGCGGGAGAGGGCTACGCCGGCGCCGATTGAGGAGGAGGATGAGCAGTGAGTAGTGAACGGGGAGATGGGGGTGGGTCGTTGGAGAGGGATCGAAGGGAGTGTGCTAGATGGGATGGGATGGGGTGAGATGGGATGGGATGGGGTGGGATGGGATGGAAATATCACGATGACTTATGGTTAGGCAATGGAATGGAGATGGGCCCTGTGTAGCGCGAGTTTCAATACTGGTTTTCTTTTCATCGGTATACCTGTCCTTGTTGGCGATGACATGGCAAGGCGAGGCGTTTGCGATACCTGCTTTTCTGGGGATGCTCTTGGCTTTTTTACCGTGGACTGGTCTCTACTTAGGTACTGGGGAACTTTGCCCATGGCATAATGAGCACAAGTTGATTTGGGTATAACTATGAGCTTTGGAAAGTTGTGACATGAGTTCCGTCTTGAACATCTCAGAGCAGTGGTTGCCCTGCCGGGGGATGGGGATGGGGGGGTTGAAGTAACTTAAACCGGAATCTGTGTATGTACAGATGTATAAATTGTGTAAGTTCGTAGTGTCCACTGCTTTCTCGTTCCGAAGCCTCCGAACGTGAGATGAGGCTTAAACGTTATTTAAAGATGATCAACATTAACCCTGTCAACACCAAGCGGGTGATTTCCTCGGCGGACCGCCCCGTGGCGGCAGGGGTTAAGACACCAATTGGGGAACCACCCTCCTCCCTTCTTGTCACTGCGGCTGTTGACAAGAGTAACTGACAAGGTCCAGAAAGCCTACCCAACAGAAGCAACAAAGTTCAACACGACATAAAACCAGGTTTAAACCTCCCACAACTAGGGCACGGTTGGTGTCGATGGGGCCATACACTCGTCATGGCCAACCGTGACTCAAACTCGTCTTCGAACATGAGGGCCATCTCGCCAAGCCGATGATCTATTGACCATGGGATCAAGAACACGAGCCACCGGGACCCCGTCCCGGGGAAAATGAACTGGTGGGGTGCTTCACTTCTTCTCAGGAGATCTCAGTTATGGGCTGCTGGAGAGGTTGATTTAGAACTTGTATTCTGTATCCTTTTTCCCAAGTTCGTGGCTTTTAGGCGAGAACAGTGAGAAAGTGCTGGAGAGTTTGTCAAGACTAGGAACCTGGGTGGTCGTTGCCGACTGACCGACGATTCCCACCTCACTCAGACTCAGTGAGATACTTGATATTGGACTGCATCAACACGCACTCAACTCCCGCCACTCACCCCAGCCAGCTAAGGCATCTCCACCGGTCTACCCGCAACCGCAAGCACCAAAACACGTCCGAACCGAACTGATATCAGTCTCTCTAAGCTCTGGTAGACGGGGCCACGCAAGGACCCTCGTCTCCCAGAGAGGCAATCACCCTTCACCCTCTTCACGGCCATCGTGTTCTCACATAACCTTTGTCTGCGTTAACTGACAGACAACGTCCTCCGCATCTTGGCAATGCCACTGCTGGCCGCGTGGCCACTAGGACACCGAACCGCCTGACAGCTACGGTGTGGGGGGTTTATCTTCGACTTAAGCCTCAGAACTTGCTAAGCTCCGGTTCCGTTACCATGGCACCACGGAGCAGCCTCCACCTAGCCATCTCACTCCTACTCTGCTTGCTCCTAGGCACTCCGAGTCAAGCTCGCAAGGTTACTAGGTATGCTCCCTCTCTACGCGGTTCCCACAGCGAAATCAAGACGCTGAAAGATAATAGATCAATGCCGCCTCCGCTGTACACTGGCGACTTCGGTGATTGTCTGGCCGGCGAGAGCCTGGTCGCCCTGACCAGGTTCGATGTCGCCTACGATGCCGGCAACAAGACTCTTGCCTTCCACCTCGACGGCACTAGCAACGTCCAGAATGAGTTTGTTATGTGTAAGCATGCTGAAGACGTTTTACGAATGAGCTATGCTAACGGTCTGCAGTGCACCTATCCATCGACGGATGTAAGGCTGAGTTACACTACCAGTGCCGCATTCAGGGGCTAATGTTTACTTCCCAGATGGCGCAACCCGCTTTAACATGACTGTTGATCCATGCAACCTCAACATGACCAGGTGAGTCCGATACCATCCCGATTGCAGAACGGTGAGGTTGACGCTAACATGCCCAGTCTCTGTCCCCTGAGCTCTGCCCCCATAACAGCCAGCACGGTACTCCCGATGGCTGCCCAGTCGATAGGAGACCTATCCCAATTCCCCTTCAACCTCCCAGACTACGAGGGTTCAGCGAAGCTGCAGATCTACACCAACCCCCCCAACAAAAACGAAATCGGGTGCGTCCAAGCAGCCCTAACAAACGGCAGAACCCTCTCCCACCCCGACGTAATCGCCCCCGTCCTCGGCGCTCTCACGCTAGTAGCCATGCTCGCCTCCTTCCTGACGGCCGCGTACGGCATCAGCGTACCGCACATGCGGATGCACCACGCCCACTCGCTCTCGGTGCTGGTCGTGTTCGAGACCCTGCAGACCGTCTTCTTCTCGGGGGCGCTGGCCGTCGACTGGCCGCCGGTGCTGGTCGCCTGGTGGTCCAACTTTGCCTGGTCTGCGGGTCTCATCTACGCGCCGGCGATGGTGCGGTGCATCAACGCATTCACGGGGGTGGCTGGCGGCGCGGCGGAGGTTGGAAGTGGATTACCGTCGAGGACATATGCGAGAGCCTTGGCCGAAGAGATATCGGACGGGGCTGGCCAGGGGACGGCCTTTAACTCCAGCTTCTTCAGTGATTACACGTGGTCTGGTAGTCCTGTGGCACCTGGCTTACCCCTGCCGGGCACTTGGACAGGTTTCCCTGCGATCTTGTCAGCTATCAACCTCCCTACTGCTGACCTATTCATGGTCGGGTTGATCTGGTTTTTGATAGCTATCGGCTTGGTTGTCTTGGCCATTACAGGCTTCAAGGGCTTGCTTGAGGCCCTGGTCTCTGCGAAAAGGATCGAAGAGGACCGACTGGCTTACTTCCGAGGCCACTGGACTGGTTACCTGGGCCATGCCCTGCAACGGACGCTCATTATCGCCTTCTTCGTTATTATGACGCTCTCGATGTTGCAGTTTACCATGCGGCAAGCCATCGGACCTGTCGCCATTGCCGCGGTAGCCTTTGTACTCGTCTTGTTCGGAATCACTGCCCTGGGTGCGATCGGTTACAAAACTCGCACTCGGGACAGCAAACTCGAAGTCAGTTCCGACCGGGTCGTTTGCTACCACAAGAAGATGCTTGGAGGAATCCCCGGTCTGGCACTCATCTGGGACAGCAAAGTCAAGAGACATAACCTAGAGGTTCGGCCGATATTTATCATCCCGTTTTTCCGAGTAGGTCATGCCGAAGACCCTACCCAGCCTAGCGTTCACCAGGACAAAGCTTTCATCTCAAAGTTCGGCTGGCTCACCGCAAGGTATCGCCGCACGCGATGGTGGTTTCTAGCATACCACCTCGGGTACTTGTTCTGCCGCGCGGCGTTGCTGGGAGGCGGCTGGCAGAGTCCCCACGCGCAGATCTACGGCGTGTTGGTGGTTGACATCCTGAACTTTATCGTTGCTGCCAGCCTGGCCCCATTCGAGGGAGTTCGAAACACGGTTATGGGGGTCTGGATACTCAGCATCTGCAAGATCATCACCACGGGAATCTCCACTGCCTTCCTTCCCGAGTCCAACACCGACCGTTCACAAGCAGCCGCCTTCGGAATCGCCATCATAGTGATCCAGGCCCTGACCGTGGCCGCCTTGTTGATATTAATCATCCTCAGCGCGATCTCCTCCTTCCTATCCCTCATGCGAAACCGCGAGGTCATGGACCCGGACTGGCTGGAACCCGTCCGCGTGCGCTACTTCACCGACATGGAGACGAAGGCGCGCGAGACTCTCTTCGACCACGACACGGAGTCTCCCGCACCCGCACCCGCACCCGCCCCAACACGGGGCTTTTCAGTCCTCTCCATCCAGCGCCGCCCCAAAATCGAGGACGAGGACGAAGAAACGGCCGCCGCCGCCCTCGAGCTCAACCCGACGACCCCCGACGACGACAGCTCCACCGAGAACCAGCTCCGCGCCCGCCGCAGCAGCCGCGGCAGCCACAGCCACAGCCGAGCCGGCAGCGTGAACCCGCGGCTGAGCACGGGGAGCCTGCCACGGGCGGCGCGGCCCTACCGCCAGTCATGGTCGTCGCAGGACTTCAGGGGGCAGCAGCAGCGGCAGTCGTCGCTTGGGTGTGGGCGGCCGGACAGCGAGATCCTCACGGACCGGCTCAGCGGCCTCACGTGTGTGGTGACGGACTGCGACGCGTCGTCGTCGTGGGGGGATTTGGGTGGTGGTGGTGGCGGCGGCGGCGGCGGCAAGCCTCCGCGGAGTAGCAGGGGCAGCTTGGTTGCGCCGTCGTCGGTTAGCAGGTCGTCGAGTGTCTCCTCCGCCTCGTGGAGGCTGTCGAGGGAGAGTTTCTCCTCGCATGGGGATGGGAGGAGGCCGCCGACGGCATTGCCTGAGGCGCCGGAGCCGCCGGAGTGATAGATCGGTTTTGTTGGTTGTTGGTTGTTGTTTGTGTTGAGGGTGTGGTGGGTTGCCTTGTCTTGCTTAGCTCCTGTTAGATCCTGGGTAACTAAGTTGTTGTAATGGGATAATTGGATAATTGGATATGTTTGTTCTTTTCTCCTCAGTTGGGTAAAATGGCCGAGGTATGCGAGGCATGTCTCACTCTTTTGAGAGCCAACATCCTCCATGAACCCGGGTTCGATATCCGGAAAGGGGTTTCCCTCCCGCCGGTCGACGTGAGGAAGAACATGGTTCCTCCGGATCGGCACTAAACCTGGCCTGCGCCGTGCATGTGGGCGTCCGTCCCTGCATTCCCCCCTCGGGGCTCCATTCCCCTCCACAAGCAGCCGTCCCACCCGCCTCAACTCCCGAAACCCCTCCCCTCCTTCCCCCAATCCACCCCCCCTGCTGTGCACCCCACCACCCCAGGGATCAACCCACCCGTTTGGAACTGTCACCTTCCTTGCCTCTCTCTGCCAGGCTCAGCCGTGAACGGACGAGACTTCTCGATCGAGCTAACGTTGATCCTCGTACTGTGTCGTGAGTGAGACCAGTCGAATATCATTTGGGGGCAAATCCGACTGGAGCATCGGCCGGGTGCTATTTTCCTTGTCCGAGTCACTCGTTTAACTTGTTAGTCAAACATACGAATACCGCCAACCCCATCGACGGGATCGTTCTGGAGTCCCACCGTTGCTAGTCCGGTTTACACGTCGAGTTCATCAGCGATTGATCAGGCCTTACAAATATCGACAAATTCCACAGCTATACACACAACAAAACCCTTCATCAGTCTTTAACTTTCACGGCTATTCTCTAGTTTCATTCGCACTCCGTCAGCCAGGCAAGCCACCACAAACAAGCCAAACCGCCACCAACTCTCACCAACAACCAACAACCTCGCCACCGTCACCCACCTCCCACCAACTCCCCAACATACACCACCACCACTACCCAACACCACACAACAATGAGCGGCGAAACCCCCTCCCAACCCCGGCAGACGGGACAGGCGGGCCCGCCGCTGCTGGACCTGACCATCGACAACATCACGCCCAACACGGTGCGCATCAACTCGCAGAGCGCCGACGCCCGCCTGACCTACCTGATGGCGCGCCTGGTCACCCACCTGCACGACTTTGCGCGCGAGACCCGCCTGAGCACGGCCGAGTGGACGGCCGCGATCGAGTTCCTGATTGCGTGCGGGAAGATTTGTAGTGACGTGCGCAATGTATGTGTTTTGTTGTGTGTGTGTGTGTTTGTGTGTTTGGGCTTCCTGGTGGGGAGTGGGGAGGTGGGGTGGGGGAGGTTGTGTTGGGATGGGATGTGATGTGATGTGATGCTGATACACGGCAGGAATTCATCCTCCTCTCGGACGTGCTGGGCCTGTCGCTGCTGGTGGACAACATCAACCACCCGACGCCGGCCGGCGGGACCGAGGGGTCGGTGCTGGGGCCCTTCCACACGCACGACGCGCCGGTGCTGGCCCACGGGGCGAGCATGACGTCGGACCCGGCGGGCGAGCCCATGCTGGCCGTGTGCACGGTCAAGGACGCCCGCGGCCAGCCCGTCCCCGGCGTCACCGTCGACATCTGGGAGACCGACAGCTCGGGCCACTACGACGTCCAGCACGCCGACCGCGACGCCCCCAGCGAGCGCTGCGTCATGGTCACCGACGACCAAGGCCGCTTCTGCTTCCGCGGCCTCAAGCCCGTCAGCTACCCCATCCCCCACGACGGGCCCGTCGGCAGGTTGCTGCAGCTGCTGAAGCGCCACTGCTGGCGGCCCGCCCACGTGCATTTCATGTTTGGCAAGGATGGGTGGGATCGCTTGGTCACGTCAGTCTGGTCCTCTGTTGGTGGTTGTTATGCGCGGTGCATGAAAGCTGACTTTGATTTGATTTTGACAGCGCGCTGTATCTCCGCGGCGATCCCTACGAGACGTCTGATGCCGTCTTCGGTGTCAAGCAGAGCTTGGTGATCGACCTCGACAAGGTCGACGAGGCGACGGCCGAGGAGTACGGCGTCGAGGAGGGGACCTGGCTGCTGAAGCACGACTTCGTGCTGGCGACCCAGGAAGAGACGGAAAAGCTCAGGGACCAGCTGGCCACCGAGGCGCTGCAGAAGCTGGGCCTTAACCTTAAGCTGGTGGATCACCTCCCGGTGCCTGACTTGGACTGAGAAGCCTGAATTTGAAACAGCGTTGATATTACTGCTCACTGCTCGTTTTCAGTGTCTGCTCTCTGATGCCGTAGACGCGGCCAGCTTGATCACGCTCTCCAAGTACCCAGCTGTGCCCCCATACTGTTCCACGATGGCTTGGATGTCCGGGTCTGAGGCGTTGGCGGAACGCTTGCGGCCGATCAGTGCTGCGTTGCGGGTGCTTGGGATCCGCAACATCTCCTGCTCGACGTCCCAGCCGCAGTCCGTTGCAATGCCTTCCACCCACGCAACTAGCGACGAGTACGCCGAGTCCGCCTTGGTTTTGTCCTTGGGCGCTGGCGCACGGTATCTCTCCCCGGCGAGGTTGTGACTACAGCAGGGGATTGCAATGAAAGGACACTCCGAGATGGCCGCGATGATGGGCGTCCACGGCGTGAGCTCGTCGGCATGGTTGGAGATGATAAAGGTGCCTTTGGGAAAGCGCCCGTCATGGATGCGATTCTCATTAAAATCCTCGCCCGAGAGCCTAGAAAGCCCATTTCTGCTGACCGGAGGCGGTAGCAAGACGAGTTCCCGCAGAGTGTCCTCTTCACCCGCGGGGGTGTCCAGCTTGGTGTTGTATGTAGCCCACGACTTGCGGGAGCGGGCATCGAAGCCCCATCCCACAAAACCTTCTTGGTTCAAGATGTAAACCAAGAGACCGTTGCCACAGCCAATGTCAACAAAACCAGGAAAGGGCCCTCGGCCGTACATGTCGGCCCACAGCTCGACCAGAAAGGCCGCGATGCAGAGATCCTCAAAGACATGCTTCTCGGGATCGGTGCTCTCGGCCCAGCTCTCGATCAGGCCGCGCGCATACTTCTGCTTGAGGCGGGTGTAGGTATCCTGCACGCGCGCCTGGGGCAGCAGCTGGTCGTGGTGCACCCTCTTCTGGTAGCCCTCGAGCCGGCCTTTGCCGTGCTTGTGGATGACCTCGAGCAGGCGCAGGGCGGTCCTCGTGAGCCGCACAACAGAACGGTCTTCTTGGCTGAAGAAGAGGTACGAGATGGAGATGCACCCGCGGGACTCCGCGGCGTCCCACTCGTGCAGGAAGGCTATACCCCGAACTATCGGGTGATAGAAGGGCATCTCGGACGCTACCGAGACATGTGGAAGATAGACAACGAGAGCTTTCTCAACGGAAGCCACATCACCCTCGGAGCTGGGGACGCTCTCATAGATGAGGCATGTTTGGTCCAGGGGGTTGTCGCGGAGCGTGTTCCTGGGGATGAGTCTTCGGACGATGCATCGTTGGAGCCCGAAGCCGACAAACGAAGGATTGGGGGTGTTGAAAGTGAACGTGTCCCTGGCTTCGGATGGTGCGGCGCATTCCTGAGGCTCGGCTGAGTCATAAAGGATATCGGCGCGGAAGAGCCAGGAGGAGTTGATGTTCGGGTTTTGGATCAGGTTGACCAAGACATCGCCAAACATAGCTGGACCGAATTCGCATGGGTGGCGGAATAAGGGTCGCCAGTTGGCCGTTTCCTCTTCATGTGCACTCGTCGCACTTTCATTGCAACTCGCCTTCTCGACAACGATGGCCGGGCTGTCGACCGCCAGCTCTTCCGGCTCGAACCCCATTCTTCGGGTTCGGGATCTGCGATGGGCCGCAAGAGGCGAAATCGGGGCCACGATGGCGACGGCCAGGGCGATGCAAGGGGCAAAAACGGGTTGTGGTGGGGTGTCTCGAATGCGGTACCTGGTAATTCGATACCGCGCGATACACGGCTTCAAGGTCATTGCATTTATCTACGGAGACACGCAGGTACCTTTCAAGAGTCTTTAATTCACGTGCACTTAGCAATATACTCATTGACTCATCCAACCCTTCGAGAATTTCAAAAGCATACACAGTGTTTCTCGGCCGTGGGATAAGCGCGAGTGCAAAGACCATGTTCAATGTCAGGGTGAACTGCCGGTATTGTAACGTAACTGAGCCCCGGATCTCGCTGACTCCCCGCTGCCGGGGCCATGGGCTCCGGCCCGTGGTCTCTGGCCCGCTCTGGCCGATATTTCATGTCTGGAAGGGGACCTGATAAACATATTGAGTCACAGTGAGGAAATATGGGCAGGAAAGAGTAATGATGCAGCCAAATGAGCTGCAAGATAAGCGTTGAACCCTCGCAGCAGGCGCCGTTATTATTAGGCACCTCGCTATCAATGACAGTACACCGCTATTAAATGACAACCGAGCACATCGCTGTCAAATGACAAGCACACAGGTATCCATGACAAGGAGAAAGCACAACCTGAGGATGGCCACCCGAACGTCAGGTGCGCTGTAGCCGGGTGACGCACTTTTTTGGCGGGTACCTCCAAGGTACTGAAGAGGCAGCCAAAGGCGCATTCTGATGGGAATGCTCGGATGGAAGACTCGACCGGTACCGCCACCGAAGATCAGCAGTCTGAGTGGTCACTCGTTCATGCCTCAGGCTGTGCTTGGCCTTTTTGAACAATCAGCCCCCCAAAGGACCCCACATATCCTGGTCTTCCCCCTCACCTCTTGTTTTCCACCGACTTCCCTCTTCCAACCACTTTGCCATCCACAACAAGCATCACTTTCTGAGCAACCGAAGCTTAAAAGGACCCCGTCTCCCTCCGCAACCTTTCTCAAACTACCACCGACTCAACAATCAACACATCCGATTAGCGAGACACTACTACAGTCGTCGGTCGCTCACTCCCACCTTCAAATACAAACCTTCTCCCAAGTTCACCCCAAAAACTCCGAGTTTATGTCAGGCGAAACCGAGATCCAGAATCTCAAGAGCCGCGGTACGTGATATCAATCTCGTTTTCCGTGAACGCGTCGTTCTTTGCTGTTGCGGTTGCAACGGCCTTGACGACGTGACACTGTCGATGGATACGGTGGCCCTGGTGGAACCAAACACTCCCATTTCGCCACGACGACATCGACTCAGCTTCGAGCGGGCCCGTTCACCCCAGACACACAATCGCTGATCCTGCTTCCTCCTTAGACCCCTTCGCCGAAGCCGACGAGGACTCGGGACAGACCACTCAAACCCAAGAATATATCCATATTCGCATTCAGCGTATGTTGCTCCCGATACCCCACCGCCGCCCTGCTGTCGCGTGACTATCGGCTCAACGCCACGATCAACGGCAGTATCAGAAGGCTCGAGACTGACAAGTGTTCCACAGAGCGTAATGGACGTAAGACCTTGACCACCGTTCAAGGTATACCCGCCAAGTTCGACCGCAAGAAGATTCTCAAGGTCATCAAGAAAGAGTTCGGTATGTTTCGCAGCCCAACCCGACGGTTGAATGTTTAGACGCTAACCGCCGCTCAGCCTGCAATGGCACCATCATCAGCGACACCGAGTCCAAGGGCCTGGGAGAGGTGATCCAGCTCCAGGGCGACCAGCGCCTCAAGATCAAAGACTTCCTCGTTAACGAGGACGCCGGTCTCGGTCTCGACGAGAAGACCATCAAGGTACGCGTCATCGATCGAACCCACCTTTGTTTACGAAGTCACGCTAACCGCTCAATAGATCCACGGCTTCTAAACGGGCATGTCTGTTGTGCCGCTGCTCAGCGGCCCGGGACCCTAAGTGGGACGCCCGGGGCGGGGATTCACTCACAGAGGTGAAGCTTATAGATCGATATCTGAGCGATGAGAGGGCCGATTATTAGGGTCGCGCGGCACACACATGATACCCGGAAGCTGGAAGACAGGCTTCCTCTTCCCTAACCGGAGAGCACGTCGAGTGGGATATTTTTTTGGTGCTTCGGGCCATTTGCTCAATTGTCGATCCTTCGGCTCTAGTTGACGGGACGGCCGCGGCCTGCATGTCCTTCGTTGAGCCTCTGCAGGCCTCGTACTTTTAGGCAATGGAATTCGTTGACGACTTTTGGGCCCACGGTATTCACATTGATTCTGCTTGTTTGTCATACACCTTGGTGGCCTACGTACAGAATGTGTTCCGCTCATCGTAACCCCTAACTTGCTAAATAGTTTGTGCTTCAATCGTGACATGTCGTGCGAGATGCTCATAATCCCAGAAATAAATCACAGTGGCCTTGGGACACACCAACGCCGAGAGAACGCCTATAACCACCCCAGAAAACAACAACGCTCAGAGCTCTCTCGCGATATCGCCGTACTCCATGGTGCGGATGGCCAGCCTGCCGGCCTCGTGGGCCACCCGCCGGACAAGGTTGAGCAGCGGGATGTCGGGGTAGTCGGACCGGTTCGAGTCCAGCTGCACCAGGAGCGCCACCATGCTGACGAAGCTGGCGATGGAAAACACGCTGATCGACATGGACGTCTCCTTGCGGATGTTGATCTTGCGCTGCGTGATGTGATACAGTACCGTCAAGGTCTGTTTTTTGGGGGGATGAATAAGTCAGCAGTCAGTTCGGTTGTTTTCACACGCTGGCTAGAGTGGGAGGTAGGGGGGGTGGTGGCTACGCACCGTGGAGATGACGATCCAGGCCGGGAGGATCAGCCGCTGGTCTTCGAACCCGCCCGTCAGGTGCAGCACCCACGACGTCAGGTACCCGTTGATGGCGTCTACTGTTAAGAGTCGCACGATGGTCGCCTGCGGCGTGTAGTGCAGCAGCCACCGCGACATCAGGCAGTCGGTGAAGAAGAAGGAGAGGTAGCCGGATGCGCAGCACTGTTGTTGGTTGGTTGACGGGTTAGTTTGGTTGGGGTGGTCGTGGGGTTGGGGGTGCGGTAGGGAGAGAACACACCCATATCGTCGCCAGCAGCGCCTCGGTCAGCCGCAGCCGCGCTTCAAACCCCGGGTCGTAGCCTGATGTTGGAGAGGAGGTTCCCCCAGACCCTCCAGTTCCGCGGCCGAGCTTGTTCAGTGTGCCGCCGTCGAGGACCCGGTCGAGGTACATGAGGTGGAGCATGGCGAGGAGTCGGAGGGCGTTGGGCAGGCCGAACAGCACGCCCGGAGCGATCGAGGCCAGGCGGCAGAGGAAGAGGGCGGGGTACCATTTCTTGGACACGCCCAGCGCCACGGCAACTCGGGGTTGGAGGAGGGTCGACCGTACGGGGCCGGGGCCGGCGGTTTGTTCTGATAGTGCGAGCGTGGGTGTGGCTGCGCTGCTCCCGGCGCCGAAGCCGGGGCCTAGGGCGTGGGCGGCATGGTTGGAGCCGGGTCTGACGGCCAGGGCGGCTGGAGCCGTGGCCGCAGCGGAGCCCCGGGCGCGGGACTCGGAAGGGGGGCTTTTCGCAGTGGTGTGGGTGCCGTGGTGGGTGCTGCTGTGTCGATTATCCGCCCGCGGCTGGTGCGCGGTTGGCTTTGCGCGGTTGTACATCAAGACTCGTCTCCTCACCCATGGAGCACGGAATCCCAATGGCTGCCCAAGACGGTCAAGGAAAGAAGAAGGAGGGGAAGTGTTGTTGATAAGGACCTAGGTACGCCGAGACGGCGAACTCGGGGCCGGTTGATGAAATGAGCGGTGCGCTCTGCAGGTGGATGGATGGCTTGCTAGGTGGCATGCTGCTGCTGGCGGGACGGACCCATCTGGCAAGGGTGCTTCTTGCGGCTCCTGCCTTTGCGGGGACTTCCCTGATAGCGCACCCCTGGACGCAAATCACAATGCTTATTGGTTAGACTGCTGTACAATGCCCCGCAATGCCCTTGCCGGCCCATTGGGAATTTTTTGAAGCTTCGCTCGGTTCGTGATGAGCTGTTGCACGTCCCGCTAGCTACGACCACGTCCACGACGAATACTGCCCCGACGGCGCATGCTCGACAGGGGCTCCCCACGCCGGCGACAGGATCACGAGTAACGGGTGACGGAGGTGGCGATTGAATTGGGCAACCATGTCGTCGTCAAGGTTGGGTCTGCGTGCCCGGGAGGTGCTCTCCGTAAGGGTGACGGGGTCGGCCAGCACAATACCGCTTCTCACTAGCCGGCCAAGTTTCCAAGCGAGGGGATTGCCGCTGGCGTGGACTTCATCCTTCTCCACGTCCCAGGCGAGGCCAAATAGATCCGCCCGAGAAGCCATGATGGGTAGCATGCCTCGAGTTGAGCAGCGAGGTTCGCCCTCCGTCGAATCACACCAAAAAATGCGGAATGGTGGCATGAACGAAGCCATGGCGGAGACCATCTCAATGATCCTACCAGGTGCGTAGTTCCGCCTCCAGTTCTTCCGAAGAGTAAAAGGGCAAAACAATGGCTGACTGGACATGCCCTCGATAGGGACATTCATCCTTCCTCCTCTATCACAATTTCCTAAACCACTAGGACAAAAGTTCCGGCTCCTAGGAAGTTGGATTGTTGCCAAAGTGCAAGAGGTCGTCCTCAATACGTCAGTTCGGTGGTCTTCCAAGCCAGGCATCTTCAAGCGGCCCGCCCTCAAGTACAAAAAGTCGACCCTCGTCCCCACTGCGAAAGCACTTCATCGCTCCATGCTCCAAGCTCTGGCTACTGGCGACAGACTCGCCATAAATAAGACCTGCGCGAGGAAGCTCGGGGTTTCCCTGCTCGTGAACATCGATGCCCGCCCCCGAGGACGCCGCTACAGCTGGGAGCTGGTAGAGTACACCAACAAGCTATTCTACCCGACCATCAAGTCGCACAAGCTGTCGCCCCTTGGCCGCGAGCGCGATGCTCCGATCCTCCGGCAGATGATAGTGGCCATCTCCAGCAAGCAGCGGAAGGGTGTGTACGACGTCGAGGGCCGAGTGATCCCGGGGAGCGAGAAGGAGATGGACGTGGTGGAGCATGTGGCGGTCTCGTGCGTAATAGACCCGAAGAACGGCTATGCGCAACAAGACTGGCGCGTCATTGGCACCACCACGCCCACCACGCTGGGGTCGTGGGCTAAGGACAAGGAGATCATGAAGATGATATTACAACAATGAGGCCCGTGTCCCTAGAGAGCCAGCAGGCAACGAGCCCCGGTGGTGAACGGGAGGGTGGTGTATGATGGCCACAGCGATGTACAAAACATGTACGTAGTAAAAGAGCGAGAACGCAGCATCCCATGTAAAAACAACTCCAAATGTAATCTGCAAGCATTGACACATATTGACACAGAAGCTTCGTAGCTGGAACGCGGGATTACTTGATCTTGAAAAAAGCTGGCTCGGCGATTACGTACAAGGACACCTCCCGACTACATGAACAGCATCTCCGTCAGATGCGCGTCATCCGGTCCCCAATACAAACTACCAACTAACCCCGCTACATCATTAGCGTTCCTCACATCACCTTGTAGCGAGGCGGTCTTCCCACTCATGGCGATTGCCATAGAAAGTACCTGCGAATGGAAGTCTCTCAGCTCCTCCTTCGATAACCTGCCGGGCTTGATCATGGCCTCCAAATCACGGATGCCGGGTATGTTCGAGGACGTTGGGTTGGCAGAGAACTCTCGGTCGGGGGACAGCACCCAGTCAAGAGCATTGCTGATATCTCTGACAGCAGCTAGTTTCCCCTCTTGCTCGAGTAGTGTGTTCATGAGGTTTATTTCCACGTGCCGAACATCAACCCGCCGCAGTTCCGCTTCGAGAGCTTGGATCTCCTTCACTAGGTCGAGCTCGGTCTCGTACATGGTGTCAACGTCGATGCACAGCTTTGATGCCTTTTCAAATAACTTAGTCACGAACAAGGTGGCTGCGGGCTGCCATTGTCTCTCGGCTTCGCTGAGTTCGTTGGCACAAAGCTGGAGGCGGGTAATCGCCAGGAGGGCGTCCTCCCGCGTCACTCTGGTCTCCGAGCCGTTTTCGAGCGGTGTCGTCATGGCGCCAACTGTTCTTGTAAATTGTGAAGGGTAGGGAAAGCCGAAGCAGAAGTCAGTCAACAGGGATCACATCCATATTTATTCAGAGCTTATAGGTTATCTGTTCTTCGATATAGCAAAGTGTCATGTCCAAGGTGGCTATAATCATCATTGTTCTGCATGAGGCACGAGAAACACACAAAAACAACACTTGTTTCAAACAAGCCTGCGAATTGGGGTGGGGGTTCACCACAAAGGGTAACAGGTGGGATGTACTACGAGAACTCGTATTTCCCGAACAACCTTTTGCCAACAAGTCATGCCGAGGTTATTGGCCACCTTTGTAACAACACAGTTACGGCTGCTCGCTAATGTACGATGGCCTCCCCGTTGGTGTCTCCAAAAAGACCCCTATCCCCTCACCACCACTGTTCCGTCTAGAAGAACTTGCCAGTAGACTTTGCAATACCGGGAGCGTCAGAAGAGCTCTCAATATCATCGCGAAGTCCATCATCCCTGTCACCCTCGAAATCGTCCAGCTGCGGCCCACCGAACTCAACCGGGCGGTCAAGACCATCGAACCTTTCCCCCTTAGCCCGGGCCCGGACGTACTGAATCCCAAGCCGCAGGACCAGCGCACCAAACCCCCAGAGGATGCCGCCCACAGGCGCCGCCACGAAGGCGCCAAAGACACCCCAGTCGGCAGTGTACAGCCCCTGCTGCAGCAGCATCAACTCGGCGCCCAGCTGCGCATCCCCGTAGTAAACCGTGCCGAACAAGAACACCGTGAAGAGCCCGCCCAGCCCACCGACCACCACCTCAAACCCCCTCCACCAGTAGCACTTATCCGACAGCCCAATAACCAACACCGGAATGGTCGCCGCGGAGACCAAGTCAGAAATCAGATAGATCTGCAAGATAGACGGCGCGCGAATGGCAATGACCACGACCGGGATCATGACCAACACCACACCCGCCCGAATCCACCAGATATTCAACTTATTCCTGAACAGATCATTCGACGCAGACGTAACCATGGCCGACTGGAAGGAATCAAAGGCCGCGGTGGAGAGGGTGACGGCCATGACGACGACGACGCCGACGACCCAGTTGGGCAGCTGCATGAGCAGGGCGAAGAAGGCGACGGAGCCGTCGACGGGCGCCTCCTCGGTACCCGGCCACAGGCCCGCCCACGCCGCGACCAGGCCCGTCGAGCCGACTAGGGTTACGATCGCCAGCACGCCGACCACGGCGCCCGAGATGCCCAGCCAGAGGTCCCGGTCGGTTTTGGAGGCGAAGGTGCGGAGCCAGAAGTGGGACTGGAGGGGGGGTTAGTTGGGTTGGTTAGTTGGTTACTCGGGTGGGATGAGAAAGGGGGGGGAAGGAGGAGGGGATGACGTACCAGGAAGAAGTCGTTGGTTAGGATGGCGACGGGGAGGATATAGAGGAGTTGCCATCCGAGGAGGCTGGGCTTGGTCAGGCCGGAGGACTCGATCAGGCTGGTGTCGATCTTGGTCTCGACGCCGATGGTGATGGTGGCGATGAGGATCAGACCCATGACCATTGCTCCTTGGATGTTGTCCGTGAAGAAGGAAACCTTGAACCCTCCAACGGCTTTTCTCAATTGGTTAGCTGATATCCCTACGCGAAATCAGGTGGTGGTTGAACGTACAGGTGTAGATGGTCGTGACGATACATTCCACGATCAAGACAGGCAGCCCGTCAATCCCCGTTAGGAGGTTGACCACCTGGCCGATGGCAGACAGCTCCGAGATCATGTACAAAAATAGCGTGACCAGTGACATGAAGCTGAGATACAGGGCCGCGACGGTCCCGTACCGCTGCCTGGTCCACTCCGTGAGGACGAACCCCTGAGGGCATTTGCGGCGGATAATGGGGCCCAGCGCAGCGAAGATCAGCAAGGGCAGAGCCGAAGATAGGGCGTAAACAATCACGCCCTGGACGCCAGCCAGCGTCGCAAGCTGGGGGTAAGCGAAGAGAATGCCGGATCCAAGGGCTGCGGAGATTAGTATGTCATCATAGGGGTTGAAAGGGGGAAAGGGGGGGATATCAGAGCGGCAGCACGTTTCCCACGCAAGCATTAACTTGATCGAGTATCACGGTACAATCTCAGCTTCGTATCCGCGAGACGCCAGCTCTCCTCTGCTCGCCGCTCTGCTTCGCCGTCGTAGACAGTCGGAGCCAGCTAGCGAGGGAGGTTGGAGCCAGCGAACACGCTTCAACTCAGCGCCCGTAGTGAGCCGCAGTCTTCGCACCCTCTAAGCAGCATTTCCAAGCTCTCCGAGTCGCCAGAGACGAACTTGGAAAGACATCGGGGACGCGGAAAAGAGGGGGCGATGACTTGGTGAGGTTTGGGTAACGAACCTATGGTCAGCCCGTGGCTTTCCTCGTCGTGTGATGCCGCTGTTTAACCGCCACTCCTCGGCGCCTTTCCTCGACCAAAGTTTATCGTGCAGCGCTGCCTGTCTGCCGACGTGCTTTTCTCGGTTGTTTCGTTGCTACCGCTCTAATTTCGGAACGGCCCGTCGACGGGCGCTCCCGACCGCATTGCTCACTCACCGGACGCAATGAAGTTCAGGGCGAGCGGCAGGGCTATCAACAATAGCGGTTAGTTTCCATCCCTTCATGGGGGATCAGCCGGACGCGGAAAGAGTGTTTCTTCTCGTTTTCCCGCCCCGCCGGGGGAGATGGATATCCTAACCCGTCTGAGTTCTGTTGGCAGCCAGGAACTCGCCCTTGCTCTGGTTCCTGAACTTCCAGGCAACGCCTGTCCCCAATATCCTGCGCAATACGTTAGCGGGGAGGTCTCACACGCTCGGCTCTGGTGGGACTCCAGGAGCAAATTCTCAGTTTTAATCTCACAAAAATACGCCATATGTCACGTAGACGAGGGCGTTGGACGCCTCGAAGGACGGTTGTCCCATGCTTGATGGTGTTGATGCTGCTGATGCTTATAATACAACGAGAAACGTTGATGTTCGATCCTGAGCCCGGTGCTCTTTTCTCTCAATGAAGTAGCCTCGAATGGGAACAGAGACGGAACCCCAATCAAAGTGGGAGCTGCGGCTTTTGAAGGCCGCCTGCGACCTTCCCTTCTCCAACCCACTGCCTCGGGTTCTGCACCGAACTTTTCACAGGCTCTGACCAATGGATTCAGGGCCAGACACCAGTTCCAGGAGGCTAAACCATGCAGAGGGAAGGTCCGAAGCCCGCTGCAGGTGATTGCGCGTGGGGGTGTGGGCAGCAGAGGGTGGCGGGCCCACTGTCTTTGGCAGAATTGGGTGGTGCCAAGCTGTTGTTGAGGGGCCTGGCCCGCAGACACCCGCAGCAACAAACCCACCTTCGTTGTTACTCTGTTTCTCTCTCCTTACTCATCAACACCACCACCAGAAGCAAAGCATCACCAATCGAACGAAAACATGGAATGAAATTGCAGTTGAATTTTGTCTCATACCTCTGTGGAGTGATATAGCAACATCAGGAAGCCATATCGAGTCATCTCAACGTTAGATACATCTCGATACCCATAACTCTCCCGCGCTACTCCCAAATTAACGAGGATGTGACAGTTCCCAAACTCTTGGAAACAAAAGAGACCCAGATAAGAAAAGGTGGTTCCCTGGTAGCTTTACCTGGCGTCGGCGGTGCCACTCGCCCGCCATGTTCTGCGCCACGGAACCGATAAACTGACAAAGAGATTTTCCTCTACACACCAACGCCTCGCTCATGAGAACCCGTCGTCGTCCAGGCGCCATGCGCCAAATTAAGTCTAAATAGACTCTTGAACTCCGCAACCAGGGCAAAAGAGAGAGAGACGCCAGGAAACAAGGATGCCGAAGCACCATGACTTTCCTCATCAAGTCATGAATCGCCCAAGGTCGTCGCTGGACCGAGCAGACAAGAGTCGTGAAAGTCGTAATCGCCCGTTACAGGCGGAGTCGGAGACTGGTCAGGTCTCCGTCGATAAGTTTTGGTTTCCATCCCAAAGATGAGATGCATGACCGACCGAGATTAGACAGCAGGGCCTTGCCTGCCGACGAAAGAAAACCGAAATGGGAAAGATGCAGATGGTGAACCGAGCGATGGAAGGAACGGATGCTGAGTACGTCTGACAGTATAAGATGACATAGGAGAGGAGAAGAAGATGTCGATGCGTCTTCTCCTAAGCGCCGCCGTGGAAGTAGTGGTTCTCACGGGGACCACCGCGGGTGGGGGTCTCGGTCGGCGCGGCCGGCGCGTTGGTGGCGCCGACGGGCGGGGTGTAGCCCCAGAAAGCGTGGCCGGTGACGGGGTCCAGGGCGTAGGACATGCCGGGCCACAAGCCGCCCGCGTAGCTGTACGGGTTGGGCGCGAAGGGGGTGGCGGATGGCGTCACGGGGAGGCCGCTGGCGCCAAGCAGCGGCTGCCCGCCGGCCGGAGCAGCGGGGCTCGGCGCGGGGTAGCCGAAGGGGGCGAACGACGGGCCGGCGCCGGGGTGGTTGTAGCCCTGATGGGCGGGAGGGGCCGACGTCTCTTTCCTAGCAGAGAAGCGACCGCCGGAAGGCATGGGCGACCTGCCGGCGGCGGCGGCAGCGGCGGCTGTTCTTGGCGTCTTGGGCGTGGTTGACGACCTGGTCGAAAACGCCTGAGACTTCACACGGCGGGGAGTGCCATGATGCTTGAAGACCTTCCGCTCAACTTTGATGGCGTTGCCGCGGAAGAAAGTGTCATGCTATCGGCCGCAGTTAGCACCAATTTGACCAGCCAGTGGTTGATGAGCGAAACTTACAAAGTTCTGGACCGCTTCGTCCGGAGTGTCAGCCCTGGCGAACTCGACGAACGCGAAAGCCCGGGTGATGTGGCCTGCATGTTGGTTAGTACCTTAACCGAATTTCTTGTCAAAGAGCAATGAATTGACCATGATAGTTGGGACGCGCAATAACGTTGGCGTCCAGGATTTCGCCGACGGGGGAGAAGAGATTAATAATCTCTTGCTTCTGGGTGTCGACGGGCAGATTTCCGATAAAGACAGAACGACGGTCCACATCGTACTTGCGGAGGAATTCCTCGTCGGCGTCGGTGCGCGAGATAAAGTTCTTCTTCTTCATATCAAAGGCATCGATGCAGTAACCGTCGTGCTGGCGGACGGCCTGTGGGAAAACGTCAGTACGCAAACGACATGGTCTGATGTGGCACCGGGCGATCTGAGGCTTACCGTGTTGAGATCGCGCTTGGGATCAAACCTGGCGAACTCGACGAGAATAGCCGTGGGGATGTCCATGGCTGTGCACATTTGGGCGCTGAGCGGCTCGCACTTGCTGAGCTCGCCATACGGCTCCACGATCTCCCGGGCAGTGTCGGTGGTGACCTCGTCACCGTTGCGGCTGTAGATGACGAAGGTCCCTAGGTCTTGATCAACGAAGGCTCTTTGAGCGACGAGGGAATGCGACACTTACGGTTGGCCTTGACCATCTCGGTGCGGCAGGGACGGCCGAGGATCATGATGCCTCTTCCCTCGTCTATGGCGACCTTGGCGTCCTCGTCATTCTGCTGAATGTTAGAAACCTGAATTTCATAGGATGATCGCTAGTAATTCACAGTATACTGGGCGAAGGCATAGGGCATCCCAGTGACGCCTCCCTTGACCTCACGACGGATCTTGACGAAGACGGTGCCGAACTGGCTGAACTCGCGAGTGACCGCGGCCTCGAGGGCGTGGTCGTTTTTGGACTCGGGCAGACTGGTGAGTTTAATCGTTAGACTTGTTCCTTGGTTGGGAGTGAAAATGTAAACAAAACAAACTTACTTGGCAACAAACACGCAAGCGCTGGGAGGGTAGATGCCCTGGGCATCAATACCGCCGACGTCCTGGCGAGAGGAAAAACTGCGGAGGGGGCGCTGGCTAGGCGTCAACGACATGGTGTGCGGCGTGGTCACGGAACGAGTCAGGCGGCGCTCCTCTGCCTCGGTTCCGGGAATGTTGACGGCTTGGCCTTCATCGAAGGAGGTCATGACCGGAGTGGCGAAGGCCCGAACAGGCTTCGCGGGGGCCTTCCCGGTGGGCGACTCGAAAATGTCGCCGCTCGGCGTGTTGCCAACCTGGAAAGGAGACGAGCTAAAGCGAGCAAAAGTCAACAGATGTCCACCCGGGTGCCAAAATAAGGGTGTCTTACGTTGTACCGCGGTCAGAACCGGCAGACCCAGTGCTTGAAGCAATGCTCATATGGCTGATCTCTTCGGTGACGGAGGAGAACCTTATTCATGTCAGCGAGTGAAGCAGAGAAGCTTTCGTGGTCCAAGGGCAACTTACCGAACACGGGGAGGAGAGTCGTCCAGGCTGGCAGCGGACAGACGGGCGCCAGCTACGAGAGTGTCAGCGTTGCCAATGTCGGCTGAAACGTCAATAAGCGAAGCACCCCATTGGGAACACCGTCAGGTCTCGCACTGCCCTCGCGGTCGATGCCGTCAAAACAAGTGTTCCAGCTCACAGCGCCCATCTCATGCCACATATCATGAGGCGGGATGAGCGAGCCGCTGCAATGGAACTTGCAGGATACCCATCGATCGGGGAAATGAGGGTATTGGCAACACATTACCAACAAAAGGAGTTGGTCACTTACCGTCGTCGGAATCCGAGGAGCCGCTCGATGAAGCGTCGCTAAGGCTAAAGGAGCGGACACGACGAAGCTTTCCGGCAGAACCGCCAACCCTGTTTGCTCTAAGCAGGCCAGACATTGTTGCTGGCGATAAATTGATCGATTGATGGTCAAGTCGAAGGTTGAGATGCTTTCCGCGAGGGAGAGAATAATTGTTGGTTAAGGGCGAAGGATGCTCTTAAGAACTGTGAGAGCGGAGAAATGTAAGATGGGAAACCTGCTACTCTGGTGAGCCACGTCTTCCTGCCTTGCGGTAATGGAAAACCGGTGGTTAGTTTGGGTCGGTGGTCGACGCCAAACGCCAAACGCCAAACGCGAAACGCGAGATGGGGTCACGGGATGGGGCGTGATGCCTTTGATCCAACCACCACCGACCCTCAAGAAAGGCGGCGAGATGATGGAGAGAAAAGCGGGAATGGGTAAAGGAGTGGGAGGAGGGTACTGGGGAGAAGATGGTCTTACTGGTGACGGTGAACTGGATCGAGGACCGATGTTCTTGACTCGGTTCGGGGTTGAAAGGGGATTGTGTGGTGGTTTGGGTAGAAAGGGGAGAGGAAGTGGAGGAGGGGAGGGTGATTTATGTTTAGGAAAGGGAGGAAGGTGCAAGCAGGTGATCTGGTTGGTTTGTGAGGCTTGCGATGCCTTGCGACCTCGTGTTTCAGGCCGTCAACCACCAACTCTTGGGGAAGTTGGCCAACACTCTGAGACACTTGTCTCTTTGTAAAGAGGATCACGATCAAGGGAAATGCAAAGGGTGTGGGGGAGTGCTGCGCCCACCTCTGGGTTCAGTTTGGAAGCGTTCCAACGAGGCTGGTGTCGTGTCGTGTCGTGGTGGAGGGGAGAAGAGAAAGAAGATGGGGAATTTCCTCTGGTATTTGTGCCCATGAGAGGAATTAGGGCGTGTGATCAAGATCAAAGCCCATATCAGCCTGGGAGAACAGAAGCTGCGAATGAGGAAAATGACCTCCCGGTGACCTCCGTGTGAGCGGCGGCGAATAACGGAGCAGGATCAAGGTCGGGGGGCCGATTGTCGTTAATTTTCGGAGACTAATTTCGGCGCTAGGCACGGCACATCGGCCCCGTTTAGGGCTAATTCCAGCCGGTGACGACAATAGCATGGCCGGGCTGCTTCGCCTGCGTTGGCCCTCTTTCTAGTCTCGAGTTTAGACATTTGGATATATGGACTGAGGGCGTTCAGGGAGTGATCCGTGCGTTATTCGTTACTACCTATTTGTCTATGGACATTGTTAGGGTGTGCTAAAAATAGGAAAAGCTATTGCTGGTCTGTCAACTTGTGGGCACCTTGTGACCATAGCGTTAGGTTGAGTGAGGACGGAAGCACTGGGCACTGGTCGTTGGGGCGGTGTTGGGAGAACTAGTCACAAATATCAACTTCCTCCGTGGCCTGGTAAGAGCAAGCATTTGTGGAGAGTGAGTGGACCGTTCAAGCATACCTAATAGGGCTTGTTTGTGAGTCAAAGATCGCTTGAAGAGTGCTACCAAGTAAAGTAAAGGGATATGAGAAGCTTCATAACTCTCATGAATGTAAATCTGGGCACAATCAGAGCACATTCCTTGTTTACGTGGTGCAACTAGCTAGGTGAAGCCGGCTTGGAGGGCAATGAACTCGAGCCCAAGTCTTGAGTTGCTGAAACTATCTTATACTAGGCTCAACCTGAAGACGAGGATGTGTTCAAATTGTCTGATAATCTCCAGGAGACCAACACTAGAGTTGACCTTACAGAATCATAACTTGAGGTGACATTTAAAAACCTAGCAAGGAGGGTTTATTTGGCCATGAAGGGCTGATGAAAGGGTAGGCTTCTAGAAAGTATGGAATAATTAGTGGAATAACACAATGAACCCAGAAATATCTCAGAATCACAACCTAGAACCATGCTTCCTCTAAGCAATGATCTGCTGGACTGGATATGATATGGTTCACTTGAAAGATAATCGATAGATGTGCCGTTGTTAGAGCCTGTCACGACTTACACGACACGAGATATGGCCCGTGCACGACATAGATTTGGAGGTTCTGTCACAGGTGAGTGGGAATTATAGGACATTTTCCCCTAAGCTTCTAAACCCACGAGTGAATGTCACTTTCTATAGTGTACCTGATGGGAGTAAAAAACTGCCTTAGGTCTAGGCGTGTCCTTGTAGTGTGTCAAATCATTGTGAACTTTTCTGCATAATGACCCTGAGAAACCGGGCAAGTTCAAGAAATCAGTACCTATTCCATGCTTTATCAATTCCAATAAAATCTACCCCCTATGTGTAATGACAGTATTTCAAGTCTGAGCCTGATATTTTGGTGACCAGACTGTTTATTCTCGAAGGTTGAAAGAAGCACGTGGTTGAGCCCCCTCGAACCCACAATTCCTCTGTAGCTGTGGTGGGGATACACCCCTGTCGTGAATGTTGCTGGTTGCTTGATGACGACGTTCTCGAAAATCTACACAAGCTTCACCAGGACGAAATTGCATTGGACGGACTGGGCATCTCGAGCTCACTCCCCCAAACAGACTGCGCTGATGAACTTGAGAACATGCACAGAGCTTTAAATTACCTGGCGCTCTCGCCCACCCGGTAGCTGCAGAAGATTCTGGTCGCATCCCCGCCCTCAAACACCACACAGCTCGCCCACCATGCAGGCGACACGGCCGCTCTTGTTCAAGGGCTTCATTGGCCGCAGCGTCGACGAGCTCAAGAGGCTTTCCCATATTGGTATGCGCTGCCAATTGATCGAGCCTTGGCCATCCGGCGTCGCTAACCGCAGAACCTACCAACAGTTTTCAGCCTCGAAGGCATCAAGGGCGGCGCCGCCCCTTACGAACTCCACAACTTCCGCAGCCCGACCTCGATCCAGGACTGCAAGCTCATGTCCGACGTAGAGATTGGCGGCGTCTCGGAAGCAAACCTCGACTGGATACCCTCGCCGCCCGCCTCCTCGGGCCTCCAACGCCCATCCCCCAACTCCCTCGGCTACGCCCGGTTCCACGGAACTATCTCGACCCAACTCCCCAAAAACCGCCCCGACATCAAGCGAACCGGCTACGCGGCCTTCCGGACGCGGGACCGACCGCCCACCATCTTCGGGCGCAGCCTGTACAACATCGACCCGTACGTGTACCTGGCGCTGCGGGTCAAGTCGGACGGGCGCAGCTACTTCATCAACGTGCAGACGGAGTCGGTGGTGCCGACCGACCTGCACCAGCACCGGCTCTTCGTCAAGAAGCCGGGGGAGTGGGAGACGGTGCTGGTCAAGTGGAACGACTTTGTGCGCACCAACTACGGCTTCGTCGTCGAGCCCCAGACCGAGATCATGCGCCAGAAGGTCAAGTCCATCGGCATCGGCCTGACCGACAGGATACCCGGCCCGTTCGAGCTGTGCATCGAGCGGATGTGGGCGACGAATAGCGAGAGCGAGGCGGATACTGTGTTGGAGGCGCCGTCAGTGAAGTCTAAGGAAGCGGCCGATGGGCCGCCGCCGAAGGAAGGGAAACTAAAGACGAAACAAGGGCAGAAGATTGGTTGGGGGGATAAATGATGGGAGGGTAGTGTATATCGGGGCTGTATGGAGTGCTATTCTCACGACACGTTATTTTTGAGGGCGCTGGGGCACACCCGAGATTGGGTACCTAAAAAAACAGGGGAACAGGGAGCGGTTGTTACGGTTGCGAGTCGAGCGGTTTACTGCGTTGGCGTTAACTGACTGGCATATCTACATGTATATCACCGAGCCTCTTGGCTATCGCTCTGTACGAATAACAGTCAAATGTGAAAGTCTAACATTTGGCTAACGTTTGACCCCACGGCATCTCGAATTACTCTGCCGCGGATGCGCCAACACCACACCACGGCCGGGCTGAACGACCAAACGATGCCCGGGGAAATACTGTCCGATGCCATGACCGTTCATTTTCTACGCCTTTCCCACAAATATTAGGAAGCCTCCCATTTTCCAGAGCCGTTACAACCCAGTCCCATGGAACCCAAACCTACAAATGCAATTACCCCCAAACCGTCGAGTTAATATGCCAAACGCCGCCGAGATGCACATAATCCAACAACCATATTCATCAAGCACAATTGCCCTCTTTGCCCCTATCCCTAATAACTGTGTCAGGCCGTGGCGTCAAACCGAGGGGAGACAACCAGTACTTACCACTCACGCTTCTCACCAGCCTTGCTCCACCGCACATCGTCGATGTCCTTCTCCCCGCCTTTTTCCCACTGCCTGACCTGCTCTTCGGTAAAACCAGCTGCGCGGAGCCGCTCAGCGCCCTGCTGTTTCCATTTCTGCCGGTCTCGGAATGTCTCGACCGCCTCGTCCCAGTCGCCGGTCGCGGCCGGTTCCTCCGGTTGCACGTCAGAGGCTGGGTCATAGTCTTCGGAAAACCGACCGTCCATTGCCGCAGCGCCCCGAATGGCGCCTCTCCCGCGCGTCCTGATAGGGGGGTTTGACGGTGGCGCTGGACCGATAAGCTCCTCGAGCGGGTCGGATTCGTCTCCCTCGGCCAACCCGCTAGTCTTGGAGGTGGTTGCGGATTCGTCGCCCTCCCGGAGTAACCGTCCGTAGCTTTTGCGCTGAGATGACTCGCTGGCGATCAGATCATGATCGTTGCCGGATTTCCCCCGCCGTGACCTTGAGTGCCGTGGCCGATTGTCCTCGTCACTGCTGCTCAGCGGTGAGCGATCGCGGTGCTTGCGATCCCTCTGTCGCGGCGAGCGCGACCTGTCTCTATGGCGGCGGTGGTCGCTCGTTGTTTGGTCGTCGTGCTTTCTGCGCGGTCGCTGCCCTTCTTCTTTGTCTCCTTGTCCCGTGCTGTGCCTGCTGCGTCGGTGATCCCGGTCGCGAGACCGATATCGAGGCTCTTCTTTGTCCCGGCCAGCATCTCTTTGCCTCCGGCTCTCGTCCCGTTCAGTCCCATGCGGTCGCTTCCGCCCTTGTAAAATCGAGGATATGTCGCCCAGTTGCCGGCGTCTCAGGTCCGAGGCACTGGGGTTAGTCTTGCGCCGTTTCTTCTCCTCGGCTTCGGTCAGGTTGTGGAGTCGAGCCTGGGCTTCTGCGGCCTCTTTCGCTAGGAGAGCGGCATTATGGTTCGTCGTCTCTTTGATGATGCGCCCCAGGAAGCGCGTGTTCGGCTTCGCCTTGTTCGCCGGTCTATGTGACATGAGTTACCGGGGTCCAATAAACGTCGTTGTCTGGATTCGAGAGTACTGACTTCGTTGACCTGAAGGCTTCAAGGCCCATTGAAGAGTACTTGATGGCTGTGTCGCTCGCCTCTTTTGCCATAAGCTCCGCGACGGCATCGTCGGTCAATATGGTGTCGTGGTTCAAGCGGCGCGCCTCCATATTACCGTAGCCGGGAAAGCCAGCGAGGGGCTTGGAAAATATACGGAGCGAAGATGTCTGGGACGGTGACGTGGTCGAAGTAGCACTTAGGTAGGACGTGCTCGTGTTTCAAGGTAGGCGCACGAGGTTTATCAATCGTTCCGGCAAGCGCTTTCGAGTCCCATATCGATTAGTGAGCTCCACTCGCCAATCGTTCCCGCCGAACCCCACGCGGGATCTTCGCTCCACAGGCACCAACCACACGAGCAGTCATTGAAGTCACCCAAGACACACCTGTTTCATGTATTTCGAACTTGGAGTCCTTTTCTAGAACTGGTCTTCGCATACAGTTAGGTATCTTGATTGTTTCTGTTCCGGATGAGGGATCGAGTGCTCTTCGTCCTTGTCGCTAATTCGAGACTCTCACTTACCCTGTCATTGTGCTCCCCAAGCAGCCCCAATTTCATGCCTTCCGGAGCCACAACGTCATTGAACACTCAACGATGACATAGGTACTTCGTACAATGCAGAGCATCATCCATTAAAGGTCTGGCATGGTATAAAGAGGAATAAAAGGGTTTCCTAAGATAGAAAAGTCGGCCCTTGGGGATCATTGCTTTGTGAATTCTTCGCGATTGAAACACACCTTGGGTTCCGTTTTCACTTGGAGAATTACATGGATTCAATGAACACAAACGACTTCCATCCATGATGCAGCAACCCGTATGAAAGTTCGCAGCAAGCGACGGGAGCTCCCTGGGGTGCCATTCGGCCTAAAAGGGGGCTGGGTGCCCCTCCACTAAACGCGAGCACGGCCCCATATGGACGTGCTTTTTAGGAGCCCCTCAGGCGGCCCCCACTATAGTCCGAATAACAAACGTTGAATCGCCAGACGGCAGTTTCCACATCCAGCACGTCCACTCCGTACTTCGTACCACATCTCCAATCAATTGAGGCGCGCCCGTCTCTGAGATTCACCACCGCCTCGTTGCACGCAAGATGGACGCCCTCCAGCAAAAGGTCGATTCCATCAGCGGCGAGGTGAGCCAGGTCAGCGATGCCCTGCGGGGGTATCTCGAGAACGGTGTCGCCTCGGGTCGCAAAGTGCAACCGCCGAAAACGAAAGCCGGGCGGGAACTGTTGCAGCATCTCTTAGGTCGTCTTGACCAGGTCACCACCGGGTTGAATGATGTCCGAGGGATAGCCGTTCCTCACATCTCACCTTCCCCGTCGGCGGTTCGCGGGCTCGACACGCCTTTATCATCAAATACTCCTCCCGTCTCACAACATCTTCCGCCATCTCGATCTGGTCAACAACAACCTGAGTGTCAAACATCCCAGGTCACCAACCGCGATCACGACAACAACCACGACACAAACGATAACTCACTGGTCCCGGCCCCCAAGGCAGAGCTCAAATCAGCTTTCTCACCACCTATTCCGGCGGTTCCCTCCACCACAAGCCAGGGTTATCCCCTCCCACGTTCGCCGCCATGTGGGATCACATTGAGTGATGGCTCTGTATATCAAAGCCCATTGCCCTCCGACCATGCGTCACCCCTCTTCGACTGTACTTACCAAGACATCCATATTTTGAACGAGGAGCTCCTGGAGATGTACTCCAGCCACCCTGTCGTCCGGGATGTGGGATATTTCAAGCTGCAAGTCCGGGGCCTCCCGCCACTCGACGTGCGGAAGGTGGCTCGCCCAAGCAAAAACCATGCGACATCATTCAGTTATAAGTCCGACCGATTGGGGCTCGTCAAGGTCGATACCGGCAAGAGGTTTAAGTTCGCCTCGCCACATCTCCCGTTACCCATGAGTGCCAAGATGGATTGGTCTCTGGCAGAGCAGAAGGACCTCTGGAATTCCTCCGCCGCGGATCCGCCGAAAGGAACCCGGCCGTATATCATCGGGAACCCGCTGTTTCACGACGTCGAGCTTTCCCCTGGCGAGAAGCTACGGCGCAGAGGGCGCACTGCGCTTGAGGGCATCAACACTCAATATGTCTACTTCAACCTCACGGGCAAAACCATCACAACGATGCACAGGGAGGACGCTCATGTGCGATCTGAGAACCTCCTCCGCTCTGGGCAGCATAAGTTCTGGTGCTTCATCAAACCCACCTCCGCCAACAAACTGGAGGAGAGGATGGCCATCGAATATCCTGAGATGCGCCGATGCTCACAGGCCGTGAGGCACCTCAGCCGCCACATCCCGCCGGCCAAACTAGACGAGTGGGGTGTCGAATACACGCTCGACTACTGCGTCCCGGGGCAAGCTGTCGTGACGGAACCGGGGACCTATCACCAGGTTTTGAACCTCGGGCCGAACTACGCCATCGCCATCAACTTGGAATACAGGTCGTCCCCGGACATGCCGCCGAATTACAAATTCTGCGATCGACTCTGCCCTGACAAGTTCGCTATGACTGCAGACGACTTTCAGATCCAGGACAAGCCACTACCTCCTGTTGAACAACAACTACCTCGCACCCCCGAGACCACTGGGTCACAAGACGGACGCACAGCTCAGGTTATTGAACATGTCGCTGGCCTGCGAGCCGACCCCGCGCCCTTGCGGCCTATGCAATCAACCACCCCTCCCCCTGAACACGATGCGCTAGGCAAGCAGGAGTTAGCGAAACCACAACCACCGCAAGCGATTCCTGAAATGCACGACGGATCTATATCCGCGAGCACTCCGGGTAAGGGGAATGCCGCGCTGCCTCCATCGGGACTCCCGGGCAATATTGTGCAGCAATCCCAACCGCCGGACCCGCTGTTTACCGCAGGCTCAATGATTCCTTCGGGACAAGGCTTGTTGGCTGCATCCGGACCTCCCGAGCAGCTTAGTATGACATCAGAAGAGTGTAGTCGAGGAGTGATTCTCCCTCCAGCACAGGCACAAAACCCCACTCCGGACGCTACCGCAAAATCCGCCCAGATCGTTTCGCAAGGCTCTCCCCTCGGGGAGCAAGGCACGGGTTATCGTGAGGATTTTGAAACAGCGACGGAAGTGCTGGCGCCTTTACGGAAAACAGCACGGATGATAAACCCCGACAGAGAGTGCGACGCGCCTAATTCGAGGCCTTTAAAGAAGCAAAGAGTGGAATCTCCCATCACGCCGGTAACCCAAGACCGGTCCGTCACAGCTGCCTTTGAGCATCTATCGACGATGCTCAAAGACCGCGAGTCTGGCCGGGCTGGGAGCTTATTCGCTGAGAAACTCCACGGCAAATCAGCATTCGATCGTCTCGCGCAACTGGTCCGAGAATGGCGACGGTACTCCAAGTCGGTGCCGACAGTCCTGGGTAGGTTCGGGCTCGCCAAGTCAGTTGAGGAGACGGCCAACAGCTACCCAGAACTGCACATCTTCCTCTCGCGCTTCTTCAAAATGAAGGTGTCGATGTGTATCGAAAATGTCATGGCACAACCCGGGGAGCTCTCGCCGCATAACTATATGAACGGAATGCTGCACACTCTGGGATGGGCCGAGTCGAAACGCCCGCAACTCCACGACTACTTGCGGGAAGGCAAGTGCTGGGCCACGATTTGCGGCGAGTACGACGGCCTTCTCTGCCTCATTGGCCCCGACTCGGATTGCCTGGATCTCGCGTTGTTCAAGGACGAAGTCGCTCGGTTCCACGCCGCGCTCGACACCGACTTTGTGCGTAAACTGTGCGGCGCCGGCGCCATTCTCCAGAAGTCCGTCTGGGAATGCCTCGAGCTCCCGGAGTTTATCTGGGAGAGCACCACCACCACCTGGCTTCCCGTTGATCGAATCTCTCCCCTCCTGGTCTCATTTCGCCTCCTCAAGGGAAACCATTACGACGAACACAAAGGGTTTTATTGGCCTCGCCCGACACGATGGCACGGGTGTTGGCCGACCGACCCCAGCATTGTTATGCCTGGCGACGCCTTCTGCGGTCTCTGCCCACAGAGCTACTGCCGCTGCGCCGAGCTCAACGTGCCGGAGATCCCCCGCATCGCAGACGACGGATCTAAGGGGTCCGGCGTCCGTTCTATGGGGCCGCACAGAGCGCACGTTATCCTGGGCGAGCTGGTCGGCGAGCTGGTGCCGGTGGGCTCCAGCGCTCCCGGCTGGTCCATGGTGCTCCGCCGCCCGGACATCGAAGACGAGGCAGTAGCGGAGATTTGCCCCGCCCGCATGGGCAACTGGGTGCGGAAGGTCAGGCACAACACGAACCCGTCGGCCGCCTTCAAGACCATGAAGATTACCGGGCGATGGAGGCAGATGCTCGTTGCGCTGAGGGATATCAGCGACGGCGAGGAGATCACGGCCAAGTACGGAAATGGGTATCTTAAGGATCAGCCCTATTCGCTTGTGGAAGGGTTGCATTGATGGGGTGTGGGCATCTTGTGGCGGTGACATGGTTGTGGAAGAGGGTGGAAAAGTACGTGTTGCTTGGGCTGTACTATCACTTCTGGGCTTCTGTTCTTGGGGGGCGTTACCTGTTTGACTTGGTCTTTGGGCTCTTTGCTCCGGTCTTTCCGCCTTTCAAGTGTTGAAGACGGGTCTCTATCAACCGGCAAGGACATTACGGCGCATCCATATAAGGACGGGTTGCTATTGGTGGCAGGAGTTCTACTTGCTTTCGCCTTAATGTCAGAAGACAACTGATTCAGTATTGTCGGCTACACTTTTGTCTCGAGGGTTGTCTATGGGTTATTATTCTGCAACATGGCTGCTACCACGACTTTCGCTCGGTCAGCGGCGGACTACTAGGGTACCAGCAGTTTTCTGCACTACATTACACGAATACAAAGTATAGCAAAAGTATTACAGGTATCGAGCGAATCGGCACTATCACGATGGAGGATGTGGTACTGTATTTGTACCTCAACCTAACCCACGCGGGTGCCACAGGGCAAGGGTTAGGGTCAAAATCTCTCGACACCCCACTGTCCCGATCTGGCAACCTCGTCAACAAAACATCACCTCGCGATCCAAGTCGAACGGGAAGGTTGGACGCCACCACGACAAAGCTACGCGCCCGAGAACATCGACCCCAAGAAAACAACCAACCGAGGAGCACCGACACACCGGACACCATGTCGCGTCCAACCTCCCCTCACAAACCGGACCAACAGCGCGCCGCCAAGGTCCTCCAGGCCCTCGAAGACCTACAATGCACCTCGGGCGACAGCAGCGACGAATACACCATCATCAAGCTCAGCGAGCCCATCTCCTCCTCCTCAGCCTCCAACAACAACAACCCCACCCCCGCCCCCGCCCGCACCTCCGACGTCTCAACCGCCTCCCTCGACACCCCCACCCCAACCTCCCTCGAAGCCGACCTGGCCCACTACCGCGAGCTGTTCGCCAAGCTGCGCTTCTCCTACGTCGAGCAAGTCACCAAGGAGAAATTCATCCGCGCCATCGTCGGCGACCCGCCGCAGATCGTCTCGGCGCAGGAGAACGCCGAGCTCGAGGCCGGCAACGCCGCCGCCAAGGCCGCGCTCAAGCGCCTCAAGACCGACGTCGCCGCTATGGTGGCGGAGCTGGAAACGCGCGGGAGGGGTTTGGTGGCGCGGTATGAGGTCGTGCGCGAGGAGCTGGCCGTGCTGAGGGCGCTGCCGGCGGAGATCGATGGGCTGGAGGAGCGGGTAAGGGATCTGAGGGCGCAGCATGCGCTGTTGAGGGCTGCCGGGGTAGGGCCTGAGATGAGTATGCCGTTGGGGAAGACGAGGGCGTTGGTGGAGGGGAGGCGGCGGGAGTTGGGGGGGTTGGAGAGGGAGGTGGAGGTGGTGGGGGGCCAGGTGCCGCGGAAGAGGAAGGAGGTGGAGAGGTTGAGGGGGGAGGTGGCGGCGCTGGAGAATCGGAGGGCGAATAGTGAGGCTGCGGCGAGGGAGGCGAAGAGGAGGAGGGAGAATGCGCAGGGCGGGGTCGAGGATGAGTTGGAGGCGAGGGGGCGCTGGTATAGAGCTTCGGAGACGGTGCTGAGGCAGGTGCTGGATCTGAAAGGGTGAGACGAACGGGCGTGCTCGGGGTGTTCTCGGTTTTGCTTTTGGGGTTCTACGGTGTCTAACGCGGTCATGGGTACACACACGGGATAAGGATGGGTGCAATGGGAGGACGGCAGGGTATTGGTTCGATCAAATGGGATGGGCTTGATTTGTTTTGACCTGGTCAGGCAAGCCTTAGGAGTTTGGTGCACATATGGGACATCCATAAAATGTTCACTGGTGTTCGGGGAAGGCTCGGGGTGGCTCGGGAGCTCTCGCACACAGTTCGGCTACTCAGCATACGATCCGCTGTTTCCGGGTTTTATCATTTGCCAGGCGGCATGATCTTTGTTTAGGTAACAAAGCAAAACAGTATTGGTGGTTTATCACGTCTGATGATGAAGATGGCCTGTTGGTGTGAAGGCTGTGCCGGCCGAAGCCATGCTCCCGGAGTCGAGGTTGTTTCCGAACTTAGGGCAACCACATTGAACGTAGGCGCCACCGTGGTACCTCGATGTCAAGCAACGTTTGACAGTCTTACAGTCTTTTGGTCCTAGTTCCTCGGGTAGGCATGATGGATTGGTCTGGTATGTTTGCATGGCTCTTTCGTGTTCCAGAGAAACACGAAACGAATGATCTTTCCGCGGTGAGGTCACACTGTTGCCCATCCAACGTACTGAGCTAGGACACAATTTATACAGCTTTACTTTTTACGACTCTACGACGAGTCTCAATCTTGCCATGCTTGTCCACCCAGCATGCTTTTCTTGGCCTGCAGGTCTCAGAACACGCGCCGAAGCTTGGCTCGAAGTCGTGAAGCAACGAGATCGCCGCGAAAAGAACGTTGTGCGAAGCATTGATAGGCCATCAGACACTATACATGTCTCATTCGAACTGCTCGGCGGTGTTGGACGTTAAGCTTCCCGTTGTCTCACATGAATCCGATGCCAACGTCCTTTATTGGTCGTACAGCGGGGCGGGTTACGGCCTGGGACGACGCGTGGGGCAAAACACGCTGTCGGTATTCTGTCGACGACTACGCTGTGTACACACTTGGCACACTCTGTCTACTTGTATAAATTGTTAACTTTATGTTGTCTCCAACGAAGAACGGAGGGGCATTACCCAGCGTACCTCTACTAGTGTACTAACACGGCCAGTCGCGTCACTCGGCTGGGCCAGCCGCGGATCAAGTATGCATGCTATCACCATGCCGGCTTCGGCAAGGGGGTGATCAGGGTCTACTTCGTACCGAAAATGCTACTGAGGAGGTTCGACCCCCCACTCGGCCCTCCACCCCCACGGTTGCCCTGCCGTTTCGCCTCGTTCTTGATCCATTCTTCGAGGAACCGCCGATCTGCCAGCTTCTTCCCGTCAGAGACCTTGGTTTGGATCTGCGCTTCACCGGCATCAAAGCTCAGTAACGTTGGGATCGAGTTGATCATGTAAGTGAGACCTAACCCGGCCGACATTACGTCCGGGCTGTCGAACTCGACGGTGCAATAGCCCACGCCGCCCTCGGCCTCACCAACACCAGATTCGATGAGCTCTTTGATCAGGGGTTCCACGATGCGGCAGGTGGAGCACCACGAGGTAGTCCATAGGGTCAACAACGGTGTCCGTGAGGAAGAGGACAGGAGCTGGTAGGTGTGGAACTGGTCGAGGTTGCGGACACTGGCATTAGTGTTAGTTACCCCCGTCGATCGATCGAGAACATGAGGCACAACTCGGACTCACCAGGCGTAAACTTGATTTGAGGCCCGCACTTGGCGTGACGTTGAGAAACGTAGCCTTGATACGGATTGGTTGGCCGGGGGGTTGACGATGAACTTCGCTCTGAGGAGACGGCGCTCTGCATGCGCGAGCCTCGAGCTGAGAAACTGCATATTATTGTCGTACAGCCGGCATGAATCACATGCAGCAGATGGAATTTGGATAATTCTGATGCCGCTATGCGGTCGACGCGGTCAACACGAGAAGTTCCGACAACTCGAGATGAGATCACCATCCAACCATTCGAAACCGAAGCTCCCGTCGTTTGTCGGATTCCGAGGTACGTCTGTACATGTAAATTACACTACGACATCGCGGTATCGGAGAGTTTAACCTTCGGCCAACGTTACATGCGACCAACCAGCACCCCCACGTGCAAGCCCCAAGCGCGCTGCGGGGAGGGGCTTGGCGCGCATCGAGGCCCTGCACACACATCGAATTTGGGTTATGCAAGTGGAAATCTCGGGCAATTCCTGGGCAGTTTCCTGCAGTTTCTGGGCAACTCCATAACATGGATCTCCTCAGTCAGATGAGCGGTGAGATGTTGTCGTCTTCCAGTGATACAGGATTCGGCTGCGATTCCTGTCCGTTTTGAGTATTAATAGAACCACTAAATGTTGGCGGCATGTGCCTGCTGCGTTATGGCCGCTCGGGATCACGGCGTCGCAGCTCGTCACGCGGCTTGGCATCGTCATTCTGCATTCAAGGGTCCTATCGATGCTCGCTCCCAACGGCGGTAGCCCGGATGCGGTCGATGCGGCGCGACAAGCGTTGGCGATCCACGGAGATGTGCGCATGTGAGGCGGGGGACGGCATTCCTCAGGCAGCCTTGCCTTGCCCCACCGTCACCAGGTTGCAGCAGCAGAACAGCACAGGTCCCGACCTCCCGCAGTGGTTGGGCGAGTCGGGGGGCGTCGGTGGGGCGTTTTAGCGGCATTCCCGGGGGAGACAGGGAGGTCAACCACACAAACCCGGGAAATCCACAGAATCGCCCGACTTTCAGGGTCTTTTTGCTCTCCCGAGTCTCGTCTCTTCCCACCAAGTGTCCTTTGTCCATCTTGGTGGCAAAAACCGCGAGGGGTAAACGGACTCGTCCAAAGTTTGGAGGACGGGTTATCCCCGTTCGTGTTGCCGCAAAGAAGGTCACGAACTGCTGCTCCTTTGTCTGAGAACTGCGCCGTCTGCTTTGCCAGTTTGACAAGCACTCAAGGCAGTCACTGCCCTGTCCGATCTGACGGGTCCTTCCCTGATTTTCTGCATGTTGGGCGCGCTGCAGATTCGCCGCACGCACAGGCAATCGACGGGCAACCCGTGCAGTCCACTCAGTCCATTCGGTCCCAAGAACCCAAGTCCGGGGCTGTTTCGTCCCCAACCCACCAGAAACTGCACGCACTTCCATGCAGCTGAACACCCCCCGCCGTCCCCATGACCGAAAACCAGGTGCTCGCTTTCGTCAGGGTGCTTCTTGGCTGCTTCTTGGCGAAACCATCCATGCCGTAGAGGATGGAGAAATTGGAGACCTGGACCCTTGCGCGCCGCTGACCCCACGCTTCCAGGTTGGTTTGGTTGTTGAGGGACGGACCTGCTCACACGGTCTTGGTGTTGTTATATCTCGACTTCTTGCCTCTTGCCCTCGCCGCCTCCTCCTTTCCTCCTCCATCCCATCGTCCCACCGCTCCCCATCTCCATCATCTCTCCCAGCCCGCACCCGTGCAGGCATCAAGGCCTGAGGCGCAGGAGTTCTGGACCTCGCTGGTCTCAGTCGCGGTTTGACGGACCATCCATCCACACCTACCGGATTCGAATCACAACACATGGTCTAGTTGTCATCCTGCATTTAGAATCAGCCTCCTCCAGAAGACTCAGCCTCACACCGCCTGGCCAACGCTTTATATCTATTTTCTCTTCCCCACTTTGGTCATTGACCTTTTCTCACATTTCCTCTACCTTTGTTTACGCCACAAGATCTAATCTAGTGCGGTATTGACACACAACCATTCCGCCCGAAGAGACATGGCGCAGGACGCACAAACCTCTCCGCCCCGGCGGCCATGGGGTTCTCTTTTCTCCCGGAAGTCCGCTGGAGAGCAGGGCTCTGGCGAGAAAGCCAGCTCGCCTAATAAGTGGACACTGGGAATCCTAGAGGACAAGGAGACGATTGAAGTCCCAGGTACGCCACTAACCCCGACGCTGACGAGGTGTCCAATATCTTGGCAACTGGTTGCTAACTGCTTCGAACAGGCTCCGTGCTATTGCTAGCCTCTGACCATAATGAACCTCTTGGGCTACGTAATGCTCCGGCAAGGACATCTCACTCGTCCATTCCCAGTGGCGTGATCAACCAGCTGCCAGAGGAGCCGCAGGAAGCCCCGAAGAAGAAGACTCCGGATGGCAAGATCATTCTAGATCCTCAACCCGAGGATTCCGTCAACGACCCACTCAATTGGCCGGCGTGGCGGCGTGATATCGCCCTACTATCGTTGGGTCTCTTCTGCATGGTGGGCGGCGGCACTACCCCCTTGCTTGCGGCAGGCTTCACAGACGTTGCCGAGGAGTACGGTGTCAACGTACACGACGTTTCGCTTACCACTGGCCTCTACATGCTGGGCATGGGCCTTGGATCCATCATTTTCTCCCCCACTGCCATTTTATACGGCAAGAGGCCGGTTTACCTCTTCGGCGCTGTTCTCTACATGGCCACCTCGATTTGGTGCGCTGCCTCGCCCAACTTCACCTCGCTCGTCGTAGCCCGCATTTTCCAGGGCATCGCGGTCAGCCCGGTCGAATGCCTGCCGTCGGCTACCATCGCTGAGATCTTCTTCCTCCACGAGCGCGCTTTCCGGATCGGAATCTACACCCTCTTGTTGCTTGGCGGCAAGAACCTTGTTCCCCTGGTCAGCGCCGGCATCATCCAGAGCATGGGATGGCGTTGGGTGTTTTGGTATGTTTCCCCTCGCCAACTCGGACGGCCAGCCAAATTCTAATTATGACCTAGGATCGTCGCTATTGTAGTTGCCTTCTGCGGCCTCCTCCTGTTCTTCTTCGTCCCAGAGACCTTCTGGGACCGTGCCCCCCAACCCCGCAAGCTCAAGAAGTCAAAGTCGAGGCCGAGTATCTTCCGACGCCTCTCGTCCAGGCCGGATATCCTGCATGCGACACCAGTCCCAACCGCGCGACCATCATTCGAGCGTCCCGAGCATGGTCCGACAACGCCGCTCACGCCGGGCACGCGCGCCAAAGGCCAGCACGTTGCGTTTGCTCCGGAGGAGAAGGTGAAGTTTGCCGACACGTCGAGTGAATCCTCCGCGAGCGGGTCTGGAGCAGAGCAAGCCGCCGACAACGCACCGGGGACTGACAAGCCGAAGACGACTGGTGAGGACACCGCAAACGCCGAGGATCCAGGGTATTTCCCAGTAATCGCCGTGCGGCCGCCTTCCCCGGCCAAGCTGCAGGTGCCCGAGACACCCAAGACACCCAGGACGCCCGAGACACCCGCCATGCATCTCAGCGCTAACCATGGCGTACACAACGACGCCGACACCGAATCGCAATCCATCCACAGCTACCAAACAACGGGCCAGTTGGCCTACACCGCCGCCCTGCGCGACCAGCCTGCTCGTTCATTTGCTCAGTCGCTGAAGCCGTACAACGGGCGTTTGAACAAAGACAAATGGCACAAGGCTGCCATCAGGCCGCTGATCCTTTTCAGCTACCCTGCCGTTCTCTGGTCCTCGGTCGTCTATGCTTGCTCAGTTGGCTGGCTCATTGTCATCTCGGAATCCGTGGCGGTCATCTACCGCGAGGGGGTTTACGAGTTCAACGCGCTCCAGACGGGCCTCGTTTACATTAGCCCCTTCGTTGGTGGCATCCTCGGCTCCGCGGTGGCGGGCAGGGTTTCGGATGTTATCGTCAAGGCTATGGCGCGACGGAACGGCGGCCTGTACGAGCCCGAGTACAGGTTGGTCATGGCCATCCCCATCGCCATCACCACCGTCATTGGCCTCATGGGTTTTGGCTGGTCCGCGCAGATCCACAACCACTGGATGGTGCCCACGGCTTTCTTCGGAATCATCTCGTTTGGCTGCACCATGGGCTCGACGACAAGCATCACGTTCTGCGTCGACAGCTACCGGCAGTACGCAGGCGAAGCCCTGGTCACACTCAACTTCAGCAAGAACGTGCTGCACGGGCTGGTTTTCAGCCTGTTCGTCACTGGGTGGCTTTCCGATGACGGTCCCAAGGCCGTGTACATCTGGATCGGCATCATCCAGCTAATTTTGTTACTCTTCACCATCCCCATGTACATCTACGGCAAGCGGATGCGCATGTGGACGGTGCGCAAGAACTTCATGGAGCGTTTCTAAGTACACTTTTGGGCAAGTCTGGTTTTGGACTGATACCCCTGATATTTTACGGCGTTTATTTTCATTTTCACTCTTTGCATGGTTAGCATTGCATCGGTAGCAGGCACATTCGTTGGCATCTTGGGTAGACTTGATTTCAGGTTTGGATGGGTGATCTCCACGATTCACGAAGCATGGCATGATACATATGGATACTGCATCATTATATGGAATGGAATACATGATATATTTCGAGATCATCAGATCATGTTGCCATGAAACAACCTTGATATGTTGCTCAGGGGCTCAAATACAGTTCCCCCCCACTATCGCTGTACCCTGACAACCGAACCCACCCCTCCATACTTTTTCCACCTCAGCTCAAGCTACCCCACCACAACCACACTCCTCAGCCCAGAGCAACCCGCAGAAGTAAATAAATCCCATCAAAACACCCTCATGGATCTATAACATCACATTTCACACCATAACCCAAAAACAATGACATCTCGCATCCCCCACCTCCTCGAACCCCACCTCTCCCTCCCACCAGAATCCTCCCTCGTCACCCTCACCAGCGTCCTCGGCGCCAGCACCAACTGGCTCGTCCTGCGCCACCTGCACGCCCTCCTCAAACCTACCACCCCCTCACACCAACACCACCAACAACAACAACAACCATCATACCAAACCCCACACCAAAACAACAGCAGCGACCCCGACACCAGTCTAGAACAGCAAGATGGCGGTGCGGAGACAGCCGTGCTCCTAGTAAGCTTCCTGCGCGACCTGCCCTTCTGGCGGGAGAACCTCTCCCGCTTGGGGATCGATCTGGACGCGGCGGGACGTAGGGGCCGGTTCGGGTTTGTGGATGGGCTGGGCGCGGGGTTGTTTGCATCGACGGCACCGCCGCCACAACAACAACAGCAGCAGCAGAGGGCTGCAGGGCAGGGGTGGGAGAGGGGGCTGGCGAGCGCGGAGCCGGGGGAGATTGGAAGGGTTGTGTTGGGGGAGGTGGAGCGGTTGAGGCGGTCTTCCTCGACTGTGGTGGCTGGGGATGGGGAGGGGAGGAGGGAGAGGAGGGTGGTGGTGGTGATGGATGGGTTGGATTTTGTGCTGGCTGCGTTGGATCCGGGTTTGGGGATGGGTCAGGGCCAGCAGGGTGTTGGGGAGGCGTCGGGGACGGCTATTGCGATGAAGGAGATGTTGATGGAGTTGCGAGAGGTGAGTCTCTTTCTTTTCACTTTTTCTATTTGTTTTACAACGCGGCAATTTTGACGTGAGCGAGCGCTGACATCACTTTAGAAAACACACGCTGCCATCGTCACGTTGGCCGCCGACGACCCGCTCATCAAGGAGCAGGAGACGACGCTGGAGAAGCAGCATGCCTGGTTTGCGCTGAACCTGGCACACGAGGCGGACATGGTTATCAGTCTGAGGCTACTGGACACGGGCGCCGCCAAGGACGTGAGTGGTGTTATCAGAATTACGCATCGGGGAGCCCGCACAAAGGACCACGAGTATTTGTACCATGTGGGAGGCGACGGCGGGGTTAGAGTATTCGAACGAGGGCAGTAGTATAGACGATACCCCTCATTTTTGAGAGTCACATCTCCTTCCCTCGCCGCTAGCTTGCTGCAGACTGGGGCTGGTCTGGACCGGCTGGTTTGCCGGTCTGCCGGTTGTGCTTGCGCCTTCAGCGATCCCCTCTTCTTTTGCCCCTGCACAAGAAACTTGGCCAGAAAAAGAAGCTGTGTTATTGATCCCAAACGTTACGCCGTTTTCATGCTCGATGCATTGACCACTGAACCGAGCCCCGCGCGCGCGAAATCATGCGTCCCATTGTCCACTCCCCTGCCTATCGAGAACCGATTATGAAGAAGCCGAAACCGTGGGGCCCTGGGCGCCCTTGGGGACGCCGGTCTGGAAGCCGTTCTTGAACTTCCTCGAGACTGTGCTGAGGTACCGCATCCGGCCGGTACCGGTGACCTTTCTGCGCTTCGCCTTCTCGGACCAGTTGTCTATCATGTGCCCATCCGTGTCAGCGGTTTGCCCTTGCGTAGAAACTCGGGGGAGCCAAAAGCAGATTGCTGAAAACATACACTTGCGGATCTTAGCGGCGGGGTAGCCGCACCCAGCGCAGACCTTCTTCTGGTTGTGGAGCGACCGGCGGCTGGCGAAGTTGTTAGTCTTTGCCGGGATAATCGTGCTGTCGCTTCGAACTCGTTGCCAAACGCCTGGCTCGTTTCGTTCCACCCATCGGATCAAGAGTTCGTATCGACTTACCCGCAGCGTCTGCAAAGACCGTGGGTCTTGTTGTGGCTAAGAAAACGGTCAGCATCCACGGCCAACTAGCAGAACTTTTGTATGGGCATAAGCATACCGCTTGCCGAAGCTGGAGGTACCCTTGGCTGTAGTTGCTTGTCAGCGCGACTCTCCCAACCCAAAAGCGCAAATATCGATGGAGACGTGTTCAGGCGAGTCGAAAGAAGGTGTGATTATTGTAGTCGCGAAAGAACAGCTGAAAGTGTCGTCGAACAATCGGGTCGTCGGTGCGGAAAGGGTAACGGGGCTCGACATGGTAGGCAAAGTGGTGATCGCAACGGGGAGGTGTCAACGTACTCATTTTGGCGGTTTCTCTGTAAATCAAAGGAATTAGTATCGGAAAGGCAGATGAAACCGTATAGGGCTTATAAACTTACCTGCGTCGTCGTCGACAAGCGAATCGTTGTGATGTGCAGGTTCTCGCGGGTCAAGGATCGCGAAATTTTGGGAATGTGTGGCCAAGCGATTTCCTTGGTTAGGGCTGCGGGAACTTCGAGCCACATTTGCGCCTCAATGGGTGTGGCTTACCCCACTCCTGAAGACGGGCCCCACATTCCTGAGTCTTGGCCCACTGCAGCATATGAAGGCACCAAGGTCGGGAGCTTCAGACCCACAGTGCCGGACAAACACAAACTGAACCCAGCTCCCACTACGTTCACGTTTCCAAACATCAGCACCCAAAAATACTTTGCGTTTGTAGGAGCTCTGGAATATGGTGTTACAGCAGCAGCCTACAAGCTCAAGTTCTCATAGCACAGTAATCACAAGTGACGGCGTAGTTCAAGTGTTTTTAATCACGGGCGGGAGCTGATAACGGCGAACGATGCGTTCCATGTACTGATAAGAAGCCAGAGCTACTTGAGGAATCTTTGACATTATAGAGTACTCAAGGATCTATCGCCTCCTACATCAGAGCTTCAGCTTACTGAACTCCGCCAGCGTCCTCTCGTAGTTCTCCTTCGCCGCCTGAGCATCGGCCAGCTTCTTCTTCTCAGCGGTGAGGACCACATCGCTGACTTTCTCAAAACCCTCACGCCCCATCAGCTCCTGTTGTTTTGTGATGGAGATGTTGGTCTTCTGCAACTTGGTGTTGATCTTCTTGATTTCCGCATCAATGTCCTTGATCTGTGTGCTGACTTGCAGGAGAACCGCGACGTTGGCAGAGACAACATAAACGGCACAGCCCTTCGGTGACGACGCCTCGTCGGTATCGGGACCAAGAACGCTGACCTCAGAAACGCCCTTTCCGGAAAGAGTCTTGATGGCCTGGAGCTGCGCGCTGACCTTCTCAAAGCTCGCTGCCGTGGACGCCTTGATGAAACCGCACCCATCCGCGCGGATATTGTAGTCGGCGGCCAAGGAGCGGAGACCACCGGCGCACTGAAGGCCAAGTTCGTAGTCTTCTGCGTCCGACACAAACTCCAACGTGCTGTCGGGCTCGGGATACGGTGCCAACATGACGGAGGCCACCGACTCGTCCTTGTTGCGGGGGAGGCGCTGCCACAATTCTTCCGTAATGTAGGGCAGGAAGGGGTGCAGGAGGCGCAGCGCGACATCCAGCGTCCGATACAGAGTTTGCTGGACGCTTTGTTGCTGCTCTGGGGTGCCATCGCTCAGAATGCCCTTGCTGTTCTCGATGAAAACATCACACAACTCATCATAAAAGAATTGGTAAGCAAGCTTTGTGGCCGTGGAGAATTGCCGCGCCTCAAGTGCGTCGTTGATACCCTTGACGGCAGAGTTCATCCGATGAAGTATCCAGCGCTCCGGGACGGAGAGAGCCGAGGTGTCAAGTTTTGAAGCCGGAACGAACTCCTGGGGTAATTTGCCTAGCACATACTTGCTGGCCTGCCAGACCTTGTTGCAGAACCGGCGGTAGGCGTGCATCACCTTGATATCGAAGTTGATGTCACCGCCACCAGTGGTGTAAGAAAGCAGGGTGATCCGGAGCGCGTCCGCTCCGCACTCGGGGATACCGCCGGGGAATGCGGTCTTCTGGTATTTGGTGGCGCGCTCAACCTCATCCTCCTTGAGGTTGCCCGTGAGGAGCTTGGCGTGGAGCTCCTCAAGCTCGATACCGTTGATGATGTCGAGAGGGTCGATGACGTTACCCAGAGACTTGCTCATCTTCCTGCCTTCAGAGTCGCGGATAAGGCTGTGGCAGTAGACCTCAGTGAAGGGAACCTTGCCCGTCAGCTTGAGGCTGAGCATGATCATCCGAATGACCCAAAAGAACAGAATGTCCCAGCCCGTCTCCAACATGCTGGTCGGGAAGAACTCCTTGAAGTCGCTGCTTTCGGTGTTGGGCCATCCGAGGATAGACATAGGCCACAAGCCAGAGCTGAACCAAGTGTCGAGGCAGTCAGGGTCCTGCTCCAGACGGTATTTCTTCCCCGCGTACTTGGCCGCGGCCTTCGCCTGAGCTTCCTCGGGCGTCCTGCCGACAACCCACGGGGATTTGTCGGTCTCACGCTCACCCTCCTCCTCCTCGAGGATGACACGGTAGGCTGGGATGCGGTGGCCCCACCTGGCAAATACCATCAGCAAAATCATCCTGTCATGGGCAAATGGTGTATCACTTACCATAGCTGGCGAGAGATGCACCAATCGTTAACGTTGGCCAACCATCTATCGTAGGATTTCCTTGCACTTTCGGGGCTGATCTTGACCTTGCCTTCCTCGACAACCTTCAGGGCGGCATCTGCCATCTCGTTCATGCGGACCCACCATTGAGGCGTCATGTATGGTTCGATAACATCCTTGGTCTTCTCGCACAGAGGGATAGTCATGGCGTTGGGCTCTTTCTTGACAAAGAGTCCGCGCTTAGTCAGTTCCTCGACGACAGTGTACCGAGCATTGAACCTCTTTTGACCTTGGAACATGGGGCCAGCATTCTCGTTGAGAGTACCGTCCTCATTCAGGATGTTGATGAACTCGAGCTTATGACGTTCACCCAGCTTGTAGTCGTTGAAGTCGTGAGCAGGGGTCAACTTGACCGCTCCGGTACCGAATTCCGGGTCCACGTAAGTGTCTTCAACGATAGGGAGGAGGCTGCGGGTTGTGAGCAATCAAGACAATCGAGAATTCGGCTCGGCGAATCCAACTAACCGGTCTGTGAACGGATGGCGCGCAAATTTGCCAACGAGATGCGTGTAGCGAGTATCCCCCGGGCTAACGGCAATCCCACTATCGCCAAGCATGGTTTCGGGACGGGTAGTTGCAACCTCAATCGTGAGATCGGTGCCGTCAATCGGATACTTGAAGAAGGTGAGGACACCAAACTCAACCTTTCGGTCGTAGCCTGGAACATCGAGCATGGTGCGACCGGTGATGTCCTTGTTTTCCACCTCCAACGAGCTGAGGGCTGTTTGCAAGTGTGTACACCAATTGACCAAGCGGCTTGATCTGTAAATGTACCCCTCATCATGAAGCCGGCAAAAGGTCTCCATGGTAGCGGCACTGAGATTCTCATTCATGGTGAAAGCCTCGCGCGTCCAGTCCATCGAGCCACCCATGAGCCTCTGGGCGTTGTTGATGCGCTCATGGTATTCCCCCTTCCACTCCCAAACAAGCTTCGTGAAGTTCTCGCGGCCAAGTTCCAGGCGCGTCTTCTTCTCCTTCTTCCAGAGCATCTTCTCGACCACAGACTGTGTAGATATACCGGCATGGTCACAGCCGGGAACCCAGAGTGTGGAAAAGCCCTTCATCCGATACCACCGAATCAGGGTGTCCTGGAGTGAATTGGCCAACGCATGACCGCAGTGGAGTGCGCCGGTCACGTTGGGGGGCGGGAGAGGGATGACGAACTTCCCGTGGTCGGGCGACCGAGCGGGTCGCGGCTGGAAGAAGCCGCTCTTCTCCCACCATTGGTACCAAGCAGACTCAACTGCCTTGGGGTTGTATGCCTGGAAATGCGGGTGCTCGAAAGACTGGATGGCCTTCTTCTCGCCGGCCGGGGTTTCGTCTTGGTACGGAGGGAGGGACGGGGCTTGAGCCTTGGGGGGCTTCGGGGCCGCTTGGGTAGCAGCTTTCTGCTGGGGTTGCTGCTGCTTCAGCTTGGCCTGCTTTGCCGCGAACTTGGCCGCTTTATCAGCTTTGGCCTTCTCCTTTTGTTCTGGGCGAGGTGGTAAATTTAGCGTCGGCAGCGCGTGATCGGAGACGGGTGCGGAGCTCACCATTCTTCTTGGCCGTGGCCGGGTCGGGCGCCGGAGCATCGGCAGCGGGGGTATCGGGAGCCATGCTTGCTGGTCGTTGCAGGGAGTAGTGTCGACTCGATGGCAGGATGAGGGCCGAGGGAAGTTTGAGCAGCGATTCCCGTCTCAGGCTAGCCAGTCGCCGCAACGAACTCAACATCCAGGGCTTTTGGAGGGGTCAATGGCCCAAAGAGGGGCAGGGAGGTGACTCTTAAAGAGGGGCCCTTCCGGCTTGCAGGAATTTCTCCCGGGCAAGGAGGGGTCAATGCATGAGTCAAAACGACAGCACCTCCAGCTGCCACCAAACCCTGAGCCCTTCCATTTCACGGCTCCACCCCTTACAACGTCCAGACCCTGGCGCAACTGACCATTTTCCTGTCCGGAAACAAGGCTTGAAACCCGTCCTCGCCCTCAATTGATCTACTGTGTATGTACATATGTAACAGTTGGATAAATACTGCAAGCACGACATACTCGAGTTTCAGATATTCCCCCGATCGCCGCTCTGGTGCCGAAGGTAAATTAAACACAGCGTCACTCCGCTCCTCATTCGAACCCGGGTTAGGGTTAACGGGAGAGCTCAAGATTGCCGAGAAACCGGCTTTTGCGATCCTCTCGCCTTCAGGACAAGAACGATTCATGGTTAACCTAACTGCTAGTTTTATTATTTCAGTGTACTTTAGTACCTGGACCTGGTAATTGCGGGCACTTTTCTATCATGCCAGTGGGTTTTGCGGCGAAGCTTGTTGTTCCACCCGTTCCTGAGTACGGATACTGTACGAGATACTATTTGACACTATGCGGTTATACTGTGACAGGCGAGAGAATGCGGGGAACACATGTCGATCCTCGTGACGATGAGCATGTACCGATACAACCAAAACCCTGTTTTATGGTCACACTCACGTGCGTTCTTGAGAGAAAGCGGGTATCTGTACAGTATCCGTTTCAGTTGGGCGTTGTCACTCCTGGTCAGGCACTGCGGAATCCAGGCAGGTGGTTCTGGGCATGCCGCCCCACCTGCCGTTGCTATCACAAGCACTTGGGGGATGTCTCGTCATCCATTTCCCTCCTGAACCTTCGCTTCCAATCATTCCAACCATCTCCCTACGGCCTACCAAGGTTTTAGACTGTTTACACGAATGATTAGACGCGACGCGGCCTGACTCTACGAGCAGTGCCACCAAACCCGCTTCTTCGAAACCGATCTCCGTGAAACTCGATATTCGAATTACCTTCCTATTGAACAACGCGTGACAACCCTACGATGCGTCCTCCGCGGATCGCCATCCTCGTCCTCTTCTTCGCCGCGTCCCTCTTCCTTGTCTGTCGGTCCATTAGCTCAATCCGCCGCCCTAGCATCGTAACAAATTCATCGCCACCTCAAAAGTCGTCGTTCCGAGCACTCTTCTCGTTCACCGCGCCATTCTCTCTCTTCCCACCAACTGCCACGATATCCCTCACCGATGATAACAGCACCAATTTTGCGGCCCGGCCCGCTGCTTTTGGGCCTCCGCTGGGTATCAACGGGCTGAAGGGGCAGCTGTGGATAGGGAGCGGTTTCTCCGACGAAACGCTACAAGAGGGCGAAGGGGAGGGCGAGCTTGGCTGCAGCGATATTCCGGGATGGGAAGATGGAAGGACGAAGCTTGCCATAAAAGCCATCGTGCGGGGCTCGTCTAGCACCAAGCCTCACCCCCTTGCTCACGCTGTGAAAAACCTCAAGATGAACGACCTGGGAAAAGACCCCGCTGTTGGAGATGCGGTACAAAAGAAGCGACCCCATTCCCAAACGAAGCCCACAAATGATGGGACAGACGACTACCTCCACCAACCTCTTCAGCAGACAAGAAGCCCTTATGGCAAGGAACCGACTACGTCGGGATCGAGTCACGCCGACATCCAGTCGATGCAGGAAACCGCAGAGATCACTGGCAAAGTTGCGCTGCTGAGCCGAGGCGGTTGTGGCTTCCTCGAGAAGGTCAAATGGGCTCAGCGTCGGGGTGCCATCGCCCTCATCGTCGGGGATAATCAAAAGGGGGGGCCTTTGATTCAGATGTTCGCCCGGGGCGATGTGGATAACGTTACGATCCCCTCGGTTTTCACCTCACGGACAACCGCGCATTTGCTCTCATCCCTCATGCAATCTGGGAGTTTCGACAATGATGTTCTGAGCGAGAAGATGAGCCCGTTGGGAAAGGCACAGCATTCTACCAACACCGAGAGGAATAACGACGTGAAGAAAGCGCCGTTATCTGCGAGATATGTTTCCAGAGCTTCGGCTGCGACAGTATCTGCTGGAAAAAACACCATGCCGAAGCCCGATAAGCCGATTGTGGCAAAGAGAGGCTGGCTTTCCAGGCTATTTCATTGGGGAGGGGGCGAGGGCACCTCTGTTGAGACGAGTCGGCCACCAACAAGCGGTCGCCTTGACTGGGTTCTTGTTGATGACTGGGATGATGAGCCCGACAAGCTCATCAAGACCAGCCCAGACAAGGCAGGGAAGGCCGATGCCAATGGCCCTTCCACGTCATCTGGTGATGGTTTCCAAATCGGAGTCCATGACTGGCGTGACCCTGACCTCGCTGGATCTACCGCAGAGAGCAACGAGGCGTTCAACGCCCAAGGTTCGACAAATGGCAATGGCCGGTCGAGCAATTCTGAGACTTCCACTGAGCAGGTTGACAAGCCTGACGACAACCCATCTGCGGAAGCCAACGGGCCCAGAGGCGGAAGTATCACTCCAGGCAGCGGGGAGTACGTGCCCGGAACTGTGGGAAACTCGGCTACTCCTGGGTCCGGAAAGTCACAGTCGTCCTCTAACCCGCGGGGTGGACTCCTGTCGAAGATTTTCGGCGGTGACGACAACGCAGAGGGCACAGAAGTCGATACACCAGACATGGTTCGGGATTCTTCAGCCACGATGTCGCCTCCCGATATTCTGCCCCCTGCTGGCCACGTTGCTCGCGAAGGGCTTTGGGTCACCATTTTACCCTCGGGCAATACCAGCCCCTTCTTCGATACTCTCCTAGTCCTAGTAGTCAGCCCTTTGATAACACTAACGGTGGTATATGCTTTACTCATATTACGGGTAAAGATCCGGATGCGGAGGTGGAGAGCCCCAAAGTCTGTGGTAGATCGACTCCCGGTGCGAACGTACCAGACAGTCGCCCCTTCGCCGGCCCCATCACCAAGGGTACCCTCGCCTACAAGCTCATCACCCACGACGCCGTTACTACAGGGTCCTTCTGGGTCACGACCACGACCTCGCGCTACCCCGAGTGGTCTCGATTCGGAAGACCTCCTTGCCGCGGATAGCTCTACGCAGTCCTCACGGCTCCCGTCTCACGAGAAGAACTCACGTGGCATATCCAGCGAATGGAAAAAGCACATGGGCAGACAGGTGGAGTGCGTTGTCTGTTTGGAGGAATATGTCGACGGCGTGAGCAAGGTCATGAGTCTCCCCTGCGGACATGAATTTCACGCCGAGTGCATGTAAGTCACCGCCGCCTTATAAAGCTGTCGATTCAAGGAGCATACTGACGTGACGCAGAACACCGTGGCTCACCACCAGACGCCGCACATGTCCGATTTGCAAAAACGACGTTGTTCGATCACTTGCTCGTGGTACCTCGTCCGGGCCACAGTACGAGCCGTTTCATGAGGACGGCTACGAGAGCCCCGAGGAGTCCTCCGACATGTTCCAGGAGAGGATCCCTTCTCCAAACCAACTTGAGGATCTCGAGCGAGGACCTTCGTTTACCCAATCAGTGAGACAGGATTGGCGCGGACACCGCCACGATGTCTGGTACAGCACCTTGGCAAGCCGTTTCGGGGGGAGCTCGTCCTTCTCAACAAGACGGGAAGGTTCCGGGGAAGACCGCGGTCGATGACCGGCGCCCCAGTTGTGAACTTGATCAAACTCCACTTCAGAGAATTTACCGATTATTGGTTGGCATCATGGCGGTTTTTTGTTTTGCATTTCATGGGGGAGAGGGAAGATTGGCGCTTCAGGCATACAGCAATGGGACGGGGTGCTAGGGGCACTGGGATTGACACTCGCTTTTACTTATGCATATTGTGATACCTCTTTCCTACGGTTTTTTTAGTCAACTCGGGAGATCAGGCCCGATTAACCTATATTGGAGCAGGATGCGTCGGATTAGGATGACAGATGGTAATGGATGGGGAATTTGGCTATGGTGAACCCCATCGTATATGAAGTCAGATCAGATGTTGCAGGAGCTAGAAATATTTTAGAACATATTCCACTCGTCCGTCCCGTTTGTGCCGTCAATACAACGTATACTTCCCGAAAATACAATCTGTAGAATCGTGCACAGTTTAAGGGGTACGAAGTTGAATGGAAGGTACCGAATTCTCAAATAGGGAATGACGGATGGACTCAGGTCAGCGATCCACCCCACACACTCTCCCTGCTGGGCAACCTTAACACGCGCATCGCGACTGCCGCAGAACCTCATCATAAGCGGTTACCGAGTTGTTGGGTACGACCGACAAGAGATTTTGCGCAAGGGTCATACAATTTCACGTGGCGCCTTCCTCCCCAATCACGAAACTAGGCTGGTTATGTGAGTTCGAGAACTTTGAGTATCCACGCTCGCCCAAACAATCCTCTACGTTGCCAAGAGTCCCTCAACCACCAAGCAGCGTGCGCGATCGAGCAACCCGCTGCCACTCACTCAGTTCATTTCCCACGCCACTTGTTGAGCACGTATTTATTGTCTAAAGTCCCGAGCAGGGACCACGCCCTGCTTGGGCCGCTAGCAATGAAACCATGTCGCGATACCTCGCTCCGTCCAAAATCGGCCTGCTAGCGCTTGTCGAGCTATACATTGAAGGGGCAGTTCCCAACGATGCCATCACTCCGGTTATCAATTTTCTCATATCCCACCTGCTTGACTGCAGCCTAACGGGCGCCTCGGCCTCTCCCGCTGAGCGTTGGAGGGAAGCGGAAAACACCATTCGACTCGTCGTGTCGGTTCAGCACTTTGAGGAACTGCTGGCGCCTTTCGCTGCGGTCGACCGCCTACCCGGACGGAGTCTGTGGGACAGGTTTCTAGAGAAGCTCTGGGGGATCGACTCGCTGCATACGCTGCACGAGTTTTTCGACCAGCTCCCGGGCCACCTGGCGCGAACCAAGACCGAGCTGCGTGAACTGACCGCTCGCGGCGAGGAGCCTCCGTCCGGCGTTTTGCTCACGCGCAATTCTCCCTTTGGCGTCTTTGTCAGGAAATCGCACCTCGAGTACACAAGATTGCACTTCGACCATGTGGCCGAACTTTGGAAGATGTTCGTCAAGTACCGTCAGTCAACGGCTGGGTACTGGAGACGCCGAAACCCTCACCATAGCCGGCTCAGTTTTGACTCGGTGCTCCTGGAAGGCGAGCATGAATGGGGGCGGCAGACGGATGGCATCGCCGTGGCGGCCTACGGAAATATGCTGCTCATGGACGGCCAAGATCCCGAACTACCAGTCAGCACCGACGATATTGAGAGTCTACTAGAGTTTCAGATCGAGCAGGTGCAAAGTAAGCTCCCCGTTTCATACCCGTGGAAGCAGGCAAACTAACCGCGATAGAATACGGAACTAGAGTACCACCAAAGATCAGAGAGCAGTTTCAGAGACTTCTAAAAAGTAGCCGGGTCGTCCCAAGCTTGTCACATTACCTCAAGTTCGTCCTGCATGCCCTGGTTTATCGGATTTTGGCTTACCACGAGTAGCTTCTCCGACTCGTGGCGGTCGGGCGAGTTCCCGGCGGCCTTCGACCAGCTCCACCGGTATTTCGATTACACCATGCAGAACCGGGACCGGTTGTTTTATCAATACGCGCTGCTAAACTTGGGGATCGTGCAGTCAGATTTTGGCTGCCACAAGGAGGCTGTGGCGACCATGCTCGAAGCCATTTCAACTGCGAAGGAAAATCGGGACACTACGTGCCTCAACTTTGCGTTAAACTGGTTTTTCCACTTCGGCAGAGCTCACCCGAACCTCGTCAAGGAACTCGAGGATAACAGCATGCTCGGGAGTGGCAAGGAGTTGTTGGCATTCCTCCGCGCAAAGGCTAAGGAGACAGGCATGTGGATACTCTGGAGCTCGGCGCTGTTGAGTGAGGCCAAACTGGGGCTATCAAATGGCGAGAGCATCTCGGTTGCCGTCGAGAGCATGGTACGAAGCTCCCAAGTCATTGTGGAGAAAAATGTCAAGGCGATGATGGGTCCCCAGCTCTCCATGGGGATTGCCTTGTGGGACAGGCTCGGTATGACGGTCATGTCGAACATGACGTGCGAGGTCTTCCTACGTTGCTATGTTCACAGTTCCGTATTTGACGACGAGCTGAAGCTCACTTGCCGCATGGCGGGCATGCTTGCCGGAAAGGGGCAATACGAGAAAGCATACGCAAAACTCGAGAGCATAGACACCAACTCGCTCCGATCCGCGAAACCCGACCAATACTGGCACCTCTACCGCGGCCTCCTCAAACTGCGCCGAGACCTTCACCACAACAACCTCGACTCCGCCGAGGCCCTACTCTCCCAGCTCCTCCAGAACACCTCCGAAGATATCGAATCTGATATAATCTTCATCATCGACACCCTTCACATCGAGGCCCTCATCCGCCGCAACGACTTCGACGCCGCCTTCACCAAGGCCGACCGGCTCATCTCCGAACTCCGCGAAAGCGACCGGGACTCGTCTCTGCGCATCCGGCTGCTGCTCATCAAAGTCCAGCTGTTCGACCGCATCGGCCGGCCCGAGAAGGGCTTCACGCTCGCGATGCGGGCGGCGAGCATGGCGTGGCGGGCGCGGCTCCTCGGGCAGCTCTGGCAGGCCGTCGGCGCCCTGGCCAACATCCTCAACGCGCTCGGCGAGTTCGCCGCCGCCGACCGCCTGCTCGTCGCCGTCCTCCCGCGCTGTCTCGAGACCGACGTCGCTTACGCGGCGGGGAATCTGTATAACCTACTGGGTGATGCGAGGGCGGGGTTGGTGGGGGAGATGAAGCGGGGGCGCGGTGGGGGGTTGTTGGAGGAGAGGGGCAGGGTGGTGATAGTGGCGCACGAGGCGCTGGACGAGGCGTTTCGGTGCTATGAGGCGGTGGAGGATGCGGTTGGGAGATGTGAGGTGATGGCTAAGAAGGCGACGCTTTACAGGGTGGAGGGAGATCTTGCCAGGGCAGATGAGTGTGCGGATACGTATTTGAGGTTGCGGGATGAAGAGGTAGCTAGGAAAGGGTGATGTGAACTGAAGGTTGGCAACGGGAAAGAATTGCCGGTGGGTAGCTAGAAAATGCCAGGGAGAAACAAACCAACGGCCCGGACTGGTTATAGAAGTTTCGACTTCCGAAATGTCACCGACCGCCCGCAAATGGCACAACGGTCAGTGTGGGTGGTCAAGGCCCCGGGGCGAAATCTTTCCCTTGGTGTATCTCTCCTCGAGGAGGGGTCACCGGTTCGAGCCGCCCCCGGGCAGAAAAAAGAATGGTGCTAGCCCCCTTCCCGATGCAAACCCCAGCGGGGTTTCGTAGCCAGCTCCCTCCCTCAGGGGGCCTAACCGGTGAGCTTTTGCTCTTTTTGCTGCGCTTCCTGTTTGACTCGAACTTTATGGAGGTGTACCATGGAAGCCGGTAGCTCTTGCTGAGCTTGGGGACATGGTGGGAATAGCGGTTGTCAATCTAAGTTTCTCAGTTCAAATCTATCTCAGCGACCGGAGAGTCAGTGATGTGTTTCCCTGCCGCAGCCCGTTGGGCCAGACCCCTTCGGATTCTAGATCTAGTTATGGGTCTGCAAGAATGTCGTTTCCAAGCCGAGTCAATAGGTCAAATGCAAACGGAGCATAGTACAGGCAGCGGGGCAGGTTTGTCATTGAGGCCCGGATCACCAGGACTTGATTCTTCAACGCTAGGAAACATGTACAGTTGGCTGTCTGCGTGTTTGTCGTTCCCCGACCTCGTCTACCTTCACACCCCCACTGTCTTCAAATCCTCTCCCAACGACGACCAGGTTACCCCACGTCTTGCCGTTTAGGTGGTCTTGTCCTTGTTGTGGTAGTTGACCGAATCGTTCCAGCTGTGCGTCAGGGTTAGCGGGTCACATTCTAGTCTCGGCTCCCTCACCAGGCTCTCCTTATCCTGGAGCAGCGTAACGGGGTTTTGGCAGAGATACGTACAAGAGGGTCTGTCGGGTCTGGTTAGCTTCGTAATCTGCAGGGAAGCGGGGGGAATAAACGTACCTTGTCACCATCGCCCCATTGGAAGTTCTTGGTGCGGATGTTCTGGTAAGGGTACTCGACGCGCTCCTCGAGAGGGGGCATGTGCGACCAATGCTCCCAATGCTCATTCCAGAGCATGTAGGCGTTCGCGCCGGCGAGGATGAGGGCGGGGGGGATGCCGCTGTTGGGGGTGCTTGTGTTAGCTCCGCTTGTGTCTTGCTCTTCCGTTTCTCCATTCCAACCCCTCCCATCTCGCCCTCCTAGTTCCATAGCAGTTTGATCCTCCTCTTCTAGGTATTTGCGAGATGAACAGGCCGTGGGTTCGGAGGGTTGCAGCGTAGGTTTATGAAAACCACGCAGCGAGGAGGCAAGGGATTGGGGTGGCATACTAGAGGGAGATCTTGCGCCAGAGCTCTGCTCCACTGTTAGCCTTCTAACCGATCGACAACACAAACCCTTCGGGGATTCGCACCAGTGGTGGGACCGGCGTGCTCCTTGACGTGGCGGCGTTCGCGGACGAAGGCGTTCTCGGTCTCGGTGCTGGCGAAGCGGCGTTGCGCCTGGGCGCGGGCCTGCGCAGTGAAGCGCTGGGTAGCGCGAGCGATCTGGCGCTGCGCAAACATTGTGGTCGGTTGCGTCGTCGGCGACTCGATTCGAGGTGGTGTGGTGTGTCAATTGCGTGCGGGAGGAGCTTCCAAGGTGAAGCAAGCGATGGATGAGGCAACGGACCCGCTTTTTGGCCAAGCTGGGGTGAGGTCAGACCCCCAACGAACCCAATCAGTTCATTTTCGGCCAGACCTCGGGTGTGTGGGCTGTGATGACATAATCTGGGTAAAGTGGAAGAATCCTGATCAGGTGACCTCGCGATCGGCAAGGAGGATGTTCGTGACGCCTGCCATCTCAATTCGCGAACCTCCGGGAGAATTACGGCGAGTTGAAAGACAAATCGTTTTGTTGCGCTGCCCATTCATGTGAATTACCGAATTTAAAACGAACCTACCTTGAAACTGGAATCCCCATTGTTGGCGATGAAATCCCCAAATGTAAAGCCACAATTTCCACCTTGATTTCAAGATCTCGTTCCTCACCGCGCCTTTGATCGTTTGAAGCCTCCAATCAATCCTACACCATTTCACCCATGGTTTGCTGGACTTGCCACCCAACTGCGGATCCTGGATGCTTCAACCTATTCACTAAACTTTACGTGTTTTCGCCGGTCAACTCGAATCTGGAGCGTCAGCATCACACTTACCCTCGTTTGAAGCGGCAGAAGTGAAGATGCCGCTTCGAATCACGACATGGAACGGTAAACATCTTCGCCTCAGGAACTGCCACCTAGCTTCTCATCGTTAATTCTCTTGTAGTCAACGGCATAAGAAATCCCTTTGGGTACCAACCCTGGCGGGAGAAACGCACTTTCCAGGTATCACTATCATGCCTGCGACGCGCTGAAACCAAGCTGACTCCTTGTAGGCCATGTTTGACACCCTAGAAGCAGATATCGTGGTGATGCAGGAGACCAAAATCCAGAGAAAAGATCTCACTGATGACATGGTTCTGGTCCCCGGCTGGGACGTGTTCTTCAGCCTTCCAAAGCACAAAAAGGGTTGGCCGAAGCTCGATGACCCGATGCTTGCTACACTTTGCTAACCCACGGGGAAGGATACTCCGGCGTGGCCATATATACGCGCTCTTCTAAGTGCTGCCCTATCCGCGCAGAAGAAGGCATCACTGGCACACTCTGTCCCCCGAATTCCTCGACCAAGTTCCGAGACCTCCCTGTTGACCAACAGATTGGCGGGTACCCTGCTCCTGGGCAACTTTCAGACTCAGTCGACGAGCCAACCCTCGATTCCGAAGGCCGCTGCGTTGTTCTGGAGTTCCCTGCCTTCGTTCTCATCGGGGTATACAGCCCTGCGAACCGGGACGAGACGAGGGACGAGTTCCGCCAGGCCTACATTGATGCTATCGACGTCAGGGTCCGCAACCTCGTTGCCATGGGGAAACAAGTCTTCCTCTGTGGTGACCTCAACATCATCCGCTGCGAACAAGATACCGCCGGTTTGGCAGAGCGCCTGCGGAAGGCGGAGATGACGCTCGACGATTTCTTCTCCACACCCTCCCGGCGCTTCTTCAACCAGATCGTGTTCGGGGGGCGTGTCATTGGGGAGAGAGATGAAGGCCGGGAAGAGCCCGTGCTTTGGGATCTTTGCAGGGAATTCCATCCTACCCGTGCCGGCATGTACACCTGCTGGGAGACTCGGAAGAATGCGCGGCCGGGCAACTTTGGGAGCCGGATAGACTACGTGCTGTGCAGCCCCGAGATCAAGGATTGGTTCATCGACTCCAACATCCAAGAAGGCTTGCTGGGCTCAGATCACTGCCCCGTATACGCTACGATTGACGACACCGTCAACGTCGGTGGCACCAAGATCTGCATAGAGGATGTCATGAACCCGGTGGACATGTTCAAGGATGGCAAGCGCCAGCGAGAATGGTCACCAAAGGACCTGCTTCCGGCATCCGCTAAGCTCATCCCCGAGTTTGACCGCCGACGGAATATCCGGGACATGTTCTTCAAGAAAGCCACACCATCAGCAAAGGTGGATTCCAAGCTCACCACGGCTGGCTCTCAGGATACACCTCGTGTCACTGGTACTGCACTCGATGGAGGGGATAGTAACGGGTCCCGGAAAGAAAGCGTTGTTTCCATTGCGCAATCGTCAAGTCAGCCAGCAGTGATGGCAACAGACCTGGCGACAATCACCACCACTACTCCACAGAAGCCACCTCTACCCAAACGACAAGCAGAATCCTCGATATCTCCACACCGGCCGCAAAAGAAGGGTAAACCGGCCCTCAGCAGAGAGAATTCGACAAAGTCAACGCCGGGCTTCGCGCAAAGCAGCCTTAAAGGGTTCTTCAAGCCCAAAACACCTACACCAGGCACCACGCCTACCACCGAGAGCGACAGCACCGCCGGTACCCCCCCCACTCCGAACAAAGCATCTGCGGGGCGGGCCTCCAAGCAACGACGTGGGGCAGGCGAACCAAGCAGCACGCCCGCCACTGAGAACGACACCCAGAACACGGTCGAGGAAAGCCCAAAACCGGAAAAGTTCTCTCCTGAGAGGGTGTTCGATCCTATCGAGGCGAAGGAGTCCTGGTCCAAGCTGCTCGGCAAGCGGGTCCTCCCCAAGTGCGAGCACGGCGATGAATGCCAGACGCTGGTAACTAAGAAACCCGGCGTCAATTGCGGTATGCCCTTTTCCTCTCTTGTCGGCCGGTGTTGCCTCCCACCCCTTACTTTACTTGTGTCCCCGTCTCCAAGTCATCATTGTCCGCCCGCCCCCCTGTATCACCAACCCTGTACCTCGTCTTCCGCTCTCTTGTTCCTCAACGCCCAAAATGCGTCTTGACTAACGCCCTTGCAGGCAGGTCCTTCTTCATGTGCGCCCGCCCGTTGGGCCCCTCGGGAGACAAGGAACAAGGAACCGAGTTTCGCTGTCGCACCTTCATCTGGAGTAGCGACTGGAACGGCCGCCAGTAAGGCCAAGCGGGAGGAGAGGGGGGGGGGGGGGGGGGGTTATATCGTTCCGTTGCTGAGCCTGGCTTGCTTGGCCACGTCGTTCATTGGCTGCTCGATCGGTCGGTCAATCGATCGGGGACCACAGAGTTGGGAGGGGGCCGCAGATGAATTGCCCCTCCGTTAGGCACGGTCGTCTTGAGACCGCGGGTGTTGCAAAAGCCGGACGAGATGGCTTTAGCTAGCAGTGGGCTCAGTGGACTCAGTAGGTTTCATTCTCATGCGACTTACTGTTTCCGGTTGTTCCTTTGTGCCTGTCACCATCTTAACCGTGTCTTCGGTGTCGGCTGTGAACCTCTGTTCCCGAGTCGCAGCTTCGAGCCGTGTGTGCTTCCATCCTTGTAATGGACCCCCGCCGTGAGTAAAACGAATTTGTTTCGTGATGTGATTTCTCCGTTATCACTTCACCGGCGGCGGCGGTTGCGTCGTGCCATGGCATGATCGCCGCCAAATCCGCGGGGCGAGTTGGTCGTAAGAGAGCGGCTCCCACGGCGGCTTCGCTGCGGGGCGGTTGAGTGTTGAGCATCTCGTGACTCGGAGCATGGTAGAGGACGGCAACTCTTCGTCGTCTGCGGTCAGGCAAGTCGGTAATCCACAGTCACACGATGAATGGAGAAGGTTACGGCGGCTAAGTCTTGTTTGTCTTCCCAGGCCTATGTATCCTCCAATAAGGGCCCTTGCAGCTCCAACCTATCTTCAATCGTCCCCCATCGCCCTCAAAATCGATCCCAATGCTACACAACGCCGAGTACGATGTTGGCCCTTCCCAATTTCCCCTTCCTCCAAGAGGTCAATCCCAGAAGTTCATCTCCAAGAACTTAATCCCAGAGTCCATCTTTCGGGCTGTCTCCTCCCCTTGAAATTGAATCACAGGGAATAGCACGAGTGACCGTCAATCAACGTTCGTAGTTCCCCTCCAACAAGTTTCCTCAGGCTGTTGTCGCATCGTGGTGAAGGCATAGTGAAAATCATCGTTTCATATGAGTGGGAGGGGTGGTGTCAAGTCCTTTGCCGCTCCCCAAATTGCGATCGAGTCGGAGATGGGGCATGAACAAGACGGGTTGTTGCGCTGCAGTCTACCGTGAAGCGAGTGTCAGCATTATGGAACCAGGGAACCGGCTTGGTGTTCAAGGTAAGGGGGGAGACGGGGGCTGACCTGTTTTTGTCGGGTTATTCTCATCTTTCTGGGGGGGTTCCGCGTTCAGTGGTGCTTCTGGATACTTCTTTGCTACTACTTAACCGACTCAAGCCCGTTATGGTGGGCGCTGCTGAGTTAAAATCAAAGTCCAGCGGCGATCAGCCTCTCCGCGACTGCCATCGGGTCGCGAGTCAAGTTGCGCTTGGACAAGGGAAGCTGGGGGTTGCGACGGCCCGCCACATAACGGTAGCCCGGGTACATCTCCTTGTGGATGCGATCCTCCTCATCAGCCAAGGCCTTGAACCGTGCTTTGACCTCGGGCTTCTCAGCCTGCCAGGTCCGGGCAACGATCTGAGCTGTTGAATGTCAGCACAGTACAGCGACAGAAAGAAAACCGAATATTTACAGATGCAGGCAGCAGTCACACCAGGGTTGCAGGCGTGGATCTTGGCTGACATCCACTGACGGTAGATGATGAACTGATTGCGAGGCCGACGAATGCGCAGCTTAGAGACTTTCTGATGCTTCGCGCTTTGGGGCCCGGTCGGCATCTGGAGGACGGGATCTGACTGAATGATTAGGTCTCCGGTGACATGAAATGAGGCGCCCAAATCCCACTTACCGGCTTCAGAGATGCTGAGTACGGTGGACTTGATGACTTGATAAGCATCCTTATTTAGAGTCTCGGCGTACGGGGCGCTGGTGATCCAGTACCGAGTAGAATCTTTGGGGCGAACAATGACGGCGTGTTTGCCATCATTAAACCTCCTGAAGAAAATTAGCTAGCTGATCGACCGGCAAGTTAAATGAGTTAGACTCACTTGAAGTTCTCTAGCGCAACGCTTAGGATGTTGATGGCACCAGCTTCGTCATCGTTGTTGGCGGTGCACTGCACAATCATTTCGTTTCCGTTGAAAACGAAGGCCAGAGGGGAGGCATCCTCCATGGCGGTCGAGTTGTTAACTGTGGTGCAAGAGGCCATTGCGCTGTGAGTAGGGAAAGTCGAGCCGATTGTCGCTGGAGGTTTGGGGAAATAATTAGAGCTCGCTTGGAATCCGCTGGTTGAGACGTGAGATCGACTTGCCGATGAATAAATTGAATGAGAAGGTTGTCCTAGAATGGCGAAACACAAAATGAAGTTGAAGAAGAAGAAAAGTTTGTGAATCCGAGGTCAGCCTGCAATAAGTAGTTGTGAGTTGGAATCCGGGATTTGAAAATTCCGTCTAAACTTTAATGCCTTCTAAAACGGCGAGTTAGTATTGTTACCTGTAGAACAATAGTAAGAAAAAGCGGACAACCACCTAGGAATGTACACAGTATGGCCAGTGAATTGATTCAATTTAACCCCGGGCCCCTTGCGAGCTCCCTCGTCTCTTGAAATTTACTGCATGACTCTCGCTCTCACTTTCTACCGGGAGGCTAAGAACAGCCTTGCATGCAAAAGACAACATTACTCGGTGAGCGGGCTGGTCTAAACACAACAATCCGGATCTTCTTGAAATCAAGAACAGCACCAAGAATCATGGCCGACCAGCGTCGTGCTCCCAGAGCAGCAGCATCTCTCAACAATCAACTTCCCCAGTCCCAGGAAGTGCAAATGGATCGTCGCGCACTTGGTCAGGTGAGTACCAATTCGGGGATTTGACGGACTATGCTGATGTATTTGCTTTCCATGTTTAGGTTGTTCTGCGTCTGCAAGCTCAGTACATTCGCTCCGTCATCGCGACGGAAATCGACAATTTCGAGGCTTCCTTCGAAGAGATCCTGCAAACAGCGAACATATTCTTGGTAACTACTGAGAGGGTCGCGAACTCTCCTTCGCTTGTGATTGTTGATCAGCCATCTGTGGTCAAGACCGTTTGTCACTTCCTCGCGGCGTCAAACACCATACTCGAGTTTCTCGATTTTCAGCAGAAAAGAACCGGCTTTGCATCGGGAGGTGATGGGTCCCTCGAGAAACAAGTCAAGGGAGCCCAGGCTCTAGTGAAGGAGCTCCTCACCACTCTTTTGCTTCACAAACAAGCCGAAACCTACCCCGGAAAGGAATGTGGCCTTGTTTATAACGAGGATGTCAAGGTCTATGGCGGGTTCATTCTTCACAAATATGGTCATGTTGATCAGAGCGATGTTCCCAATCCAGACGATGATGACGAGGATCTGGAGAAGCTGATGCAATACTGGCACACGGAGAACTTGGTCCATCCATTGAGACATGTTCCAGGAACTGCATGGCACAAGTTCTTTGGGAACCTTCAGCCAGGTCCGATTGTGAGCCCGGAGTTGTTTAGGGAGCGCAAACCGCAACCGTACTTCAAGCTCATGTTCCCGACTACCATCACCTGGCTGAAGCCAGAAATCGTCCGTGATTATGATAATTATCGCGAGATGTTTGAGAGAGTAAGTTATCATCATCATCGCGAGTCAACGGGTTCGCTAACACCATCCAACAGCTTCATCGAGTCCCTGGCCCACGTCTCTCGGAGTTCGCCAAAGCCGTGAGTCCACTTTATATTTGCACCAACGCACGAGCTAACACCGGACAGGCCGTAACTAGACAGATTCAGAGCCGCCTTTCCCATTATTTCAGGGGCTGGAAGAGAACCGAGGACGCAATAATCTTATGCCTCGAGGATATGAGCGAGGTGAGTCACGACTTTGGACATTTACGAACTCGAGCACGAAATTAATTGTGACCAAACAGACTCCTTGCCCGGAATATGACCTCTTGGGTCGCTCAAGGCCCGAGGCGCTAAATGCCGAGATCAATGCACCGGGCTTGGCAGGAATTGCTTTGATGGGAGAGGAGATTCCCGATGTCCCCATTTTCCTCGAGGGGGAGGCTCGCAAATACTGTCTCGAGTTCGACGGCCAGTGGAATTGATAGTTTTTAGAGCTCATGCGTTTTATTCTCGGGTTGATGTCTATGGAACTTTCGGGTAATTGGGGTAGTCGGCTATTTCCACTGTCACAAATGAGCCCGTTTCACATACTTTGATGTGTTGCACTTAATGTGACCAGAGGTGAACAAAGAAATTGAGCTGATTAGGAGAGTATGCCACCTTAGGTAAGCGTACGGACCTGATCTTTGACCTCCAATTAAATACATACAAACGCACGGTTGGTGCTTTCCCTCCTGCATTCTTCGAGAGCTTAAAGTTTCCCTCGTTCCAAAAAAGTGTCTGCGACCCTTGAAAAAACATCCGGCTTTTTGACCCTCAACGCCGTAACAAGCTACACCGTTGATCGAGAATGGAGGGCGTCAATCAGATCATCCAAACCTTTGAAGGTCTTCCAGCAGGAGACCGCGAGACGACAATGAAAGCGCTCTCGACAATGATGCGCGCTGAAAACCAGCGTCAGCCTGCGAAAAAGAAGGTCAACGGGTTTATGGGGTACCGTGGTATGTCAGATGAACGTAGAAGATTGTCGCTTGATCTAAACGTTTTCAGCATACTACTCATCGCTCTTCTCCCAGCTCACACAGAAAGACAAGTCGCCTATTATGACGATGCTTTGGAAAGAGGATCCGTTCCACAAAGAGTGGGATTTCATGTGCGCCGTGTATTCGGCTATCAGAGAGTTTCTGTCAGACGAGAACATTACGCTGCAGAACTGGATTCAGTTTGCCATCAAGCACATGGGTATTGTTGTCCGCGAGAGCTACTTGACGGCATTGGGCTGGAAATTGATCCGGCTCGACGACGGCACCCACAAGGTTGAGCGCACTGCAGTCCGAGGTGTCGAGAGCTATCTCCAGCCGATGAATGGCCTTGGCCTGTTCATGAACTGCCTTAACGGTGGCCTGCCGGTTGTCAACCCGCTCCCCATCATCGCGAAACTCACCGACCTTACCAACGATGTCATCTGCGTCAACACACAGCCGGGGGCTGCAACGAAGTCGACCAACACCATGGAGAGCTTTCGCCAATTTGCGAAGAATAACCCGCATTTAGCCATGTCGGCGCTCTTCCAGGTCCCCACGGGTCATCCGCTCATTAGCCAAGGCGTCACCGTGCACCAGCTCCCCGACCTCGCGGCAACCGAGCCGTTCTTTACAGCCCAGAACGAGGATCCGGAGCTGGATGCGATGCTGGACAGGATCTTCCAGGGTGAAGGCAACGGCAATCTTGGCAATCAGGCCAACACCGGCAATCAATTCTACACGATGGGCATGGGAAATGGCGCACCTGGTACGTCTCGCCACCTTCTGAACGGGACCCCGACGCTAACAAAACCGCAGGCTTCAATTGAGGCCCCATTTGCAGGTCAGCAACAGACAGGCGTGGTAGACAAGCCGCTCGATCACAAGCACAGCTCAGTGCGGATATTGCGGAACCAAGTCAGCAGCGGGGTTGTGTGGGCAACTCAACTGTCAGGGACCACTCCCAAGTCCGACAACCTTCGACAAGGAAGACAATCTCAGGGAATGATATTACCGTGTCATTGGCTAATACCACCGTACCGTGTGAGGGACCCTGCATTCCCGACTGCGTGGCTTGCGGACTTGCGGCAGCCTGCCGAATGTTTCTGAGAAAGCCGTTTGTCTGTCGCCACCATTTTCAATGAGATCCGAGTTTCCCAACATCATAGCACCCGTCCGGGAAGAGGGGAGATCAAAAGGTGAACAAACATGACAAAGGGCAAGGGACGGAGGGAGGCGAAAGACCTGCCGCTCGACGGAACAAACCAAACCCTCAAGCGTCTCGACCTCGCTTTCTCCCGCCCGTATGCAGACAAACCCCCCCATTCTCCGTTACATAGGTAGACGAGAAACTCTCGTACACAGTGAAAAATGAAAAATGACAACTCTCAAGCTCCAAATTCGCACATATCACGCTGCAAGGGAGGCAGGTGCGCGCACCCCGTCACTTATAAGACATTGGCGCGCACGTCGGAAGCGACCTGTCGTCGATTTAAAGCAAGCCCAGTTCCAATGGATCCCCCGCTAATGCACGGCCGATCCGCGGGCCAATCTCCTGCTCAGCCGCAGGACGGTTTGGGGTTCCAGGTTGGGCGGGGTTCCACCGACCAGGCCCGAACCGGGGTAGGTGAGTGGGGCACTTTGTTGGGGCTCCTCCGTTGGAGGGAAGAGCGCGCGTTTTTGGTTCGGACACCGGATCCCGGCTGGTTCTTTTGGGGTTGGGAGGAGAGGGGGGCTTGCATATTTCTGGGGACCCTACCTGATGCTGTGTCACTGCGAGTTGCCGAGTTTATGCAGCCCGGATGCGTTATTATGTTGCGTGTCCTGTGACGACCGACCGTTGCATGCCTCGCGTCCTGCGCGCGCAGCAGCAGCCGCGTTCGTTTTATGTACTGTGTGTGTGTGTGTCGTGTTCATGAGAAGGATTACAAAAGGCCACGGCGGGGAAGGGGAGAGCCGAACAATTTCGGGGGGCCAAGCGAGGGTTTTCGGGTGTCTTGCAGAATTTCTGCAACGGCCATTCGTGTACGGGGTTTTGCGGAGGGCGGGATGGTGGTAGGGTTAGGGCTGAGGGCTGAGGTTGGGTTTGCTTTTTCCCCGATCAGCTGACGGCTTGCTTGTTGATGAGCAAACAGCATGCAATGCGAGGTGAAGGAGGCACGCAGACCGCCCAGTGCCCGGTAGTTACGGTGTACTGTGGAGGAAAGGCTGCCGGCGGCTACGGCACCCTTTTCGTGCCCCCAGTTCCGCGGACGTTTCGAGCGAAGCCGAGGGAGCATCTATTTCCGAACTTGATTGATGCCGCGTCACACAACATAGCCGTGATCCATAAGACCCAGGGTTTTTACCGATTAGATACACACCACACCGCAGATCTTGCATGCTTTATAGACTTGACATGTTTCACGGGGGTTCGGAACGGGAGGCGATGGTGGGACGCGGGGTGGGGGTGCGGAAGATAGGTAGGTGATGGGGTTCAGGGTCGGGCCGGAGGGCATACCCGCCGGCACCGGGAGATCGCAACGGTTCCGCTGTCGCTGCCGTGTGACCGGGGATAGCAAACCGGGACTGTGGATGGGGGAGGCTCGTGGCAAACGGAGAAATTTCGTGTGTTTGGCCGGACAAGGTCGTCCCCAGCGTAACCCGGGTAACAGCATCGCATATATGTTGCAAATGTTTGCCCACTCCCGACAGCAGGGGATCCCTATCCCAACCCCCAGCGCTGAATCCCGTCAAGACGAAAATGAACGATGTGTAACGCCCAAGTAAGGGCTCCAGGAGTTGCTCAAACTAAGTACGTCGAAGTGATGCCGAATAAACCCCAATTGCCGCTGCTCAGCCCCGCGGCGCGCCCCAATCCATACAGGCTTCCCGCACAACACACCCTTACTCCTCCTGGTACGAAATTTTGCGCATCTCGCCGAGGCGGTGACGGGCAGCGGACAGCGAGTTCTCCAGCTGAAGAATCTCGACCTGCGTTGCGAAGAGTGGTTAGACAAATGATGGGCTAGGGCACCGGAAGGAAGCGAATGGTGAGAATACTGAAAACATACCTGCTGCTCCATCTCGCGCACCTTGAACTCGTGTGCGCCCAGCTTGGAGTAGTCCACCTGTTCCTCCCCAGCATTGCGATCCTTGATCATGGCCTGCACCTGTCGGACGAGAGAGCGGCAAGCGGCCCCGACAGCCTTGCTGGCTTGCTCGAGGTTCTCTTGGCTCTTGCTCATGAAGCCGGCCTTGACGCGGCTGGCGGCCACGAGTTGCGCCGTGGACGCTGCCACATCGTTGGACGCCACGATGAGCTGTTCCGGGCTGTTGCGGTTCGAGAGGACACCGTCAGCTGTCTCGATCAACGTGTTAGTCGATCCCGCGACCGCCTTGGCAGCCGAGATGAGCCCTTCTGTCCACCTGTTGTTCTTTTTGTAGAAGGCCGTGCGCGACGAAGAACCGCGCCCGGCTTGCACAATCTCTTGCTGTGTGACAGTGGCGGCCTTGATGAGCTGCGCGATGGCCGTGGTGATCGCCATGGCGGCATCCAGGATCGAGTCGTGCACCCGAAGCTCGTAGGTCGAGTAGCCGTCACGAGGCTTGTTCTTGAGCTTGTTCAGGCGGTCGACCGCTGCCTGGATGGCATCCGCCGCTCTGCTCAGTTCTTGGTCGACAACATCGCCCAAATCACCCTTGTTGGCGAGCTTGCCGAAGCCCGGCGCGAAGGTCTCGACCAGGTTGTTGAGTTTCTGAAGGTTCACCTGGACATCATGATTGCTGTTGATGACGACGTCCGTCTTTTGCATCGCATCCATTCCCTCCAGTCGGAAGCTCAGCAAGCTGCGGAAGAAATTGACGGTGGCATGGGCGGATTGGCGGGCACCGCTCATCATGGCGTCACTCTTTTTTTCATCGGTGGCCAGACGTGTCAGACCCTTCGCGTTGCTGCAGACATCTGCAATGGCACCAGAAAACACGTTGACGGTCTTGATCAAATCCGCATGGGTGCTGTTGGGCCCGTCCGCTACGAAGGCGTTGAACGACGTCGCAAACTCGGTGGCGCTAGCCGACGCCTTCTCAATTTGCGATAGAACGAAAGATGGGGAGGCATTCTGGTTACCCGCTTGCATGGTCGAGTCAAGCTCGTACATGGCGTCGTCGACGCGCTGTACCCCCGCCTGGAGCACCGAGTCGATTATGTCGTTGATCTTGCCTAGTTGACCGAGGATTAAGGCATCGAGTTGGCCATCGAGCACCTGATCCGATGTGCCTTGGTTGTTCCTTAGCTCGTTGAGCTCAAGCAAGGTCTGGTCCATGCCAGCTTTGTAAACCTCGAGTTCTTCCTCCTTCTCACGAAGAAGCGCCTCGAGATCCGAGCTGCCGTCTCTCAACTTGGATTGCGAGTCCTCTAGCGCCCGCGACTTGTTGCGGAGCGCCTCCTCGAGATCTGCCATCTCGCGGTTGTACTTGGAGAGCATGGTGGAGAGCTCGTTGCCCTTGCTCCGCTCCAGGTTGTCTGCGCGATCGAGGGCCATCCGGAGCTCCCGCTTTAGTTTCTCCACCTCGTCCTTGTTGGACCCCGACACTCTATCCTTATCGTGGAGGGCCCGATCCCGCTCTCGGATCATGTCGGCCAGCTCGAGGTTCTTCGTCTTGATCTCGCGCTCCAACTTCTCTCGTCGGTCGATCGCCTCCTGGGCCGAAGCAGCCTTGAGCTGCACCGACTTGAACTTTTGGAGCAGATCGAGGTGTTCGTGGCGGAGTTGGGAGTACAACTTTGCCAGAGCTTCGTACTTGGTCCTCCAGGTATTGACCTGCTCTTGCAGCGCTCGTATCTGGTCATCCTTGCTTCCCAACTGCTGTCCAAAGTTGTTTTGCAGCTGGTGTAGCTCGCCTTCCAGGGCCTTGACACGTTGGTCGTACTGCTGCAGCATCAGTTGGTCGCGTTCGTACTGCGCCCGCGCATTGAGGTTCTCTTGCTCGAGCTCAGCCAGCCGACCCTGGGTTTGCCATTGCGCTTGCTGGGCCCTAAGCGCATCCTGCTCTTGCTGTTGCTGCTCCATCAGCCGCCGCTGTTGCTCTTCGAAATCGCGTTGTGCCTGGAGTTGAGCTTGTTGTTGCGCAAGCAGCGATGCTTGCTGTTGGGCCTCCAATACCCGCTGCTGCTCCTCGTATTCTCGGTTCTGACGATCGATTTCGCTCTTCCAAAACTCGTTGATCTCGTCTGGTTCCTCAGACTTTGGCGCCGGCGGAGGCGTTGGTGGCTTCTCAATCTCCTGCTTGGGCCGCGCGGGGAGGGCTGGCGCATTCTCGTCTTCTGCGAGCAGATTGGGCGGGTCTAGCGGTAGCTTGGGGATGGTGATGAGACTGGTGAGGTAGCGGAGATTGGAGCATTCGTAGTAGAACTTGGCGAGCCGGTGGTGTTGAGCGTCGTATCTCCCGCGGAGTGGCTCGAGGGCGTCGTTGTCCCCAGTAGCTAGACAATGTTAGCCATGTCGGGCATATCAAGACAAAGGCAACCCACTAGAATGCATCGCCCTCAGCATGCTGGTAATGAACTTGTATATGCCGTAGCTCTCGGTGACGAGAGGCACGAGCGCAGAGATTCTGCACTCGTTGTTGCCGACATTGCGGAAGTGGGAGAAGATCAGCTTTTGGAACTGGTCAATCTTGTCCTGCAGGGTCATGAGGTCGGTGATGGTCTCGTAGCCCTCGTTCGGGTCGTTGATGGCCTTGAGGCTGATGTATTCCTCATACTCAAAAGTGCCGTTGAATTCCGGGTGCTGTTTGTGGAACGAGAGCTTGGCGAGTAGGTAGTAGACGTATTCCTTGATCAGGGGGCCGTAGCCGCGCATGCCCTCGCCGGCCATTCCGCGATTCAGGCTGTCGATCCACCCCTTGTTCGCCATTGCCTCCCTCAGAGTCACAGGGTGTCCCTCCTGGAGGACTTTGTGAACGGTGATCAGGGCTTTGAAGGTCTGGACCTCGTCGGCTAGGATGGGCTGGACCTTGAGCCCAGCCCAGAAGGAGAGGGAGGACTTGTGGTCCCATGTGTAGACGATGCAGCTCCGAACATGCTTACGTTTCGGGGCCGATTCCTCGGGGCTCGTGGCCTTCTTGATGTTAATGGCCAACTCGGCCTCGGACCTGCGCGACATGCTTGGTTAGTCTACAATACGGGAAAGGCTGGAGAATCGTCGACTGCTGATGGCGGGAAGGAGACAGGGCGCAAACTAACTTGGTATGGTCGAGGCTGCGTATAGTGGCCATGTTGGGCGGTTATCGAGTACCGTCGTGTTGCTTTGTAGATTTGCGAATCAGAGTGGTTCGGGATGACGAGACAGCGAGCGACACTGAACAAGTCAAATCATTTGTACAAGTCGGGTCGCGTCAGGGGGGCTCTCTGGGACAGCTTCGGGTGCATCAGCAACCCTGCACAAATTGACAGAGAATAGGGAAAGCTCTCTCAGGTATAGCGGGTAAGTCACTCGCTGAGTTGCGGGGCTTATCGACAATAAAACAAAAAAAGGGTGATATTAGGAGGTGTTCGTATGTAAATTAAGCCGTGGAGTTCGAAGCTCGCCTCCCATCGTCGTCAGCCCGTCTTGGAAGTTGCGCGGCGATTACTTTGGCTGGGCGGCCGTATGGCCAATCAGAGCACCGGAAGTGGGGCTTCGCCGGACCGCTGTGGTGCAGGCAGCTGTCATGCGGGTGCGCAAGCTCCAACCCCGCCAATCTTGCCGCAGGCTGCCAAGCCACCAAGCCCAGCGAAGGAGGGGCACTCAGCCGCTGCAAGGCTACCGGAGGTGTCACGGGGGAGGGACCCGTTGGCTCGTCATTTGATGACCCGGCGTTTCCAACCGTCAGTTTACATCGCGTCATCCTAACATCGACCCTCGGACTTTTTGTTCCCTCGTTCCCTTCTCCTTTCATCAACTCCGCCGAGTTTTCGCAAACGAAGAAATTACTCGCTGCGAGCCATTTCCAACTTCTTGAACCCGATAACCTCCTTGACCCACCCCCGCACTCGCCGTGCCCGTCTCCGAGGGGCACCACACCTACAACCATGAACATCATTTACTCAACAGTAAATAGCCTGCGCGACAGGTACACCCCCGCGAGCCATACCTCAACGTTCCGCAACACGGGGGAGATCACACCCGAGGAGTTCGTCGCTGCGGGCGACTACTTGGTCTTCAAGTTCCCGTCGTGGACCTGGGCCGACGCCGAAACACCGAGCAAGCGCATTAGCCATCTCCCGCCGGAGAAGCAGTACCTAGTGACGCGCAACGTCCCGTGCCACCGCCGCCTGAACGACGATTTCGCTGGCGATGCGGGCCACGAAGAAGCCGTGGTAGAGGGCGGCAAGAACAGCGATGACGATGGCTGGCTGCGGACCGGCGGCCTGACCAGTTCCCAGCCGCTCAAGGCGAGGGATGTGCGGACGGTAGACGACGCTGGGAACGTCGGCGACCGCGAGGACGACGAAGACGACATCCCGGATATGGAGGACGAGGAGGACGATGAGGCCATCATCCATGATGATGGGAATAGCAAGCACAGGTGAGCAGCCGTTACTCAACGCCGGATGTTGTTGTGGACAGATGCTAACTCGGTTTTCGTAGCGGGAGCCGAACCTACTCGTTGTACATTACCTACTCGCCGTGGTACAAGACCCCTCGGATGTACATGTTGGGGTATCAACCCAACGGCTCAGCCCTCGCTCCGCACCTTATGATGGAGGACATCGTTGGCGACTACAAGGACAAGACGGTCACCCTGGAAGACTTCCCGTTTTTTGCCACCACCGTCAAAATGGCGAGCATACATCCCTGCAAGCATGCGCCTGTCATGAAGACCCTTCTCGACCGGGCTGACGCGGCGCTCAAGCTGCGGAAGGAGAGGCAGAAGGCTGGCCAGGCAGCAGGCAGCACTCAGGGCCTGGAGGGGCTGGAGGCCCAGGTTGGCAAGCTCAGCGTCAGCCCGAACGCTGCGGATGCCCCTATCGACGCCAACGATGAGTGGGAAGAGGTACAACATGACGTTGCCGACCAGGATGTGGCCATCCGTGTAGACCAATACCTGGTAGTGTTCTTGAAGGTGTGTCTCGAGTCCCGCTCCGTGGTCCTGGTGAGTTTAACTAACTGACGTCTCGAACAGTTCATTGCCAGTGTTACACCCGGTATCGAGCATGACTTCACCATGGGCGTGTGATATCCCGGTCTGGTCTTTGACGGTTTCCTTGTGTCGGTATGGCGTTTTTGGGTTGGATGCGGCTCGTTCAGGTATAGATGGCGATGGGGCAGATATGGACAGATGGAGTACCAGGCGCATAGCAGTAAGCAGGTAGGCGGCAAGCAGCATGATGGCAACACAAATCAAACAGAACAGATTGGTCATGACTAGACCTGTATTCATTACTCCTCCTCCTCCTCCTCCTCCTCCTCACTGACCTCCTCACCCGCCTCGATCGCCTCCTGCCTCCTCCTCGCCGCCCGCTCCCTCTTCTTATCCAACAGCTTCTGCAACCTCTTCGCCGCATTAAACACCCCGTTCGTCCCCGCCCCGCACGCCGCGCAGCTCGGGTCCTTCCGATACCTCTTCAGCGCGCACCCCTCACAAAAATAATGCCCGCACCGCGTCACTACCGGCGCCTTGTACGGCCCGCGGCAAATAATACACACAAACGGTATACCCTCCAGCATCGCCGCCTCCTCCTCATCCCCCTCCCCACCATCCCCCTCAGCACCACCACCAGCCAACTTCCGATCCGCACTCGCCACCACCGTCCCGCCAATCACCTTCTTCCCCTTGGTCACGGCCTCCCACTCGCGGTCCAACTGCCACCCGTGCGCGTAGTCCTCGCGCGCGTGCAGGAACTTGCACCCGTCGCCGAAGCCGCAGAACCCCGAAGTTTTGTAATCCTTGCAGATGTCAGGCGCCATGTCGGTGATGGTCACCGTGCGGATGTTGGTCGGCGCCTTGATGGGGCCGACGGTGCGCGCGGGCGGGCGGTCCGGGTTGTGCACGGTGTAGCGGGTCTGGTTGGCCAGGCCTTTGTAGGTGCCGTCGGGGGGTTCGTTGTTGCTGGTGGTGGAGGGGGGGTTTTTCATGGCGCGGGTCGAGCCGAGGAGGTTGCGTGAGGAGAGGTTGGTGGTGTCTTCGTCGTACCAGTTGCTTTGCTTGGTTGCCTCGAGCTTGCCGGTGTCGAGGGAGCGGTTGCGGTCGGCTTCGAAGACGGTCGCGGAGAGGTTGGTGTTGTCGGAGGAGGCGGCGGCGGTGTTGCCTTTGGAGGAGGCGACTACCGCGCCCGTGTTTCGTTTCCTGCGCTTGATCCTCTGGCCGGCCTCGTCTTCGGAGGAGGAGAAATCCGAGTCGTCGCTGTCGGCTGGTGGTGGTGTCGCTGGGCGTTTTCGGAGGTTGGCTTTTCCCTTTGCGCCACGCTTCTTGAAGATGGCAACTGGCGCGATCGGCGCGGGTAGCGCATCGCCAGATGTTGTCTCTGCATCCGCCATGATATTGGAGAAGTGTGAAGTGTGTTAGGACGCGGTGAGGTGGCGATTCGAAAAGGTGTTGATGTATGTAGATGGAAGGTTATGGTAAAAGTAAGGTTATGTCATCATTGGTCCGGGCTTGGCAATAGTCGGTCGAGAACCACTCGGAGGCGCGAGGTGCTGACAAAACGGCAAGACAGAGGTACAGATAGTAAGAGCAGCAAAACAGACGCAAAAAGACAACGCATTTCTTGCTCTATCACTTTCAGGCCCAGGAATTTCCAATTTAGTTTTCTCATTCAATCATCAGACGCTGTCTCGCACACTATCCGCTATTGTACAACACCAACTCTTCCTTCCAATAATGAATACCCTCTCCCTTTTTCTTCGGCTTTTCAGACAAGACAGACGAGCGAGCGCCGTAATGCCATGCCCACGAATCTAGTGATGGAATGATAGTTCTGTGCTTTTTGCCTCACTAGCTTTTCGGGCTCGACGGTGTAGACAGGCGGCGTTCTTGAACCACCAAGAAACGGCAACTAATTGTTGGAAATCTTCCGATCCGCCGAAACAAACACCTTGTGAGAAACCCGCGAAAAAAGCCGAGCAGAATCCAACGCCATGTCCGCAAAATCTGAGAAAACATGCGCCAAATGCTGCTTGAGGATAGCCGGACGGAGAGGAACGGGTTGCGCCTTGTTGGGGTGATGCGGAACCGTAGGGGTAGTCGCGTGGATTAGTGAGCAACTGTAGGTGTTGTTGTTGGAGAGTTTGGTGGTAGTACAAAAAGACAACAGTGACGAGAGAAGAGAAAGAGAGAATCATCAACGTCATGACAACCCGTATGCATGGCCGATGTATGCATGACAGAAAACCCCAATGCAGCAGAAAATGGTTCTTGTAACGAACGACGAGAAAGTAATGATGCGCTGGCCCTCAAAAAAGGGGCATCAAAGAGTTGATATTCCAAGGAAATTTAGAGAGTGAGCCTGGACGGTGTTCATGCCCGGGACCTCACGGTGCCAACCGGGGTTGGGGCTGACGAGGGGGTGGGTGAGCGGAAGCCTGCAACCGAATGGCGGCCCTTTTTCGCACTATTAGTGAGGGTGCCGACATCGTGTTTGCCTGTTCGGATTTGTTAGTGCCTGCGTTGTGGACTTGCGTCTACTTAATCAAGGGGTAACTTACCATCGCAGCACGCGCGAACGTTTTCGAGGCGATCAGCCTCGCGGTCCTGCCTCTCGATCATCTCCCGGACATCTTCGGCGCTGTCTTGCAGGTCGCTGGTTTCGTAAATGCCCAGAGCAGAATGGCGCCCCTGGACACTTCGACTTCTCATGCTGCCAAAGGTCCCCGAGATTTTGTTCTCCTTCCAGTAACCGCTGATCCTGCTAAGCGTGCCATACGACGGGCGGCCTTGCGACGCCTTGGAGCGTGAGGGGGTTAATGTCGGAACGCTCATCGAGATGTCCATGGTTGGAGATTGCCGCGCTGATTGGGAGTTGTAGGAGGACAGCGAAGGCGGCGCCCGGCTGCCGTTTGTTGGCCGCTTCCCGGTCGAAGGGTTGAATTCGTCTACGTCCTCCCGCGTGATGTAGCCGGCAAGCTCCTCGGCATCATCCTGCCCTTCGTCTGTCGTGCGGAGCAGCAGGTATGACAGAGCATTGAACCAGGTCTCATGTCGCTGCCCAGTGGTGCAGGTGAACTTGATGCTTCTGCCAGGAGATACGATGATCAAACTCTTCCTGTGCAGGCCTGGCGGCATGGGGTTGTCGTCGGCAACAACCCGAACCGCCTCGATCTGCACGCTCTTGGCCCTCAACTCAGAACGCCCAGCGACCGAAGGGTCGCGATCACTCCAGTAGAGAGTACGCGTATACGGATGAACCCAGAAGTACCTGCGGTGTCTGTTCTCCGATATTTCCCCGCGACCAGCTTTACGTGTGTACTTCCACAGGTACTCGCCAATCATGGTCTGCGTGATTGCCTGGATCATGCGAGGGTCGGTGTTCGGCCCGAAGCCCTGTGGATCGAATCCGCTCACGTGGTGCATGTTGAATCGCGTATCCACCTCGGACGTAAATGATGAGATGGAAGACTTCCGGCTCCGCAGCGTCGCCCGGGAAAGGGACTGCATGTCGTGCATCTCGGCGTGTCCGGGGGTAACACCGGGCCTCCCCGCCACGCGAGGGGTTGGCGTCGCGCGACCGGACACAGAAATTGGTGATGTGGGGCGCCTCGAGCCGGTGGGAGTCCGGGGCCTGAGAGATGCGTTCTGGGGCTTCAACGAAGAAGCAGGGAATAACGGAGGGCCCATGGCGCCAATGGTGCCTTGGCCACCCTGTGAAGAACCGGTCCTAGCGGCCTCGATGGCTTCCTTGTGGTTTGCGGGAAGCGGAGGGACCTCATGAATAGAGGCCATGCCACTAGCTGCGCTGCCAGGTCTCCGTGGTATGGGGCTCTCGAGTACATCAGCACCAGCATCGGAGGGTGCCCCTCTGTTCCGCAGAGGGGTGTCGAAGCTTTCTTGACGAGGCCGATGGATCCTCACCGTAGAGGGGGTACCCATGCTGCCCATCGATATAGACCGCTCTAGAGTAGCCACGCCGGGGGGCTGGAGCTTCTCCCTTATCATTTGGTCGATGGCGTCGGATGTCAAGGCTGTTTGCGCGCCCTGGTCTGCGGTCGGCAAGATCTGCACTTGTGGCGGCGCAGAGTCGGACTCGCTCGACAAAGCTGGTGCGTCCCGTGCTCGGATGGCGTCCTGCTCGCCGTTGACTATGCTTTCCATGTCACGGGGTATGATAAATGCGTTCCTCTTAGGTGTGCGCAGCTCGACAGGTTCACTATGCAGTGACTGAATCCCTGCCAAGCTCAGTAACGGGGCAACAACCTTGGGCACTTCGGATTCAATCGGCTCCACGTTCTGAGCCTCGATACCCGACAGGGACAAGCTGGGCGGGAGAACCTCTGGCTCATCCAGGGGTTCAAGACCCCAGGACCGAACGCTTGAAATAATCAGAGGAGACACCGGGGCTTCGCAAGGAACCACATCCAGTGTTTGAATGGGGGCAAGAGCCAGAGAAGGTGCGGGTGTCTCGGGCTCTTGGAAAGGTTCGACCTCTTCCATCGCGATGGAGGACACCGACAGCTTGATGGGTGAGATGGGCTCCACGTCCTGGGGCTCGACGTGCTCTGACGCAATCGAAGAGAGCGAGAGAGGCAAAGGTACAGGAATGACAACCTTTGGTTCTGAGCGCTCCGCGACCACGGGGGCGGGAAGTTCAACCGGCTCGACGTGCTCGGAAAAGATAGCCGAGCAGGAGAGTGCAATTGGCGAAGGAGGGGGCGTGTCCAGCTCAGCGACGGGCTCGACTTCCTCGATATGGACAGTTGAGAAAGTTAGAGCAACCGGCGTTGGGGCAGTTGGCTCAATGTCCTGAGAAACAACAACAGGAACGCTGAGTGTCTGCGGCTCTGGCAGAGGCGGCTCTGGCTCAGCCACGGGCGAGATGTACTGAGAGACAATCACAGGCATGCTGAGCGTCGGGGGCTCTGGGGGGGGAACCTCGGGTTCGGGCACAGGCTCGATATCCTGAGAAAGGATAACAGGCAAGCTGAGTGCTGGAAGAGGGATCTCGGGTTCCGAGACTGGCTCGATAGCCTGCGAGAGGACGCCAGGCATGCTAAGCTTCGGTAGGGGCGGCTCCAGTTCGGCCACCGGCTCAACATGCACAGAGACCAAAGACGCCATAGACAGGGCCGGGGGCTCCACCAACTCTGCTATCGGCTCCGTCTGTTCAGACAGGATTGATGACACGCTCAGGGGCGGTGGGCTCGGGGTGGCTTCCAGTTCAGACAAAGGCTCGATGATTTGTGTCTGGATGGAAGCGATGCTTGATGCCGCCGGTGCTGACGGGAACAGCTTATTCCACTCGTGCTGAACACTCGCATCGCTGTAAGAGATGGCGGATCCAGGTCTTGACGAGTTCCCGTCCTTGTGTCCGTCTCCCAGCCATTGAGTCGACGCCGGAAACTGGCGAGGTCTAATCACGGATTCCATCGACATTGGGCGCTCAGAATCCTCGCGCACCTCATAACCCCCCTCGCGATCGAGAATCGCGAGGCCTGACCGCAGGTCCATCGGTTCGGTCATCATGCCGCTATCGATCATGATTTTAGGCATTGCTGGAACCTCGGGTGGTGGCGAAGCGCGGCCTCGAGCAATGCTGCCGGGCGTGGCAGGCGTGACAGACCGGATGCTCCTCCGGCTGGGAGTATCGGGGCCTGTGCACGAGTCTTCATCGCTGTTGTCGAAGTCGTTAAGCTCGGCGAATAGGCTCTGGCCACCCGGTGTCACCGGGGCGCTGTTGGCAGGAAGGCTGGACGGGCTGCCCTGCATGGCGGGTTCCTCGCTGAAGTGTCGCGAACGGCGAGAGAGAGAGTTGCGGCTGACGCGCATCCGCATCTTAGGGCCGGATGTTGGCGTCTTGATATCCGAGCTGAAAGAGGGGTAGTCATCGTCCTCGCTGGATGTCGAGGCAGTACTGTCGAAGGAGTAGTGATTGCTAGAGTGATGGGGAGGCAAGGGCGGGGGTCGCTTGATCGAGTTGAGTCCTCGTGATGGCCCAGACTCCGTCTCGGTCGCCGTATCATTATCATCTGACATGTCCTCGACACCAGTCTGGAAGTCTTCGGTTTCAGTTCCGCGCTCATGTGCGGTCTCGAAGGCGGCATCGCTTGTTTCGTTGGCCGTCTCAAAGTGGTCGCTGCTCGACTCGACAGGGGCAACGGTGCTCGCGGGGAGGCGCATATTCGAGGCGCGACGTGAGAGCATGCTGGGGGAAGGGACTTCGGATTGGTCCTCCCATTCAGGGTCTTCGACGACTTCGGTCCTACTAGATCGTGAAACGCCCAATTGGTTAAGCCGGAAAGAGGGCTTCTTGGCCTCGCGCAACTCAGCCTTGCGGCTTTTCTTAGGAGCAGGGTTCGGGTCGCTCCTCAGCTTCTCGACCTCGTCTCGGGCATCCTGAAGCATACGCTTCAATTCCAACTTCTCGGTCTTCTCGCGATGAATGTTGGTCCGCAGGGTTTGGATGGTACGCTGGGCGTGACCGAGAGACGTCTTAAGCGTCTCAGACTCCAGCCCAGAGTGGCGAGGAGTAGGCTTCATGGGCGATGGAGGCGGAGAGTGCTCGGGGGTGTTGTGGTCGGGGGCCGAATTGGAATCCTCTTCGCTCCCGCCGACCGGGCCTTCGCGTTCCAAGGCCCGTCCGCGCTGAAGGGCCGAGAACGCCTTGGCCAGCTCCTGGTTCTGGCCGGTCAGCTCCTCCACCTTCCGTTGAAGCACCGAGCGCTCGGTTTCGAAGACGGCGGCGGTCCGGCGGCTAGTGCCAAGCTCGATCTCGAGGTTCTTGATCTCGGCGGAATGCTTCTCGTCTTGCTTGGCGAAGTTCTCCTTGACTTCTTCGAGTTCCCTCTGGGTGGCATTTCTTTCGGATTGGATGACATTGACGGTTTGCGTCAGCTTCTTCTCGCGCTCGGCGGCATCCTTTTGCCCCGCAATCAGCTCGTGGATTTGGGTCTCGAGGTTCCAGTTCTCGTCCTTGTACCGGCTCTCGCTCTCATCCAGGGTCTTTAAGCGTTGCTGAAATCCCTCGGCCTCGATTTCCAGCTGGGATCTTTCCGATTTGACGTCTTTGAGCTCCTCTTCGCGCTCGGAGAGCAGGGATTGCAAGTTCCGAACCTGGGTGATCAGAGAAGTGCTGATCTCGGCAGCGAATTCGATGTCGTGGATCCTACTCGCGGGCTGATTTCGAAGCTTGCGGTTCGGGACGCCAAACTTTGTCGGCGAGGGGGCGGCAAGCGTCTCAAACTTGGACGGGCTCACGGAACGCTAACAGCGCATCAGCCTAGGCTCTAGAAATGAGAATAGGTTAAACGTACCCTAGCAACACTTTTGTCCGGGGAAAACGGAGAGCTTTGAGCTTCATTGCTAGGCACCCTCTGCTTAGGAAGCAGAGCTCGGGCACTGTCTCGGGCGACCTCGTTGTAATCCTTCTCGATCTCGACAAGCCGTTGGCGAAGTTCCGGGTTCAGCTCGGCCTCGGACTGGAGCTGGTCGACTTCGCGGAGCTTCTCGGTCAGCTCTTTTTGCTGGTGTACAAGTGCGGTTCCCAATTTCCCGGCTTCCTCCATGCGCCGCTCCGTGTCCCGCAAGTGCGCCTGGATCGCCCGCTTGACCTGCTCGGCAGAAGATCCGGGGGCCAAGGCGAAGAGATGGGTGTCAAAGTTGGAGTGCCGTAGATGAGTCGGGCCCGCGGGGGTCCCCATGAAAGGGTCGAAGGTTTCGCCGGCAACCGTAGCCACGACGGGCTCGTCCGAACCAAAAGAGTTCGTCATGGTTGGCGAAGTTGCCGACCAAATAGGTCGTGATCAGAGCGACAAACACGAATGTTTAGCTGGGATGCACAGAATGCAATGTCCCCTCAACACGCAGAGTTCAACATGTGGAAAGACACAGGATTGCGTCGCAAAGACCGAAAATGGCGAGAGGGAAAAGAAGAAAAAAAAGACGAAGAAAATGAAAAGTAAAAAGAGAGTTGTGTGCTATCAAGAAAAGAAGACAATGTCGCGAACGAACAAGGAAGGAATTAGAAGTACTGATTATAGTGTAAGCGAACGAAAGAAGGACAGGCGAGAGAGAGTGAAGACACGGCGTCGAGTTGGTCGAAGATGTCGTTGTTTGTGCCTTGGTTCGGCCCGGAATACGCGACCCCTCGGGCGGTGTTGTTGACTTTAGCAATCGCAAGAGGACACGGGGGGTCAGGGCGTGCGTAGGCGATTGAATCCGACGCGCCGGAGCCAGCAAATCAGACTCGTCCAAACGACATCCACCGAAACAAAAAGGACAACAGCGCACAGGCCGGAGACCGGGGCAAGCGCAGCCTGTTGCAAACGAAATTATGAAAAAAGAACAATTGAAATCGGGGGCGGCGACAGCGCAATTGGGGGGGATAACTAGACGTGAATCCAGCAGCGAGGAAGGCAAGAGTCTGCTGGACGACTCGGAGGTTGAGGGGCGAACGAGGGAGCTTCACTCGCAATCGCAAGGGATGATTTTTGGTCTCCTCATCATCGCAAGAAGTTGTTGGCCTGAGGCAGCAACAAATTGATTTCCTGGTGTGAATGAATGTGATTTATTCCTGGAATGCCCCACCCCAGCTTCGTTGCCAAGCCGCCAACCAGCATCATCCTCCGCTGCTTCTGGTTCCGAGCCTTCTCGAACATGACTTCGATTTGGATCGCTCATCCACAGCAGATTGCAATGTTCCTCGTCCAATAACTACACAGGACTTGTCTCCGGCAAAGGACGCCTCTCCAAATTCTGCGTCTTCCCGCGACATCACACTTGCAGAGGGCTGTCAAGCTGCGTAAGGAATTTTTATTGAGCATTGAAAACGGAGGGTCCGTCCGAAAAAGGCAATAGTTACAGCGCAACAACAGGGCTGCCTCTCCCCTGACACAGGCCAAGCAGTGCGCTTCGATCCTGAGAAAAGAGTTGGTTAATCAAGGCTCAGCTCGACCCTGGTAAAAGCTGCCCATGATTTCCGAGATCCACCCCCGGAGATGGCAGGAACATGCAAAATTATGTCGACCTCCAGTCCGACAGTATCCGGTCAAATCCGGACCGGGGTTCCTCATCATCACCCGTTTTCACGGCGGTTGAACCAGGCGGGGTCGTCAGTCCAGGCAGCAAGGCACGCGAGAGATTTATCGGGCTTCAAGCGATGAATGCTGTGTCAATTCTTGACCGAAAAAATGCGACCTGTCGATGGATTGTGTCAGGGGGTACGGATCTGTCCTGAATCACGCATGCTGTATGTTTCACCTTGGTGGAGGTCGCACTTATAAATGACTGGTGTACACCAACTGTAGCCAGCCGGGATTGGGCGAGACTCTAACGAGGTATTTGATGATTCCGTGGCCAGTTCTCAGCTCGCATCCTGGCTATTCGGAAGCGGATCTGGTTGGAAGATGGTCAACGGACAGCTCACGAGCTGATGGGAAAGAAACGGGGGTCTATGAGACTCGGGTCATCGTCTCCGAGTGTGTCATCCCAGGACTGCCCTCCAAAGATCACGGACATGACGGGGCTCAACATGGACGGTAAAATAAAATAAATATGAAGAAAGGCAAAACAATCTGCCCGTCCAACAAGGCACAGAATGATGCTGTGTAAATGCCAAATCTGTAGTCCCTCAACACCACCCATGCCCCACCGCCGAACCCATCCAGTCATCCACGTCCATATGCAACACCATCGTTACTCATCCCTCATCCAACACCACCCGCTTCAAATGCACCCATCAAAACCCATCAAATCCAACATCCCCCCCTCTCCCATACCACAAGTACCACCACCACCACCCCTACCCCCACATCACCAATCCAACCCACCCCCTCCCCCCCTTCCCACCACCCTCGCACCAAGCCTCCCCAAAAGCGGCTCCAACACCGCCCTCTCCGCGCCAACCCTCACGCGCTGCTTGACCCTCGTATAAAACACCGGACAGTCCCTACTGTCACACGGCACGTCGCCACCACCACCACCACCCCCACCACCACCGCTACCGCAGCCGGGGGCCTCGAGCGGCGCAAACCCCGCGCAGCTCTGGCACACCTTCACCACGTCGGCGTACCGCCGCTGCTCGGCGTTCAGGCGGGTTTGGAGGAGGGCCATGGTGCTGGAGGGGGTGCTGGCGCAGCGGGTGCAGATTGGGAGGGGGGTGGTGGTGGTAGTCTGAGAAGGTTTGGACATCTTGACGTTGCAGGCTAGGCAGGAGGTGGAGTTGAGGAAGAATTCGAGGGTTTTTTTGTTGTTTGCGGTTGTGGTGGTGGTGTTGTTGGACATGGCGGCTGTGGTGGCAGCGGAGGTCATTTCCAACCGGCGGACTTGCTGGACCTTGGGCATCTCGTCGTACCAGGCCCGGACGTTGGCGCCGACCAGGTTGAAGATGCGCTCGAGGGGCGGGATGAGGTTCTTGGAGATGTAGTACTCCGCGTCGAGCGACGCGTGCGGGTTGTTGAGCAGGTCTTCCGGCGCGACGCAGCGGTCGATCAGGCGCGCCCCTGGTGCTCCCGAAACAACCACGTACGGTACCCGCTCGCCGTATTGTGGCTCCGCGCGGGCGTCCTCGAGCATGCGCTTCGTGCTGATCAGGGCGCCGGGCGGACCGGGCCCTTTGCCGCTGTAGGTTCCAAGCTTCAGTTCTTTCGCAAATACGAAGTCTTGGATGGAGACCGCGCCGCGCATGATCTTGGAGCATTGAGATTGGAAATACTCCTTAACTTGGCTGAGGTCGGCCGTCTCAAACAGGATCTTGAGCGCCTTCTCCTCAATCTTCTGCTCCGCCGGCGTCCCGTCGCGGCGGACCGTTTCAATACCCTTCGCGTCGAACTCGGGTACCGTCTGGTCACGGCTTTCGTACTTGTACCCAACGTAGCGCTTCTTGGCGAGCAGCACACACGGGTGGTACACCTTCTCGAACTTTAGTTTCACCGGCCGTGGGTTCAGGTCGGTGATTTCCTTGGCCATCTCGGCTCCTATGTCGAAAGCCTGTTCGCGTGTCCGCCCTTTGAGATAGACAAACAGACTGTCGGTATCGCCGTAGACCACCTCGGCACCCCACCGCTCGACGGAGTGGATGTAGGCGATGGCTCGCTCGAGCGTCTCGCGGCCCGTCTGCACAATGCTGTCGGCGATCTCGGCGCAGGGCATTCTGCCGGAGTATGAGGCCGACGTGTACCCATAGGTGACGTTGGCAAGGAGCTTGAGTGCAAGTTGTCGGTTGTGCAGAAGCTTTTGCAGCGTCTTGTCGTCTTTGTCCTCCTTCATGCCGCTCTTGACCATCACGCGAGTCTCGAGAATCTCCGTGAGCATCTTGGCGAGAAGCGATTTCCGGATCTCGGGCTTGGTGTACATCATGCCGTTTGGGGCGATGTTGATGTGGTCTTTCAGGAGTTCCAGGAGACCTTCTCTTCTCTTGTACTCGGTGAAACCCATCTTGTTGGTGCCACGCCAGCTGACAACGCGGCCCAGGCATGTCGAGTAGCAATAGTTGTACGCAATCATGACGCTGGGGTACAGGCTCTGAAAGTCCAGGACCAGTAGGGGGCTTGGATAGAAAGCACTCTGTGGTTCCATGACCAGAGGCAAGCACTCCAGAGCGTTCTGGCCGCCGACCTGCTTCCTGTTGGGCGAGACCAAAAGGAAGTTCTCCGGTTTGGCGATGCGGAACATGATCGACTCGACCTTGAATTGCGAACCCCTCGAGAAAACGGAAAAGAAATCGACGCCTAGAAGCCTCGCTTGCTCACTCGTCCGCGGAATCAGCTCGTTGGCTTCGATTACCTCAATGTCCATGCGTGTCCTCTTGAGATAGTAACGGAGGACTTTGTTCAAGTCACTCGGTCGTCCACTCGAGTACCAGTCCGTCAAGGTTCGCCACGAGTAATGCGGAATCCGACGGTGCAAAAGATGCCACACAACATTCTCCATGCTGTACTGGAGAAGGTTGAGCTCGCCTCGCATGGCTCTCCAGACATTGATAATATGTCTGCCTGTCACATGGAGGTTGGACGTTGTCTTGTTACCCCAAGAATCCGCATTCTTGCCAAACTTGCCGAATGACTCGGACTTCATGCGTGAGAACTCGTTGCACAAGTCGAACTCGTACTTGTGCATTGCCCGCTCAACTAAGTAGCCCCAGGAGCTCCCGTGAACTTCGTATCCGGTGAGGATATCTGGGTCGTGCGCCCGCACAATCTCCACCATCTTGACCAGGAGGTCCAGTTCAGACGCCTCTTCAGCCACCTCGACAGAGGTTTGGCCGCGTACCTGCTTGGCGAGAAGGCCATCTTCCGAGAGCACGACGATCCCAGTTATGGTGCTGTCGTCAGACTGGCTGCCGAACAGGCATTGTTCGTCTGATCTCAGGCACCAAAAAATGCACTGGACTTCGTCTTCCTCGGGGTTTGGGACCAATTTCCCCCTAGTGTTGACGTGCACCTCGAGGCTCATGGTGCTCATGTACTGCGCCTCGTGCTGGACGCTGGTTGACTTTTGCTTCTGCGAGTACTTGAAGCCGTGCGTGCTCTTCGGCGTTGGCCCGACGATCTGCGACAGTTCTGGCTTTTGCGTTTGGGTGGCGGGTGGCGGCCGACCAGGGCGAGTCCTCTTAATCTTGCTTTTCTCCTTCTCATCCCACCATCCGCTCACTTCGGCGAATGTTGGAGGCGGCTCGGCTATCTCCCAGCTCCGTAGGGTACACAGGCTTTGCTGCTTCTCATAGCTCGCCTCCATCGCGGAGAGATCTGGTGCTAGATCTGGTTTTACCCCAAACGTAGCCGGGGACTGGCCTGTTGGATCGAAATCGGGCAGGTAGGGGAGATTGTTACCGTCCAACCGGTATTCCCTTCCAGCATACTCCCTTGGTCTCGGCGGCACGTCCTCGTCTTTGCTGTAAAAGGCGTCCTGATAGATGACATCCGGCAGCCCGTATAACTGCATCGTCGAGCATACCTCCGCTGCAGATGGCGGCGTGCTATTAACGAGAAACATCGTGGTCTGTCCACTCCAGTGTAGAGTCGGGCGTGGAGGGGTACTCGGTGTCTTGGACGGTGTCGCCGACGTCCGGGATGCCGATGCCTCAGAGCTCGACTTGACTTCCTGGATGGACACAAGAGGGTCAAAGGACACTTGCTTTCTTGCCGAGCCACTAATTGTACCCTCGTCACTCCGCTGTGAAGCGCTTCGCTGGGTGAGCCTCAATATCGTATCCGGATCATGGGGATCTTTAACAACTTGGAAGCTAAGGGTCTGGTTTCCCTGGGATTTCTGGGAGCTCCCTTTGCCGGGGGTCTTATTTTGTTGCGACGATGGTGCTAGCGCCGTAACGGGGCTGGGGGGAACGAGCTCTGGCTTTCCGGCCACCGCAATCAGTTCGGGGGCAGGAGCATTAACAGCACAAGTATGGTGGGAATCCTCGCGTGGATCATTGCACCTCGGTCGTTTTCGCGAAGCGTCGTTTTCTAGAACTGGAGAGGGGCGCTTAAGGGCGCCTGACCCCGCTGCCTCAAAGGCGGCCCTTCGACTGCCAACATCCTTGGATGTTAGTTCCAAGGCCGTCGCCTCCAGAAGGAGTTCCCTCGGCAGTGGGATCGATGGACGCCTGCCAGAGCGTAATCCGCTGACCCCGAAACCCCCGTCGAGGCCTTTGATTTCCCGCTTCAACTCTGCAATAAGCCTGTGCGGTTGTTCCTGTAAACCACTGGCGGGGAAGGTTTCTGCTTGTTTGATGCACGCAGAGGAGACGCCAACACTGAGAGGGATTTTCTTCCGCTCCGACTGTTCATCAAGCCGGACTGCACGTTCCTTCTTTGTGCGATCTTGGTCAGAATCATCCGGAAAGATCTGGTCTTCTTGCTCGGGGGCTTCAAGCTCAAGAAGCCCTTTTTCGTCCACTTGGATGCTGCTGGCCACGTCCGTGTGACCTTGCAGCAACTTTTGCTCGAGCCCCAGAGCAGGCAACAAGTTCTCCGGGAACAAGTCCTCGACAGATTGAATCACGGTCTGGACTGCGTCTCCGTCCGGTTCCGATTTGACGTACTCGAAAAATGTCAAGCCCGTCCCATCTTGCTTGCTTTCCTGCTCAATCAACTCCTGAACCTGTTCTCGGTACTCCTCCTCATGAATCCACGCAGGCGGCTGCGAATGACGCGGATCGGCAGACATGGTAACGAGTGCTTCCTGAGGGAACGGACTACTCCCAGGTTTCGGCTTCGCCATCTGCTTTTTCCTGCGCTTGGTCTCATCTTTCCACAGCCCCGCCATGCTGTGTACTAGCTTCAGATCGGAGGGGATGGGTTGTTGCCGTTCGATGAAGTCATGGTGTAACTGGCGCTCCTTCACGGCTTTCCGGTTCAAGATATGCTGAACGCAGATGTCGACTTCAATGGAACAATGGCTGGCCCGAGGGAGACTCAGCTCATTAGTGATAGTTGCAGGCAAAATGGTGTTACTATCCCAAATTCGCGGAGGTTCACCGGGGCCGGCAGGGTCCGGAATCGGGGCGCGGAACCTCACGTTTTCGGCATCTAGGTAGTCGCAACCGTACAGGTTGTAGTCGGCCATGAACTGGAGGAGATACTGCAAGTGTGCCTCGTAGGGTTGGAACTTTTGGCCCATCACGAGCCCCTGTAGCAAGAGATCGGCCAGCCTGGTCATGACAACCGGGTTAAGCATGTATATCTTGAGATAGTAGCGATACCCAACATGAAAGCCGTAGAATGGTACCCCTTTGACGAGGGTCACGCGGGCAACAAATCTCTGAGGCCCCCGAGATTGGTCTCTGCGGTAATTGATGGCCAGGGCGCGGTCGATGGAGAGGTGTAACCCGTAGATGTACTCAGATACTACGCAACGTATGAGCACAACCATACTTGGTATAATTGCAAGAAAAGAAAAAAGAAACAAAAAAGAAACAAAAAAAGAAGAAGAAACCTGCTCACCCGTTGACTTATCCAGGGGCCCTCGGTACTCGACATAGAGGTAGGGGAATGCGCCATGGATGTGAGCGCACACCTTCTGACCGGTCTCGGTGGATCCAAACACGCGAATGACGGGAACTTTGGGCTGACGAGTAGTCTCCGAGAGTTGAGCATCTCGGCGCAACTGGGGATCATATCGGGTTGGTGTGGTCTGGTAGTGGTCGATGCAGTTGAGTCGGACTCGAAACCCGTCCATCTTGACCGTGTTGTCGAGTTTCCGCGTCGAGAAACCAAGCGCAGAAACACGGTATCATTTTGGGGTTTCCAAAAATGAAGCTAAAATATGAGAGGGATTTCGGTGGTTGGCGAAAATGCAGCAATGAATCAAAGCGCGACGCTCATAACTCACGACGCGGTTGCAGGCTCCGAGCAGTCGCGCCGCAGTGGAGCAGCGAGGCGCCAAAGCACGTGAAACTCAGACACAAAGAATCAAAGCAGCACACGGTAAAATATCACTCGCTTAAGCACAGATGCTCTCGGACCTGTCCTGCTCACTGCTCGCAAGCCCGGCTATTTTCATGACCGTCTACCTTAGTTTTTGGTGACGAACCGAGAGTCAAAGGTGTAAGTGGAGGCAACGCTTAGACCATGAAAACGTCTAGGGGTTAGGGTTATCAGTGACATTAAACTTTCGCCTCCCGAGCCTCGGTGCATATTCATAACCATCCTGTCATCCTCTTCCTCTTCCTCTTAGCTCAATTCCTCCCAATTTCTTCCGTATCCAACAGTCAGCGCAACTTGTTCATATATCCAATATGCCTCCACCACAATCCAGGCGGCCAGAAACCGCATCAGCCGCAGCTGCAGCCGCCAGCGCAGACAGCGGCTCCGGCGCGGGAGCAGCGCGCAAGGAAGACAACATCTACATCCCCTCCTACATCAGCAAGCAGCCCTTCTACGTCAGCGGGCTCGACGACCACGACGACTCGCTGCAACATCAGCGGCGCACGACCCACGACGAAGAGAACCTCACGTTCGAGCGGGGCGGCAAGAAGGCCGGCGCGGCGCGGACGAAATGGGTCAAGGGCGCGTGCGAGAACTGCGGCGCCATGGGCCACAAGAAGAAGGAGTGCCTCGAGCGGCCGCGCAAGGTCGGCGCCAAGTTCAACGGCAGGGACATCCAGGCGGACCGGACCGTGCGGGACGTCAAGCTCGGGTACGAGGCCAAGCGCGACGTGTGGGCGGCCTACGACCCGAAGCAGTACAAGGAGGTGGTGGAGGAGTATAACCTGGTCGAGGAGGCGCGGCGCGCGCTGCAGGGCCAGAACGGCGACAAGGGCGACGGCGAGGACGTGTACGAGGAAGGGTTCAAGTACGCCGAGGAGTCGGAGCTCGGCAAGGACAAGACGGTCAAGCAGTCGATGAGAATACGGGAGGACACGGCAAAGTATCTCCTCAACCTGGATTCCGACTCGGCCAAATACAACCCCAAGAAGCGTGCCCTCGTCGACGCCGGCGCGATAGGCGACAAGTCCTCCCAGCTCTTCGCCGAAGAGAGCTTCCTCCGGGCGTCGGGCGAGGCGGCCGAGTTCGAAAAGGCACAGAAATACGCATGGGAGGCGCAGGAGAGGACAGGCGACACGTCGCTGCATCTGCAAGCCAACCCGACGGCTGGCGCGCTGATGCGGAAGAAGGAGGGCGACGAGAGGGAGGCGAAGCGGAGGAAACGAGCCGAGCTGCTCGCCAGCCAGTACGGCGAACAACCGACCGTGCCCGAGGCGCTGAAGGCGGCCATCACCGAGTCCGAGACGTTCGTCGAGTACGACGAGGCCGGTCTCATCAAGGGCGCGCCCAGGAAGGCGGCCAAGTCCAAGTACGCCGAGGACGTCCTTATCAACAACCACACATCCGTCTGGGGGAGCTGGTGGTCTGATTTCAAGTGGGGTTACGCATGCTGTCATTCTTTTGTGAAGAACAGTTATTGCACAGGCGACATGGGGAAACAGGTTGTCAAACAAGCCGATTCATGGGACAAACAGGATGGAGAAGATGGCGAGGGTGCTCGAGATAGTTCATAATGATACCCCGAATATTATTGTTCAAGTCACGTCTTTCCAGTCATGCTTGCAGACTCCATTCTAGGTCGGCACCCATCATTCCACATCTGTCTGCGACAGTCGACATATGGGTCATTGCGGTCGGCGCTTCAGAGAACTAAGGTTTCAATGATTGGTGACCTGCGGGCTGTACTGTACGTGCAAATCTTGATGCATTCCCACTCCCTGACTATAAACGCCGTAAGAGCATGATGCAGAGGTCAAAAGTCCCTGCCCAGACCAATTTTCGTAGCCCGCTCCGTGCAGTCCCAACCATTCCCTTGATGTATCATTCCTGGAATTTACTCGTCATCCTCCTCCTCCTCCTCGCCGTCGCCCTTCTCGGCGGCCTTGGCCTTCTTTCTCCTGACACGGCCAGGGCGGCCGCCACCGAACGGCGAGGTCAGAGCGAAGTCGATGTGCTTCTGGGAGTCGAGACGGACAACGAAAGAAGGAACGTTGACGATCTGCTTGCCGACGCGGATGTGGCGCTGACGGATCAGGACACGAGCGTGGTGGATCGACTTGGCGAGGCCGAGCTTGTAGACGAGAGTCTGGAGGCGGCGCTCCAAGAAATCCTCAACCTTCAGGGCCAGGACGTAATCGAGCTTCATGCGGGACTCGTCGAGGACACCGACGCGGACAAGGCGGCGAATGAGGGCGTTGCCTTCGAACAGACGCTTGGGGTCCTTCTCATCGAGAGTAAGAAGCTCACTGGAGGTGAAGCCGTTAGCTTGCATTTCTCAAGACTGACAAACTCGCTGAGAGTACTTACCGGGCGGCACGACGAATCTTGGAGAGGGTGAGGAGCACACGCCACACCTCACGCTTGTTGCGGAGACCATACTCGCCAACGAGCTTCAACTCTGAGTCCCTGGGGTTCCGAAAGTTAGTCCACGATCACAATCGACATAAGCACAGACAAGCTGCTGCTCAGTGGCCGGTGATGTTTGCGAGCATGCGCAGGGTCCGCATTCGCGATGACCGCCGCGCAGAGGCTGCAATTGACGGAGAGTAAAACCGGGATCAAACGCACAAACGAGCGGCCTCGAAGGGGCGACGCGGGACCTTGGCGGTCTTGGAGTATGAACGCGGCGCCATCTTGTCGTTGAGGCTATCAAAGGTTGGTCGATCGAAGCAAAAGTTCGCAAAGTTGGAGCCGAACTGAAGGTTGGGAAAATTGGAGGCACGAGGGGGATTTGTGGTGGTCCGTGCGTATCGCGCCCGCTCGCTTGCCCTAACGATTGCGGGCTGGCCAGAGCGCATTGGGCGCACGCACGCTGCTTAGTCACCCAAACCTCAAATCCCGACTTGGATTTGCTTCCACACAAAAAATCCCCAATTTTTGCAGCCTGCAGCAACCACCGACTTCGACATATCGATCCACGCCGACATACCCAGCAAACAGGCAAGATGGGTCACCCCGCAGGTCTCCGCGCTGGTACGAGATACGCCTTCTCTCGGAATTTCCGGGAGAAGGGTATGATCAGGCTCTCGACCTACCTGAAGACGTACAAGTATGTCGGCGCGTTGTGCAGCGGGGCGGTTGCTGAGAGATGGGTCGCTAATTGGCAAACAGGGTCGGCGATATTGTCGATATCAAGGTCAACGGTGCCGTCCAGAAGGGGTAAGCGAAACCCCGAATCCCTGAGCACTCAGAGAGTTACAAGAGCGATTGGGACCGCGGGATTGCGCGCCGCATCAAGGATCGCATGATTTGACGGGAACTGAGGAACTGACTTTGGACACCAACAGTATGGCGCACAAGGTCTACCACGGCAAGACCGGCGTTATTTACAACGTCACCAAGTCGGCGGTCGGCATCATCATCTACAAGAAGGTCAAGCACAGGTACCTCGAGAAGCGCCTCAACATCCGGATCGAGCACATCCAGCCCTCGCGGTCAAGGGACGACTTCCTGCGCCGTGTCAAGCAGAACGCCGAGCTGAAGAAGAAGGTCAAGGTCGAGGGCCAGCCAGTGCAGCTCAAGAGACAGCCCGCCATGCCCCGTGAGGCCCGGACGATCTCGGTCAAGGACAACAAGCCGGAGACGGTCGCCCCTGTTGCGTACGAGACCACGATTTAAGGGAACTCGTGGCGGGTTGCTGGATTTGGTGGGGTTAGACACGGCTTGCTTCTTTCTCTCTGCATGGGGTTCATCGCGTTCGGCACGGAAAGATCTCCTGCATGGAATTGGTCTGGGATGCGGGAGTGCTCATAGGAATCAAAATACCAATGGCATGACCAATAGCGGCTCGCAGCACCCTCCTTGCCCATCCTACATGGTGCAACTGTGAAGCGCAGCCCGTTGAAGTTGGGACTTGCGGGGGATACACTGCGTTGGGGACATGGACAGGAGAGACCCCAAACAGGCGTCCGGGCTCGCTCTGGCCCGGGCGCTACTGCCCGAGACAGCAGCATGAGAGAACCCAAGTTTAACGGAACAATCCAAGAGCAAGCCAAACCTGAAGCAACTGCGCAGTTCTCAATCCATCCATACGAAGTACTCGGGACGCTTTCACGAGGCTTTGATGATGCATTGGGTGTGAGTGAACATCTCCCAACTACGTAAATGGACACCACGTATTTCATGAGCAGAAGACACATTCATTACCCCACCCCATACCTCGCTTTCCAATCCCGAATTTGTTGAGCCTTGCCATCGCGAAGACATGGGCCTTGCCCGATCCGTGGCGGGGCCGTGACCGTTAGCCAATCAGGGCAGCGCGGGGAAGCACGGCGGATCGCTCAGCGCTCTGGCTGGCGCTATGGCCCACTGCCCGGGAGCTGCGCCGGCTGCGAAGGTTCCAGGTTGTCTGTCATCAGCGAACGAACGAACAGGCCGACTTCCAGTTGGTTGGCTCCGCCGTTTGAAACCAAAGTCCAATGCGCCGACTCCTGCGCTTTCCAGTCAATACCAGGGCCGGAGCTGCACTACGACTTGAATCGATGCGCCCGCGAGTTCTCGTTCAGTTTGGCAGGTAGCAGGGCCGACACTCTGTCACTCTGCCGCCGCCAAAGTGCCCGCACTGAGTGCAACCAACAATCGCCGCCATGAGTTGGTCCGCCTTCCTACTGACATACCTTCTCGGAGGCATAACCTTTCTCCCGCTGCTCGTGATTGCCGTCTTTGCACACGCCTACTTCAATCTCCCCTACCGCCAGGATGCCGACCCCTCGCGGACCGAAACCGGCGGTAACGACGACCTAGTCCAGCCCAGCGACGACCTCGAGCCCCTCAAGGCAACACAGAAGGACGGCGCCAAACCTCGGGCAGTCCAACATGAGCAGGATGTTGCGGCTGGCTACTTCGCCGTGTGCCGCGAGTACACGCCAATGGGAATCAACGCGAAGCCGATTGAACGTGCGACACCCGTCGGCTCGGCCACGGTAGCTGCGCCCAGCCCCAGTGTCTATCAGACCATGTACCGCAGCATCTTCGACCGGAAGCAGAATCAAGGACCCTTGGATGCTAAGAATGGCGCCAGCCAGCGCCCCAAAAAGGCTGGCAATGTGTTTTATGTGGTGCTCAGGTACGCGATGCATTCTCCGGGTCAGTGTCACGACCATGGCTAACCAGCCACACAGACACGGCCACCTGATGTTGTTTGACGATGACGAGCAGCTCGAGGTACGCCATGTTGTGTCTCTCGCCCATCACGACATCAGCATATACTCTGGGGAACCAGTGACGCCAGAGGGGGAGCTGTGGATCAAGCGCAACGCTATCTGTCTTTCGCGTCGGACGGGTGGTCCGGAACTGAGCCCGGACAGCCAGCTGTCGAAACCCTTTTACCTGTTCTCTGAGAATTGCTCCGCAAAGGAGGATTTTTACTTCGCCCTGCTGCGCAACCAGGAACAAGCCGGCACCGCGGGAAACAAGGCACCGACACCCATCCAGTTCGACATGGAAAACATCATCTCGCTAGTTCAGAAGCTCCACTCATCCGAGGAACACATGCAGACTAGGTGGTTGAATGCCATGATTGGAAGAGTGTTTCTGGGAGTCCACAAGACCAAGGACATGGAGAACTTCATCAGGGAGAAGCTTACGAAGAAAATATCCCGCGTGAAGCGACCGGCGTTTCTGTCCAACATTGCCATCAAAGCCATCGACACGGGTGACTCGGCGCCCTACATCACGAACCCCCGTCTAAAAGACCTGACGGTCGAAGGGGAGTGCGGTATGGAAGCCGACGTGCGCTACACGGGCAATTTCCGGCTCGAAGTCGCAGCAACCGTCCGCATCGACCTGGGCTCTCGTTTCAAAGCGAGAGAAGTCAACCTGGTTCTTGCTGTTGTCCTGCGAAAATTGGAAGGCCACGCACTCTTCAAAATAAAGCCTCCACCTAGCAACCGTATATGGTTTTCCTTTCAACAAATGCCAAAGATCGAGATGACGATCGAGCCCATTGTCAGCTCCCGACAAATTACATACACGGTTATTCTTCGCCAGATCGAAAATCGGATCAAAGAAGTAATCGCCGAGACTATCGTTCTGCCGTTCTGGGACGATACCCCGTTCTTTAGCACCGAACACAAGTTCTGGAGAGGCGGGGTCTTCCATGATGATGCCGTGAAGTCTCCGGCTACCCCCGAGTCTGCCGCCGCTCAAGAGGGAGACCTGGGCGAGGTGGAACGCCTCGAGGAGACCCATGGGGTCCAAGAGACCGACCTCCCGACTATCGAGAAGAGCCACACCATGCCCGTCCTCGACAAAAAGCCATCGGTTGGCTTGTTTGGAAGAAAGTCCTCGAGTAAGGCGAGCAAGGCGGACCTGACATCATCTCCCTCTGCATCGTCGACCAGCATCGAAACGAAGGTCGAGGCGAAGAAGGAGGTGAAAACTGAGCTGAAAACTGAGCTGAAGAACGAGGTGAAGAACGAAGCAAAGGATGAGGCAAAGGATGAGGCAAAGGATGAGGCAAAGAGCGACATCGGTTCCCCTCCCCCGGTGCTCTCTGCGCCTTTCGCGCAGCCTTCATCTCCCACAGTAGGGACTATCGCAACCAACGCGGACCAATTCAGGCCCTCATCTTCCCCGCCGGGCGGGGATTCGGCCGTCTCGGCCATGGCAACGCTATCGGCGACGCCCCACGCCCCCTCGCCAGCTCAAGCGCCCACCTCCAACGCGTTCAAGCCTTACATCACTTCAAAGTCGTCCAACATTTCGTCTTCCGGCTCGTCTAGGGATGCCACCGACACTGAAAAGGATGCGGACAACACACCGCAAGCGCGAAGGAACACTGTGTCGTCGACCGAGAGCCGCAGTGACGGTGGGTCTCACTCCCCGACATTGTCTACCAAAAGTTCCGTCCGCGGCCAGACAGGCACTGTTTCCCGGGGCTTTTTTGGTCGCCGCGACACGACATCTTCGGTCTCTTCCGGCATAAGCACGAGCGACTCGCAGAAACGCACGGCGCTCAACGCTGTTGCGAACGCGGCGGCATCCGCCAAGCGATGGGGTTTCAACGCGTTCCAGCGTCGCCCCAATGATGAAGGGGGCGCACACCTTAACCACCTCGATGAGAGCGCACCGGTCCTCGACCTTAGTCAGCCAATGGGCCGCGGTCATCCGCTCCCGCCGCCTGGGACGCCGCTTCCGATGCCCGAGAAGAAAACAGCAACGGCACCAATCCAGGTTCCCAAACGGAAGCCGATTCCTCCACCGTCGGCAGAGGACCACACCGAACACGCCAAACAAGCGGGCGAGCGCAGCCCGGTACCACCTCCCCTTCCGAGGAGACGGCAACCCCAGGATGAGGACGGCGATGAGCACGGCATGCTTGTGGTAACTGCGCCCGCCGAGTCGGAGCCAACGACGCCACTGAGCGCGTCAAACAGCCCTTCGTACCCTCCGCAAGTAGAACAAGTTGAGGACTCTGGCACATCATCACTGAAGGCGGAGGAGACAGTAGCGGCGGACGTTGTAGGGTTGGGGGTGTCGTCGCCTGAGGGGGTCCCGGTCACCGAAGGGGACCAATCGAGCGTCGCAGCCGGGACGCCGGCTTCCGCTGCCGACGACGAGGACTATTCCGCGTGGATGGATAATGCGGAACTGGAGGAGCCGGACCTTCCTGCCAGTACGCAAGCACGAGCAGCTTGAAGCTGATTAGAGTGATTACGGAGTTTACGGTTACGGCCTTGGGGTTGCGACGGCAAGCAAGCATGGCGCATTAGCTGGATACATGGGCACATTGATAAAGGCTACCTTGTGGGATTGTACGGGACACGGCGCACGCATATCATGGCATTATTACGGGCGTGGGTTGATTATTCGAATGCACCTAATCTATATTTTCTTCGTCTTTCACCTGACATTGTATAGTACACTTTTAATCAGGAGGCGTTGTCATGCTACAAGTAGTTCTCAAACAACCTGTCACGCTTATCACCACAGCCAGACTGTTCCTCATATGGCTTTCCTTCTATTTCTTCCAACTTGGTTTCAGCCTCTGGTCATGTTTTGGTGCAGGTTAGTTCTGTTTCTCGCCGCCTCCCGCCGCCTCCCGCTCGCTTACGGGTCGACGCCACGACAACCAAGAACGGCTAATATTTCAGAAACCGCCAACGTTGATTGCGGTAATATGAGGAAACACCTGGTACCTTATATTGGGAATTTGCTTGGCCTCAACGGCTGCCCGTTGAGAAGTCGCGCAGGTTCGGCCCCACAGCTCAGGCTAAACGGAGGCTGAAGACGGGAATAATGGCGACCAGGCTCGACCTACTATAGCCATCAAAGGACGCGCCAGGTCGCCGGCCCCCAGTGAGCAGATTTGCAGGATTCCAGCCTACATAGGCTTGAGCTGGAGCGTTGTGGTCTTGCATGGCCATCTGATAGGTGCGGGAAATGTAGAGACAATTCTCCGTCTCGTCGGGGATCGATAACGCTCGGGGGTTTGTTGTCCCGGAGTCACTTACACGGTACCAGAAACCGTCCATTTTGGGTGGAGGAAAGGAAAACAACTTCCCGCCCAGTTCCTTACGCGCTTAGTCGATCCTCCGGCGTCTAGACTTCCAACACCTGAACCTCCGGCCATGATCGAAGGGCTATCATCTGCCTCTCCAGGGAAGCAGCCTGTTGATCCCTCTCCAACTACCCGGATGGGAGAATATGACAGGCAGCCCGTACCCATGGCAAGTCGTGCATGTTCGGCCCCGCTGTGGATATATGGAAGTGATATACACCCTTGTCGAGATTGTATACCAACATGTCCCGCAGAACCGTGACCAAGCCGCCCTGCATCCGCCATCTGATGCCTCGCATATGAAGCGGGAGATAGGCGGGAACGGAGCAGGTGGCGCCTGCATCGAGATTGATACCGAACGCTTGTCGACATCGCCACCCGAGGCCGTTTAACACCGATACGTGCTCGAGGAAGCAGCCCGGGCGGCATCGTCGGAGCACAAGCCGTGGCTCGAGGGCATCAGAGTCGGTCATTCAGCCTGTCTCCCGGCGGCTGTTTTGTCGCCCTTGGTTCCGAAGAGGAGGGCGGACCATCAGAATATAGAATCTCACTCTCGTTATTGCTCCGCAACACGAGAAAGCATGCCGCGGCCCGAAAGCAAGGGGCAATGATACCTCTCCAGCTTATTATCGTTGCATATCCCTCGGACCGGGACAGGCACGCCCGACCTTTGGGCTATAGAGTGCGGCGATAACGCGCACCTATCCAGGGAGGCACCTGAGTATGCACCGACCTTAATAAGTGGAAATCACTTCATCCGGTGGGCCCATAGAGTAGGCAAGAGCCCGGAAGCTGGATACTTTCCTGGACGGGAAGCATGTCGGGGCCGGCCGTGGACGACAAAAATAGAAGACAGAAATAGAAGCGCAATCAAGACGACTGTCTTGTCGGTCCTGGGGTATATAATGACCGGGTCTCCGTCCCACTTGGGAGGGGAAAAAGAGACAGTTGACAAGCTGAACAAGGTAGCGCATCCAGGCACATCCACGTCGCCCGCCCCGTCCCTTCAACCTTGCAAAGACAAGTCAAATCCGACCGAATCTCCTGGACTTCCAGGTACGGCTGAACGCCACAACCAAACCTCCCTCCCCAGCCTGCTAACGCAAGCCAGCACGCCCAGCACACCCACACCAACTCACCCCTCACAATGAAGTTCGCCCTGACCGCCCTCCTCGGCCTCGCCAGCCTAGTCCTAGCCGAGGACGTCGTCTGCCCAACAGCCACACGCACGATCCAAAACCGGGCCTGCGGCAACGAGTGCCCCTTCACGGACTGCACCTTCCACACCACGATCCAAAACCCCTGCGGCTGCCCGTCCACCCTCCCCACCGCCACGCTCATCGCCCCCTGCCAGGCGCCCTGCCCCTACCAAGGCTGCGACATCGACTTCCGCACCTCGGCCGAAGCCTGCCCAACCACCACCCCCAAAACCACCACCACCACGAAACGCACCACGCCCACCAGCACCCCCACCGGCGTAATCACCAGCATCGTCACCCTCCCCCCGCGCCCAACAACCACCACCATGATCACATCCTCGTCGATCCCCTGCCCCAAGGTCACGCGCACGACGTCGCCCGCCGGGTGCGATCCGATCCGCTGCCCCGTGCCGACGTGCCGCGTGGAGAGCGAGATGCTGGTCCCCTGCGGGTGCGAGCCCAAGACGGTGCTGTTTGTCACGGGCTGCCAGACGGCGTGCGCGACGGGGTGTTTGACGAGGACGAGGACTAGTAGTTTGGCTTGTTAGGTGTTTTTCTTCTTTTTTTCTTTTTCTTTTTCTTTTGGAGGTGGGGGTTGGGGAGAAGGGGGGGGGGGGGTGTTTGTTTGGTTGTTTGGAGGGGGGATCAGGGGGATAAAGGCCCGGGGGGTGGGGGTTGAGGGGGCGGATGGATTGGTTGATGGAGGGGGATGTTGTTTGTGAGTTGTATATATTCGGGTTGGTAAAATTAAGTTTTGTTTTCGGGTTCAAGTTGCTGTTTGGTTTGATGCCCGCCGCTGCTGCACTGCACCGCCGGAGAGTGCCGATCTGCGCAACCCAATCTCGTGCCAAGACACCACCCGGCAGCCGCCGCGAGGGGCCAAGTCCGACCTGCGTTCTGAGGTTTGCCCTGATTGGACCAGCTGGACCGGGCTGTCCCTGTGACATCATCCACCAACGGCCATTGGCGGCCCCGCAGTGCACCAGCGACAGCCTCGAACACGATGGCCCTGTGTCAGCCGATAGCTCCGTCCCAAAGGGGAGTTGGTTTTGTGTTTGTAAGAAGCGGTGACTGTGCCTCTCACTTCAACAAGCTGCTTTCTTTATGCCTTGCGTTTGTCAAAGTAGCAATTATATTTGAGAATACCCTCTCTCTTCTCTTGTTTACTCCCTTGCTTCCCCGCCTTGACTCTTGAGTTCTTCCCCCAATCTCATCCCAATCTCATCCCAGCCTACACACTACAGTCGACACCATGACCACCCGTTATCGCGTTGAATGTGTGTACCCCTTATCTTCTCCCTGTCTCTGGATATGAACTGACCAAGCAATAAGATGCCCTTAAAACCCACCGGCGAGATCAATTCATAGGTAATAGAACTGCCTCGTCTCACTCACAGACCACTGCTAACTAAACCCAGAATGGGTCAAGGGGCTGCTGGCCGTGCCCTTCGTGCTCTACTCTCAACCCCATGGCCCCATCGACAGGCAAAGCATGAACGATCTTGCTCAGACACGCGAGGAAGCCCACCGGAGATACAGCGAGATTCTCCGCGATGTTGAGGTCATGATAGACGACCACAGTAAGCCAGCCATGTCCTTCCCCCCAACACCATAGATGCCAAGAGTGACTCACAAAGCTCCAGTTGCCCACCAAAACGACGCCGAGAACCCCTTCCCATCAAAGCTCAAGCTCCTAGTCCCCAGCATAGGGCCCTTCTTCACCCGGTTGCCTCTAGAAGCTGGCTTCAAGTTCCAGGACCGCAAACGCTACATCTCGTCCCGCCGCTTCGTCTCGCCCTCCTTCAACGACGTCCGCCTGATCCTCAACTCGGCCCAGATGATGGCCGTGACCACCTACGGCACCCTCCAGCTCGCCACCTTCGACGGCGACGTAACCCTCTACGACGACGGGCAGAGCCTCGAGCCCGACAGCCCGATCGTCTCACGGCTGATTGGTACATACCATGCCCCCCCCCCCCCCCCCCCCCCCCCCCACCCTTTCTCACTCTCTAGGCACCTGCCTCTCCAACTAACCAACCCCCCCGAAAAAACAGACCTCCTCCGCAAAAACGTCAAGATCGGCATCGTCACCGCGGCCGGCTACACGACCTCGGACAAGTACTACGCGCGCCTGCACGGCCTCCTCGACGCGCTCGCCAACACAGCCGAACTAACCCCCTCCCAAAAACAATCCCTCATCATCATGGGCGGCGAAGCCAACTACCTCTTCGCCTTCTCGCCCACCTCGCCCCACCTGCTCACGCCCATCCCCCGCTCGCAATGGCTCACCCCGGAGATGGCGGCCTGGGACGAACGTGACATCGCCGAAGTCCTCGACGTCGCCGAGGCCGCGCTGCGCGACTGCATCAAGACGCTCAACCTGCCCGCCGTGCTGATGCGCAAGGACCGCGCGGTGGGCATCGTGGCGGACCCCCCCTCGGCGCGCATCCCGCGCGAGTCGCTCGAGGAGACGGTGCTGGTGGTGCAGAAGGTGCTGGAGCTGAGCAGTGCGGGCAGGAGGGGGCGGGTGCCGTTTTGTGCGTTCAATGGGGGCCGGGATGTGTTTGTGGATATTGGGGATAAGAGTTGGGGGGTGACGGTTTGTCAGCGCTGGTTTGGGGGTGGTGGTGGGAGTGGTGGGAATGGGGATGGGGGTGGTGCGGCTATCAAGGGTGATAATACCCTCCATGTCGGGGACCAGTTCCTGAGTGCGGGTGCCAACGACTTCCGGGCCCGCAGCGTGGGCACGACGGCGTGGATTGCGAGTCCGGCTGAGACGGTGGATCTGCTGGATGAGTTGGCCGAGCTGATGGGGAAGAAGATGTCTTGATGGGGCTGGAGGGGGTGAGCGAGTCAAGGTTGCGCGATGAGCGGGTGTGTCCATGTACTGTACACGAGAATGTCACGGCGTTTGCAGCGTTGTAGGGTCAGGAGTTTGGGATACACTTGGAAAGGACTCTTAATACGTGGTTGGAATACACATTCTCATCTGACGCTTTGTCTGTTCTGTCTTGAGCTTGTCTGGACTATATTGGCCGACGCTTGGTTTATTGCAACTTGCTCGCTACCGTCTGGGATGAAAGGAGGTCGAGATCTCGGCTCGTAAGCCGACCGACCACCAGTTGTCTCGCAAGACAACAACGAAAAGACAAAAAAAGGGGGTATTGTACCATACACAAAGAATAAAAAAAGGGGAACCTCTAATACGATTCCCCCGCAATCGCTTGACCGACCATCCCAAATCATCGAAACCCGCCTCGCTTTCCGCTTGTCATGCTAAACTCCAGTTCCTAGCCACCCCTCGCGATGCCTGTCTAATCGGTGTTTTCGTAATCCATACCATTTTCCTCTGTTCCAATGCGTGCAGTAAAGGGGCCAAATCCGCCGTGATCGAGGTATAATCCGGGCGGGGGATATTAAAAGCAAAACGTGTAGGAAATCCCGGTGATCAAGAAGAGACTTCATAACGGCGCACAGTGTCTGGTCGCGGCGACGGACCGCCGATCCGTGGCTACCGGAATTCCCCAAAGGGCGCACCAAAATTCATGCGCTTTTTGAACTTCAAGGGGACGTCAGACGGGTCTTCGTCGCCGCTTCTCGAGCTACTCCTACTACCCTCAGAGCCAGCATCGGAGCCGGCGCCGGGCTGGTCTTTGGCTTGGGTCTTCGATTCCCCGGCGCCTGGTTGCGTCGCCTTCTCGGCCAGCTCCGAGTCTTTCAGCACAGCCGGCAGTGCTGCCGCGTTGTCCTGGCTGACCTCTTGTAACCTGTCGGACAGCTTCTGAAAGAAGATCTCGTCGTGGGCGGGCATGTTCCTCACCATAAATGGCCCTTTCAGCTCACGGTCTTCGCTGGACTCCAAGACAGGCTCGGGATGGTCGGCGAGGAGGTGGCCGTGCCGGTCTGTGACATCAGGGAGAGGTTCCATGGCGCGTTGCAATCCCGATGCGCGGTCCCCATCGTCAGCCGCGGCTGTGCCCTGGCTAGACGCGACGTCTTCATGCGGCATGGTCGGAGTGCTGTCACCGCTATTGCTCGTCGCGGTAGCCGTCCCCGAGGAAGTAGCAGTTGTCATGGACGAAAGAGAATGGTTTGGGGTATGGCCAGCATGCATTGTGAGGCGGTCTGCTTCCCCGGCTGCCAGAACTTGGAGGGTCTGTTCCTTCTTTACCCGCGGGCTTATGGGTTGGTCAGGGCCTGGGGGAGGAGAGCCGGATTGACTGGAGGGGTTGGACCCCTTCTGTGACCCAGCATCACTGAAGGTGGCTTTCTTTATGCTAGTAGCTTTGATCGGGATGCCCTCCAACTCTGGGTGGATTTCCCCGACGTCGACAATCGGAACAGGCGTGGTTCCAGTCTCGGATGCCTCGGCTTGTTTCATAAAATCGACCGCGGGTGCGTTGGGCCCGTTCGGTGACCGCGGCGAAGTAATGTCCTGAACTCTCGGGCCGGGTATGGGCAAGGGCGAAGATCCATTTCGGGCGACTGGCCCTCCTTTCTGGGCCCTGGGCTGCGAGCTTCTTTCCGATGACAGTGGGCTGTCGGGGCTTATGCGTAATGTTCCCTGACTGCCTCCACGTTGGCCCGAATTCGAGAAAAGGGTTCTCGGCCAAAACGGCACACCATTCAGGGCCAACGGGTTTGTGCCCCCCATCCGCTCAATTTCCCCTATCAAAACCGCCTTCTCGGCCTCCCACTCGGCACGTTCTTCCTCCATAAGGGCACGCTCTTCCTTGTACACCTCTTCGGCCCGCTCACGGTTCGCCTCCAAGTATTTGCGTTCCGCCTCCCAGGCCTCCTGCATCCTGGCCTTTTGCTGAAGGAGCCTTCGGACCATGCAGTCGTGGGTTGATGCGGCCACGGCGTCTGCTGAGATGGACCGCGAACCAAGCCCGCTGTCCGCGGGGCTCAAATTGTTGTTGATGAGCCCAACCGCCATGTCTTGGTTTGTCTTTAATCCGTTCCCTGATGGTCTAGGCGACGTGATCCCGTTGCGATTTGTTGGCGGGAGACTGCTCGGCCGGTGCTGGTCGTATTGAAACTGCGCCTGCTTTGCGGATGGCAGGGCGTGAGGTGAGAGCGGTGAATAGGCTTGACTTCCTCGAGGCTGCGAGACGGAACGAACTTGTGTGGGAGTGTTGCCGTTGGACACAATATGGTCAAAGTATCCATTAACACCACGAGGGAGACTCAGAGGAGAGATGAGCGAGGAGGGCGAGTCGACGGTGAGCTTGGGGATATCACTGTCCCGGGTGCCCTTAGGCCAGAAGGAGTCGGCGGGCAGCTTCGTCATGCTAGGCATTAGGTTTCCAGAAGTTTATACCACGGGCACTTCGTCATGCGCTACGCTCGAGCTATTCCCCCTTGCATCAACACGCCGTTGTCGACGTCAATCGATGTCTGTTCGCAGATGTGGAGCGCAATGGAGCATATCGCGACGTAAAGCGTAGGTTCGAGGACATCGGCTCGGGGCACATTCGTCGTTCGGTAATTGCGCAATGTTCCGTGTGGACGCAGTGGGATGATGGGAGGGTGGTCGGAGGGAAAGATAGAAGAACCGTTGGAGTTTCACCAGTGTGAATAACGAAATGATATAGTCGAGACTTGAGATTGGTTACGAGGGGGAAAGATGGCAATGAAAATTATAATAATAATGTGGTTCGGTAATTCGAGGCTCTTCTGAGCGAGGGGGACCGCCGACGTGGCAGCCCTGTCATCAGTCTCGGGAACATGCAAGTGCTGCCCCGGCCTGTGACGAAAACGCCTGCCTCTCAGGACTGTGGGGCGGTGAGCCGGCGACCGCTTGTCCGCTCCCCTTTCAGGGTCCTTTTTCCCTTCTCCAACCCCACAGTTCACTGCCGACGGCCTTTCGGGCGGTTGCTCCGCGTGAACAAAACCCCAAGATCCCGTCTCGAGCCGTCCCAACCCCTGCGGCCCACGTGCTTTTTTTTCAGTCCTTGAATTGCTTTTGTGATTCAAATTTTCGTGAACGAGTGCCGTGCCATGGTCAATGCCAAGCGATCCTTTTGCCGGTGGAGCTTCAGGCCGGAACGACCGTTCAAGATAATCTGTGATGGCACCCAAGACCGTTGGGCAAAGGTCATCCATCGTCCCCTCAAAGGAGGGGCACACGCTTCGTTGGCATCATGGACCCAGGCCTCGGTTCGAAACAATCCCTGCTTCGATTTCTCAGGGTCCAGGCCCGAGACACTCGGTCTTGGCAATCCCACACTCGACCGAAGCTTAATCGTCGTGCTCGGTGTTTGCTCTTGCGAGGAGGATCAACAAGTCCGATAGTCTTGGGACCCCTCAATAGGACTCAGATTTACATACAATACTTAAGATAACTAGACCCTCGGTACGGGAGCGTAGGCAATCCAATAAGCCAGATGAGCGTTTTCAGAATAAGTATATTTCCTCAAAATTTCTTCCCATTATTCCGTAGTTCGTACGCCGCCACCAAACGTCCAAAAGCAACCCGGGGGTATCACATAACCATAACACAACCCCAACTCCTCCAAACTAGCAACCCCTCAAACTCGGTGGATGAGTAGGCACTGTAGGTGCTCAAGTCCGCGCAGCTGCCAGCATTCTCTCCATAAGCACAAACGGCCATGGAATAGGCTGCAGCTTGAATCTGCATTCGCCACAGATGATGGGCCTATTGTCGCCGTGTCGGTCCAGTCAGGATCAATCCCGATATGAACTGCGCAATGGTCTTAGGAGATCGACATTACCTCTCCTCAAAAGCTGTGATCTCCGGCATGCAAGTTCTTTTGTGCTTATACTTGGCGCTGAATGACCAGTCAGTTCTCCCCTTTTTGTTCACGAGCGCAAGCAACCCGGCAGCTCTCCGGTTACTACCTGAGTGTATTCGTACCATTGCTTGGTTGCGAGCCAGCGGAAGTGGCCGCAGGAAAACTCTCGCTGGAGTTCAAGTGTTAGTAGAACATCGCCAAGCGTTGGCAACAAGATCATACTCCAGACTGACCTGGGTGAAGTGGCACATTGGGAATGAAATTGGCGCAGGTTCGAAATTGATGGGCTGTTCCACGAGGCCGATTACCGCGTTAGGGTATACGTTGGAGTGGAAGGCAGGTGAAGACAGAAACCTCGATACAAACCTGATACCCTGCTTCCGTAGAGTTGCGATAGAAGTTGGTGGTCCCCAAGGGGAATTAGTTCTGCTCTGAGTCCTGCAGGCTTTCGTCTCGACTTTATGTCCGGGTAAGAGCTGGCGTTCTCTAGGTACTCTTCTTCAAGCTTCCACTTGCCCCTCATGAACACGCAATCGGTAACACTGTGAAAGAGCCACGGGTCGGGCGAGACATGAGTGAGAGACACCCGGGTTGTTTGCTAGGCCTTGGCTGCTAGCATCTCCAACTTTTGATCAAACCACTTCAGACCACAGATTTAAAAAAAAAGTTGGTCAGTTCGAAACCTCGGTCCTCAGTGGAATTCTAGGACAGGTTGTCTTGCCGAATATCCCGAGTGCCACGTTGAGACGATCAAGTGACACAGCAAAGTGCTGCTATTGAAAGTTGGGTGCCAGTTGCTCGAGCTCGTCTCACAATCCCAATAGGAAATGAGAAGAGAAGCCGGAAGCCACTTGACGCCAGCGCTCGAGGCATTTCCTGAACAAGATGGCAAAAGTCTTATATTCCTTTAACTGTTCCTAGTTATTAGTATTACTAAACCGTTTGGCTGTTTCTAAGCATGCCGGTGATACCCCTTACTGCACCACTTCACCGGCGGCGACACAATGGAGCCTAGGTAGGTACCTACTCTGCAAGGCATCTAGCTCTCCCGCACCCGTGCAGTCACGAGGCCCGAGTACAACGAAGGCCCTTATCCGATCACCGCGATTGTGGCTCGGTTCGGGGCTATCAGAACAGGGGCTAGGGCAGTTGAGTGAGACAATGACGCGCGAACAAAGCTCGGGTCGGTCCGTGGGACGGGAAAAGGAAAGTGGTACTAGAGGAATCACTCTAGTTGCCTTCAGGAAGGGGCCCCGTGGGATATATAACAGTAACCTTCCCCATGTTGCTCTTACCATCCCTTGGCGATTCAAATAATTTGCCTAGAATCCCATCCTCCGTCAACCCCCATTCCATGTTAAGTCCCTCAAAGCGTCACGGCTTGGTTCAGTAACAGAGGGGGTACCAAATAAAACCCTGTGCCACTCAAGCCTGTGCCACTCCAGTCATGCCCTGATAGCCACCTTGTCGACGCCAACCTGCCCATTTCTGCAGCGTTTACGATGCTTCATGACACGTCCATAACAACATTCTCACCCCAGGAACCAGAGGAGTAAGGACCGTCACCGGGCACCTCCAAAAACTCATGTCTACTTTCAAAAGCCGGCCAGTTTAGTTGGATGTCGAAGGCTTATTCTGTGCCGCGGAAGAACTCACGAACGCGGTATCTTGGCGTCACGCGGGTTGCTTGGTTTCAAGGTATTGGAAATTTAGACATTTGTTTACATGGCCAGAACTCAGCATGCTGTTTTGTGATGAACCTTTGTCCCGGGACGGCGGTTGACCAGACGGAATCGGAGCGGTAAGTCGCGATGCCATGATTCAGGGCTAGGTCTTACGAACCTCCTCTCATCGTCGCTTCGACGGAACGTGGTATTAACAACTCATATCACCATCAACTCTGCGGGATCCGAGAGACAGCGGCAGCTTATGCATCCACAGCTTGGAGAGGATTGAAAGTGTTTGATATAAGGGACCCCGAAACGCCACAAAATGTTAATCTAGGGTGAGATTCAGTCGTAGAGTGAGTGACTACCGTACCTAGGTGGGAATATTTGGCAATAACGAGCTTCTTACTCTGGAACAAACCCTAATTATTAAAGCCGCTGTTAAGGAAATAAGCGGCCTGTACTTGATTCCTCGCATCGTCAAAGGATGCTAGGCCAGCGGGTACATAGCTAGGTAATCTAGTCGTACTTGTCGCGTATAGGTAGTATGAGATAGTAGGACCTCATGGCTCCACGGCGATTGGGATACCTATATTTGCAACACGCATACTCTCCCGCGCCTCACATGATGCCCCCCTTTCTGCCCTTGTTGGATAGCGTTACTAATTAATTGTGTACTTGACTCCCAGGGGCTGCGATATCCTGGGCTGTATCTGCTTGAGTGGCCACCTCACTAATAATGATTCATCCTAAACCCGACGGCATGAGATAAGTACCGTGTACACATCGGAGTTACCACGTATTCGACAGGTCCACTTGCGGACGGTATTGCTGCTGCTTTACATGCGACGGAGGTTTGTAGCATGCGTTGCCAACGAGTCGCCCACGTGGTAAGTTGCGTTCGAGAGATTGGTAGTTTCAAACTCGGATGGGAAGCATCACCTGAGGCTGTGCTGAAGCTGGCCCGTTGGGTACTAGTACATAGGATGTCTCATCGTGACATTTGTGACGAACCCCAGAGAGAAAGCCTGAGGGTGCCCCCGGAACTGTCTTATGTTGGTTACTAAGCATTGTTTTCAGCTGCTAGAAGACCCCATCTGCCCATCCGTCATGTTCAACGCCATGAACGGCAACGTGTGAGACAGGACTGCACCCGGCATCCGGTGTTTGCCACTTCTGGCGTCACAGACCGAGACTTTGGGACTGTGGGACACCGGAAAGGGGGATCCCGATTTGATGATAAAAGGGAACGGTGTGTTGGCAGTGGTTGGTCGCCATCGGTATGTTGAACCCACCATTGCGAATGAGAAAGGCCCGAGAACCAGGACTCGCACCCTCCACCCACATTACTGTGTAATACGGATAAGTTCCAGTTTGTTCGGAACCGGGCACACTGGGCTCGCACAACTCGTCATGGTTGCCGCCATGAGAGGATTGATGCCAAGCACCGTGGAGACAAGCCAGCAAGCCCGGCAAACTCGGCACGACCGGAAATAAAGAAAACTGGGCACGAGGCAGGCCACGGGTTTCTCGCCAATCACCGCCGAGCAACTCCGCGATCCGCCTCGAGGAGGAATCCCGATGGGCGGTCTCGCGACATCGGAGCTCCGCCCATTCTTTTCATGTCCTTGAAGCGCCACTCCGGGGCGTTGCAGGCACGGGCAGGGCGGTCTGGGTGGTATCGAGGGTGGTGTGTCACTGTGTGATGCCAATCCGGATTTCTGCTTCGTTGTGGAAACGCCCCGCGTCCCACGGAGGTCGAGAATGGCACCTGAATGGGTGAATGGAAGTGACCGTCTCGATAAGACCTGCCACATTGAACGGGGAGGAGGTCAAAGAGCCCGACGAGGCGGTCCCAGCCAATTGCTGTTTTGCTTAGGCATCCTGATGAGTGACCGGTTCCATTGGAAAGTCGTTTTTGCTGGTGGCTGCAGGTACTGAGTTGAGACCCGCTTTAGTACCTCGCGAATGTCCCTCTGCACATACATGCAGTATCATGGGGGACGACAACAGGGACTCGCCCGGATGCTGCGGTTCAGCCTTGCCCGCAGACATGACAGCAGAACACAGAAAAGTTGCCTGGGGGTCAACAGCCTGGCCGACATGGCTGACAGGAGGGTACGGGTCCCGCAAAGTCGGCCTTGACGTGGACAAATCTTAACTATTCGTAACAGGGCTGTGAAGGAATCGGCGCACTTCCGGATAGTAACTTGGCGCGGGATTTGTTTCGACACGCGCGTGGCCAGTGTCCGAAACGAGACATCTTCGAGTGATGCCTGTGGTTATGGGCTGACCGCTTTTCGTAAACGTCAAATCTTACCGTTATTGGATCTCGTTGATTCAAAAGGAGGGCGAGCAAAGCTGAAGCTGGGATAAATTCCTTGCTCGACGATTTGACTGGCTAGAAGCCGTGTTACTCGGCCTGGCACGCCTGGTTCCTTCAAGAGCAGCCGTGGAGGTGCGCAAAAGCCCCTGGGTGAGAGTTGTTCATGGTTCTGTACTCTGGTACGAATACTGCAGCCAACTCCTGCATTCAGAAAAGCGGAACCCACACCGCTGTTTGTGTGGGAATTTGGTTCGGCACCGAGTCTGATTTGGATCGAGTGCGGATTTGACCCCGGCCCTGCCTCTGGGAAGAGGATGACTTCTTCGTGTTGCACCGCATTAGCTGCGTGGCTGCCTGCCTCAGGCATGGCAAGCGCACACCTGTCGCGTGATGGCTTATGCAGCAATTGGCAGCCACTCACTAGGCCCATGAGAAGAGCATATCGGGGGTTGATTCCTCCCACTAACTACCGTGAGGCTTGGGAACTTCCAAGGTGGGCGAATCGAGGCTCAAAGACGGAGCGTGGAGACTGTGGGTGATGATGGGACACAACCCAAGGCCCGAGCAACACAAACCTTTGCTTGGCGTCAAGCGCAGCTGTCTCTTGCCATCGGCCCTGTTTGAGAAACGCATCACACGAGCCCGCGGCGGAACTGTTTTTTGTTGAGGCACAACGGAGGGCAATCGATCGAGCCGAGACAGACGAGCAGGATGCCCAGACGGGAGATCGCGATGCCAAGACGGTCAGGAAAGCTTGCGAGCCATTCCAAGCCTATCCGAGGGCTGCGTTGTGCGCATGAAGGCACGGATCCGACCCAGGGCATGTTTCGTGGTTGTTGCTTGATCCGACTGCCAAGACGCTTGCCCTCCTTCTCGATGGTCGTGTCTCCCAGTGATGAATGGATTGAGGGACCCCCAGTGCATGGTCAGGTGGCGGCGGCCACGAGCGCCTTCTCGAGAAACGGCGAAGCGGTTAGTCGGGGAAATGTCTTTGGGGCTTGGTGCAGCTGCGCGGCGACGCAAGCGAGCCAGCATCCTGGACGTGAATGGGAATTGACGTGGGGGCGCGATTATTTGGGGATATTTGCTCGTGTGCTCTTCAACCCTCCTGTCTCCCGAGTTAGCTCTGCGACCAGAATGCCAGAAGACACGTCGGCCAGAAAGAGCTGGTTAGCCGGCCGACAAGACTTGTCTCATTACGCGGGCCGGCACCGGGCCGGCGACGGCTTGTGCGGTGAGTGAGCCAGCGCAGAGCTTGTCCCTTTGCCCATCTTGTTAGTTCGTTGAAGGTGATGGCGCCGAGATCTTGGCAACGGCTCCCCTGCTGAGCCCCTGGCATACCAAGAAACGCCACTGACCGATCGCCGGCTAGGTTCTGTGCCCCAGTGAGCTCTGCTGGCTTGGTGCTTGGGCCCGAGGGGCAGCACATCGCAAACGCGCGCATGGTCTCATGTTCTTTCAGCGCTTCCGCTCGGACGGTTGGTTGGGTTGTTGAAGCGGCAAAGATGACCTGGCTGAAGCGCCGGTTCCGAGACCATTGACGGGGCGGGCATTTCGACGTTGCTGACGGTGAGCGCGACAGAGTGGCTTGAGTGGCTTGGAACCAGCAGACGCCCACTGATAACTGGGTGGGTCTGGAACAAGAAGCTGTCGCGTGCTGAGGTCGCTTAGTTATAGCGATGACACCATCTTAACCACCCAAAAGCAGCCATACATAGGTACGTAGAAATCGCCGCGGCTTTGTTTCGAGAGAGAAGAAACGGACAACGACAGGCGCTCCGAGATCCGCCATGATGACATTTGACCGCCGCGTTAAAAATTCCCTGCTTTGTTGAGCGACCTGGTGGCCGGAAAGTCGGAGGATGGAAGAACAGGGAGAGAGGTCCGAATCTGGAGAACCCCACGCCATTTCGCGATATGGAGTGGAGCCCTGCGGGGGTTTGGCGCTCCTCAGCGTGTCTTCGTATCGTGATGAGGACCCGCTGCCTCGGCTTCAACAACCAAGGCAACGCGATGATGGCTAAAAGAGATGGATCGATACGCTGAACCTCAGGTGTTCGCTCTCAAACTTGCCTTTTGGAACGCTCTATTCCAATGCGTCTACTGGTAAAATGCTCTCGAGGCGGGGCACGTGCCAACTTACGCTTGCCGGCTGATGATGATGTTATTGGTGTCTGCCGTGGACATCTGTACAAGTCCATACTTGTAACAGAGATAAACTGACGGGCACAGACAACATAAAGGGCCAAGACTGAGCTGCCACAAGGTTTGAGGACGTGTTGGACGAATTATTATCTTTCGATCAACGCCTTTTCAACACGATCAACAGGAGCGGGCTCGGCCTGGATATTGCGGCATATTTGGTCATTCCTCACACGCCTTGGCAACAGATCCAGTTTCGGCGGCGAGTCGGCAGAAAACGATGAGCCGCCCCAACATGTCTTGCAGGATGGGAATGCGCCGTCAAAGAACATCAAAAATGCGAAAGTCGATGACAACAACACTCAATAGTCATGTGAATTGTTCCATAGGTACTGTACTAATTTGACGGTACCTGCTTGAGTCCTGGCAGCAGCAGATACAGACTTTGTACCTGGGACTTTCCGTTCAATCTCGAGGGCGCTTGCCCAAAACGCCGACCATCCCTTGGCCTTGGCCAATCATCTGCCACTCGCTCTTCTCTCGGTCTCTCGGCGCTGGGTGGGGGCGGGTCATCCCACCTTCCCTGCCTCGAATCTGCCCGCCCAGCCTCGATGATGCGTGTACCGTGTACACCTATGCAAAAGCTCCAATGGACATCCGGCGGTGTGGTTTCATTGTCCAGGCGCCGGATCGTGGTCAAGCGGGCAAACTTGAATCACGACATCCAAGACACTCTAGAAGGAGAAAGGGAAGGTTAGGTTGGGGCGGCAATGGCGGATAAGAGGAGACCAATGCGTTTTCTGCGTTTCCTCTGCCGTCCAAACAAGCGTCGCCATCCAGATCCCCAGCCTGGGCTGACATGATATTGCTTGGCCAAGAACGTTCTGCTTGTCAGGTCCGCGAGGTATTTGTGCAGCCATGACCCTTCCACGCCCTGCCCGTTGAGGTGGCCAAAGCATGGTTGATTTTGGCAATTCCACTGGGTCTTGCCGTGTTGGTGCCAGAACAACCCTGAAAGGTTTGGGGTGCGGTGGTGGGCCAAAGGCGCTCGGCCTTTGGTCGGCGGTCCGCTGCGCCTTGGGTGGGCCTCGGCGCCCCGCGATCACAATCTTGTGCCCGCAAACGTTCCAGTTGCGTTGAGAGAGTCCGTCCGGGTGGAAGTACTCGCGACTTGCCCAACCTTTTTTTCAGGCGAGGCAGGCACCTAAGCTCGAAAGGGCGAGTTCTGCAGCTGCAGCGAGGTTGCTGTTGCATGCATTTGCCGAATTTCGTACCTCCCGTCATTTCTCCGCACGAATTACCTGGAGTGCCCCGCCCTCGATACAGACACCGAGAAGACCGGGAACTGGGCGCTGCGATTGAGAGAAACGTTTCCCGTTGATCCTAACGCTACAGATTACTCCGCTAACATTGAAACGCCGCCTCCCCCCACCACGGATCCCGCCAAACCCCCTTGGGGGACCCTCCAACTTTCAGCGGCTCATCCCAGCTATCGAACCCATTTTCTTGCAGGAGGCGAGAAAGGAGTGCGACCCTTTCCCCATTCCCCCACAGATTCCCACCATCTCGGTTCTCGAAATGCCGTTATAATAGTCGCCAGAGGGCGCTCTTTTTTTCCCTCTCTCCCTTTTCCTCCCCTTCGAGACTTTCTCCCACCGCCAAGAACCCGCGAGCCAACCGGCAACCGAAGCGTAGATCTCGGCCTGCTTTTGTGCCTTCGCCATTGCGCCACGCCTGCTCCTCGGGGCTACACAAATCTCGCCCTGGACGGAAGCCAGCCTTGGCACCGAGCGATTTGTCGTCTTCCAAGACCGCGCCCAGAAACGGACCACAGTGTCGCAGCGAGGAGCGACAGCAGCACTTGCGCGGCCCTACCTACCTATATAAACCTCTCATTGCCCCATATTTTTAGGTGGTGTGGACTTGGTCAACAAAGCCTTCCAGCAGCCTTTCTGTTGCTCGATTTCGGTTTCGTCCTAGGTTAGATACAAATCACCTCGAGACAGTCCTTGACGCTGGAGAAGCATTCGAGGAACCGGAAGCCCAGGTGGTGTGCGCCTTACAGTAAGCGAAGGCGGCGTGCAACAAACCGCGCCTCCAGCTCATCTGGGAGTCCCCCGAGGCACCTAAACCGGCTCCCCGAGGCGCCTGGTCCGTGGTCGCTTCGACTGCCCCCCCCTCCAAATCCAGTTTCGGTGGCCTTTAAAAAGCGGCCCCTTGCACACGTTCCAGTGGCATTCAAGCCCTGACGTGCTTCCTTGTCCCAAGGGACCGAGGCCCTCTTTTTGCCCCCCTGAAGGCTGCCGTCTGACGGCATCCCCCCGAAAATGGCGGCTTCGTTGGTTGCTGCACCGGCGCAGCCATCTTCGATAGGTAATTAACACCCCCCCGTTGTTCAGTTCGAGCTGCGAGCGATTCTCGCTCCTCACCCTCCCACTGTCCTGAAGTAGCCGATTTGACACTTTTGGATTCCAGACGCGTGTAACCCCAACTCTCACAACGCGAGCTCCTCGTCGTCGCCTCGGCAATATCCCACCGAGCTGACGGATCCCATTCCGGAAGAAGGCGATGAGACCGATAGCGAAGCAGTAAACGAGCCCGTCACACCTGTGAGCGGCCGCCAGTCGCAGGATTTCCACACCCTCGCAAACCCAGACGGCCACCTAGACGCGGCCCACGAACAACTTGCCTCTGATCAGACCGCCGGCAGCTTTCCACCCGCTCAGCAGCCCGCCACACTTAGCTCGAAGCCACCCCTGGTTGTTGACACCTCAGCCACCCCGCCAAAGGCGCCGAGGAGCCCCCAAGAAACCCCCCGGGCCGCCCCTCCCACGACGCCCACACCCGCGACCCCCTCGTCCGATCTAGACCACAGCGGTGCGCTTTCTTCAAGACGTTCGACCTTCGGCTCATCTTCGAATTTCAGACGCACCATGTCCAGTTTTCTAAAACGTGTGGGTACGCAGTCGGACAAGGCGGCAGCTGGTCCCGACTCTGCAAGCAGTACCACCGCCTCGACCCTAAATTTGCCGGAGGCCGCTCAGCGAAAGATGCCAAACCGCCGCTGGTCAATGAACAGGAGCTCGGCTACGACTCGCTCCAACACACCACCGTCGCCCAGCTCGCCGCTCGAGATAGCCGTCAAGTCTAGAGAGGACGCATCGCAGCCAACAATACCGGAGTCAGAGGCCTTCTTCAAGAAAAAGTCGCGTGCATCGACTGGCTTCACACTGCGCTCTCGCCCGATCGTGAGGAAAGACGCACCGTCGAGACAGGAGCTACAGCTCAGGCGACGTGCCAGCAGTTTCGATTATACGAAGCAGGAGCCGGTCGCGGACGGAGATTCGGAGAAGGCCATTCACATGGAGAGATCCCTCTGGGGGCTTCCCGCCGAGACTGGCACCGGCGTGAAGGCTCGGCGCATGAGTTTGAGCTTACCCGACGATTTTACGGTGGACGTGATCGAGCTCGCTTCGGAATTCGAGTACCAACATAAGCTGCTCGGCCGGCACGGGAAGCACTTGGGCAAGGGCGCCACCTCGAAAGTCACCTTGATGGTGGCCAAGACCGGTGGTGAGCTGTTTGCCGTCAAAGAGTTCCGGGGCAAGTCGTCCAGCGAGACGCGCGAGGAGTACGAGAAGAAGATCAAGTCCGAATACACGCTAGCAAAGAGCTTGCACCACCCCAACATCGTCGAGACGATACGGCTCTGCATCGACCACGGCCGCTGGAACCATGTCATGGAGTACTGTGAGGACGGCGATCTCTTCAATCTGGTAAACAAGAAATACCTCAAGACCGAAGACAGGGAAAAGGACCGGCTTTGCCTCTTCAAGCAGCTGGTGACGGGCATCCACTACCTCCACTCGAACGGCATTGCTCATCGCGACATCAAGCTCGAGAATCTGCTCATCACTAAAGACTCGAGGCTCAAGATCACCGATTTTGGCGTCTCGGAAGTCTTTTCGGGCATCCACCCGGGGCTAAGGGAAGCCGGCGGCCAGTGCGGGAAGAACATGGGTGAAGTGCGGAGTTGCGCCCCGGGCATCTGCGGCAGCATGCCCTATATCTCGCCAGAGGTCCTTCAGAAGAAGGGCGATTACGACCCGCGGGGGCTAGATGTGTGGAGCTCTGCTATCGTCATGGTCAACCTCATCTTCGGCGGGCCCCTGTGGCATAAGGCCGAGCTCACCCCGAATGCGTCACCGCGGGAGACCTACGCCAGTCTCGTCCGTGGCTGGGAGAAGTGGACAAACAAACACGCCGATGCTACCGACAGTGTCATCACCGACATGGACTATCCGCACGTGTTCGTTTTCGACACGTTCGTGAAGCCACCGGCCCTGAGGCGCGTCCTCCTCCAGATGCTTAACCCGGATCCGGAGAAGCGCATCTCGATAGCGAGCGTGATCAGCAACCGATGGGTGAAGAACATTGAGTGTTGCCAACCCGAAAGCTACGACGAACCAAACGCGGCCCACATGATTGATGCGTCCAAGAAGCCTGGCCAGAACCGGGCCAGCGGCAAGAAGATCTATTGCCATAATCACCTACCTCCTGTCGCGCATAACAGCCACTCGCTTGGTAAAATGCCGGGCAGCGCTGGCTATTGAAGCCGAAGGATGGCACGGCTTTTCCGTTGCTTTTGTTAAAAAAAAAAACTTTCAATTACTGGTCTTTCTCATGGGGTTCGGGGTAGCCCTGCAAAACATACACGGCGTTACACGGGGCTCAAGGTGCATCATCGACAGCACATCATTGGGCGGGTTTCTTTCCTTTCTGCTTTTCTCCTTTTTCTCATGGGACTCCGGGGGGCAAAGGCCAGATAGATCTGTTGATACGGCCTCGTTTTGCAAAGCTCTGTTTTTATTGTTTGTCTTTCTTTCCTCATGCTGTCACATCCGTGGTCGGGATGTCGGCACTAGCCCCAGGCTAGTCTCTTAATCATGATAAGAGGAGGATTATTGGATCGGCAGCAACACGCCGCTGGGTACATATGTTTGAGTGTTGTTACATAGATGGCGCCGTCGAGGCTTGCTTCATGTACAGATCCCTTGTTGTCGCGGGGGGTAAGGGGGAAAACGCAGGGGTTATGATGAGGTTGGGCATACCCACCCGTCCTTCCTGTTGCTTCCTCCTCGGCGACACCCGTCTCAAGAGAGACGGAAGAAAAGAAATTGACACTCGGTCACCCCCGTTTTCCGAATCTCCCAATCGCTGTTGTTGAACATGACAAGTGTCGTTGGTACAAACCGCTTTACCGTCACCCCGCCACCAGCCTGCGGGATGCAGGAGGGTGGGATGGCCCGGATCCACGGTCTCGATGGAACCACAAGCAGCTTGCCACACAATTGGGCCGCCTCGCCGCCGCTCCGTAACCAACGATGCCCCGCCGTCGGTGTCTTCAACCGAGCTGAACCGAGTCAGTGTCAGCTTCTGACCGTTCGATCGACAACCGTTCAGGATCGAAGACCAGGTGATCCCGAATTGGCCCCGGCGGTCAGCCCGAGGGGAAGCGCGGCGTGCCCGCTGCTCGCAATCCTCAGCAAGCAAAGTTGGCAAATGATGTTGGCCCTGGTGGGTTTGCGCTAGTTACAGAGGGGCCGGCCAACTGACGGGAATTACGAGAAGCGTGGGTGGGATACGTCAAGGGCAAAGATGACGGACGGATTTGCTTTCGTGCAGCACGCACTGCGGGGAAATCCACCCACTCACCGACAGGCCACTGGCCACCTCGCTCGAAAAGGGTTTCGAGTGGGCGTTTTGGGGGGTTTCTCCAGGTTCCCCAGACTCTTTTTGAATGTCCCACCGCATCAGGAGGCGATCCCCCCCCCCCCCCCCAACCCAAAAAAAACCCCCGCGTTTGTGCCCCATGTGCCCCATGCCACGGCCACGCCGCCGCCGTCTGCACGACATTTTTCTTTGGCGAGCAAGCCCCCCCCCCCCCCGGCCCCGCTCTCATGTTTGGCTGACTGGCTGGCTTGGGGGGGGAAAGGATCGAAAGAGGCTGGTGATGTGGTGATGTGCGCGCGCGACGTTGTTCATGTGGCGCCACGCTGCTGGCTGCTGGCTGCTGGCTGCGCGCAGCCCTGCACTGCATCGACCACTTTACCTAACTTTACCTAACATTCCGAGCATCGTCCGTCTTCTTTTCCCCAATGGCACACGCATCTGGCCAACCCAGCATCTCCGTCCTTCCCCCCTCATCGTTTCCCATCTCCGCGGGGATATCGGGACGGATTCGCCAAACGGCCAAGGGCTGGGGATGGGTTACCGTTAGTTACCCCTCTTGGCTCGGTTGGCCGGCTGCTGAGATTTTTTTGGATTTCATTTTTTTTTAGCTTCTTCCTTCCGCGTAACTTGCTGGAGGTGGTGGTGGGGAGTTCATGGGCCGGCGGTGTCAATTTCTTGTTTTCTTGTCAGCTGCTTGGCGGGTTTGTCGGTTATTTAGCGGGGTGAAGGCTCGGAGGGGTTGCTATTTTGGCGTTGATCGGTCCGGCTTCCTCGATTTGGACGAGCTGGGGGTCATTGGCAACATGGAAGAAAGAGTCGGGTGAGATCGGTATCCGGGGGTTGCCGCTCACGCTGCTTTGCTCTTTGCTCCGTTCCATCCCGTTCATATTCTTCCACTGCCAAAAGAATCACGAGCCACGGGGTAAGCGGTTGGCTCATCTGGTTGAAGAGAGGATTGCAGCTCCGTGTCACCACCCCTTCATTCCTTCTCTCCGTCAGCCAAGACGCCCAGAGCCTGGGCGCAACCGGCTAGAACATCTGGAAGCTTAGGGCTTGCCACCCCGTTCCATTAGCAGTTCAAGATTGGTGAGCCGGCCGATCGAAGGACCATCTTGCAGGAGCCGGCCGTGATGCTGCTGTCCCTCTCTCGGTTTCGTGGTTCCGGGCATCACATCACATGGCGAGAAATACGGCGAACCCCGGAACTTGGAACGGTGATTACACAGCTTGCCCTTCCAGCTCCCAGGTTCTTGGGACCCCGTCCGTCCCACCAACTCTTCTCTGTTCAGCTTGAAGGTGTCAGAGCTGTAACCATCCATCAGATCCATTCATCCTTTTTCCGCGCTCTTATCGTTTGCTCGTCTCCTCCCGCTGAGGGGTGCCGGCTAAAGGTCGCGAGAGTCGAATTCACCAAGCATTGGCCAGCTGCAGGACGACGGAATCGATGAGACGCACTCTGCATTGCGTGGGGGTCACCAACTCTTTGCGTCCCCGCCGTCCATGAGACGCGGGGGATGGATGGGTCCGTCTCGCTTTTGCATCCAGCCCAGTGCCGACATGTCCTGCTAGGGTCCGATGCTCCTTTTTCGAGCGCTGTCCAGTGGGAACCCAATCGAGATACTAAGTAGAGGATACAATGGATATCCGATCCATGCTCCAATATGCATGGAGTTCGCAGTAGTTCGTCTCTTTCGTGGTTTGTGTTACCCTGGAGCGGGAACTGGTGACGGCGGCGGCGATGGTGATGCATGGCATGGCGCCCTCGGTCTCGGGAGAGGAAATGCTCGGCAACAATCCGACGCTGAGATAGTCGGCATGTTTTTCCATACCGGGACTTCGCAAAGTTGTCACCATTCCCAAGCGACACGCCACAAACCCTCCGGTCTCTCTCACCTCATCCACCCGCCATCCCGCCATCCACGAGCCCAAGGTCCGTCCCCCGCCCAAACTACACTAGCCCTAAACCACTCAAAACGACCACAGCCGGGCAAGAGGCGTCGAACACGTTCTCTTGGCCTGCCTGCCGAGCCCCGCCAAGACAGACTGGTGGTGCATGAAATCTGCGGTTGATATGTGTGTAACACTTCCAGAAGAGGGACCAAACCATGGTTGACAGTCGCGGCTCACGGCCAAGCCGACATCGTGACTGTGACTTTGATTGTGATTGTGGCGGTGGCGGCCTTCAGCTCGCAGCTGGACGTGCATATATAGAGAAACGCAGGTGGGTTGTGTAGCACAAGAACGCTGATGGTGGAAGCGTTTTTTCTCCCTCCTCGTCTCAGTGTTGGAGGTAGGGGGTTGGCATGATTAAGTTTGTTTGCTGCTGGATGGCCAAGTGTTTAGCTACTTGTCTTTCGGACGTACCTGAGAAGATGGTACTTTACGATGGAGCGTTGTTGAACCTTCCTTACTACGCAATGCGATGCGTGGCGGATGGGCCTGGGAGTCGACAACAACCCAGCTTTCCCACTTCGGAACAAACTCGACCTGGGAGAGGGTGATATTCCTCGAACACAAGACCGAGGCTTGTGACCATCTACTCACCCTAGCACTTGGTGATCGTAGCAACGAGCAACGAGAAGAGAAGTACCACGTTCCAACACGTTTTAACCCGCCGCTCACAGTATATGGCACCCGTACCAGTCAACACCGGGGCCTATAAAACTGCTGAGTAGCTACCTAGCGATGGTAGGTGTTCCGTGTTCTATGCATATCATAGAAACACGATATTAGGAAGACAAACAACACCGCCTTACTGAAGTTCGGAGCAAGCGGAACCGCAAGTTTGCCCTACCATCCCCTCTACTCATCCCGCTCCGCTTTCATCGTCTCTGTGCTACGGAACGTTCTCGCCGTCAACTTCCAAAGACTGATTGCCCTGATTCGGGAAACCGTTGATAGTATGGCTGCCGTGACTCGGGAGACCGAAGAGAACGGCACCCATGGCAAGGGTGCAGTAGTACCTAGGATTTGGTGGGATTTTGGTGAACGCCTGTGTGCATCTATTGTGTCTGGCATGGCAGATGGCGGTACCTTCTCACCACACCGTGTGACGACGTCCGGCACCAGCACAACGAAGGCCTCTTGAATACAACATAGCACAACACCATCGATAGCGGACATGGTCTGCAATGTTTATTTTCATCCTGTCTTGTGTGTGTTTCGCCAAACCCGGCGGTGTTCGTCGCTCCTCAGCTCCAGACTGAAATCTTCATCATGAATCTACCGACCAAGGGGGAATAGGGGTAAATGACCAGATACCGCGAGGGAAAAAAAGCAAAACAAAGCAAAACAGATACCCATCCGGAGCCGTGATAAACATTAGCGCGCCCGCGAAAATCGGTGGCATCCTCATGACCCAGGCATGTTTCCAGAGAGGGCCCATGCCCGACATTGCTGCCAACCCCCCCAGCACCCGAGCATCCGATCCGCTGCGTGTTCTCCATGTCATAAACGGTCGTGAGAAACCTTGCATCTCATTAAACCTCGCGGTAATGCGATTGCGATTCGGGTAGGCAAGGGGCGGCAAGGCCAGGGCCGGGTCCGCCCCCAGCGCCATTCTTCGCAAAACCTGCATTTTGGCCGTCGGGGATAGCTGTGTGTCGAGTGGAAAGAGCGGAGGCGGGTCTTCTAATCGGTCGCCGCCGGGCGCTGTGGTATGACTGAGCTTAAATCGAACGCAGACGCTTCTAGCTTGTGCCGTTCGACGCTCCGCCACGCACCCGGTTCATGGGGAAAGGGCTCTGCAGGCCCATCATCTCTTGGGTATCCGCCCTCCGGCAAACCTCTAGAAGAGCGTTCTGGTCGTTGGGGGAGAGGTGAGTCATCAGGCCAGCGCAAAACTGAGGTTGTTCTTCTTGCAATTCTGTAAACGGTATTAGCAAGGCTGTTTCCGTAATACAACGGGCACCACTTACTCTTGAAGGAATCCCTGAAGGCGAGATAAGGATCGATCCGGTCGAGTGGCGACTCCAGCAACACACTATCCTCGCCAAGCTCATCGTCCGACTCTTCAATGTCGGTTGCCTTGAGCTTTTGTGCCTGGTTGCGGTGCGTGTCAGCAAGGTTTTTAAACTGAGGTATCCGTAAGTGTCAACCGAGCCAGATGGGACACGGGATATGTCCATTGGCATGCTTACCTCCTCGTTCAGGAACTCCAGGTAGGCTGTGCTTTCATCCTTGCTCTCGCCGGCGGGCTGCTCCTGTTCAGTCTCGCCCCCGTTCCAGTTCGCCTCTTCATCATCCCACTCATCGTCGCTCTCATCATAACCGTAGGTTCCACTCTCAAACTGGAAATCATCCTTCAGGGCCTCCTCGCGGTCTTGTACGTTGTTAGTTAAGTTCGACTCGTAAAACTGTCGAGATTTCTACTCACTTGACATGGCCTCGGGAAGAGTGTCGAAGAGGATTTTGATACCCTACCGAGTTGTCAGCTAGCTGCCATTTTTGTCACGGGCACAAATCGGGGGTATGGAACCAACCTGGAGGAGTCTCGGCCAACCAACCATGATGCTGGGCGGGATCTGCTCGGACTTGACGTTCAGGAGTGCGATGATAGCCAGGATGCAAAGTTGCTTGTCGTGCACCCGGGTGAAGGACGTCATGCTGCCGAACCAGAGACTGAAGAACTTATTCGTCCAGCCCTGAGCCTCCAGGATCTGCAGTGAGAGGATGGGGTCGTAGTAAATGCCGTTGATGACCATCTCCATCAGGTGAACCTTGTAGGACTTGAGCTTAACGTCTTGGCTGACGAGCACGCCCATCGCCATGTTGATGAAACCGTGAACGGCATTGTTGATATGACCCCGGAGGCTCAGCATCATGGCTTCGGCGAGCTTGCAGGCGCATATCCGGTCGACACCGCCGACCTTACCATCTGTGAACATGTCCGAGACCATGCCGAACAGGGCCTCGACATACTCGGGCTTTTCAACGAGCTGCGGGGCACCATACTGGACGAAATTGTCCAAAGCCGGGAGCATATCCTCAAGATACAGCTCGGCACCGGACTTGAAGGTTGTATGGACCAGCTCAAATGCCTTCCACATGGTGGGCGAGATCTGCTTGGCGGCAAAGGTGCAGCTGTCAATGATCTCGAACACCTCGTTGTAGAGATCTGAAACTCGTGTTAGCAGTAATCGAGAGGAGCAAGGAGGAAAAAAAAAAAGCCTACCATAGAGCTTGTTCTCCAGCGTGATCTCAATCACGGGCATCAAAACGCTCTCGATGTGGAGGAGTATGTCTGGCGTGCTCTCGAGGGTGAGGATCAGAGTACCAATGGTCTGAAGCACTCCCAGCGCCGTGATGCTCTTGTCATCGAGAAAGTCGCCAAACTCGTTGTCCATGTCGTCCCTCTTCTCGCTATTCTCCAATAGCTCTCGGACGATACGAAGGTAGGTATCGCGGAGCTGCTCGCTGAGAGCCACGGCAAAAGGAGTGAGCTCGGCAGCAAAAACCTCGACGAAGTCCTCCATAACGTTAGCGAGGGCGTCGATGTCGGCCTCGTTGGCCAACTTCAGAAGCTGCTGCATGATGGTCGGGATGCTCGTCTGCATGCTCGTCCGGATGATGTCGTGCCTGATCAAAGGTTGGAGCGCCAGAGCAGCAGTCACACGAACAGGGAGTTTCGGGTCGGCCATGCGGTCGAGGATATGGCGGTAGATGGAGAGGAGGTTGTTCTGGTCCTTGAAATCCAGTTGCTCGAACTTCTCGATAGTATCGCAAGCCCTGGCCCGGAGGAAGCCTTGCTCGCTAGTGAAGTCCGGGAAAACGTAGCGAACAATGAAGTATTCCACTTGGGCTGCAATCGGCGACTTCTTGCCGAGGATGACGGGCGCTAGGGTCCCGATCATGCGCAGGGCACCCTCCTTGGCGATATGGTTCTTGCTTCCCTCCGGGGCCTGCTCATACTGGTTCACTACCTCGTTGATGAAGGTGAGGAGCTCGAACGTCTGTTTCCTCCGCGCCTTGGTCAGTGTGACCAAGAAATTGGTGGCCGAAACATCCGGCGCGGTAACTTCCTCGAAGTAGTTCAACCTCCGGTGAAGATACTCCTCGGGTTCATCCTCGAACTTCTCGATGTCCTCCTCCGTCAGGCAGAGGACAGGAAAGATAAAATGGGTGACC